AGAGTTGGGGTTTTGGGGTTGGGAGATGCTGGGATGGTGGTGGTGGCGGGTGTCTGCGTAGTAGGAGTTTTTGGGGTTATTGCAGTTGCTTGGGCTGAGACGGGCGGGGGAAAATGTGGTGGTCTCTGTGAGTGGACTTATAAAGCTGTCAACAAACACTCACTTTATATACAGTTTCAACTATAAGACAAATAACTTCAACCTATTATGTGTCATATTTCCTGCAGTCCTGCTGTATATGAGGCAGGCTATGTTTGTCCCATCCATGACTAAGTCGGTGTGTGCGGCATTTAAATTGGAGGTTGGTGGTCTGAGTCTTGGGATGTTCGGTTTTTGAACTTCGTAGTGGTCTGTTGGTAGTATTACGTTCAGACGCGAAGAGAACCTTCCTACGGAAAGGGAATGGTTGCAAACTCGAATATCATCGGGCTATTATTTTGAAGAACTGACCACTACAGTCAGGATGCTATGCACATGGCACAAAAAGTGCAGCCGTAATTAGTCTGTTCCTGAACCGCTAACAAAGTAATTCTAGCTCAATTCCTAATTTTGGGGACTGTGACTTCCTCCTCCGCCGTGTCTGATGTTGATAGCACAGCACAGAATTCAAAAAAAGACTATTGGGCGCGATATTCCACAATATAGGGAGACCGAGGAGTGAACTAGTTAACACTTAAAGTTGAAGAGGTTCGATCGTGAGAAAAATCCTATATTTTCTCAACCCATTTAGCCATAATTCAACGCAACCATAATCCTAGCATACTGCATCGGACCAAGTTGCACCGGGGCCGTCTCTCAGGCCCGCTTGACTCTAATAGGGAGCCCAACGGCCGGGAGTAGAGGTACGACCTGATGACTTTTTTGACTCGGTTGAGGTAGTAGCATCGCAGGTTGCATTGCCATTCTCATCTTCGGTGCTGGGTGGCGGCGTCTTGGTCTCCTGTTCCTTGGGCGACTCGTCCGTCTTTTCCTTTTTCTCGGTCTCTGCAATTTTTGCGGCTGGTTAAACTGGGCCGAGGTCAAGCTCCTGGGCGTCTACTGTTGGCTTGGAAGCGAGCGTGATAGCTAGGAAAGTGAAGAGGATGGTCGGAGTTGTTGGGTTGTTGGGTAAGAGCTGGATTGTGCTGCTTGGCGACCTTGATTCCGAATAAGTCCTAGAATAGAATAGCTGGTTTTTTTTGGGTTGCTTGGACCATGTGGAGCGAAATAGGACGCCCAGGTCTCGTGTAAGGAAATCCTTCTTTTATAGGCAGCATTAAGATCAGAAACGATACAAGCTTTTGCTCGTGTTTGCTTCATTTCTAGCCAAGCGTTTTCCTATTGCTTTGGTCACTTCGATTGGCGCACTGTTTGCTTCTTGATGGGTCCATATCGCTCAATAGCACTAACAGCCCAATGAGCATTACAAACTTCTCAGCTGGTTTACAAGGCTGCTAACATGTCAGCACCCCTTGCCTTTCTATTACATAAATACGGAAAAATGGGCTAACAAGATTAGATGGCAACTGCGGAGAGAACTTTATTTAATGTTGTAGCGATAAGTTGACCATGCCTATTTTGGCCCAGCCCACTTTTGGCCCGTGCTGAGCCGCCCACTAACATGAATGACACCCTACATTGAAGCATATAGAATATCGCCAAATCAACCAATTACTATACAACTTTTGACTTCCTCTTCTTCTTCCGAGCTTTCTGATTCGTCAGAGCTGTCAATATCGCGCCCCGCTGCTCTCTACGCGCGCCGAATGTCTTTTATTGAGGCAAACTTGGAATTTGGGCTCAATTCCACCTTCTTCCTCTTGGTTCCCTTTTTGTTCTCAAGCTCAGCTTTCAGAGCCTCATTTTCGTGTCTGAGCTTAGCCATCTCAAAGTCCCTGAGGGTGAATGCCTTCCTGACCTTCCTGAATAGCTGGTGACGTGCCCTGCGGGCCGGGGAGCTGATGTTTACTTTGGCCAAAGCAACCGTAAGGTCCGTAACCTTATTAGGAGTCTTCCAAGTGCCGTAATCGTCAAGCAACTGTTGTTGTTGATGAGCCGTATCCCTCTCTTCCTCGAGAGCAGCTAAAGCCGTACTTTTACCGGCTTTGTTGCTATTTTCTAGCACTTGAGGGCTCGTGAGTGGCTTGAGCTTGTTTACAGGCCACAAGCCGGTAGCATACCACCCTGCCTTGCAGTTTTCTTCCTTGAATGCTTCTTCCCGGGCATCCCGGTAACAGGTCAACATAGTGCGCCGGCCGGAGACCGTTGAATCGGAGCACCGGGGTAGAGAGTTAAACCTCTTCCGGTATGCCCGCTTCAGGACCGAGAAAACCGTCAAATCAAGCGGCTGAAGGACGTGTGATGAGTGTGCCGGTAAGTAAAGAAGCTGAATGTTATTTTGGAAGCAGGTCCACATATAATCATCAGTTGTATGACTACCGTGGCCGTCAACAATGAGGAGCCGGCATTCGTTGTTGGCCGTACGGGTGTTAGGAAGACTTCCTGAAGCCATTTTAACGCACTCTCATCGTCAATCCAGCCTTTTTCTTGCGTGTGGAACTTCCAACCTTTGAAGGGACCCATTTTATTTGGGTAGTGTTGTTGTTGTAAGGTTCTCCCCTTCATGATCACCAAAGGAGGTATTGACCTGCCCGTTGCAGAGATGCATTCCACGAACGTGGACCAATCCCGTGATCCTGACTGCTTTTTCTTCAGCTTCTTGTTGTTGGCCCTTTCCTCAGATCCAAGAACCATGCCGTTGTCACCCTGGCCTTCAAGAAGGCCAGTCTCGTCTTTATTCCAACGGTTCTCCGGCTTGATCAGCTTGATAGCCGGGAGGGCCAGGTAGTTGAACCAAGCCGTGATTACCGGGACCGTGGCGCCGTTGAGCCGGGCCGCATCCATGCTTTGTGCCCGCTGGGTCCGAATTGACGGGTTCCGGGCCATGAAGCCGCGCAACCACTTCGGCCCTACGTATTCCGGCTTGCCTCCGTCCACGGCCAGCCGGCGGGCAAATTCCCTGACCGTTGCATGCGTTGGAGGTAGGCTGAGAGCGCCCTGAATGATGATCCATTCGGCGAGCCGGGCTTCCGTTGTATGCGGAAGAACCTGCATGTGTTCGAATGCAATATGGCGGGATTTGTGGCCGGCCATACGGTTGCGAAGGGTAGTCCTTGGAACGCCACATTCTTCGGTCGCGCGCCGCAACGGAATGCCTTCTCGGACTTTTTGCATAGCCTGCAGCATTTCCAATTCGTTATATTGAGGCATCGCTGGAAATATTATTGAAAGGGCTCTCGAATGTAGTAGAATTGAAGGAATTTAGTGTTGTTTTGAGGAAGTTGCGGTGTGTTGAAGAAAAAGGATCGATCACATGTGGTGTAAGTGCATGGTGGTTTGTGCATGGGCCAAAAGTGGGCTGGGCCAAAATAGGCATGGTCAACTTACCTTCGAGCGTATCCTGAAGTCCTCCTTCTCGACTGTACATACAAAACAAATAAATACGGCATACCATTTCTTGATATGATTGGCGTTGATGCAACTGGACGCTCCTTTTGTATTGCCTTTGCATTTTTAAGCGGCGAGACTGAAGAAGACTATATATGGGCCCTTGAGCGGTTGAAGACCTTATACGAGCAATGTGGTGGAGTTTTCCCATCAGCCATTTTGACAGACCGGTGCCAGGCAGTTATTAACGTAGCTTCAACTCTCTTTCCTTCGACAACATCCCTCGGTACCTGGCATGTAAATAAGGCAGTTCTTGCGCGGTGCCAAGCAGTATTTCCAGAAGCTGAGAAGTGGAAGTAGTTTTACGGTTTTGGTTCTCTATTCTTAACTCGCCAACTGAAGAGATCTACGAGGAGCGTTTGAAGGAGTTCGAAAATAAGTACGGCTTAACGAACCTTGCAGAAGTTGGCTATATTAAGGAGACATGGCTTCTACCGTTTAAAGAGAAGCTTGTCTCTGCGTGGGTTGACCAACAAGCTCATTTTGGAAATACGGCTACGTCTCGTGTTGAAGAGATCAATGCGCTTCTTAAGTCGTACCTCCGGAGGTCAATATTTGACCTTTTTGAAGTATGGAAAGCAATTCGGCTTGTATTGATCAACCAACTCTCTGAATTACGGTGCAACCAAGCCAAACAACAGATCCGTATACCCCTTGAGCTCGACAAAGCTCTATATAAGGCTATACAGGGCTGGGTCTCATACGAAGTACTACGGAAGGTCGAGAAGCAGCGGCAACTACAGTGGGAAGACCCTCCTCCACCACCTACTTGTACAGGTACTTTTACACGTATCTACGGGCTTCCATGTATTCATATACTTACTGGAAGTCAAGAGCCTCTTCTTCTTGAAGACTTCCATTCGCACTGGCGCTTAATACGTGATGGGGCTCCACTTCAGCTTTTAGAGCCCCATCGTATAGAGCCAAAAGCGACGATAAGTAGGCTCCCAGCGTCAAGTACGAAGCGGGAGCCCAGTGAATTCGAGGTCGTCGACGCAACACAGGCAACACGGGCTAAGCGGCCAAGCCAGTGTACGGCTTGCGGTGAAATTGGTCATATACGGACCTCTCGGGTATGCCCGAAGCGTTATTCAGATGTTGTACGGATTGATTGAATGGCTAGCTGGTTGCAGTGTTGGCGATACGTTAGCTGTGGTGGGGGAAAAGGTAGCGCAAAAATGGGCCGCGTTAGATGCATTTTTAGAATTATGTCAGCGACTTTCACACTTACGTAAGCGCACAGACCCGTGCGTCTAGTGGGAGCCCCCGGGCTCGGCCTCCACTAGACGCACATCCATGTGCGTATTAACTAGTTAGGATGGAAGGCTTACCTAATATCCGCGGAGCCCGCGAAAATTTAAATTCGCGGGACCCGCGAACCTACCTATTGGGCCCCGTATAAATCGTCTCCTCTCCCCCATTCTCCTCCCGCTTCTCCTCCCATGACTCCTCCGATATCTTTCGCAAGGCGATACAACAGCAAACAACTGGAACCTGGCAGTCTCTGGCCAACCATGGAGGACCAAGAGCTGGCAAGTCGCCTAGTCGAAGAAAAGGAAAGGTATCTAATTACGACAAAACAATGCTGTGTTCAATCCATACATAGATACCACAATGACTTCAAAAAGGACCTCATTCAGTTGGTGGGAGACCGAGTAGATCAGTACTTGGATCAGCTAGCTTCCGTTGCTAAGACAATGGCGGACACTGTCGAAGAGCTCCGCTTCGCCGAGATATTACCTGACAAGAAGACCCTGAAATACGCCCTGAAGCACACCCTGCTGGAGGAAGTCGCGGCAAGTATGAACGAACATATAGACCGCAAGTACGACTCAGGCCCTTTAAGTGCATCGGTTCCTTCAGAAACAGCTCCTACAAGTACAGCCATACCGGGCGTCTCAAGCGGCAGTGGACTGTCGAGTCAGCAGCCAACCAACCCAGCCTTGGACGGTGTCCTTATAAACCCTGAGCCCGTGCAACACCTCCGCGAGGCTGGGATGGATGTCTAGGTCCTGCCGGCCCACGGACCTGGACATGGTAGTATTCCACACAAGTAAGCCGCTATGCTTGCCTCACACCTAATTATCCCCGAGTCCCGATGCATCTGACTGACTTCTAAACCTTTGCGACCTGGCTAGACCGAGCATCGAAATGTCACTAAGCCCTGCGCTCGTGGCTCGCCCCCCCGACTTAGGAAGAGAGCTAGGGTAGATAAAGACGAACAGCTGGCAAGTTCCTTTCTTAAACTCGCTTGGAGAAGCGGCCCCCCTTTCCGTCTCTCCAATAAACACGAACCCTCCGCGCCGGGCCTCTCCGCACATCCTATACATACATACATGCTTGGTTTCACCAGCGCTGCACACTCAAGAAGGGTGGATCGACCAACATCCTGCTAACCCCCGACCTAGGGCAACCAACCACAGATCACCCGCGTCGTAAGCGACATACTCCCGACGGCGACGACCGTAGCCAGGGGAACTACGCGCCGTGGTGGCTGAGAGACGGTGGGCGACAAACTGTTATACCAACCGACCCTTGAATCGTCTGGTCCAGGGGGGTGGGTGGGATCAGACCACGGAAATCGTTCAAGGCTAGAGACCAAGGCCGCCTAGGACGTTACTTTTGCATTTACCTCGTATATTGGAGTCAGTTTTTTTTTTTAAAATTTCTCTTTTCTCTCCATTCTCTCGTTGTTCCTCATCTTCTTCGTCTTCTTCTTGTTGTGATCCTCTACATTGTTTCTGTATGGCGTGGCACCTTTCGACTGCATCAATTCTCCTCTCCAGTTGGCAATTTCGAGTGAAGAAGGCCAGTCACCTGGCAATTGCACTGCTCTCGTGGTTGACTACCAGGCCTGCGCGACTGACTTGCAACAAGTGTACCTAGAATAGCTAAAACGAAAAGGTTCGCCGAGTTGGTCCGTCGACGCGCACTCCTAAGCGTCGAAATTCCACATGGGATAACCCGCGACAATTAGATTCGAATCACGAGAAGATTGATAGAGAGAAAGGTAGAGACCCCAAGTTCGCATGAGCTTCGCAGCCACTGATGAACGAAGCGACGGCCCCAATTTTACGACAACTTTTAGGTACTCGTGCCTAATGATTACAGCTCGGAACGTAACGCAAACACAGATAAAGGATTCGTCCCCTGTCCACAAAAGCCAACTATCGTTTCAGCCGGCCTGGACACCGCATAAGCTTTGGGCAAATTTGGAGCAAAAAGCTAAATGGGGGCGACGAGATATTCTCAGCCTCGTGCAGCGGGTACAGTGCGGGCATTTTTCTGCAAACTCGACAATCGGTCCCCGAATCTCAACCTTAACTATCCAGCCACACTGCGGGGGCAGAAATCCCTAACAAATCTCGGAGCCTCGGACAGTGCGCGTAACGAGGGGCGCTGGGGCCTAGCCTATCGGAAAGAGAGGCGGCCTCCGGGCATTCATGCAGTCGTTGATAGTGTGCACCTGTGCATTTTTTAGGCCCTAGTCAGCTAAGAATATGGGGTCAACTTGTCAAGGGCTGTTGCTGCCTCGCGAGTCTCTTCTGCCCAGTGTAATAAGGATGCCGTTGGCAGCCTAGAAGCAACCTCGCAAGGGGGAGGCCTCGAAATGCGCATGCACATTTTCTTGATTTGGGTTGGTTGAGTGAGGGGGGGTTTGGGGAAGGGCTGAAGAGCAGCCGCTGAACAAAATTGATTGGCTAGAATGAAACTATTCGCTGTAAAAGTCCTAGTCTTAAACATGGCGCATAATTGCTGAATGGGAAGAAAAGGGAAAGAGGAGGAAAGGAAAGAGCAAAGTCGGGTGTCGCGGTTAGGATAAGGACCATGGAGTCCCCGGCTCCCCCTCCACTAATTAGACCCGTTTATTTTCTTTCTCCTACGCCTTCTCCTTTTCGTTCTCCCCACGCTTTTTCTACACCATACTTACCAACATTTATTCGACACGCGAGGACACTCGGCAGTCTCTGGCCCACCATGGAGGACCCGGACCTAACGAATTTCCTGAAGAACAGTCGGACAGCATACCAAAACGAGTTCCGACGGACGACACAAAGACACCTAGAGTCTCTCATTAATAATCACATAAAAGACTCTAAGAATTCCATCATCAGCTCCATCGAACAAGAGATAATAAAATACTCGGACCGGCTGGCCACAATTGCCGAGACGATAACGGCCAACGTCGAAGAGTTCCAGCCCGCCGACATCCTCCCCGACAAAGAGACCCTGATTGGAAGGCTCGCCAGGCCCGTCCTCAGACATCTGCAGCGCAAGTACGCCCCAGCACCGCCAAGCAGCTCGGTGCCTCCAGCCATCACTCCCATCGAGATAGCGAGCGACCCGAGCGATAGTGAGTCGTCGACTCGACAACTAAGCACCTCAACCGTCGATGGATTGTTTATAAAGCCCGAGCCCACACAATCAGTCCGTGATGGCAAAACTACAAAGCCGAAACTTCCAGCTCATGAAGGTCGCCGTCATGAACGAACATCGGTTACAAAATCTGCGGCAGTATGTCACGTCACTTTGCTCACCTCACACATTGTCATACCTAGTTATTCTTGAGGCATTTAGTTGACTTCATGGTGCTCAAATTAGACCTTGCATCGACCTACCAGCAGGCTCGATACATCTAACCTATCCCCCCGATCCCGAAAGAGGGCCAGGCAAAGCCACGAAGCCAGCACTACCAACGAGACACCTCGCTCAAACACTGCCATGGACGAGGACGAACAGCTGGTGAGCCACCCCCTATTCATCCATTCTCATCAGAACTACACCTCCCGGTCTACCACGGTTCTGTTGATCATCACATTGGCACGGGACTTCACTGACGAGAGCAACCACGGCCGCCGCCGCAGACGGAGAAGGGCTCCATCTGGTGCCGAGAGGTCGAGGGCCAAGACTTCATCTTCCAGTGGCCCAACGTCGGGAACGGATGGTTCATTGTCCGGTGCGACAGCGATCAGCACCGGAGCTCCATCGATTATAAGTTTACGGATCACCCGCTCAAGTACAACCGAGCCTTCAGCCACTTCCGGGAGCCAGTCGGGCGGCATAAGTGCCACGATGTCGACGTGTCCGGGATCTACTCGTCCGACGAGATTGTCAGGAAGTTTGGCTATCGCGGTGAGCGGCTCACACTTTTCTCTACTCTCCTCTTCTTGTCCTAAATCCCAACCACCCCTCTCCCCTCTCCGTATTTTCACATCTTAAGCAAAACGGACAACATTAGACCGCGCTGGCTAAATTTTCTCCGTGGAACCAGTCTGGGGCGACGAAGTCACCGATTTATGGGTCGAGCAGAGCAACAACATCACACAAGCCTCGCACAGGGTGAAGCCAGCACCTGCCTCTAAAAAGACGACGTCCAGGAGCAACCGCGCCTCTGCGCGCAGGGCCCCCGGGAGCAACGGCACCACGAGCCCGTCGAGAGCTACCGGCACCACGAGCCCGTCGAGAGCTACCGGCATCATGAGCCCATCGAGAGCTACCAGCATCACGAGCCCGCCGCGAGCTGCCGGCGGCCACAAGAAATCCGATCTCGGCCCTGCCAGAAGACATGCACCCAGCCCGTCGCTGTCCGCGCCCAGCCATCTGCTGCACAGCGAACCAGAGAGAGGAGGAGGAGGAGGAGGAGAAAGAGAAGGCAGCGCCACCGAGGCTGGCCCGAGCAGCCCGGCCGCCACCGACCACATCACGCCCCGCGAGACCAGCCCCGACCCGTTCGATTTCGAGCTCGCCGAGATGCTTCCGGACGAGGATGACATGCTTGTGAGTCTTTTTTTCTCCCACGCACACACACGCACATAGCGGTAGTTGGGTTTAATTACTCTTCCATCCATATCCATCATTGCTAGTGCGCAGCTGGAGCTGCGACCTCCTCAACTAAAGCAACCACCAATTCACTAACCACCAACATCATATACAGATAAACCGCATCATTAACGACATTCAGCCGATGCTGGCGACTGTGACAGTATGAAAAGCTTAGCGGTAGATACGGGGGTGTAAGGGGATGGATTGAGTAGTTCGAAAGCCGATTGATTCAATGACAACTATTTCGTTTTGGGGTAGGCACGCTGGCTACGAGTTTCAGAACCACGCGGATAATTAGCCTCGACATCTATAGTTATCGTAACCTTTCTAGAGCTAGGCTCTAATTAATACACGCAGTTAGCGGCAGCGACAGCCTTGATTATAGAGAATTGTATGAGTAATTAACGGATTGAGTATTCATTCTACCACGGCGCCGCGGGTCCCTCGATCGTTAGTCACAAGAATATACTAGACGAAGCCGAGACGAGAATATTAGAAGTCACGGCATTGGAATTAGAAACACTTTTTTCAGTACTAAGCGTACCAAATAAGCGTTTCCGATCGAAAGGCAAGGCCATGCGTGAGGCACCTATGAAGCTACTCCACGCCCACGCCATGCCTGGCACGCCATAATGTATGTATAGGAGACGATCTAAGACCTTGTGCTGGAAAAAAAGAAAAAAAAGAAAAAGAAACCGCCAGACGTTTTCCATCCATGTATCGTTTGTTTTGTGTTTTGTAGACTCCCTTGTCCAAACTTTTCCCCACCATCGAATCGCATCGCGCAACCCAAGCCTTTCTCCTGAAACACCCTTTTCTCTCTCCTTCCGACTTCCTCCCCTCGATAAAAAAAAACAGAATGAAATGAAACTGGATGAAAGGAGGCTCGGGTATTTTGCAAGAGGTGAAGAGCATACAAGGTTATAAAGGTGCAAAGAAGGCAGACCGAAAAAGAAAAAAAACACGCAGGCCACCTCTCACCAGACAGAAGGCAAAAAAAGCAAAACTCAAGTTCACGTCGACACTGAGTCGGGTAGTACCCAGCTATTTCCTCTCGCATCCCCCATAGACAAATATAGAGAGAGGGAGAAACAGGAAGAAAGAAACCCAAGACGTGCCGTGCGGAAAGAACTAAGAATAATCTTTTCTCCAGTTTTGACGAGTAGATCGACACCGAGAAATGGCATGGATCTCTTCGATGAAAAATCGCCGCCTGCCCACTCTCTCCTCGACTGATCGCGGGCAGTATATACTCACCGGTTATCGTCATGATCACAATATATAATCTTCGCTCAGCGGGCATGGAGCTGGACGCCGGGCCACTGGCCCTCGCGCTCGCGGACCTCGTAGACGCCGATGCAGCCCTCGGAATCTCCGACGAACAGGAAGCCGCTGTCGGCGGAAAAGGACAGGTCAATGACACGGTTGAGGTGCTCAAACTGCTCGAAGCCCGGCTGGGGCCCGCTGTCGTTGGCTGTAGCGTCCGGGTCGGGCCAGCACCACAGCTGCTTGCCGGACATGGCATCGAGGAGAACAATGAGACCGCGAGCGCCAGTGTTGGTGCCGCGGGCGTCGCAGTAGGCGACGTAGCGGCAGTCTGGCGACACGCACGAGATGCAGTTCGGGATGCGGAATGTGCGGGTCGACGAGGCCGAGAAGTCCCAGATAAGGACGTAGCGGAACGGCACCGGCACGGGCGCTAGGTTGTAGCCCTGGCCACCACGGGCGGCGGGCACGGGGATAGCCCGATAACTAGCGGGAATCCAGATGGACACGGCTACGCTGCCGTACGTGGCAATGTCGTTGGGCAGCGCCGTGTCGAGTTCCATGTGCTGCCAGGGGGTTACTACCTTGTACGGGACGCTTGGAGCCTCGGCAGCGTCGTTATGGATCTGCCAAGCGACCAGGATCGTCTCGCGCTCCGGCGGCGGGTGGCCCAGGCGCGGGGGCCTGGGTCCGGATGCGGCAACAAGCAAGGGGCCGGTCGACGAAAAAGCTAGCTCGGGGTACTTTGGCAAGACGGGCAGGCCGGCCTTGTTCAGCTCGATGGTGCGCAGCTTCTTCAGCGGCTTACGGCTGTTTGATGTAGCGTAGAGGTCAATAGTGTCCTCTTCGCCCCGGTACACAACTAGCGGCGTCCAGCCAGCGTCGTAAACGTTCCAGCGGACAGCGGCCCAGCGATCGGCGTGGCTAATGCTCTGCAGCTTCTTCTTCTTGGACCAATCCCAGATCTCGACCGTGTCGCCGAAGCCCGTTGCGATTGCTATCATGGTAGATGACTCGGAGAGAATGGCGTGGCTGCGCACGAAATACTCACGGGACCGGGGCTGGGCTGTCGTGTAGCATGAGATCTTGATGGCCGCCTGGACTTCGCCGCTCCCAACAGACCAGACCTTGATCATGTTATTGCCGTGTTTGGCGGCAAGCGTGGCCGACGAGCTGGAGACGTCTACCCAGTAGACGGAGGGGTCCTTGACAGCCTTTTCGTTCTTGGGGCCAGGAAGGACCTTCCAAGCTGCCATGTCAATGGGAGATGCGGCATGCTGGGGCTCGGGTCTGGTACGTATCTGGCTGGGAATTTCCGGCGGTGGGAAGGCCGGGGCCGCAGTAGTCAGCGGTGAAGAGCCAATAGATCCAGACCCACGGTCCAGAGTCGAACCTGTCCTTGAGGTCCGGACAGAGGATGGGGAGGTTGCCTCGGCGGCAGCGTCAAAGGAGGCCTGAGAAGATGTGCGCCGCGTGGTCCGCATGGGCAGCTTCGGAATGGCTGGAAGAGGCTTGGTCGGAGGGTAGAGGCTGTATCCGCCTCCTGATGCTGCGGATGGCCGGCGCTCTGAGCCGCGCGTTTCCTGGCGGGTTAGATACTCTCCTTTGGATGAAGGGCGCTGCGCAGGAGTAGGTAGCAGGCGCTCTCTGCCGATGTCAAGGGGAGGGACGCGGTAGAAGTCGGCATCTTGAGAAGACCATGAGGATACAGGCGGGGGCGGGGAGTACCTCCGGACTACATTTTTCTGTCGCTCAGCCGGCCGCTCCTCGATCAGCGAAATAGCCGACGCCTGCGAGTAGATGCTAGATGCTTCCGTGCGTAGGTATTGCATGCCATTTCTGAACGAGCGAGCTCTCATTGTCAGCCGCGTAGCCCTCTTTTTGAGAACTGTGCCAATCCTCGAGCGGACTGCCCTGGAGGCGGACCTGAACTGAGAGAGGAGGGGGCGGGAGTTAGGGTGCGAAGAAGAGGGGTCATACGTCACGTCGTCAACATCGTCAACGTCGTCGTCGCCCGTGAAGACCATTGCCTCCATTCGGGGCATCGTGCCTAGTAGCTTAGTCTTGTCTGAGCGTCGCCGAATTTGGATGTGAAGGAGGAGTGGGCGGTACTGAGTACCGAGTGTATGTATGCAGTGGGGAGGTGACGATCAGATCGACGGCAGGACACGGGTGGCGGGAGGTAGCACGCGGAACGCGGGGAGGCAGGGAGGCACTAGGCGGAGGCGGCAGGCGGCAGGCACTAGGAGGGACGGCAGCCGATGGATGTGAATGTTGTGGATGCGGAATGTATGGAGGAAACCAGACGAGGGACGAATTCCACGTTGGGGTGAGGAAGTAGCGAGGAGAGGTGACGACGAATGCTTATCGCCCTGCCTAGGTTGTGTTAACGAGCACTGCAAAGACCCGAAGCACCTGGGGCACCTAGGAAGTATTGCGGGTAGGGCGAGGGCAGGAAGAGAGTTGCTGCCGTCGTCGCAGTCGCAGGTCTAGGTCTAGGTATGGCCGTCGTACAGCGCACAGCCGTAGTCGCAGTCCTGGCTATCCTTGGAGTGGAGTTGTTGCGATTCGGGGAGTACTGGAGGGCAGCTGGAGTTTGGGGACTTGTTCCGGGTTGCAGTCGCACGGCATGGCCTGGCCTGGCAGCATGGCATGACATGGATGTCAGGGCAAGCAAGGGCATACACGTATGTACAACAGAGATTCGGCGAGCGTGGTGGTATCCGTATTGTACAGTACTAGTACATGGCCATCCGTGCACGGCAGAGCATCGCATGGATTCGGCCTGAGTTGCTGGTTTCCCGGAACGCGGACGCAGACGCAGACGCAGACGCGGACGCGGGGAGCGTTAGCACGTCTGGGTCGGGAACGCAGGCGAGCTCCATCTTTGTATGAACCAAGTGGTATTTGCAACGCAGAAGCTCGAGCTGATGTGCCTTGGCCCTCTCTCTCCATGTCTCTTCAATTTGGGAATTTCAGGCTAGAGCTGGGCCAGAGCCAATAATCCTGTGGCGCTGGTGGGTTGAAGTGGACAACGCCCCAGCCGCGACTCCTCCTTTGGGCCATGTCGCTCCCCCCGCACCCTCCACACACCCTTGCCCAGCCCCCCGGCGATGACCCGCATTTTGCCGCTTGGCAATATCCCCTCAAGATCTTCCCCAACACCAGCTAATTGACACCTGGAGAGATGGGGCTCCCGTTATGTGCCGTTGGAGATTCGCGTTTTGAACAAGCCTAGTGCCTTCGCTCTTGCAGCTACGCAGTTGCACTAGAATACACTGCTCGCGCCGCTTCAACGGTCCACCAGATAGAGTTGGCGTGATGCCTCGCCCTTTCTTTCTCGTAATTTCTCTTTTCTCTTCTCTACCGAGTATCGACAGCTCTCTCCTTTCCTCAACTTTCTTCTCAGCATCATTGCCTGTCCCCTTCCAACTCGGCCTTTTGACTCTTGGCTCTTGGCTTTTGTCTATCTCCCTTCGAACACCGAGTGTCGGGGAACGTGCTGATTCCGGCGTCTCGAAACTTTGGGAGCCTGGGACCGGTCAGCATTGACGCACTTCCCCTATTCCTTGCTGCTGCTGGGTGCCACGGGGGTCTCGGGGGTCCGGCCGCAAAACTGGCCTTCATGGCCATGGGGTAGCTAACAAAATGCACAAGACCATTGGAATGTTTGCGCATGGGATCAGGCTTCTTCCTCGAATTGGCCAGACCACGAGAAAAACGTAACTCTTGGAGAATAGAGTTAGACTTGAGCGACTATCGGAAAAGGCCCGATGAAAGTCAGGATCAAGGTTTTGACTTTTTGCCTCAACCAACGCCACGGGGCTTGAACCTGTCCACCACTTTGTGCTAGGCTCAAACGGGTTTAGGGCTGCCCAGGTGTTAGGTTGTCAAAGACGACGGCTCGGTACTTAGGACAGAGACGGCCGTTCTGTACGGGTGCACGGAATATTTACTGCACACGACGAGAATACCCAGGTCTTTAGACCGTCAACGCGCGGGGCCATGTCGGTGCTTTGAGCTCCCATCCACCCTCCTTCGGTTTTTGCCATTGCTAGATCTTTCCCCCACCAATCCAGGGCCACCCGAGGCCCTCGGCTAACGTTACGGGAAACGTGCTGGAGCGGTGCTAAATTCGTGCTGGAGCTACCCCGCCTCGAGCCTACGCCAGCAGCGGTCGACCCTGCTCCAAAGCTGTCACGCTTGTTGAGAACTGGGTGGGTCCGAGTGGCAGCCCTGCACTCCATCTTTCCCAAGTGACCAGTGTCTCCGCCTTTTCCCGCCGACATCAAACCGAACTTGGAAGGAACTATATGACATTCGGCTATGACACGCCGAGTCCTGTTTTCTGCTTCAGGCGGGCTTGCTTTCCTGCTGTTGCAAGGGTGGATGCAAGAGACGCAGGCGAAATTGCACCAGCACCGTTCGGATCACCGATTCTTCTTCTTTTTCTCTGGCCTTCTCTCTGCGCCGTCTGACATGGAAAATAAAACAGAAGGCTAGACGCAGCAGCCAATTATTGGACGCGGTACTGATGGCAGCGTTTCACCATCGTGCAGGTCACTACAGTTGCGCCTCAGACCCGCACTAGACCGCGTCCATGTGGTTTGGCGGGATGTGCCGGGGCGGACCAACAAGCCAGCCAAGCGCAAGCCCAGCGTGTCCAGCCTCGCACAGTCTCGCCGCGACGCTGCCACGAGACCACACCCGCCCGTGCCCCCTCCGTGGTTAATCATGGACCATGCACGAATTTCCTTGGCCCGGGTTTCCCACGAGCGCTGACACGGTAACAATAGAAACGTCCCTAGGGCATGTTTCTGTATGTATGTCTTAGACATGCGCGCAAGCGATCTTTTAACGACGAAAATAGCCGGCGCAACAAACACCCTGCCTTGCCCTGACACCGCTTGAGTGTCGTGGTTATTCTGAGTAATACTTCCGACACCTCCGGCAGCAGCGGTGAATAGGTATGTAATGGCCATCCGCCATCTCAGACCAATTCGGTTCCGCTTATTTGTGTTTGCTGGAAATTATTGGATGATTTCGGCGGCACAGCAAGCCACCGGTTTCTTTTGCTTCTTTTTTGAGTCAGAAGAACACATGAATCACATTGCATGCTCAGTCAGACATAATGGCCCGGTCGGTTCCTCTCTTCCGCTTGACGGGTACCGAGTTTCCAGACCCAAACCAGCCCTATTTTTCAACGTCGCTTAATCAGTGTCAAATGTACTGTACTTTAGGATTCTGAGGTACTTTGGGGTTTCGAGTGAGACCACATCAAGTCGCACAACATCATGTCTTTGTTCTGGTTGGCAACGGTGCACCGATATCCATACCTGGTGACTATCCCACCCACCTGCAGCAATTGGAACTTTTATATCATTAGGCGATACAACATAGTGGGTTGAGAGTTTGACGGTGGCAACATGCATGGCCGCACTCTGGGTTCTTACGACTTCAAACGGGATGCAGCGTCAATTCTCGAGCCTCATCATCACCAGCGTACCTTGGACGATGGTGGGTCAAGCAGTAATCAACATTCCAAAATAGGTCGCCGCCAAAGTCGAACACCAGTTAGTTGAAGGAGCGAGGCATCCGGGAAGCTTTACTTCGGATTTAATTTTGCTTCCTTCTTTTCCTTTCTTTTTAAATTCGAACCCACAGAGCTGGGTACTCGTAGAGGTATCTAATTACCTACCTAGCTATTTGCCGACACTTTGCAGTTCCATCATAAGGTATCAGATACAATTTTCATCGAATACTGTTCAGACTGATTCAGAACTCTTGAATATACGGTTCTCAGGCCCATACCGTCAAGATGAAGACATGCTATCACAGAAATCAGAAACATGCATGAATAGATAGACTCGGGTGGTTGGTTACACGAGGCAGTGGTTGGACAGTCTAGTTCCATGGGATGCGAGTCTTGATGGGTCACACTACCTGACCTCTTGAGCCTCCACGATTGATTCAGACTGGCGGCTAATACTTCGAACTTTCACAACACACATCCAACGTTCAAATCATGAGATTGGTGAGGAAAAGGGGGATGTAAAATTGAACCAAGCAAAGGTGTATCTACATGGACTACCACAGGTGATTATCGTCCAAATCATCCATCCAGTGATCCGTCCAAACCTTTGCAACCAGTACCCACCTTGCTGTTCCTGTCTATAAATGCCTATCTAAGAATGGTTGTGGGGTTAGCCCGCCACGCAAAACGGGTGTCTATCCAAAGTCATTAAATCCCCAAACATCGGGAGGCTACCAGTCCAGCTCGTAACCCGCCCGAGTTCGCTCAAACAGAAGTACCTCATCCTTTCACCACTCAGGTCCCCTGACAATAAGAGCACCACCGCTGGCACCGCTGCAGGTTGTCTTGGGTCAACTTTGGCCCTGCAGTACCTGCAGTTGCTTGTGAATGTGCAGATTTACCTCCTGTTGGGAGTTGGGGGTCTCGGCGTGGGCCGCTCCAGCTGGGGCTTGGGGTTGGGCTTCGACGGAGCCGGGTTTTGCCCCGAGCCTTTCTGCATTCTGTTTGTCAAGGGGGGTCGGAGCTGAAGTGGAAGGCTGGTTGCTGGGGATGAGTTGGTTATTTGTTTGCGAGAGATTCGAGCAAGTAGATGATTCAAGACAAGGACAAGGTGTTAAGAGAGTGTGGTTTGATGCTAGATCAGAGCCTCTTGTTGAGCGGCTCTTTGAGGTGTTATGTACTCGAAGAGATGCTCATCAGTGCCTTGCCAGACGAGGACACGACTGTGCTCAGTTGTGATGTTGTCATGGTCAACAACACTGGACCATTACGTGACACAGGAAATACTGACTATGATCTTCACCGTATTTGCGAGTTCCTAGAGACGGAACTGGTCTCTTTCGAATATCGAGTCTTTCCCGCGGCCGGAGGTTGAGTGATGAGGCCCTGAGAGCGGCGTCGCTGTTTCAACCGCAAGCCTCACGGCAACAGCCCAGTCGTCCGGGACGACATGATCATAGCGCCGCAATCAGGAGTCGCGTCAGTTGGCAGCTCTTTTGAGCTCTCGCGGTGTCCTGCCGGCGGCGGCCGACCAACACTTGCTTGGGATGCTTCATGCAGTCACCTCAAACACTTGAAAATAACTTGGGCAGGATAAAAAGCCGGCCCCAGGCACAGCAAACCTGGAACCTTCTAAACTTGGATATGCAAAGCCTGGTGGTCCAGTGGAATTCAAGCGCCGAGCAGGTAGGTTGGCGGTCTTGGGTGCATGCAACACACACAGTGAATGTATCAAAGCGACCAATGTCACCCAACGCCAACACCGCCCCCGCGACACCGCGACGCCAGCGAGAGGCCCCCCTTAATCAATTCAGCCGTTTTGTCCAAACCTGTCATACAACCAACAAAGCACTCCTAACACTTGAACACGACCCTTTAGAACTGGTACTCAGACCTCAATGGCACTCTGGACTGTTGAGCAAACGGCAGCCCGTGCCGTTGACGCCGTGAAACGCCGGACGTTGGGTCATGCTGCCCTTTGGCTCTATGTTTCATTGAATCAAATCTGATACAGCAGTGAGTGATATATCTATTCATGAAGCAAAGACCGTGTTCGAATTGGTTCCAAACTTCCAAAATGAATGACCAATACGCGGATTCGCTCTTTCATGCCTCTTGGATCCTTCCCACCCGCCGTCGCCTGACACCATCAGGCGTTATGGCATGAGTGAGATTCCTTCACCGTCTGCGCTAAGAAGAACGCTGTTGGACAATGCTGGCAGCAGCTCATCTCATACCAATCGTGCATGAAAGCCCATGCTCGAAAACGTGGAAATTCCAGCTGAGACACGAACGCGAAGAGAAGTGAGTTTTTGATTCTTTGGGAGGAATTGCCCCATTCACTCATCTAACAGCGAAAATAGAGGGGCCACGCCGACGGGATCCATGAACTACCACCAACCATCACGATGCTTCACCAATCACCGCCCGAACCACGTAGGTGTGGTGGCGAGACACGGCCGCCCTGGATCACATCTCGACCAAGCTTAGCCGCCCAAATACATGAGACCATCGGCGGAACACCTCCTTCTTTTCCCCCTTGGGCCCTTGGCCAGCACGACTTTCAACAAACCACACCTCTGTGCCACCATTGTCGGCCGCGCCAAGATGCCGAGATACCGAGTTGTCGTAATACAACTAATCTCAATGTGAGGTCAAAATGTCTGACAACTTCGTCTCTCCATTTTCACTATTTATCGTCACAACCCCGTCTATCTCTTCACCTTTAGACTCATATCAACCTCTCCATATTTACCCTTTCCCCTCCATATCGACACCAGCCACTCCATTAATATCTCCACTTTCACTCCCTTCTCATCTAGTTTCTCCCATCTTCACTAATTACCAACATCCAACCACTCAGAATCCCATCCCCTTCACGCACAGCCGCACTCTCTATTCTCACCGCCCCCAAACACACCCTCATGTTCGGACTCTCTCGACAGCGGAGACATCGATAACAGTAAACACCACAGTCCCAATTCTCTCTTCCCATTCCGCTCCATTCTGTGAATGTTCGAACAGGGGCCCTCTTTTTCACACCACGGCACATACACACAGCCCCCAATATCCCAAACACTCTGAGCAATCAACTTCACTTTCGGCCCGTCCGCTTGTAGCCCCCAGAATTTTGTCCTAATCTTCCTCCATTCCACCCATCTGCCCCGAAGACGGCCACCTGCCCCTGCAACAAATCACACTGAAATTTTTCCCCATGACGGCCTACTACATCCTTCCTTGCTCACTTACTGCATTGACATCACTTTCACTCCAGTCGCCACTGACTTCTAGTTGAATGATGCCTTGCAAATCCCCCCGTGCTACCATACTCTCTATCCCCCCTAGCCTGTCCGCTCCGAAACCTATCCAGAAAGCTACATCTTATAACCACTTCTACTGCTTCTTCACTCCTCCTCAGACCCTCTCAATTATCGCTCCAAGATAAAAACGCGTAAGGGCGCACTTCGTTGGGCTATCGTGTTGAGAGTGACCAGACTGAGTCCCGTGGCGTGGTATTTATCTTTCGTTTCGTCTGCTCAAGGAGGGACTTCCACAGTTAGATCTACCACAGAAGTAAAATGGGATGTGACGTGGTATTAATTCATGTAATTGAACAGGAGGAGGTCCAAGATTTGGCTACGCGGCACTTGCGGGCAATAATTTCCTTGCTGTCTTTTATTCGGGTTTGGGGTATGAATCGTCGTATATGTGAATCGGGACCCGTGGTTTCATGACGGACAAGGCGGTGGGCAATAAGTTCTTCTTTGCGACTTGACAACAGTGTTTACCCATAAATGACAAGGCAAAAATGGGCACTGTAATTAACCCGCTAGAAACGACGAGGCACGGGCGAGACTGTCGCAGTCAAAGCAAATGTCATTTTTCCCGAGTTTTCCTCTCTCTCTCGTCTGTCTGTGAACACCAAAGGTAGGCAGGCGGGTACAGTGTACTACCACCAAAGGGTAAAAATAATAATAACAACTGAGCGGGGGGTTAAACCACTGTCCCTGTCCGAGAACCTGCGAAATCCGTAAACGCCCTGCATACCAAGGCTAAAACCCCCGATCTGTTTTGGGAAAAAGGTTACCGCAAGTGGGTTGGCTAGCAGGCTGGACTGAAAGAAGGGGTTACAAAGAAAAAAAAGAGAAAAGGAAAAGGAGTGAAAGAAGTGATCAAAACTCCAAGATTTCGCCCCTTTTTCTCCTAGGGGAAAATAATAACTTGCCCAAGTCTTGTCGCGGTGTGCTATTCCTGAATGAACTCCAATTCTACCGCACGGCCGGATACTTCAAGAATGGCGTCCGACCTAACCAATCTTCGGGAAATTCTTGTCCAATAGGCAAATCTAGGCTAGCCGTGAGACGGCGGTTGGCCGTCATGGCTGCGATCCCCGAGCCCGGCGCTGGCGGCGCTTTCGCCGACCCTGACTTCATCTTCGGGAACGCCGACGCCGACGCTACTGGCCGTGCTCAGCATGCTAACCACGCGCGGCCGCTCCCGGCCCTCTCGCTGCGCAGCAATGCTTACTCCGCCGACGCCCGTAGTGCTGGCGGCAACGCTGGCTCCGGCGCTGGCCGTAGTGCTGGCGCTGTCGCTCCGTGACCTTGCAGACAGGGGGGCTGGCTGGCTGGCTCGGCTCGCGTCGCTGGGACGACGGTCACGTATTGTACGCTCGAGATCGCGCACCCGCCGCTTGAGCGCCTCGTTCTCCCGCTTGACATTCTCCAACTCGGCGCGGTAATAAGCTGTCTCCTCGTAGCGTGTCGTCGCGGGGAGAATCCCAGGGGACAGCTCGCTAGCAGCAGAGCCTGGGGTGGCGACCGCCGAGACAGAGATGTTGCTGGGGTGAGCTGGCAGTCGCTGCGCGAAGTAGTTGACCATTGCAGGGTCGTTGAGACTTGACTGTGTGTAGCTGTGGGGCTGCGAGTGAGAGGGCGTCGGGTTCTGACTCGCGTGCGCCGAGTAGGGATGTGGAGCGGGAGACGGCGAGCCTGCCCGGCTTCGACGTGAGGCGCTGCTGTTCTGGCGGCTGAGACTGATGCCTCCCAAAGCTGGGGGCTGACTGGGGCGCACCGGCGCGGGCGAGGAGATGCCAGCCATGGAGGTGGTGGACACAGAGCCAATGTTGGCCGTGACGCTGCGTGCACTTGCATTCGACGAAGTGCGGTGGTGTCGGCCAGCTCTATGGTGGGATAGCCCGGGGCCAGCTGCAGGCACTTCCACAACCTGGGTAGACTCGGTGCCCGAAGCGCTCGCAGACGTCGATGATGTGTTGGAGACAACCGAGGCGTTGTGAGCGGCGCGGAGGATGGTGAGCTCGCGGCTCAGGCGGTTGACCTAGACAAGCCACAAGACACGATCAGCGACTGCTAGCTACCACTCGCGATTAATATAGGATAACGTACCACGGCCTCTTGTTCCTTCTCGAGCTGGAGATGGAGGTCGGCAGCAGTCAAGGGACGCGGGTGCCTAATGGGGCCGGGACCCGGCCCGACGCCGGTGTTGTCGCCCATGGCGGCTGGCGACAAGACGCTAGGGCCCAGGAAGTGCGGAGACGGGAGGGGGGGCGACCCGGCGGCATTGTTAACGGCGCTCTGGTTCGAAGGGAGGATGTTCAACGATGGCGAAGCGGGCACGGGCGGGGGAGGCATCTGCTGCGAAGACGCCCGGCGAGGCGCTGGAGCGAGGACGTGAGGTGATGCCGGGACCGAGTTGAGGTCGGGCATGGTGCCGTCGCCACACCGAGTGCTAAGTGCCTGTGCCGTCGGTGCTGTTATCAATGCTGCCGTCGATGGCTGCGGAGAGGTCGGGTCGGGTCGGGTTGTGCTGGGTTGTGCGGGCGAGAAGCCGACGAGCGTCGTTGGATTGACGGACGGACGGAGGGGTTGCAGCTGGAGGGTGTCGGCTGGTGGCAATCAGTCGTGCGGGCTCGCTGCTTTCAATCTGACGGGTTCGTGCTGTCTGGGTTGGCGTTGCAGCGACGGCTCGCGTCCAAAACAAACAAGGGCACTGACATGGTAATATGGCCGTTAATGCGACCCCCTTGAACGATTGCCGTCGAGTCTTGTCCAGTGATTTGGAGATGGTGCGGAGGAAGCTCGACACTGGCAGGGGCGCCCCTTCGACGGCCGCAACGCTAAACTTCAGCCTCCAGCCCGCCAATGCAAGGCTGCGAGTCCGCGGTGGGGTGGGGAGACAGGCACGTGCGGCACAGCTGGTGGGGGACCTCCTGAGGGCAACAGGGCCACCTGCATCCAACTCGCCGCCGGACCTGTGCACTGTTTGGTGGGCCATGATGTAATGGCATGCAGCGATCCCGATGATGACGGAATTGGTGAAAGGACGGCAGAGGCCAAATAGCTCTTAATTACCTACTGTACACTACCAGGTCTTTGGTATTTAACCTCGATCTATTCCCACGCAAGACCCCTCTTGATTTACGAAGACTTCTCTGAGCGACAAACCGAACCTTTAAGCCAGCAATCTAAACCTCACAGTTACACCGCTTAACCAGCTCTTCATCCGCACAAACCCGATACCTATACCTATTCACAATGCCTGAGCGCGGAGAGTCCCCTCCCCCTGAGCGGGTTTCGGGCAAGCAATTGCACGATGTTCCGGGATGGTCCGGCCAGGAGGGTTCTGGGAATGCCGACAACAAGGCTAGCAACGAGCAGTCGAACAAGACGGGCCTCGAGGTGAAACAACAACCCACACCACACATCGCCTAGGTGTCGATTGGCTGTCGCCTAACTCAACTAACACGCCACTTAGAGTCTTTCCTCGAACCCAAAGGGCCCCCTGGATGAAATTGTGACGGAGAAGTTTTCGAAATCGTCGTTCAAGAATGACAAGACGGAGAAGAAGAACTAGAACAGCGCAGAGCGCGTTCACGGAAACGAATATTTGCGGCATTGACATTGGCGTTTTGGGATTTGGCCTTTCGCTGGGAATCGACTCACAGGTACTTGCAGACAGCGAGTCGGCCCCTTGTATGTACGTACAATAGCAGGATCACGGTTATCACGGGGAGGTGACACCACACTCTCTTCAGTGCCTCGAGAGGGGATGCACATGCGTCATTACACAACAAAATAAATAAACGAATAAAGTGTTTAATAACCTTCGCATGTGCAAAATGCAAAGGGCACAACGTGGCATTACGGGTTGCATACTTGTACTTTATCTTGCATGTACTTTATACATTTAAGCAATTTGCAAACAGGTCTCTTTAGGTGGTCATACGATTTTAGCGGGACATGTTGACTTGCGAACGAATTAAGCGGGCCATCACGACATCACCACAGGAGAGCTTTCACATGCATCCATGCACGACACACCTGATGGCAGTTTGATGGAAGGGTCCAGGGCCTTGGCTGCGTTGAGAGCGCCACATTCGATGACGCGCCTTCTTCAGCTGGCGTTGGAAAGCGGAAACGTCCCACCGTTCTTGGCTGTCTCCAGGGCCGAGGAAAGTGCAGTCTGCACAGCCACAGCTCGGCTGCCCCGCAGCAAGAAGATGACGGCATGCCTTTTAGGTGTTGCCCCTCCCCCTCCCTTTACCCCCTGCCTGCGCTTGCACCTGATCTTCGTTCCGACCTTGGTCCCAAATAAACCACGCGGCAGCTTAGAGAACACCGAAGCATCATTTGGAAAGTTAACTGACGAGGCCTTTATAAAGCATTATCCTCCCCAAGCTTTCTTCCTCGGACCTACTTCATTTTCACATTATACCTACATTTCCCCGCACAGCCATTCCACAACCTGCAATCCAACCACATCAACGAACACATCAGAACCCTCAACGAACCACAGCACAGCCGTCACCATGGCTACAACCGTCTACGTTAAGAACATCGCGGCGCAGACTGACGATAAGGAGGTTAAGGACTTCTTTAGCTTCTGGTAAGCACCCCTGATGGTTCGCGACGTCATTTCTGCAGGGATTGCAATCCTATCAACCCCTCATCATGTCCAACCCGGGCCAATGCATACTAACCTTTCTTTCTCTCCGTCCAGTGGCAAGATCACCAGCCTAGACGTGACAAGCGAGGGCGGCAGCAAGAGCGCGACGGTGACATTTGAGAAGCCGACGGCGGCCAAGACGGCGCTGTTGCTCAACAACACCAAGCTGGGCGACCAGGAGATCCACGTGTCGGGGAGCGAGGACGGCGAGGACGAGACGTCATCGGCTTCCAAGGACAACGCGGACCGCGACACGGACGAGCTCACGCAGGAAGAGAAGCCGCGCACGCGCATCTTGGCCGAGTACCTAGCGCACGGGTACCTAGTGGCGGACACAGGCCTGCAGACAGCCATCTCGCTCGACGAGAAGCACGGCGTGTCGCAGAAGTTCCTCGGCACGCTGCAGAACCTCGACTCCAAGTACCACGCCACAGACCGGGCGCGCGCCGCCGACCAGGGCTACGGCATCACGACGCGCGCCAACTCACTGCTGACGGGCCTGGGGTCCTACTTTGAGAAGGCGGCCCACACGCCCACAGGCAAACGCATCGTCGACTTCTACACGGCCGGCACCCGCCAGGTTGCCGACATTCACAACGAGGCCAAGCGCCTCGCCGACCTCAAGAAGCAGGAGGCCGGCGGCAGCGCCTACAAGGCCGCCGGCCTTGAGCGCGTCTTTGGCAAGGAGAAGCCCGCGTCCCCCGACGGCTCCGCTGCTTCCGGCGCTGCCCCTGCCGATGCCGCTGCCACCGAGTCGGCACAGCAGCCGATCGCGCCCTCTGGGTTCGGCGCGCCCACCCAGCTGCCCAAGGTCTAAACTCTCTTCGGCATGTCCCGGCAACGAGTGGGGGAAGCAGAGCAAAGCAATCAGTGGGCTGTTAATCCGATCATGAAACCGGAATGATTTTACGATCACGCTGGACAATCACGCTGAGGGGGGGGGGTTAAGGTTCGCTCCTCAAGGCCCTCGTTTTCTTTTCTTTTTGTACACGAGTAGCATGGGGAAAGAGGAAATTGGTCTTTTTATTGCTTTTTATTCCATTTACCCTCTAAAAACTTTGCCTGCGCGTTTGCTTTGCGCTGTAACACGAGCTGCGTTTTTCTGCGCTCGCTCTTCGGCATGAAGATGGAATCATGACTTTACCGTCCGGTTTGGGGGAGAAGTCATGGACGCCGAGGTTGGGCCTTTTAGTTTAGCCCATGTAGACAATACTTTTGCAATTTTTGGTCCCCTTCATATTGCTTGCGCGCGTATTCTGATGATGCGGTGATCCTGACCCTCTGCATTCAAGTGTAGAATAGAACGGCGCAATGTTAGTATAGTATTGACCCCCTGAGGGCTGCTAATTACCTATCTAGGTGTTTGTCATGGACAAATTCTCGTATACTTCTTTTGTTTTTCGTATCTCTTTTAATTCCACCTCGGCCATGTATGGTTCCAAATGTTACATAACTCAGGATTACCTGCCCTAATCCATCATCTTCCGCACATCGCCCCAGCGCAGCACCGAGTAGCTATCGATTGAACATCACCATTTTAATAAAATAGTATTTTCCAGTCTATACTGCCCGGAGTTCCTGTAATTTTCACTCAACGCTTGTTGTAGTTCAGGAAACGAGTCTACATCACGATATTAGTTAGCACTTAGCCAGAGAAGAACAAGTAGAAGACCATTGGCTTTGAGAAATCTCGGGATAACATACCGCTAGAATCACAATCGTCAAGTTGCTGCCGACAAAGGCAAGGAAAATGCCAAGATCTCGCCACCTGTTGCCAAAGTCCAGGCCAATGGGCTCGTAGAACTGGTCGCCGACCTTGTAGGCGCAGTACTCGCAGGAACTGGTAGAGTTGTCGACCAGGTATCCGGAGCCGCCGCGGTTAAAGAAGGGCTGCATGTACTCGCCGCAGGACTGGCCGGCAGGCGCCGAGAAGGCATTGAGCTCGGCGGGCGTGCAGACGACGGGCAGGTCGTGAAGAGCAGTGACAACCATTCCGCCGATCAAGCGGGTGAAGGGATCGAGTTCGTGGAGCCAGACACGCCAGAACTTTGGTATCTGGGGCTTGGGGATAGTCACGCCGCAGAAGATGACCAGCGTGATTATGATGAAGGGGTCGAACTGGGATGAGATGAAGAGCGAAGGTGTAAGAGCGGCGAGCGCCTGGCCCATGGTGACGGAGAAGAGCTCGGTGAGGAGCACCATCAGGAACTGGTAGCCGGCACGCGATGCCTCGTGTTGAAGTCCGGTAATGTAGTACAGTGGGAGAAAATACCCGGTGGCGCACAGGAGGCTGTAGGGCATCTCGACGAGTATCATGTTAAGACCAAAGACCAAACTGCTGTACATCTTTGATGACTGCTCGCGGAAGAAGAGCGCCCGCTTGAAATGGAACATGAACTCGGTTTGCGAAACAACCAGTGCTGGCAAGACTGTCACCTGAAATGTAACGAAGATTCTGTACTGAAGGGACTGCCGTGAATCATCGAGATTGAGGAACGTCAGGCCCGTGAGGGTAGCGACGACGACATGGGTGAATACCCGCGTGAAGAGATAGTTGGGTGTCCGCCAGTGGGCCACGTTGGCTCGCCTGAAGACTACCTTGAATTGATGCATGAGCGGCGAGGCAAATTCCTTCTCGAGGTCGCGACTCTCCTGCAGCCCTTCCGTCTTGCGCGATTCCTTCATCTGCAAAATTGCATCCTTGACATTCGCTAGCTCGGGACTGTCGGCCCAGATATCGGCCCAGTCGCGGTCGCCAACGCGAGGAGCACTTCCCGCCCCAATGACTTGGAGCATGAACTCGGCAACATTGTCGGTGTCCTGGGGGACTGCGCCATGCCGCGAGAGATAATCTCCCAGAATTGCCGCGTCCCTGCCAATGTCTCCAAAATAGACACAGCGTCCGCCCGACTTGAGCAGCAGTAGCCGGTCAAAATTCTCGAATAGGGCGGCGTTCGGTTGGTGAATGGTGCAGAGAATTGCCTGGCCTGCTGCCGCCAGCTTTTTAAGAAACCGAACAATGTTAAAAGCGCTTTGAGAATCGAGACCCGAAGTTGGCTCATCGAGAAACAGGAGTAACTGAGGCCGGGCGGCTAGCTCGACGCCAATAGTAACCCGCTTTCTCTGCTCAACAGTCAAGCCTGTCTCGGGCGAGCCAATAACGGCATCGGCAAACGTTTCCATTTCCAACAAAGCAATAATCTCTTCAACATAGGCGTATTTCTCCCCGCGTGGCGTGTCAAAAGATTGCCGCAGATCGGCGGAGAACCGGAGGGCCTCGCGAACAGTCTGTGAGGGATCATGGACGTCAAGCTGTTCTGCATAGGATGTGCTACGCTGAAACTCCATATTGGGCTTGATGCCGTCAACGAGAATGTCGCCGCTGATGACTCCAATATTCTTCCGCGCCGCAAGAACATCGAGAAGGGTAGTTTTGCCTGCACCCGAAGCACCCATGAGAGCCGTGAGCTGGCCGGGCTTGACGTATCCAAAGATGTGGTCGAGGAGCTGCCGCGTTCCACCTGGAACAGGCACCTCGTAGCAGAGATTCTCCCATGTAAGAATGCTTTGCGAAGAAATTAAGAGCTCCGAGCTGCTATCATTCTTGCGCGTCTCGCGTCGCTGGTTCCGCTTCTCGAGTAGGTCCGCGTTGAGCTTCTTCCGCTCGTCGTTGGGACGCTGGCATACGGCGGCCATGTTGCCTCCCATGCCGAATTTGACAATTTCGCCCAAAACGACATTCATGATGAGGAAGAAGATGATGATTGATATGATGATGCCCCAGTTTCGCCACATGTCCTTCGGGTCGTACGAAAAGCCTTGCTCGATGTATGCGGTTCCCGAGACCTCGAGCGTCCCTGCCGTGGAGCCAGGAAGCGTGCATATTTGGTGGTTGATATCATCGTATCCAGGGCCGGCAGGCACCAGAGAATCAGCGGTGCACGTCATGTTGACCCTCGAGAACTCGTTGTCCATCATTGAACTGAAGGCAAGGCCTAGCACGTTGATGTAGTAGATCCATCGCAGCCAAACCTTTTCTGTTGTATTGTTAGCAAATACTCATTCATCAGATCCGGTGAACCAGGACAGCGACGCCGCACAGACCTGACTGGTACTGGATTATGTATCCAGATGTAGTGATGAAGAAAGTGATGGAGACGATAGCAAACTTGATGGCATAGTCAAAATCCGGGCTCATGCAACCAATGATGCGGAAAAACAAAGTCATCGCAATATTTCCTGACAGCACCATCAGAACAAAAATGAAAAAGGCCCCAGCCTCTCGGAACAAGTTGGTCATGAAGTAGACGATGATGGAGAATATAAGGATCTGCGACGCAGAAAAGGCCTGGTCGACGAAGATTTGTGCAATCCAGAGGGCTGAGGGTCTGTGAAAGGCGTATGCTTTGTGCTTGTTCACGATTGGACGACCCGTCATAGTGCCCGCAAGCTCGGAGAAGGCCTGGAAGGCGTTGAACAGCAACGAGCCGAACATGAGACCGCCCTTGGCGAAGGCGCTCGCAGATGTTCTGCCGAGGTTTAAGTAGAGTGTGCCAAAGACGATGGCAATTACAATACTTCGAAGCCAAGAGAGGGCAAGACCAAGGCGGTCCTGCATCTTGAGCAAAAATTGGCGCTTCATCAGGGCCCAGATTTGTTGGTGAAACCCGACTGAGTAGACGGATTTCTTTGGAGTACCGCGGCGCTTCTGTTCGCGGACAGCGATTCGGAAGTCTTCGTACTTGCCCATATCCTCGCCGAGGGATTTCTTGTAGCCAGCCATATCCTGTTCCAACACCTTGGCGACCTTGGACTCGTTGAAGGCAGCCTCCAATGTGGCCGGACTGTGTGGGGCGTTCCCGGCAGAATATCCCTCTAGATATTCGCGTTCAAACTCGTCGGTGCAGCCGGTGACATAGTCTGGCGTGGTCATGCGAGGACGCGGGAGAAATCCCAGCCCCTCGAAGTAAGCCCTTGCCTCGGAAGCTGGTCCGAAGTAGACCTGTCTACCCTCGTCAATGACCAACACTTTGTCGAACAACTTATAAATATTCTCGGAGGCCTGGTAGAGCGAGACAAAGGTGCTGGTTTTGTAGAGATTGGTTTGAACCCGAAGCGACTTGACGAAATCTAGGGCGGTTGAGGCGTCCAGGCCACGAGTGCTGTTATCCCAAGACAAGATACACGCATTCGTGACCAGCATCTCGGCGATGGAGACGCGCTTCCTCTCGCCGCCAGAAATACCGCGGACAAAGGGCCCACCGACAACCGTGTGCCGGGTGTGCTCAATGTTGAACATTTTGAGGAGCATGCCGATAACCTTTTCCTTGAATTGCTGCTTGCCGATGCCGGCCGGGAGCTTCCCGGGCATTTTGACATCGAGGGCAAAACCAAGCGTCTGCTCCACAGAAAGAGTCGCATGATGAAGATCGTCCTCGCCATTGTAGACAGCCTCCCCACGGTACTGCGTAAACTCGTTAGCGGTAAAGGGGCCATAGAGCACCTCGCCAGATACGCTGCTGTACCCAAAACGCTGGTTCGCAATGCTCCTCAGAAAAGTCGTACACCCAGATCCAGGCTTGCCGAGCACGAGAACCATCTCGCCCGGCTTGCAGACGCCCCTAAAGTTGTTCAAGAGATCTCTATCGACTCCCTTTTTGCCGAGACCGAGCATTTTTTTCAGGGGTGTGATGACGTCGAAAAAGTCGACAAAGGCATCAGGAAACGTTTTGACAAAGTTTGTATGGCCGCTGATGCCGGTTATTGTCAAGCCGTCCCAGTAAACACCAACGTGTTTGGGCCGGATGCCAGCTTCCCGTTCGGCGTCCAGATCGCCGCGAAGGGCAGATTCGAGGTCGAACTGCTCGCTCTGGCCCCCGGATGAAGCTGCCGCGCTGAGGGCTTGGCCAACTTCGACATCGCCGGCCTTCCCTTGGCTCTGGGTGCGACTGGCACGCGACATGCCCGACAGCTCCCGCCGTAGTTGTGCGAAATCGGCCTCGGCCTGCTCAACCGAGATACCTGTTGATAGGTTTGTCATGCCTTTCGGGTTGTTGCGTCTAGCCTCTTCGCGAAGCTCCTCGGCATTCTGGGTCCTAGAAGAGTCGGATGACTGAGAGCGTGAGGGCCTGTCGGTTCCCTCACCAAGCCCCTTTTCCTCGGCATGTTTACCGGCGTCAACGCCACCTAGTACCTCCTTATCGGTGTCCATCTTCTCGGAACCTTTTACATCCATGGCGGACATCGGGTTTTGCAAAATAGACACGAGAGAGGTGTCTATCTATCGTCGACTTCAGGCTTGGGGGTCGGGGCTGCTTCTCGAACACACAGGCCGGCGACTCATTCCACGGATGATAAAAGAGGGAGTTTTGGTGTCTAGACGCGAGCAGGATAAAGCTGGGATTGAGTGTAACTAAGGTAGGTAGATAACGGTGGGCTGCCCTGGCAAATAACACTCACGATAAAACGTGATGAGGAAATGAGGGGTCAGAGGGGATCCCCAACTGCCGTGACAAAACAAAGCTAGCGGCGGTGCTAGAGTTAAGAGCGAGCAAGAGAGACAGACAGACACGCGGGACACGGGCAAGAGACCAAAACCATTCGGTCTCCTGTTTGGTCTCCTGGAGGTAGGGAGATCTAGAAGTCTCGTTAAGCCCAGAGCCCGGCGGGCGAGGCGAAAGAGTAAAGTCAAATGGAGTGGTCAGAGAAATAGAAAAAAGAGACGAAGCAGAAAGTTGGTGTCAAACAAGAAAATCCCGTGGAAACTAACTTTAGGTTGGGGTGTGGATGGGATGGGCGGGTTGGTTATGAGCTCCCAAACCTACCTCGCCTACCTTGGGCACTCGAACGGTAGTAATAGACTAACTCCGAAATCCTTGAGTTCCAATGCTCCGGTATTACCAATCCGAAAGCGAAATCACACTAATGACAAGCCCCGGGTTCGGGAAACGGGGTTTTGTTATCCGTCAGGCGGCGAGATGACAACGGGAGTCTATGCCGGACCCATGCAGCAACCATCGGAGCGGTGCCAAGGTCGGATGGGTAAGAGCGTATACGCACCAACCGCCGCAACCGCCACCACCTCTCCTCCTCCTGTGATCCAACACCGGGCGCCATCTCCACATGCCGCAGGGAAGGGGTTATTTTGCTCTCTGAACCTTGGGAGGTTGTGTGCTGCCATAATGCCATGCAAAAAAGGAAAAGGTACAGTAGAGCCTCGGCTGCCTCTTAGTGCCGAAGAAGGATGCGAGAACCAGTCCCAGCTCTAATGTATCAACGTGCCGCGCCCTGGTGGTTTTAGGTGCAGAGCAATAGACTGCGCGTCCTGAATCTAGGGATGGGATAGATGGGGAAAATGGGGGACAATTGAAGCCGGCAGGCAGGACCTTCACCGCTCTCTTGGAGTGTGACACGATCCTGTTAGAGAAAAAACCGGAAACCTACCATCACCACGTTCGCTCGCTCGGCACTCGGGCTGGGTAGTTAGTTCATTTATGTGTGGAAAGAGCCTCGAGGAACTCGCGAAGAAAGGTGTGAAGACATGTGGGAATTGGCCAGTACGTGGAGAATATTTCGGCGTGCAAGTTGGAGTGGGGACCTGTTGTTGACTCATCCGGCAATGTGGGGTTCAGATGGTGCGTGCGTCAACTTGTCAGGATTCTTGGCCAATCCGAGTCTATGGTGTAGGCCCACTACGTTTGGTGAAACGGTCGTTGTAATTATAACTAGTAATACTTCATATTACAGAATATTGTATGCGTATTCTGGAAGCCAACAGGCGTTTTTTTTTTCTGAACTTTTACTGTCTGAAGGCTCCTGTCAACCAGAGTGGTATTATGCTCACCGAACATCTGCGGAAAAACCGAAAACTGAACTGTGCGCCGCCACATGCTTGGCAGCCGAGCAGCCCTGGAAGTTTTGGAGCTGCTGGACAACGTTCCAATTCCGGACTACTGGGGTGACTTTGCTCGTTTTGGAAGGAGCGAGCCGAACGCACACACGAGACCCCAAATCCAATGGACAATGGAGGTAGCAATACTACTACTAGTACATGACGGGGAAATAATTGCTTGGCAATGCCCAGCAACCCGCGCCCTTTAAAGACATGCCGGAGACAGAACCACCGAAATACCGCTTCGTCAATGACTTTGAGTCTGCAGTGTTATTGGTGAGGAGTATCACACGATGAAGATAATTCTCTACCTGCGTCATCCCGGCCAGTCTATGCCACCCACAACCCCCGAAACAGCTTACTGAGCTGGCTACCATCCTTACCTACCTACATATATATGTAAGGTAGTTACCATTCCCGCCTTGCAGTAGTGAGGCAGCTTGTTGGTCGATGGAGCCCTCTTGCGGCGACAAACAAGCACTGGTGGGGCCCATGTGCTGGGGTCGGCGGGCCGGTACTAGTAGTTTTTCTGCAGGGCACCACTGGGATGGATGAGGCGCAGCCACGGATCCGCGAGCCATGTCACCTGTTGGGGGGGCCGTCTTCCTCATCAAGCCCCCGGGTTCCGACCCGCTAGACGCTATGAGTTGCCTACCAAAATATCTCCTATTAGCCCATTCCCACTCATATTTACAACAGGCTCTCCAAAGCACTTTCTCTTCTTACTTCCACGGATGAGCATCACATGACTGGCCCCTATACTACGCGGCAAGTGTCAATGGAAAGCTCGCTCATACCATGGGAATACACTTTGAACTAGGATCTGGTAGAGGCGACGGCCAGCAGATGAACCTAGTCACGGCCTACAAAACGATGATCAGAAGGCGACGAGCCCGTCAACATATTTCTCCCTTTTTCGACATCAGCTCAGAGGTTTGACAAGGAGTCACGCGTTTCCGAGCCCCAAGCTGGTCGACGATATCAGACATGACGCGCGGCACATACGTTCAGGGTGTTCCGTCTCTGACCGGACCGTGGCGCGCAGACGAGACCGTAAGACGAGCTATACGCGGGAAGGACCCGAGAGCCGAGTTAGGCCTCACAATAATGTTGAGACGGGTACTCCGAGGTGATGGTCTATCTTGCTTACAAGATCGGACGGGCGGACGAACGGACTGGCGACGGACGAAAAAGAAAAGCCCGTGTTTTTCAGCAACCAGGCAAAGTCTTGCCGAGCCCGACCACGTCGACTTGAACAAATTCCTTGCCTTTTTCTGACATTCCTGTCCTTGCTGGGTCACCGTTTGCAACGAATTGTGGAAAACAGCCGCCCCTGACATCCACACACTCTTCAGAGCGGAGTACCAAAAAGAGATAGTAGCCTCTTTACCGACTCAGGTTCGTACGAAGTTGGGACAGTAAAACTCATGTACTTCAAACTTCAGCATCTTCACCTACGTATGCCAAAAGCTATATGCATTCGACTGTTAGTAACAGACCGGTCCCAGCCAGGTGGTATATCTCCCCTCCCCCAAAAGGACGGCAACGTGGCCGCGGCCGGGAGAAACATAGGGAAAAGAATTGGCCGCTAGTATGTCTTGTCTGGGCACATATCTTGCCTTGACGATCGTAATGGACAAGTCGGAGAGGCTGATGATGGCAGTAGATTCCTGAGTTGTTTCCACGCACGCTGAGCCAGAGGTGGCAGCAGTTAAAGACTATAACTATAACCCCTCCCCCTTCTTCTTCTTTCACTTCCCCCAAACTGTGTTTGCTGCCGCTGCCATATCGTTGTTTGTGATCGCAATCTCAGCATCGTATTGCAAACAAGTATGATGCCGTGATGAAAGACTGCTCTTATTTACTACCTGCCCAGGTAGCCAGAAAGACAAACCGCTTTCGGGCTGGACAGTCGACTGAAGTAAAGGAAAAGAAGAATTTACATTTCCCGCAGTCTATGTATGTGATGAAAACGGAAAAGAAAGAGAAAAACACGCCCCCAGAGCCGCCGCAAAGCTAGAAGAAGACTACCTCTACCTCCTTGGTCCGATGTCACCGCCTACCACAACCACAACCATGGCCCCCTGTGACTCTCCTTCTTGCTTCGTTGATGGTAATGCTCTCTCTTTTTTATTCGCTCTCACAAAAACACACACAAAACGTGCGAGAGAAAAGATAACACTATACGGCTGGTGTTGCTGGGGTGGATGGCAGAAGAAGCCAGGAACCCAAAAGCAAGACAGACCGACCTAGCCAAATCCCACCAACACGCCCACTCTTATACCCCTTACCCGCCTCTGCCTGTCTGTTTAGTGTGCTTTTACTCGTTTGCTTGTAGCGACAACGCGCTACACCGCCCGCCGTTCCCTCGTCACCGGGGGCCAAACAAAAACCCAACAACGTGAAGGAAACAACGCCGATCCATGCTGAGTAACAAGATGAAGCCTGAGAGATGCGGAAACAGAAGAAAATAAGATGGGGATAGTGGTGCTGCGGTGAGGAAGAGAAACGTAGGGAGGGAAAGTCTGCTTCGTGTGGTTGCTACTGTTGTCGATGCCGTGTTCCGTTTATTCTTCTTTTTTCTTTATTAAAAAAGGTCAAACTCGGCGCCGGAATTCGCATCCAATCGGGAGTTGTTTTCTCTCCTTTGTTATCTCCTCTCTCCGCAGCCAAATAAAGGGGCCCAAGTGGTTTTATTTACCGAAACTGACGACGAGGCCGTGTCGGGTGAACAAGTAAATAGGTAGGTTCTCTGCCATGCTTTTTATTAGGGATACTAGGGCGCGCCTGTCGTGCTGTGGCGTGCAGAGGGCGACGACGCTGAAGACTACAATTCTGACTCGACACCGCCGTTTGCCTCCACCATCATTGGGCTCCCGTTCCCTATCTGCCTCTGCTGCTGTTGCTGCTGTCGAGATCTCGCGTTCAATGGCGCGCGTCTCCGCCCGCTCGGCCGGCCGTTCATAATCATGCTCTCGTCATCATCTTCCGAATCGCCACCTTGGTCCTCGGTAAACAGGCGGGCTTCGTCAAGCGCCTTGATGTCCGCAGGCTTATCGCGCAGCCACTGCATGCGAGGTCCCGAGCGCGCCAGCTCTGACACTCTGAATCCGTAAATCCTGGGCTCGTATATCTTGCCTGGCCCAAGGCCCGGCGCTACGTTACGAGCATACACGCCGTTAATCATAGGCAACTCGTCGGCGCCTCCGGGGGGGTTGCTGGGCCGCGAGAGGTTCGTGATGCTCTCTGTGCCCGACTTGGTCAGGTCGTACTCGGGGAAAGTGAGGAGGAAAAGGGCACCAAAGGTGCGGCCGAAGAATGCACCATCGACCGTCTGGAAGCGGCTGTTTGGGGGGACGTAGACGTCGAGGCACGACGGGCAAAAGAGCTTGACCGTGTCCTCGCCCGGGATATCGGAAAGGCCGACGGGGAGCGTCCGCGCCTGGTTGCAGTTTGTGCGCGGGCATACGCCAAAGTGGCCCAGCTCGTACTTCTCCGACATTTGCTGTATGCCGGCCCTCGAGCAGATAAAGCGCTGGTGGATCAGTCCGTAGAGCATCTCGGCCGATGACTCAATCACGGAGAGGTCGCTAGCGATACGGCTGTGGTGTCTTCTCTCGCCGGCCTGGGCTGCCCGGCCGCCGGGCTCATCGCGCGCATCGCCCGACACATCTTCTTCCTCATCTTCCTCCTCGTCTTCTTCGTCATCGTCGTCTTCTGGCTCGACGTCGAGGATCATCTTCGAAGGGAGGAATTGCATGAGCTCCTAGTCCGAGCGCACGAGGGGCGGGCGAGAGGGGGAGGGAGGAGGGGTGTGGTGGGGGTAATAGGCATAGAGACAGCGAAACCGAGAGGGCACGACATGTACTTACTTCCAAGGCCTCTTTGTACATGGCGACCTGGGTCTGCAGGCCAGTCAGGTTGAAGTCATCCTCAATGAATTCCTCTGACACCTCGGCAAAGTATTCGTGGCCCAGCAGGGAGCAAAACGACGAGATCCAGGACTCGGGAGTACCGGAGGAGGTGGACATGCTGGCGTCTTGCGCTCGGGGGTGGCGACGGCGTAGTGCTGCTGGGCGGGAGGGCAGGGGGGCCAAGGGCTCGAGCGGTGTCGACGACGAGGATTGGGTTCTGTCGGGGGCGAGGTAGACTTGGCTGCTTCCCGGCCGACGCGTTCGCTGCTCGTCGTTCTATGATGCGGGCATGATCAAGCGCAGAGGCTTGCGCAGTCGCGGGTTACGGGTGTCTGGATCGGCTTCCACCGTGGCTGCCGTCTAGAAGCTGAGATGGTGCCCGTGTGTTGCTGCTGCCCCCAAAAGACGCCCTTGTTTGTGTTTCCAAGGTTGCCTTTTTTTTTGCTTTGGGTTTGGGTTCGCTGGAGACGGAGGCTGCTGCCCTCATTTCTGGCGGGACACTGGTCTGTGCTTTTTCCGCCAAACGTCCTTCAGCCCCGCGCCTGCGTGCGGCCTGAATTTTACGGCCTCCAGGCTCCAGCCGCCCCTCTTGCCGCCCAAGCCCAAGTCATTCTGCAGGCCTGTGTCACGTGCCAGGAATTTTTAATTTTATTTGCTGCTGGGCATGAATCCCCTCCCATGGCAAAAGTTCGGCCCAAAAGGGTGCGGGACAGCGAACGCAATCCAGGGCAGTGCGTCCCAAGCGCTGGAGAGGCTGGCAAAACCAGCTCGCGCAACCCAACAGATTATGATGCTTCACACATCATGCAGATGTGCGACGAGATCAGCCCGTATTTCTGCCCTGAACCCCCGCGCCTCTGGCGGCCTTCGCAGCCTCGCCACAGCTCACGAGGCATTTGCGCCGGTTGATGTCGCAAAGTTTAAATATGAAGCTTTCGACATTAAAGAGCCGCTCGTCATACGCCCCAACAGGCCACCCCCAACACAGTTAGAAAATGCACTCGCTGCAGCCGCCAATGTCCACCACCAGACGCCGCCTGTCAATCTGCCCGCCCTCACTAAGTGGTTCACACAGGCGTCTCCGTCAGAGAACGGGACGCCTCTCTTGACGCCATTATGGAACAAATATCACAGTCTTGTTCTGCCATTTGAGCTCGTTCTGCCGCCGGCCGCAGAATGGGCCACGGGTTCTGGCAGCTCCCGTCTCTCGGCCTTCTTGAGCTGGCTGTCGGAGTCTAGCGGGCCGTTGCACAAAGATATGGCGGCGGCTTTACGGGAGCTGGTCTCGTCCCTTCCCCAGGCTCCGTACTCGGACGCAGACACCCGGTTTCTGCGATTCGACGCCCCATTGGCGCTCCTTGACGCGGGCTTGCAATACAACAAGGCGTCCGCCAGCCCAGACCAGTACATTGACCAGCTGTACATTGCGCAGGCTCCTCTAAACACGCTGCCCCCAGATCTGCAGGCTGACGTCCCCACCCCGGACCTCGTCAGAGAGGCCGGTAACGGCGACATCTACGACTCCAGCATCTGGATCGGCCTGGAGCCGACGTACACGCCGTGGCACAAGGACCCGAACCCCAATCTGTTCTGCCAGATGTGCAGCTCCAAGCTGGTCCGGATGCTCCCGCCGCAGCGCGGCGCCCAGGTCTACGACAGTGTCCGGGCCGGGCTGGGCTATACACGCACCCTCGGCTTCCGCGGCGACGAGATGATGCAGGGCCCGGAACGGCGCGCTCTTCTCGAGTCGGTGTGGGGCGACGAGGTCCCGTCCGACATGCTCGAGGTGCTCGTGAACCCTCAAGACGTGCTGTTCATCCCCAAGAGGTGGTGGCACAGCGTGAAAAGCGTGGGCAGCAGCGGCCAGCTCAACGGGTCTGTTAATTGGTGGTTCCGGTGAGGCACAGGCTGTCCGACGAAGCTTGCCTTGTGCAATTGCTACCCACCACTTCGACGAGGTCCGAGTCTTGAACGCAAATCCCGTTTAGGCTGGGCACTTGAAGTTTGTGTCACGCCTTTACGTAGTTGTAATAGGGCGCAGTAAACCGCCTATAGGGGGCGGTTTATCATGTGCTGGCATATCCACAAGGCATAATGTATCACCTATGGTTTGATCGTGTACTATATAATTGTATATACAAAACACATATCCCTGAAGCGAACTCACGGGCTGATTCATTCTCTAGCCTCTACCATGCTTCTCTTCGACGTTTTCACAGTTCTTGTTAATCCCGCCTCTTCATGTCAAAACCAAATATTACCGGCTGGCGTCATGAGAGGTACTTGTGGGTACTTTCAGTTAGAGATTATAGAATGGTGATAAAGGGTGTGCGGTGTAAATTAATCAGGGATGATGAGCACCGTCCCAAGCCCGGGCGAACCCGTTGTTTTCGAGGCCCTCTTGCTTGCCGTTTAACTGTCTCCACTGCATTGGCCCTTTTTCTGGTAGACGAGTACATCCCTCTGCAGCCAGCTATGACTGACGCAGCATTTCTCAGCCCAAGCATCCCTTTCGGCAATCCGTGCCTCACGACTCAGACTGAATGTCCAAGATTTCGGCAATCCGGCATGCACAGTCTTTTGAGTCCGGAATTCTCATTTAATCAATGTTTCCTCTCTCGCTTCCTAACCGCAGTGGTAATTAGGACGCCAGGGTATCCCGATTCCCAACCAAAAAGTCGTGACAGTATATCTCACACAGTCTATCCGTGGTGTTGCCTATTTTAAGCACGTTGTCGGCACTTGTTCTAGTAGCAAGCCATCTAATCGTGGATGAAGTTGAAGCTGGCTCTTGTTCCCCTCGGTATGGTTTATTTTCCTTTCTCATTTCGACGGCTAACTAGTCCTCACCCGAGATGCGGGAAATTGGCAGACCACGTAGCCACGAACGCGCTCGAGGGCAGGAAGAACAGCGACCTGGCCGTCTCGGCGAGGATGAACAGCTGGCACACGATGTGGAAGACTTCTGCGCCCGCGACGGCCTGGGGGGCTGCTAACTGCACCAATGCATGCACGCGCGGGGGGGCCACGGGATTAAATGACGGGTCCAAGAATAGGATTTTGCCAATAGAAAATGATAGGATGGTCTGAATCTCCGCTAATGGCGCGATGGCGCTTGATCACGCGTCTAGCTCACTGTTATGTTAGGTATTCAACCCCCGGAAGCAGTACCCAGGGTCGTACAGCCCCAGGTTTAGGTCTCTCATAGGACGTGATGGTCTAACCCCTGCATGTCCATTGCACAGAACGGGGCAGTGTGCACCTCCTTAGTTTTGTTCTACGGCAAGGGGTCTGCATGGGACATGCAAAGACAGCAAACTCGTAGCAAAATGGAAGTCATGTCTAAATCGGTAAATAAGGGGAGAGATTGGGAGGTCTCTATTTGTCGATTCAATGCGTGGCTATATCTCTGGTTTGAACATCTCAGTTTAGCAATAACTCCAAGATCAGCCAATGAAACAAGATGTACGGAGTAGCAGCGTGGGACTATCCCGGGGGTGAGAGAAGTGCATCCGGGGCTGAGCCGTGCAGCAGCAAACACTCGGGATTAACCAGCCTATCATAACCCTCAAGATTCAACTTACTCAAGCGGGTTACTGAAAACCTCTAAAGACGGACGTATGCTCGTATCTACCTTGACAAACAAGACTAAACACCTCTGCCACGCATTCATTTGCAACTTTTCGAAATTTATTACCTTCTTGAATTCAAACCCCGGAGGGTAAAGAGTCGAACAGTCATCAACGGCAGGCCTTACAACCTGGAGAGCTGCATCTTAGAACTAAATGCCCAACATGAGGGGACGCTAGTGTCGGGTGCAGGGGGCGAGCTGAGAACTGGCGACGCCGTCCATGACATTAACGGGTCCTTGCGGTAGCGAGCTGCTTCAGTGCATACACGTATAACAGCAGCGGGTGGAGCTCGGCAGCCAATGGCCGAGGTGCTTAGTATTTTGTTAGCATTGACCTTTTTTTTCTTTTTGCTTGTAGTTGAGATGTATAGATGACGACTAATTAGTACAGAGTTGTCGAACTGGGCTTGTTTTTCTTCTACGAATACTTAGGTACCTTACCTATATCTTCTTGCATTCAGTATTCTACCGCCATGGATCTGAAAGGGTGCACTTGATGTCATAAGAAGGTTGTTCTTTCATAGGCCGGCAGGTTTCCCTGCCTGCTTGTTGTCAGATCAGCGCCAAATATGGCCAGTAAGTGCAAGTCCGTCCATCTACGGATTACTCCGTACTCGTGGCGTCATCATTTCTGAACTAATCGATCCCCCGAAACCTAATAGGAATTTTTATCACAGTCCATAGAACCTTGAAAAAATGTCTTTCTGATAGGCGACGATTGTAAGATGCATAATTATCCCACTCGTCCCGGTTATTAAGTAGGTATCTAAGCACGTTGTCGACGCCTTTGCTTGGAAACTCTCGACGACCAATGACCATCCACGCGCCTGTCCTTAGATGAAGGTCCCGCTAACCAGACACCCAACCGCCAACATCACCACCGATATCCTAGCGGACGCTGCCTGGACAGTCTCTCCGCCAGCAGTGACGACACTGCTGGTCGGCGTCGAGTTTGTGTAGTTCCCGCCGCCGCAGCACACTGTCGTTGTCGGCCTCGGCGGCGTCATGGACGACGTTGTGAAGGACGTGGTGGACGACGGCGCGGCGGGCTTGGGGCAGATAACGTCCAGCGCGTCGCGGGCGGCCTGGCTGAGCTGCTCCGTCGTGCAGCGCAGGCTGGTGCAGTTACCGGCGAAGGCGGCCACGTCGGCGCAGCGGCAGAAGCCTGGCCCGCCCGAGGGTTGTGGGTGATTAGGATGAGAGAGCTGTGGTGTGGTGGTTGCACTTACAGCTAAAGTCGCCAAGCGGACAGTGGCAGAAGGAGAAGGCGGCGGTGATGCATGTTTGCTTGCACACAGTCAGCCATTAGCCTTATCGTGGATGGTGAGACGCAAAGGGGTCAAAGAGAGATGGTAGTAACTAACAGCGCAGATTGGCAGATGGCCGACGGCTACGATGGCGCTGCTTGTGGGTGCGGCGGATTGTGCTCTTGCTGACCGAAAGACGTGAGAGAGGGTAAACGCCAGCAATACCAGCTGGCGGCACTTGATCTGCCAGAGTTGGGAGGCCATGGCAAGCTGCCAGTGTGTTGGAGGGAGAGAAGCCGGCAAACTCCTCGACCTACGTAACGTCTTACGTATCCGTGTGTGCGGGTGCATGGCCGTCTTGTATCTCGCACACGGAACCCTCCGCGAGGCTCTCGAATCGATCGGCAGCTTTCATAACTCCTTTCGCTCCGGTACTAGCTGGTCTCGTGATGACCGTCGGCGGCTCATTGGTTGGGTTAGACAAGGCTGGGGACAGGCGACTATGCAAGAGCGCGACAGCTCGTTGACCGCACTTCCTTTTCAGGCACGACGACGCCTATGGTGTACGGCCATTGGCCGTCGGCTCCGGGATTGCTCAGGCTGGAGACCGAAGCGCGTGTCAATAATGGAACTCTGTCAACAAAACGCTGTAATAATTGCTAAAGTGGCTTGCTGAGCTGAAATGGTTATTTTCTTGGCATCGGAGGCGCAATGGCTGTGCCCATGCTCAGGCAGTTGCGACAAGACTAGAGCCGCAGTGAGGGGGTTGTGGTTATTATTTGGACTGCTGGTAGTTGATGGAATGGCCGTTGCTGTTTCCCCTTTTCTCGTCGACCAGCTACCAAGTAATTGCCGGGTCAAGGTGGGCGGTCAATGCTGCTTGCTCAACTGCGAATCTCTCAGTCCCTCGAACGATGACCTCCTTTCCGTCGAGTCGCCACGGCGGGGGGCGTCTCACGTTGTTCCCGACTTTTCTAATCCTTTTATTCTGCCGCCAAGTTTCAGCGCAATGCGGCTCCCTCATCACATACCGGCAGTACTCGATCCTGCTCTCCTCGGCACCTTCGTGCTTCCTAGACGGCTGCGGCGTCCCTCCCCCGGCCGGCTCGATGTCGTCAACGTGCCCGTCGTCGTCACGGTGCTCTGCCCTCTGGGAGATAACACGGGTGCAGTGGCAGCCAGACTGGTGTTATTCAGGGCCATCGGCATGTCCTGGCGACGTAGCCTGCCGGATCCCCGGATGGCCTGTCCTCAACGCCACGGCGGCGTGCTCTATCTCGCCCGACGACTGGCTGTTCTCGGCCACGAACGCGGGCGGGTGCTGCGCGACAGTCGACGAGCCGTTCGACCTCGGCGACTGGACGGCGACGCTGTGCAACGGGTCCGCCTGGCGCGAGCCGTTTGTCTACTTCGGCGGCATGGCCCCGCTCGACTGGGCCGAGTGGATCGAGCCGTGGAACTGGACCGTCGTCCCGTCGGATGCGGCGCTGAGGCAGCGCTGCCAGTCCACCACCGAGATGATGGTGTCTTTTGTCGCCGACAACCTCGTGTCCGTCGTCGAGACCATTTTCGAGATTGGCTTCTTTTGGGCCCTCCTGCAGGTTCCTTCTATGAACCGCTTGGCGAGCCGGAAGGTGCACAGATCGGGGAGATCGGTCATCGGCGGTGCTCAGTACGGCGCCTCGTTCGTCCTCGGCAACTTCTATACAGCCTGGAAGTGGCGGGCCACGCTAGGGTACTCGGACATCCCCGTCGGCTTTCTGGGTCTGGTCCTGTGCGCCCGGCCGAGCGCCGTCGGAATCATCTGTTTCCTCGACTTGGTGTTTTCGGGCTGGCTCGCAGAGAAGATCGCGCGGCTGCGCGGCTACGCACACCCAGCGCTGGCTGTCCCGGCCGACCAAGACTACAGGGAGACGCCCGCCTGGTTGCAAGCGAGGCAATTCCTGGCCAACTGGGCGCTGACCATGTCGGTGGCCGAAATCATCATCCAGATCATGAGCATGTACAGCCTGTACAAGACGACCAACGAGGGGCGGCTCCGCGGCTTCTACAGCCTGGACGCGCTCCTGCCCTACTGGCACGGCTCGGAAGCCCTCCGCATGTACGGCGGAGCGCTCGTGCACTGTATCTTCTCGTGGCTGAGTCTCTTGTCTCTGGCTGGCAGTGCCACGGTGCAGGCGTACCGCATTAAAATCTTTGAGGGCCTGACTGAGCATCTGATGGCGGCGCTGGGACACCGGAGGCGGAAGAGAACCATTGTCCGGCTCCACGAAGCGCTGAAGAAAGCATCGCGGCGCCGCAAAGACCCCCAGGGCCAACCATTAGCGCCGCAACAGCAAGCTCAACAACAGCCAGGTCGACAGCAGCTAGGTCAACAGCAGCCAGGTCAACAGCAGCCAGGTCAACAGCAGCCAGGTCAACAGCAGCCAGGTCAACAGCAGCCAGATCAACAGCAGCCAGATCAACAGCAGCCAGATCAACAACAGGCAGCTCAACCACCACCGCCCGAACAACTCCAACCAATTCACTCAGTCTACCAACTGCGGGCGACACTTGCTGCGGAGGAAGCCCAAGCCCAAGAAGACAACGCGCTGCCTCCTCCGACCTCGGGTGTCCCCGACGCGCAAGACCCCGAGCTAACCCGGTTCGGCCGTGTGCTGTCCGTGTGGCCGTTCTCGGTGGCGTTCCGGCAGCTCGAGAAGCGGGCGATGCGGATCCGGGAGCGGCAGACCCCGTCGAAGATGGCCCTGGACCTGATGCGAGAGGGCCTGCGCAAGATCGAGACGGTGGCCCTGTGCTTCACGGGTGCGTGCGTCGTCGTCAACTACATCTCGCAGTGGTGCTTCTGGTCCGGCTTCATCCAGAGCCAAGGCGACCGGTAATTACCCACCTAGACACAATGCTACGGTTCCATACTGACACCCTGAATCAGGTGGTGTCCTCCGACGTCCGACTTCAAGCTTTTGGTCTGGGCCGTCATCAGTCTCGTTTGTGAGTTGGTCCCGTATCGTATTCTCTCATGATAGATGGTGTTGACAGGCCCCGCCTACAGCGTTTTTCCTCTCTCTCATCCTGTCCCAGGAGCCATGGCAACAAAACCAGCCGGGCGCAGTATAGGTGCCCCTGAGCCTTTGATTGCGAGGAGGTGGTAGCAGTGGCGAACCAAAGTCGGTGCATACATATGATATGAGCTATACCATAATAAGCACCGAAGAACCAATCACGAGGATGGAGAAAGTGACAAATTCCGGGCATGGTTGCGAGTTTCCCCCCCAGGGTTGCTCGTATCCGAAGGGTTCTCCTTCTTTTCCAAGGAGCGAGTTCGGAACAAAAATCTAGTGGGGCTAAACTTAAGCACACTGCCGATTCTAGCCAAATTTGCCCAAGGTAGGGCAGGCAATTGGCTCGTGTGGAGTGGCTGGTGATGCAGTGCAGTGCAGATAGACAATCAGTCGCCAAGCGCAACCCATAGCCCAACGAAATACGCCCGCGTGACCAACTAATTGGTCCAAGAGTTCCTCGCCGTAACTAGACCAAAAATAGATCCCTGGATGCTTTTGCTCTCCGCCCCTTGTTGGCTGCTGCTCCCGTATTTCCGAAGTGCATCCCGAAGTGTAGGCGGGGATTAGTGGCGTCCGCAGCCACGATACCAATCGAAGTACGGAGTATGAGACTCGAAAAGGAAGAAGACGAGCTAATTAGCCCAGTTTCGTCTTGGCGACGGCGATGCAAATCCTTCCGAAACATCCACCACCCCTGCAGCCCTACACCACGGTCCATGGTGACGCGGTGCATAATTGACTGTCTTGAAAATATCTGGCTCAGCTAATTAACATGATATAATCCAGCACTAGCCGGCATCCTTCAAGCTGGACAGCAGCACTTCAACTTTCAAACGTCTCACGATTTCCCTCTGGGTTTGAATACAACACCTACCTGCCTGCCTCCCTGCCTTATCTCAGCTGGGTACGGACCTGTGGTTATCACGCCTCACGCCCTCGAGAGATAAGGCAACACGGCTGCAGCGTGTCTCTCGGGCCACTCGCCAGCGGCAAGCGACAATGTCCAGCCCCAGCAGCTCGTCGCTGCACTCGCTCACGGGCCCCAAGAGATCGCGCAAGGGGTGCATAACGTGCAAGATCCGGCGCGTCAAGTGCGACGAGACGCGGCCGCGGTGCAGCCGGTGCACGCAGACGGGGCGCACGTGCGACGGGTACGCGTCGTCGACGGCCATCTCGGACCCGTCGCGGCGGGCGCTGGCCATCGCCGTCAGCCAGATGCAGGTGGTCGGCCCGGCGTCGCGCGTGCTGGGCGAGCCGCTGCCCGTCGAGGACGCCGCCTGCTTCGACTTCTTCCGTGTCTGCACCGTCGCCATGACGAGCTCCGTCTTCCCCGCCGAGTTCTGGTCGCGCGAGATGCTGAGCGTCTCCCATGCCGAGCCCGCCGTGTGGCACATCGCCGTCGCCCTCGGCGCCCTCCACCGTCGCTGGGAGTGGGTCAACAATAACTACCACCACTGCGGCCGGCACGCCAGCAGCAGCGCCCACGCCCGTGCCCACTCCGACACCACCGACCTGGTGCCCTTCTTCACCCAGCAGGCCACCAAGCACTACTACACCGCCATCTCGCTGGCCAGGGGCATCCAGAACCCCTCCGCCCTCGCCGTCGTCAGCATCGCCCTGGCCGCCGCCGCCCACCTCTCGGGCCGCTGGTCCGACTGCCTGGTCCACGTCCAGGCCGGCCTGCACCTCCTGATCAAGATGCAGACAAAGCCCCAGCCCCAGCACCAGCATCAGCACCAGCACCAGCACCAGCACCAGCACCAGCACCAGCACCAGCACCAGCACCAGCACCAGCACCAGCACCAGCACCAGCACCAGCACCAGCACCAGCACCAGAACCGAACCTACACCCCGCCGTCAGGAAACAGCAATCTAGAGAGCGCCACCCGGGGCTTCAAGCGGCTAGACCTACAGCAAGCACAAACCACACTCCCGCTGCCATCCGATCTGCAGGGCGCCGTGCACACGCTCGAGCGGCTGGACCTGCAAGCCATGGTCTTCTGCGACATGCGCGTGCCGTACAACTACGAGAGCGCCACGGTCGCGCTGCTCGCCGACGCCGTGGGCGGGCGGGCCACGTACCTGCCGAACCCCGGGTGGGCTGCCGCCAGCGACAGGCCGCCCGGCGACCTCGACGAGGCGAGCCTGATGGTGATCCGCATGATGCGCCAGTTCATGGTGCTCACGTACGCGGTCGAGACGGGCAAGATCGCCATCGCCGTCTACGCGGCCGCGCGGCTGCAGCTCCTGCAGGATTCGCGCCGGCGCGAAAAGCAGCTCGCCGCCGTGCTCTCGCCGCCACCACCAGCAGCCACCGGCAGAAAAACCAACAACCCGCGCAGCAGCACAGCACCACGGCAGCAGAACCCCTACGACAACTCCCACCAAGGCTCCACCACCACCACCACCACCACCACCAACAACAACAACCCCACATCGCCAGAACAGCAACAACAACAGCGCAAGACCGTCCTCTCCCTCTTACTCTACCACACGGTCCTCAACGTGCTCGTCGGCGCCGGTCTCCTCGGTCCCGAGACACGGTGGGACGCGCACACGGCAGGCTTCGCGCGCATCGTCGGCCTCGCGGGCGCCGTGGCGCGGCACACGGACTCGCCGATGCGCTTCTTCATGTCGCTGGAGCTGGGGCTGGCCCTGCCGCTGTACCTGACCGCCATCCGCTGCCGGCACCCCGTGCTGCGGCGGCGCGCGCTGCGCCTGCTGCACCGGCTCGACCGCCAGGAGGGCATCCTCAACTGCAAGGCCACGGCGCGCGTCGCCGAGCAGGTCGTGCGCGTCGAGGAGGACGGGGTGAGTGGGATCAACCTGCCGCTGCTGGGGCGGGACGATGATGACGACGCGGACGCGTATTACCTTCCTGGTGATGATCGGAGCGACGAGTATACGGAGGCGAGCTTGGAGTCGCTGCTGCTGCTGGACGCGGATAACGAGGGCTCGTTTTGGAGCGGCGGGGGTGCGGGGTCTTCTTGTCAGTTTCCTCCTGATGATGATGATGATGATGATGATGATGATGATGGGGATGGGGATGGGGATGACGGTGATGATGATGATAATGATGGGGATGGGGATGACGGTGGTGATGATGATGTGCTTGTGGTTGGGGAGGAGGCAGAGCCGTGCCCGGCGTGGCCCGACGGGTGGCCCAACATCCCCGAGGAGAAGCGGTCCATCACGCAGCAGCTGCTGGTCGACGTCGAGACGAACACGGTGCACATCAAGATCTACGTCGTGGGCCGCGGCGAAGGTGGCGCGTACCTGGGCAGGACTGTGACGGTGGATATGTAATCAGAGGCCGATGCAACGGATTAGACTGGTTCTAGTTTAGAGTAAATAGTAGACGAACGAAGAAGAGCCTGGAATTGCTCAAATCGCGGAGAATGAAACCGAATTCGTATAAATGTCCTACATCACGACTGCCTTTAGGAACGAAATTGTTTTTAGGTTCTGCGACGAGATTCCCGGTCAGCTTTCGCGGATTGGCCAGTTCGGAGATACATGCGTAATCGGTAGATATGGCCGGAATTACACTCACCGGACATTATGAGACTAATCTGACTGCAGCCTCCCGGGTTTGGAATTCATACGCTTTGGTCGTGCCTGTTGTTACGCGGTTGCCCCACCCTCTCTGTGCGACCAGTCCAGAGCAGACATCTTGCACGTAAAAGGTACCTATACACACGTCTTGGTATTTTTTAGAGAAGAGATGGGCTATTAGGATTGTAAAAGAGGAATGCGATTAGGGCGGGTTTACCTCTTTCGGCAAAAAAAGCCGTTAGGGCGAACCGTAAGGCTTAAACGCCTTTTAAAGCCGAGAAAGTCCCCCATTTCTTTCAATCGACCCAATAGACTGAACACAGGGCAAGCTCCCGTCGCACGAGTAATACAGTCAAACTGGATTGGTACTCAAATTATATGAGTACAAGGAATGTGTATTGCTTGCTTGAAGAACCAAGCAAGCTCTATCTAAGACCGTGGCTACGGTCAGCGTATGTATCTATGAGTGAGCCAATAAGAGCACAGCTCTCATTGCCCACAGCTCTCATTGCCCAGTACCAAGCTTCTGCTCAGTGCCGGGCACCTCCAAAACGCTGGGCACTATTCCTGCTCAGTGCCAAGCCCCCTTCATGCACTGAGCAACTTCCCATTGGTTGCACACCTGTGGGCTTCCCTGCAGGCCCGGAGCTCCCCGCTCCTGCAGCCTACCCAGTATGAACCGGGGGTTCGTAACATTGGGTCTATATCAAGGCCTGCCCTTTCAAAACCCTAGCTAGCCTTCCCTAAGAGAATTAAAGCGAGGGCTACTGAAGTGAGGCTAAGGGTATATCGGATCGCGAGGGATGTCGAGGGCTGATCTATGGACGTGTCGCGGCGCGTGAGCGGAACTTTGGACAGGCCGTCCTAGAATTCCGGCGGAAAGTTGCCGTGGTGAAGTTTACCCATCGATTTGTGTCACCTGAAAATTGAGCCACATCCGAGCCATAACTGAGTTGAACCTTAAAAGGCCCTCTATGACGCTCACTTCCTAACATCACAAGATTTCCTTTGTTTTATCTTTTAGGTATAAATAGTGGCTTCTTTTCTACATCTCTAGACCTTGGGGAGGCAGACAATTCAAGACCTTTTAAGCCACTGTCAACTTTGATCACGGGCCAGAATTTGATCTTGTTAGGACGGCGGTCTTGCGGGGGGTCGTCTGCGTGCGGTCTTTTTCAAAGCTGCGCTATGAGCAGCTACTTCTGAAGGTTTTGTGATCAAGGGAAGTCGGCGCGGATATTCAGGTCGTGTTGGGCATGCGAACAACTCTAGTAGTGCTTTACATAAGAATTACTAGATATCAAGGCTCTATGGGGCAAACCATTTGCGGTTTGTGTCTCCTGCCAGAAGAGCCCACATTTTACCGGTTATAAGATAGCTAGCGAATGTAGGTAGTCGATCCAGGAGACCGAATGCCCACCACTACCAACCCCAGCACTCCCCTACCTTTGTCTTGCGGTCTGCCCCCCCCCCGAGGCAAGCATCTGCCCAACCAGTTGCCGCCACACCAACGCAGTAGGGTGTGACTCATTGCTGATTTCGACTGCGGGGTAAGTCCCAGGCATTTGCTGTAGCCAGCACGAATTCCATTCTACTCTTTACTTTCTCGAACTACAGAGCGCATCCGTCAAATTTTTCCCCATTTCCAACTCCACGCGCTCTTTCCTACAATATCTGGCTAGGAACATATCGGTACTGCTATTCACAATGACTGACGGCGTTTCTGAGCTTATGATTTCTACGTTTTCCGGCACCGAGAAAGATGTATTCGGCAAAGACAAGGACGGGAGACTGCCTCTCCTTCTTCCCAAGGCCATGGAAGGTCACCCGATCGCATCGAAGAGCATCCTTCTAAACCTACCACCCGAGATCTTAGGCGATATTACGGACCTAATTGCAGATGATAAAGCTACCCTCTCTGCTCTAGCCCTGGTTAATAGCGACTGTAGACAGTTGGCTCGCTCCTGTCAATTCGCCGATGTCTGCTTCGACTACAGCCCAAACTCAAGGCGCCTCTTGATCTTACTTATGAAGGAGGCTATCACTAGACTGCGCCGCGATGACCTAAGCCGCAGAAGCTAACCTCTATTTATCGGATCTTGTATTCGCAGAGCTGCTGTTAGACCTGACCTAGAATGGGTCGCTCACGCACACGGCGATCTCTACGACTCCATTTGGGGGGGTGCAGCCAACGTTCCAACTCCAGAGCACCGCAACAAGTTATCTAAGGAAGCAGCCGATAATTACATTGCGGAATACCGCGCTCCTATCCAAACCGCCATAAATTGGGCAATGCCACACCTGGAGACCTTATTGTGGCATGACCGACTGTGCCTCGATGGCCCCTTTTTTACGGCCATTGCAAATCTGCCTCTTCGGCACCTCAAGTTAGCTGGGGTTCGCATTTGGGAGGGGCATCGTCCTGAGCCACCTGTGACGCCACTCATTGTGCCACTGGAATCACTCTCACTTGGTATACGCCTCTGCGACAATGCAGAGTCTCACAAGGACAAAATAATCGCCGATGCCGATGCCGATGCCGATGCCAAGGCCTGGGAAAACAGAAGCCTGTCACCCTTGATAACAACTATCCTACAACGTTGCAGCACGACCCTCAAACGTTTAACCCTGAGTTACAATGCATACAAGGGAGATCAATCTCTTTCATTCGGTCATGAACAGATAATTAACCTTCAAACGTCTTCGGTACCTCAACATTTCTGGCATCTTTTGCAATCCTGATGTACAAGTCTGGTCTTCGCTGCTTTCTGCACCGCTGAGACATCTCTTTTTACCCTCCACAAATTCGCCAGCCTTTAAACAAGCCTTATTTGCCTGCGAACCCCTACGGGACCTTGAGACACTTGTCGTACCATACCTTAATGGCAAGGACGTTACAACGGTGCAGCCGATGATCGACTTCATTTCATGCCACCCACATGTTCACACGCTCTCCATCGGGGACACCTCACCCCAGCTCATGGACTCTCATCTTATTCCACTTCTCTCTGATGGCAGGTGGTCAAACCTCACCTCCCTTTCGCTAGTATGGAGCGAGCCGGGAACCCAGCCGGGAACCCAGCCACACACGGCCATCATTTCCGCAGACTCCCTAGCCGCTATCGGCAGTATCGGATCGCTGGAGCAAATCTGTTTAAGTGCAGGCTGTCAATTTGGCTGGCGCTACTAGTGGTTAATCGACTATAACACAGTACGGTTTAGCCTTCAGAGGCTAGCAAAGCTCAAGAGGCTCGCGTTCTCACGAGATACATACCGAGTGCTAGATGGCGGGCTTAGACTGGATGTGGAGGAGTATTATGAGCAGCGACATGTGACATCAGCGGAAGATAATGACGCCCTGGAGCGGCCGGAGCTAGATAGGGTTAGAGATTTTGAGCATGCGGCAGAGAGGGAAGACAATAGTGACGGTTTGGAGATTGGCAGCCTTAGAGTTTGGGAGCGCGCACATCGCAACCGCATGCTCCGGGAGGGGGAAAAGTATGCTGCTGCTTTCCCATGTCTGGAATGGATGTACTGCGGTCAGTGGCCAATGGAGGTTCGAAAGGTGGGCGTGTTGGGGGGCACGGTTCGTGCCGTGCCTCTGAGTAAGGAGAGGGACTCCTGCTGGACACTACTCCGCCGGATGTTCGCAATGCTGGAAGATGAGTGATTACTCTTAGGTGGGGCCCGTCACACGCGGCATGTATTAGACTGAGCTGCATGGAAATCTAGCAAAACACCGACTTCAGCATCGGCGGCCGGTCGCGGGCCTCAATATACGCATGGGCAACGCAGTTCTTGTCACCACTACTAGCACCACTCCGTGATAGCCGTGTACTTATCCGCACGATTCCAAGCACCTTTCTTCGATAGCTGCGAAACAAACTGCGAACTCCTCACTGCCATCGTTGTCACCATTTTGGTGCGGGAGAATTGGGGGTGATTAGATTATTCTAACAAGATTGCGAAATCCGTCTTCGCATCTTGGTCGTGGTGGTCATTGCAGCGTCGTAGAGCGACCTCTGTTTCCATCGTGGTGGCCCTTTCATTAATTGTACTGTTCTTGTTCTATTTGTACTCGAGCCGGCCGATTGAGTTTGACACCACGGCACGGCGCGAGTCTTCTCGGTCTAATCTATGGTTATGCCGAACCTTGACGGCTCCGGCCGCTCAGAGTTCGGGTGTGTGGAGCAGAGCAGCCGAGATATGATGCGCCACTTGTAGCCGGATCCGAGAACCTCTCATGTTAGACTTGTGCTTCGTGCTTCCGCCGGGTATTGGCTCTTTTTTCGTGACTAACTTCAATCTATATATCGCATTCGTAGAGTTTCGTCTTTTTTAATAGATAGACAAGGTGGTATATACTAATTCCTAGTTTGAATACAAACGGTGGCTCTTCTTGGTTTGGTAACGGTACATGATTGCACTAGTAAGAAAAAAAAAAAGGACGTTATGGGCTGGTGTCCCAAAACTAGGATTAGTTTGGATACGGCAACTATAAGCGGGACATCCCTGGGACTCAGCTCCGCTCAGAGTGATGCTCAGTGCGCCTCAGCTCCTGCTCAGGTTTCAAGCCTAATACGGATTTGGCCAAAAAACGCTGTCAGGGGTGACTATAGAGGTACGTACGTACCTTGATAAGAAAAGAAAACGGCATCAAGTCACCTGCAAGTTAAAACCAACAACCCCCCACCCCACTTTGCCAAAGACAAAAATACCAAAACTCAATGACTAGCCTTTAACAGAAAGAGCAGGGGAAGCACAGGCACCACCTCGTCCTCGTCCGCATGACCATAGAGCTCGCGCCACGTCGGCTGCAATGCGCGCGGGACGTGCCGGGCGTAGACTGAAGAAGTTGTTGTTGTTGTTGTTGTTGTTGCACAGCCGCGAGCGTGATGCCTAGATCACCATGCCGTTGCTTGGCGTGTCAAAGAGTAGCGGCCGCTCTTCGTAGCCGCAGTCTGCGCCGGGAATAGTTTAAAAAAAAGGGGGTTGATTTTAAGTGGGAGTTGGTGGAGGAATGCGGACTGTGCGGGGGGGGGGGTTACCCTTGATCTGTTTCACAATGTCGTTGATGTCTGCGAGAAAGAAATTGCTGCTCGCAGCAGGCCGCGAGAGCGAGTAGAAAGAAACAATCTCGCCAAAGTCATTGTAGAATGGCTAGGGGTTATAATCATGGTAAGCAGATATACTAGATGAGGGTCAGTGCCTCAAGGCCAGACTTCTAATCGCAATGGTCCTGTTGGCGGGGCCCCTGTGTGTCTTTTCCTCATCTCCGTCCGAAACCTCTATGTTTGTGACGTGATCTAGTTATTTGTATTACTGCAATGGTTAGGTAGCTGACGTCCATTCAAATCATTTCTGGGGTCAGTCGGGCGACTTACGGAGGGCGGTAGCATCTCCATTGGTAAGCGCTCTCTTGGTAGCGACGTAGCTTGCAATGCCGAGGTAGATGACCACGTTCTTGCGCTTGCTGAACCATAGAGGCTTCAGACCCCGGATCATGAAGAAGGGGTTCTCGTTGTGGAGCACCATGCTTCTCTCCCTGTGCTGGGGACCCACCAGGGTTGGGAGGGGGAAGTGGGTTGCCTGCATTGTATTCAGGGGCAAGTTGCTTTCTAATTAAGTTGGGAGTTAAATGTTAGTAGTTGGAATAATCGGTACACATTGAGGGAATAGCTCACTTTCAAAGTGTACGGCGGCATCCTCGATCTCCTACAGCTAGCCAAGTGACAGTTGTAGTAGGCTGGCCTGCACACCCACCCCTCGCTGGGCTGGGACAGCGGCAGTAACTATCGACTTCCTTGCTGCCACAGCCTGGTCGGTTCCGAGACAGGAGGCTCTCTTCTCGTGGCATCTTGCTCGACGGCTACCGAAAAGTCTACCGCAGACCTCTCCATGGGATTCAAAGCGTAGAGAAAGCTGAGAGGAGCGTTCGGAGCACCCTGCAGGAAGTTGCGCTGTAAAGGGTGCTGGAGCAGCATGTATAATTGTGCCCTTGCCTCAGGAAAGCCGGGACTTTGGACTGACCATGGCTTTTATTCACAGCCGACACCTTTCGCAAGATTCAGGCGGGACGGCGATTTGGAGAACGAGTTTTACTTTGTTTCTCAACTCTACGACCTTGAATTGACTAGAAACCTTCAAATATCGCCTCGACTTGCTGGCTAATTAGACCGACGTGATAACCAACTACACCATCCGACCTTGTTGCTATTACTAATCCAGCTAGCTGACTCCGCATATGCATGAAGACGCCCGCTCCTCTCCCAAAGTGGTTTCATAACTAGCGTGTCTTGGCCCGTTTCGTTTTGTTTTGTTTTTATATTTTGGTTTCCTTTTCTTACGAATTGTAGTTTGCCTTCCATGTCGCTAGATATCGTGGTTTCACAGTCTATGATTCCACAATCGTCAAAGTTAGGCGAATTGGCTCTTGGTACAATCCCGATTTCAACGATTCTGGTTGGCTGCTATTGTCTAATGGCCTGGTGACCGCCACCGTCCCGATTTCTGCTCCATGACATCCAAATAAAGAAGAAGTAGCAGTTACATCTTCGATATCCAAGGTACTTGGAGCCTAGCGGACGGCAGTATAACTCCCCAGGGTTGAAAAGCTTATTTTTCATTCCTTATTTGAGTGACATATCTCCTTTTCCATTTGCTTTGACCTTGTTGTTACATTTACCTAGACCCAAACAATGCAGGACCCCGGTATATCATGGCGGCCCGGTCGCCCACGAGACGAGTTAGCCGCCGGAAAAGTTGCCGCCGGGGGAAGTGCACGAACTTCAATGGTAGCTCTGATGGAGGGTGGCAGGCTCTTGTGACGGAAAAAGAGTCGGCAGTTGTGCCAAAATGCCCCTGTCTCCGAGTTGGTAGAACGACGTCGAGCCGTGACGGGAAGAGTCGGAGATATTCTGATATCGATACTAGATACGTATGTAACGGGTAGCTGCATCTCTACTGCCGGGTCAGACCGGACTGCGCAGTTCCTGAGCGAGTGGCAGACTACCCAATCGCCTGCCTTCGTTTGAATACCAATACACCCTCGAGCTAATACTTGCCAAATCATAATGCTCTTAAACAACACTCATAATTATAATTACCTACGCTCCGCTACTCGGCAGCCACTGTTATTGCCGGTAATAGAACAAAGCACAACGGGAGGGGCCCGCGGTTGCGCCCATAAGTGGCAACCGAGTGGTATCGGCGAGGCCTGTGCCATGTAGTAGCATGGAGTATTCATCTGCCTTGAACACCATGATTGGCAAGCCGGGACTCGAGCACAATACACGTACACGTACACACACATACACATGCCGGCACGGTCCGAGTCGCGGTTGCAGCGCCTACGAGTGCTTGTCCTAACCCGTCCTACAGACCGCACGCAGGACATGCGGAATCGGCGCTTCCGAGGCGGGCAGGGACAGGCGCCGAATCAGAAAGAGACGTCCCAGACTGCTGTCGCTATACCTACCGAGTCGGCGGCAGGCCGTTTCTAGATAGACAAATTCGCAGACTTGTTCTCCTTGGACTCTGAAGCTACTTGCGGCTAGCTGAATTACGGGACAGGGGAAGGCACATGATTAGGTACGTATTCCAGCGTGGCCTGTAGATGCCGACGTGGTGCCGGGCAGGTAGATATCGGCCACCCCATATCCGAATTCGGCCTGCCCTCAACCGCCCGCGGTAGCATTTTCAGTTTTGCAGCCATGGTGGCGTGATATCGCGCCGGGGGGATTTCAGACAGCACTGGAGATCCGTGCAACTGCGAACAATTACAGCCTAGGTACAGTACTTACTGTACCCAGCTAGCATTGAGTGAGCGAAGAAACTTGCGCAACCGCAAATGTCTTGGCGCAGGGGTTCGCCGGGATTCGGGATCAGTTTAGAGGATAGTAGTGGTGGCAACTGACAGCAGTCATTCTTCGATCATGCATCTTAGTGATAATCTACTTCAGTGAAAGAAAAACAAGCAAACGGCTTGATATTGGAGGCCTCGCAGATCATGGAATTTGTGAATGCATGCGACCTCCTTCCCGAGGGTCAGCACCTAAAAATCGAATCTGGTAAGGGGGGGGGGGTGTGCGTAGCTGTAAAATGCGCACGTCGGGTAAAGAACTAGCAATGGTAGTCATTTGGTCGGGCCAAGAAGTCCCGAGTCGGCGGATGTCGGGGGCGATCGGCATACGGCAGATGTTGATTGAGAAAATGAATCAGGGGGGAGGGGCAAGAGGGGCGGCCGTTGGCCGCGCGCGGGTTTGGGGGGAGTTCCCGTACCCGCTTACCGGTTCAACGGAAGGGGAGAAAAATACGCCCCTACCTAGGCCAAGTAGACACAACGAAAAAGATGGAATTTGTTTGGGCGCTGATGTCAGAGGCCATGGGATGGGAAAACCCGGAACAGAAACGCAGGGTTGTCATGCAGGATAGCGGGAAATTGGACAACAAGAAGGGATCTAATACGCAGAAAATGCAGCCTTCGACAAATTTGGAAAACGCGAGTGTGCTGGGTCCGCCTACAGATAGATACCGGCTCCGGCGAGCACAGTTCACAAACAACAATAGCCGTGAAAACCGCCATAAAAAGCACGACGCTATGGTCTACTGGTATGATAAGGGCGCCCGTGATAAAGCATTGTCGGAACCGGGGAGGGAACCGACAGCGTGTCGCGGCGTGGGTTGTAGGCGTTCAGTAGGATTTTCGCCGTGGAATGGTGTGCGCACAACGTGCTTGGCAGTTCTCCTGGGACGAGCTGACGAAGTTGGCATCGGCTTGTTGACGCCGGCGGCTCGAGGACGGCCCACTAACAGCATCTGCCTTGACTCTTGGCCTGCAGCTGCCGACAATGATAAGCTAGGCCGGACATGTCTTGGCGTTCTTGTCGGGCTCTCATCCCATGCGTCACGAAAACTAAATTGAGGCTTTGACGTGATGTTCGAACGCGGGCATGCATCACGACAGCGGGCCATCTGTGCGAGGTGTGGTGCAGTGTAGAAACTGGATGCGTGGTGAATTTTATCTTCAGGAGTCGTGATGGTCGAGGCATAACAGTACGTACCTGAGCGAGCTCAAAGGGTGTTCCTGGTTGTGTGCATAGCAGCAGCATAATTGGTGAACAGTAGTAGCCTTCGTCTCTTTGGGCCCATACCTTCAGCTCGGCCTCTCTTGTGATTTTTGAGATTTTCACTTTTACCGCCCCGTGTTTTGTCTCCTTTGTCCGCGTGACTTCCTTCCTGGTTTGGACATCGTGGTTCGGTCTCATTTGCCGCCTCAAAAGCGCAAAGCAATCTATCCACGTTTCTCGTTTGGCCGCCCTGCCTGCCCAATCAGGAGTAAGCAAAAATCACATGTCATTCCAGACTCCAGTCCTCGGGCTACCCCGGGTCACGTTCTTGCTGGGTTACGTAAAGAAGGCAAGGGAACAACCCCAGGAACCGCTTGCCGAGCTCACTGGCTCGCCCCTCGCCAAGCGGCCTTGCAATCCGTCGGCCTGTTTCGTCTCGGGATTGGCCCCGGTTGCAGTGTTTCTTTCTCAGCTCCTTTGCAACAGAGTAGCATTTCAAAATAATTATAAGAAAACTGCCCTGGAAAGCATGTGTAAAGCCCCAAGGCTCGGGCAAAGTCGGGACAGGGGTTTTGCTCTTTTACATTGGATTGCCGATGTGCTGGCCTATGACGTGACACCCGAGGCCACTTAGCCAAGGTAGTGGGGAGGTGTGGTTTCAGGCTGCGCACAGTGTTCAACTGCACTTGCAAATTGATGTCTGCAACGTCCTCATGCAGGGAGATAAGAAGCCGAGGCTTATATGTTGGTAGCGGTTAGTGCTGCGTCTCGACGTTGGGACGGGTTCGTGGATGCTGCATTCCATCCATAGGTTGATGCTACAAGTCTTGGTTTTTTTGTCCTTCTCACGTCCAGTTTGGAAGTTGGTGGGGTTCCAAGGTTAACTGCTGGCGGCCCCCGTCATTCTTGGCTTGGCGGCGATCAGAGCCCCGTCACCCGCTGGGGAGAAGTTTTCTCCCACCAACAACTGCGGGGTAAACTTTTCCTGTCTGGATGTCACACTTTCAGAACGAAACCCGGGAGATTCAGGTTGCCAAGCCTGGGCATTTACCAAGCCCTAGGTTGTCACCAAGGAGAGTTTAAGCTGAAATGCGGTGCTAGCTTGGCGGGCTAGCGAGTAAAGAAGACCTCGTTCCGGCCGCGCGTGGCTCACTGGCGAGTTGCCGCGTGGAGAGCCGCCTCTCAGGCAGTTCGAACCGTCCAGCCCTGCTTCGGTGCTTCCTAGTCAAACAGGAAGACGGGGGCACTCTCTACCTGCACGTGTATCCCGGCGTCAACACCGGCACAGCATCAGGCAAAGGCACCTCTGAGAGGCCGCTTCAGAGGCTGCTTCTGCTGACTCGACATGTGTAAACCCCGACGCTAAGATCAAAAATAGAAATCTTTTTCCATGACGATGGGCCATACGGGAGGCAGTTTTGGAGAGGGCCGTCATGTGCCCAACCACGATCCACACGGGGCCGCTCAGCCTCTTTTCCCAGGCGGCTGGCATGGGTTCCTCCTGATGGGTCCATTTCCCCTGACCCCAGACCCGGACTACAGACCGTGGATTTCTGGAAGCTAGACTGAAACCAACACCCGAGTTTCGCGCCTCCCCGGACTCTTCCGAGAGCATCGCATTTGCCTGTCGTGAACAGTGGCAGGCGGGCATCTACCTCTAACTTGAGGTTTAAGAGACGCAAACGCAACTAGATATGTAAGTAGACAGATAGACAGAAACATTGTGTGTACCATTGTACATGTACACGACAACGCACGCTGGAAAAAATCTCTCGCGTCTGCCGAGTTTCGGAGCCAACGTGTGCAGCACTTACTGACTGACTGTACAGGGCAGGGCTGATCTACTGGACCTACCCAGGATTAACCAAAATGGAAAGAACGGGAGCGGGAAGCGGGAAAGCAGCTGGCGACCTCAGGAACCAATTGACCTCCAATTGTAGCCCGATCAGAAATAAAGGCGGTCTTTGCACCGGCTACATGCCTACGACAGTCCTGGCTGTGGTCCTCATTGGCACGGTGTGCAGAGACTGCAGAGTGCAGAGAGCTGCAGGTCAGACAGTGAATGATAACCTAGAAGCCACTGACTTGCACCACGCAATCGTGCACACCGTCCAGGGCCTCCAATTCGGCGGCGACAAACGGTTTAGCTCCGTAGGTCGGCGTTGGTTGTGTCAGTGCAGTCTAAACGAACATGATCGGGTGCCAGTTCCAGGCCAGAAAGTCAGATACAGTGCGCCAGATCCAACCTTACCTTGGTAGGCAGGCAGCTATCGCCACGGCCAGCCAGACCCGCGGGAGTAGGTGACAGGGGTGTTGTCGAGCCAGCTCCGGAAACAATTCGTGGGCCAAGGGGTCCAATCAGTTGGCAGCTGGAGGCCGGGCCAGCGCCCACTTGTAAGCCGTCCGGGCCAGTGGCACTTCACCTGCCTAGTTCCGTTCCGGGCATCACCACCTAGCAAGGGATTTGAAGTGGAAAAGCCACCCTAGGAGTGGAATGCTCGGCTGGCGTCACGCGCAGGCAGGGTGTGTGTGCATTCTAGGCCCCACGGCCATATATACGATGGTCTCCTAGCCACTTGGCCCGTCTGGAGTCTGGACGACTTTTCCCTTATCAAGCACTACCCGGGCCCCAGTTCTCCATCCGCAAGGCTTGTCAACCCTGCAGTGCAGCAAGTGGATTACAACTTGCTTGTCTTCGAGTCCGCAGCGCATCGACCTCCCGGCCTTGTCCCGCATCCCTCGTTGTTGACCAACAGCCCAAACCTAACTGGCCTCGCGCCGCAGAACAAAAAACACTTTAAGAACCATGAAGGACCCCGTTGTCAGAACCGCTTCTCCCTACATCGATCCCTCTGTCAAAGGACCTCGCTCGCAGCAACTCTCTTCTGAACATCCCACAAACATCCGCAAAAGCAAGTCTGCCCTCTACCTCTGCCTCTGCCTCCTCTCCCTTCCATGCCATGCCCTTCTCCGGGCCGCGCCTGCCATGGCCGCGCCTGTCCTCTCTGCCCCTATCCTCTCCCCTTCCCATTGTCTCCGTCTCTCTCGGCCGGCTCCCGGTGCGCTCTCGTAGCTTCCAGGATGGGCCATCTCGCTAACACCCCCCGTATTAGTGATTTCCAATACCGTCAACAAGACCGGCCTCCACCCGAGCGGTGTGCAGTAAGTCTGAATCCGAATCACAGCTCTGCTCTCGCCAGACCTTTTAGATCTTGTGCTTACGATGTTCTCCCTCCAGGCCCCAACATGAACACACTGAGCTAGGTACGCCAAACGGGTCAATCTCAGTCGTGCCGTGCAGCACCCCGTGTTCTAGTGCGTGTCTCTAACAAGCAGGCTACAGAGGAGGAGCTCCACGAGAAGGCCCACATCGACTATGACAGAGTCGCTATCGTGAGTCAGAACCCGCGCACCAATGCCGTTCACATTCGGCAGCGCTGACCGCGCTTGCCTACCTGCTCTAGATTCCCAACCCCTCAGTGGCGGCCCTCTACGAGGACGCATTGGTGTACGAGACGGGCACGGCCATCACATCGAGCGGCGCCTTGACCGCGTACTCGGGCAAGAAGACCGGGCGGTCGCCGCTAGACAAGCGTATCGTCAAGGAGCCGACGTCCGAAAACGATATCTGGTATGTCTTTGTGTTGTGGGCGGCTGGTTGCACAGACAGCTTTTGCTCCATCCATACCATTCCCATTGCCCATTGGCAGCCTGGGAGTGAAACACATTCCGCTGTTGTCAGGTGCTCGTAGTCGATGCTAACCGCGTTTTGCTGCTAGGTGGGGCCCTGTGAACAAGCCGATGACTCCCGAGGTAAGACATTTTTATTTATTCGTCTTTGGTTCTATCTTCCATTCGGCCGGTCCGCATGCCGTTTTCGCCTGCCGTTTCCACCCGCCGGCTGGGCTGTGAAATGCTGCTCCGCAAACACTCTCAGCCGAGTGTCACTAGGCAATGGACACGAGGTGCATTTACCGTGATCGCCCCCTTCGCAACTCGGTAAAGGCGCAGTCCAATTGCGCGAACGCCATGAATCTTGTGCTGCCTCGGCTTTAAGATCGCCCTGGCAATAATGCACGTGCGGCATCTGGCTGCGCGGTCGGTGATGGCGGGCGCTCGTCACTCTTGGGTCGTCGTGCAGCTGTCCCTCCCCTCGCCATCTGCAGTACCTACCCCTGTCGTTTTCGTCATGGCTGCAAGCCTTCGTCCCAAGCCATGCACCCCGCTCCCGAGATCCGACCACACGCCGCAAGCGGGAGCCTCCCCCGCACCAATTAGACAAAAACGGCTTCACCATGGCGTGGAACCCCTGTCACGTTGTTTTGCTGCAAATGCAGACGCAGACGCAAATGCAGATGCAATGCGTCTTCTATTCCAGATGAGAGGCTAACAACGCTGGTTCGTGACAGGTGTGGAAAATCAACCGCGAGCGCGCCATTGACTACCTCAACACGCGGAATCGCATCTACGTCGTCGACGGCTACGCGGGATGGGACGAGAAGTATCGCATCCGCGTGCGCGTCGTCTGCGCCCGCGCCTACCATGCTCTCTTCATGCGCAACATGCTCATCCGCCCGCCCCGTGAGGAGCTCGAGCACTTCCACCCCGACTACACCATCTACAATGCCGGCTCCTTCCCTGCCAACCGCTACACCGAGAGCATGACCTCGGGCACCTCGGTCGCCATCAACTTCGCCGAGAAGGAGATGGTCATCCTGGGCACCGAGTATGCCGGCGAGATGAAGAAGGGCGTCTTCACCGTCATGTTCTACGAGGGTCCCATCAAGCACAACATCCTGACCCTGCACTCGTCCGCGAACGAGGGCCAGGACGGCGACGTAACCCTCTTCTTCGGCCTTTCAGGAACCGGCAAGACCACCTTGTCAGCTGACCCCAACCGCCGCCTCATCGGTGACGACGAGCACTGCTGGAGCGACCGTGGCGTATTCAACATTGAGGGCGGCTGCTATGCCAAGACCATTGGCCTGTCGGCCGAGAAGGAGCCTGATATCTTTGGCGCCATCCGCTACGGCTCGGTCCTCGAGAACGTCGTCTTCGACCAGGACACGCGCGATGTCGACTACGACGACTCCACGCTGACCGAGAACACGCGGTGCGCGTACCCGATCGAGTACATCAGCAACGCCAAGATCCCGTGTCTCTCGCCCAGCCACCCGTCCAACATCATCCTACTCACCTGCGACGCCAGGGGTGTGCTACCGCCCATCTCCAAGCTGAACAGCGCCCAGACCATGTTCCACTTCATCAGCGGCTACACCTCCAAGATGGCCGGCACCGAGGACGGCATCCTGGAGCCCCAGGCCACCTTCTCGTCGTGCTTCGCCCAGCCCTTCCTCGCGCTGCACCCCATGCGCTACGCCAAGATGCTCGCCGACAAGATGGAGAACCACAACACCAACGCGTGGCTGCTCAACACGGGCTGGGTCGGCGCCGGCTTCGCCCACGGCGGCAAGCGCTGCCCGCTCAAGTACACGCGCGCCATCCTCGACGCCATCCACAGCGGCGAGCTGGCCAAGGTCGAGTACGAGAACTACGAGGTCTTCAACCTCTCGGTGCCCCAGACCTGCCCCAACGTGCCCGCCGAGCTCCTCAACCCCAAGAAGGCCTGGACCGCCGGCAGCGACAGCTTCAACAAGGAGGTCACCAAGCTCGGCTCCCTTTTCCTCGAGAACTTCAAGAAGTACTCGAGCGAGGCCACCGAGGACGTCATCAAGGCCGGCCCCGTCGTATAAAGCCATGTCACGACCCCACAACGAATCATTTGCGGCTTTTCTTCTTTTCTAATGATAAGAGAAAAGAGAAATAATGCGCCAAGATCCGATTCCTATTGTGCTCTTAGCCGAACGCCCTACCCGTCGCTCTAGCAGATGAAATAGTCGACGAAAGATGAAAATCACCCCCTTTTCTTTCAAGACACGTCGTGCTGCGAATCAGCATTGCATGCATTGCCTCTAGGCGCTCTTTCTTTTTTTTTTTTTTTTTTTAGTCTTTTACTTCCTTGTTATTGTATCTGTCTGGATATAATTCATTTTTCATTTTCCTTTTTTCTTCTCTCTCGTCGTTCATGAACGGTCCACGGTGTAGTGGGTGTGTGATCCCCATTCTAGAGATAGGATCGTTAGCCCTGTCAGTCGTCAGTCAGTCAGTCAGTCAGTCAGTCAGTCTTCGAACAGTCGAAGACTGTGCGTGCGCATGGGATTATGGGGGATAACAACATGGGAATGGGCCCATCATCGGGCCCATTGTTGGGGAAGCAAAAATAACCCGAGGTTGATCGGCGACGGGGGGTTTGCATCATATTGCAACTAGTCTAGTCTAGTTCCTTCGGGGTTGAATGAGAAGAGACAACATTTCAGTAATGCTGCGCCGTGCCGTGTTGTCCCTTTGTGAATTGAACCTTGAGGTTTTGGCACTTTGAGAACTCTTCGCCCTGTCTCATCTCACCAGACAAGACTGTGTGGATGCTCTTGCTGCTTGGTATTATGCCGTGTCGTTGGCGGCTGTCTAAATGTGAGCAACATAGTTCTGGCAGGTTACTTCCTGATCTTATGTCTTTGTACAGTTTTTCCATGCCGGGTAAGATGGCTTGCGTTTGACACTCTACCCCGCCCCATTCAACGTCTTTTATCTGCAGCCAACCGTCATGCCCATTCCCATGCGCAATGATTTGACTTAGTCTCGCTAACATTCATCATCATGCCTCGATCGCTCCAAACGTGGTACCTTGCACAACCATTGCCGCGGCACCACCGCCGCCTGCTACCTTCGCACGCAAATGATCCAGTTGAGCGAGCCGACGGGCCACATGAAGGACTCGCGGCCGGAGCGCACCTCCCAGCGGGCGAGCTCGGCGTCGCCGCCCGCGGCGCCGCACGAGCGCAGCAGCGCCTCGACCTCGTCGGGCGTGCGCGTGCGCAGCGCCGACATCCAGCCGTCGAAGACGAGCACGAACGGCAGGATGGGCACCAGGTACGTGAAGAAGAGCGTCGCCGGCGACCGCCACACCAGCGCGTAGTACGGCGCCAAGACCAGCACCCCGAGCCCGAACAGGCAGCACGTCAAGAAGCCGAGCAGGTTGCGGTCTTGCAGCTCGAATATCCTATACCGTAAAACGGGGGTTAGGCTAGACATGCGAAGAGAGAGAGGAGGAGAAGAGACGCACCCGAACCCGTCGCTCGTCTCGACCGTGTTCTTGAGGATCGCCTTGGCCAGCGGGTCGTCAAAGTGGTGGAAGGCCAGGTTGAAGAGGCGGAACACCTTCTTGCCCTCGGCCTTGTAGCGGCCGACGAGTTCGGCGGGGGCGTGGGCCGCGTCGACGGACCCGGCCTCGAACGTGACGTTGGGGCTGAGCGCCGCCGCCTTCTCCCAGTCGTCGACGTGCGGGTGCAGGTCCGTCAGCACGAAGCGCACGGGTGCTTCGGCTGCCGCGACCGCGGCGTAGCTCGGGTGCGGCGGGGACGGGGACGACGAGGCCGACACGCCGTTAGGGACGGGGGCTGCGGGGCTCGGCGCCGGCGAGCAGCCGAGCGCGGCGTTGAGGTGCTTCTCGATCGAGGGCGTCGGCCCGCCGCCGCCCGCGCAAAAGTCGATAAAGACATAGTCGCGCACCGTCGTCTTGAGGTTGCTGTAGAGCAGCTTCGCGACAAGGTGGGCTGGGGAGCTCCGTTGGAGAATTGGAACCTAATGGGTTGTGGCAGTCAGATATGTAGTCTCGGCCCGCGTTCGTGCGACGGTTCCGGTAGACACCCGGTATGTGGTAACTCACGTGGGTAGTCCAGGCCAAGGTCAGCGCCGCCTGGACGCGAGCTCGAAGGAAGCTTGGGAACCTAGCAGTCGCAGTAGGCAGGCCATGTTAGGATCTGCAGCCATGGCCGCCGGGTATGGGCGTGCCAGAAGCAGAGCCGGCTCACCAGGTCTGGTCGTCGATCTCGAAGAGATGCATGCGGGGGAGGAAAGGCGCCATCGCTTCGGACTGGATGGATGGGCCGGGGTTAAAAAGGTCAATGGCGTCGTGGCTCTCCAGCTAGCCCTAGACCTAAGGATCTTTAGTAGGGAGGCTAAAGTATTTCGTGCTTCGGTGGGCGTGTTGTTGTCGAACACGTGTAGGTTAATGTGCGTGCAGTGGCGTTGTCTGGAAACCACGTCGAGCAGGAGAGAAGCCTCATCTCGATTTTGTTCTAGGCTGCGTCTCGGGTTAGGTATGACGTCTCAGTGTCGCGAATGGGGCGGGGAAATGGTTTCAGTGCTTCAATGGTTGACCCCTGTAGGAAAACTCGATGCCTGTGCGTTCCTGCATTCAGCTGCTTCCAGGTCGGAGAAACATTTTGTGGGCAACTGTACGGAGTACTGTACATACATACCGTAATTCGGGCGGGTTTGCCAAGCGCGGTCGGCGTTTTAGTCTTCGTCCAGTAATGGCGGGAAGCTAAGTTTCCGTCAAGTCCATGACCGCTTTTCATCCCATTCCATTACTTACCCACTCCGTGCCGAATGCGCGGAAGCAGGACTTCTCCAAGACTTATACACCGCCAGCGCTGACTTTCTGCTTCTTCGATCGATATTTTCTCATCTAGATGTACCGCAGAGCATGGATTATTGACCCGATTACTTCTGCATTTTCGTGATTTGTGATCCCAACCAACGCACCGTCTCTCCGCCCATTAGTAACACCCGGACGGAGGGTGCCATGGGCGTTCTCCTTGGCTGGGCGCAATACGTCGTGTGCGCCGTCGTGCTTGCGCTTCTCGTGCGCACCCGGTGGAACACAAGGACTATAGTCGCAAGCAATGGCAGGGCTCTGAGGTAATCAGCTGCATTTGCTACCTCTCCCGCAGCATCTTCACTATTCGCGGGTCTGACAAGCCGTGACACCGACAGAAAACCCCCCGACACTCTGCCGCTCGTCGGCAATGGCATCAAGTTTCTCCAGTCCCGGTGGAAGCTGTTCGGCTGGTTTGACAAGTGTCAGCGCCAGTTTGGCTACGAGACGGTTGCACTCACCGTGCCCACGTTGCCTCCCGGCGTTCTCATTCACGACCCCCGGAATCTCGAGTTCGTCTTCAAACATGAAGGCGTCTTCACAAAGGGGAACTTTGTCAAGGGCCGATCTTGGGACCTCTTTGGTTGGCAGCTATCCATACCGGTACTCCGTTGCTTCGTGTGGCTAATGCGTAGATAACCTTGCAGGTAACGGAATCATCAATGCCGATGGCGAGTTGTGGAAGCTACAGAGAAAGGCGGGCTTGGCCTTTCTCAACACAGCCAATCTTCGGGTCCTCACCGAAGTCGCTCTCCCTCAGTATCTGTTCGAGAGTGTCAACGAGATCAAGGCAACTATCGGCGAAGAGGTAATCGACCTGCAACATGTCTTTCATGAGATCACAACCAAGCTGATGGGTCGCATGGCTTACAACGTAAGCCGCCACGTTTCCAGTTGTCTGTTCACCGGCTGTCAGCCGCATTTCTAAACTATCTATCTCACAGATGGAAATGCATGCCGACGATGAATTCGGCACGGCCTTCGACTATGCCTCTGGTGGAACTGCTGAACGCTTCCAGAACCCTCTATGGTTCATCACGGAGTTATTCTTTGGGTCCAAGCTCCGAAAGTCCATCTCGATTGTCAAAGACTTTGGGGGGCGCATAGTCGCGAAGGCAGTCCACGACCGGCGAGGCCAAAAAGATGAGAAATCCGAGGTAGAGCAGGATGATGGAGAGAGAAAGCTCGACCAAATCTCGGGCAGTCTTATCCAGTCCCTCCTCGACGCCATTGGAGACGAACAAATGGTCGCCGATGCTGCCCTGACCTACCTCTCTGCTGGCAGAGACACCACAGGCCAGGCCCTGACGTGGACCTTCTACCTCTTGATGAGGCATCGGGACGTTGCGGACAAGGTTCGGCAAGAAGTCCAGCGACTGTTCGGAGAACGGGGCGTGTCGCCAGCGCAGGAACGCTTCGACTCGACCCTGTTTACCCCCGTTTCCATGCCATACTCCATGGCCGTCTTTTACGAGGCCCTGCGCCTGTATCCGCCGATTCCCTTTGAGATCAGGCAGTGCATGGAGGACGTGACGCTGCCAGACGGGACGTGTTTGCCCAAGCACTCAGTCCTCGTCTGGTGTCTGTGGGCAATGCACCGGTCTAAGGTCACCTGGGGCGACGACGCCGACGAGTTCAGGCCTGAGCGGTTCTTGGAGCATGGGAAGCTCGTGTCCAAAAGCTCGACCGAATTCCCCGTTTTTTACGGGGGGGCTAGGACCTGCCTTGGCAAGAAGATGGCAGAGGCCATTGCCGTCCAGGTCATACCGACTATGGCGTGGCTGTTTAACTTTACTCCGGTGGACCAGAACGAGAGGGTCAGCAAGACCAGCTTGACCATGCCCATGAAGGACGGGTTGCCTGTCAGGGTCGAGGTTGCATCAAGAGCGCGAGGCTTGTCTCTCGAGACGCAATAATAGACGAGTCTAATAACAAGGGTTAGGGTTCGATCCTTTGTATTGGGCCAATGCAACACAAGCTGCTTTTTCCCCTCCCTCGCTTCTCCTCGATCCTAGTTTCAAGTTGACGCAACAGTGATCAGAATAGGCCGTCTGGGATCGGGGCTCGAGTGCCCCCTCCCTTCTTCAGAATATTGTGTCGTCACTGTCCGTCCAAGACACAACTGACCCACAAAGAGTTCCGAATACAACCTGGGACAGAACAAACTGCTCCCTCGTAATACCCCCAATCTCATTTGTCTCGAATCCATATATACATATACATATTCCAAGGTAGCTGCGGTGTTCTCGGTGTACTCTACAAGATCGACCAATTTAGTCGGAGGTGAAATTGGATAGCATTGGATGAACGTGCGTGGATCACGCCAACAGCCTGAGCACATTTTTGGAAACAGACTCTTCAATCGCATTGTTGATCCAGCAAGACAAGACTGGGAGGACGGACTATGTCGTTCGTCAACAGGCTCCTCGGCCTGACCAACTTCAAGAACCCGCTGCTGCGGACGCTCGTGCCCAGCGTGTCGGCCGCCTTCGCCATCCAGACGGCCTTTGCCATCCCGTCCATCGCCGCCCAGTCCGACCGCTTCTACGACTTCTCGGGCGCGCTGAGCTTCGTCACCGTCACGGCCCTAAGCCTGTACCTCCCTGCTCTGCGAGCGCGCTACGCAGCGCCGCTGTCGTCGTCTTCGAAAGCTGTCGCGCTCCCCAGCTTGCTTGCCCCCTTTAAAGGAGCCGGGGAGCCACTTGGCTTCGATTGGCGGCAGGTTGTCCTGAGCGGCGCCGTCGTCATCTGGGCCACTAGACGTGAGTTGAAATGAAACCTTGTGGCCGGGAACTAGGCCGGACGCATTAGGGACCTCGCTGACGGCCGCGTTTCGCACCCCACACCCAACAGTGGGATCCTACTTGTTCCAGCGCGTCCTGCAGGAGGGCAAGGATTCGCGCTTCGACGAGATCAAGAAGACGCCGTCCAAGTTCTGCGTCGCCTTCATGGCGCAGGCCACGTGGGTGTCGCTGAGCCTGATGCCCATAATGGCCGTCAACTCGGTGCCGGCCGCCGCGCTGGCCGGCGGCGCGAGGCTCAGGCTCACGGACCTGCTCGGCCTGTCGCTGTATCTCGGCGGCATCGCGTTCGAGATCGTCGCCGACCGCCAGAAATCCAGGTGGACTCGCGAGAAGCGCGCCAAGTTGCACGACGAGCAGTTTCTGACCAAGGGGTTGTGGAGTAAGAGGTGTGTGATTTTTTTTGTCCTGGCTACCCCTTTTGTGTCGCCTTCCCGCCGCGATGTCCTCCTTTGCTACCTAGCCCTCGTTCGCATCTCGTCCCGCACATAGACTGACCTACGGCGGCCCCCTTTTGGTCCAACAGCCGACACCCGAACTACTTTGGCGAATCGACGCTGTGGCTCGGCCTAGCGACGGCCTCGGCCGGCGTGCTTCTCGCGCGCCCCGTACAGGCCGTGCTGGGCGGCCTGAGCCCCGCCGTCGCGCTGTCGCTGTGCTATGTCAGCCCCGCCTTTGTCACGTTTCTACTACTCAAGGTCAGCGGCGTGCCCCTGAGCGAGAAGAAGTACGACCGCCTCTACGGCGGCCGCAAGGACTACCAGGACTGGAAGCGGAACACGCCCAAGTTCTTTCCGAATCTGTTCTGACATGCCGCTGTTGGCAGTGTATTCTGTTGGTTGGCAAGGGGGGCGGATGGCTTGGCCCTGTTCGAGGTTGGATAGACTCGGAAGTGTTCAGCGAAAGTATTTCTCAGTTTCATTGTAATTACTCTGCGGCGTATATTAAACAGATACTACCAAAGCAATATAATACCGTCTTCGTAAGGTCGTAGCAGCTGCATGTATTATAGAGATGCGGCGTGAACTTCTTGCTGTAACAAAAACCACCTTTCCATCATCCTCCTCCGGGAGTCAACCCGCAGGCTACGCCAAAGACTCACAAGCAACGCCAGTCAAACGTCGAAATGCATTACATATTAAATAAGAAAACAAGTATCAGATCTCGTTCAGCCAGAGGCGCCTTTCTAGGCGTGCCTCTCTTCTGCTATCCGTTTTTAATCCAAGAATTGACACTCCCGTCCAAAGACCGACTCGAACCCAACTCTCCCTCTCACGTATATCCATATCTGCCTGACAAACCCCTTTTTTACACAAACAAAGTTGGCCGATGGTATCCCTCGCCAAGCCGGGTATCAAGAAACGAACAACATGACCCCCCCCCTTAAAAAAAAGGAAAAGAAGATGTCTCTTATTTCTTGGACATCATCAGCCTCAGGAACTCGTCCTCGTCGACGCCGCCCTTGCCCGAGGCATCAAACTCCTCGATCATGGCGAGCATGTCGGCGTCGGGGATGTTGTTGCCGACCTGGGCGCTGACGCGGCGCAGGTCGTCCTGGGAGATGATGCCCTTGCCGTCGACATCGAACAGGCGGAAGGCGCGCAGCAGCTCCTCGCGCGGGTCGCGCTGGCGGATCAGCGTGCCGGCGATGGCCTGGGCGGTGGGCAGATTGAACAGCCGGTACACGGGCGGACACTCCTGGTCCAGCGGCCAGCTGGGCGGCTTCTGCCCGTGCCGCACCAGCAGGTCGTACGTCTGCGTCTTGGGCAGCTCGAAACCCAGCGCCCGCAGCACGAACCGGAACTCCTCGTACGACAGCAGCCCGTCCTTGTTGGAGTCGAAGAGGTCGAACTGGGGGGGCGTGTTAGTCTCGTGTGTTTGTCTTTGAACGGACACCTGTCTGGGCTGGTAGAGACAAGAGAAGTAACATGACATACCGCTTCGCCCACGCGCGTCTTTTGCTCGTCCGAGAGCTTGCTAAAGTCCTCCCGCGCCGGGATTGTGTATTGTATTGCGCGCCCGGACGATGCCATGGCTGGAGGTGCTGTGTTCGAGACGATAGCGTATGCTAGGCTATGAGGAGGGAGGCGCGGCAAACGTTTTCCTTTTATGTCGAGACTGCGCACGGCTGTGGTGGTGGGCGGTTGTTCGAGTGCGGATGCAGGTGCGGGAACGGGTGCTGGCGCGGAGCAATGGATTCCAAACAAGAGCGAGCGGGTGGCTGGGGATCGACAGAGTGCAAGCGAAAAAAAAAAGGGCGAGACTTTCGAAGGGTCAGGGCGCGACCATTTGCAACGAAAACCGCAATCGAATTGGTGAAAAGTGTTGGGCAGCGGCGGGTCTTCGACGCATGGTGGTGACGATAACGGTGATTGTTGTGCACTTTTGCGCCGACAAATGAGCTCCGCCCCTCTTCCGCATAATAAGCCCCTTCCCCAAGACCTCTCTCGACGTTGGAGAATAAAGATGGAGCTTTGCAAAAAAGACGCGTCCGTTCGTCGGCACTCACCGGTTTCTCCAAATCCACTTTACGCGTTGCGCTGCTGGCACCCCACCCCCTGTCCGTCGCGTTGCGGGCAGAAACGAGAACAGGGGGCAGGGGTAGGGTGGGAGCTGCAAGCCAGGCACAAGCCCACTAAAAATTGCTGTAGCGGGGTTGTGCTTTTCTCGCGGAGGAATTTTCTCGAAATCTTGTCGGCGCGAGACCTCAGCTTTGTCAAAAGTTAAACGACAAACAATTCCCACAAGGCGCCGTGCATTTTCCTGCGGCGAGACAACATGCCGAAACGGAAGCGCTCCGACGAGGAGGAGAGTGTCGAGGAGGTCTTTGGGAAGTTCCGGACCGAGCTCAACCATGCGCTGAAAAAGGCCAAGGGCTTCGAACGCCAGCGGCAATCGAAGCGGCTGTACGATGCAAAGGCCACGCCGGACAAAAAGCGGCGGGTCGAGAATGAGATTTTGGTGCTCAAGGTAACAAATTCTCGAGGGGGTTCAATTGGAAATGCTGCAACAGAATATTGGCTGATTTACTGTGTGCAGTCACTCAACCTCCATCAGACAGCGCACGCACACTTTTGCTCGGCGTTGCTGCGCATCAGAGCTGCGGCCGAATCGCCAAAGCTCCCAGCCGAGATCAAGGCCGGAGTCGCAAAGCCGAACCTGACAGAGGAGGAACAGACGACCCTGCACAACGTCACCAGTGCCCTGTACAGCCACAGCGACGTGCGCGCCGTGATTGACCGAGCTATCACGCAGATCTGCAAAGCCCTCAACGTCCCAGTGCCGGAGAAGAAGGGCAAGGGCGGCAAAAAGCTAGCGGCAGCGCCCGTAGCAGCCACACCAGCAGCCAAAGAGGGACTTCCGGCAGAGAAGGCGAAGAAAGGGAAGAAAAAGAGCAAAGACAGCGTGCCAGAAAATGCAGACCAAGCAGGTCAAAAGGAAGCGGGTAGGGAGGTTGACGATGACGACGACGAGGCCACAGAGATGGTTATCTCGCAACTTGACAATCTTTTAGGTGCTTCTTCGTCAGAGAGGGATAGCAACACGGACGAGGAAGACACTACTAGAGCGCTAATAAAGGGGGCGAGGCTACGTCGTCTCGCCACCAGGGATCTCGACCCCATGGAGATAACATCGAGCGAAGAAGAAGAGAGCGAGGACGAGGTGAACGACGACCTTGATCTCGATCCCATGGAGGTTACATCCGACGAAGGCGGAGAGGAGGACGACAGCAGTAGCGACGAAATAGAGTTTAAGGGGTTCAGCCCTTTAGATATTGAGGACGAGGCATCACATGGAGATGACGAAAGCAACTCCTCGTCTGAAGGCGAGGACGACGACGACGACGACGATGAGGAGGAGGACGAGGACCCTATACCCCGGCCACCGCCAGCAAAGAAGAAGAAGAAAGAGACAGCAACGGCAACAGATTCGACCTTCCTACCGAGCTTGATGGCAGGCTACATCTCGGGCTCGGAATCGGCGTCGGACATTGACGTGGAACCGCGCAAGAACCGGCGCGGGCAGCGGGCGCGGCAGCAGATCTGGGAGAAGAAGTTCAAGGCCGAGGCCAAGCACCTAAAGAAGATGGCGCGAGACGACGGGTGGGATTCCAAGCGCGGCGCTGTCGAGGCGGGCGAGGACGGCAAGCCATGGAAGCGCGGGATCCGCAACCCGCTGCTCGGCAGAGGGGGCCGCGGGGGCGCCGACAAGGCGCCGCCTCTGCCGCCGCCCAAGCCAAAGACGCGCGACGACACGGGGCCGCTGCATCCCAGTTGGGAGGCTAAGAAGAAGCTTAAGCTGCTGCAGAAGGATACCGCGCCTTACCAGGGCAAGAAGATCACGTTCGATTAGTCGCTATTTCGTATTAGGAGATAGGTTTAAATGAAAAGGCATCGATTTGCTTGTTTTGTTTTGGGGATATGCTATGTACGTTATGTACGTTGGTGTTTGTTGAGCGTTTGTAGCGAGCCCCTTTGGCCGCGTATGACAAGGTCTCAAACAGGCCTGCTCGACTGATAAGCAGGCATAGTGAAGAAGAAAAATGCAAGAGAGAAAAGAAAAACATTGAAAACTGAAAGAAAAGCATGTCCCCCGCTCCGTCCCCGTCCGTCCCATGTTAGAAGAGCCTTAACCCTATACCCTTGGACACCCTAGTCAAAGTCGAAAGAAATGAGATCATCATTAGTCCCAACGCCACTGCCGGCCCTGCCCGTAGAAGACTCTGTCCGCCGACGCTTCGGCGGCGACGGCGCATCGCCATCGTCGTGCGACTCGTCCCGCGCTCCACCTCCACCCTCATCCCCCACTGCACCCCCAGAGCCAGGCGTGGGCGTCACAGACAGCCCGTTGCCCGTCGTCTCGCGTGTCGATCCACGCCGACTACCACTGACGCTCGCCGGTCCGGGCGTCACAAACACCCCCGTCGACGACCGGCGCTGCTGCATGCTGCCCGAGCTCTCCTGTCTAGCACGCGCCGGCAGGTACCGCACGGGCTGCGCCTGGAGCACCTGGTCAGAGCCTGAATCGGATGAGGATGAGGACGAGGAGTCGCCGCTCGACAGCTCGATCGGCTGCAGCTGCGACAGGCCGTCGCTGGCGTCGTCGTTTTCGTCGTCGTCAGAGTCGGACGACGAAGAGTCGCTGTAGTCCGACGACAGCGCCATGATATGCTGGTCTTCGAGACGTGGGGTGTTATTCGCTCGCGCGTGGGAAAAGTTCGCAGCGGCGCGCTTCCTGGTCACGCCGCCGCCGCGCGCTCTGCCGCCGGCGGGTCCTCTGCGCCGAGGGCCAGGGCCCCTGTAGGGGTATGGGAGCCCGAGTCGGCAGGCGACGTAGGGCTGGCGGCGCGTCGCGCAGGTATGCGGCGGCGCAGCGCCATGCCTTGCGGATCCCGGCCGCGGCCTCGAGCAGGCCGCGCCATACGTCCCTTATTGGCGCGCACGCCTGCGCCAGGGGCTCGCGCGCCTGCGTTGCCTGGGCTCGAGGGCCCGCTAGATCCAGAGTCGGACCCCGAACTTGCCAGCGTGACTGACGGCGACGTCGAGCGCAAGGAGCTAGCGCCTAACGTGTAGTCGCGGCTTCCCGTGGCGGCGCTGCTGCCGCTGCCTCTGCTCAGGTGCGACGGCACGTCGAGGTCGCGGTAGTTGCCCAGCCGGCGCACGTTGTCATACGACCCGCGGCCGTCGGCGTCGGCGTCGTCGTCGTCGTCGTCGTCGTCGTCAATAAAGACGGACTTCACGGCCGCCCAGTCGTCGGCGCCGGGCTGCCAGACCGGCGGCCGCTCGTCCTTGAGCAGCGGCTGCAGGTTTTCTAGCTGCGAGTACTCGCGCCGGCTGGCCCCCTTAGCCATGGTGCCCGTGTTGTTAATGTCCTCAATGATGGACCAGTCTTCCACGGGCGTGCGCTCGCCGCTGTTGCTGCCGCTGGGCTGCTGCTGGGCCGCCTTGAACAGGTCGTAGAAGCGGATACACGACAGCCCGCGTAGCTGGTACACGTAGTCGATGCCCTGCACGCAGCGTAGCGACCGCAGTATGCGCTTGTTGGGCTGGCCGTTGGTTTTCTCAGCCATGAACTCCTTGAGCGCGTCCGGCTCGTACCTGCGCCGGACGTAGTTCTTGCCGCTCTCGTTGATGTGGAATACGAGCGTGCGTAGGCGGTGGCAGTCGGGCAGCCAGGTCAGCGCGTGCGTACGCTGCGAGAAGGGGGTTCGGTCTTTAGCGTCGGCCGGCTCGGTGACGTACTGGCTGCCGACGAGCGTGATCTCGACGTGCTGCAGCCGGTCGAGCCGCGCGTAGCCGATGCCGTGGCTGAAGCGCGCGAACTCGCCCAGGCTCGAGAAGGCGAACGTGTTGAGCCCGTAGAAACAGTGCGCGCCAATGAATAGGAACCGCTTGCTGACGAGCAGCACCCGCAGCACGTCGTTGGGGTCGAAGCAGTCGTGCGTGATGTTGCACCGGCTGCTCCCCCAGTAGAAGACGTGCTTGAAGCCCGTCTGTCGTCCCAGCTCTTCGTCGTTGGGGAAGGCGGCGGGTTGCTCGAACGGGTCGAGCCTTGAAAAGGCGTGGACCAGCTGGCCGTACTTGAACAGCCACATGTGGAAGATGCTTGCCTGCACCTTCCAGGGCAGCCGCTCAAATGGGAAGGTAGCGTTCATGTTGGCGGCCTGAATCATGGGGACTTGGACGGATCCATCTCGTGGCGGCAGCGGAGAATGGAAGCCCGCGGCCAACCGTTCGCTGGCATCTGCCAGCGTAATGTTAGGATGGACCCAGCGGAGTACGGTACTCATGTTCTCCTCCTTGCAGCTCAACTTGTAGATCTCATCGTATGAGGGCGCATCTTCGTTGCCTAGCAAGAGCAGACGGAGCTTATTTTGCCATGTCTTGGAAAAAGCACGTTGGCAAGACCGACATCGTCTCAGAACGACCTTGTGGATTCTTACACGCTCAGTGACTTGTGCCCGGCGCCTGACCCTGGTTTCCAGCTCCTGGAGCTGCGTCTTTAGGTCTCTCACTTCGCCGCCAAGTGTTGATGTGATATCCATCTCGGCTCGAAGAAGCTGGGCTTTATTTTCCAGCTGGGCTTGATAGACGGCCACAATCCGCCTACAGGCAGCTTCCTGGCATGGCGATACCTCGCCGTTGACCGCCTTCTTATTCCGTCTTCTCGTCTCCGAGAGTGGCGGCGCCGGGTTTGCCCCTCCATCAGCGGCGGAACTCATAGTGCCAGTAGTAGGTGAGTTCACTAGACGAGCAGATTGTATGTGAGTAAGAAGGCCCTCTCGGGGTCAGGGTAAAGATGAGGGAGAGGCCTTTCCGAGAGGCAATAAGAAATGTTGGAGCTGCGGCTTTGAAGAAATGTTCGAAATATGACAGATATATCTGTGATTTGAAGCTTAGAATATGATCGTGAGATAAGGTGAGTGGAGATGTGAGTGTGATGTAATCTCAGGTGGAGAAGACGAAGCTCCTCGTTGTGAAGAAGGCCTAAAGGCGCTAGGGAAGGTAATTGACTAGGTAGGTAGGTATGAGTTAGGTGGCGAGGCAGAAAGGCAGGTGGGTGAAGTACGTAAAATAAAAGGTAGGTAGGTAGTTATGAGGTAGGTGCGAGGCAGAAAGGCAGGTGGGTGAAGTAGGTAAAATAAAAGATAGGTAGGTAGGTATGAGGTAGGTGCGAGGCAGAAAGGCAGGTGGGTGAAGTACGTAAAATAAAAGGTAGGTAGGTAGGCATGGACTTGGGCACCGTGAAATATGAACGGGACGCTAGTTATCGCCTGCATACGGAGCTCGGGGCCAAAAGAATTTAGACCACAGGCAAGAGCCAGTGTCCCTTGAATCCGTTTGAGAAAGCGAGAAGATAACGAACACACTGTATTTGCTAGCGCTGAGTATCTTGTTGTAAGGAAAGAGCCCCAACCCACACACACGACCACCTCACGCGTACCGAGCGGGCCAAGACCTCACCCCTTTGTTATGACCTCTCGCCCGCCATGCACTCTGTCATGTATATAAGCAGTCGCCCTCGCCCCCTTCCTTTGCGAGGGCCAGGTTGAAGTCTCTTACCAATACCAGTCATTGCTCGCTCTCTTCAGTACCTTCATTGTGACCACCTTGATCAGGCTGAACAACGTGAAGCACGCATTATTCGTTTTTCAACCTAACTCACTAAATAGATCTGCACCTTACCTTCAAAAATCCTTCTTACTTGGATACTGTAGAACTTATTATTTTCCCGAGAGTTTGTCCGGCTTAAAAAGGCTTATTATATTACTGCATTAGACGCCCATCCCCGCCCATATAGCCATATAGTTACAAGTCCTGTTGCCAATACACAAGCATTGCGACATTCTCGCATGCGGCCTTGCGGCCGTGTCGTTCACCAAGGTTGAGCCAATCAGTGGCAGAGACGGTAATGACTGGTCAGCGACGGCCTCGTCGATATACATACCAAGGAGGACAAGAGGTTCTGAGCGAGGGGGGAACGGAGCGTGTGGAGGACCCTGTGCGAACGCCTGTCGACGATAATCGTGAGGTACCTGGCGGTCGTGCTGCCGTTCTGGCTGGCCGTCCAGCGCGAGACTCGCGGTGCCGCCCGTGGAGACGACGGGGAGGAGGAAGTGTTCAACTCCTACTTCCTCTTCGCCAAGACGCCCATCTACACGAGCGGGCAGGAGCGGCTAATGGACCTGGACGCTCTGACGGTGGCGGCCAAGAAGGCGACAGAGGGGGTCTTTAAAAACCCAAAAGTGATATATGAGGGACCGCATATGGCACATATATGTACAATACAAAATGTGACGTGGCAACCGTGATTTAAGCTAGCTTGGCTTCCCTCATATTGCGGAAGAAATCCATCATCCCGGTATAAACAACGAGCAAAATGCCGCCTCCAGGCCCCAGTCTAAGAACCTTAGGCACGAACCCCTTATACAGCGCAGCAAACCCTTCTTCCCTCGCAACCGTTGCAACACCGGGGAATGCCCAGTTGTACTTGGGCACCTGCCCGGGGACCTTGGGGCTGTTCTGGATCCTCGACTTGACTACGTCTAGAGGTGTGTTGAGAATGGTGCCGACGGTCCCTCCGACGCTGCCGGCAATGATGTCGTTTATTGTCTGGCCCTTCTTGGTGGACGCCTTGGGGATCAGTTCCCGGACCTGGAAGATGCAGCCAAAGTAGCCGGCGTTCCAGAGAATGTGGCGCCACAGAGTCGACTCCAGCCCGTTGTACATGGCCAGGATGCCCTCGTTGCGGACCGTCTTGACGATCACGTCCGTCATGCCCGAGTACTTGCCTGCCGAGGCCTTATCCTGGAGCCGAATCTTGACGAGCTCAAACGGCACGACGACAAACGCCTCGGTTGCGCCGGCCGATGCGCCCGTCAATACGGACAGGGACTGTGTCATCTTCTCCTGGCCGAAGAGGTCGCGCCAGAGCTTGCCCCACTTGTCGTTGGCCGCAAACTTGGTGGCGCGCTTGGGTGCCTCCATCAATATGGGAGCCGTGATGCCGCGGTAGAGTCTCGAAAAGCTGCGCACACGCCGTCAATATCCCTAGACATGGCCACAGCAGAACCAATTGCATACCCCTCATTGCGCACAATCTTCTGGAAGCAGTCCACCATGCCCGTGTAGGCATCGGCGCCGGTGGCACCGGCAGGTTGCAGCTGTCTGGTCGCATGTCAGTTCGAGACCGCGCCGCATATATATTGGTCGAAATAGGCTCGCTCACACTCGGGTCTTGACGACATCAAGCGGGTACCTAGATGGGAAATTTGTATTAGCTTTCGAGCACGCGACCACCGGACGGAAGCCCAGAACAAGACAAGAAGGCCAGAGCAAAGCAGCAACTTACATGACCAGAATCTAAGTGCGCCCGAGTATCAGTTAGAGTCAATTGGCCCGTAGTTTGGCCCTGGGGGGACGCGCCTCGGAAACACCGGCGATGGCACCTGGGGGGTTGAGATTGGTCAGCATTGGAGCTTCTCTTTGAGCTGTTTTTCTCTTCGTGGCCTAGATTGGCTTACCGGCCATGAACGTGTACACGAACGGGAGGGGGGCTTTTCCGTCCGCCATCTTGAGAGACTCAGTGCTTGGCCGCGCTGGTCAAGGTGTGGAAGCGCGGAGGTTTCTTTCGTCGTTGTTGTGAAGTTGGGAAAAAAAGGAAGGACGAAGACCCGTCGTCAGTTCAGTTCACCGCGGGCTATCCCAATCCAATCCAATCCAATCCAATCCAATCCAATCCAATCCAATCCAATCCAATCGCGTGCCCCCACACCTGGCCATGCGCTTGCGCCCGCATTCGCCCGCCCAACCAGACGTGGAGAAGCGGCATCGGAGGGGAGAGCAAGCCCCCGTCGCAAATCCACCAGGCGCTGCAAGGGTGCGCGAATTGTTCCTAGAAGTCGGGGACAGAGAGGGGATTTTGCTACTGGCCAAGGCGATATGGGGATCGGAAATGCCAGGAACACTTGGGGGAACGAATTGGGCTGATAAGAGCCGACGATCTATACCTAAGCTTGTGTAATGGCATGTTGCGTAGGTAACACGGGCCCCGGGTTGGCCTGTCATGCAAGTCGCCTGCAGCCTAGCTCCTAGCTTTAGTAGAGCTCTCTAGAGATGTGTGGGTTTACGGAATACAGCCAGAAATTCACCTATTCATCCTCTTGCTGCATGTCTATCGAAAGAGAAGTCCTCCATAAAACGTTGCACGCAAGAGCTTCGCTCGTCAAAGGTTGCAGGCAGATATACTCCTTACATAGCAGAAGCAGAAATATGAAAATACCACGTTCGTCCAATACAACTGATGTCGGGTACATGCGTGTTTGAGCTTGTATTGGTCGTCTACAAGGGAAGGCAGCTCTCTCGACGTTCTTCAGCGTGAGGTCTGAGCATGAGTGCCATCTATCGCAGTTGATTGGCCGGCCTGAGAAGTGCTGGGACCGGGGCCTCTGTCGCGGGCGCGGGGTTCTTGGTGAGGGTTGAGGGTTGAGGAAGGAAGGCTCAAGTTGCGCACACGATTCATGATTCATGATTTTTGCCTTGTCCAATCTTATCCCCGTAGATTCCTTCCCTCACTTTGTTCTCCACGAAACCCATCCCAACCCCACGACACGCCCAGACACCTTTGCACGACGTTGTCCCTTCTTGACCTGAACAGATCCGAGCTTCATCAACTGCTGCAAGACGCAGCGCCTCCCTCCAACCATCGGTCTGCGCCTGTTTCGTTTATTGCCGAAGGGCCCGCGACATTCTGCGCCGAAGTTGCCACCGCGCGCCCATCTCTCAGCAACACCCACACAAACGACCAATTGGCCCTCGAGCGACGCAGCGACTATCGCACAACGCAGCCGGCTATCTTGGGGGGAAGTCCTTCTCGCGCTTCTAGTCGCACCTTTAAATAAGCCGTGATCCTCGAGAGTCACAGCGAGGTGCCAACCGAAGCGCTCGAGGGACGTCCCGCGGTATTTCGGCTAATGACTCACCTGCTGTGGAAATACTACTGGCAAGACGATGTCGAAAAATTCCGACGACTCTTATCGCCTGCTGGCCACGGCGCCCAGAATGCCGCGCGAAGCCCGAATATAGGTGCCGGAGGCCACGGAAGCCCGGGTGGCGGTTTTGGGACGTCTCCGCGCCCGTCAGGTCCAAGGTCCCGCAAGCCTCCGGGGCTGTCGACACCCTTCGGCAATGGCCGACACGGAAGCGTAGGTCTCGGGAGGAGCGAGGTCAACAGCCGCGACCACGCCGGCCTTACCATTCTGCTGCGCGCGGCATCCTCGTCGGCTGAGAATGCCATCTCCTTCGTTGAGGCCTTGGTTGAACACCCAGCCATAGATATATACGCCCAAGACCCAGAGAGCGGGTGGAACGCCCTTCACCGGGCCCTATACGCTGGGAACATTTCCATTGCCAGACTTCTGCTGGAAAAGGAGCACAAGGACTTGACGGGACACACCTCTTCGTTCAACCGCGTCGGGCAGCTTATCAAGACGAAAGATCACGAGGGCAACAGCCCCTTCGACTTGTACAATTCGACCATTGGAGAGCGAAATTTGAAAGAATTGGTCGCGCAGGACAGTTCTGAACATGGCTCGGATAGCGACGAGGCTGATGTTATGCAGGATAAGGTCGCGTGAGTTTCTGCCTCCTGGCTCTTGTATAGACATGACTCTACGAGCTGCCTGCCTGACTTGAAAATAAACCAGAAGCGCAACAGGTCTCAATGCCTGTGGCGAAGACTTGTATGCCTTTGGCAGTAATAAAAACCACTCCCTAGGTTTTGGCGACGAGGATGACCGGCAGTTTCCTGAACGCGTCTTTCTCAAACGCCCAGACCATCTGCTTCAGAGATTTCACAACGAATATCTCGAGCAGGCAGGTTTAGAAGAATCGGCGTCTCAGGACATTGCCAAAATCCCGGCCCTGGTCTTGAACAAACCTCTGATGATTCAGGACGTTGTGCTGGCCAAGTTCCATAGCGCTGTGCTGACAAGAGACCCCGTTTCTAATCTCTACATATGTGGTATCGGTCGCGGCGGGCGACTTGGACTCGGAGATGAAAACACGCGGTTCACTTATGCCGCCGTGCAGGGACCCTTGGCTGACAGGAAAATTGTCCAAGTCGCTCTCGGCCAGAATCATTCAGTGGCGGTTGACGATACGGGGGCGCTCTGGACCTGGGGCAGTAATGCCAATTTCCAGCTCGGTTACGCTCCCCCTGTGCCACCCAAGAAAGACGAGGACCCTATTAGTACCGTGCCTCGTCAGGTCTTCGGGCCGCTTAAAAAGGAGATCATCTTGGGCATTGCCGCCTCGTCAATCCACTCAGTTGCTCATACCGGATCGTCCCTGTATTGTTGGGGCAAGAACGTCGGCCAGCTCGCTTTAATGGACGCTGACTCAAGATCACTCGAATTTCAGCAAACGCCGAGGAAAGTCGCGGCGTCGCTGTTCTCATCCCCGATCGTCATGGTCACGGCCATCGACAAGGCCACGACTATTCTGCTTCAGAATCACACAGTGTGCGTATTCACAGGCTATGGCTACCACATTGTCAAATTTCCATTCGCGGGCATTGACATGGTTGGCTCTCTGCGCGTGTCGACTCGCTACGAGCCGGGTCGCAACCAGATCCAGCATGTTACGTCTGGCGGAGAGACAATTGCGGCTCTCACTGGCCGTGGGGACCTATTTACCATGAATCTCGACCACAACATTGAGGCAAACCTGCCAGCTACCTCTACAACGAACCCTTCCAAGCTGAAAGGCGCCGTTAGCACCCCCCAGTGTATATGGAGCGCCAGGAAGGATGGCGCTCGGTCTGTCGGCGTCGGTGAGCATGGGTCAGTCATAATCAGCACCAAATCTGGGGCCGTGTGGCGTAGAACCAAGCGAGCAAACGCAAAGGATGTGAACTTTGGGCCGTCGGAGTCGAGGCGGAAGGACTTCAAGTTTCAGCGAGTGCCTTGCATTACCAGGGTTGCCACAGTTCGTGCCTCGCCATCTGGAGCCTTTGCCGCCGTCCGGCAAGATTCGGATGTCATGAAGGAGCAGCTGGTTATCGATGAGCCGACGCTTTGGAAAGATATTGCAAAGTTAAATCCCCTGAATGACTTCAAAGCCTCGGAAAATCGCGGCCAGAACGAGGCTACACAGAAATTCTGGGAGAACGACATTCTCAGGACTCAGTTGGGCTCCGTGGCCTACGAAGCTCTACGGTCTCCAGATCTGGATGCCGATTTGTTGCAGTACCTTACGTCCTGGGGCTTCAGTAATGAGCCCATGGAAGCGTCTATTTGTACCACCACCTCGCCCAGTCTACGGATACCTATCCACAGCTGGTTGCTGGCGGCTCGAAGCTCTGTGCTACGTAATGGGCTTGCACAGTTTCGGAAGTCTAGATCATACATCCTATCCGAAGCATTTTCGGTTGAAGATGTCGATGGCAAGCCACTAATATCGTTCCAGGGGCTGGATTTGATGTCGCTCCTCAACCTTGCTCTCTATATGTACGAGGATAAGGTGGTACCTGCGTGGAATTTCACCCGCCAAGCTCCGTCATTGGCGTACAGATATCGGCAGGTCCGCTTGGAGGTTATGAAGCTTGCCACGCGCCTAAACCTGGGCGGCCTGGAGGCAGCAGCACGGCTTCAGACACCGCCCAGGAGATGCATAGCTGAGGATTTCAGGCTTGCAGTCAAGGAGCGTCGCTTTTTCGAGGATGGTGACGCCTTGCTTGAGCTTGACCGTGTCGAAGTCCCGGTTCACAGCGCCTTTGTCTGCCAGAGATGCCCTTGGTTCGAGGGCCTGTTTCACGGTCGCGCTGGAGGTCTCTGGCTCGCCTCCCGCAGAAATACGACAGGTCCTGGAAGTGACTCGCCCAACAAGATCAGAATTGACCTCAAACACATGGACCCTGGCGCGTTCAAATACGTTCTTCGGTATCTCTATGGCGACTCCGGCGCGGAACTATTCGATCCTGCTGTTTGCGATTCATTCGACGACTTCCTGGACCTTGTGATGGAGGTCATGTCCATTGCAAACTATCTGATGTTGGATCGGCTCTCGCAGACTTGCCAGCAGGTCATGGGCAGGTTCGCAAACATACGAAATATTGCCCACCTTCTTAATGCTATTAGCCCATGCTCAATCACCGAGTTCAAGGATGCCGGACTGGAGTACATCTGCCTTCAGCTGGAGTCTATGCTGGAGAATCATCTCCTTGATGAACTCGACGAAGACTTGCTTCTAGAGCTCGACGATGTTGTCCGAGACAACCAAGCTTCTCAGTTTCGCTATACGAAAAGGGGTCAAGCCGAACTACTACTGCACGAGATATACCCTTGGCTTGCCCAAGATATCGAAGAAGAAAGAGAGACGCGAATCAAGGAAATGGCCTTCAAGGCCCATAAGGATGACGACCGGAAGGCTTCATCGTCGTTCAAAGGCAAGTCGAGCATCTTTGACGAGCTCGGCCCGTCTACCCCGTCTCCAGACAGGGCCAGGAAGGCATCGAAAGCTGGCCGCAATGAGCCCTTCACTCCAGATCTTAGACCCAAGACATCACAAGCAGACTTGATTTTCGATATGGATGACGAGGACTCGGCGGCACCCGACAGCCCGCTTATGAGGACCCGGACGAGCGGCGGCAATGAGGAAGTAGAGGAGCAGCCGTTGCCGGCCAAGTCGCTGGCCGCAACGCAGATCTACTTAGCTCTGACCCCTCCCGCAGCGGCCTGCGGTGGTAAACCTTGGGGGCCTGCCACCGTTGCTGCCTCAAAGACGGATCTCCGTGACATTATCCAATCGGAGGCCACAACACGATCGGCTCTGTCGGTGGGCTTGCTTGCGCACAAAGCAAGAGAGGAATCGCCAAAATTCACGCAACCCAAGCTCTCTCAAAAGGAGAAGAAGAGGCAACAGCAACAACAGCAAGCGCAAGCGCAAGCAGTGCAGGCATCCTCGCTTACGACGAACTCAGGCAAGAATGCTTGGGATAGCAGAGCGCGGGGTGATGCCCAAACTCCTGCGTGGAAGCCAGTGCCCATTGAAAAGAAGACTCCATCGAACACGTTGCTAACCCACAACATTTCATCGCCACCCGTGATAAAACCATTGCTTACCGCGGAAGCCGGGCCCGTTCCCATCCGTACCCGGACGGCGTCTCCAGATACTCGCTTCTCTGGCCAGCGCCTTGCTGGCAGCTCCTCCCTCTCCGGGACCCGTCCCCCGGTGAAGGCCACTAGCATCACGCCGGGTAGCAGCGTGGCAAGAACACCTATAGCAACTGAAACGCCGGCCCCACCTCTTGTGCCGCATTCCAAGACGTATCTGACGCCGGCCCGCAAGGCGGAACCACTACTCGGGTACAGCATGGAAGACATCATTGTCCAACAGAGGCGGGAGCAGGAGAGGGTCAGGGAGGCAGCCGCCAAGCGGTCTCTGCAGGAAATTCAACAAGAGCAGGCTTTCCAGGAATGGTGGGACGCCGAGAGCCGACGGACGCAAGAGGAGGAGGCGAAAAGACTGGACAGGGAGAAGGATACTCCAAAGGAAAGGGGAGTGATTCCGAAGGTGGGCGGGCGGAGAGGGAGAGGTGGCAAATCTCGTGGGGGAGGAACAGGGAGTGGACGAGGTGGGGGTGATGCAGGAGGCATGCAAAGTTCGCGAGGAAAGGGGAGAGGCAGACGAGAAGCCACGTCTACGGCAAGTGGAGAGAAGAAGCCTTGAAGATACCCAGGCCACGAGTATCGGCGAGGACGAATAATTGTCATGTACGAAGTACACAGAGGGCCAGGCGTCGGGGATTCTGTGTGTTCACATTTTACTAGTGCATGTCTTCGCGCTGCATGTATCATGGGTCGGCATCGGCGTTAGTTGAGGAGACGGATTCACGCCTTGGCAGTCAATTCGATGCCTAGATAGACGCATTTTTGATGTGGCATGTTTTGATACGGCCACATGTACCAAAGTATTCAGCAACCTGGAAGATGGGATGAGTTGATGTTTCGTCTCCGATAGCTACCAAAAGTCGTCGCTGCCGATTGACTGTTGAGATTGGTTGCGCGAGCCAATGTGTCTCAACCGGATCCTCTCTTGTCTCTTTCCCCAGACTCCTCCACATGGTTGTTCTGCAGCAGCTCCAGCGGGGCCCATGTGATGTCAAGCGACAGGCTCACGTCGATGCTTCTATGCTGCACGCCAGCCCCAAAAAACCCCACAGAAAGACGAGCATCGCCAGCGCAAAAGGTGCAGTTTTGAAGACTAGATTGACTTTTGCACTTTTACTCTTTACTCCAATTTTTTAGTCGTAGCTGTTGACCTCAGCAACCCGGTCTCTTAGCTCGTCTGCCTCACTTTCCGTCTCAATGCTCCGAGTCCTTTGCCTTATGATTCATCCCATCACAAAATTGCCTATCATTCGTCGTCGCTATCCTTGCATTACCTAACTTGGTGCCTAGGCTCCTACCAGCCGATGATATATTATTATTGAGGACTAATTTTTAGCTGCTTGGTTTCCTCTCTAGTGCGAATGTAATATTGGTCAACCGGAAATATCCAAGCCAGCCGCTGCTCATCGGCGAGTCGTCAACACTGCGTCAGCCTCCTAGACGTCGCACGCACCACCCCACACGATAGTCCATACACTCACTCGCAAGGCTCCTCCCGATACCCCACCAAAAAAACACGCCCTCTCCCAGCCGCCACTTTGTCTTTTCCTTCTGCCTACCGCAGGTAGAAGACAAATCTCAGGACACCGGCACTCTGAGATTGGTTCCGCTCGATTCACTTCCTGCTGAGGGTGTTGTGATTTCAGCTGCTCAGGGCCCCTTGACTTGTCTGTATGTACGGCTGTTGTTGGGTAGCGCTGCAACAGTGCATACAGAGAGAGATATCGCACTGCTCAACCTGCAAAGAAGATAGCCCAACACTGCGGCAGCCGCCGCCTGTTGCCTGCCGCCACATTTTTATCCGTTTCTGGTCCCTCGGTCAGCCGCGAGCCGTTGCTTGCTTGCTTGAATTTACGGCGAATCACACATCGCTGAGGCTTTCTTGTTAAAAAAAACTTGGTGGCTACTTCTTCTCTTGATGCATATCGGTCGCGACAGATCTAGTTACCTCGCCGATGAGTGGCAGCCACAAGTCTCACTTTCGCCTGTACGGATACTTGTAAATTTATCTTGTTAAGACGATAGAGACAGTGTGTGTGAATCAGAACAACACATCTCTTGCTGCGTTGCAATACTGCCTTACCAACTAGGAATACAAGCAAACACCTACCTGGCCCTCGCCGGCTTGCTTCCGACGGCCTGCCTGCAACTTGGTCGGCACCCACGGTATCTCAGCAGGCAGCCCGGCCTCTTTTCAGGGCCTGCGCAGATCGCATGTGGGGATCGTCGGCTGCGGGCCTCTCTTCATGCAACTGCAACTCGTCTGTCTGCACGACCGACCTCTTGACGGCCCACGGCTGGGGCCAGTTACAGACAAGGGACCCGGACTCGAGGCCCAGGCTTCCATGCAGTTCCAAGTGAAGTGCGGTGGTGCAGATATTGGCTGCAGATGCTAGACAGAAAGACAGACAGAAACTGATGAGCCAGCAACTCCGTCATTGCTACCTACTTACATACCTACCTAGCTAGCTTTCTGTAAGATCTGAAATGTCCTCTGTGGTCTTCCCCATTTGACCTCGTCAAATCCGCAGGTATAAACAACTACCTACTTAGTTGATAGTTGACCATTTTATCCCTTGCTTTCACTCTCCGACGTATTATAATTGTTTATTTTTTTTATTTTTTTTCTGCAGCAATCGCAGTCCCCATTTTCGTCATTCCCCCATATCCGCGGAGAGAAGTGGATTTGTCTCTCCCTCGTCACCCCCTGCTCCCCGCCATTCGTCAATCCCGAATCTGGGGGCTATCAGGGCATGGATGTTACCTATGACTCAAGGACGGATGACGAAAGATAGCAGTGGGATCACGAGCCGCCTAAAAAAAAGCAGCAGACACCTCTCTCTCCTCTTTTTCCTTAATCGACAGCGAGATAACTCGGGGAATTAAATCAAGAAGGGAAGATCAAAAGATCCGACCTACCTAGCCACCGGGTTATTTTGTTAGCTTTATTCGGGAGCCGCAAAGCTTGTAGGTTTAATACCTTATAGCGGGTTTTTACGGAGTATTTCGTGTAATTATTCCATCCGACACAGTGCATATACAATCCAATCCCTGAATGTTTGTTGGCGCGGTACTTACGAAGGAAAAGAAAATAACAAATGAACCGGCCAGAAAGGGTCTTTAATAGGTTTTTCTAGAGAAGGAATAGACCTCTAGGATTACAAAATAGGGATTCAAATAGCTATTACCTCCCTTAGCGTAAAACCTTTGCGGCGAGTCGTAAGATGCTAAGGCCATTTAGATCTTAGAAAGTACCACGCCAACAAACATTCAGGGATTAGATTGTACGCATATCACCCCAAAGTCAAACAACCAGCCCTACGTGCGCTTGTTATCTCCGCAGCTTACTACCGTCCTCTTACGTACCGAACTCGGTAAGGTGTACGGGATTCCTTGCGCACTGAGCACACGTTTGCTTCAGCCTTTTGCACCCCCTCACTCCCCTAGGCTCAGGCCCTACCAAGGTTTCGCTTTGTATTGCTAACCAAAAGGAGGAATCCGTAGCAGGTTTACCTTGCGTACTCCGTACTAACAGTACTGTGCATACAGTGCTCGTCGGTGAGCAGAGAGGCAATTGAACGATTGCGCTGCTGCGCTGCTGCGATTGACTCCATTGCCCATCTTGAGCTCGAGTTTAATCCGTTCATTCATCTCATCTCTCTCAATTCGATTTGAGCCGATTTGCGAGTTGAGCCTGGTCCTGCTTCCGACATCGCCCAGCTCGGCGGCTTGGCGAGTGTGCATTGTCCAGTGAGTGCCTGGATTGAAGGTACAGTACCGAGAACCGCACAGTACTGTACATACCGGGCTGTATACAGTTCTCGCAGGGCTTCAAGCGTACTAAACATGCAAGTGTAGTGAGGATTGGCCATAGATAACTAAGCTCGTCGGAACGTCCCTATCTACCTTGATCGCACTGGTAGGTTGCTCCAGGTGTAGACCTCGACCGTGGTCACTCGGGCAGTATAGGCCCTGGGCTGTCACTAGGCTGCGTACGAGAGAGTTGCATGCACCTGGCCGCTTATTGGAGACGGCCGGCCCGCCACCCTGCGCTGCACGACCCCTGGGAGGGAGCTAGAGCCTCCACCAAACCGTCGCCCGCTCGTCTGCCTTGGGAGTCACCTGCACCGCACCAACCAAAGGCCCTCAAGCCTTGCACCTCTCTTTTCGCCCACGACCTGACCTGACCCAGGCCAGGCTCGGTTTGACCCAGCCGGCCCACGCAGGAAAAGAGAGTCTGTCTGCCTTGTTGCACGGCCAAGCGCCCATCCTCTCTCGCCGTCGCTTTGGGGCTTTCCCTTTTCCCAGCACTTGCACAACTTGGACGGCCTGTCCGCTGCAAACGATGGGCGAAGAGGTCCGTTAACCCTGACGACCGCCTACGCCTACCCGAGCGAAGCAACGACGAGCGAGCCGCCGATCCGTCTGCGCGCCGCCGTCATCGCCATCTCCAACTCCGTCGGCTCGGGCCCCTCGCCAATTTGCCTTGCCTGGCGATTCCTCCCCTCTATCGGGCACCTCGATTTATCCTTATCCGTGAACACATACCTGCGCCGGCACCAATGTGAACCCTATCGCTCTAGCCAAGCCCGTCTCACTACCGCTTTCAGTCCCGCCGCCCGCAACAATGCATCAACAATCTCGTCACCCCGCGAGGGTCTCCTCCCCCGCATCCTCTCCACAGACAAACCCCACACGAACCAACAACCAGAGAGACGCCGTGGGCTCGGCCAGTCGAGTCCGCGCCGACTCCGAGCTAGGCGCCCAGGTCGCCTCCGCCGCTCCCGACAGCGGCGATGGTTCTGACACCGGTCCCAGCAAGGAGTCCATCAAGAAGCTGGACCAGATCATACAGGTGCGCAGTACTTTGGGGCTGCTCTGGTGCCCTGCTAAATGTATGTTTTGCCGACATGGGCTGACTTGCTCCTCTCACAGAATTTCTACTACAAGGCGGCCGTGCTTATCCTACAGTCGCGACTGAACCTAACCCCAGACGGCGGGAAGAATGCCGGGAGGCCGAACAAATGGGTAAGGATAGCCCCTGACAGTCCTCTGAAAACAGGAACCGTTACCTACGGATCTGACAGAACCCGCGTAGTTCCAAATAGATACCGACGATATCAGCGAATTCAGGGACGAGCTCCGCGTCTACAAGACATCGGGCAGCTTCGAAAACCGGCCCCCGCCCATGATCATCGAGACGTATCTTGATGCCTCACGTCTTTCTAACAACCAGAGCTTGGTGGTGGTCGATGAGTACGGCAAGAGGTGGGATGTTCTAGAGGCCCTGAACTCGTCTGAGTCATCGAGCGATGACGGCTCCAAGAGGAAGCCGCGACAGCAACAGAAGCGGAATACCGAGATCATCCTCGAGAGATGGCGGATCGAGCTCAAGTGCATACCGTCCGACCAAGACGAGTTCGGGCCCAGTTTGCCGACGATATACAAGCGGAGTATCGTCTTCTTCAGGTCGCTATTCGTGGCGACGCGCATTATGCCATGCTGGAAGTATTCGCAACAAGCTCTGGCCAAGAGCATCCACCCGGCACTGGAGGTAAAGTGCCGCGTTCTGATGGCCGAGCCTGAACACCCGGGCTTTGACCCCCTACGCCAGCCTTTTTATGACGGTAGGGACGTTGTAACCGATTACGTGTTTGGGGACCTCGAAGTGCCCGTCGGCCGGTTTTATGCATCGGTGACATACCGCAACGACTGCAATTTCCGAGTCGATGACGCCGAGTCACTCCTAAGCTCGCGCTTTATGGGCGTTGATGAGAATTTCTTCAAGCCGTCCATTTCACAACGCCGGGACCACCAGCGGTCGGATTCGTATGCCGAGGTCGGCTCCTTACCAGCCAACCGCCACGGCCGTGGCGCACAGGAGCCCCTTCAGACGTACGGCAGCCTATCAACTTTCCACGGCGCGGGAGCTCTGGGGACAAGCCCGATCTCTGCCCTCAAGGCAGTGCGTCCCATTGGGTCGGATACCAGCTCCCCTACAGGATCTCAGGCGGCAAGCCTAGAGCAGACTGATCCGCCGAATTCCTTGCCGATCCGTCGGCCGTCTCTCCGAAGTCACGATGGCTCAGGCAGGCGTCAATCGGTTTCATTCCATCCGTTCAAGGCTGGCTCTCTCTCGGGGTCTCCAAGGGTTCCGGACCTTGATCAACCTCCATCACCCCAGTCACTAACTCGTCCATCGACTCTAAGCAGCTTTACTCATGGCAGAACCCGGTCATCGCTCACCGCCGGGATGGCGGCATCACTGCGCGGCGGCCCCGCGGCCGTCCCGATAGATGTGCCACCTGTTTCCGCATCACCAAGGCCAACCAGCCGCTATAGCAGTAGTTTCACGCACCGTAGGAGCCGGCCTTCCTTCGGAGGACATAGCAAGGGTGACGACGACCAGGGGAGCAGCGGGAAGCAGAGTCTTTCCTCGTCAGCCCAGCCTGGCTCGGGATTGCTTGCTGAAGCCGGAGGCGCGGCCAGTTCGGGCTCATTTGCGACAGACGATGATAATATCTCGGAATTTCTCAAAGTGCTGGAGAGCCGGAAGATGCTCCAGAGCTTCGAACCCAACAAGAAGGGAGAATCCTCGGCAGCCAAACGCACCGCCGCTCAGCTCTCAAAGTTTCAGCTGATGCGAGAGTCAAACAATGTGCTCACCGAGTCCATGACCTCGTCCATGCACCTGCATCGATCGTCGAGCTCGTCAAGCCGGCAACTTACCAATGTTCCCAGCATGATGAACCCCGCCTCTATATCGGCGGGGTCCTCTCCCGGCAAACCCCTCTCACCGCATACACCCCACACACCGGCAATCCCATCCCGGCTCAGCGAGAATTCCATCATCGATTATCAAGGCGGAGTCCCGCCTACACGTCGTCAACCAAGGAACCCTGCCGTTATCTCCACGGAGGAAGAGGGAGACGACGAGACCCCGGTCAGTCAGGAGGGAGCTATCGACATCCCGCTGTCGCCCAGGCTGCTCCACACTACCAACAACAACCGGCGGGCGAGCTCCGTGGCGCAACAGGACCGTGCCCTAACCGGGGAGGACGACTCCGATATTGTGCAGCGAAGCATCAGTCTAGGGGCAGAGGATCGCGAGGCGCCGACCATGAGCACGCTTCTCGCTTTCCAGAGAGGTTCTGGAGACAACTCGAGCGAATCGCTAAGTCTGCAGCCTGCGGCCGACATCCGAGCCTCGGGGCCCTCGTCTCCGCTGGCTGAGCGGGACGGCAAGGGTGGTCCTTCCTCGCCCGGTCTACTTTCCGGAACCCCTTACCGAACACGGTATACACCCCGTGGCCGGCCCACGCCGCCGCAATCTTCACGCGGTTCCTTTTCCGGCGGGCGATATAGCCGGCCCTCAGGCGAGGAGGGCGCCGACGACGAGCCGCTCTTGTTTGCCATGTCTGAGCTCGAACGGCCCTCGAGACGCAGCCTGGAAGAGGCCCGTGGTGGCGGCAATGTTGGCGGTGGCGGTGGCTCGTCGGGACACTCTGAGAGAAATCCTAACGCTTTCGAGGCGAGAGGAACATCGCGGCGGGGCTGGTAGTGGTATATATTCTGGGCGAATTGGGAGTCTAGACTCTTGTTTGGTTGTACGGGAACTATTATATGGGGACTTGTAACTTGAGAGAAAAACATACTATCACTTTGCTGTAAGTGTACGGCTGCATGCACCTGTTGTCTGTACGCTAGCTTGCAGTGCGGGTGCGGCAGGGCCCCGGGACAGATGCGTTAGATCCCAATCAGGATAACACTCTGATGACAAGGACCTAGAACCACGTAGATAAGTGTTATGTGTCTAGATGTGTGCATACGTATGTGTATGTAAGGGAGAGAGAGACTGTATATGAGATTGAGAGAGAAATTGCGGTTTCTTGAATCTTTAGTTACAGTTCTTGGGTTTTCAATAGGAGATGCTGTGATGTGAGGCCATAGTCACTTTTGAGGCTCGTATTATTCGTAGCCGGGCTTTGAAATCTCGGACAGCAGTTGTGACGTATTTCAAAATCGTGTTTGAAAACATTTATAAATACGATGTTTTCCGCCTATTCCAGTCTGGTGTCTGAAACAAGTTTGGTTTACCTACCTAGGTAAGTATGTAACGTACGTGGGCAATTATAAGATTTTGAAAAGAGACCTTGCGTATAGCAAGGTGGGTAAGTACCTAATTAAGGTATGTGGTATGTAAGGCTACCTAGTGGTCACTTTGACAAACAGCACCTAAAATAGAATGTGACGAGGAAATGAGAGGTTAATTAGGAGGCGTTTTACGTGACAAATTAGAGCACATTAGGCAATAAATAGGACCCCACCTCTATTTAAGAAAAGAAATGTCTACGGTGAGCTGTAAGGTCCTATCCTAAGACCTCTGTATCCTGGAAAGTCTCCCGCCAATAATATTGCATGTGTGCAGGAATTGGACTGAAGATGGAATTCCGTACTGGTGCTAGTGCAAAACGCCGTTATTTCCGGCTTGGCGAGACAAAACGGCGGCAGGCGGGCGCTGCGATATGACATCAACGGAGACGCCGCGGATTAAGTCACTCTATTGCGGCACTTGGTTTTCCTGAGCTACAGAGGCTGTGCTGGATAGGATCTACCTTAAGGCATGTTCGCAAATTGATGCAAGCACTTGGAGAGTATTACCAGGTAAACCGTCTATATATAAAACAGTATCTCTAACGTTATTCAATTTCTTTTTCTTTTCTTTTTTCAACAAGTCGATAATTGAACCAACAAGCTGGTCGCTCCGTGTAGGTCCGTACTCTTGGAGTGGCTGTGCTCCTTCACAGTGGCTCTGCGTAACGGCCAAAGCTCCCGTTCTGTAGGGCCGAGCTGAGCGAGCGAGCGAGCGAGCCAACAAGCGGGAACGGGTAGGACAAGAGTCAGGGTAGGCCCGTCTATTTTACTACCAGTGGTAGCCCGTAAAATACGATAAATGGGAATTATATTTTCAGCTGACAGCGACAGCAGTCGCGGGTATGGTAATAGAGGCAATAGAGATTGTAACACCTCGGTAACTCTCTTCGAGCGTGGCTGCGCAAGCAGCATACGTAAGAGGGGCGAAGCGTTAGAAGGACTCGATAGAAGCTTCGCCCAGGAACCTAGCCGAAGCGTGGCGGCGAAATGCTCGACATTGGGGCCGGTGCAGGGATGTAAGCTGCGGGGCGTACTGCTCCATTGCCTGCTTGCTGGCTGGCTGTTCAGTTCGCTGCCAGTGCTAGTGAGGCTGATAGTAAGTAACTTACCTAACCTGAACCCACTTTTGCTGCTGCTGGTCTTGCCTGGCAGCCTGGGCCGTCATCGAAAGGCCGCCAACCACGCGGCGCACCGCCTCTGCACCTCATCTCCAAACCTCCACCAACCTTGATCCTGGAGCCTTTTTCGTCGCCCTGGCCCAGTTGAAAAAAACCACAGCCATCGCCAGCCAAGGCTCTGTTAATGCTTTTCCCTCTCTAAGTTTATCGGAACTCAAGCTTCCGACAGAGGCCCGAAACCGAGCCAGCGAGCGAGGGAAGCTGCTTTGAGCCTTCTTCCTCACTCCGACGACATTGGCATTTGCCGCTATCGGCCATCGTCCGTCACGACTGCCGAGCTCGAGCTCGAGAGAGCTACCTACATCTTTTGCTGCTTCGCAAGGTCATCATACCTCAGCCAAGAAGGCTTCGTTCACTAGCCACCTCTCGCCATGTTCCGAGCCGCGGCGGTTGGGCCCTACGATGAGGCTATCAGTGCGTTCCTCCCCTTCTCCGCGAGCTTGCCTCGACAAATATCGCCCAACACTGAGCGCGCGCCCGCTGACCACTGTCTTTCTCTCTTTATCTAGACCGGGCTACAGACGAGAACCTTACATCGGAAGACTGGGGTGCTATCATGGAGGTTTGCGACCGTGTGTCGAGCGACGCGAGCGGTGCCAAAGAGGCTGTCCAGAGCATGATCAAGCGCCTGGCCCATCGCAACGCGAACGTGCAGCTCTATACACTCGAAGTAAGCAGGCGCTCTCGTGGGCTTGCGGCTAATCCGGGAATCCGTCAGCTGACTCCAGGCTCCACAGGTCTCGAATGCCCTCTCGCAAAACTGCGGCAAGGTCATGCATCGCGAGCTGTCGAGCCGAGCCTTCACCGATGCTCTTCTCAAGCTTGCCAACGATCGCAACACGCACACACAGGTCAAGGCCAAGATCCTCGAACGCATGAAAGAATGGTCTGACATGTTCAAGTCGGATCCCGACCTCGGCATCATGAATGATGCATACCACCGCCTAAAGCAGACTAACCCCTCTCTCCACCCTCCTAGCGCCCCGCAGAAAAACAGTCTCACGGCCCAGGACCGCCAGAAGGAGGAGGAGGAGCTTCAGACTGCTCTCAAGCTCAGTCTGCAGGAAGAGGAGCGCAAGAAGAAGCCGAACCCGGCCGCAGGCCCGTCCAACGCTGGGACCTCGGGCGGCGCAGCAGGAGGTGGAAACGCGCCGCAGCAAGCGGCCCCAGTGCAGCAGCAGCAGGTGCCCTCGGGCACGACAGCTGCCACCGTGTCCCGCGTCAGGGCCCTGTTTGACTTTTCCCCGTCGGAGCCCGGCGAGCTGGAATTCAAGAAGGGCGACGTCATTGCCGTGCTTGAGAGCGTCTTCAAGGACTGGTGGCGTGGATCGCTCAAGGGGAAGACAGGGATTTTCCCCCTCAACTATGTCGAGAAGTTGACAGACCCGACACCCGACGAGCTTCAACGCGAGGCGCAGATGGAGGCCGAGGTGTTTGCTGAAATCAAGAACGTCGAGAAGTTGTTGACGCTCCTCAGCGCGAGCAACACGGCCCCGAGGGAGGAGGATAACGAGGAAATCTCGGTAGGACAAACCCCATGTGCCCCTCTGAGGGCTGAGCCGAAAGATCTAACTGTTTGCAGAAGCTCTATCACCAGACACTGGCCATCCGGCCGAAGCTGATTAAACTGATTGAGAAGTATTCGCAAAAGAAAGGTACCAGCAATTCAGAGCAACTTAACAGTACAGGCCGAACGGTATACTAACAGAGATATAGACGACTTCACGCAGCTGAACGAGAAATTTATAAAGGCAAGGAGAGACTACGAGGCGCTGCTGGAGTCATCCATGTCGCACCCGCCAGGGCCAACCTATCACCAATACAGGCCCCAGGTTCCCCAAGGGTACCCAGCCCCTGGTCCTAGCTATGGGGTGCCCACTCCGCAACAACCTGGGCCAGCCTATGGCGCACCTCCACAGCAGCAGCAGCAGCAGCAGCCTGGGCCGGGATACGGTGCCCCGCCGCCGCAGCAGCAGCAGCAGCAACAATCGGGCCCCGGTTATGGTGCCCCTCCGCCGCAACAGCAGCAACCCGGGCCGGGATATGGTGCCCCTCCGCCGCAGCAGAATAACCCGGGCTACGGTCCGCCTCCTCAACAGCAAGATCCGCAGCGATACTACACCCCGGCTCCTGCACAAGGTACGCCGCTAGCCGAATTTGGGGATTAAGGGGGCTTGCTTTGATCATAGACTGATATGTATATACTATAGAAGGTCCACAATATCCACCGTCCTCCCCGTCCCCAAACTTTCAGCGTCCTGGGCCCGCAGCCACCCCTGCCCCGTTCTATGTTGCAGGTGCCCAAGTTCCGGCCCAGCCCAGCCAACCGGCACAGCAAGCACCACAGCAGCCTCCCCCGCAACAACAACAGCAGTACCCTCCACGGCCCCAAGAGCAGAGGCAGCCATCCGGCGGTAAACAGCCCGCTCCCATCCAAACCTCGTCTTCACCTCCACCTGCAAACCAATACGCCCCTTACCAAGCCCCACCAGCGGGTGCCCGTCCCCAGAGCACCTACGGCGGAGGCGGCGCACCGCAGGAACTCTCTACCTCCGTTTACGATTCTCCAATTGCACCCCATCATACCAACTCGATAGGCACATATTCGTCGTCAATCTATTCCCCTGAAGATCCGTACGCCGCCGCTAGCCCTGCTGGTGGCCCCCCAGGCGCTCCTGCCTCCTTGGCCCCCTCGGCACCTGGCGGGCCTGATCCTAGGCCATCGTATAACGCATACACTTCCTACCGCACTTCGTCGCAGCCGTCTCAACCCCAACAGCAGTACGGTGCCTACGATGGCGGCAATGATAGTTCTCGCCCGCCCGCCCCTACAGGCCAGGCGCCCCCTATCCCCCAGGCCAGGCCTCCCCAAGCCCCGGGGCCAGTGGCTATGTCACCCCCGCCGCTACACCCAACTGGTCCCGCTTACGACGCAAGACAAACGCTCCCGAGCCGCCTGGGTGCGCAGACCGGAGGGCACGATGCCGGTAGTGGCAGCAGCAGCAGCGTACCGCAGTACAAGGCCTATGTTCCGCCGGGATCTTCGGCGGCAGGCGGGCCAGGCAGCGATGATGGCCCTAGCGCGCCCGCAGATTATTACCGTGCGGCGGCCTACTGATGACAGCGGAAAGGAGAACCGAACCGTGAAAGGATGCATGGTATATCACAACCCCCCTGTGTTTATGTGGTCTAATTTTATAAGTTGCCCTTTTATCTTACCATATCTTTTTGTCATACCCTAGGTGTTCGTAGGAAGAAGCGGAGGGGGTGGATAATTTGGAAATGAAAGCCAATCTACTTCAATGACTGACTGTGGCGCCGAGGGTCGTGTCTTGTGTGTTCAATCCGGTGTATGACGTGTTTTTATTTTGACACCCCTGAAGCTAGCATGCAACACCCTTCCTTGCTAAGGAACATATATACATACATACGAATAACTATACGGAACTTGTAGCCATCATTGTCCAGCCTGTGACGACAAATATGTAGGTAGGTAGGTACCTACCTACTTTGGGTAATCACAGCATTCGAGGCTACAGACTGTCATTCGTTCCTCGGTAGGTACTCTGAGCCCTAAACAGACCCCCGCTTCTTATTTGTGAAGCTTCCGCGACGGCACGTCAGTCGCAAATCATTGACACATATTTACACACCTAGTCCTTTCCCCCTAGAGGGGTGCTTGGCACCATTCACTAAAGAGAGCACACAACATTACTAAAGAACCACGGACGTACAGAGATTGAAGATGGAACTGCGAGGTTCCAAATCATCACAAAACCACTTGGTTTTCTAGAATTTGCCTATCTGACAAAATCTGTAGAGATCCGAGCTATAAACAATCGCCGGCATGCCTGGCTTCCATATAAAGGCGCGCATCATTTGTCCATGAGCCCGGCGCTGTTAGCCTTTAGATATATCTTCGCTGACGCGGTATCGATACCTAACAGCCGTAGCTGAGCCTAAATAAGCCAAAAAGCAAAGAGAAAACGAGCTCTTCTCTCAAAGGGGTATTTGCTTATGATACTCATAGCCAACAAAAAACCAGATTTTGCTCCATGACTAACTAGCTGTAGGAGAATCTAAATAAAAGTATGTCGACGCGTCGTTTGGGGGAAGTGGGGGTGGCTTTGTATAACGCTGAGATTCTCTCATCATGATCGACATCAACCAAGTCCTTGGTTCGGAACAATTCTCCTGAGTGGTGTCCGGTCTCTGGGCTTTTCTATGAGGTCAGCATACCCCTCTAGACCGGCTGCCATGATGCGGACAATCTCAAAGATGTGGGCCCCCTTGAAGGTTTCGGCCCATAACCTGACCACAGCAGATGCGAGTTGCCGTAGCTTCGTGGGGTCTGAAGCAGATGAGTCCATGGACCTTGACCGGTGATGGTCGTGACCTGCCCCGGACAGCGATGGGTCGATTGGCACAGCGAATTCGGTTTCATCTAGCATGCGGCCCACCAAGGCCAGGAGGTTCCGTTCTTCGGCTGTCGGTGGCGGCTCGCCCGGGCCGATCGATGCAAGTGTCATCAACCACTTGGACAAAAGAACGGCACACTCAAGGTTGCAAACTAGATGTCCTCGTCAGTTAAATCGTATTGCACGACAATCTAAAACCCGTACAATAGCAGGGATTAGGACCTGACGTACGAGAATGTTGCATGCTCCATTCGAGCGACTTGGTTCTGGCAACGTAGTTGACGCCCATCTTGACAAGCATAGACAAGGCGTGAATAGCTTGGACTACCGCGCGGCAAAGTCGTGGACTTCGCACGAGCATCGGAGCATTGCTGAAAGCCGACGCTATCAGGACATGATCACGAGTTTCCAGGCTGCGGCTGGGACTAAGATCCGTGTTCAACCGGATATAGGCGAGCCGCAGCAGAGCCGTCGAGTTGAACGCAACGGGGCTTCCGGGGAAGGCTTCTGTCGGAGCAAGGTGTGGCCCCGCTTCGCCAGCACGATTTCGTCCGATTTGCTGCTCATACCCAAGGCTCCAGACGCGCAGGGCCTGGCCGACCTCCTCAACGTCGTCTGCCTTTAAGCCCCTATGTATATCAAACGGGGAGATGTTGGCAAAAGATGTTTGCTTGAGTAGAAATATGTGTTGGATTAAAGCATGGATGAGAACGTAGTTTCCAAGTGACGTAATGGGCGCGAGCGGTTCTTGCGGTGGTCGATTTAGCAGTCTTGAGAAGGCGTGCTGGACGGGGATCTCGATATTGGGACATGTTTGCCGAACCTCTTGCCACTGCCACGCGGGCTCGGCCCTCCACAGCCGAGATGGGCTTGGCAAGTATAGGTGCACTTCGGACGTCAGGAGTAGCGGAGGCGTGTTGTAAGCGATGCTACACAGGTTGAAGAAGCAAAACGCGATGAGCTTAGTCCGAGTCCCTGCCTCAATCCGGACCCAAGTTTCCCAATCCATGGTTTGCTGGTTTGGTTCTGCCAGCAGGCCCTCTTCACGGACCAGATGTGCGAGCAAGCTTTGCAAAGACATGGCTTCATGGAGGATGGCTTTGGCGCCCCATAACCCGACGGCGAAGAGAAGCAGGAGGGCTTGTATCGTTTCAAGGCGTGACTGGGGCGTGTTCGGTGAGCTGCTCAAAGCGTTAGTCTTTTTACAAAAAAGATGAACAGTGGGGAGTGTTACTAAGGCTCCCGATGAGTGTCTTGGGTCATCGGGCGATCCTGGTGAACAGAGGGAAACGAGTGTCGGAAACCAGAGCTTGGGGATGGCCTGGTGGAATGCGGGCTGTAGGCAGCAGGGGTAGGAAGTAGCCCGTGAACTTCGTGACTGTGCCGTCGTCGAATTTGCTCAAGAGCGACGGCCTTCGCGGCATACCACAGCGCGTGTCCTCTGTTTGTCTCGAAACGGTACTGCGCGCCTACAGCCAGGACTGCAAGAAGCAACTCTGGCGATATATCGGTTGGTGACAGCGTAGGAACATGAAGGAAAGGCAGGTGGTCATGAAATCCACTGATGTAGCCTTCCAGAAACCTATTCAGAGTATGGCGTGACGGAAAGACAAAGTCGTTGGGAAGCACAGAAGAGAACTCGTCAAGCCGTGTTTTAATGGCCGAGTGGTCCGCGGCTGATATCCTCCAGTTCGGTGCCTTGGCGGCGCCGTCTTCATGCATCCTAGAACCTCCCTCAGACTGATCGCGCAGGTCGGGCTGTAGCGATGGGAACCTGGAAGGAAATGCCGAAGCTGGTTTCGATGGCCCTCGCCCTCCCATGTCCCCCAGTCGTGACCACATGCCAAACGGCTGCTCAGCCTCGAGAGACGGTAGAAAGTGTGATGTCGTTGCGAAGTCGTCTAAGAAGAGGCTGTAGTCGTCAAAAGCAGGAGGCGGAGGCTGTGGAACATAGCCCCCGGCCATGACGCCCTGATCGTATTCCCTCTCTCGTTCCCCATACGGCATGCTTTCGTGATAATTCTTGACCGGAGTCAGGTCTGCTGGCGCTTGGGCAAGCCCTTGCATCATTGCCGGCTGCATATTGTTGACCTCGCCGCCCGACGCCAGATGGGTTGCTGCGTCTGATAGGAGATCTAAATTACACGCGGGAGCTCTTGCTGCCAAGCGCGAGTCTGGAGGCAGGGATGAAACCGCCGAGGGTTGCATGGGCTCGGGTTTGAAGATGGTGTGCGTCGGCCGCTGCGGCATGCCGAGCATCTCGGTGTCAACATGGCTCTCGGAGGAACCGGCGGGGGCGCCGGCCGACGACGGTTTACGAGGCCGGGCTCCTTCTTTGTTGCTGCTGCCTTCATTGAGATGGACAAGCTTCTCATGGCGGACAAGGAGGTCGCTGATGTCCATATAAGTATGTTTCTACTCCCAGGGGGGCATAAGAGGGAGATGGATCGGAGCAAGAGTGGATGACGAAGCACCGAGAAGCAGGGTCCACCAGACCGAGGGCGGGCTTGCTTCTGTTTCTTCTTTCGTTTTGGAGGCAGGCTGTAGGGGGGGAAAGCTGGGGAACTGGACACAGCAAGGGAGGGAGGGGAGGACGGTGAGTGGTGGAAGCACGGCCAGGCAACGCCCAAAAAAGACGCAAAGGCCAAATCACTCGGGCTGGGGAGGTACTAGTAGGGACAGTTAATGAACTTGCTCACCGTCGTCCGAAAGTTTTCCCACATCGATCCCAGATGCAAGAAAATGGCTTTTCCTTGGTATGGGTTCTCTCATGTCTCTGGACGTGCTCCACACGCCTAATATGAGATGGCAATGTAAGTCAATATGCGAGAGAGAGGAGCGTTGGAAACGGAGGGCTTCGTTGCTAACCTGAATCGCTTGCTGCAGTACTTGCACGGCAGAGTCTTGGGCTTCTGGTGCCGGGACTCCCCGTTCTCGTCGGCAGTATGGGACGGGGCCGGCGCCTCGATTGAATGTAAGGGCAGCATGGCGCGCGAGCGAGGCTTGCCCGGCGGGATTGGGGTATCGAAAAAAAGGGTAATAATGTGCCAGACAGCCACGCCACGACGCAGGCCGAAGTGTGGGGGAAGGCGAAAGGGGGACGGGGAAGGGGGAGGAAGGGGGAAAGGGAAAGGGGAGAAAGCGGCCAACTCGACTAGGGAGCAGCCCGAGGGGGTGTTTTGTGGGGTGCGTTGCGTGTGGTGACCGGATACATGAATCAGAAAGCACAAATCATGCTCGTCTTGTTTGTCTAAGGTATTCAGCCCTGACGTGCGTGGTTGAACTTGCTGCTGCCGCCGGCGCTGCTGCCCTGCTACCGCCGCCGCCGCGGACCTGATGAGGAGGCTGCTTGCCGGGATGGATGTATGTACGTGTATGACCCTTGGTGCCGTGGTGGCCTGCCTGCCTGCCTTTTCTAGCGCACTCACCCACTACTGTCCCCTCCGGATACAGGACGCGGGCGATATTGAACGCGCTGAGACCACACCCCAACCCTCGCCCGGCTCATTCGTCCAACACAAGTGCGGGACAACAAAGACCTTGTACGAGAGACGGCGAGGCGAGAGGCTCAGGAACTATAGGGGTACTGGTACTGGCAACAAGTACTGGCATGTACTGCACGAAGCTTTCCACGCACCCCAGAAGTCAGACCCCTTCCCCCAAAAACCAGCGAGCGGGGAAGTCGAGAACTCAGGAGGCGCCTCGGGACAGGGCGGGCAGCTGTTAATGGTATGACAGGCAATGACACAAGCACGGCAGGACGTCTCCAGCGGTCTTAGCAAACCAAAGACTTGCGGGATGTTTCCAGGAGTGAGCCGACTGCACAGAGCGCGTGGTCGGGTGGGCAGCCCACCACAGGCAGGCAGACAAGGAAGCAGGGCGCAAACCCAGCGCAAGGCGGTAGGTTAGGTAGGTATTCAGGCAATTCTGTATGGATAGAGCAGGGCAGTTTTGTCGGCTCTGCGTCGACTGGGCCGATCTGTTCGAGGCGAGCCCAACAATGGCTGGCGGTTGGTAGTGAGGAGATAAGTTTGGCGCTTGGCGTTTGTTTGTCGATCGCTCAGGGTTGGGTAAATGCGGCGTGCGGCGTGCGGCGTGCGGTGCGGCGGGCGCGCACAATGTAAACGCGCGAGAAAAGAGGAGGCAATAATGGGGAGGAGGAAAACGGGATGGGCGTGGAGAGACGGAGCGGAGAAAAGACTAGGTGCGGGTGAAGGGCGAGTGAGGAAGCTGGAGTAACAAGGGAGAGCCCCCCTTCCCAAGCTACCCAGCGCCGCCAGGCACAAGCAAGCGAGGCACCAAGCTGCAGACGGAAGGCGGAGGCGGGGAAAAGAGGGACGCGGTCCAGCAGGGAAGGGACGGACTGGGATGGTCCCAAAAGAGGAGAAAGAGGAGAAGCACTGACGCGATATTCCGCAAACTCCTCTCCAGACGCGCAAAACTAACACAAAGCAGGCTAAAAAGTAATGGAAAAGATAATCAGGTCTCTTTGGTATCTAGATAGCCAGAAGGCAGTATCTTTCTGGCTCTTGTTCCTGGTGGAGTCGTAATTGAGCTTTGCAAGGTGAATGAATGTGCGAGTCTCTACGACGAATGCAAATGTATCCTTTATTCTTTTCTGACGCCACGGTGTCATATAGTGTACACGGTGGCCGCTGCCAAGCTTTCACAATAGAGGGCACATTCAACAAGTATATTAGAACGTATACCGAACAATTGAGAGAGGCTTCAAGTTTTCAAGCCCGAAAACTTCAGTGGCATGGTGATGGATTGATATGCTCGAGACGGGCTGGGGGAAAGAGCGAATAACGGAGAAAATAGAGTGGGGAAGTACATCGATGGGAAGAACTGGAAGATCGACTGAACACTTCCATCATCATGACCGCCCATGGACCCGGAGCAGTACCAGTCTCCATCGTTGTTTTACCTCAGCTAGGCAGGTAGATTTATGTCTACACCTCACTACCTAGTACTAGTAGTTGTGCTCCAGGTGGTAATGTAGGGAAGTTAAGGAGTACTTAATTGCCAATGCCAAACACCTCTTAGCGTCAACCGTTAGTAAAACTCCGTACAGTACATGTGCATACCATACAACCATGGGTACAAGAGAAATTCTACCTTGATACTTTACCTAAGTGGTCAAATCAGACAGCACTACAACCTGAGGCTGATATTTAGGTTATCGGCTTTTTGACATTCTGGATCAAATTCTAGGGAAGATGTTTCCCAGAGTCCGTCCTAGGCTGTAGGCTACGTTCTTTCCAAAGCTCCTTCCCCAATGGTTTATCGCTTCTTTCTGCCCAGGTGGGCTGGTATTCCGTTCTAGCCATTGAGTGCGGGCCCAGGTAACTTGAAAGGTATGTACTAGGCTAGCTTGCGCCTTCCCCCGCCCTGGCAGGACCAAATTCAACCCCTCCAAAGGGCTTGTAGGGGGGTCATTTTCCCCAGTTCTCCAAAAGACGGGCTCGGTACTTGGTGCCTTGGTCCTTTTTGTAGACTGCTACGATCTTCCCTGCTACGGGGATGGAGAGTTTGGGGGTGGGGCGGGGGCCCCACCACAAGCCCGCCAGCCAATTTCCCAAGTCTTGCTCGGAGTCGGCATCCATGCAGAAAAGAGAGCTTGCGTGCGTGCTGAAGTGGGGTTGATTTGACTTGCTTCGAGCTTCGTCTCGGAAACTACGTCGACGAACTGCCGAAAGGTCAAACAGATACGGAATAGATGATAGCTCAACCAATGCTCTTTTCTCTCGGAACCACAATGCCCTGCGACATGACCTGCAAACCCACTAGAGCAGCTATCCCCAGAAGAGATGCATTCGAGGAGAAGCCGCGGATGGAGAGCAGCCCCAGTTTCATTTAGTTGTGGTCGATGGCACATACTTCCCGATGGCTCCTATGCGGCCGCCTAAATTGGCTCTCAGACCTCTCGAATGCTTTGACCTTGGGGAGCTTGGGTCTCGACCACCACAGAATATTTACGTCAGTCGTCGCTCGCCCACATCCATCTATGCTATCTTCGCTGCACGGCACGCGCCCCAAGCACCTCCAAAGCCAATATATTTGGATGTGCTGCCTATGCACGGCAGGCTCTAGCCCAGTCGATCTAGACTTTTACGTGGCTAAGATACCTTACCTTATACACCGCCTTGTCAAATCGGGTAACCCGGTATACCCCTTCTTCGAACTCGTAGCAGCTTGAATGCTTTGCCTTGACTACCTCCCTACACGACGTAGGCATGCGCCGTGTGTCGTCTTGCTCGGCTTGATGATACTCTTGCCACTTCTGCCGTGACGCGCCAGAGCGAGGGCGGTAGCGTCAACCATTGCAACATTGGTGGCCGTAAACACTGAACGGGCCAGAAGAGCCGGACTCGGATGTTACACCAAAAAGCGGGGATGGACTTTACGAGAACCGAGGAATCGTTTTGGCTCGTAGCAGTCCAATAAAAGGACCAAGGCACCAAGTACCTCCACGTACAATCGATCACCTAAAGGACCATTTTTATTCCGGCAAACAACCTCTCAACGTCTAGAGACGGAAGGGAATCTGGTCTTAACGTATTACCTTACTAGCCTGCCGGCAATCCTACTACTACATAAATCAGCTACTTGAGTTAGGACTTGGAGGATACCATAGAACCTGAATAGCCATGGCGCACGGGACATTTTCCCGACTATGGAGAGGCATGTACCCGAGAGCCTACGAGTGTGGAGGAGCCCGTCTTTTGGAGAACTGGGGAAAATGACCCCCCTACAAGCCCCTGACACGCCTTTGGAGGGCGTTGAATTTGGTCCTTTGGGGGGCGGGGAGGGGCTTCCCACCAATTTCTCAGTGCGGAGAATCTGGGGCAGACGGAATGGAGGGTGGGCAGGCAACGCGACAGGTCTGGGGAAACAATGCTTGTGCCAACACCCATCGCAGCATCTTTGCTGCGTGGCGGGACGGAGCATCCACCGCCGTTGCTCCCGTCCTCCTGTTTCCTCCACTTTCTTGGCCTCGGGTTGCCGCGAGTCTGGGAACGACTGTTTGGATCCCATTCTCACACTTTCTTTCCGCGCGAATGGCGGCGACTATGGCTTTGTTTTTTCCGGGCCCCTTGGAACCGACGCCTGCAAAGGCGATCGATATGGAACTCGACGTGGTCAGTCGTAGTCGATGCCTGACGGCATAGTACAAACAGTAACCCGGCAAGGTCGGATCGCTGTCGGACGGAAGGCTTCGCACCTTCAGCGGCATCACGATCACGTCCCGTCCAAACAAGACTGATGCGCCCTGCGCTTCACGCCCTTAGGAAACATACGCGAGTTCCCGAGTCCACCGCCAAGACCGTTGTGAATATTATTCATGAATTTGAATCTATGCGCAGCATGGGATGGAATGAGCAGGTCCGATGTCAACATGTCGCGTGCGACCCATATCAGCGCCCGCCATTGAGCCTACTGCCGCCCAATATGGTCTTCCCTTGGTGGAATGTGCCGATTTCTACGGAACATGGGGCCAATAGTCTTCGTCACTCGCCAGGGTGCCGGGGTCCCCTGAATCCGTGTGAGGGGCTGAGGGGAAGTCGTTTGCACTGTACTTTGTTAGCGTTCTGCATTGGTTGTGCCAAACTTGTGTCTTGGAATCCACCCATCCACACCAAAATTGAAGCCGAATTCGAAGTGGTGATGTTTCAGAGCGCAGGTTCGGCTAGGTGCGTACCAAGAAGCCGTGCAGATTAACCGAGAAGTGTATTTACTCACAGATAAGTAGACAAAGTACTTCCCGAGAATCCACTACGACCCAACGGCACAATAGTTACGGTCCACCACAAAGAATCCACTATTGCAGAGAGAGTACAGGCTTTGACCCTACATGCGAATGGCGTCAAGTTTCCAACAATGAGGCCCTCACAGGGCTCAAAAGAACCACTTTCAATAGCCTATTAACGAAGGCAAAGAAAAGAGGGTATATTGTAGGCGGTAAAATAGAAGACCGTCATGTTACGAGTGGTTCTCGAAGTGGCCGGCCGCCCGTAATAGGAGACTTGGAAGACCAGACCATTGAAGTGGTTACGAAGGATTTCAACTCGCGTTCATGCTCAAGTTACGAATTGGCTGACCGAGTTGCCGAAAAAAATAGAGGGCATCCCCGGGGCTAAGGTTCCAAGCCGGCGAACGACACTACGGTGGCTCAAGTGCAAGGGATTCAGCTCGGTCAAGCCCACAATGAAGCCCGGCCTGAACAAAGCCCAAAAGATGAAAAGGCTTGAATTCGCTATGCAGTCGTAACTGGACTCTCGAAGACTGGAAGAAAGTAGTATGGAGCGACGAGACCTCTGTTGTACTCGGCGCAACGCGTGGAAAAAGGAGGAAGGATTTGGCGCCGTGTGGGAAAAGAACTTCCACAGTTGCATCTACCGTCGTTGGAAAGGCTTTATGGCCTTTATGTTTTGGGCCTGCTTTACCTGGGAGAAGAGAGGTCCTTAGGCCAAAGGAATCAGCAAAGATGAAGCAAAAGTATAAGGATATGATGGATGCCTATAACGAAAAGCATGTAGCCGAAGACTATGCTCAGTGGAAAGCGGAGATCGAGTTACGGCGGTTCAATTTTAGTGACAAGAAGAAGCCAGGTCGAAAGCGAAGCTGGAAATACACCAAGGCGACTGGAAAGCAGGAGCGGGATTCGAAAGGCGAGATCGACTGGAGCAGTCAGTGGCGTACTTATCCACAGGAAAAGCTTCGTCGTTTTGTAGAGAGAATCCCTGGGCATATTGAGTGGGTGATCCGGCTGGCGGGTGGAAATGAGTACAAGGAAGGGATTAGGCCGCCGCCTCTGGAGCCGGGAAAGGAAGAACCTGTTGACGTTATTTGGCGGGAATGGTCGAAGAAAACAACGAAGGAAAAGCAGGTCAAATTGGTACAGGAAGAAGCCGACGACGACGACCTCGGTGATCTTAATGTAGATAATTTGCCGTCTTCAGCACCGCCGAGTAAGGAAGGTGGGGTGGTTACGCCTGGGTCCCTGTAGCTTAGTTAGCCAAATCTTGGTCCTTTTTTAGGGGGATGCATAGATTACCGCAAGTCGTCAAGAAATATGTAAATAGCCTTATTCGAATGCGCCGAAGCTTCTAATCATAAAGTTGTCAAATCTATGCATATGCGGCTTGATATGCAGTATGCAGGTTGGTTCGAATCGGCGATAAAATTCGTGGTGCTGAGGAAGGTAAGTCGACCTAGCGGACCTTACAGGGCAGTTTACTGGTGGTGATTATGGGGTTTTTTGGTAGTTACAGGGACCTAGAAGCTTACGTAAGAAATGTGACGAAGACTTTTGGCCCCATGTTCCGTAATTACTCTAAATTCGTCATGTGCAATACATTAAATTAACCAATCAACCGCGCTCGCACCCCGCCAAGAATTCTTTACATCGCATCCTCGGAATCAGCGCGTTCCAAGATGGCCACAACAGCCCCGCCCCTCCAGACCCAGTGCCGGCGCCCTAAGCCGGGTCTCGAATTGCCCTCTCGAGACGATATCTGCTTTCGCCATCCCGGTTATAGCCAGAACAGCCTACTCATAGCTCTCCCTCGCGTCGATAGTACAAGATCGATTTCTCCCTACGGCTTACATCATAGAACAGCCCTGCTAGCATGCCAGATTATCGCTAGGAATGCCTTCGCTAACAGCTATTTGTCTCTCGATAAGGGGGTCAACAGCAAGTCCAGGTGTCACGTGATGGCATCTTGACAGACGAGGAGTACTACTTCATCGTTCAAGGCTCAGGTAAAAACTCCCTCCTCCCTTCGAGCGGCTTTCGCTAACCTTTTAGTGCTTTATCCTATCGTCCCTAGCTTTCAAGATTGGGAGTTCCCCCACGACCGCATCCCCGATTAGTGGCCTTCTACCAACGCCGACCCTATTCCCAGCTTGGTCTGCGGTATTACCATCGCTGGGTATGCCGTCGAAGAAGCCCATCTTGTGCCAAAAGAGGAGAAACGTTGGTATCAGGAGAATGAAATGCGAACGTATACAATGGGTGATATCAACAACCAAGGCAATCTCCTTCCCATGAGGAAGGATATACATTACTGGTTTAACACCCGGTGGTTTATTATTGTTCCAAAGATTGTCACCATCGATTCTTCCCTTCAGCTCTCCCTTCAGTACGTCACGCATATCATTTCAGGGCCTGCAGCGGAATTATGGCCTACATATCACAACACCCTCGTCGAGTCCCTCCATTTTAGGTCTCGCGCTTACCTCTTTGCCCGTTTCGCTTGTGCTATCCTTTTCCAGGCCAAGCTCTTCGTCACCGCAGGCCAAGATCGTCAAGTCATCCAAGTCTCTAGAGATAAATTTGGCAATGTAGAGTACAAGACAAAGTATTGTACTGGGGAAGATCTTGAGAACGCATACGGCGGTGGAGGATCAAAAACGGCAACCCCGCGAAGTCCGAGGAAGACGAGGTCCGGACACAGCAGTACACCAGACGAAGAAGACAGCTTTACAGAGTCATCTGGGGGCAGCGATACTGATATGGACGATATGGATTGGAGAGAAAGGGGAAGATACAGAAGACAGGAGTCATTAGAGGAGGCTGCCCCTGATATCATACCACCACAGAAGTCATCGGAGGAAACCGCCCCTAACACCAAGGCACACCTGGAACCAGCTCTCGAGGTGGAGCTCAGGACAGCTTTACGCCAGATCATACCGCAGCAGGGTGTAGCCTCGGAAGACTAGGCGGGAGGCGGGGATGATGCAGAGGTGCTGCGACTGAAGTAGATCATTACAGCAGGATAATATGTAATAACCTCTGATTAATCCCTGTGCTAATCCCTGTGCTAATCCCTGTGATTATTAGATGTTGCAGAAATTCAGGGTGTCTAAAAGCGGCAGCCCAAACTGCGGCACATGTTTTCTCCCTGGAATATAGGCAGAATGCAAGAGAAACAAGGACGAAGAGGCCTACAAGCCATGTTCAGGAGACAAGATATGAGAGGGAGACAAAGGTCAGGTGGCGCCCGATGTTGTTCTGCACGACATTCGAAGAAGCACGACGATACCCGTGACGAGACAGGCCAGTTCTCCGGAGGCAACATGTCGGCCTCGGTATAGCATCGTGAGAATGGCAACGTGCCCACGCGCTATTGGCGGGGCGCTCCTAGCGGTGCGCCTCGAAAACATTTAACATGGCCAACAAGCGCCTACCTTCCGCGCAGGACAGCGAAAGAATGACAGAAGAGAGACATGGAGGCGCGTGTGGCTGCGCCCAATACAGCTAGTCAGCCACCAGTCGGCACTGCAACTACCTAGAATATGGGGTAAACGTGCACTGTGTAAGCTGTGTCCATGTAACAAGGAGTCCCCACAGTTTCGCGGGGACCGGGGGGGGTGCTCCTGATCGACCGACGGCGCAGATCACTGTGGACTGTGGTCACTGGACGGCACGGCCTGGGCTGAGAACCTGCCCTGGTGACATCCGGCCCTATTCCTTCGATTGCATCGGCGCGCCGTCTCTCATTCGAGCAGTTCGGCCGGGCTGGCGAATCAGAGGGCGGGTTGCAGCGCCGGCCCGGGTGGGCACAAGTGACTCCCTGAATCCCAATCCCGTCCACGTCGGCCCTGTCTGAACCCCAGGAATCCGTTCGCTTCCTTCCGCTCCCTCTCGGCATGTCGCGGGAAGAGAGCCGGAGGAGGGTGGTGGTAGTGGTGGTGGTAGTGGTGACCTTGGGGGAGATTGTGTGTGTGCGACACCCTCCCTTTTTTTTCCCTCGTCACAAGGCCGCCGTCAGTGACCGCGTCCTGCCTCAGACCTCGGCCTTGCTTTCCACGGCATTCACCTACCCACTCGGGCCTCGTCCTGTCCTTGGCCCACTAGGCAGCAACAATAGAGACAGACTCGGCTCAGGTGAGCAGCACCTCGGCCTATGCGCTGCTACAAGAAAGTGGAGTTCCTGTTTGCTGTCTGTCCATGTATTGTTGCCTCGCACAGTTTCGTTACTCACGAGTTCTATTCTCCACAATTGTTGGACAGTCGGCCAGTCAGTCAGTCAATGGTGATGGTGGTGATGGTGGTGACGGTGGTGATGGTGACAGCGGCACGTTTCTCTCTCCTATCGCCACGGTTGGCTGGGCTGCGTCCGACCAGATAGATCACAGGCGGCTCTGTTTTCCAGAGCCAGAGGCGCTTCCCGGAATCAGATCCCTGTCTCATTTGCCGTGCAAGGTGCGTGCCTGGATCCCATGCCCACAAGACAATCGGGCCTTTCTTTTGTGTTGTTGGGTTTCGGCGGCCGCAAAAGAACTTATTTGTTTTGTCGGTTGCATTCTCGCCCACAACCACAATATGGCCAGTACAAACAAGGCACGGAATTTTGGTTATTTTTGGGGATGGAAATTATTCTTGTTCCACCGCGCGCCAGGCTGCTAAAGGGGCAAGCAACCTTGACTTCTTCCTTCCTCCCGGCCGAGGAACATGCCATGTCGCTGCGTCGCCGTCAACCGACATACCTGGACCTGGACCTGGACGTGCGCGCGGGCTGTGGCGATGATCTCGTGTCTTCCGCCCTCCCGCGGGACGAGCAAGTGCGTGTTGTTGTTTTTAGACATGGGTGGACGAGCCTGGGAGTGGGCGATTATGTTTTGTCTATATTATCCTCGGGCCGGCCCGGCCTAGGAGTTAAAAAAAAGAGACTGTTTTGGCTTTTCTCTATCCATCACTCACTCACTTCCCTTTCTCCCATCTATCTCTCTTTTTCCCTCTCTCTCTCCTTCTCCGGCGGGAGACGAGACGGTTCCCCATCGCTGCTGCTGCTGCTGCTGCTGCGCGCGTCTTTTCATTTTGGCTATCCCAAGTACCCGGCTGATAAATATCATCAATGCGCCTCGATTCGCTGCTGCTGGCTGTTGCCGGCCTGGCATCGGCCGCCAATGCATACTGGCTCGGTGATATAGCCCGTGAGTTGAGACCCATGCAGCCTCTCACATTTGTACAGTTTTGTTTCTTCTAACTGGCGGCTGGACCATGGAATAAAAAGATCGAGGGACTGCGCCCTTCACTCCAGCTGGGTATCCGGTTTTCCGCAATGTCAGGGACTACGGCGCAAGGGGTGAGTTTTGATCTGGCTTCATGGTTTCATCTTGCTCTCAAAGGGTAGCTGGCAACTCGCTCGTGGGGGCAAAAGGAAACAGACCTAACGCGCAGGACAGGCGATGGAGTCACGGACGACACGGCGGCCATTAACGCGGCCATCAGCGCTGGAAACCCCTGCGCACAGGGCTGTGTAAGTTTAGAGTCCGGAGTTCAGAGAGAGAGAGGATGGTGGTCCCTCAGTCAAGAGAGACGTGGTTTCTGATGGAGCGAGTCCCAAAGGCGTCTACAACCACGACCCCGGGCCTGGTCTACTTCCCGACAGGCACGTACTTGATCTCAAAGTCGATCACCCCAGCCTACTTCACGCAGCTCATCGGAGATGCCTCGTCGCCGCCGACGCTCAAGGCGACGGCCAACTTTGCCGGGTTCGGTCTGATCGATGGGAACGTCTACTACACGTCGAGCCTCAACTGGAAGGCGGTCAACGTCTTCTTCCGCCAGGTCCGCAACTTCGTCATTGACACGACCAACATCGCTCCGGGAACCGCGGCAACGGGAATGCACTGGCCGACGGCCCAGGCCACGAGCCTGCAGAACATCGTCTTCAACATGCCCACCGCATCCAACGTCGTCCACGTCGGCCTGTTCATGGAGGAGGGCAGCGGCGGCTTCCTTACTGACCTGACCTTTAACGGCGGTGCGACAGGTGCCAGTATGGGCAACCAGCAGTTTACGATGCGGAACCTGAAGTTCAACAACTGCAAGACCGGTATTGTCTTTTGTGCCCTGTTTTTGTGCTTCATGTTTGCTGTTCTGTAGTGCGTCTAACACGCAGCCACAATAGCTATCATCCATCTCTGGGACTGGGGCTGGACCTACTCTGGGCTTTCCATCAATAACTGCCAAGTGGGCATCGACATCTCGGCCGGCGGCTCCAGCAACGTTGAGACGGGCTCGTTGACGCTGTTTGACAGCACCTTTACCAACGTCCCCGTCGGCATCAAGACGGCCTGGGCCACTGGCTCGACACCCGACACGGCCGGCAGCTTGGTGCTGGAGAACATTGTGCTGAACAACGTCCCCGTAGCGGTCCAGGGCCCTAGCGGCACGTTGCTCTCCGGATCGGGCGGCGCGGTGACCATCACGGCGTGGGGCAACGGCCACAAGTACACGCCGACGGGCCCCAGCGAGTTCAGCGGCACCCTCGCGCCGAACTCGCGGCCGGCATCGCTGCTGGGGCCCGACGGCCGGTACTACACCCGGTCCAAGCCGCAGTACGAGACGCTGTCGGCGGCGTCGTTTGTGTCTGTGCGCGCATCCGGGGCTAGGGGCGACGCGGCGACCGACGACACGGCGGCCATCCAGAGCGCCATCAACACGGCCGTGGCCGCGAGCAAGGTCGTCTTCATCGACTACGGCATCTACCGCGTGACGCGCACCATCAGCGTGCCGCCGGGCGCCAAGATCGTCGGCGAGTCGTTCCCCGTCATCATGTCGGCCGGCGGCTTCTTCGCCGACGTCAACAACCCGCAGCCGGTGCTGCAGGTCGGCGCCACGTCGGGCCAGGCCGGCTCCGTCGAGCTCAGCGACTTCATCCTGTCGACGCAGAACGCGCAGGCCGGCGCCACGCTGATCGAGTGGAACCTCGCCAGCAGCGCCAGCGCCCCGAGCGGCATGTGGGACGTCCACGTCCGCGTCGGCGGCTTTACTGGCAGCCAGCAGCAGGTCGGCCAGTGCCCCACCACGCCGTCCAACAGCGCCGTCAACCCTAGCTGCATCGTCACCTTCATGTCCATGCACATCACCAAGAGCGCGAGCGGCTTATACATGGAGAACGTGTGGCTCTGGTATGTTGTTGTTTTGTTTATCCGTCCTCGAGTCGGCCGGGTCTTAGCATCTCAGGGGAGGACAGGGGTATTCAGGGTGATCAAGAAGTAACAAGGCTGTTTTAGGACTGCCGACCACGACATCGACGACGCGGCAAACACGCAGATTACCATCTACAGCGGGCGGGGCCTATGTGAGACGATATCTACATATATGATGATGGGTCGACCTCCCGACCATTGTTGCTGACTGCCTCTGCAGACATCGAGTCCACTGCGGGCACCTTCTGGCTCTGGGGCACTGCATCGGAGCATCACACCCTCTACCAGTACCAGCTCGCCGGGACGCAGAACATTTTCATGGGCCAGATCCAGACCGAGACGCCGTAGGCCCCCCTCCCCCCCCTTTTTTTTTCTGCTCCCCATCAACAAAGTGGCTCACCACAAAACAGATACTACCAGCCCAACCCCACGGCGGTAGTCCCGTTCCCCGTGGTGGCGGCGCTCAACGACCCCAACTTCGGCACGTCATGCTCCGGCGTAGGAGGCAACTGCGCGGCGGCCTGGGGGCTGCGCGTCATCAACAGCCGCAACATCCTCGTGTACGGCGCGGGCCTGTACTCGTTCTTCAGCAACTACAGCACGGCGTGCTCGACCTTCGCCGCGGGCCAGACGTGCCAGGCGCGCATCGCGTCCATCGAGGGCGGCAGCGCCAGCAGCAACGTGAACATCTACAACCTCAACACCATCGGCGTCCAGAGCATGCTCAACCGCGACGGCGCCCAGGTCGCCTGGTACAATGACAACGTCAACGTGTTCCCCTCGTGCGTTGCCGTCTACAAGAGCGGCTGAGGTTTTTGGTTGGATGTCTCTCGTTGCCAGCGTGTGCGGCCAATACTCGGTTAGGCATGAGATGGGTTGAGTAATAGGGGGGGGAGGGGAAAACAGGGTCGTGTTGTTGTTGTATTTACCGAACCCGCGAGGGACTTGCTTTCTTTTCTCCAACACCTTTGACGGAGAAGGCTGCACATGTTTACATGTTGGTCATTATTTACCTGTCCCTGAATAATATATATATTCACGCGCCATTTCTGCGCTTCAGCCTCTTCTTGTAGCCGCCCTCCGCTCGTGCAATCTCTCCCACTTTGGCATTTGTCACGCAACCCAACGACGCACCTGCTTCAACTCCGGCGAGGGCCGCAAACATCACCCGCTGAGACTGTACCCCACGTCGCCGTGCTGGCGCCCCATGTCCACTAGCCGGCGGCGCATGGCCTCGGCCGTCCGGAATTGCGGCAGCCCCGAAAAGTCGCAGCGGTCGACATAGGCGCCGACGCCGTGCTGGAGGACATTCCGCGCGCGCGCGTTCGCCGCCTCGTCATCGGCCCCAGCCACCGCCGCGCGGCCCACGGAGCCGTGCAACGTGGCGCGCTCGCGGCCGGCCGCGTACACGCCGCGGTGCACAATGTTGTTGTCGTAGAAGACTATGTCGCCGGGCGCCAGCGCCACGGCCGCCGCGCCGGGCATGGCGTTGCCATCATCATAAGGGTCCGCGCCGCGCTCCGCCGCCGTGCGCGCCCGCGCGTGGCTGCCGGGCACCACGATGAGCGACGCGTCGTCGTACAGCGCGAGGTTGAACTGCGCGTGCTGCTGCTGATTTGTGGCCGAGAGCCGCGCCTCCTCCTCGTCCGCCGTCGCCTCCCAAGGAATGTCGTCGCGGTGCCACCGCAGCGCGAAGTCATCCATCGGCTCTGCCTCCGTCCCCGGCCGCACCAGCATGTTGAACAGCTCCATGACCAGCTGCTCGTCGCTGTCCATCTCGAGCAGCTCGCGCACCACGCGCAGCACGGCGTCGGAGAAGTACACGCGCGCGAAGGCGGCGCGGTCGGCGGTGCTGAGTGGCAGGTCTGGGTGCAAAAGGTGCTGCACGCCCCAGATGCCGGCGGAGCGGGCAGCTGATGCGTCCCAGGGCGGGAACTGCTTGCCCACCGTCCGCACGTGCGGCCACGCGCCGCACCGCGCGACGGATGTCAGCCGTGTGGCTGCGCCACGGAGCGTAGTGAGGTCGGTGGCGGAGAGGGTGTTGCGGACGATGACGAAGCCGGAGTGCTGGAGGCGAGCGAGGAGGGGGCGTGCGGGAGGGGACGATGGGGCGGTCATGGTGGTTTGGTTTGTTTTGTTTGTGTCCAAGACGGGGAAGGGAAGGGGTGGGTTGTGTGGTGAATTATTTCTTCGAGTGGCAGATGGCCCGTAGGTGGTAGTGGTGGTGGCAACCACGCCTCTCGCACATAATTATGCTTGGCCCTTTAAGAGAGATGACGATGACGATGCCTGAACGGTCGATCAGATCACATGGGCCGTTGGAGCGTGAAATGCGGAGATACATTCATAGGTTCATTCTCCGAATTTTTGAGGCAGGCCCGCCCCCCACCCCCCATATCGTCTCCGCCGTCCCCATGCCACCCCCGTCGATCTTCCCCCAGATCTTTCCGTCTGTCCGTCCGTCCGTCTGTCCGTCCGTCTGTCTGTCAGACGAGGCGGATGAATGTCATTGGCTGGAACCGGGCGCCGTGTCAGGACGACATACGTCCCCAAGGTAGGCAACAATCAAACAACGCTTGAATAATAACTACGCAACGACAGACAGACATGGGTGGTGGACCCCTCGAAGTCGAGAAGAAGTTCCTTGCCAGGGTTGTTGATTGATTAGACCCCCAAGATTGTAAGTGCTTACTTGGTACATGGTACGTGCATGCTCGTGATGGGCTGCTCAACGTTGATTGCATCTACTAGTTAAGGGGAGAGAGAAAAAGGGGGCGGCCGAGGAAGCAACCACAAGTCATGGATGGATGTTATTGTGGCCCGACCCCTGGATACCCAAGGTACCTTAACTATAAAAGTTCACTACTGCGCTGTTACACGGCAGTATCAAGAGTTGCCAAGCACATTTCCATTACTTGACACCCACCGTTTGAAGCCTGATAGAACCAGTTCAACAGAGCGAACCCCCAAATCAAATAAATTTTCCAAGACTGACCGGGCTGCTGGCAGCAGCCAAGTGTTGGCAAAAAAGAACCAAACAAGTCAAATACGAGGCCGTAATTAATTACCTAACTACCTAGGTATCTACTTTACTTTTGTCTTGAGGGAACACGCAACAGGATGATTGTTTGCTTGCATTGGATCCGGACTCGCTCGGTCTAATTCCGGGTGACTCGGATCACACTTGGGTTCGGCAGGGGCTTCCCTATAATGAAGGGAGGGCAAGTGAAGAACGCGAGCGACCAGCGCCATTGCCGTTTCTCTAGTCTAGGAAGTCTAGTCTATAGAGCGGTGTATAAGATAAAGACGGTGGATGTAGATGCTCCTATATATATAACAGGTAAGGTAATCAGCCAGCTGATTAAATCCGGGCCCTCCTCTGCAATTTCTCATCCACACAGTACGTTCTCGTCGGGGAACTCTATTAATCGATCCGAGAGTCCCAGGCCAGCTGGGGTCCCGATCTTTTTTTTTTTTTGGTGGTTGGAAGTGAGGAGGAGGTAGGTAGGGGTTTTACTTAGGCGAGGGAAGAACTGAAAGCTGGGAGAGTTTGTTTAGCTGAAGTTAGCGAGGTGAGGGTGAAGAATGTGATGATGATGATGATGATGATTTTTTCGACACCACAAAGACTGGATCGATGGCCATACTTATAGTCTCAGGTTCACGCATCTCGCCATTGTGTCGTGACTCGTCCAGGCTCCATCTCGTCGCCGGCCTTGTTTGGTGCCAACTAACAAACTGAACTGACGAGAACGACAGCAACAGCGCCGCCCGCAAGTGCTGCTCATCAAGGATCCTGACACCCAAACGAAACAAGAAGATGACTCTGAACGTCCTGATTTTGCCTTGTCTAACGGCGTTGAAACCTCCGGGCCCACCGAGATTCCCGCCGTAGTTGTCCATCTCGTTTAAAGCCCTCGTAGAAAATGGAGCGTCTCTCCTGTCTCTCTAACACTAGTGAGGATGAGAGATTGTTTCTGAGGAGGCGTCGAGATGACCTTTACGAATTAATACCAGCGAGATGCGCCGCCAGAGCCTTAACCAATTATCTCACACCATCCAAGTGGTTATTGACAGATGTGCGGTGTTGACTGTCGTCGTCTGTCACGCACGCACGCACTTATTCGATTATGGGCATGAAACACCTTTGCCTTTCTTGGCCATGCAGCCGAAGTGAGGAATATAGCTTGGCCACAGAGTCGGACAGGGAATTAGAGTGCCGTGGCTAATTATATTTTTAGCATGTATTAGAGTCGCCTAGCCTTGCAGCTTACGCTCGGTGAGGGCGGGCAAGCAAGCAAAGGGAAAAGATGTAGTAAGCACCATCGTCGGGTTGTGGTAATATTTCCCCATTCCTATCACTTCTCGCCCGTATAAAGTCAGCCATTCCTATTTCTCAACTAACCTAGTTGAAAAGAAGCCCGGCGCCACAATGCTTAGCTCAGCCGTTCAAATATGTCCGTCCTTGAGCGTTTTGAAAGACCTAGGATCTCATCGAGACTAGCTAGCCGTCGCCTGAGAAGCTATTAGGTGATGATAAATTCAGAAGACGACCACTATTGATTAGCGTGGCGCTGCTGCGAGTAACTATAGTGCCCGCCTTCTCCATGGGAGTTTGGATGCATGGAGATCACCAGGTGTTGTACCGTGATTCGTTATTTCAACTGGCTTCTTGGTACTGACTGACATTAGTTTCTGTGTTTGCTGGCAAAACCCGTGGGAAGAATAAGGCAGATCGCTGGCGGACGCAGAAATGAACAAAAATAAACAACCGTGGTTTAATTATGGTGGCAATTTCCAAAGTAGTTCACTTACGGGTTGCGAAAAGGATAGCCGCGGCTAGATTATTTGGGTCGAACCTCATACTCTCTATCAATCCGCTTTCATCACACCAACGATCGATCTTATCGATTAGCATCTCGGCGATAACGTTTTTGATTGAACCAGCTTCTGGGTCTCCGTACTCGTAGCGAGCATGCTCGAAGCCCCCAACCCTTAACGCCGTGCGGGGGTGCTCCCCTGTCATCATCGTTGAGATGGAGGCGCACTAGCGTTTGCCCCGCACGCAAGAAACGGGGATGGCGGTACCGAGATGGCACATATTCCTGCAATTTATATTCCGTGCAATGCGGCTGCTTATCTTGTGATTCGATTCTTGGAAGTTGCGATCGGTTTAGTAGAGAGAATACACGCAGTTGAGCAGCAGTTCAAAGGCAGCAGTGACGAGGGCTTGCTTTATTCCTGACAAGCGATGCAATCCCTGATCGAGCTGTCGAGGCGCATTTCGTATGTGCACCTAGATTCCTTGACTAACTTGCTTACCTCAAGTCGCGGAGTCCGTCGCACTTTCCTCCCAGGTCAAAATGAAAGCTGCAGAACGAGTAATATCGTCAACCAACCAGCCGCTTGCGACATCTCTCTTTCACCAGTGTCGCCATATCAGAGATCTGGATAACAGCTGAAGAAGGTTCGCTGGCATGGACACGCGTACAGTATGTGGTATGCATTGACTGCGGGGGAAGGCGAAGGCGCTTCTGGCGATCTTGGACAGCTGAGCTTTTATTAGTCGCCCGTCTCAGATATGGGTGAGCGAGACGCCTGCCTGCCTGCAATAATAATTCGACCAGCTGCATCCACATCGGAACATGGCTGCACGTTTATCTGGCTGCGCTGCGTGGAACGGAACGTGCCTGTGTCTGTGCCTGTGTCCCTGTTTTCGGCTATTTATCTGATTCTGGCGCAGCAGAACGACACAGCTCTCCCTTCCCCCTTTCAGCTTCCTCCAGCTTCCAACCTTCTTGCGGGTGCCTTTCTCCAAACCCATCGCCTTTCATATCATCGTGCGTCGATAATTGCCCATCCGCAAACAACTCGCAGCCCGCTAAAAGCATCGCTTTCACCGGCAATTAATTGCTACATAATCTCGACGACCGCTCATTAATACCGCAGCCATGCCTGGAATCCGTAAGTCGTCACCTCCATCTCCCCCACCGCTGCCATCGCCATGTTGCGAAACAGTATCCACATGACTTCCTTCACAAGCACAACAGTCCGCGCATCCCCCTTGGCACCCTGAATTACCGAACGTGCTAACCGAGCAATTGCCTTGCAGCACTCGGAGCTCTTGACAACCTCAAGAGCAAGCTCAAGGCCGCCTTCAAGAGCAGGGGCGAAAAGAAGGCCAAGGCAGAGCCAAAGCCCGAGGCGACGCCTGCAGAAGGCGCCGCCGCTGCTCTCGCCGCCGCGCCTGCGGCAGTTGCCGCCCCTGCCAGCGCTGCCGTAACTGCACCCGTCGTCGCTGCCACGCCCGAGGGCGTCAAGGCTGAGGAGACTGCCGCCGCCGCCGCTCCTGCTACTGGTAAGTCCCCCGTTCCCGCGATGCATAGTGCTTATGGTAGGGAAATGAAGTCGCTTGGCATTAACACTCGTTGTCAGCAACCGTTGCTGCCGCCGCTCCCGCCGCCGAGACGCCTGCCGCTGCGCCCGGTACGTTTTACTTTTCCCTGCCCGTCCAATTTCTCAATTTCAGTGCTCAAAGCTAACAAACCTTCTTTTTAGCAGCCGCTGCGCCCGCCAAGGAGACCACTGCACCCGCCGCCCCCGCTGCCGCTCCCGCTGCCGCTCCCGCTGCCGCCCCGGCCGAGACTCCTGCTCCCGCCGCTCCGGCTGCTCCAGCTGCCGAGCCGACCCCTACTCCCCCCGCCGAGATAAAGACCGAGGAGCCGGCACCCGCTCCCGCAGCAGCACCCGCTGCTGAGGCCGCTCCTGCTGCTGCTGCCGCACCGACAGCCACGGCCTAGACCCGCCCGTCGACCGACCAGTTCGCCAGATCTTGATGTTTCGTTCCAGCTCCCAACCTGCCAAATCCTATCTTATTCGTTCAAAGTTGGACGGGCGCGTTGTGCCTGAAGGGATTCTTCACAACTCATACGCCGAAACCAGCTAGCGATCGATGAGTTAAGCACGGACACGATAATCCTAACTCTGACTGGACCATGGGTGAGTCAATTAATGGCTAGAAGTTGGCTGGGCGAGGAGGCACTCGACGATCGCGTGAGGTAGGAGGACTTGACTTGACTGGGTACTTGATTTTCACTTTATTCGTCGGTTTTTTTTTCGGAGTGGGCTGCTTTTCTGCGGATATGATACCGAACGATACCACTTTTTTTTTATTTTTTGTACCGGCTCTGTTTTTCGTTGTTTGTGTTTTATCTTGCAAGGGGAGACGCGAAGGGGAGGAAAGTGAGATACACTTATAGCTCTTTTGACATCCATTCGATACCCACTCACCCTGTTGTTGGGATTATCGCCGTGATAGCTGTTGGGGATATGCGTAGTGCTGTTTTCTCAAACCTATGCTCCTCTGCGGCTACGGATGACTCGGGCGAGGGTTGGGGGAGTTGGTGTTTGCTGAGTCAGTGTTCGGCAGTTCTCCAGGGTTAGGGTAATGATCTTGCTTTCCGTTTCCTCTTGCACCATTATTTATCCGTATATATTTACCTAATGAGTCTGAAGTATTATTCTGCTGTTCCCTTTCATTCGCGTATACTCCGTACTTGCATATAACACTGTTGGCGTGAGAAGAAAACCGGCAAGGACCCAAAATGACTGGCTAACTCCATAACAACGCCACAGATATCCCCGTGTACCTATACCCTAGAAATACACACCATAGATACCTACCTGCCTGGTATCCAGCGAAGAAGTCGTGCTCGGTGAGGCATAAAGCAAGAAAAATAAACCAGGCTTGCTTTAAAAATCCAACTATGCCCGTCCTAGGCTCTAGGCGTCATCTCCATTGTCTTCGCCATCTGAATCATCTGAATCATCGTCGTCGTCGTCGTCGTCGTCGTTGGGGTCGGGCATGACGGTGCGGTTGAGGTGCGTCACGAACCCCACCATGGCTTTGACGACGCGCGCCACCTCGTCCTGGCTACCGCCAGCGGTAAACACGTCTTCGGGCAGCTTCTTGCCGACGACAAAGTTGCGCAGCTTAAGCAGCGCCATGTCGCGGTGGTCGGGGATGAAGCCCTTGGGCCGCGTCTTGAGCGCGCCCTCGGCGTTCGACTCGGCAAAGGCTTGGATCACGGCCGTGTCGTCGTGGTCGTCGCCGGCCTTCTTTTTCTTCCCCTTCGAGGCAGAGGCGGCCGGGGCGACCTTGGGGAGGAACACGCGCCGGAACTCGGGGTCCATCAGCACACGCCGCCACCGCTGCGGCCGCTCGTCGATGCTCGCGCGCAGCTTCTGCAGCGCGCCGCCGTCCGGGTGCCAGAGCCCGCCGCCGACCATACACGCTCCCGGCTCGACGTGCACGTAGTAGCATGCGTACGGCCCCTTGCGGCCCGTCCGCGACCACGCGGCTGAGTAGTGCGGCTATAACAGGTTCGAATATTAATAAGGGATTTGGGTTTAGATGCGTACTGGAGGCGGGGGGATGGCAAGACAAACCTTGTACGGCGTCGGGTCGTTGCTGAAGCGGATGTCCCGGTAGATGCGGAAGTTGATGTCCTTGAAGGGCAGCTCGGGGATCGTCTCGTCGGCCGCCACGATCTTGTCGGTGAGCGACATGGCGTAGGATTCCCAGTCCTTGAGCGAGCGGCGGTATTCGTCGTCGTGCACTTTGTGGCAGCGACGTTAGCCCAAAAGAACTAGCCCGTTGCCAGAGAGGATGAAAGGAGCTTACATTTCAGCCACGGCCGCTTGTTGTTCGCCTTGAGGTCCTTGAGAAAGGCAAACGTGTTCTTGTGCAGGTGCTTGTCGGCGTACTCGACGCCGCCCGTGTCGCGGAGCTTGGGCAGCGGGATGAAGGTGACCTTTGGCGGCGCATCCTCGTCGATTTCGTCGTCGCTGTCGTCGGCCTTGCTGTTTGCATCGTCGTCTTCTTCGTCCTCGTCCTTTACCGCTTCTTCTTTATATTCGTCCTCAGCGTCCTCGTCTTCTACTGCGGCCTTCTTGGCTCCTTTCCTGCCGGTCTTCTTGGGAGTCGCGGTAGGCTGTGTAGACTTGCGCCGTCTCTTTGTCGCCACCACGTCGTCGAGCTCCGACTCGTCCGAGGCAGCTTCAAAGTATTTGCTCTTGGTGGTGCTGCTGGAAACGCGCGCGGATCGCCGGCGCGAGGGTTCCGCAGGAGGAAGCTCCTCGGTCTTTGCGACTGTCGCCGCTGCTTTGCGCTTGCGGGCTGCCATGCTGCCAAGAAAAGCTTATGTATGCAAGTTGTGATACGCGACAAGGTTTTCACTAAAAGACGATGTGCCGCCTCCTTTATGGAGGCCTCCGAAGCCAATGACGCAGGTACACGGGACAAAGCACAGGAGACGCGTTGTCTCGAGTTGATTGATTCTGGCGTCGCAAGCTCACGCGAAAGCACGTGGCGAATTTAAAATTCACCATTCAAACCCAAGATGGGTTAGCATATCAGGGTAGCGTTACGTAAGTCTGTATTCGTAATCGTTGCATGGTTACACGACCGTAACCGCATTACAGCTGAAGCTTTACCCCTGAATGTTTCCTCCTTACAACTACTTGAAAAGACTCAGTAGACCCCTAAGAGCCCAAAGGCAAGTTATTCTTCTTAATCGAAAAGTCCACAGAGACTCTTTTTCTAACCAGAAATTATTAATTGCTAGGTTTTCTCTTTGATCCGGCTGGAGAGATAGGAACTTTGTTATCAACTCGAGAGTCCAGCGCGCGAACACACTTTCCATGAACTGCTAGTTAGTGCCTCCCCAGACTACAACTTCCACCACTTCTCTACGTAACTGCCTGTTAATCGACAAGTTAAAAGATTGATCAAGGTAGGAAAGGTTTCTAGGCAAGTAAAGCACCAAGAGAGAGAAAAATCCTCCGCCATGTAACCGCCAAAGTCAAAACGCCGGTCCGATTCTTTCTAGTAAAGAAGGACAATACAGTAGACTCAGCCAGACCCAAAGCAGACGCCGTCGTTTGTGAATAGGTACCTTAGGTGAGGGCAACTCACACCGCGGTAAAGCAAGTCTAAGGTATCTCGACCGTCCAGAATCCTCACCAACAACCCATTTCCCTTCAAAGCCATTCGTAATATATCGATGCGCTTAAAAGCACCATACACCAAAAAGGTACAAAGTTGCTAAATCGGCCAGCAACGCTAGTTGTGGCAGAGCTAATACAGGTTTTCGAATTGAGCGTGAGTACTGAGGAGTAAAGATTAAGAATCTACGACGCGATGGGTTTTAGAATGACGAGGAATTGAGAAGAAGCCGGCTTCATGCCACCAAAGTCCGTCTCCCAATTGCCATACATTTACCAAGGTAGGTATGTGATTCCACTAACCGAACCACGCACCATCAAGGTGGCGGTATCGGATCGCGGCGTCGAAGAGTGCTTCAAATCTGAGCCGGTTGAGACGCGTCGTCCGCTTGTCTCCTCCTCCAACCGAACCAGCCTCCTCGCTCCCACTCGCCAGGCACGTACAGGGATTCGTTTCTGACGTCCTCGTTGATGATGCCCAGCAGGAGATTTTCCAGTCGCTTGAAGTCTATGGGCTTCAAAATCCACCCGTCAAACCCAGCATCAACATAGGTGTTCTTCTCTTGCTCGACGAGAGAGGCCGAGACAGCGATGATGGGGATTCGGCCATGGGGGCAGGCTACTTGGGACAAGCCAGGGTGGCGATCGGATTGCTCAAACGCCCTGATCATCTTGGTGCTAATAAGGCCGTCCACAATCGGCATCTGCAAACGTGTGTTAGCCTGATCAAAAACACGCAATAAGCATCGCCGCCAGGTCAACACACCTGCATATCCATTAATACTACGTCAAAGAGACTGGCCTTCTCTCGGTACATAGTCGCGCAGTCTTCGCCGTTCAATGCATGGGAAACCTTGTGCCCGGCCTTTTCTAGCCTCTTCCGCAAGACCTTGACGTTGATGGGGTCGTCCTCTGCAACCAAGACTTGTAGCTTGGCTGGCACTGGCTTGGCACCTACTGGCGTCGCTGGCTGCCCGCGTGAGGTTGTGGCAGCGCCACTCTTGTGATAGCTGTTCTCGTCCCGCAGCTCGAAGAGAACGCGCGAAGTGTCGCTTGTTTGCGGATGTTCCGGTTGATCGTGGTATTCGTCAGGTATCCGCACCGGCTTTATCGGCACTTTGGAGTCTGTAATGTACTGGATTCCTGCCTGTGAACTCTGTGAGTTGCTAGTTGCGTGACCCGGGGCTAATCCGGAACGCGAAGGCTTTGTTGGCCTATTAGGCTGACCGGTCGGACTACTTGAACGTGCTCCTCGCCCCGCATCGGTCGAGGTCGGGTTATAATACGGTCCGTGGGCACTGTGTCTTTGCCTAGCAACAATTTCCGAATCTGGCTCACCAAGGGCAAGAGGTGTCTGGATCGCGTCAATCAATCGCTCCGCGTCGCTAAACGTGCTCTTGCCACTGCCTTTGCTCCCGACGCTGCGTCGGCTAGAGACACTTCGGGTCTCATCAAAGCTCTTTTGCGGACTCAAAGCGCGGCGGCTGTTTAGTGAAGAAGGCTTGGGGCGGTCAATCAGCGTAACCTCTCCATCGCGGCGATTGGGCTTTCCCGTCGAGACCGAGGTAGCGCTAGACGTAGCAATCGGCGTCGCAGCCCCGATCTCGTCCGTGCTGCCCAGGTTCGAGCCGTTTGACGGGAGGTCAAACGGCAGCTGAATGACGAACCTCGAGCCTTTCCCTTCCTCAGACTTTAGACGAAGCTGGCCGTCCATGTTGCGCAGAATTCTTGCCACCACTGCCAGCCCTAAACCGAGTGCTCTTCCTTGCTTTGGCCTGTCTTCGGGAGACTCTCCGCCTAGCAAGGGTTCGCCGTCGAGCTCAGTACTCACTTGCTCTAGGTCTCTGAAAAGGGCATCTAACTTGGTGTCGCTCATACCCTGACCGGTATCTTGCACAACGATCTCAACCCAAGCCCGTCCATCTTGCACCTCTGCCACATACAACTCAACTCGGACCGACCCCTGAAAGGTGTTCTGGACGGCATTGGCTGTGACATTTGACACCGCCTGCCGTACACGTCTCTGATCACCACAGACAAACCGAGGCAATCCCGGGCGCTCAATGACCTCGTACGCAATGCCCTTCCGCCTCGCATCGTTCTTGAATGGCTCAGTCGCCTCTCGTATGCACGCGGAGAAATCGAATACCTCATCCTTGATCAGCTCCTGCCCTTCCTCGGTCTTGGTAAGATCTAGCAAGTCATTGATGACGTAGATCAAGGATTTAGAGGCAGAGTGAGATTTGGCCAGATTATCTCTGGTTTCATGATCCAACGAGCCCTCGAGCGCTATTTCGAGGTAGTTGATGATGGCGTTGAGCGGCGTTCGGACCTCGTGTGCCGAGTTTGCCAGCAGCAAGCGCGTTAGTTGACTGCTCTGTAATGCCGCCTCTTTTTGTCTCCAGACCTCGATAAACTTGCCATAGACTAAGCAAAGCACCGCTGCCGTCTCGATCTGCTCTTCAGACCAGTCACGGCACTTGCCCAAGACAGTCTCGTACCAGACCCTGAAACTCTTTCTGGGCTCGAGATAGGAAGACGTTCCTTCTCGAATAACTTTTTCGTACGGATTTCCGGCCCATTTGACCTCCCTGACTTGCCCCTTGCGGAAGAAGACGATGAAGTCATTGCCGCCCACGCTGAGGGGAACGTAAAGTAGACCCGCAATAACGGTGAACCCTGGCGGGTACCGCAAATCGGGGAAATCGACCTTTATGTCTTGGGTCATGACGACGGAGGTGAACTTGCGGAGGCGTAAATACTCCAGCATGGCTAGCGCCTCTTGGGACTGTTCAATCTTGCCCAGAATCTTGGTTTCCTCCCTGATTGACAGCATGCCAAAGTCGGCATCAAAGAGCTTGAGCAAGTCGTCCGAAGAAGCTATGATATAGCCTGAAGGGTTCTTATCCGTTGGTACCGTATTAATCAATTTCCGGGCCTGGAGGCGCGAAGCGTAGGAAAGACGCTCAATGTTCCTTGACACGGTGTCGCCGACCAGACGGCACATCTTCCTTACAGGAAAAGACACGCGCATGCCCTTGGCGCCGTAGGAGTGGCATGCTATTAGCCCCCAAAGATCGCCAAAGGCATTGATCGAAATTGACATGGACGAACGCACAGCCATGTTGGCCAAGTACTTGAGATGTATGGGCGACATGGCACGGAGATATGAGTGTGTCATATCTAGCGGAACATCAAGATCCTCGACAGACCTACAAACCAGTCTCGCGCTCTCCAGGTCGCGATCGTAGAGCAGCCGCACCTTGTTGAGTTTGTACAAGTCACGGGCTTGTTTCGGGATGTCTGTGGCAGGAAAGTGCAGCCCCTTGTAGAGGTCCCTGGTTTGCGATGGGTCGACAAGCTCAGTGACCACCTTCCCATTAAATGATGAGTCGAACTGATATATCATGACCCGATGAAAGCCGGTGAGCTCCTTCACGATACCGACTAGGATTTTCAAGAACCTCTCCAGATTTGGCGCATTCGCCAGCTGCTCTTGAACTTGACTCATGATGTCGAAGACCTGCATGGCACCGGCTTCTCCTCGCCTCTTGCGGGCGCTACGCAACACCCTCAGGGGCTTGCTCGATATCTCAGTGCTTTCGGTAAGCTCCTCCGTGGTGGGGTTTGATTGCAAAGTATCTTCAGGCAGGTCTGGCGTGTCTTCGCCAGGTGGACGCAGGGGGTAATCGTGGTCATCGTCCAGCTCAAATTCGCATATTACCAAGTCAGGGTGAGATGGGTTTGTGTGGATGGCGCACCAGAGTTTTATAGATCGCGGCCTCTTCGGAAGCCTTATAGATAGGCTGAAGACTTCTGGTCCATTGATGGCTGGGTCGGCGTCCTCATCTCTAATGAAGTCAATGTGGTCTAGGAGGTTATCTGCCTGCTCGTCCGTCAAGATTTCCAGGAAGTCGGTCAGCCGGAACAGCTCCTGGGGGCTGTATCCAATTATTCTTTTCGAGTTCTCGCTGACATATCGAACCTGCAGATGGCCGTCCTCGTCTTCCCGGAGGGCCAGCATCAGGCCAAAGCCTTGAACGGCACCTGGTGCTTGGATCGGCTCATCCTCACACCTCTGCAATTTCCCATCTCTTCCGGTAATGACGGCATGGCCCTCGTCTGTCAGTACATGCTTGAACCTCGGTGCATAGAAGGACTCGGTAAAGAGGTCGGCTGGAGATCTGCGACCATTAGAGCTCCCTCCAACCTGGCTGTGCGGGTCCTCGTCCGGGTCAGACTCTCCAGACGAGTCATCGAGGTTCAAGGGCATTGGCGTCACTCTTCCGTGCCTTTCTGCATCGGCCTGGATGCTGGACATGGGCCCGGACATAGTGTTCAAGCGGCACCGTCGTGCTTCCATGAAAGGGGCAGCTATTGAGCCGATAGCGGCTGGTGGGCTCGTAGTGCGACTGGCAAGGCTATTAAACTGTGGCCTCGATGCCGGCGTCGGCGACGGATTGGGACTGAAGCTGATTCCAAAGGCGCTCCCCACACTTTCCGAGAGTGACAGGCGCCTACGGTTTTCTTGTTGTTCGCTCGAGGTCCTCCCCGCTAGGTCGACGCTGACGACAGAGCGGATGGGAAAGACGCGGTCGGCCGGGTCCTTTCCATTGCCATGGGTTGGGTGACGCTCCGAGTGGGTGCTCCAGGTCGACGAGACACTTGGGGAGCGGACGGGCACCGAACTGCTGGCGGCATGTGCAGAGTTGCCATGGCTAGCATCGGGTACCGTGGTGGGGGTTACCGACGAGGCCTCTAAGGTTTCGTCGGTCCAGTCGCTTCTCAACACAGGCGTATCCGTCTGCCGGCTGGTGGTGACCCGGGTTTGCGGCTGCTCCTGGTCTCGAGCCGCCGCCGCATCGCGAATCGAATCCATCGCCTGCATTCCCAGGACCGCTCTGAGCTGAGACCCCAAAGACCCTGAGACCCTGAGCGCAGATTCCGATTCCGATCCCGATTCCCAAGCCTGCGGTCCGCTAATTCCTCGGCGCCTAAGTCGACTATCGCATCTCCCCCTTCTTTGGCCAGGCTGCCCGATCCACCAATCTCAGGTTCCCGTCTCCCACCTTGGGACCAAATCCTTGCGCGCACTGGAGGGCGAGGGGCTGCTGAACTTGAGTAGCCTGTTCGCACACGAGGGTGGTTAGGAAGCGGTCTCGATTAGAGGCTGTGATCTCGATGAGAGCCAGCGGCCGTGGGGATCGTGAGACGAATGGTGGGCTGAAGGCTGGCCGACTAACTATTAGGTTCCTATGGCAGTTAGGGTAGCAGGGCAGTAGGGCACCAGGGTGCTGTGCATACCTGGTAACAGAGCAGGGCTTGGCGTGCTTCGTGCCCACAACCAAAGGAATACCCCTGCCTTGTCCTTGTCTGAGGGCGGGGTGGACAGCGGGGTAGAAAGCCAACTTTTGGAGCCCAAGAGCCAAACCGAGAGGGATGGAGATGGGGAAGCAAAAAATCGATAGCTCGTTGTCGGTCAGACTCAGAGGGCTATGGCAAAGTTGGCAGCGACAGGGGGGCGTGGATGACGATCCATGCCCCAGCCGCTCAAGATCGACGAGAGCCTGTGTTCCGGAACCTAGAAGTTCCTCTGCGGGTGTGGTACAGGTATTATACCGGTACAATGCAGTGTGTAGAGATGTACCATATAAGTAAGTTGTGTAGGTTGGCAATTACCTTGCATATAAAAGATGGGCGACAACGGCGCAAGGAAGGTGTTTCGAGGATGAATGGGATGTATCCAAGGTAGAGGCAGATAGGTTTGACAAAAGGCCACAGGAATGAATCGCTACCTGGGTAAGGTGGGCAAGTTTCCCGCCACCCACTCGTGCGGCCGCTGAGTTTCGGGAACGCCAGTCCACGCAGTGCGCTTCTCCTCTAGTAAGGTATAGAATCCAGTAATGCACCATGCAAGTGTGTAATGTAGTATTTGGGGGGTTTATTATTTACGGTTTTGTTTAGCTTTTCTGGGTCGCAAAAACTTGACACTTAAGTAGGCACGGTAACCTAGGATGTATCTACACGTCAATATATCGTATTCGTACATACAGTACCTTCCTCTTACTAAAGGCAACCCACAATCATCCCTCGGTTTGCGTGATGGTGATGAATTGACAGGCACAATTTTGGTCAATACCCATGGCCGTTGCCGTATTTCAATTCTTCCCTCCGATGAACGGAACCCAACAAGAGACGCACGCACTAATCAGCTGGTTCTGCGGCAGAGACGGCAGAAACGGGAAGGCAGAGAAGAGAAGAGGGCTGTCGATCACCGTCCCAGGGACCCCGCAGCTAGCGCACTTGCTCATCGGGTTTTTTGGACTGTTGTAGGGGAAAGAGAAGAATGCCATTTAAGACTAACAGGAATTCCATCCCGAGGGACTTGGATCAGCAAGGGGCTTGCCTTCCTTGTCTAGGTGGGTGGGTGACCTGCTAGTAGTGTAAGAGACATGTAACCGAGGGTTGCCGCTTCCTTGGCAATTGATGCACGAGAGGTCTATACCAAACCCTACACTTTCATCTACTTGGCAGGAAGGAGCGGTTGAGAGTTGGCGAACTTGGATGCCCAGGCTGCAAAATCGCTTGACCGTTTCTCTATTTTTCACTGTCTCCGAATAACACCCACGCATACGAAACATGAGATTCTTCAAGACTACTCCTTGCCTTCCTAAGAGTGAACCTTCCCTGACGTCATAGCTAGTGACGTCACTGTGGCTTGCCAATGCAGCTCCAATCCTCAATTTGACAAGGGGGCAGTTGTTGCAGCAACCGATTTCACAACAGCATATTCACATGTCAATTGGTTCCTGTTCCTTCGTAATACAGATTCGCATTTCGGAGTACACTGTTTTAAAAGGATGGCAATGCCCGAAGCTTGTATGGCAATAGAAGCCATAGGCCTTTCGCTGTTGCGGCACGAATTCGGGTTGGTTTCAGACGAGCAAATCATCAGGTATTGCTAACCGTACCAAAATATAGCAAGATAACAATGCTTTGTATGCACACGTCCACAAAGACATCCCATCTCGGATCATCTGAGTCCGAATCCCTTTAAATAAGCCCTTTGTCCCTAGCGGCATTGTTTTCGTTTTGCTACAATAAGACAATATGTCTTTTTGGAAACAAAGACCTCGCCCCAACATTTCGTACCACCCTCTTGGTCTCATCAAATGAATATAACTAGATACGTCCGGTCTGTGTCTCGTGGCAATTCTCTCTTCTCTCTCGTCTTCAACGGTTGCGGATAACGGAAGCTATTCAGTCGGACAAAATCACAGAGTTTGTGCAAAGTCGAGTTTCTATCATTAGATTCTAACTGCATACATATCTGCGAATTTAGGTAAGTAAGTAATCAACTGTCCGACAATGGCTCCGTACACTACCCGTAAACCCACAACCAAGAAGGTCCCGGACCCTCAATACATTTTACCGAGCGGAGACTATACGGCAACCCAGCAGCAGACTAGTAGTTTCTTTTCATCATTGTCCAACGCTGGCAGCCAGGCTTCTCGGACCAAACCCACCCCTTCATCCTACGATGCCGGAGACCCCATGACTACGAGGGCTGGACCCCAGACCCTATGACTATGGATGACCGCATGGATGTTGATCCTGTCGTTCCAGAAGCAAAGCAACGCTACAACTTCAACATCCTCGGGGCTGCCAAGAGCGGCGCACAGCCCTTCGGCTCTAACTCGTTTGGAACCGCTGCCGCCGGGGACGTGGCTGGAGTCGCCGCGCCCGCGCCCGTGCCCATGGAGATCGACAGCGTGCAAGCCCCCACGGGCTCAGGGGACCCCACGGGCTCAAGGAAGAGAAGGGACAAGAAGACGGGCCGAGACTGGTCTCTGAAGGCTTGGAGACGCCGCAGAGACGAGTACGAAGCCAAGACCCTGCGAAAGAAAGCCATGGAGTTGCTGGCTGTCAATAAGGTCAGATTTTCTGGCCGGCAGCTCACCCCTGCGGACGTCGCCGAGAAGCTGGCCTTTCTGTCGCAGATCAACTTCAGCAACAACATGGCCGAGAACAGCAGCAACGTGCTGACACTGTCGCAGGAGTGCAAGGTCCGCAAGGTCGCCTACACCGTCCGCAGGGGCGACGCCTCGGACTCGATCGAGGCCATCTATAACTAACTATTTAGAGCCTCCGAGCAAAAGGTAAGTCAAAGGACAGGTAAGAGTGCTACGTACCATCAACCCCCTTTTCCAAGGTAAGTATTCCCAAGGTAAGAGCACCGCGCCTAGCCTGCGCCCCCCTTTTCTCATCTCCTATCTTCTCTTTGCCAAGCCGCTGCATTGGCTTCCGCTGTTTCCTTTCCTCTTTTCTGGTTTACTTCACCTCGACTCATTCAGGTCTGAGCATTCCAATTGTGCCCTACGGTCTCTGGTTTCAGAAAGGTAAGGCACTTGAGTAAGTAAATAAAACTACATCACACTCGTTTCAACTAATTGCCTCAGTAATTTTGACCCTTTTTTTTCTTCCCGGTTTGTGATTTTCCCAACTAGTTAGGAGTCTATTGATATTGACTTAGATGAGGAACGACGGCCGTCAATCTCAAGGCAGAGCTTGAATATTCTAGTATTCGTGAGTTTAGAAGCGCGTAGTGTTCTGTTGAGTGCACAGGCAGCTAAGGCAAATACCTAATCTCAAGAACAACGATTCTATTTTTTACCCTTTACGGTCTAAGACACTTGCACGCTCGGTATGTCTTGGTCTATGGGGATCTCGGAAACCCCAACGAGAACCTCACAGCCGTGACTTGATACAACGTTTAAATATGACATGTTCATTATTTATATACTGCCCGCCAACTATGTACGCAAGAGGATAAAAATGTCACCCCCTCACAACTTCTTCTCCCTCGGGCGCTCCTCGCGTACGCGCTGAGCGCTGCGCAGCAGCGCGTACAGAGTCTGCATGCGCAGCAGGTCAACGCCCTTGCCGCGGGCGATCCTGACGGGGTTGCCCAGGATGACCTCGAGCTCGAGCGGGCGGCCGGCCTCCCAGTCGAGCAGCATGCTCGGCTTGCTGCCAACGTTGCGCTCGGTGCTCTTGAGGATCTTATCGGGGCCCGCGAGGTCGGCGGGGAAGTGCCGGCCGAGGATGCGCGGCGCGGCGGCCCAGATCTCGCCCATGACGCCGGCCAGGTGCGCGCGCAGCTCCGGATCCCGCGCCATGTCGGCGTTGCCCCGCCCGCCCGACAGCACCGCCGACGGGTTGAAGGCCGCGTTGATGCATAGCTTGTGCCACCGCACCGTCTGCAAGCCGATCTCGTCCGACAGCTCCACGTCGCGGATCCCGCCGAGCCGCGTCCACCAGTCGCCCAGCCGCTGCGCGCAGGCCATGCCACGCTTTTGTAAGTGTTCGTCTTCGTCGCCGGCTGCTGCTTCTGCCGCGGCACCGGAAGCGGTCGGGTGGGGGGAGCCGGCAGGGGTCAGGCCTGCCGTGGTGTTGTCGCCGCCATCGCCGCCAGCGACGGACGGTGACGACGAGAACGAAGCCGAGTTGCTGTACGGCCCCAGGTGGATGCGCGTCCAGCGGTTCTGCCGGAAGATTCCGGGGCTCGTCTGCTCTGCCGACACAACCGTGACGACGCTGATGATGGGTGTGCGTGGGAAGCGGGCGCGGTAGGGTGCCTCGACGCCGACGCCGTTCTGGATCAGCACGACACAGGTCTGAGGGCCAACGAGTGGCGCAATCAGCTCGGAGTCATCGGATCGGTCGGGCAACGCCTTGGTAGTCACCACGACGAAGTCCCAGTCCCTGGCCCCGAGTAGCGGTGACGGAGGCGATAACGAGGACGAGGCGGTGTCCAGCCCGGTGCTGCTGCTACTCCTAGGTTGTGCTACGGCGGCGGCAGCTACCGACGGGAAGACAGCATCGGGAACAAACGTGTAGTCGCCAAACGTATGAGTCTGGAGCTTTACCCCGTTGGCTTCCAAGGCCTTGTAGTTTGAGCGTGCGATGAGGGAGGTGTAGATGTTATGGCTTGGCTATGAGTCCATGTTAGACATGTAGCACCACGGGACCGTACTCGGCGGCACACGAGTCTCTCGAGACATGCGCTGCTAATAAATGGGAAAGGGGTTACAAATGGCATCCACTCTGGCGGAAAACAAGGCCAGTGTCCAATTTGGGTAGCGTTTATGGAGATATATATGGGTAAAGATATATATCTCCCCCCTTTCTTAAAGTCCCGAAAACAAACTCACATGGTGCAACCTCGAGGCATAGAAACAGCCGACAGCACCAGCGCCGACAAAGACGACATGGACTGGGCTATTTGCGAGTTCGAACCCATAGTCAGTCCAGCCTCGGTCTCACATCCGACATGAAATCATGGACTACCCCCAAGGATGATGGACTACCACCCAACAAGAACATGTCCATCCTCAGTAAAGAAAAGAGGGGATGGGGGGGTATCGAAACTGACCTGTCAGGATCTGAGCCCGGCTCGGGTGCCTGATGCAAAGACATTGGAGGCAATAAAGTGGCGGTGTCCAATTGTAAATGAAAGGAAGGAGGTGGGGGGGGGGGTCTCAAACAGGAAAGGCAATGCGCATTCGACGACGCAGAAAAGGAAGCAGAACAGAAAAGGCGGAGAGAAGGAGAGACAGAGCCTCGGGAGCGTCCGGCCGGAAAGCTCAGCTCGGTTCAGCACGGGTTTGGATCGGGCGATGCCGCGTCTCGTCTCGCCTTGCCTTTGGCTTAGCCCTTAGGAGGTTCTTGGTTCTTGGGTATGTGTGCGGGGGTCGGGGCTGCGTGGTTGCCGTCCGACCCTTCCTTTTTCTTCGTTCCCGTCTTTCCTTCGTGCAGCCCTGTTTGCCGTGACCTAGCACAACAAGATGGTAAGAAATCCTGGAATCGTATCGCGTGGTGTCCTTCCAATATGTGAGCCGATCTTCTTTCCGCCCGTCCTCCCATCAGGGCACTCGAGCTGAGCAAACCCCCCTTGCCCGGTCAAAGGGAGAGAGTGTATCAATCGCCTACCTAGCCTATCTAGGCCCGATCATACAGAGCTGCAAGACATAAATAACAATCCAACTAGGATGAAACTTACTAGTAGCTAGTAGTTCTGCTTTCACTGACCGAAAGTGCGCGCCACCTTGGGCTCAAATGCAGCTCGGCAGACACCGGTCTGTCTGGAAGGAGCAAGAGAGAACGAAAGGCGGTGCTGCGTTTTACGTTAACAGGAACCATCTGATTCCTCTGAAGCTTGCGGGGGCACCTTCCCCAATAAAGATGACCAAAGGGAGGGGAAACTCGGAAGGATCAAGTGGGGGAAGCGGGGATTTACTGCAGAGTATGCTGGTACCGTACCTACCGTATCAAGCTTGGTAAGGTACGGAGCTCTTTACGTTACCAACCTAAGGTCCTACAGGTAGATTCTCAGCGTACAGTTCCAAAGTCTTTTTTTTCTCTGATCGCATCATCCATAGTAGTTCTAGTCTATAGACTCAGATTCGCCCATAATGCAGAGAGACCTCTTGATACACCTACCTACCTACCTAGGGTACCTACCTTACCCAATTACTAGACTTACTCCAGCTCTGGGTAGGGAACTGATCGAAGAGTGTAGGTCTATCGATTGTGCCCCTTCGCCCAATAGTGACCGATTCCAGTCACGTTGGAAAACAACAGGTCAAGTAAGTATTAGGTTCCAGCCTTTCCTGGTGTGGAAAACTCTAATTAGTATCAATATCTGTCTAGGCTCTAGCATTGTGCCCGGTATTCCGACCCCAACCTCAAAAGGCAATATCTACAGCATACCAGTACTGAGAATTGAACTCCTAATCGCACTCATCCTTTCTGATCTTATCTTCCCAAGCATCTCCCGGAAATGCAATGTTGGCTGCATTTAGGGCTTTATGCATATCAGCAGATTCCGGGGCACCGGAGAAGGAGGGGGGCGCCGGCGGAAAGCACCCCGATGTGGTCAAAGCTCCCACCGTCGGCCGCGGATAGGAACCCTCATGGTTGGCAGCTCGAGGTTGTGATGGTATCATGACATAGTCTTGCATGCCACCTCCTCACGCCTTGGCCCCCAGCTTCTAGGCTCCCCAACTTCTGCGCCCTGATATAAGTCCTGTCGTCATGTAACTTCTGATTCCCAGCGTCTCGTCGAGAACCAAGACGACCTCTCAGCGCGGGCGCCGAGCAACGGGTAGTTTTATCCATGTCAAACAGCCGAAATATCCACGCCATGGAGAATGGGCCGTGGATATTGAGTGCTATGCTTTCGCACACGCTGGCTGTGGCAAGTGTGTTCGGTATTGTGTCCCTGAAGATCCAACTAGATAGCTTTAGGTAGTGCCTTCGTTATCTTGGCCTGCTAATGAACAGAGCGTCTCCCATATTGTTTCCAACTTGGAAGCTTAATGGGAAGGCTCTATGTTTGCCTTTGGCTCTACCCGTCTTAGGCCGCCTTGGAGTTGGGAGTTTTAATCCCCATTGGGTCTAGACAGGTGCCGTCAAGACTGGCTCTCACACAAGCCAAGACGATTGACAACTTCCAAAGACGGCACTGCGTGGTTTGGGGGAAGGAAACCTGAGAGCCTTTGCAGCTTGCAGAGCTCAGGCCCGTATTGTGGGGAATTTCCACATCCTCTGCAGGAGAGTGCTTGGATAGCACACTGATGCAAGGATGATGAAAGCTAGGAGAAAAAAAATGAAAACCCTTTGGGCTGGAGACGCCGTATAGCGGCGCCGTCGTGTCATTTGGCACGCGTCAGTATGTCTTAGTCCAAGCTCGCCAGCTTCATTATATGCAGACGGCGAGACCGGTCAAGGGATGTGGGCGTGACCCCCAAGGATGATGAGGTGCCCACGGACCACAAAGTTCATGACCTTGATGGGTTGGGAGGCATGGGGGGACAGCTAGTTTCATCGAGAAATTGGAGCCTGTCAGCGTGGGGGTTGTAAATCTCATCGTGAAGATGAGGGGTCGAGAGACCCAGCTCTGCTCACTTAAGCTGCAAGGCGTCGATTGATTTTTTTCTCTGCAGCCAACCCCCACCAATCGCTAGTCGGTACCCCGAGAACCCTGTCCGATTCTTCCCATCTCTGGAGCCGGCGGCGGACTCTGGAGAAGCTGCACGCGAGCAGCAGCTCGCCATTTGTGCAGCGGCGAGCAGCAACGTCATTGGCGAGGGCACCACACCACCAGCTCGCCATTTCCGCTCCAGTGAGAAGAAACTGGGATGCACCTCCAGCCCGCACATGAGAAAAATGCGGGCACGCTTGCGATAGCCGAGAAGCGGGCGTTGCAGAAGGGGTTGGGGTAAAGGCCACTAGCACAAGACACCGTAGGCAGTACTCGTCAGTTGCTGTCAATTTGACCGTGACGGCTGGCTTCCTGGAAACTTCAATTTCTCAGAGGCCGCCAAGCCTTCATTGAAAGGTCGTCGGTTTCTAGGGTGGCTGTGGAGCCGGGCTTCTAGAAAACCGACCGAAGAAAGACTGCTGAGTCGTGTAACACAAGCTGCCCGCTGCGCTGCTGATAACCTTTACAATGCTTCGAAAGTTGGAAGAGTGCGTCTCGTCGAGCCCGGCTGTTAATCATCAAACCAGAGATGCACCTTCGTGGACAGCCCGGAAACTAGGCCCGCCACCAAACCGGTCCCAGGTGTTTGCGATGTGTGTCATTCGGATATTATCCGCCCGACCAAATCCAAGATCCGCAATGGGCCGAGCAGAGCCTAGCCCCGGGAATTGAGTGAACTTGTGTGTTTCGATCCGATTGCCAGTTGGTGATACCAAATCGTACCCGTCGCCAGAGAAGTATGTATCTCGCGATATGACACCCCCAGGCAGTCGAGCTTCTATTGTCCAGGTCAAATGTTGCCTTCCCCGCATATGGGCGCAAGGCACGGCAGCCTTGGGCGTGCCAGACTAAGCTTTACTCGCCTCTGTTCTTTCGGGGGTTTCTGACTTGAATGGGAATGACTCGTCAGGTAACGGGTACCTCCCAGATTTCAGCCACTGTCTCTCGGTCGCCGATTCACCGCATTCCGCCTCCCACCATCGGTCGGCTCGGCGTGGGACTTGTGGTCAAGCCCCAAAGACTGGCAATTGCAGACTGTGACCACCAGAATAGCAATAGCAGGGCTGACCCCGTGAGGTCTTCCAACAAAGTCCAACGGAGAAGTCGGCCAAGCGTAGTAAGCCACATCATGTTTTAGACGTTGATATTCTGACGCCCAACTCTGATTTTACCGGGACAAGTCAGAGAGACCGAGAAATAAGGTACCATCCGGCACCCTTTTCATCCTTTATTATTAAGTCCACAGAAAATGCATGACAAGTAGAGAAAGAAAACAGCACCGGCTGGCGGGCAGCAGCATGGGGGGTAGGGTCTGCACATGAATGGAGACGTGAGTGTGTCATGCCAGACGACCGAGTGCCGATCGCAGGATCATGTATCCCAAAAAACCGCCTAAGCCGTGAAGACGTGGGGTGGCTGCCAAAGCGACTCTCCTCGTCGGGATGTTGGAGGTGAAGAATCCATTGGAGCGCTCTGGTCAGAAGACGTCTGCCACTATGCAGCAATGTAAGAAGGCCACCAGACGGGGCCGGAAGACGTCCAGCAGCAGAGACGGGCGGGCGGGTGAGAAGTGAGGAGGCAATGGTGAGGTGTCTTCGGCTGCACACGACTGTCTTGGGCCGGAACTAAGGCAAGGCAAGTCAAGCAGGGCAAAGTCGGGATGCCTGGTGAAGTGCTAAGCCGGTTGGGGCTTTGGCGTTCAATGGACTCAAAGAAGCCATCACGTTAGGTGCCGGAGAATTCTCTTCTGGGGGAGAGATGCGGGAGCCGTGTGTGGTCCCGAGCTCTCCTTGGCCAGAACAGAGACAGTGTGGTGGGTGGGAAGACTTTGGCATTTTGCATCCAGCACGATTTTTCCCGGCCTTGCGCTACCTACCTGGGTGGGTGCCTACCTTACCTGAACGAGGGCAAGGCTCTGTATTTGCCCGCACCTCACATTAGCAAAATGTTTTCTGGGCTTTTACCTTTAGGGTACTCCGTAGGGTCTTACGGTATGAGAGACCACAGGTCCACCCAGTTCAGCACGGACTCTGGGACAGCGTTGTCTAGAGTTTCTGTCCATACGAGGTGCTGCTTGACGAGCCAATACCAAGCCTGTTCGTTCTTCTTTTACTGCGCGGTTCCATTGCGCTGCATTGGTAGTTCCCATTGCGCCGAGTGCACAGGGCAGTCTCGCAACTGTGTTCGGGATATAGGATCGTGTGCGACTTACACACTCGCTTCAAGTAATTCGAAAGACACGGATTTGAACAGCCGTCCGCCCGCAGGCCAGGCGTCTGCTTGGCAGTCTCGACCGTCGTTGAGGATCCATTCCAATCTCACCCCAGCGCGGCTGGGAGCCAGCCAGGTTGGCAGGCAACGAGTTTGTTCGAGCTCTTGACATTGTGAATTTGGTCAGCGGTTTCGACACTGCCGTTGCCATCCGCGTAGTAAAGGCACGAGAGCAATCGACGCGGCCCGGCGGAGCCTGGTAATATGGGAACATTCTGCCTCTAATCGTGCAACGGTTCTGGCGTGCAGGCGGAAGTCAAGGATTCAATCAGGTCGACGGCCGGGCCAGCTCCCGCCAAGAACACTGCGAAGTGCATCCATTCTTCTAGCGGGCTTGTCGTGGCACCTGCGCAGACGGCTGATGAGGCTGTATCCGTAGTGGCAGAATAGGCTTATATCGTTTTGCACGCGCGGGATGTAAGCGCCCAGCACGGCGGGAGGTCGTGGGGATTGACGAACGACTCCAACAGCGGCACAGCACCAGCCACACCAGCAGCACCAGCAGCACCAGCAACAGGTATCCCCAAGGTAAGTGAGTAGCCCAATCCGGTCCAGCCCAGCCCAGCCCAGCCCGGTCCAGTGCTCGGCGCCGGGACATAGGTCGACGATGTTGAAGGTGAGTCTGAGGGAGGTGGCTCCCCACGTCCGTGCTCAAACCTCTCCTCTTGGCCTCCATCTCTCGACGACGTCTAGGTAGCCTGCAGGCCGCCCTAGGAAAGACGATCGAGATAGATTCCAAGCGGTAGTTGCTAGACAGATTGAATTTGCTCCTCATGCAGCCCAGTCCTGCAAGCTGGCCGCGACATCATACTCAGGGTGCCCTACATGATGGAGAAAACTCTGCCATGGCAGTCGCTGCAAAGAGATATCATGATGGGCGCTGTGGAGTGGACGATCGGAGTGAGCGTCTCTGAGCTAGAACGAGTGTTGCGGTGTGAGTGGTCGCTGCCGCTCGGTGTGTTGGCCGGCATAGGAACCTTGGGAGCGAGGCGCGGAGATGGACGTGGAGGCGTGGAGGCGTGGAGGCATGGAGGGGAGGGACGGAGGCATGGAGGGTCTGCCATCCATCTTGGAACTGTCTTGCAGAGTGCAGCACTAGACTGGAGCGGCGGCAGAAGGGAAGCGAGGGGCTCCCTAGCCACAGCTCGAGGGCGTGGGGCCCGTCTGAACTGAAGAGTCTGACGCCCCTCCATCCCCACTCCAGCGCACCGAACAACGGAAAGGATGGAGACATCGACGGTTGCTGCCCCTTCTCCGTACATACTACATACAGAGCTAGAATGGAGCATGCATCCCATCGTACATGAGAGATGAGCTAGTCGAGATTGTTCGGGCCTGTTCCTGTTTTCCCTGTTTGATTGGGGAGGTTTTACCCATACCCATCCTGAGAGAAGCGCCGCCGAGGGGCCTACTTCCAAGCCCTGGGCACCCCACTCCGAATCGCCAGTGCTGCCCGTGGATGCCGCCGATGTGCAGTGTAGCGCGCCTGGCAGTCAGGTAATTGTTGATGGGTTTCGGTACCTAGGTCCAATTTGGGTGCCCAGGGCAGCACTCCGTAGTGGGGCCGGCAAACATGGAAGCGTACAGGGTTCGGTTCACAGTCCATGAGGGCCGACTGCATCTCGAGTACGGACTGGGTAAGGGACAAAAGTAAGGCAGGTACCTATGTTATGAAGGCATTCGGCCGCCTTTGGCAGCCCGTCTGTGACATTGTGGGTTTGCTGCTGAAAGCACAGAAGCAACCTTGTTTGGAAATGGGAATGACTGAGACGAAAAACGGGGAATGGTCGGGGGACGCCGAGGGGCGACAGTAATCCATTCCGGGAAGGCTGGGGGGAGAGGTCTTTTGCACCCTCACCAGCTCCGGCGACCGCGACTACGAGGGGAGACTGACGAGGGTCTGTAGGTGGGAAGGAGCCTGTTGCGCACCCAGGACTGCCCGGGCACCTTACCTTAGCTCAGTGACGCGCGGGTGGCAGGTATCCAGTACAACTGGGACAGACGAGTGAGGAAGGAGCCACAGAGAGCAGAGAGCCAGGGAAGAGGAAAAAAACAAAACCACACACCCACATTGGACTGCACGCCTCGCCCAAAAACGCCGCCCACGGTCCACGCCCGCAGGCCTGCGACCTGCGCCGACCTGCGCCGACCTCCCGCGCTGGCGACCCTGGACCTTTCCTCTTGCATCAAGTCTCGCAGATGTCCACGGGCACCACCACCACCACCACCACCACTGCACTGGCGCCCATCCAAGAATCCTGCCCCATCGCTGGCGTTGGCGTTCCCACTGCCCACTGCCCGCTGCCCACACCGGGGCCAACCAGTCTGCCGTCATTTGAATAGCACATCAGCCAGGCACGGGCTGATGTACTTGCGGACATACATGCACACCCGGTCTTCCTCTGTCGTCAGCACCTGCAGCCGGTACGGCATGTCATGTACTTGCCTTAGATGTTGAAGTACTTTTCCCCGATCTGGGACCCCCGTTTCGTCACTCGCCAGAACGCCCGCCGTCTCCCTAGAAGTGCCTTATTCCGTACATTACATACCTTACATACATTCACGATGTTCGTCTGTGGTGGCTAGCGCCCCAATCCGAGACTATCCAAAGAGCCCACACATAGATCCTTTCACACAACGACCCTAATGGAGCGTGCAGTCCATCCCACGCCGGTCCGACATTAAAAAGAGCCCACCTCCCTCGCCGTGCTCGTCAGACTCTGGCACGCTCCTGGCCTCGTCTTGCGCTCTGCTCTGCTCCGCTTCGACGCCGCTTCAGGCCTTCCAGGTTTCTGCCACCGCACCCCGCCGCCGTCGCATCCATCCCCCCATCCTCCTCCAACCCAACCCAAGCCACTCGTACCCACTGCGCAGGCCTGGCCAGCACCCGCTCCTCTACCGACTGGCGGTCGTACTCCGTATTTACAAACGGATACACACACCTTAGTTTGCTGTGCTGCGCGTCATGCTCCAGGTCACAGAGCTCCTGGGTTTCTGAAAACGGTCACTTCTTCGAAAGGAGCGAGCCCGACGCCGTCGCTTTGATTTTGGCTCCTGAATTAGGTTGCGCTGCCACCTGTGCCAACTAGACCAGCCGTCACACAGCTCGCGTTTCGGTTGGCCTTTTGTGCTAGCTCTGCATCTCACAGCAGCTGAGCTTCCCAGCCCAGCCGGCTAGTAAGGCGAGCTCTCCCAAGTTTCCACATTTGCAGTCGTCCCGTCTCGTCTCGCGCAGCGTGCGTCCCTGAAAAACCCCACTCAACCCTGCAACCGCCAATCTCTTGTCCTGTCGGCTGCCGGTCCTCTTCTTGTTCGACTTACATCACCGCTCGGCGACCCAACCCAACATCCATCTCCACTCAGCCCACATTATTTTTATTTCATTTCCTCGCTCATTCTAGGCTGGGTACCTGTTTCGGTCGGCACGGGCATCAACCGGAGTCTTCGGCACCTTAACCAAAAGTTTTACGCCAACATGTCCCGCGAGCAATGACCCGATAAGTGTGTGTGCGACGCCGTTGGTCTCGAAGTCTTGGAGTGCGGGCATCCCAGAAGCTTTGGCCCTACTGTTCTGCCGCTGCGTAGCACCGACTGCCAAACGCGCGCTGCTGCTGCTGCTGCTGCATCTGCACTTGGACTCGGGCGAAGACGACTAACGGAGCAACAAAGCTCTCGTCGCTTGCGCCTGCCGCAGCGGACCGCCCAAAGACAGAACGCACTCGAAAAGCAGACCTCTCCCACACAGACTAGTCGCCTTCGTGCATTAGTCGTGAACCGCTCTTCCCTGCAGTCCAGCCAGTACTGGACTGGCCTACTTGGCGACGATTATGCTCATCGACGGAGAGAAATGGGCTTGCGAGGCCTGTGTGAGGGGCCATCGGGTCAGCAATTGCCAGCACCATGGTGAGTCAATTTGGCCTGCACCTTGCATTTTTGCACATTTGCAATACGCACTTCGAGATCGGGAATCACTCCGCAGCTCCGGGTTCTCTAGCCCGCTGCGAAGAAGTGCATGCCGGTTGCAGCCGAGGCAGCACCGCTGGGACATTCTCGCAGCAATCCCCCCTCTTCCTCTCCCAAGCAAGCTCAAGCTGCTGATCCTGCTGCGGCCCCGACCCCGGCGCTGCTGCTGCATCCCCCCAATTCTCCAATTGACCGTCTCCAATTGCGTTGCTGACATGGGTTTGTGCTACGGTAGATCGACCCCTCCAACACATCAACAAGAAAGGGCGGCCGGTATCGCAATGTCAGCATTGTCGTGCAATGCGCAAGTCCCGCGCTTCGCACATCAAGTGCGATTGCGGCGAGAAGACGCACAAGTGCGTGCACTTGAAAACGACCGTCGAGGGTCACAAGGGTGAGCTTCGTCGCGTCCGACTGATCAAGGCCGTGCTCCTCTGACTCGTGTCATCTGCTTGCAGATAGCTGCTGCTGTAACCACGGCGGTCGGTGCACGTGTTCGCACAAGAAGGAGCAACCACAGCTCGACACGGTGCCAGAATCGGACTCGGACGGGGAAGCCGCCCCGCAGCCTAAGAGCCCCAAGGCCAGCTCCCGTACCCGGCGCCGCGCCAACACGACCAGCTCCGACGGCGTATTATCCTTCAATGCGAACGGCCACCCCAAGCCAACGTACAAGCACCCAAAGGTCTCGCAGAAATGCGGACCCTACCAGATCAGCCGGGTTAACTCTCTACACAGCACGAGCAGCCTGGGGAACCGCTCCATGGATAATCTCCTGCAAGGCAGCGACTCGCGGAGCAGCAATTCGCCGGCTGGCAGCAGCACTGACGATGGAATGACGCAGACACAGCGCAGGGTCAAGTCGGAAGCTACCTCGCCGCTCTTGACGGGTGCCTCCTCGTCCTTTGCCCAGCTCAATGGGCAGCTGCCGCCCCTCGACCTTTCGGGCATCAAATACCCGCCGTATGTACCGAACAGCGCCGACTTTTTCGGAAACATTTCGGATCACGACCAGCCCATGTTTAGCGCCGGCCTGAGTGCTGCCTCGGTCGACTGGAGCCATTATGATGGCCTCGAGTTTGCCCGTAAGGCGACGGATTTTGCTCCGTCGAATTACAGTCAGCCACAGAGCTACGGCGCCTATGACTTTACTGGATCGGAGCAGGTTCCAACCTTGACAACTAACACCTCAACTTCGGGCGAGGTTTCAGAGGTCGAGGACTTCCTGCCGAATTCGTTGGATGAGTATGACACCAACCCTTACCGCAATAGCACTGCGAGCAGTGGATTCAACCTGGGTAACTCCCAGGCCAGCCTGCTTGGGGGGACCGACATCTCCAGCCTCGATTTCGACGACTACAGGTTCATAAAGGGCGGCAACAAGTACTTGCCTACGCCTGCCTCTCTTCCCGGCGAGGACTCGACCCTGATCACCACTAGCGCTGCGTTCAGTGGGTTTACCTCTCTTGAGGATGACCCGGCTTACTGGATGAACGATTATAGTGGCTTGCCAAACCTTACCGACTCTCCCACGGAGAGCAACATACCGTCATTCTGGGATGGCCAATAACCTCCCTGACGGCTTTACACGAAGATACCGTTTCTTAATTGGGGCGGTCACTCGGGCGAGTTCTTTTCGCCAAGTACATATTTTGTTCGCGGTGGTTTTCTGTCAGATTTTGTGCTCTTTAAGCGCTCCATTCAAAAATCTCGCAAAGGCGCTGGTTGGAATATTCAGACATGAAACTGGACGACATCATGATGTTTTGTCTCGATAACCTGGCATTACGCGGTCGCTATTTCTTTTCACTTTACATATTCTTGTTATTATTGCATTCTCATGTGGCCGGCGGTTTGTGGCATCAAAAGAGCGAAAAAAAAGTTTAGTGGTGCTTTGTTCTTCGTTTTATATTCAGGCAAATCAAGTCCCCCCATGTCTTGAGAAAGAAACGTCTCTTGATGCAAACATACCCAGTATATAACTTTCAGCTGACTCGACCTCTACTACGCATCTATGGACGAGGGCCTTCTGACTTTTTCTATTTTCTTTTTCTTGGAAAGTCGTCACACGAGAGGAACTAGAGGAGTACGGGAACTGACAGGACTGCATTGGGTTTGGCGGCGGCGGGCGGGAAGGGGCTCTGTCTGATGGGAAATTCGAAGGGAACATCTGAACCGTACATACGAAAAAATTGAACGCTCTCACAGGCAAAGCAAACATGTCTTTGTGCCACCTTGACAACGCGATTGCCATGTATTCATGCCCTACAATGTGTGTGCGAGTTTATACGCGAAAACGAACAAGGCCGGATGGCAGGGCAGGATACCTACGGGGTGAGTGCGGTTGTACCTCGGCCAAGACCAAGAAGAGCAGCGGGCCCGCCTCTCGATGCGCGCGGATGTGACGACCACAAATGGGTGTCAGCGGTACACCGCACCCTAAAGTCGGTGCGCTTCGCTTCGGCCTACCGCCAAGCCGGCGTCTTGACTCTCTCTTCGGCCCTTTCCAGTTCGCGTTGCTTGGGGCCGTTTCTGACCCGTGTCTTTTTTTATATTTTACTTTTCTGACTTGTCTGTGTTTTTCGTGCCAGTCTCAGTGCCGGTCATGTCTAATCTGTCTTTGCTTGGTTGCTCTTCCATGTTGCTTCCCTGGGGGACCACATCTAGTTGCAGTGGGACCATATGTCATGCCATGAAAACAGAACTCGAATAAGAGAAAAAGGTAGACAGAGAGAGAGAGAGACCCGACCGGGACCCAGTCGGCCGCCACGCCTCACATCTCACATCTCACGCCTCCGAATTTCTTGGCAGATGCCGCAGGTTGTTGATGTTGTGCGACGATAATGTATTGCATGTATGTGCGTGTCCCCATGTGTGTATGTAATACGATATAATATATTTTTGTCACAATTGGGCTTTGAAGAAAACAATACCCCCTTCACCCCTTCCCCCCACCCCCCTTCTTCTTCTTCTCTTTCTCATCCACCCTTACAATTAGCCTGTCTTGTTTGCTACCTCTGCCGGGTGTGTATGTCTGTATCCGAACCCCGTTCACCTCCTTGTATGGCTAACGGTCAGTTTGGAGATATTGCCTGTGTAGGTAGCGTAAACAAGACGAGATGGGATAGGATGGAGTTAGTTGACGAGTGAGTGACGGTGGCACGATATTGTCTTTTGTCTGCTTTTCCCGCTTTCTGCCGATGCTGCTGCTTCTGCTTCCGCGTATGCGATGTTTTGCTTCCTCTTTCTTGTTTACTTAACATTTCTTTCCTTTTTCATGACCTGACCTGACCTGGCCCGCCGAACTGGGACGGGCTCATTGGTCCCTCGCTTTCCGAGGCAAGAACCAAGATGGTGAACAACTTGCCGAGGCATTGTAAATACAATACATACGCAACCAAGTAGATATGGAAAGCCGGCTACCTACATGCCTACCTACCAGGTACATACGAAAACTAGTCAACCAGCCAGCGGTTGCTAGTGGTGGTGGTCGCTGTGTAACTTGACCTCGCACTCAGTTCGCAGCAAGCGAACGTGCCAGGCAGGAGGTATGTGCCTTTCCCAGGTTTGTTTCGAAGAGAAAGAAAAAAGAATACTTTTTGCTGTTTATCGTCCACTCCTTGCAGCAGCTACCTTACTTGGCTGTCACAGATGGATAGGGTCCGTCGAAGGAAGTGGCGGATGTTTTAGTCGCCTGGATACCCGCCGCCGCCGCCGTCGATTGCTTGTTGCTCAGACATAAGCGTGGCCAAAAACGGATGGGATTGATTAGGTGTTGCTTCAGGTGCAGACGGGAGACAAGTTGGCTCTGGCTCTGCTGCGGCTCCGACGTACGTGCAGATTTAGGTTGTACGGCCGCTAATGTCAAGACGCGGCGACGAAACAGCGGCGCAAGGTAAGGCCCATGAAGGATTTAAGGTGCGAAGTCCAGGGGGGATGATGTACATACAGGTACCCGCGAGCCCGAGCTTTGGGGGCGGGAACATTGGGAATGGTGGATGAATGGAAAGTGCTGTGACGTTGACTAGCATAATATTTATTTCCCCTTTGCATATCAAACATTGCTTATCTTCTGCCTGTTGATTATGCTAACGAGGTATATTGCCGAGGCATATTAATAAAGGTCTTTCAAATATTGTTGATGATCTCCGCGGGTCTCTACAAATTATTAAACCCCCGAGATTCCCCCTCTTACGCCATCTTAGGAGTCTCCCATAGACGACCATTTTTCTCCCAAAGAACTAAGCCAGTACTACATACAATAGTAGTTGCTACTGCCAGTGTGCCATTTCCTCCCTCCACCGCTCCATGGTCATGGACATTCCACATAGCCTCATTAAACAAAAGGGTATACTAGAAATACATAAAAGCCGCGCCAACTTGTGCCGGCACATTTGCTTCTGACAGAACAACCAATCCTCGAATCTGTATAAACAATAGAAGCTCAATGGAGATTAGATCATACCGCAGTAATACATGGTAACGCTTCTTGAACAATGCAAAAAGAAAAAAAAGGGGTACTATATATATACCTCTGAATCTGAACAGTAGAAAAGTAGCGCACCTGCTTTCTAACAATGCGTCCATTCTTAAAACGCTTCGTGGAAGCAAGTCAAATACCCTTCTCGTAAAAATGAGCCAGGGTCATAAATGTCCTGGCTCTCGCCGGAGATGACATGGTTGCCAGCGGCGCCAACATTATCGGTCTCGTCTTGTTTGAAGGCGGTCGACGGATCGGCAACTCTCAGCTGGCTTGCGTCAACAATAGAAGGACCGTTGACGGAATTCGAAACGGCAGCGGTAGTGGTGGGCGATACTGGAGCATCGACCGCCGCCGCTAAGTTTGCTAAATGCTGAAGATTGAAGCTGGGTGGCTCAGAATCCGTCAGTAGGCGACTATTTTCCGTGATCTTCTCCCGTACAGCGTAATTCCAAGGGGATGGCGCAATGCCAAAGTCGAGGATATGTTTAACAACTTTGGCGGCTTCCTCGTGACAGTATTTATCCTTTACGAGCTCTAGAAGAGTGAGCGTTGCTAAGGAAATGAAGTGGTGATTTAGGGGGCTTTGAAGCCTGATGTTGGTGGTCAGGATGTGGACAATGTGCTGACAGTCTTTCAGGACGGAGTCCAATCCTAGAGGCCCCAAGAGGATGTCCGAAAGAAGGCGCGTGTGCCAATACGCCAGGTGTAGGATTGGCTGATCAGACTCGGTACTGCTGAAAGGGAACTGGGTCCTAACGTCGTCCATTATCATATCCGTCATACGCATCCTTGCCCGGTAAGTCTCTGGTCCGAGGTTGGTAGGGGTGTCAATAGCGTCTCGTGTTAGTTGGCCAATAATATATGCCAGGCCTTTTTCATGTCAGCAGCGTACATTAGACGACGCAACGATCAGAAGGGATACTTACGCGTGAGAATATAAACCGTCTCTCCAACAATATGCTTGAGACCAGGCTGAATGATAACAGCCCCATTGTCGATGAAGCCCGGCGTGGCTGTCCCTAGCCCATTCCAGCGATCCAGTGCAATTAGGGTCCACCAGGCTCGCAAGCCCACATTTTCGTCCGAGTCCAAGTCCAGCTCGGGATCTGGGACGGGTTCTGGTACGCATCGGTGTAACTTCATCCAGAATCCAAGGCCAATCGCCTTTCCGAGTATCGCCGATTTCGGAGGGCCGTCCATCAAGCCTTTGGCCGCCCCAACGCCTTGGTTATCCGTCTCAATTATCATCGTTAGAAGAGTCTGGAAGTGGAGTAGGTTGACAGCCTTGGATCGAGTTCGGGGACCCAATTCCCAATCACTGAGCAGCCGGCCTGCGGAAGGGTACATTTCGTTCACCTGGCTGGTAGAGGCAGGAAGGTATGGTTTCAACATGGCCAGAAGTGCGCTGCAGAAAGCGTTTTGAAGAATGGGCGGACATTGAGACAAGACAAGCCGAACTCGTTCTTTTGTGCTTGCCAAAAAGGGGAATATCGGATGGATCACGCTTAGGTAGCTACACAGACAGCGTTAGACTATTCCGCAATACCCAACACGAAGACGCGACGGGAAGCTAGAACTCACCATTCAAACACGGAGTCTTCTATATCCCGCACTTCATCGTCTAGGTGCAAGGGCTGAACTTGAGGTAAGCCGTCCTGAGGCAGACCATTGGCAGTCATAAAGTCGTCAGAGATCCGATCCATAAGAGCGGTGTCCGGCGGGGGTTGTAGTGCCCCATCGTTGTCTTCAGGGAGTTCGGGTGTTTTTGGGAGCCTGGGCGCAAGATCATTGACGGAGTAACTCCTGCGGTAGTTTGGAGGGATATAGGGACGTATTGGTTTGTTCTCGGGCGCGCCTGACGGGGTCTGGTCAGGGGTTGGTGAAGGAAAGCCGTCGTTGGAGATGCTGGCGAATGGCCTCTTCCTGCTTTCATCCCCGGGCATGGGGAACTGGAAGGCGTCACCGGATGCTCTGTTCAAGGCCGCCTCTAACCCTTCCCGGCTGCTGGCTCCCAGCTTGCCCTCGATAGTGTTGAGTCGATCTGCCAACTCCTTGATATAGCTAGGAAAAATGTCAGTCTTCTACAAGGAGACACAAGACAACATTTCCTCATACCCCTTGCTAGGTCCTCGCTTTTGCGGGACACGACTAAAAAGACAGTTCGCGTTGGATCGTCGACAATTAGAGCAGGGCTGCTCAGTTGCCTCGGACTGCGCATCACACTTGATCTTTTTACGGCGGCACTCGTCACAAGCTCGCGACACCTTGGACCTCTTACGTGGCGGAGTACTGTCTTGGAGTTGGTACTGCTGGTGGCCTAAATGATCCATGGGAATATGTTGAGGCAGAGGTGGCGGAGGAGGATGCTGTTGCTGCACGTAGAGAGGGTGGGCTTGGGACTGCTGCTCATCATGTGGCATCACATTCTGTAGCTCATGGTCGTGGTTCTGCAACTCGGCCTGCAACTGCTCTTGGAGGTTGGGTTCTTCCTGGTCTTGTCCACCATGTCCTTCGTGCGACATGTCGGGCTCTTGCACATGGTTCTGGGCAGCAGCCATCATGGGTGCAAGCCCCTGAGTCAATTGGGCAGCGAGCTGCAGTTCTTCAACACTAACGGAGGGCCGCGAGTGGTGGAGGTCCGGCGACGACACGTCTTGCAACTCCTGGAGCTCATGCAAGTCATGGTGTTCGTGCTGTACGTGCTGCTCAAGCTGCTCGGGCTGCTCCTGGTGGCCTTGGTGGGCTTGGTGGCCCTGGAGAGCCGGCAGGCCATGATGCTCCGTCTGGTCTACCTGGTGACCCATTTCCTGTTCATGCTCGCGTTGCGCGGGGATGTGGTAATACTGCGGATCGGACCCGTCCACGGTAGGCGACGGGTAGCTCTGCTGCTGCATTAAAACATCTTCGGCCTCAGCAGCCTCCCTCTTCTCGTCCATGACAAGCCTGCCGCAGGCCGTCGCGCAGCTCAATTGCCCTACCCCGGCGCGATCGCTCTGCTCAGAAAGGGGGCTTCCCTCTAATCGTTGGGGGTCAAGAGTTTGTCGGGGGCGAGGACAGGTAGTCGCGACTGGGTCACTTGGCAAGATCAGCATTGTGCAAACGGCTATGAGCATTCATTCAGTCATTTTCAATTCGATAAAGCAATCCCTCAATTGTGGAACTATGGTCTCTCTGAAGGCGAAAAAAAAAGTATTAAAATAAAATAAGAAACAACAATTGCAATTGAGGGCGACAAGATGTGACAACAAACAGAAATGGAGCTGCATCGCTCTGGTGGAAAATGCGGCTTGGGAATCGCTAAATTGCGAACCAAAAAAGAGGACAATGCCAGGCTTCAAAGACGTACCTGGGGGATTGATGATGAAACTATTCCAAGTCGGATGGGATGACCTCTCGCTGCGGAAGAATGGCGGTTCCGAAGGAGGGAACGGCTGGAGTTTTGACCACGCTCGACCGGGCATGGGACTTTGGCGGAAGATTTTGGCCCACGACGGAAAATTTTTCAGGGCAGCTTTTGGGTGGCTGCGGATAAATCCATCTTGATGAGGGGGCGCGCAGGCGCCACAAGGCTGAAGAAGGATAGTGGCTGCTCAGTCAAACAAGCCACTTCCCCTCTCGTCATTTTTGCTTGAATTACGGATATGACCAAAATATCTGTACAGAATACCGACAAAAACCAAGCTTTTCAGAAATAATCCTCCAAACTTGAGCGACTAGAACACAGTCACAAATATAACAAGCTCGGTGGGAAAGAGAGTAGGGAAGTTCAGGGAACGGGGTATCGTGGATTTCTCTCGCAACAGCAAGTGTGTGGATCGAATGTTTTTGTCAAGACCCCTTTTCGCTAATCTAATGGAAGCTGCTCGGTCTTTTAACAGAAAGAAACAAACAGCCTGTACCCGAAATCCACACACCAAGTTCTCTCTCCAAACCAAAAAATGGCCTCGTGCGCCAACAAAAACAATCGAAGGGTATAAAAAACACTAATGATAACTAGCTAATAAATGTTGCCGTAATAGAAGGGTAGCATCCTCCTACCCACTGCCTTCGCTAATTAAAAGTTGCCGGACTGCCATCCACAGATGAGAGACGCACAGGCATACAGAAAAGAATAAAGCCGTGAAGATGAACAAGGCGAGTCCCACAAGCCCACGAGGGTAACCACAGGAGCCCTTAATCCGACAAGGTCAATTTTAGGATGATTTGAAGTTGGCGATAGATTGGAGAAGTCGCCTATTCTTCTCTCCAACTTCTTCGCCCTCGGCAGCTATCTGGTTGATCATCGTTTGTGTCTTAGCTAACTGTAACTCTCACTGTATTAGCAACCTTCCGTTTTTGGGTTTATCTGAGACGACACGACCACACAGTGAAATGTGGAGGCGAGGTACTCATTAAGGGACTCTCGCACCGAGGCTAATAATTTAGAAGAATGATCCGGCTCAGTACCTTCGGCCGGGGTGGCATCCTTCTCGTCTCCGTCCTCGCTCGGGTCGGCGAAGCGGCTAGCCGCAAGACCCTTGGGCGCGTCGGCCTTCGTCTGTATGATGGCAGTTAGAAACGGGCAAAAACACAAGCAGACATAAGACGGCTCACTTTTGCCTCTGCTAGCTCTGCTTCCTTGACCTTGATCTGGGCATCTAGCTCATTAATCTTCTTCGCAGCGTCGGTGAGCTTCTTGCTCTTCTCGGCCTCCTTTGTCTGCGACTCCTCGAGAAGCTCCTGCAAAGTCTTCTGCATCACATCATAGTCAGACTGGGCAGTCTTTTTCTTTGCCTCAAACTCCAGTGTGAGTGCATCCAACTGCTGCTCGAGTTTGGCGATCTTCTCCTTGGCGTCCGCAACCTCTGCAAGAACATTTTCGGCACCCTTTTTGGCGTTGGAGAGTTCCTCCTTATAGGCAGCCTCGAGTGTGGCGAGCTTCTTCTCATGAGCAGCACGCGCCTCGGCAAGCTCTCCCTTGAGCGCATCCAATTCACTGGTGTCGGGCTTCGCATTCTTCAGGGCATCGAGGTCAGCCTGAGCAGTGAACTTATCCATCTTCTCATGAGCCAGCTCCTGACTAAGGTTGTCCAGCTCTTGCTCTGCCCTCTCGTATTTAACCTTCAGTGCCTGGACAGTAGCTTCAATCTCGGTCTTAGCGGCCTGCGCTTTAGCCAGATCATTCGAGACGGACTCGGACAATGCAGTATGCTCAGCTTTCAAGGCTTCGAGAGCCAGAGAATTCTCTTGTCTCAAGGCGTCAGTAACCGAAGCCCTGTCTTTCCGAACGGCCTCCTGTGACTCGTTGTGAGCCGCAATGAGGCTTTCAACCTCAGCTGCGTGTTGATCCTCCATGGTCTTCTTCGCTGACACATAATTGGCTTCTGCTTCGGTAAGCTTTATTTGCGCGGCCTCGAAGGCCTCCTTGTAATTGTGTGCGATCTCAGCCTGTGTAGCCAGCTTTCCGATTTCTTGCGCATGTTTAGCCTCCAGCTCCTGCTTTTGACTTTGAAGCTGGGCATGCAGCTGCGCAGAGAGCGCCTCTTCAGCGAGTGCCTTGGCGCGGCTGGCAAGCTCCTCCTGTTCTGCGGCGTTTTGTTTCTTCGACGCATCCAGAGCTTCAACATGGTCAGCCTTCAGAGTCTCGAGCTCTTTGACAAGACTAGCCTGGCTCTCGCTCTTCAGAGTTTCAATCTGCTTGGCATGGCTAGCCTTCAAGGACTCGAGTTCCGCCAGGCCTGACTCCTGCGCTTGCCGCGTGGTGCTCTTGGCGCCCTCCAACTCCTCGGCATGACTGGCTCTCAGTGCATCTAAAGCTTGCTGGTGCTCCAATTCTTTGGCTTTGAGGGCGTTGGTAGCGGTGTCGTATTCGGCCTTAGCAGCTGTGGCAGCCTCGGCATTTTTCGTCTTTATCTGTTCATGAGACTGGGTGAGCTCATTGTACTTCACCTCCAGCTCCTCGAACTTCCGCTTAAAAAATGCATCGCCGCGCAGGCTTTCAATCTCGTTTATGTAGTCGGAACTGACCTCCTCAAGTTGCTTCCGGTGGTGGTTTTCGGCATTCACGTTATCTTCTTTTAGTTTCGCGATGGTAGCGTCCTTAGTCTTGCCCTCCTCGACCAATCTGTCAATGAGTGCCTGGAATTCGGCAATTCTACTGGTTTTTTCTTCGGCATCCTTCAAAAGAAGAGACAATTGGGTATCCACACCAGTAATCTTGCTCTCGAGAGCAGCGACCAAGCCCTTTGACGCTTCGAGTTCTGACTTTGCGGTTTCGGCGCTCTTCTCTGCTGCGTCAAGTTTCGCCTTGAGCTCAGAGATTTCGGTCTCCAGGTCTCCGATCTTTGCCGCGTTCGTCTTGCTTTCGACAGCAAGCTTCTCTTCGTGTTCGGCTTCGAGAGTTACCCGAGCTGCAGTCAAGACGTCGATTTCCTTCTGCAGCTCCGTGATGGCGCTGCCATGACTGGCCTTGAGGCCCTGGATCGCCTCCTCATGAGCTGTCGCGAGAGTTGCATTGCCATTCTGTAGCTCGTCGGTATGGTTCGCTTTCAATTCCTCAAGAGCGAGTTGGTGCCCCTCCTCAAGAGTGCTCCGGAAAGCCTCCAACTTGGCGGAATGTGCCTGGGCCGCTATGGCTAGATTCACCTCGGCCTGATCCAACGTGGCTTGGTGGTTTGCCTCCAGTTTGTTTATCGTCTCCTCCAAGGAAGCGACTTCCAAGCCTGTAGCCTTATTTGCGCTTGTGACTTCGGCGAGCTTGCCTTCCTTAGCCGCAAGGTTGGCCTCGGCCGCGGCAAGTTTCTCTCGAATTCCGGCAATTTCCTCATTCAAGGACTCTAGTTTGGACGCGTGCTCCACCTCCAGGTTCTCCAGGGCATCAACATACCCCTTCAGAGCTTCCTCCGAGCCTTGTCCATTGACCTCGGCGACACTCGCCTTCTCAGACAGTTCCGAGATTCTATCCTCAGAAGATGACACCTGTATCTTAAGGTCGGCAATCTCAGCCATACTGGATTCAAGCTTGGCTTTCAGAGCGTCAATCTCCTTGGCAGATTCGACGGCCGCAGCTGCGGCAGCAGCAGACGGGACACTGCTTGAGTTCGGCGTCAAAGACGGCCTAGAAGCGTGGCGAGCGGCATTGGCACTCGAGGTAGTAGAGCTGCCGGCAACCGATGACAGACGCTTCTTTGCTTCGGCCACGGGCCCTGTACCCGTCGGTTTGGCCGCAGTACGAGATGCCGCTACAGACGGTGCGGAAACAGCCGTTGTTGTAGAAGATCTCGGGACAGTCGTAGGCCTTGGCGAGGCGGTATTGCTGCTAGCTGACAGAGGCTTCCTCGCCGCGGCAGTGGTTGACACAGTTGAGCTCGTAGTCTTCAGCTTGCCTGGAGAGCTCGCAGCAGCATTGCTCGGGGCCGCTGAGGTGCGTCTAGCGGTACTGGTGGCAGTGGATGTCCGCTTTTTCTCATCTTCGGACACGGATGGCTGGGAGCGGTGCGACGTAGTCGACGCCGCCGTGGTCGGTCGCTTGGTGACCGTCGAGCTAGCCGTAGGGCGCGTTGGCGGCTTGCTAAGACCTGCAGTAGTGGTACGTGCAGAAGAGCTCGCTGTCGGTTTAGTTGCGGCAGCCCCAGCAGCCGCAGGACGGCGGGCGATTGTACGCTTGGCATCGGCCGCGCCAGTTGTGTCGGGCGCACTGGAAGATGCCGGCTCTGTCGCGGCAGCGGGTTCGGCCTCGGCAGGAGCGGTGGTAGGAACGTCGGGAGGAGCGTCGGCAGAAACTTCGGCAGGCGGAGCGGCCTTGAGAGCCTCGACGTTGGACATGATTAAGGACAAAGGGTATGAACTACAGGAAATGAGGACTAAACGTGTACCAAGCAATACCGGAGCTGACGTCGCCCAGAAACTGTTAGCAGCCTAGTACATACGCCGGGCCAAGCTCAGGAGGTAAATCAGCAAATGGGTGGTGGAGGTGGTGTTACAGTGAATAGCCCAGCAGAACGGGGGAACCCTGGGAATAGCGCCTCAGTATCTTCTGGCTATGCGCCTGAAGAACAGAATTGAAGGCCAAGAAAATAGCCAGGCAAGACAGTCGCGGTGCGGATGCGGGAAGAGGCAGCTGCTGTGGCTCACCTAATAACTGTCCGTGGCCTCCTTTTTCCCAGAGACCCAGACGGCAGCAAATTTAGTTATTGGGCCACCGTGCACTGCAGGAAGCTTTGACCAGTTGCAGGGGTCAGATTGAGCGAGCACAGGGGTAAACGGCTGCTTGCTTTGAGTCGGGAAAAGATGCGAACATACGGAATAGGTAGAGAACGAACTTCCGCTTGGCTAGATATAAGGGGTTTCTAGCTGCGATAAGACGGCAGCAAAGTGGCGACAATCAACGGCGAGATGCAGCTCTGCGGAGAGTTACAGAAGAAAAGAGTTAAGGGAGCCTGGGAAATCAGAAAAGGAGGGCTCCAAGTTCCTTTCTCTCACTGCAGTGACTTCTGACAGCACGGGCACACCTCAGTGGCTGGGAAGGCGCGGGTGTCCTTGCGAATTAAAGTGGTGGGACAGGACCCTAGGGTGGGAAGGGACGACGCGAAAAATGCCAGTGTGGGGAGTGTGATTGGGGAGAGCTCCATTCATCATTCAGTCCAATCCCAGTCTTTTTTGTTAGCAGGGGACTTTCAAAGATCGGAATGGCCTCAATGCTGACTCCTCACCCTGAAGACTTTTTTTACCAAAGTACGGGAGGTAATAACTGTTGGAGTTTCTTTCATTGAATCATTGAGTCCGCTCTTTCCCTAGAAACACATATCAAAGGCCTTTCCTGGCCGGTTCATTTGCTACATCTTTATTCTACTTAAGTACCAACGCTAACAACAATCAGGGCCTGGACTGTCAATAGCCTCGTGCGCCTGAGCGATTCTGGACCAGTCAAGTTTCCCCCCAGCCCTCTCTCGTCAACTGATGAATGAACCATGTGTAAGTTTGTACGTACTTGGCACACCATCTCACGCGTGCGCGAGGGAAATCCCAATGGATCTTAACGAGGCATAACCGAACTTCGTTTTTTCTTGCTGGCGATCCGACTACGAGCCTCTTGTGGCGCTTTGCTCGCGGAACATCCACGCCCCACCGGCCGGACAATTTGATGCGGGCGTGTTTGAAGTCGCGCTGCAAAAGGGCAAGTCCTCAATGCGACGCTGGCTGATCTCCCAAACGCCAACGCCTTCGATGACTCGGCCGGCCAGTGCCTAGGAGGTTTGTGTCAGAGTTGATCTTCCTGGCGGGCAATCCCCAATATAAAGTAGGCTCCACTATCGAACTTTTAAGCATGGCGTTTTCGTTTTAGTTTTGCCATGTCGAACTAGGGGTTGACCTGTTTCCCTTGCCAAAGAACCCAGCCCGGATAAAGGAGACAAAACCCAAATCTGACAGGTAACAACCTGGAATCTTCAAAACGCGGTGCCAAGGCAACATGGTTAAGCTGGGATCCAACAATTTGCCATTCAAGGCTCAGGACGTGGCTTCGTTCTTCGGACTTTGCTGCGCTCCAGGCCGGCCAGTCATGTGTTGTAAGTTCGTTTTGAGTATTCATCTTTCAGCAGCGGACACTAATCTATTATGAAAACCATCAAGCTGCCTCGGCTTTGCAGCTGCTCACTTCGTTCCAAAGGCCTTATTAAACCTGGTCAAGGTGAAGCGGTAGTGAACCTTACTGTCCCGGACCCGTTCCACAACCTCCTTGCACGCCTTCTCCGAGATGTCGATGGACTCGACCTGTGGTCGGACGCCCTTGTCGGCGGCGAGCTTCAGCATGGCGTCCATATCCTGGTGGTTTCCAAGGTGGCTGGCCGTCAGCTTGGCGGCGTTCACTACGAAGGCGACACCGGGACCTCTGGGAGCGGCTTGTCGGGCAAGCCGACCATGTGGAACTGGCCGCCGACCTTGAGGATCGACAGGTACGTGGGCAGGCCGAACTTGTTGGTCATGTCGGAGCAGTTGAGGACGAAGTCGAACTTGAACGCCAGCGGCTCTGCCCACTTCTTGTCGTCGGACGTGACGATCACCTCCTTGGCACCGAGCTTCTTGGCGTCCTCGACCTTGTGCGGCGAGTGCGTGAGCGCGTACGTCTCTGCGCCAAGCGCCTTGCTCCACAGCAATAACCCCCCGCACCAGAGGGCAACCACTTACCAACTTGGTGAGGGCAGTAGTTCTCGTTTTTGCTCTTGCACACCTCGCATTTGAGACAGCCCCAGACCTGTGCGCCGACACCCACTGTCTCCCTCCTTGATGTTCTTGACATCCTTGCCCACCCGGACGGCTTTGCCGATGATCTCGTGCCCGACGCAGAGCGGCCCCTTGAACTCTCCCCACCCGCCGGTTACTGTGTGGATATCGAAGCCGCAGACACCACAGCACTCGATTTGCACGTCGACGTCGTGGCTCTCAAACGGCTTGGGCTGGAGCTCGGCCCGGCAGAACTGGTTTCACGTCTTGGCCGAGTCGACACAGAAGCCGTCGAACGTCTCTGGGTAACCCATGGTGTGTGCGTGCGTGTGAGTGGGCGGGCGTGTGAGTGGGCGAGCGTGTGAGTGAAATAACCCGTGTCTTTATGGAACGGGAATGTTGATGGCGGATATTACAGATTAACTTGGTGAATTGTGCAGAAATCTACGCTTTTGAATCCTCAAATCCCTGAATCTCCAGGATTCGTGTTTAACGTCTAGTTATATACCGATGCCGGACTCAGCTTGGGCGCCAATGACGTCGTTGACCCACGGATTTCTCCATTCTCGTCATCATGGCCAGTCTTTGTTGATCGACACGGCAAAACAAACTGGGTGGTGGACTATTACGTAGGTGGTTCCAGTTAGATATTCTAGCTCCGCAGCATGGAAAATATTGATAAGCATTGCAGACACTTTATCACGCAGAATACTCGGGAAAGAGCTGGCCGCCAGCGGATCAAGAGGCAGTGTGTCTGGTGTAGTTCTAACCCTAACCCTGAACATCATCTCACCCCCTTTTTACACACTCTCTCGCGTCAGCTTAGAGCCTAGAGCTTAACCAGACTGACATCCAAAATCCCCTCAGCCTTGCGCAGATCATCCAGCACCTCCTGCGTGACCTCGCCGTCGACGCCGAGGATCATGAGTGCCTCCCTGGCTTTGTGACCATCACCTTCCAGCAGCACCGGCCCATAATCAACCGTGGCAGCGGCAGGAGCTGCTGCAACGGCGGCCGCCGCATCGTTGAGCCCGGCGACCTGCATAAACGAGATGTTGACGCCATGGCCGCCCAGCACGCCGCCGACATGGCCGATCTTGCCGGGCTCGTCGTAGTTGTGTAAGATCAGAAGCGTGCCCGCCGGGTGGAAGTTAGCTGCGAACCGGTCCAACTTGGAGATGAAGACGGCCTTCCCGCTGACATAGCCCTCGATCACCTGCTCCTCTTCTACCTGGCGTTGTGGTGGCTGTTGTTGTTGTTCCGGCTGGGCTGCCGGAGATGATGGAGGCGTGGCCTCGGGGTGTGGCCCGCGGCTGCGCAGCGTCACTAGGCTCGCGTAGGTTGTCACGACACTGCCGCCTGCGGCGTCGTCGCGGACGTCTGTGTGGTGGGAAATGAGGGGACTTGTTAGATTCCTGTTTAAATCGGGAAGTAGGAAGAGATAAGGGAAAGGGGGAGGCAATCAAGGCAATCAAGGTTAAACAGGGCAAAGCCGAGAAAACCAACAAAACTCACGCTTCTCGTCAATGGCAATCCCGCGCTCGCGCGCGATGATGGTCGCGTTGACAATGTTGACGTCGCGGCCGCCGGCGTCGCTGATGGAGCTGACGAGGCCCTTGACGAGCGCCGCGAACAGCGGCCGCGTGTTGCTGATGCCGGCCAGCTCGCCGCGGTACACGAGCTCGAACCGCCGCCCGCCGATCATGCCGCCGCCGCCGCCGCCGCCGCTGCCGCCGCGCCCGCCAGCAAAGTGCTGCGTGTACAGCGAGCCCATGCGTTCGATTCTATGTTTTTTCTATGTTAGAATATATATATATGGTAAGTCGTCTTCACACCCTCGCGTTGGGATGTGTATTGTACTAGTGTATTGTAATGGGGCAGCGTGCGAGGAATCAGTTAGCAGGGGAGGGAAGACATACAGGCGCACATAAGGCTGCAGCCGACGATACTCCTCGGGCAGGATCAGCGGCGCGTTGACGGCGGCGGTGGGGAGGCCGCCGCGCAGGATCTCGAGGACCTGGGTGCAGACGTCCATGGAGACGTTCTCCTGGGCCTCGACAGTGCTAGCTCCGAGGTGGGGCGTGCTGACGACCTTTGGGTGGGCGGCGAGGCGCGCGGCGGCCGAGCCTGGCTTGGGCGGCTCGGCCGTGAACACGTCGAGCCCGGCGCCGGCGATCCAGCCCTCGTCGAGCCCCTTGAGCAGCGCGTCCTCATTGTAGACGCCGCCGCGGGCGACGTTGAGCACGCGCGCGGTCGGCTTCATGCGCTGCAGCTCGGGCTCGCCGAGCAGGTTGAGGGTGCTGGCGAGCAGCGGCGTATGGATGGTCAGGAAGTCGACCACGGGCAGCAGGTCGGCCAGTGCCGAGACCAGCTGCACGCCGGCCTGGCGCGCCATGTCGGGGCTGGCGTACGGGTCGAGCGCCGTGACGCGCATGCCGAGGCCAATGGCCATGCGCGCGACCTTCATGCCGACCTTGCCGAGGCCGATGATGCCGAGCGTCTTGCGGCCGACCTCGACGCCGACGAGTTTGCTCCTCTCCCAGAGGCCAGCCTTGAGCGTAGCGTCGGCCCGGCCCACGTTGCGCGCCACGGCGAGCAGCAGCGCGATGGTGTGCTCGGCTGCCGCCACGATATTGCCGCTAGGCGAATTGACCACGATGATGCCGTTGGCCGTGGCCGCGTCGACGTCGATGTTGTCGACACCCACACCGGCACGCGCAACGACGCGGAGCTTCTGCCCGGCGGCCAGCACGGCCGCCGTGACCTTGGTCTCGGAGCGCACAATGAGCCCCTGGTAGGCCTGGATGATGTTGATGAGCTCGTCGGCAGTCAGCCCCTTGCGGTTGTCGACATTGTAGAGCTCTTGGAGCAGCGCCAGGCCCTCGGCAGACACCTTCTCTGGCACGAGAATCCGGGGCCGGTTATCGGACAGGGTGGCTCCCACCGAAGAGCCATTGGTGAGCTCAGCAGTGATTGCTGAAGGTGCCATTATCTGGAGATCGTACTACTAGACTACACAGCTTTGATATCTAGTATTTCAGGTAAAGCAGATGTAGACTGAGGTAATGATACTATTCTGTGTGCCGGGCGTGTCAAAGTTTCAGTTTCAGCGAATATGAGCAGCGAGGACGTGAGACAGGGAACATGCGCAACATGAGCAGACACTTACGCGTCGAGGGAAGCATCAACTTATAAGACAACCAACGGCGGCGTGCAGACAGAAAGGCTAGGAACCTACCCTACTTGGTCAGCTGGCGGGCGCCCTCGTTGTGCTCTGGCTCTCTCTCTATCTTTCCCTCTCCTTCTGGGCACAACTGCGGCGGTGCATATGCGCATCGTGTAGAAGTGCATGACAATATGCGTAGCAGGCAGCGGCGGATAGGGAACAACAGCTAGGAGAGAAAGGCGAGCGCTCCATGGATGGCATCAGTTGCCTGAACTGGACAGACAAAGGGGACGAAGGCGGAGAGGGGAGGGCTTCAGCCACGTTTGCCGCGAGCAAAAGAAGCCATTGTTCTCGCCTAGCCACTGCAGCCGTTATTAATATTTTCTAGCAGCGCTTGTCATAGTTTGCTTTGCAAGGCCCAGCCAAGGTTGGAACATGTGTGAGAGGTTCGGATAGTGCACTAGATAGGAGGGGGGGAGGATATGCAGTTTGCCAACGGGGCTTCCCGGTCGACTGTACCGTAGTACAGGCAAAGCGAATATCTATCCGGAGATGTTTGGGGCCGGCATTGGCACAGCCTTCCCACCTCCAACCCCTCACTCCCCCACGTTTAGCTAATGCAAACTACTGCAGTCCCCCGCCGAATAGGAAGCAGTCTGGAATGCAGCCGTCGAAAAGAGACGGGGCTGCAGCTCCTGGTTGGCTGTCCTTCGAAGCAGCTCAAGCTCGTGTATAGAGTGTGACACGCGAGAAGTCCAAGGCCTGGCTCTGAACTCGGGGCTTTGGGATAGGAAGCACCGGGTCGTTTTGTCCCGCTTGTGCATGTCATGTTGTGCAGTTGAATCTTGCTAGCGGTCGGTGCCGCATTCGTGCCACAACAGAAGGAAGTAAGTAGTAGGCATTTCATGCACAAATGGGGGGCTACATCGAGATGCCTACATAACTTGTCCATTAAAAGTTGTCCTTGCCTGTGAAACGCTCGTTCTGCACAATCTCAACCCAGTATCCGTCTGGATCAAGCACAAAGGCGACGTTCTTCATGCGCCCATCAGTAAGCCGCTTCTTCCAGTTCACGTTGAGCGACTCAAATCGAGCGCAGGCAGCCTCGAGATTGTCCACCGACACGCCTGGGAGCAGCGGTTAGCAATGACTTATGCCGCACATTTATAGTATATTAGGTGTATCACTTACAGATGTGGCCAAAGCCCTGGGGTCCCTTGTTCCCGTCGTGATAGCTAAAGGCCTCATCCTTCTCGGTACCGTAGTTCCAGGTGAGCTCCAGTAGGCCCTCACGATCGGCGGTGCCCTCGCCAGCCCCTGTGCTCTCGGAATACCCGAGAAAGTACAGGTTGAAGGCAGCCTTTTCGTTCTCATGAGTCCGCAGAAGCGTCATTCCCAGTACCTCCTGGTAGAACTTGAGCGACTTCTGAGCGTCCTTGACACGGATCATGGTGTGGTTCTATGGTAAGAGGGGTTATAAGATTAGATCTAGGTTCGATTCCCAGGCCTATACAAAATCCAGGGGCCAAGAGTCAGAAGGATAAAAGATAAGAGAGAAATAGAACAAACAAACCATGCGATACGTCTCGACGTCAGTCTCTTTTACGCCCTCGGCCAGCTCAAGCGACTTCTGGCCGACAATCTCAACCCAGTAGCCGTCTGGGTCGAGGGCAAAGGCAATGTGGCGCATGCGGCCGTCACTGAGTTTCTTCTGGAAACGGTAGCCGGCATCCTCGAGGCGCTGGCAGGCGGCTTGAATGTTATCGACGCTAATGCAAGTATGGCCAAAGCCACGGTACGGCTCGACGTTACCGTTGTTGATCTTGTAGTTTAGGTCGTTCTCGGTGCCGTGGTTATGGGTCAGCTCGATGAGGCCCTCGCGGTCCCACAGGTTGTTGCCGCCCGACACAGCCTTGGGCGAGTCGTAGCCCAGAAAGTAGAGATCAAACTTGGCTTCGGGGAACTCGAGCCTCTTGAGCATCTTCATGCCGAGGAACTCATAGAACTTGACTGCGATGACGAGACATGGCCGTGTGAGTGAGTTTTACCAACAAGACATGGCCGGGCGAACAAGCCAAGATAGCTAAGACAGACACACTGACCTGACTCCTTTGGGTCCTTTACACGGATCCTGCGAGCATACGTTTTAGACTCGAGTGTCACGAAGCGTCCCCCCGACAAATCACTTACATTGAGTGGTTGAACTTGTAGTTCTTAGTCTCGGTTGTCGACGCCATGGTTGCGGTTGCGGTTGCGGTTGCTAGAAGCCTTAGTGTCCCTAGCCTCTCTCAACGTTTTTAGAAATCAAACCTGAAAGCCAGGGTAACAAGAGTGGTTCGAGGTGGAAGAACTTCTCTATTGTTCCTTCCCGGGTCGAATTCGGCAGTTGAGCGTAAAAGCCGTCAAAAGTTTGAATACGCACCTGGATTCAATGCGGTTCTTCTCGCCGAAGACGATGGGAGAAGAAGTCTTGGTCTCTGAGTTGCGTGGATCGATCGAACGCTCATTTGCGTCTATTGTAGATCAAGTTCACACGGCCGAAAGGGGGGGTGGTGAAGCTCGGGCTTATTATAAGCGTGCAACTCCCGTCGCTATCTAGCCTTTGATGGAGTAATGAAACCGGCAGTGGGTTTGCGCGGCGATGTTACCGTACGTTACAAAAAGAAAGAGCCTAACCTGCTGTTTAGCAAAGAGAACGATGAGTGCCGGAAATTCGGTTATTATCAGAGGCAGCGTCATTACACTTTCATTACGTCTTGTTACCGCGAATGAACAAGCGGGGGAAGCCTTTGGTCTCCGATTTCGTTACCCCACCGCCGTTGGCGTCCATCCGAGACCCACCATTTCTTCTTGAAGGGGTTAGGGTCATCTTCGCAGCGCAATGATATCGAGACGAAACAACCTCGAGAGCAAATTAATATGGCTACCAAGGATGAAGGCCGTATTATGAGCAGTCCTATTGAAAACTTAGTTCACCAATCCGGAAAGCAAAATGGAGATATATTTGACTCCTTAGTCAATTTTTCGTTTTCCCCCTGTACTCATTGCTTTCGAATTCTTTATGAATTACGCCCCTGGTTCGTTGGGTCTGACAAAAGACCGCTGTTAATTATATCCATTCCCAGCACCGCAGACGCGATGTCAAAGGTCCCTAGTTGCTTGTCATAACAGCCTGGAAATAATAATAACTGCGAGTGACCACGCCTGCCTTCTTCTCTGTTCAAAACCTATCCCGTCCTTTCCACCAACCCATGAGGGCCATGACCTATACTCTTACATGTGGGGAATCCACTCGAACAGTTCGTCGACCTACGACTTACCGCCCTTGCGCTTTTTCCGTCTAGTCTTCTTCTTGCTGCCACTGGCGCTTCCGCTTCCTCCCCCAGACTTGGCTCCGGTCGTCGACCCCCCCGCCGTCGATAGTTCCGAGGTACTTAGTGCCCCAGTAGGCGATGTGACCTCCTCCTCTTCCTCCTCTTCAGCCTCGAGGACGGGGGCCTTGCCAAAAAACCCAGTGATTTTACTTTGCGATCTTGAGTGTTCTGGCGAAGATCCAATCACGGCGACGTCGTCGTCATCATTAGAACTAGTCGTCTCAAGGATTACCTTTCGTACGCCACGAGATTCAATCACATTCTCGGTGATGCTTCCGCTGCGGACGGAGGCCCGTTTCGGAACGAGGTGGAGTTCTGGTCGTGAACCGGTGTCACTGTTGGAGCCGGACGAATGTGCAGGACCAGATGCTTCAGGACTCCCGTCCACCTGGGCTCTTTTCGACGGGGTCTGCGTTGCGGTATCCGGCACCTTGCTCGGCTCTTCATGTTTCGTTTCCAATAAAGATGGCATGATTTCTGGCAATTTTGGTGATGGATGCTGCTCCGCCGAAGGCGGACTCACGGAGCCATACGTTGTTTGTGACAAGGCCTGTATGCCGTCCTTTCCCTTGAACTGAGCTCCTAAGAGATTAGTTGTCTCGTCCTCTTCCTGCTCGTGTCCTTCATCAATAGATGTGTCTATGACTCCTTCGGCGAAAGATGCAGGGCGAGGGGGGGTCTGTTGGTATCCAACCACAAGACCGGGCTTGACCTTCACCGTTGTGGACCGCGTGTTCTTGGGATTGGTGGCGGGATTCGAAGGACCGAGGTGTCTGAGATGTTGCTTGATTTCTTCAAAGTTTGCCCGAACCGGAATGGTCGTTCTCACAGGCAGGCCATCCGCTCCAGCCGAGCTCCTACGCATCATAAAAGTCGTTGCCCTGGGGCTACTGGAGAGCACCGATGGGTCAGGAGTGCCGCCAACCAAGTCTGCTGATTTTCGCTGGAAGTCGTGGCCTCCTGTTCTATTAGCACCATCGACAACCACAGCGCTATCGTCAATGAGCTTGGGAGACTGGTCCTCTGATGGCCGACGAAGCATTCTTGCTTTCGGAGCAGGGGTTAAACGGCGAATCGCCTTGTGTACGTCAATATAGACATCTGACTCGTCAATAATCTCTCTGTTTTTCAAGTTAGCATATGATTTTTGTGAGAATACAGCGGAAGATAACTTACTCTCCTATCAACTCCTCAATTACGTCCTCGAGAGTGACAACGCCGATCGCGCCGTGGTCTTCACCTGGATATTCTGATACGAGAACCATGTGGGATTTGCCCTCCTGGAAGAAGTTCACGATATCTAGGCAGCTCGTTTCGGGACGGGTCTCGGGTAGAGTGGCCAGAGGGAAGTCTCGAACGAGCTTGCCGTCTTCGGGATCGTACGTGATCAGAATTTTGACCAGCAGCATACCAACAAAGTTGGTCGGGCTCCCGGCTTCGAAAATTGGAATCCTGGAGTACCCCGCAGACAGGATCATGTCCATCGTCTGCTCATCGAGGACAGTATCCTCGGCCATGACAAAGACGTCTTCCATGGGAGTCATCACACTTGCGACTGGCTTTTCCTTCAAGTCCAGAACTGCGCTGATGATGGTGACCTCGTCTTGGTTTAGACGATCGGATACGTGACCGAGGCTTTTGTGAAGCGTGACAAGAGTTTTCAACCCGCTCTTCTTGTAGACAGTGCCGTGATCTTCTCCCAGAAGCTTGTCCAGCAGTTTGGCAGTGGGCCAAGCGATGGGCGCCATCAGATACATCAGGGCGAGAACGGGCTTGGACATGTAGCCACCAATCTGAAGGCCGTATCTAACACAGACGGACTGAGGAAGGACTTCGCCAAAGATCACTGGAAGAAAAAATGTTAGATATGTAACAATTGTTTTGCGGGTTGCTGGATGGGAACAGTAACGTACCAATGAGGAATGTCGAACCGACAACAGCGGCGACACCGCCCCCAAGACAGCGGTCAAGGACAACGGGAAGTGTCTCGTTGACGATGACATTGGACAACAGCAGGGTGACCAGAACCCAGTGTTTTCCCCTCTGTAACAGCTCAAACACTCTGCCGGCGTTCCTATGTTGGGGCTCGGTAGGGTCACGCGCCATGACCTGCAGATATATACCGTCCTGGCCCATCAAGCTGGAGTGAGTTAGCCCACCGTCGACGTTAGCAAGAGCAACCGACTTACGCGATGGTGAGGCCGGCGAAGGCACCGCCTAGGAGTACCAGGACCAGCGAAGCCACATATAATACCCAGAGGCTCGCGCCAACTTCCTCTGGTTCGTCATCGTGGTAGTGCTCAAAGGTAGTTAACGGCGCAGCATAAGCAGTTGACACGCCCATAAAGAGGACGCGCGCGAGACCGACGACGGCCGAGCGCGCTGCGAACAAGCCACTGGGATATGTCGATGTGGCGCGGTGGGGGGCCGCTGAGGTCGAGGTCTTCATTGTTTGGTTGTTGTCTTTCTTCGAGAAGTCGCGAGCCGACTTGAGGATAGGGGAGGGTCTTGGGGAGAGGTTGGGGGATGGAAAAAGGGTAATGTCAAGTCATTGCATAAGAAGATTGGGTATAGATACGATCCGAAAGGCGTGACTTGGCATCGAAGACTGGTTGTCCGCCCGAAAGGAAACCGCGACGAAATGCAAGCCGAAAAGTCGAGGACAAAAAGCAGGGGCGGAAAGAGCTCGAATTCGAATCCGAATTCGGTCGAGCAGGTGGGGCAGCAGACCACCATGTGGGACCGTGCGTGCGACATGGGTATGATATGACCGATGACGCTTTCTGTTGTGCAGCGTAACTGATTCCGCCCTTCAGCTGCAAGCCGGCGCTAATGTACTGTATGTGGATGTACTAGTACCTTCCCAAAGCTCGACGAAACCATGTGGAAACTACGACACCAAACGCCTTCTCGCCCCACGAGCTCAGACAGAGCAGCATTAAACCAATCCGCAGATGTAAGGATTCAAGGTGAATGCGGGCTACTCGCAATTTAAGCCCGACGGCCTCAACGGGATGCCACGTCTGTGTGAGGTCGCTCAGGTATAAATCGGCATAACAACGAATCAAAACACGGAATCACGGAAGATGATCTATGCAGTGCGAGAATGACCATACGACAACAACGCTAGATGAAGGAAACGCTGTGTACCGTCTGGGCAATATCTAATGAGTGTATCTAGGCGATTTCCCTACTTTTTGTAACGAAGAGTTCGGTATCAGAAGATGTTGTCAGGTTGATGATACGAGGGCTCAATGTTTGAGCGAGACCTAGGGCCTACCGCCCACCTATTCGTCACAGCTACTATTTTATAAGACGCCGTGGAATTGGCTGGCTCCCAGCCCAGAGTTTTATCGTAGAAAGAAATACAATACCTACAGGTATAGTACTATTCATACGGAACACTGCGTGAGCTGGTCCTTAGGCAGCGCGATGGCGGTGCACACTGTGGACCCGTCCGCGTTTCCATAAACGATAAGGTGCCTTGGTTTGTAACAAGACGATGGGACTTGGCCGTAAATAGACGACGGCAAATGGAAGGGGATCAAACCCTAGGGCCTTGGTGAATACGTATGGGCTTGATGTATGTACCTGTACCTATAAGGCATGTATCATCTGCTCAATTCAGTCACCTAGTGTATCAAGGTCTACAGAGCACTGCTGCACGTTTTCATGTAACTAACTGTGTCCTCATATTCTCAGGGTATCGAGAGCAAATGCGAAGAAAGACTAAAATAGTAGACGAGAAGGAAATATTACAAGTACAAATATGTTGGACCGCAGTACCAAGTTTCCAATAATTTATTTATCATCCATATACAAGGCGCCTCTAGCCATGATTGAGCCGAGCCGAGCCGAACCGAATGTGATAATTAAGACTCGCATGGCCAAGTCGCAGTTTGTTCGTTCCACGTTCGCCCACCCAAAAACCCCATGACGGAATGCTCGAGCATAACCATCCGTTAACATCGAGACTGAAACTTGGGCCGACACATGCGAACAAGATCGCACCTCGGTTGTCCAGGGCATGCGGAAGCAGTCGTCGTTCTCTGCCTCTTTCTTAGCCTAGAATGCGTACCTCTTAGACCATTACCCCTCCCAAAGCCCATCAGCCAATAATTATTCTTGCTCCCTCTTTCCCAAGGACGCCCCTCTCCTTGGGCTTCGGGCTGCTGCCGCGGCCCTTCCTCCTGCTGAGGAATCCAAAAACACCGCCTGAACCCTCCGGCTTCCCGTTGATGTCATTGTTGGCGCCGCTCGCATCCGCCGGAAGGGTCGCGTCTTGTCGGGCCAAATCACTCCAGCTGCCAGCGCCATCCAGAGTGACCTGCATACCGCCCGTTGGGCTCTCGACCATCATACCTGGTGCGCCACTGCGCCCGACCCGACCTCCGCCTGAACTGCTGGTGTATGGCTGTGGGTATGGTGGAAGCGGCGGTGGCCGCCCGGGAGCGGGGCGCTTTTGGTGATTGCTCGGCGGCCGTTGTAGCCTATTTACACTTGTGGGACTACCGCTTCCGCTCCCGGTGCCGTCTCTAGTTTCGTGCGCGGTCTGAGTTGCTGCTCCGTTGGCGTTTGGGGCTGAGGAAACTGGCGCCGCTTCATCCGTCGTCAGCGCCTGAGGCCTGTTCTCCCCGTTGCTTTGGGCTGCGTTTGGCTGGCCCTTTGACTGCGATTCCGCCTTCTTCGCCGTAATTCTAGGCCCAAGTCAGCTTCGGAAATTAGCAAGGCGGCGATTAGACAAGGTGCTTACTTTTTGTACGCCGCCACCGTGTAATCAAACGGCCGGAAGTCCGTCTCAATCATCCGGTACAGCTCATCCTCGCGTATTTCCTTGTCCGTGGCATCGTCCTTTAATCTCTCACGAGGCTTCTGTCGCCGGGCACGGGCCTCGAGGGGGGCCTCTTCCAGGAGTAGTTCTTCTAGATCGTACGTGGCATCGAAATTCGTCTTTTCAGAAGAGGGGATGAAGACCGGCTCGATCTCTTTTCTCAACAGGGCTTCAAAATCTATGCACGAAAAGAAGTCGTGTTGGGTAAAGCTCTCCCACGTTGAGCCGAGCCGCTTGTCGGGGTTCAGCTCTAAGGCGTCCTTGATCGCATAAAGGCACAACAACGAGACCGGAGGGTTCGTCACTGGGAATTTGGGTTTCGCGGCTTGAATGACGGCACTCAAAGACGATTCCGAATTGCCCTCAAATGGTCTCTGCCAAAGGCGTCAGCTCAGATCTCGTCTGTTTATCCTCCTGTTTCATCGCCTGGTTGCCACCTCCGCAAGCCACAGCGAATTTGAGTCGTCATAAGAAATTGCACTCTGTCGCATACCTTGTTGTAAATGCACTCGAAGAAGAGAACACCCAATGACCACCAATCGGCACGAACGTCGTACCCATGTCCCGCATATACTTCTGGTGCAAGATATGCCAGCGTGCCGGATTTGCTTGACAAAAGCTTGCCCGGTATTATATCTGAAGCAACATTCTGGCGGCGAAGTTAGCTGGCGCAAATGGTCTGGGTTTCGGGGATGTGGGCCGTACGAAATCCGTTAAATGCACATGGCCGTCGGCATCAAGGAGCACATTGTCTGGTTTCACATCACGGTGTATGATGCCCTGCCCGTGGATATATCTAAGAGCACAGCCCAGCTCCGCAATCCAGAACCGCACTGCATCCTCGGTAAAGGTTTTTCTTGATATGTGGAATCGTAAATCACCACCGTTCATGAGATCAACCACGAGATACCTGGCTTTTCGTCAGTACAATCGAGCTCGAGGTCGACGGGAAGGGGGCGTGGTGTGTGTTGTGCGCGTACATGTATTCGATATCCTGGAAGCTGTACCGCAGGTTGCAGATGAAGGGGTGGTTGACGTGCTCGAGCATTCGTCTCTCTCGTATGATGTTCCGGACGCTCTCGGATCGCACAACTGGATTCGGTCATGTCAGTCACGGCCCCGACATCTGTGACTGGGAGGCAGGAGACCACGTCAACACACCTTCATCTTTACGGATGTACTTCAATGCGAATGACAAGCCGGTATCCTTCCTTTCGACAATTCGGACCTTGCCAAAGGCACCTCGGCCAACGACGCGAAGGAGGCGAAAGTGGTTTAGGTTCGCTGCTAGGAGAAGAGACCGAAGATCGGATCAGCGGTCTGCACGGAGCAATCGTGGTCAAAAACAGCTGGCTCGGCAGCTGCATCACGGCACAGGAACTCTCTCACCTTCACCGTCGAACTCGACGGGCTTGCCCTGACCGTTACCCATGGCCGCTGAGTGGCTGGGGAGCTCTCAAAAAAGGGCAGGCGAGTTGTCGATGCGTGGAAAAAGAATCAAGGTCCCAAGCGAAAGCACAACGTCCCCATGCCCACTGCTGTGCGTGAAACAATTGCTGGCTGGCAATCCTCGTTCTTCGGAGAGTGGAATCTAAGATTGACCCACAAGCGGGCCTTGGCACTTGGTAGAGCGAGGCCACGAGGAGCCTAGAAGCGTACCGATGCCGGATACCCAGCAGCAGTGGTCTCGCGATGTCTTGGGTCGGTGCGTCAAAATGGGGTCTTTGGTGATGAGCGGGTCGGGGCTCGAGAAGGTGCAATCTGGGTGTCGTGGGGTCGCGGTGTATGTACCAAGCTCCTGGTGCCTCTAGAGTGCAGATGCACGAGTGCGGGACTGAGGGGTATCAAAACGAGCAGACACTATATCTGTAGAGAGAACACAATCAGGAACTAGACGACGACGAGATGACCGAGACAACCGCGGCAGCAAAGGCAATGCGGAAGATAGATGATAGTAATCAGCAACCAAGCCGTATTTAAGGGGGCCAGTGCGGTTTGGGGGTGTTCTTAAACGACGTGGGCTATTACCAGGGGGCGAAGTGCCTGCCAGCAATGGAGCAAGGAAGTCGAAGAGAGCGGAGGCGGTCCGTGGTGGAGGTGGCACCGAAATGGGTTCCATGACTGGGCTGCGCTGCGCGCGTGGTTGCGGTGCGGTGCGGTGGGTACCACTAAAAGAATATGTACTCGGCAGGGAGCTAATGTACCGTTCTGCCCTCTTCCGTATTCTTTGCACTAATACCCCCCAGCCAGCTTCACCTCCACTCCATGCCATTTTAGGTCGCGGAAATAAAGAAACAGGGAGATCAGGTTTCCCGAGCTGATCACCGGCTGCCTGGTCAGGCAAAACGGTATACGTATTCTACGGGCGACACTCGCTTCATCGACGACGCCCGTCCATTTGTCCCAAACTCCAAGGCTCTCTCTCCCCTTAAGAGGAGGACAGGGCTGAGTGAGACAGACAAGGCAGCCCAGATTGGCTTGGCAGCCTAGGAACTAACGCCCCAAAACCATGCGCGCACGCAGCATCCATTGGAAATGGAACCTGCAATGCTCATGGGCGCAACACCGACAGATCGGTTGAATAATCTACTTCGACATCCACACAGATGCCACCTCCGCATCTTCGATCGATCAACAGTCTAACGGACTGTACGGGTCCTAGCCGGTAATCAAAGCCACATGGTCTTGGTGCGCGCGTTAGCTCTCGCCCGTCGCTTGCGTGCAACTTTTTTTTTGTGCAAGGTGATATCGGCAACAGGAGCTGACACAAAGATCTGCACACCCCTTGCGTGCTATCTGCGTGGCCTCCGCGTGCGTGGATGGCGAACAATGGAACCTGATCCCAGCGAAACTCACCATCAAAGAGGTTCGCCAACGCTAGCGTCAACACCCATCACCCCAAATCACCGGCAGTCATCCTGCAATCTGGGCTGTCCTCGGCTCGTCGACCGACCAAGAGTTTTCTTCAGAATTGATGCGCTATCGATTGTGATTCAAACGACCACCACCTATTCGGTGACCCAGAAATATATATGCTGTGCATTTAGTTTAACGGAAGTTGCTGAGGATAACTCCCAAGCTAGGTAGCCACCCTTAAGACTTGGATGCCTAGGTGTTCAATGCGAGGTGTTTGGCGTAGAAAAGGGGCGAATGAAACCCGAGCGCCCTCACACTACGTTAGGTTATCTAGGTGACCTTATCTCTTGCGCCTTGCGCTCAATCAAACACCTACCTCGGTCACCCCTCCCGCGACAGGTCCATCGACAGCTTTCTTCATTGTAGGTGCCATGGATGATAGGTCATCTTGCCATTGCTAGGGAGTCATCGGCGGAAACAATGTTGAATTGATGCCGGCGAAGTGAGTCGCCGAGATTGCGTGCAAAAGGTAGGTGACGTTTCTGAAGCTGTCGCCTGGCCATCGCTATCCGTGGATGTAGGAATGGATTTTGGAATTTCTGCGCGCGCATGGCACCCCGGCCCCAAACGGGCTGAAGATTGCCAAATCCTTGCCAACCCACGTGTGAAGGGCGTTCTGGCGCGATCGCTTGCCGCGCCCAACTGACCCATCGTTGTGGCCCTCATCGTAGCCAACAGTTTACGTACTGTACAGTGGTACACGGGATGCATCCGGCGCGCGGAAAACACGGCCAATTCCGAAAGGAGGGTTGTTGGCAACAAGTCCCCGGTTTGCCAATTGCCCGGAAGTTACCCTAGGGTGTTTTGGCCTCTAACTAAAGCGCCCGCTGACCCGTCTGCATTACCGAGTAAGCCAGCTGAGCGGCACACCTCAGAGGCTCGTTTGACACGCAGGAGGGACAGATGAAAAACGAAAGAAAGAAAGATCTTTAGCGCACTTTCTCGTTTCTTCCGAGACTGGCTGGTGAGTCCGCCATCGGTAGGGTCGGTACCGCCAGGTCCAGAACGAACCAAAGTTCTGCGTAGCGGTAGCAATGCAGAGTTGCAGACAGGCAACGTTTGCATTCTATTCTGCACCGCGTGTGACTAACCCGCAACAGCTGAAACAAAGCGGTTGGATGGGCGGGGAGGTGCAGACAAGAAAGCTTCTAGAAGGCTTCCATCGCATATTCACCCCTCTAGCACCCTTGCTCCGCCGCAGTCCGTCCTTTGAACATCCCCAGAAACACGCCGTCCTCCCAAAGTCCCAATGCTTGATGCATGCAACAGGGGGACATGGACATTAATTGCTCGCCTACATATGCAGACGTATCAATATTCGCTACTTTTCTGCGCCAAATTGAGCCAACTGACACTCTTGCATCATCCTACCCAATCTCGAGCCAATCGACACAAGATATGGTCTGTCTATTACACACCGTCTCAACGCATAATAAGAAAGATCTCGGTGGCCGTGAGATTTGCTCGGACCTGCTCACCACCTTATCTACATTAGTACCAAGAAAAGTCTCGGGGTAAGCAAGCGCACGTGGAGGATCGCTGCATCTGATACGCAATTCTCCGCGCCGTGCCGCCACGCCGCCCTCCCCTCCAGGATAAGATGAAAGAGGTCATAACTCAATCGCATGACCTCACAGCCTAAGCACGTCCAGATCTCAAAGAACTCACCGCTTCACAGAGGCTGAAGTCCCTTGAGCCGCCAATTTGTTTAGCGGGCCCTGCTCACCATTTTCACGCCCCGGAGGTTCCACGGTCCCAACCTGCGGCTGATCGACATCGCCGTCAACCATGGTCCCATCCAAACATCCCACTCGTGGAGGGGAATAGAGAGAGGGGGGGGCGCCTAGGTGAGGTAGGCACATGCTCTTGAATGGGAGGCTGGACGAACTACACATGTAAGTGTGCCCGTACATGCAATCAAGCTGACACGTAATGGCCATACATCGCTCCCTTACCATCCATCGCCTACGGGGAGCGGAGCACTAGCTGTGAAACAACCACGCCATGTAAGGCCCAGCCGCTCTCAGGGACGTGTCTGACAAGATCTCGAGTATGTTTTCATCGTATATACATACGGGGGCACTATCGTCAATGTTTCCTGAGTTCGGAGATACCGTCAAGTTACATTCACTGGCGATGCGTGACGGTTGCAAACGCAACATTAATGTTCAAATCCTACTACGACTCTCGGGCCACGTATGGGAACGGAGAGGTTTCGTAGGGACGGCTTGTTTGTTCCAGGTGTGATCCGCCGAATGCGATTGTGTCTTTCCAAATAACGGCCATATTGTTATGCAATTACTACCTAGTCAATCCCAATGCACATGCTCAGTAGATTAGAGGAGAAAGATGAGGTTGGTCTTTGGAATTATTCTAGAAGAACCCCCCGTTTCTAGAGACTTAAAAGGCTAACCAATTGGGGTTACCTAAACTTGGAGACACTTTCCGGGAATACCGACTCGCTTGCGAAGAACACATCAATCACCGAGATTGTGACCAACAATTTTGGACCGACTAATTTAGAATCTATAGGTGCTATAATTGGTCTTAATGAGGGTGTTGATAATTTTGACAAGATTTTTGGAATTCGTCGTCCGTAGTTGCAGGCGGTCGTAATACTTACGGTAGGTACCTTAGTTTAGAGACCGCCAAAGGGCCACTTCACTCAGAGGCTGTCTAATCAGTACTGAACCGCCAACGCACACTTGAAGACTTCTTTAGAGTATTAAACCCTTGGGCTTGTATTTCAGCTAAGTTGATGATTTTAATCAACCTACTAACTTGCTCAGCTCAGACATGTTAGAAGACAGTCCAAAATCGCAAATGCGAGGAGTAGCGGTCATTCCGTGGGAGGTCCCCGCTGTAAGGTCCCCACTAGAGGGCAGCTGGACTAGAGTGAATCCGTCTCCCGCTCATCAATGACGTCACATAATTGGGCAATATCACCAGCGTCATGTTCGAGCTCTTATTGTTCTTTACAGCACGTAAACCTACCTTGAAGACAGATTCTACACCCAATTGCCCTATGACGCTCCCTACATGGGAATTACCTCACAAACGAGCGCAACCCAAGACTCGACGTCAAGCAAATAAACACCGATTCGCCGCCGACAATGGCTTCCACGCTCCTCCTCCCGGCCCGGGCACTCGCACTCGCAGCGAGAAGCACGCGCGCCGCCCCTGCAAGAACCGGCTCTCTCGCCGCCACCACCACACTAGCGCGGACACGCCTGTACCACGCCACGGCAGCAGTGCGGTCGTACAAGGACGACCAGGACCGCGAGTCGCTCAAGCCGCGGCCGTCGGACAGCACGTGGAGCGGGTCGGACGACGAGGTGGCGGCGCACAAGGAGGCGTTTGACGGCAGCGTGACGAACCCGGAGCAGGAGCAGGCGAGCATGGAGGAGGAGGCCGGCAGGGATGGCAGCGGTGGTGGTGGCAACCCGCTCGACGCCAGCGGCGCCAACAAGGGCTTCTCGAAGCCGCCGTCGGGAAGCCACCCCGACGGGCCCAACGCGAAGCCCGAGAAGCGCACGGCCAAGACGGGCCACGGCGGCGCCAAGAAGCACGGCAAGACCTCGGCCACCGGAGCGCCTTGAGAGGGCTGCTTGCTGGTGCGACCACGCTCGCAAGGGGGGCTGTTAGGCTGGTCGCTTTGTGCTCACTATGGGGGATGGCGTTTTACTATGTTTACTGCATGAGGCCGCGCATTGAATGGGAAGGGCGCTGCTTTGAGATTGCTGAATGGTCAGGAAGGACCTGGTTCATGAAAGTGAGTCCTTTTTTTCGTCTTCTGAAGGCCGCCGGCATTAGATTGTATTGTACATACAAAGAGATAATTCGGGAATTTTCAGTATCGTCACAACATACCATCTAATACATAGGTTGCCCCGGTGGTTTATATTTGGAGACACATCACCTCAACCGCGCAGTTGGTGTTGTTGCCATACCCCATACGTATTCATAGCAGAGGGGAAACTCTAGGAACATCAAAAACAAACCTGTCAGCGCAGACGATATATTAAGGCCATTGCTAGCACAGCCTAGCTTGATTCATTTTGGCATTCATAACTTTCTTTCGGTTCACGCATAAAGGCCGTCCATGTCGTCTTCCTCCTCCTCGTCCTCATCCTTCGTCGGCACCACCTCCTTCTTGTCCAATTCCTTGCGACACAGCGGGCAGGTGCCTTTGCTACGGAGCCAGGGGCCGACGCAGTCAAGATCAAAGCGGTGGCTGTGGTGGCACGGAAGCTCGACGACCAGGCAGTAGGGGTCGTCGAGGTAGCGCTCGGCGCAGATGGGGCAAGTCGCGTCGTCCTTGAGCGTCTTGCGCGCGACCCGGTCCAGCCCGTCGACGAAATCCTGGCTGACGCCCGTGATGCGCGACGGCGGGTGCGCCACGTCCTCATCCAGAATCTCGACCAGCTGCCGTAGGAAGTCGCTGTTCGCCTGCGTCGGCGCCGTCGTCGCGAGCGTGCCCATCTGGTCCTGCACCAGCCGGTATAGGGCTGCTAAGTCGACTGGGTTCGCTACCGCGTGCGGGTTGTTGTGCTGTTCTGCTGGTGGGCCGCTGACGGCGCTGCCGGAGGAGGTTTCGGGGACGATTTGTCGTAGGTGCGCATCGAACGTCGACATGTCTACCTGCCGCCGCCGTGGCCCGCCAGATGCGCTGGGCGCCTTGATGTTATGCTCGACTGAACCGCGGCGAGGAGTTATGTTAGCCAGGCAATCTTGGGCACGTTGTATGGCTTGGAAGGTATAGGTTGCGCAGTCATTGCAGATGAGGTTGAAGCTTGTCTAGTGCAAACAGCTACCGCGGTCTGGGAAATCAATAGCACCCTGTAACTCAATGACTTACTTTCATATTGAGTTGCCATTATAACCTTGGGTACCTTGGATATTTGCTGAGCAGTATTTTCGAGGAATCAACGACTGGCGTAAAAAGTCCTGTTCAAGTTGTCTGGTTGTCTGGTTGTGCTTACTTATGGTTGAGGTGCTCAAGCTGGACGGCCTCAAGACGAACCCCTCCCCCCTTCCCCAGGTTCAGGCACACTCTCAGTGACGCGGAGCCCGCGTTGCCCCAGTAAGCCGTCCCGGTGTAAAGCGGTGGTCAGTGCGTCCCCGGGGCGTGATGTTGCCAATCCCGGTCAGCAAATCACCATGCGAAACAATCTAGGTACGGAACTGGTATTTAAAAGGACTCTCCATGATCTTGATTTAGGCTGACGGATTGGCCCAGCTTTTCATCCGGTGAAGTCATGTCCTTGACGGCCTTTGTCAAGCTGCCGTTATTTGCTGGGCCTTTGCCTCTGAGCTATGGCCGCTATGCGCTAGACGCTAGGGCGCAGACTGAGGTTGGCAACTGCCCTGCCTGTTCCTGTCGAGCTCAAGTGGGACTTGACAGTTGGCTGTTAACCGTTCTTTTGACGAATCTGTCTTAAGACCTCTGATTTGAGCAGTTTCAGGTATGCGCATTGGGTCGTATTTTGCTAAAGCAAGGCACGTATTCCCGAGGGGGCGGTCCTCTTCGTCCCATTGCGAACTCAGTCTCAGCTTGTTGGGTCGTCCGTCCCCCTTCCAGCAGGTTGTTGAGTGGCATGACATCATTCTACATTCACAGCCGTACACGTACAGTACAGCAACATCAATAACGCATATAATTCGTACTGTTGCTCGGCCTTCAACAAAGGCGGCACTTGCCAGATTTTATATTAACAAGAACGTAGAGACTTCACCTGTCCCAGGATACTCAAGGGAACAGCACCCCGTTTCACTTTTCACACAACCGGGGAATACCATCAGCCTCTGAGAAGGGTCTATAAGGTGGTGATTGCCAGTCAGCAAGGCCTCCCTAGACAACAATGAATACGGCATCCGTCGGGCTAGCCGTCACGCCAGCGGTGGTGTCGACGTTTGTTTCGCACGTAAGTACCAACGAGTGCAGTGAGCTTGAATAGAAAGGCTCTCTGTCAATGAACCAATGGGCATGCAGCAGTTACCTTGGCTCGTGATGGACACTTACACTACTGCAGTACCTGGGCAAGAACTCCCAACCGCACAAGCCTACTACACATATATCGTACGATGAGGGTCTGCATCTCATCCGCTCTTTTCTTGCATATGCCTCGCGCCACACCGTCGAGGAAGTGCAGGCTTTCACAAGCCAATGGGTGCCACACCCCCAATGGGTCAGGGTCGACGAGGTGGAGATCCCCGACCATCACCTGTCGCGCGCCGCCGCCCTCGTCGCCGACCAGCTGGGCCCTGATGGCATCCGCCGCGTTGGCGGGACCCAATGGTGGCAGTGGCGCAAACCTCGGAGCCCTCTCAAGGCTGAGTGGATTGAAATGAAGGCCGATTATCACGAGCGCAAGAAGAACTCGGACCCGGGCAACCGTGTCATGCTCTACGTGCATGGCGGTGGCTATTATTTTGGCAGCGTCGACGAGCACCGCTACCAGATCCAGCGCCATGCCCGGAAGCTCAAGGCGAGGGCGCTTGCCCCTCGCTACCGCCTAGCACCGCAATTCCCATTCCCATGCGGACTGCAGGACTGCTTGGCCACGTACCTCTTTCTTCTTACATGCCAGGAGCCCAGCACCATCGTGTTGGCCGGCGATTCGGCCGGCGCCGGCTTGGTGGTGTCGCTGCTGGTGATCCTCAGAGACAAGGGGCTGCCGCTGCCAGCGGGTGCAGTTCTGATAAGCCCCTGGGTCGACCTTACGCACTCTTTCCCGAGCGTGGCTGGTGACTGTCCTTTGGATTACATTCCTCCATCTGGATTTCATCACAAACCATCCCGGGCATGGCCTCCGCCCGATGAAGAGGTGCTTGAGCAGATAAAGAAGACAGCGATATCACAGAAACAGGATATCAATGCCACCCAAGACAAGTCCTCAGACTCTGGCCTCGGTATTCTAACCGTTACGGATGTCGCTGATGCTACTACACGTTTATCGCTCCTCATCGACGGCAAGCGAGTCGAGATCAAAGAGCAGATACAGGTGAGCCCAGTATTATTGCCGGCACAAAAATCTTCAGGTATGCTGACGTCGATTTCAGATATACACCACGAACGATCTGCTCGCACACCCGTTGGTGAGCCCCATCATGCAGCCGACGCTAGGTGGGCTTCCGCCGCTGCTAATTATGGTGGGAGGCGGTGAGATGCTTCGGGACGAGCAAATCTATCTTGCGCACAAATGCGCGAACCCCGCGCGATACGCCCCGGTAGACTCCCTCATGGACGACCACGCCCGGGTCCAGCTCGCCCAGTTCAAGCCGACAGACGTTCAACTCCAAGTCTGGGACGACCTCTGCCACGTCGCACCGACTTTGAGTTTCACAGCACCGGCCAAGTACATGTACAGGGTAGGCAGTGGACTCTCTTACTGCAAATATCTCACATATCTAGATGCTGACATAACATAGAGCGTGGCGCAATTCGCCGCCTGGGCGCTTGCTCGAGCGCAAAACACTGGCATTGATATCCTTGACGATGACCAGATCTCGATCATCTCAAGTTCAAGCTCTTCGAGCAGTGACGAGCAGGAGCCGGTGAGTCTTTCCCTCCTTTATTTCAGTGGTGTTGGCTAAATATTAGCTACAGAAGAAAATGCAAGAGAAAAAGGAGGCAAAGAGGAAAGACAGAAATCCGCCCAAAGACGAAAAGAAGAGCAGTGTCGGAAAAGCCGGCGATCCACTCCCTCGTTTTCATGATCATATAATTCGCCAACGTGTCACTGCGCACGGTATAATCTACCCTCTTCCTCCCGCTGACGAGCTTCCTTCATGTTCCATGGCTCCCGAGTTGGTGGGCGTCATCAAAGTTGGCCCTGTCCGTAAGTGGATGGACCATAAGAAGCGATGGGATACGCGCTTCAAGCGGGCCAAGGCGAGTGTTCACAAGAAGCATATTAACGACATGGCCGTGGGATACGAAGTCTTTGGGGAGGGCGAAGTACCGCCGCCAAGCGCTCTGGCGGGACGCAGGAAGATAGGTGGCGGCGAGTTCGACAAGAAGAAAGAAAAGAGCATGGGCTTGTCTCTTTGGGCATTCTGGGGCTCCAAGCACGACAAGATGACCGTGGACCGAGCCAACGAGGCTGAAAAGGCCGACTACAAGGCTGCTACTCCTGGCGAGGGGCAGGGTGCCCGGACGTTTACGGACATCCAGAAACAGGAAAAACAGGCGGCGGCTCGCTCCAGGCGCCCTGCGCCGTTCTTTAGCAGGAACGGATCGTGGAGAATACTAGTCAAGGACGACAGGCAAATCGAGCAAGAGAATGAAAGTGACGAGAATGGGGATACCGCGCCTCCTCCTCCTGTCAAAGATGCCGCTCAGGCTGGCTCACGGGAAAGAATGAGCGAGGATACCCCATCGTCGTCGGCGGAGGCTGGATTTCTTTCCCCCGATGATGCACACGGGACCGGCATCACGGGGAAGCGGGCAATCATCGGCGGCCTGGCGACGCCGTTCAGCATGCGCAAGCAGGCTGAAACCGCGAGCATGATCACGCTCATGTCGCCGGCAGACCAGCTGTCCGTGCGATTAGGCACGCCGAGCTTGAGGAGTCTCGCCCTGACTGTACCGGCGAGCGAGGACAAGAACGTGGCCGGATCAGAACACCAAGAAGAGAGCCGAGTTGCTGGCTGTGTAGATGACGGCAAGGGATTGCCGCCCTTGCCCTCGCCGCTGCCCACTCCGGGACTGTCCACCCCGGGACTTCCCACGCCCGACGACAGGCCGGGGATGGAGAGGTTTTTCACGGCCGATGAGATGCCGCAGGCGAGATTATCGGCACAAGCGCGTTGAGAGGGGGTGTTCGTTGGTGTTTTTCTGATTTCCCCTCCTTTTTGGACATCAGCGCTTAAAGTAGATACCATGAGTGAGACTAATTACAACGTTATTGCCACTGTAGGGGCCTGAAGGTTATTGTTTTGATATATCATCGTCCTTAGGTCATCACAGAGACCTATCGTGCCCACTATATAGACCGGAGACTCAGGCCTATCTGTCACATACGACCATACCCATTGGAGAATTCGGGATCCCGTCCGCTCTCCTAGCGACAAACCAATGAGGGCCAGATCAGTAGTTGGGTCGGTGACGACCAGCGAATCCCTGGTGTTGTATGTTTTTTTTGCTTGTTGTTTGTTTCCTTTTGATATTTTTACCCCTTTTGTTCGTTATTATTTGCGTAATGGTGAGAGTCAGACGGCCGGCGGCGCGCGCCTGGGGCCCGGCGTGTTGGTACAGTATAGATATTTCATACATTGACTAATACAAAATCAAACACAGAGCAAAAGTGCTCCCTGTAACGCCTCCCTTTTTCTTCAAAAACGCCAACCTAGGGACTGAGGTGCGTGTGTGTGCGTGCCACCAGCAGCTCTCCCATATATATATATATGTTGTTGGCTGATCGCAGACACGCCCTCGAGTAAATGAGACTAGATCGCAAGCACTCCCTCTCCCTTCTTTTTATGTTACACACAGCAAGCAGGTCAGCCTTTGCACCGCTCAGTCTAGGCCGTTCTCGGACTTCCACCGCGACAGATAGTTGGCCGGGTTGCGTGGGCCGTTGGCGTCGTTGTACACGCCGTATGTCGGGCGCATGTTGTTGGTGACGAACGGCGTGAGCTGCAGAATGGATCGGGCTTTGTTAGTACTGTGGTTTGGTGTATAAGGGGGCTCGGCTGGGTGCTCGTAGCGACTGCGCTTTTATTTCTCTGCGTGAAATTGGCTTGTTGTGGTTGGAGGCTGACGACTGACCTTGAAGCCCTCGAGCGACGGGCACACGTATGTCCGCACCCTGCTCCACTCGATCTTGTAGCCACCGTACTTGGTGTGCCGACCCATCGCCCCTGAGCCCGTGCCCTTATAGAAGCCCTTGTTGACGTCCTTGGTCGTCAATCGCAACTTGCGATAGCGCATGCCCAGGAGGGCGCGCGTCGGCTGCATTTTTACTGCTGGTTTAGGATTTGTGGCCTTGTTGACGTGTCTATTTCAGTTGACGAGGATGTCGATGTCACCGGTGCGCTGGTGTGGGGGATTGGTCAATACCTCTCTTTGCCCGGCCAAATGTCGTGTCGTGGGCGGCGGATAGACGTCGAGCTCCGGGAAATGCGGCAGCATCGAAACTTCCCATGCTCCAAAATCGACCCCCGTAGCGCCTCCAAGCCACAGCGGCCTCGCCCCGCAATTCCCGCGCCAAGCAGATCACCCACTCTCACCGCCCAGAATTTATAGCGATTTTGCACCGGCAGAAAAATAAATTATTTGAGGCCGGCCTCCGGTTGAGTAAGTATAGCTCGGACCCTTGACAAGGCCGCAAATCCGCTCGACATACCACACCCCCCTGAACTCGCCATCATGCCTGGACGCCAAGCTCACGGAAGGCTGCTGCTGCCTTCGAGCTCCGGCGGCCCCAAAAAACCGGCGAGGAACATGAAGAGCTCGAGGGCTAAGGCTACATCCAACGCCCTCGACGCTTTCGCCAGAGCCTCGGAACAGGTCACAGAGCGCATGCCCAAGGGCGTGCGGACACGGGATATTGAAGAGGAACCCGAACGCCCCCAAAAGAGGCCACGTGACAGAGACGAGGACGACGACGAAGACGACGACGGGGATGAGGACGACGACGGAGATGACGACGAAGTGCCGCTCAAAAAGAAACCCAGGAAGAACGCCGGCGAGTTTGACGGCTTCTCCGGCGCTGGAAGTGACAGCGATGGTAACGAGTGGCACTTTGGCGTCGGCGAGGGCGAGGACTCGGACATTGATTCCGAGGAGGCCTTTGGCGACGACGACCACGAAAAGTTTGACGGCTTCTCTTTCGGCGGGACAAGCTCCCGGAAGAAGAAGGCAAAGGCCGAGGCGGAAGAGGGCGACGATGACCTCGAATCCCTGGGCTCGGATGCAATTGACCTCGCCCAGGCCTTGGACCAGTACTCCGAGGACGACGAGCCCGCAGCCTCCGGTCACGGTTCAGGTTCTGAGGACGACGACGAGGGTTCAAGCGACGAGTCCAGTGAGAGCGACGGGGATGACGAAAGCGACGACGAGGACGACCCATCGAAGTTAGGTTCTCTACAAAACGTCGTTGCCAGTTTCGGGCCTAAAGGCGACGACGAAGATGCCGACATGCAAGATGGATCGACATCCAGGGCCAAGCTCAGCTTGAAAGACCTCGGGCTCTTCGGCGTAAAGGACGCCCATATTAAGAAGTCGCTGAGGCTCATGAACAAGGAAGAGAAGGCTACCAAGCCAGGCTCTTCCAAGAAACTCGAAGTTCCCCTGGCACAGCGACAACAGGACCGGCTGTTACGGAGTGCCGCTTACCAGAAGACATCAGAGACGCTAGAGAGGTGGATTGATACTGTCAAGCACAACCGGCGGGCAGACCATCTCATATTCCCTCTCGCGCAGAATGCACAAGACCGCGGCCTCGACAACGCTGAGCTCCAGCCCTTGGACCAGAAAACCTCTGGCACAGAGCTCGAGCAAACTATCATGGCCATCATGGAGGAGAGCGGTCTCGGTCCGAGCTCTAAGCCTGAAAAGAAGGACGGCGAGATTCGTGCTGAGGGGGCTGGCTTGTCAGAGGCCGAGGTCAAGGAGTTGCAACGACAGCGCCGAAGGGAGAGAGAAATGCACTCTCGTGAAGCAGCGAGGGCCAAGCGTATCAAGAAGATCAAGAGCAAAGCATATCGCCGCATCCACCGCAAGGAGGCTTTCCATGATGCCGCAGCCCAACACGAAGCTCTCGCTGCCGCGGGTGAGCTCGACTCGGACGAGGAGCGCGAAGCCCAGGAGAGGAGGCGGGCCGAAGAAAGAATGGGTACTAAACACAGAGAAAGCAAGTGGGCTAAACTGGGCAAAAAGGCCGGACGGGCGGTTTGGGATGAAGACTTTCGTTCTGGGCTTGGCGAGATGGCCCGGAAGAACGATGAACTGCGGCGCCGTGTCGAGGGTCAGACGAGAGGCTCAGACGACGAGAGTGACGACGGCTCGGATGAGACAGCCGACTCCGGAGATGAGGCCGGAAAGCTCCAGCTTCTAGCGCAATTGGACCGCGCGGAAGCGTACGACGACGACGAGCCCCGTTCCGGCCTCATGAACATGAAGTTTATGCTTCGCGGCGAAGCGCTACGCAAAAAGGAGAACGACGACCTGGCTACGCAGATCCGCCGCGACTTGGAGTCTGGCAGCGAAAAGGCAGATTCGGATGCTGAGGAGGCGGATGTTGGTCGCCGGCAGTACGGGATGGGCAAGGAAGCCACGGATACGAAGGCAGCCAACCCCTTTTCAGACAAGGAAACCCGGGATCCGTCAAAAGCGGAACACGGAGCAACTTCAGGGAGGGTAGGCGGCATGAAACTTAACGCAATTACATCACAGGTGCAATCCCTTCCCGAACCCGAGTCTCCGCCTCCTACCGCCCCAGGTGCCGCCGGGGCTTGGTCGGTGGCAGCAGCAGATGGAGGACGTAAAAGCAAGAGGAAGATCAAGGCTAAGGTCGACGAGCTTGAGCTTACGGATTCTGCGGTGCTGGCAACCAGACCTTCGAAACCAAAAGCCAAGCAAGCCGACCAGACTAACGACGCTGACGGCTTGAGTGATGAAGATGCTGTGCACCTTCCGCTTGCGATTCGAGATCAAGAGATGATCAAGCGTGCTTTTGCGGGCGAAGACGTGGCGGGCGACTTTGAGCGCGAGAAGGCCGAACTCGAAAAGGAGGAGGACGACAAGGAGATTGACAACACGCTCCCGGGCTGGGGCGGCTGGGTCGGTGATGGTATCAGCAACCGCGAGAAACAGCGGCACAAGGGCAGGTTTATCACCAAGGTCGAGGGTGTGAACAAGAAAAACCGCCAGGACTTTAAGCTGAAGGGCGTTATCATTGCCGAGAAGCGAGTGAAAAAGGTCAGCCCCGTCCGCGCTTTTCATATCCTCCTCCTTGTCTGCCTACACATACCGGACACGATGCTGACATTCCCAACACAGAACGACAAGTACCTTGCGTCGAGCTTGCCTTTCCCGTACGAATCGCACCAGCAGTATGAGCGCTCACTCCGGTTGCCCGTCGGACCCGAGTGGATGACCAAGGAGTCGTTCCAGGAAGGGACCAAGCCCCGCGTCATCGTGAAGCAGGGCATCATCGCGCCAATGTCGAAGCCGAGGATTGGATGAGACAGGAATTCTGCAGCATAAGGGTTTCGGGGTGTGCGTAGAGGGGTTGGCTTCTTGGCACGTGGGATTGTATATATGCATGATTAGACGCAACATATAGCGGATAATGTGACGTCGTTCGGAAAGCTCCGTACTTGTGTTTTCTGATCGTTGTTGGAAAATGGTTTATGTGATCGTTCCCTAGTGAATATATAGATCGGACGAAAGAAGCAAAAGTGGCTTGTATCTGCTCAATTTAAAGGGGTCGGTAAACATGTACATTACAACCTACGATCAGGGGCAAGTCCGAAGAAACGAGCCTTTTCAGTACCAGCCATGAAATTGGAGAATGCTATCCAAAGAACACAAGTCGACGGTATTTACATGAACAAATTCACGCTGTGAATACTTTTTGCAGCTGCGCTCCCATACTCGCCGCACCGCACCTCCGGAACTTGTCTATAAAAGATCTCTTCTTCCCCGCCTTTTTTTGCTGACGAAACCCCGATAGAGAATAAACAAGGCAACAACGTGCTGGATATGAATCGGTATATACACATATACACATATACACATATATATATGCATGTGCGTGTGCGTGTGCGTTTGTGAGTAAGAGTATGAGGTGGGATGTAGAGTAAATGTGTCGCCCAGCAGTAAGGTAAGGCATCTCTGCTCATGAGCCATTGACGACGAGCTTGCCCTCGGTCTTCTCGAGGTACTGCACCAGGTCCTTGATGGTGCAGACGCGCAGGCCCCAACGGCGGGCAAAGGCGACGCAGGCCTCGCCGCGCATCATGCCGGGCTCGGCGCGCAGGGCCTGGCCGGGGACCTCGGCGCCGTCCTCGACGAGCTCGCAGATGGCGGCGGCGGGGCGGCGGCCGGCGAGCCGGCACAGGTCGACGGCGGCCTCGGTGTGGCCGGGCCGCTGGCGCACGCCGCCGAGCTTGGCGCGCAGCGGGAACACGTGGCCAGGGCGCCGGAAGCTGGCGGGCGTCGAGCGCGCGTCGGCCAGCGCGCGGCAAGCCAGCGCGCGGTCGTGCGCGCTGATGCCCGTCGTCACCGACGCGTCTGCCGCGTCCACCGACACCGTGTACGCCGTCGTGCGCGGGTCCTCGTTGTGCTCCACCATCTGCGGCAGCTGCAGCTCGGCTGTCCGCTCCGGCAGCACCGGTGCGCAGATCAGCCCCGAGCTGTGCCGCACCATGAACGCCATCTGCTCCGTCGTCACCGACTCGGCCGCGATGATCAGGTCCGCCTCGTTCTCCCGCCCCGGGTCGTCGAGCACCACGACGAATTGGCCATCGCCTGGTGAGGGGTTAGCTTTGCATGGTATCTTTGTATGGTTCGTCTCTGGGAACGAGGGGGAGGCAAGACGTACGGAATGCCTCAATTGTGTCGGGGATGGTGTCAAACTGTGACTGCGCAATTTGCGACGAGGGAGAAGTCGAGGAAGGCATGGCTGGGAATCTGTAGTGTTGGCTTGTCGCTGTACAGACGGAAGAGGCGCGAGTGCAACAGCTAGTTTCGGGCAGCTTTGATTTAAGATTTGGAGAGAAAAAAAGTTGGAGGACCGGCTGGATGCGACCTCGGCAGAGGTTTGGAGCCGCTTTCAGGCGCAGTCGCTCGTCATAGAGGGGTACCGAGTAGGGTGGGAATTGGAAGTATTAGGCGATTAGTTTGGGAGAGCTCGTCTTTATTCAGCGTCCTGATGAATGGCTGTCTGGTGTCAATTCGAATATTGGTCGAGATTGGAGATTGTGCTGAGAAAGTCGCCACAGTACAGCCTCTTGAGAGTCGCGACAGTTTGGGGGTAGGTCCCGTAACTTACGGAACCTTCAGGAAATGCAAAGCCCCTCGGCGGCGTCGGTTGAAGTGGGGTCGTTCCCCAAGGTATGGATGCCGGATACCGACGGGAGGGGGACAGCTCGGACTCACGATCTTCAACTGTGGTCTGAACGTCAAAGACTGTGGACAATTGAAGGAGATTCAAATGAGATATTCTCGAGAAATTATTGCTAGTTATTTGCGTCCGTTCGTAATAGCTCTCATCCCATTTTTTTTCTTGATTACTGTGCGCACAGTTCAGAGTCGGACATGACAGACGCTTACAAACTGATAATCATCGAGGCCACCTGGCCAGGCCTGTGATCGGGTCTCGGCCTGCAGGGTTCTCTCGCGGGGTAAAATGGCACACAGGGGCGGGAACGGCACACAACGCTAGAATCCTTCTCGAACATCCTTGCAGCCAGCGGAGACCGGGCGGCCGAAGCAACCCGCGCGCGCGTGGACGCCAAACGTTTGGGCCAATTCCTCAAAGAGGGAAAAAAAGCCCCCGAACCAAGCTTTCGGAGCCGTCCCATCCACATCCGGGCACCGCGCGGCAAACCTCCGAGATGCGGCCGTCACTCCTGTTGCCCAAACACACCCCGACACTTCTCCGGCAGCAGCAGCAGCAGCAGAATGTGTCGCGGGGCGTTTTCGGCTGCACTGTTGCTGCTCGGGAGCAGGGACACCACCCCCATCATCACCAGCAGCTGCAGCTGCAGTCGCTGACGAAGCAGCACAACTCCGCCTCTTCGTCGCGCCTCTTCTCCAGCACAGCAGCTACATCAACCACGTCCTCGTCCTCCACTTCCTCTGTCAACGCCGACGAGATATCGCACTTCAGTGCCCTCGCCTCGTCATGGTGGGACCCGCACGGCCCGTCGCGGCCGCTGCACCTGATGAACCCGCTGCGGCATGACTTCATCGCTGACTGTCTTGCCTCGTCGCCCGAAGCCGCCACACCACTATCACCGCCGGCGGCAGCAGGGACCCAAACAAGAGGCCTGCGCTACCTCGACGTCGGGTGCGGCGGCGGCATCTTCGCCGAGAGCGCCGCCCGGCGGCCCGGCACGCACTCGGTGACGGCGATCGACCCGTCGGCGACGATCCTGGGCGTGGCGCGGCAGCACGCGCGGCGAGACCCTACCCTCACCACCGGCACGCCCGCAGAGCCCAAGCTCCAGTACCTCAACGCGTCGATCGAGACGCTCCCGCTGCCCGCGGCGCCGGAGCGGCTGTTCGACGTGGTGACGCTGTTCGAGGTGGTCGAGCACGTCGACCGCCCGGCAGCGTTCCTCGACGCGTGCGGCTGGTTCGTGCGCCCGGGAGGCTGGCTAGTGCTGAGCACCATCGCGCGCACGTGGACAAGCTGGCTCACGACCAACGTGCTGGCCGAGGACGTGCTGCGCGTGGTGCCGCGCGGCACGCACGACTGGCGCAAGTACATCAACGCCGACGAGCTGCGCGCCCATTTTGAGGACGGCGCCGTCGACGGTGGTGATAGGAGGAGGGCGGCTGATTGGGCGGCCGAGCGGCCCGTGGTCATGGGCGTCGTGTATGTGCCCGGCCTGGGGTGGAAGAAGGTCGGCGGGAGCGAGAAGCTGGGGAACTACTTTTTCGCGGTGCAGAAAAGGGATGTTGTTCGGGACAGACAGAATAAAATAAATAGGAATTGGGGTGTTAGACTGTAGATTGTGTGAGCATCTGTATCTGTATCGTATGGGTGGCTAGCCATGTAAAGATAGAGCAAAAGTTTTTCAAAAACCCTAAGGTGAAGAAGGCGAAGAAGAGAGGCGATGGAGGAAAAAGGCCAGTGGGCCATTGAAATATACAGTAATATCAAATATCACGCTATACCAGTTGGTCTAATGTACAACACCGCAATGGGGCTAAGATTTACACAGCATGGCAAACAGACCGTGGTCACCCGAGCCTAACGGTCCGCCACAGGCGCAGACACTCCTGGAGATCAACCGAGAGCGTGCCCTCGAGGGCTATGGACGAGTCTTTGATCATGGCCACGAGGACCGTAGCCTGCGCAAAGACGGCAGCCTGACCACCATCGCCGCCTTGCAGGTCCTCCTGCAGCGCCGCCATGTCCGACTTGCGCATGCCGCCGTTGTCGGCCCACGACTTCCACAGGTCCAGCATGCGGCACAGCGCCACCGCGAACGCCGCGTCCAGCACCATGCGGTGCAGCACCGAGCCCACGGCGTCCTTGTGCGTCGTCGCCGCCGGGAACGCCGACGGCTGGTGCCGCTTGAGCCACGCTAGCTGGTGGGCCGCCACCACCTTGTTGTCCCACTTGGGGCTCTGCAGAGCTTCCATGAGCCGCGTCTCGCGTCGTTGGTTCTCGAGGCGCATCTTGTCGCGCACTGTGGGTGGTGGAACAGGTTAGTTTCGTGGAAGGGTGGGAGAGTAGGAGATCAGGCCGTGGAGACAGAGGGGGAGGGGCTAGGACAAAAAAAATACATACTCTCCTGGAGCCGCTGCTCGTTCTCGCGCATCATCCTGTCGCGCATGGCCTGCGCCTTCTGGGCCGGCGGCATGCGCGACTCGGCGTCCATGGCGGCGCGCTGCTCGCGGCCGCGCCTCGCAAAAACATCGAGGGCAGCAGCACGGTCGTCGGCATGCTGCGTGGCCCACTCGGGCGTCTGCGCCTCGTCGACGACGCCGAGCAGCACGAGCACGCCGCACGGGACCGAGTCCTTGCGCGCGAACGCTATGACGTCGTCGGGGATCCGGTAGTTCCACAGGATGGTCTGGCTCGACGTCCCGTACGCCGTTGCCACCGACGCGAACCACGTCCCGTCCGTCCGCCCGCTGCGCGCCCGTATGTGGTCGATTGGTAGGCTGTCCAGCTGCAGCGAGCTCAGCAGCCGGTCCTCCTGCGCTAGCGCCGTCACGATGCCGTCGCCAGAGATCTGGCACGTTATGGGCTGCCTCTGAGATGACGAGGATGCGCTGGCCGCCGGCTCGTCGCGGTGCTGTTGGTTGTGGTCGGATTCCAGAGAGCGCTTGGCCATGCTTGATGTCTCTGCATCGAGGTCTTCTGCGACGACTTCTATTTCGTCTGCTGCAGCAGCAGATGGCGAGGCTTGTTTTTCGATGTTGCTCCCTGCCTCGTCCGACGATGCCGGTGGCGGCAGGTGCTGCGGCGGCGGCGGGGGGAGCCGCACCCAGTAAGGGGGGAGATCCTTGAAGTCACGCGTTGTCCATCGACTAGACCAGTTGGCTGCCAGGCTGAGGTGGCCATCGGAGCCGTCGAGGGGAGCAATAGTCAGCGACTTCTCGGTGCCGTCTGGGGACATGAGCAGGGCGCAGCCGACGGGTGTCCAGAGGCCGGTGTTGCGCAACAGGCGCCAACCATGGGCGTCAGGCACAGCGCCGAGGTCGAGCAGGTAGCTCACGAGCTCCTCAAAGGCGACCTCGACCTGGGGTTGACGCAGCTGGTCGGCATACTCGACGCGCTGGGTCTGGAGCCCAATGACGTTGGTGCGCCAGTTGAAGGTGGTCCAGCTGCCGCCTGGGATGGAGGACGGGTGGCGCGAGAGACTCCAATAGTCGTCGCGGTTGGTGAAGCGGTCCCAGGGGGTGACGGCGTACCGCGGCAGCTCCACCTCGATGACGCGGTTGACAACGTCGCTCCGGGTCAGCGCCGTTAGCCGGCTGTGCCTCAGGATCCGCTTGATCCGCGACAGCGCGCCGAGCGTCGCGACCGTATTGTATAAGATGGGCAGGACCCCGAGCACGGCCAGCGGAACGCCGATGTACCTGCGACATGTTAGTACTGGACTAGGCCAGTACAAAGGATTGCACTGCGCCAAAACCTACGTGATCACGTCGGTCGCCGACGGGCCGTTACTGTCCATGGCCTAATAAAGTACAGTATCCGTACTTTAATCTCCAAAACAAAAGACAACTAACGTTGAGGCACGGAAACCGCAGTTCGCGACTCGAGGTCCTCAAAGGTTGCATCAACGTCAACCGGCGACATCGAATGGGAGCCCCTTTTGTTCGCCTTTCCTTTTTTTTTCTGCCCCTTCAGCCGCAAGGCAAATCCGGCGTAGCGCTTCACTGTTGGAGTCTGGGCAAGGCTCTAAGCAGCCTTGACAGGGGCCTTGCAGATGGTGGCGTTAAGTTGTGATTTGATTTGCGGGGGAGAGGGTCTGAACAGTCGGCTTGTAGGCCACTGCTGTGACAGTCACTCGCGTTGACATGTTTGCGTCGAATTATTCCGTCCTCAGTATTCAGTATTCGGTGTAGATAGCCAAATGCTTGATTTTCGGACGAAAAGGGATACTCGTCTTGTACTTGGTGATCAACCGTTAATTGCCTGAAGGGAGCTTTTGTAGCAAGGAAGGTGCGAATACATGAATTGCGAATACCATGTATCCTGAGCAGGGCCTAATACCCCGGATACGGATCCCAGGCGCTTTTGGAGAACTAGGAGTTTGGGGGTGGTCTGTTCAAGTTCACGGTTCTTGGGCACAAACACCCCCAGCTGCTCTTCTTTTCTTGCTTCACGGGATCGGACAGGATTGTTGTAGTAGAGCAACAGGACGCGCCAAAGTCCAATAATCGATAGATTTTACGTAATTTCAATCGCAACGCAATTGCAACCTGGGCAAGAGTTTCAAGGGAATTAAACGCGGGATACAGCCGGGAACGACCTGCCTAACATCTTAACTTGCTTGCCTTGAGAAGCCCTGCGAGAAGCCGAGGCAGAGCCCGCATAAACCGGGCAGTAGGTTGCATTCTCTCCTACATTAACGATCCCGCCGAGCTGGTCTCTCTGTCAATGATTGGGTCTGTAACTGTATGCACTTCGTACGCCCTTTACCGTTCGTATTGCATGCACAATACAAACTCGAATTCTAACCTGACTTCTCTTGCCTGTCCGAGGCCGCGTCTTTGAGGAAGGTCCAACTCAGAAGTTATCAACCAGCCACCTTCCCCCATTGCCCTCCCGGTTTCCTTTTTCTTCGCCTTTTCTGCCTCTTTTTGAGCCGTCGCATGTTTTAAAAAGAAAGGGCGTATACTATATATCAACAAGTCTTACGATTCCCATGCGTGCGCTGTCTTGTTTTGTTCCCTTCCTTGGGCTTTTTGTCTCTGAGCTGTAGAGCGCCATGAAGCGAGGCGCGTTAGCGCGCACACGATGCTCTCAAGTCGGCCATGCAGCCTCGGGCTGTCGCTGCAGCTGCTGTGGGTTCTGCTATCCTTCGCTCCACGACACTGCCTCGCCCAATTTGCGCCGTATGCGACAAATCTAACGACAGTGGTCTCTCCCGTCGACCCGCGCATCAAGATCTCATTCAAAGATCCCAAGGGCGCCTGTACGACGGCCTTTGACACACAACAGCAGTACACAGGCTGGGTCGAGGTGCCCACCCCGGACTTCCCGACCCACCTCTTCTTCTGGTTTGTGGCAGCCCGCGAGCCCACATCGGCATTGACCATATGGCTCAACGGCGGCCCCGGCAGCAGCTCCATGTTCGGCTTCTTCACCGAGATGGGGCCGTGCGAGGTGGTGGAGAGAGGCGCGAACCGGCTCGACACTGTGGCCAGGGAATGGGGATGGGACCGGGCTTCAAATATGCTCTTCATTGACCAGGTGGGTGCCCAAGGAAACGAGGAGATCTTGGATGACCCTAACACACAGTCTTACCTATAGCCAAACCAAGTCGGCTTCTCTTATGACACCCCCACCAATGCTTCGCTGGACTTGACCTCGGGATATGCTTACCGCCCTCCGCGGGATATCCCCTCGGACAGCTCGCCGTGGCTCTTTCTGAACGGTACCCTTCCCTCGAACAATGCGAGCAAGACTGCCAACACGACAGAGATCGCAGCCGTCGCCGTCTGGCACATGCTTCAAGGCTTCCTGAGCGTCTTCCCTCAGTACAACCCGCCTGGCGCCAGCGCACTCGGCGTAAACCTCTTCGCCGAGAGCTATGGAGGCAAATACGGCCCCGTCTTCGCCGACATGTGGGAGCAGCAGAACGACGTGGCACTCCAAAGCGGTAGTAGTAGCAGCAATAGTCCTGCAAATTCGACCCTAGTCATCCACCTGACAGCACTAGGCATCGTCAACGGCTGCGTCGACGACCTCGTTCAAGGTCCATACTACGCAGCAATGACCGTAAATAGCAGTTATGGGCTGAACATAATTTCCCCGGTGGCCGCCGCCCTCGCCAATGGATCATTCTATGAGTCGGGGGGGTGTCGTGACGCTATCATCGCGTGCCGCAACATGATTGCCAATGATAGAGCTCCAAATGCCGATGCCAGCCCGGTGCAAAACGTCAGCACCAACGGGGTCTGCTTTCACGCTACGTCAGTATGCAACAGGCTGCTCGAGCCTTATAGCAACTCGGGGCGGAGCTTCTACGATATTGCCCATCAGACACCCGAGTCCTTTCCGCCCAGCTATTATATCGAGTACCTAAACACACGGGCCGTGCAGGATGCCATCGGCGCCGTGGTTAACTACACGGACACGAGCCGGGCCGTTGCCCGCGCCTTTCAAAGGACCGGTGACTATGAGCGCGATGACACAGTGACCAGGCTAGCAGCCCTAGTCGCCCGCGGCGTGAGAGTCGGCCTCATGTACGGCGATCGCGACTACATTTGCAACTGGCTCGGCGGCGAAGCTATATCGCTGGCCATCGCCGCCGGGGTCGGCGGCGCCTACGCCGCAGCTTTCCCCGCTGCTGGCTACGCCCCCATCATCGTCAACGACAGCTACATTGGCGGCGTCGTGCGCCAGTTTGCCAACCTCTCCTTCTCGCGCATCTACCAGGCGGGCCATTTTGTGCCGGCCTACCAGCCAGAAACAGCCTTCCAGGTCTTTGCACGCATCATCCTCGGCACCTCGCTCAGCACCGGCTCACCGGCCAACCTGACCACGTACAACACCACGGGGCCCGCAAACGCCACGTCGTCGCTGCCGCTGCCCCCCAGCCCGACCGAGACATGCTATGTTCGCGCCCTTGACTCATGCGCAACCGACTCGGTCCAAAGTCTGCTCAAGGGGCGGGGCGTTGTAATGAACGGCGTGTGGTACGCAGCGTCGAGTGACTGGCCAGGCGCAAGCCTGGCGAGCTCTACCCCCGACGCCAGCGGTAGCGAGGCCACGCCAACTCCGTCAGCCTCGACCAGCGTGACTTTGACCGGAGTATTCACAGCCACCTCTACGCCGAATAGCAATAGTGCCACTGCGGTAGGAGCGTGCGGCTGGACAGGAGAGAGGATGATCTTGACAGTACTCGTGTTCATGGGGGCCTTATTTTTTGGCTGATAGACTTGAAGTCTCGGTTGGGAATTAGACGTGCGCTTAAACACCAGGATATCTTCTCGAGCCGAGGGTGCGTAAAATGGAGCAAAATAAAACAATGACATGACTGGTTAGGCATGGAGCGGCAACAAAAATTCACAGAGCTGACAAAAGGCAAAAGAAGCATGTATATTTCATATTTGTATTTAGATACCCAAAGCATGTGCTCGAAGGTGGCCAGATCGAACTGCCAGCAAGCTCTCGCGGTGCTTTCAAATACCCCTCCAAGGGAGACACGAAAGACGCAAAGAAACTACGGTTCACCTACCAATAACCTACCTAAGTCCGTCCATAAACACCAAGTACCGCTCAGGGTGCGGGCATCAGTGGCCAAACTGGACGTTCGAGTCTTCGATTGACTGCAGCACTTGATCGGATGTTAGCCTATACTCTCGCGACCATGGCAACACACATAGTGGATAGACATCTAATTCAGTTTAAATATGCCCTGTCAATGGCGGTTTCATCAAAGCCGAGGCTATGTAGACCGTCGTGATAAAATTTGATTCATCCTCGTAGAGTTGGGGGTGAAATGCAAAAAGGGCAGGGGGTGCTTACATTAGAGGCAGAGTGTTGAAATACTTGTGGGGTGTCGCTTATCACCGGGTGCCCAGATCTGTAGGTCGTTAGCATGATTTCCAGACAAAAGTGAATGAATGCAACGTGTGAGGCAAAGGATCAGAAATGACTTTGTCGTCTTCGCCGTAGCTCTGACATATGCTTGTCAATTTTAAAGGTCAGATCATCAGGGAATAGGGCCGGCAAGCGAAATTCACGGGATGTTGGAACACATACCAAGCACTGAACTAGGCCGCCCCCAACGGAAACAGAAGAACCGATGTTGTTCGATCGAGCCCTGCAGTACAATGTTAGCAGTGTTTCTCTGCCACTGTTATGCAAGGATATTTTCCATGTGAACAAGATCAGAATTGCATGAATGGTATATTAAGTATGTCTCTGCATCGGTGAACCCGGATAAGACTCGTCATCTAATAAATCATCATAAAGTAGGGGGTGTTGTGATATCACTACAAAAATAGACTTACACATTGGGCATCGAAGCTGTAGACAGGAGCACCTTCGTGATGTTGGTATAGCAAAGAGTCTGAGATGTACATTAGCGCAAGCACGATGTAGATGTGCAAATAAAAATGTGTAATAGGATGCTAATCAGTGGACGAGGTTTTCTAGGCCTGTCGCAGAAATGGCATATCTGCTCATATATTTATCGGAGCCCAGTGCCGTTTCATCAAGGAAGCGCTGTTGAGATTGGTATGGAGGACAGAAACTTACTCAAGTGAAGGCAGCGAACACAGCCAAGCGAGGACATAGAACTGTTAGGTATCTATAATTCTAGAGATACGGTCAGCAACTTGCACAATGCCAGGGAAATGAAGCGAGACAGTGTGAAGGCGATAGATCAGAAACAGCCATTGTTTTCCTCAAAGTATAAACTCAGTCGGTAATTCCAACCTGCCGAAGCAGAAATTGAATCATCACATAATTGTAAGACGAGAAATATGCGCGAATGTACTAACCTCACGGGCGCCGAGCTGGCGTTCGGCGGGGTTGGCATATCTCGTCAAGTAGGCAGCACCAAGATCGCGAAACAGCACGGCATCCCCCTCAGCCAGCCAATTCAAATGCAATCTTCGCCATGGATCCGTGTCTGGGTTTTCACTCGAAAGACAGCGGCGGGGACCTATTTCGCAATCTGTTAGCCATGCAACCATAAGCGTCCGAGACTTGTTCGCGCGACGAATTGACTTGTCGTTCAGACTGACGTTACAATTCTAGTTACATTTCCAATTTGGATCAAAGACTCTAGTTTGCGGTTTGAGTGTTGTCATCAGGAAAGATTGGGCTGAGCTATGCTGTGCAATGAGGGGAAGGTGCTTACCGGGTGATGTTGGAATGCGAAACTGTCGGTGTAGTTGGGAGTTGGAGGTAAAGATGAAAAAAAATTGAGCAGGTCTTTTTGAAGCTTGCAGATTGTGGAGCCGGCAAGAAAATCTAGCCTCTAGGGCGGGGTGGGGCAAAGCCCGTTGACTGATTGGGGCTGCCAGCTGCTATCTGCGTCACGTGTGAGCGCCACAGTTTCGCGTGATCCTGAATCCCCACCGCCTTTCCGTCTGACGCGTCGTCTTAATCCACTCTCTCGACTAATTGACCTGCTAGACACGGCCCGAATCCCCAACCCATCTTCCTTGTCCAATCCCGAGCATTGACAGAACGTACCAAACATGCCCGAAATTGCAGAAAGTAAGTCGCAGCTAGACAAATGGGCTCAATACGCGCGGTAGGAAGTACTTAGTAGACACACCGAATTGACATTTGGCCATCACATCAGTTGCGCGCGTTGTCCACTTCTTGCGCCTTCATGTTGTCGGCAAGACTATCACGTCTGCAGCCGCCCAGGAAGATGCGAATGTGTTTGGGAAAGTCGGAACTTCGGCAACCGAGTTTACGAAGGCAGTTAAGGGCAAGAAGGTGGGTTTGTTCCCAGGTCCCATGCGGATTACGAACACATAGGCTCCAGATCTCTAATCGCGATTCCACCAGGTCCTGTCGGCGGGGACTCAGGGGAAATACTTCTGGTATGTACCTTTCCCTTGCACCCAACGCTGTAGGCCGGGTAACTTACATGTCTCAAGGCTCGTTCTCGACAAGTCTCCGCATCCCGTGATGCATTTCGGCATGACTGGTTTGTCTACCTCCCAGGTTCAATCCGTATGCTGGCGGCTAATTTATCCTGCAGGTTGGATCCATATTCGCGGTGAAAAGACGGCATATACCAACTACTACAAGAAGATGAAGGCCGACGAGATGGATATCTGGCCGCCAAAGTTTTGGAAATTCCAACTAGATCTAAGCGGCGGCGCCCGGGGCAAGGAAACGGCCCAGATTGCCTTTACTGACCCTCGCCGCTTTGGTCGTGTGCGTCTTGTCGATTGCCCTGGCGCAGATATCCGAAAGTATTCGCCGCTGGTCGAGAACGGGCCAGATCCTGTCGTCGATAATGATGTCTTCACCGAGGACTACCTGAAACAGAAGATGCGATATCGTCACGTCCCCATCAAGGCCCTGCTCCTTGACCAGACCGTAATCAGTGGCATTGGCAACTGGGTGGGTGACGAAGTCCTCTTTCATGCAAAGCTCCACCCAGAACAGTACTGCAATGACTTCAGCGACGAAAGCATAAGTCAACTCTACAAGTCCATCCGCTATGTGTGTCAGCTGGCCGTCGACAAACTTGGAGACTCCGACGAGTTCCCGAAAGACTGGCTGTTCAACCACCGCTGGGGCAAGGGATCCAAAGGGGGCAGTCGACTCCCCAACGGCGAGAGGCTAGCCTTTCTAACAGTTGGAGGGCGGACAAGCTGTTATGCTCCCGATATCCAGAAAAAGAGCGGAAATGTCGCGCCAGGCATCAAGGAGGAGCCCCTAGAATCCGAGCCGGATACTTCAAGCCCAAAGAAACAAGCTAGATCCAAGGCGACCAAGAGTAAACAGGATCAACCTCCGATAAAAAGGAAGAAGGCAGTGGATGATGAGAAAGAGAAAGTGAAACCTGCAAAGAAGAGTAAACCCGAACCGACAAAGTCTTCGACACGTACCAATAAAGCCAAGGTCGAGGTGAAAACTGAAACGGACGTCAAGGTCGAAGCGGGCAGGCGGCGATCAGGAAGGCTCCAAGGAAATTCCGTTTGACCACATTATTTGGGCCATTAATCTGTCATACGAGCCACAAACAAACTGTTCTTCCTAAATTTCTGTCTGCCAAATATCGCTCTCAGCCGACCGCAGACCACTTACGACGAGATATCTAGGGCCAGGACACATTGTAGTTCAAGTGACAATCCTCTCCAGTCATCAAGATTTCATCCCGGTTTGCAAAACTTGCTTCTGGACTTGCTGGGTGCCATTCAAGGCTCCGACTCCACGTCCGGCGGAAAGGTTCCAAACAGGGCCATCATCTGTTTTACATCAGAAGAGGGGATTGGATTTCCATCTTTGGTTGCTTTGGCAATCATCCGGAAGTCTGGTCACTTGATTAGCAGCATGTTCGTCGCTGCCGGATGCAAACGACAGGGCTCGAAACTTACAGTCCACATAGTGCGCTTAACGATCAAACCGAGTCAGCAGACCCTAGAATGAACACTATTGGCCGTCTAGATTGGAATCCTTACCCGGCGTCGCGGTCATGTAGCACTCGCAACTTTCAGTTTCGGACGCATTCTTGAACGTGTGAATAGCCCGAGGTGGAACTGTCATCAGGTCCCCAGCTGAGGCGTCCACGTTGCCGTCGGGGGTTACGAATCGCATTGTCCCTATCTTTGGTCAACACCAAACTCTCAATCGACCACATTTGGGCCAACTACCTTTCGTCACCAAGAAGAGCTCGTCATGAAATCTGTGCCAATGCATGGGAGGCCCCGATGCCCCGGGCGGAATCTCGAGAAGCACGCCGCTCACTCGGTTCTCCGTAAGAGAACCATCCTCGTACACCCTAATGGTCATGGGGCCGACGCGCAGCGTTTCCGCGGCCTCTCTCTTGAATAGCTTCACTGGAACTGGACCTCGAGATGCCATTTTGCACGATCCTCGTTGGAGTTCTTTTTCGTGGCTAAGTTAAATATCTCTCGGGTCAGCCAACGGCGCCGTTCTTCTTTGTTCATTGCACTCACAAGATCCAAAGCGAGCAGACGTTAGTGAAACAGCATTGACGAACATGTACGTTTTGCCCCAAATATTTGATCTTGCATGCGTCGTTGGGGTTAGCGACAATGTCACGAGACTGTCCCGCAATATCTTTTCACGTGCTCAAGCTATCCCTTGAAGCTGCTGCACCATGTGGAAACAATGTCACCTTCCGATTGCTGCTCAAATCCGGCAAACGGTCTCTATCTTGGTCTATTTCTGGGCTGCACTTCGTCGTCTACGAAGCCGTTTTGCATCTGGGATTGTGCAAACCCTCTCAGGATGGCCTCGAAAAACGAACCTCCGATTAAGTTGGACGGGATTCATTTTCGCCGAATTCCATATCTTGTTGCCCCTCGGGGATCCCTTGGTCTCCAGACGGAAACAGGTTAAAAAAATTTTGCATCGCTCAAAGCCAAACCAAATAGAAGCTCGCGTGGGAGCTAAGGTGAGAATGAGCAGCTTCTTGAGGCTCCCGTCCCCGACAGCAAGACCGGGCATCCTCGGCATGCTCTCTTCCCGCAATACCCAGGCGAATAGAGATACGAGCGTCAGGCAGACTCGGCTTAGGGATCCTTCAAGATACGGTAGCGAACTTGGGTGGCCTGAGGCAGGTGGATGTAAATTTGGGGTTCGCTTTTGCCAAGGGTGCGGACTATCACTGCGCTCTCTTTGGGGAAGTTGTATCCTGCTCACGTCTGCCTCGTCTTAGTGCCGGCCCTTCTCGACATTTGGAGGCATGTCCAATATCCAGCGCATCTATCAACGGAAGGGCTTGACCCCGACAAAGTGGACGAAGTGTCGTTGTTATGTGGCGTAGTCACGTGTCGTCTGTCCTTGCCGAAATACCAAATATTTACGCACGTTCCCGACCTGATCTGCGCCATGTTTCACCGTGCCGATGTGGACTGCCGATCCGTATTCAAGTGCCGTCGAACGTGTAGTTCGTCAGTAGAGCCCAGTCCTAGCGCCTGATCTGCAATGATTATGCCGGAGGGCGGGCGTCTATCCCGACGACAGAGCTTCCCTTGGTGTTTGGTATTTGTGTCTCGCTAACATGACGACGGAAGGCGAAAAAAAGGAACAGGCACTTCCCGGTTCTGATTCTGGCGATCATCTTAGTTGCTTCTCACGGCTGACATTGAGGTAGGTAATTAATCTGTCGAGATATTGTTTCTCCATGGCCACTGTAATGGCTAAAAAAGTCTGTTCGTGTCTGGCTAATATATCTCCAACAGGCAGTTTAGCTTCCCCTGGCTCCGATTCGTGCGCCCACTTTCTCCAGCGCAACGGAACCAGCAGAGCCCTGGCCAATTTGTGATGCTGCTGCCCCTCACCTAATTAATATCCCAGAGGTGGCCACACTGGCACTTGGCTGCCTCGAGCCACCAGTCAATGGCCTTTGCCCACCACTGACAAGACAAGTCGCGTTGGAGATCCCCTCACGAGCCTCTACTGCCGAATTCCGACCACAATTGTCGGCGGCCAGGGCCAAAATGAAGGGATCTCGACCAGTGCTATTTCCAGCCTCGACGACCCGGCAATAGGGCCTCAGTCGCTTCAATGTAATTTTTTGCTATATGCGCCCCCTCTGAATCGAGATCTCGTGCAACACGATCGAGCTGGTGTGCCTCCCGCCCTCAGGGTATTTCTGTTCGTGGAGCTCCCTCCTCCTGAGGCTCGAGGGAGGTGGGGATTGTCGTCTTGTTTTCTTTTCTTCTCTCTTCCCCAACCGCCAAACCGTGTGGGGAGCATCACGCAGGTCCCCCCTTCCCCCATAGGCATCACCGTTCTTTCCCCTTTTCTTGCTACTCCATCTCAGCTGTCGGGCGATCCGCTCGCTTTATCAATCCAAGCATCTGGACGAATTGGTTTAGCCGGCGCCCTGAGAACGGCTGGGCTTACCGCGCCGCGTTGGGAAGAGTGAGTGGGCCTCGTGGGCCGTAGAGCATGACATCTCGAAGCATTCCACCAGCCGCAACCAGTGTCTGGTGCGGCTTGAGAGGCAAGATCCACCTTCCTACCGCTTCGCTACACGACTCCCAGCTCTTGCTCCCCATACACCACTATACTGCCCGCCCAACGCTTGGCCCTCAGTCGAGCAACAGAGGCCCTCACTTGGTCTTGGCACTGAATCCTCTCCTCTCAGCTACCGTCATCTTGCTAACAAGTCTTTATTAGCCCCTACTGTAATGCTTCCACGCTTCCCCACACGCCGACCTTCGGCCCTTTCTGCCGCGCCGAGAGAGCGCAGCAGTGGCGTCGTCCGCACGATCAGCGCTTTCTCCCCGTAACCTGGGGCAAGATGGGGCGAGAGAACCCTTCTCGGCCGGTTTCCTAGATTGCAGTCTGGGTCTGTGGCGCGCGCGCGCCCTTTACCGCGGTCCTGTTTGGAGAGCCGTTATACGGCCGTGCTTATCTCCAAGCCGTCACCCACGCCAGCTTCCTGAACCCGAGTAAGGCCCTTGACTCAGCCCGATCGGAAAGGATAGTCCGCAGCTCCAAGACAGAAGGTCCATCCGAGTCACGCGGCGGGCGTCCCTTGAGGATGACGACCAACTCATTACCAGCAGCTGGTCTTGGGGGTTCATGCGGGCAGGTCCTTCAGCGCGTTGGAGGTCAGGGGGAAAGAAACCTCCCCGGATTCGGGAGTCTTTGGTACGGGGGGAGGGGGTTGGCGTCTCGCTTGCCTTGTAAGCTTCTCCGCATTTCAGCATACCCGTGGGACAGAGCGGCAAGTAAGCGCACACTCGATGATTTTTTTTTCTTCTCGCGGGCACAGATTGCAACCGGGACCGGATATGCAGAATCCAGGCTGTTGAGTCCCATATCACTTCATTTACAGACAGGACCTTCATCTTACCCCAGGATCCTATGAGGGAATATGTCTTCGGCTTTCGGGCCCATCTTACCGGCAGCTTGCTGTGTCGTCGGGATGGCTCGCAAAGGCACCCCTGGGACCGAGATCCCTCTTTGGGACGTGGAACTGGGAGGGAGCAAGGGTCACCGAGACGCCGCGAGAAGAGAGGAGAGGCGAAGCGAAAGGGAACGGATATATAAAACCTTGACGCCATCCCACCTTCCCCACGATTCGAGACGGACCCGCCGCATCACATCTGTAGCCCAACCCGTCGCCAAGAGCCGCCTCCCAGTGAAAGTCTGCCCAACATGATTGCCAAACTCGCCGCCCTCGGGGCCCTCGTGGGCATGGCTTCGGCCCAGCAGGTCGGGACCTCGCAGACCGAGACCCATCCCAAGATGACGTGGCAGAAGTGCAGCTCCGGCGGCTCTTGCACAAACCAGAACGGAGAGGTCACTATCGACTCCAACTGGCGCTGGGTTCACGACAAGGGCGGCTACTCTAACTGCTACGACGGCAACAAGTGGAACGCGACCATCTGCAAAGATGCCAAGAGCTGTGCTGCCAACTGCGCCGTTGATGGCGCCAACTACCCGTCGACATACGGAGCCTCGACCAGCGGCAATGCCTTGACGCTGAAGTTCATCACCAAGGGTGAATACGGTAAGATCTAGCCCACCGTGGAGAGCCGTCGACCGTGAGTGATGGCTGCATGCAGGGCGTGGCGGCTAACATGCAGTTATCCAGCTACGAACATCGGCTCGCGCCTGTACCTGATGGCCAGCGCGACCAAGTACCAGATGTTCACGCTCCTTGGCAATGAGTTCACGTTCGATGTGGATGTCTCGAAGCTTGGGTAAGTTATGAGAGAAGAGACGCAATGTTCGCACACAGGTAGTCAGAAGCTAACTTGGCCCTCAAGATGCGGTCTCAACGGCGCCCTCTACTTTGTGGCCATGGACGAGGATGGTGGCCTGTCCAAGTACTCTGGCAATAAGGCTGGTGCCAAGTACGGCACTGGTTACTGTGATGCGCAGTGCCCGCGTGATCTCAAGTTCATCAACGGCGAGGCCAACGTTGCGAACTGGAAGGAGTCGTCCAACGACCCGAACGCCGGTGCCGGCGGCTGGGGTTCGTGCTGCACGGAGATGGATATCTGGTACGTGGCCCAAGCCTGCATCTTCATTCTCTTCCCACATATTCTGACTTGGTTTCGTATCCAGGGAGGCCAACTCCATCTCGACGGCGTATACCCCCCACCCTTGCAACCCCATCGGACAGCACCGCTGCAACGGCGATGACTGCGGCGGCACCTACTCCGACACTCGCTACGCGGGCTCGTGCGACCCCGACGGCTGCGACTTCAACTCGTACCGCCAGGGTGTCAAGGACTTCTACGGCCCCGGCATGACGGTCGACACCAAGAGCAAGATGACGGTGGTGACGCAGTTCATCAAGAGCGGCAGCGACCTCTCCGAGATCAAGCGCTTCTACGTGCAGAACGGCAAGGTGATTGCCAACTCAGAGAGCACTATCCCCGGCAACCCGGGCAACAGCATCACGCCCGACTTCTGCAAGTCGCAGAAGGTCGCCTTCAGCGACAAGGACATCTTCAACCAGATGGGCGGCTTCCCCCAGTTCAGCAAGGCCGTCGCCCAGCCCATGGTGCTCGTCATGTCCCTCTGGGACGACCACTTCGCCAACATGCTGTGGCTCGACTCCACCTTCCCTGTCGACGCCAGCGCCGACGAGCCTGGCAAGGGCCGCGGAACCTGCGACACCGCCTCGGGCGTGCCCGCCGACGTGGAGAGCACCCAGGCCACTAACCAGGTCATCTACTGTACGTGTCTCCCCTATCTCTGTATTCTTACGAACCGCACTAACCAATCTGTCAAAAACAACAGCCAACATCAAGTTCGGCCCCATCGGTTCCACCTTCAAGCAGCCCTCGTAAAGGCCCCAGCCAGTTGGGACGGCGCACTGCTGCTGCACGGCTCTGTGGCGCCCACCCGAGAAACTCTCACTATTTGCAATGATGGATCTGGGCGTTGCACATGGCTAGCTAGGTAGGTAGGTATATAGGGGGTGAAAAGACAGGGGATGCATGAGATTGTCTCTTTCTTGTGTGCATGCGTGCGTGCGTGTTGTTTCGTGTATAGCATTAGAAGCGGAGAAACACACCCCATGTGATGTGTGTGTCGTGTTCTGATAGAAAAACCTCTCGAGTTACAAAAAGGATATTGGCATCATTTTGAGTTTTTTTTGGGTGTGCTATAATCTATCGCGTCGAATGGCGGCTTTGTGTGGCTTTCTCCCCCCCCCCCCCCCCTTTTATCTTCTGCTTTGACACAGACGGATTTGGGTTCTGGTTTCCAGTCGCAAAACTCTCCGACTGGGCGGGCAGGATTTTGGTTGCTTCGAAACAGTTAGTTGAGGCAACGAATCAGCTCTCTCACTCCGCCGCCCCTTTTTCTTCCGTCCCAGCCATGACGTCACATTTTTGTACTGTGTGAGCTTACAGGCAAAAGATTTCGTTTCCGAGTTTCTTCCTGTCTTCATGGATGATGGAAATAATTAGAGGTTAAATCCCGGTTGCACACAGTTGTGCTAGTGAACTGATTGGCTGGTTGTGCGGAGACAGAAAAATAGTTGAGCCTGAACTGCGGTCTGAACTGATGAAAACAGAAATATCCCCAAAATACCGTCGCAGCCCACGATCCGCTAGATGACCCCCCGATCACCAGATTGGCTCGTCCCAGTGCATGAAGAGAGTCCGGTATCGTTCGTTGCTTCCTTGATCGCCTTTTCTCGATGCCCCCCGATGAACCTGTTCCGCGCCCCTACCTAACCTCATCGCCAATGCAATATCCCAAAGAGACAGAATGCTCCGGACATGACCAAAATGCTGAATTCATGTGCGGGCCGTTTGCAAGTTGAAAACGTGTCCAAAATGATATAAAAGGAGAATCGATGGAACTTGAGAGTTTAAGGGGTATCTGATCGTGCCTGACAGCGAGGTGTCTTTTGAACAGAGTAAAATCGTGTATCATAAAAACCATCGCCTCAAACGCAGATGTGATGACAAGAAAAAAGAAAAAAAAAACGATGAAGGGCGCGAATCTCATATCGGCAGTGTCGGTGATTTAGTCCTGCCGCAAGTCATGCTGGAAGCCGACGCAGTAGTTGTAATCGGGGGATCCCACTTGCACGGGAATCATGCTCAGCAGATTAAGGAACTGCTCCCCGTTCTTCTTGAAGTTGACGACCTCGATCTGGAGCTCCGTCTTCCTATCGACGGCCTTGCGCATCCTGCGGATGATGTCCTTGTCGACATATTTCCTCGTCGACCTCGGTCTGACCTTGCCGCCAGGAGCTTGGAGGAATCTACAGTTTCTGCCCATGACTTCGGGTAGAGTGTAGCCGGTCATGTCGAGAAAGGTAGGAGAAGCGTAGACGATGGGCTGATCTGGTTGTATCAAGTCACACATGATGATGGGACAGGAAGCATCCAGTTTGCCCAGTTGTATTTGTGGGTTCGGCCGTTGGTATATCTGGAGCTGCTCGGGTGTTAGCTGCCAGGTTACACAATAGACCACCTGACTTTGACCAGAAATGACTAACCAGAATACCCATTATATCCCAGCTGCTAGCGCTGTACAGCCCCGGGTATATGAGAGCGTCGTGCGTCTGTCCCTGCGACGTCTCGTCCTGGTACGCCCAAACTTGGGTGAGCAGGTGCAGAGGCCTACAAGGGGCAGACAAGATAGTACCTGATATTTAGCGGCATCCTCCTCCCAAGGGTTCATGTCCATGCTGTTCTGGAGGCGTGGGTGGTGGTGCGGCAAGACCGGGGCCTCGTCCTCTCACTCGGCAAGCCTGCTGCAGCCCTGAACTAATGTAGGTTGCGTGATAGGAGCCCGGTTATGTGGCAAAGACATCAACAGCAAGGGCCAATGGAGAAGCTGAAGCAATGGAAAAACCCGAGGTGGCGCGGTGACAAGGGGAGAGTAGCAAGACGAATGGTCGGGGGTGACGGCACGAGGGGGATATTTAACGATGCTTGAAACTTATCCAGATTCTAAAATTGCTAGAGTCTGAGGTGGTCGCTGGAGGGCGGACAGAAATGCCCAATGCCCAATGCTGACCGTCATCGAGTCCCATCGAGATCCTCCTGGGGGCATCGGCAAACTGATGGCTGCACAATCGAAGCAGTGCTGGTTGAGCCATGAAAAATGCCGAAAATCAGGCCAGACAACGGGTGGCAGGGCTAGACAGCAGCATCTCTTAGCTCCAAGCTCCGCTCACTTGGAGAGGAGCGGCCGGAGGGGGCGTGATAAACGAGTGCAGAGCGAGGGACAAAGGGCGGGAGCAAATCGCCAGACACGACACGTGCAGAGACCGGTCAAGACCTAAAGGCATTTTTGCCGCGGAATAATCGGCAAGGTGGTTTTGGTGCGATCCTGTTGTGGTCTCGGTTTGGTCGTGATCGCAGCGCGCATAGGGAATCGCTGTGATCGGAGCTATCTCAAAGGACGGACTAGCAGCCCCAGCATGCGGGCGTCTTCTGGGCCGTCAAGGACCCATAACATGGGGTCCAGGGCCTGGGCTTTGACCAATCCGGGCTGAGCCGAGCTACCTTCAGTGGTGACTGGTCGCCCTTCGACAGGTAGCACTTTTTGGCGATCCCGGCAGACAACGTTTTTGGCCGCAGATCTGAAAGCATCAGCGCTGAGCACCCACAACCCACGCCCCTCCCCCAGATCGGACCAAAGACAACGCGCACAACAGGCCCATCCTGGCTCTGCGCGCCATCCAACGCTCGAAGGCTTTCCTTAGTAGAGTAGCTTCGGCGCAATTCCTCCGGACTGCGCCAACCTAAAACGAAGCTCCCTCCACCTCCCCTACGGCCGCTCTGAGCACTAGAGAAGTCCTACCACAGCATCGCCGTCTCGACCCCCGAGGCGGAGAGAGGGAAAAGAAACGGACGTGGTGTAGGCAACCGAGGCGGTGGGTGAGGAGAGCTTGCGGCATTGGCGGCTCCCCGCAAGGGAGTGCGTGGTTCGCATCCGAATCATCACGTCACATAGGTAGCCGACCGACAAGGCAGTGGGCGTGCATCATGTCATCCCTTGTGTAGTGCAGCTTGACTGCGGGCTGCCTCGTGGATGTCGTCGGCAGGACCGTTACAGGCCGAAGCAAGGCCTGGACGTCAGCTTTCCTGTTCTGGAAGCATCGCAGACTGGTTTCCCACAGCCTCCCCTTCTAGCGCCACTCCTAGACGGCACGCGCGCGATGCGAAGCTGGGCACGACGTTCTCCGCAATTACGACGCCGTCAATCATAAAGAAGGACATCTCCACACTACGCTCGGCGGCAGGCAGAGAAGACAAAGGGCCGCACCCAAGCAAGGGGCGAGGGGCCAGGACGAATAAAGAGCAGTAGCCGGGCCGACGGGCGTTGCGGGGGCCGATGGGTTCACGGAGAGGGATGTTTGCAGCATCGCAATCGTGTTTTGGTCACAGCACCCGCCTTAGGCTCGCACCATCTCTCCGTCTGGTAATGCAATTGTTTAGCGTCATTTAGCGTTTGGAACGCGGATTATGGTGGATGTACATACATACCTACCTACCTTAGGTACCCATCAGGTAGGCAAGGTACGCTTGAATGTAGAACTGACGAGAGTAGGAGTGAAGCCGTCGGCTAGACAGCGCTGTCGTAAATCAATGGGAGTAAACATATTGCCGTGTCATCCGCAAGTAGTGTACGAAATATTGTTGTGTATTCACGTGTAGTCTTTGACATCCTCAAATCGTCGATGAGGCTGAAGGCTGGGCGAGGGTGCCCCCAGGACAGGTCTGTGTGGAGCTGCTCAGGTCCTTGGCCAATTGATCGACAGACGGGCATCTCAAGGGGGAACTGTCGGTACCCGCCCTTGGCTGTGGACTTTTTGCCTTTCTGGCTTCTGCCAGTGCCACGTCACTTGATCCCCGCTAAGCCAGAGCAGGCAAGCGCGAAGCCCCCCCTGCCTTGCCTGCTCACTGAGGGGGTACCCTGCAGATGAGAAAGCGCAAAAACCACCCCTTGGGAAAAGGTCTGCCAACAAACGCGTCTCACTAGCAGCAGTAATCGTTCCACACGCGTTCGTTCCTCCCGTTATCGAGTACAGCACTTTCCATCCTCGGTTTCCATTCCATGCTGCCCTGAGTCCTAACCCCATGATCGTACAACACCAATCTCAACGTTTTCCATCCTAATCTTGGGCCTTATTGTGGTACCAAGGCAAGCACCAAGGCCATCGTCCGTCGGGTTTCCATTGAACACCCCGTAACCAGCCCAGCGTAAAGGCGCCCAGACGAGTATTTGGTTTCGTTCATTTGGGGAAACACGAGATTCGTCTCACCTTGTGTGCATACCTCCCACATACGATTTTTACCCCTCAGAGCGCGACGCAGGAATCGAGCGAGGCCTTTTTTGATCCGTCTCGTCATCCCAACTGGGCCGTGTCCCTGGCTCGGGAGACAACCTAAGTTAGGAGAGCTTGTGCCTATTCCCATCATGCCGTCACTACTACAGCGCCGTCTCCGCCCCAACAGGTCGGCATCGGCTTCGACTTCAGCTTTGAGATCCGCACCAGTTCGTGATGCCGCTCCCGCTCCAGCCACCGAGCTGCCGCCCATCGAAGTACCCGCCCACCCAATCAACGACGTAGGCAGGCGCGCACTGTCTGATATCTCCAACAACCGCGAGACGCGCAAGTATCAGGACCACCTCACCAAGTCGGCTACCTATCTACGCTCTAGCGTTGGCAGTGTCAATGATGTCCTGTTTGCTCGTCAAAGCCAGCTGGCCAGCGCGATCGAAAAGCGCACTGTACAAAGTATCACCGAAAAGACAGAGTACGAGGCCGACTTGGAGAAATATGTTGAAAAGCTCAATACTGAGATAGGCGAATTGACGGATGGTGCCGAGGCGGCCTTGCGCGATGTGATTGACTGCCGCGCCGAGCTAGACGACGAGAAGATGGTGCTCGAAGCCGTACACAGAGCCGTCGAGGAGGCGAATACACAGCGGGCCCAGTTCCTGACCCAGCAACAGCGAGATAGGAGGCCGAAGCGAACACGGCGACCTGGCGCAGATAGCGATAGCGAGAATGGAGAGGAGGTGGTGGATAACGCCGAAGCTGAGGATGACGACGATGATCTGGGTATGCACGACGCTCTGCCCTTAACGAGCGTGCACGACATTCTGAAAACGGAGCGGCAAGCCAAGGCCGAGGAGTACCAGGCCATGAGCGTACACGAGCGATACGCCGTGAACAATGACTATATCGCCTTCAAGAGGACATGGCATGACGCCCTCCATCCAGATGACCAGATCCCCCTGCCCGATGCGTCCACATGGTTTGATCGAAGCGGCAGACCCACCAAGGGTGTAGCAGCCGAGCCCGAAGACGACGATCTCGTGGTAGAGCGCGAGATCATCGACCTGAAGTGCCCGCTATCGCTGCAGGTCATGCGCGAGCCGTACAGTAACCACAAGTGCAAACACACATTCGAGAAATCCGCCATCATGGACTTTTTGAGAACCAGTGGTGGTGCCGCAAAGTGCCCTGTCTGTTCCCAAGTACGTGGCTTTCCCACATTCGCATTGACGTGCTTTGAAACCCGCTAACGCTTTTACTCCAGGAACTACGAATCAAGGACCTGTACCTGGACGAGTTGGTGCTACGGAAACTGAAGCGCGCCGAGCAAGCAGCCCGACGCAATAACGACGACACGTCAGGTCTCGATTCCGAGAGCGATAGAAACGAGAGCGTGCGCGTTCAAAGCTCAACCCGCGTCAAAAAAGAAAGGATGCACCGGAAGGTCGAGGATGTCGAGGACGACGAGACTGAGTAACTTCTGTTATGCATGCGCTACTTCAGATGAGTTCCGACAACTGGCATGTCCACACCCACAGCCGCTCAAGGTTTAGTGACAATTGATTTCTCGTCTATGGAAGAGACTCGCTTGTCATGAACGGAGATGCGTACGTCGTTATCATATCTGACCCGAGTTCAGTCTGGCATCCACCGTGGCACAGAAAAGGCCATCTATCGCCAAATATCCATCGCGAGACATTCCTGTGTTGACCTAAATCAAGGAAACCCAACATCCGAACCCTCTTCTAGCCCTTCCTCAGCCGGTGAATCTGTCGATGTTTTTGTTCCGTGCCTTGTACCCTCTCTGGCCCTTTTTGACAACTCTGGTGGGTCGTTGATGGACAAGGAGAAACGAAAAAGATGGAGGGAACGCCGCGCGAAACATGAAGAAAAAATGGCTGGAAAATCTAATACAATCAAGAAAGTGTGTATGAGAACTGCTGCGGGCGAAGGCTCGCGTGCCTGGTAGGAAATGGCAATGGATCGCTCGGCGTGGTCCTTGGCGGACTCTTCTAACCCACCTGGGTCAGTTCGTATGCCTAGTCGCGATCAACTTTGACCGTCTCGTCCGCCGAATAACTATACGCTGCTGTACAACCGCCGGTTCCGAGGAAGACTTGCGGAAACCCGTTCTGGTGTTCGTTCGACGATGCAGGTGGTGAGGGCAGAGAAACGACGCCTGCAGGCCTGCCTTGGTGGTGGTACTGGGAAAGCCCTAGCGGATGGGGCCGGCAGTACCCAACCGCTGCTTGTGATCTGCCACCAAATTGCTGCTGCTCAAACCGGAACCGTAATGGCTGGTTTGACGGCGAAAAGCCCATGGGGGGACTACTGCTGGGCAGGGCAGCGACTGAGGCCGTGGGAGTCATGACCTGGCTGTATTGGAGCTGTGCCCTTGCCGGGTCAAGAAGAGGACTGTGCAAGGAACGAGTCGAGAACATCTCCGTCAGCCTTCTTGATCTCCAAAAAAATCTTATCTTTTCCATTGGAGAAAGCGGACCAAACACTCACGTCAAAAGCGCGGGTTGAACGAAGAAATCGGCGGGGGACATGGCGGGCGACGACGCCAGCGGACTGCTGGCACTTCCCTCGTCATCCAAGTCAGGGCTCTGCGCCGGAGAGAAGTCGTCGCACACGGCATCATCTGAGGCCGAAATCCTTCCAGCGTTGGCGAAGGAGCCTCGACGTTTGCGGCAAGTGTATTTGTGGACTCCCCATCTATCGAACCGAGATCTGTACGCTCGGGTTCTATTTCGAGGCGCGGGCACGCTCGTATATCAGACAAGGACAAGACCAAATGAGGCTGGCATGGTGGGATGGACGAAACAAACAGATGCTTGCTCGGAATGGGCTTTCTGCATCGCTCCCTGCCTCCGATGTGCCCAGCCGAGGCCATGCGCACAAGACACGTGAGTAGGGGCAAAACGCGGGTGGGACCCGGAGCCCGGCAGAATAAAAGCAGAAAGGGGGACAAGACCTACGATGCCTTGAATCTATGCTTTTCCTCCATGAAGCGCTGCACCTCGTGGAGTGGTTTTTTTTGCTCCTTGTATTGCCGGACAATAGTCTCCCGATGCTCGTCCCATGGTTTTGTCATGGTACCGAGGATAGAGAGACGAGAGAAAAGCGAGCAAGTAAGTCGGCTGAGCTGATGCCGATGAGAAGAGCCGAAAAACTGGAAGGTCGGAGGACGCGGAAGCCACGAGATCCGGGAAATAGACTTGGTATGCTTCGGGTGAGTTGATGCACCGACGCAAGGCTGTGCGGGACGGGACCTCGGGATCTTTGGAGTGCTCCTGCGGAAACCGAACCAAGGCCGATGCCGAAAGGGGAGTGCTCTGTTGTTGACCATGGATTACCAAAAGCCAAAATGAGGGGATTTGTTCAGCTATATACAAGCTCTCTCTCTCTCTGTGGCTTTCACTCCTCTAACACACACTCCATCTCTTTCCCTCCTTGTTGTCGTTACGTGTCACGGCTCATGATTTGGAGCATATTACTGCCACCTCGCCCAGCACCATCTGCAGGGACTCGAGTACTGATTCACCCCTCAATGAGCGAAGCCAAAAAAGGTGAGGCAACCAATTATGACATTTCAGCAGTTGAGACTCCCAGCAAGAATCTACCACGGATGCCACTTGGCTTCATCCGAAGGGCAGATGAGAGAACGGTTAGTCGTCGGAATGGCGGGGAAGAAGCAAGGCTATGGTCAACAAGCGGAAGGCGAGTGGACTGTCACCTAGCTCAAGCCATGGCGCCCCCCCTCCCCCGAGTCTCGATGAGGAACAAAGCAGCATAGTTCCGTGTTCTGGGCCGGTTATTGAGTTCGGTCAAGCTCACACGGTCTCCCTAGGCTCTTTGGGTAAAGACCAACGAATCGAGCTAGGCGACGAAACAATTGTGTGCAGCTACCCGGATGTCACGCTGATGATGAGACGCCGCATGCCCATGTCCATGCCAGTGCGAAATGCGAGGGACAGGACAGTAGACGCAACAAAAGTCACCAGGGGCGCAACGTCAGTGTAGACTGAGCGAGTGTCGACTTCGAGTGAGGCTGACGAGGCTCCAATGCCAGTGACTAAGAACGCAACCCAGCTTATTCCCTAATAGAGGGTGTGTGACACACGCATACACTCGTCCCAGATTGGGATAAGCACCATGATTTTCTCAACTAACATATGCAGGTAACCGTCGCTCCAGGAAGGCCACAAATGACAGGCAGCTAAAGCTGTCGCTCGTCCACTCAGGACCCCCAACTGCTGCCGTCCGACACTGCGAATAAGGCTGAGCGGGACGAAGTCACGCCAACCGCAGACATGACACGCTCTCCCCACTTCACGTCACTTGGACGTCGGCAGCCTCAGACAGACACGCACACCCACACGTATACGCGACCACGGCAAACGCATCCCATCCCATCCCCACGCCAACTTCTAGCGGCTGCCCCCCAACTTGGTCAACTCAAGCGCGTTTCAAATCCCCTGGTCTTGGCTTTTCCCGCAGCCGACGAGACTTATCGCCTGGCTTTGCTTTTGCCGTCATGGGCTGCTCCAGCTCCGGCTTTGAGGTTACGCACCCAGCACTTGACGTGAACCAAGATACTACTTAGGCAAGGTAGTCAAGAGGCCGGGCTGGCCCATGCCATGCCATACCACGGTTTTGCTCTTTCTGGCACATGCCGCCGCCTCGCGTCTCTCTCCTACTCTGGGCGCGCACGCACGAAGTCATCTGATTTCTGTCCCAAACCAAACAGTGGCGGAGCAGAGTTGCAATTGCGCCGTTCCCCAGCGACCCCGTCCCATGTTGTCAAACTAGCCGCCAGGACCTTACGTCAACTTGTCAAGAGATCTTCTCCCTACTAGTGCACGATCCGTCCGTCAATGTACCTGTACATACATGACGGAGTTCCGCGCCAGGCAGCCGGGTCCCGAAGACCGGCCTCCCCTCTCTATTTCACTGCCCCCCTGCCCCATTCTCCCCAGCTTACACATAAATACGCTGATATTCATGTGTGTGTCAGGTCTAGACGCGATACCTAGGTTTAGTCAGCCAATCTAAACCTGGGGTCTACAAGTTTTGGAGTCGGGTAGCGGAAACGAGGAGGGCGGTCTAGGCGGACTGCGGCCCGGCCCTTGCTGACCGTTTTGGCCCCAACCCACACCCAACTCAGACAAACCCCTCTCTAACACATAAAAAAAAATACTGCCGGCATCCAGAGCACCAGGACGGACCGAAGGGGGATGCGGAGAGGTTGGCAGCCTGGTGCACCAAGACGCTTCTGGCCGCTTCCCGAGTAAGGCTGGAGGCTGTCTTCGTTCTCACCGCCGCCACCGCGAACAGGTCTTATGTAGAAGGTACTCTTTTCATCCGCAGCCCTCAATGGCCAACCAACCTGACCATGGCATGGGGATGGGGGCACGAAACCCACACCGCTCAACAAGACATGCCTCTGGGGAAACGGGGCGTGAAGGGGCGGTGCGGGCGATACGGGCGGTGCCAAACCAACAAACCCTCGCGATAGGGTCGAGGACGGCCATGGGAAGGGTATCTCTGTCTGTTTTGCCCTGTCTGGTTACTTCCCTCGCCTTGACCGAGTCAGCGGCGATGTCTTGGGTGGCCAGAAGAAGGAGAAAGTGGCAGTGACAGCAATCTCGCCCGCCCCAGGGAAAGTTAAGCAAATGCAAATGCAAATACCATAGACGATTGTCTAGAGAGAAACACGTCAGTCGACGATTAGAATGAGACAAATCAAAGCAAAGCGAACATAACACACCGGAGGTAAAGCATACCCCGCCCCCCTCCTCCCTGGTGCCCGCCCCCCCGCCTACCTTGGCTTGTTCCACGCAGGATACGTTTGTTGTGGTCTTGTGCCCGACACATTTCGTCGGGTATCCGGGCGAGGCTGGCTAGGGGGGCCGTTGCATATTTATACATACGGTTGAAAGTGAAGGTTATGATCAAATATCGGCGGTGGGGGTATGATGGGGGCCGCCCAAAGGGAGGCAGGGCGGCGCTCGATTTTTTGTCCCTCTGGCTAAGGAGTTACGTGGGGATATGGAAACCATCTAACTACAAATCGGAGACGTTTCGGCTAAGTGAAGCCAGATTCAATAGTAGACAGATGATGGATGGCATCGGTTCGGTGGGTTGAGCGAAGCTAAGGTAAAGGTAGATGTCCATTGAGAGAGAAAAGAGCTTACTGAAGAGAGATAAAAAAAGCCACCACGCGGGGCACTCACACCCACACACACCAGAGATAAGAACGCTGGGGAAATAGATATGACATAATGCAATCTGAACAAAGCAACAGCATTCGACGACTTTGCTACCGCGTTCTGATTAGTTGCTGGATGGAGTGAAGGGATGGAATAGGGAGAGAGAAGTGACGCTGGCACTTTACTTGCTTACTTGCTTGCTCTTCTTTTCTCCTCGGCTGACTGGGGCCAAATGATTGTGGTGGTCGCATCCTAAAGACTACCTGACCTAACACGCACTGAAATGTGCGTTAAGGGCCACTGCCCTTCTCTTCGCCGACTTCGGGTTGCTACTTGGTTAGTGACTTTTCAACTTCGGGTTTTTTGTATTTTGCGTGACAGAAGACACGATTGGAGACTTCATAGTTGAGACAGGTAGAAATGGAGAGGGACAAAAGGGGCAAACACCACATAAACCCCATCTCGTACTAAGAAATAGAAAAGGGGTCCAGGCCAAGGTGCTGCATAGTTTATCCTTTCTCAATGGCCACTTCCCAAGGGAAGAGAAATGCCAGCATGTCATATTTTGTTTCGACTGCTCAAGGAGGGACTTCCACGGTTAGATCTATCGCCAAAGTGGCATGGCTTATACCCATCACCACGCACACACTAAAGTGGACACAGTTTAGCATTTAAAAAGGATAATGGCCTGGAGCAGCAAAGGATGCCGACACCACAGCAACGCAAGCAAATTCTCACACCGCATTGAGCATGATGAGATCGTTTCAGTAATAGTCTCTGTATTCAGTTACGGATTAAAGGGGAGTGAAACTGAGGGAGACAGAGAAGAGGTTGCACGCGTAGAATGACTAAGGTATGTATTGTGACTAAAGGTGGTTTATTCGCCCCCTCTCAACCCCTGAACTTTTCTTACTCAGCCAGACTGTTAACTCAAGACTCCCAAAACAATAAACGATGTGCACACATTGGGGGACGGCTTTGAACGAGCGGGAGAAGAGAGAAAACAATGTCCCTAAGAGCGGGGGGGTTTTAGGCTTTGAGCCATAACAATGACGTGACGATGGGTATAGGCAGAGGGTATTATATATAATAATACCGGAAAGAAAGGAGAGTCCGTATGCAAGAACGACAGGTTATACGAGAGCAAGTAGCAGTTTCCCATTCCGCTCCCGTGTTCCCATTAGGAAGATGTATATAGAGATAGGGAGGGATAGGGCTTAGGCGAGGGCTACAGGCGCCTTCTCGGCCTTTGCTGAAGCCGGGGGGGTCGGTACGGCGGCGGCGGCTCCGCCCTTCGTATCTAAAGCCGTCGGTGCGTGCTTCTCGTTTGCTGGCGCGGCTGTGGTGGCTGAGGCAGGAGATAAGACGGCTGGGCCGCCAGTGACGCCGGACTCGTGGCCGTCAGCGGTGTTGATGGCCAGCTTCTCGGTGCCAGTCGTAGCGGCCGCCAGGTTCGCCTTCTCGTCGACCGGGCTGGGGTCTGGGCTGGGCTCGGCGGGTCCTGTAGCGCCAGCCACGTTGCGAATGACGTTGAACCACTTCTCGGCGTCTGCGGGCGTGTGGGCCTTGAAAGCCAGCTCCGAGTGACCCGTGAGCTTGCTGCTCATCGTCTTGGAGCGGTCTTTGCCCTTGACGTTGAACTTCTCGCCGTGTGGCGCGCCGATGATGGCATCGGGCAGGTAGATGCTGAGCTCGGGGGTGGGGTCCTTGCGCAGGTTGTCGTTGTCCTTGAACTCGTGCAGGAACTTGCAGGGCGTCACTACGTAATAGCCCGTCTGGGTGCCCCACGAGAGCTTGTTACGGCTCTTGCGCTCGAGCGTGCCCTCGATCAGGGGCTTGGTGGACGAATGGTCCATGTTAGGGAACTGGATGCCCTCGAGGGCGCGCGGCGGGTCGTTGGGGTTGATTAGCACGTCGCTCTTGCGCGCAACGAATTTGTTCCACTCAAAGTCGGGAGGGATGCGCTGGACGGCGCCTAGCATATCGTTGTAGAGGGCGCGGGTCTTCTCGGCCTGGCCACCCGCAAACGAGTTGAAAGCCTCCATGGACTCCTGCATAACGTGGACCACATGCGCCTCAAAGGTCTGGAAGTTAGCCTGGACAGCGATGAGGTCGTTGCGGTGATTGTTCTCCTCCACCACCTGCTTGCTCAGGCGGTGCAGAATGCCCCTTCGGATAACATAGGGGTCGTCAGTGGGGTGGGCTTTGTGCCCTGTCGACTCGTACGAGGCAGTGTGCTGGCCGAGGAGTTCGATGTGCTTCTGAGTCGAGTTACGGGCCTTTTCAACTTCCTTGGCCCCCTTCTCGGCGCCATGGGAAAGTTCTTTGGCCTTGTGCTTGATCTCCTTGTGCAGGCGCTCGATGATGGGGAGCACGGAGCCCTTGATGTGCTTCTCCGTCTCCAGGTTGGTGTTGATCAGGGCCTGTGTGTTGACGCGCATGTTTTCGAAGAAGCCAGCGACGCCTCCGAGCGACTGGTCGAAGTGGTCGCCCTCCCTGAGGGGCTTCGAGATTGTCTGTACAGGGGTTGTGTAAGCGGGCGCAAGGAGTGACAGAGGGACTCGGCGGGGACTTACCTTGAGGACTCTCTCGTACTCCTTGGCATGCGCCTTGTGGATCTTCTCGACGGCTTCCATATACTCCTCGAGATAGACGACGGCATGTTTCCACGCCTGGAGTCGCTGTGCGAGGAGACCGGCGGCCTAGGACGAAAGAAACAGTCTTGTCAGAAGATACCCCTATTCTGCTTTCTTTGTAACATTCATTGATTGGATTACTTACATGGCTGGGGTCCGCCTCGGGAACAGCTTCGTCGCTGAAGTTGCTTGCCAAGGTCTCCTGCCTCGAAGGCGCTATGGGTGACTGCGCAGACATGGTTGCAATCTAGGAGGGCGCGTATGGTGGTCGAGGTTTGAGTGTTGCTGTTTAGGGAGGAAGAAAGCGCGACAGAGGTGGGTCGTCTCAAGAGAAAGATTTAAACTTCACAATAAATAGATTGGCACGGTCAGTTCCTGGGCAGGTGGGATGAAGTCATTAATAGGGGGAGGGGTTCGGCAGAGAGAGCTAGAACGAGAACTAGCAAAACAGGGTATTTGTACGTTATTCTCTTTGGTCCAAGACGGCTTTGCTGATTGATTGATCTTCTGCCCACCTACACCACCACTCTGCGCTACTCGCCCACTATACACCATCTTGGCTAGTATTGAACGCCTCTTGCGACAGTCTGCGGGCGATCAGGTAGTTTCAACGGAGCGGAACAGAGCGGCTCGCACGCTGGCGAGGTCGTCAAGCGCGAATAAAGGCTCGCCAAAGCCCGTGCTTCCTGCGCCCAGCTCTCAATCCCTGCAATCAGATCACAGATCGAACGAGGCCCAATGACGTAATTTGACTAGCTGTCTCAGGTGGGGCAAATCGCAGGCTTGTCCGCCTGAAAACACCCCACTAAACGCTAAACTCTTCCTTCTGAAGCAGACACGCAGAAAAACAATAACTGCTCAGTCTCAGTCATTCGATAGTGCTAGGCAAGTTCAGCTGAGGTCTTTCAACCGATGCATAAACGAGAGGCCATGTGCCGCCGCGTCTTTGTTAGTCTGACCTTTAGTGTTGTTGTGCGCTTGAAGCGGCCAAATTTAACCAACGTCAAATATGACGTAATTGACGCCTGGAGATATTCCCTGTGTGTCCTGAGTAAACTCGTAGCTGGCTGGCCCTTCTCGGGATAAATACAAAGGCGGCCCAATAACCCACGATGCAGTCACCAAGTCTGTACGCTTCCATTGGGGAGCGACAATCTTGAATTGCACGTACTACGTGTACCCTTTCGATAGCTAAGTAAGTCCCCATCAGCAATTTTAGTCTAGACCTGTGAGAACGCCTCATGCAGCCCGCCTTATGACCCAACCTCGCTTCCTCAATCGCGGGACATGCGTCACCTGGCACAGCACACCCTCCTCCCTCGATCAAACAGCTCATCTTGCTCTTGGGATCGGCGTGGTTCGATTTCGCTCTCAACTGTTGCAATATGAGAATGCAATGCTCGTATTGGCGACAAGGGCTTCATTTGCAATCGCCCCTTGCCTAAACTGAAAAATCATCGTCGTGCCCTTGTTGCCGAATGGGTATCGTAGAATATCATACAGGGCGACAAACCACCAAGCACATTCCCGGCTGTGCCACTTCAAACGAGCCCCTCCGCCAAAAATGCTAAGCCGTCCCGCCGTTTGTGTTTGCCACCACTACCGCTTTTCCTCGTGAAATGCTTGATCTTCAAAGTCATAAGTCCTTCCGACCGACCAGTCCCCGGGCTGCCATAAACGCCATATGCTTGTCGATACGTGGAAAGAAAGAAACCAAGACCAGACCGATTAATGATACAAAATAGAATTTAGTGGTGACGGACGCACGGGTTGAAGGCCCCCTAGACCACTCGTTCCCGGGTTCGCATCAGCTCTAATCGGCGGCGCTCCTCCGGGTGGAAGGCATGAGGAAACAGGCTCCGTGACAGCTGGCGTCTTCGATGTCCCATCGGTCTCCTACGACCATTATTAGCAGCAGCGCCGTGTGGCACAGGCTCCTCAGCCTCGGCAATCGACGTCAATGGGTCGATGACACCGGCATTCTCTTCTACAGACAATGCCGGTGATGTTTCCGGGGAACCTGGGGCTGTTGTCGCCGTTGCATAGTCCGGGAGCTCTAAGCTTGAGTTGTAGGTTGTGTGTCTGATTGGCGCCTTGACGGCCGTCTGATAGCTGGGCACCTTGCTCAGCTCAGATATTTCGGGAAAGTCAAGGTGCTCTGGCGTGCTCGACCCCGACGATTCTTGATCATCACTGTTTTGCCGAGAGAGCGGCGCCGACGGGGGCACTCGCGAAGGAGCCGATGTTGGCGCTTCACCGGGAGGATGACGGGGAGTGTTGGCTCCTGATAACCCGCCCAATGAGCTTACCGAAGTATAGGAGTGGCTGCGGTGCGACGCCTCCAAGGACATGCTCTGTAGCCTAGACGAAAGCGCCGCCGGAGTAACCCCCATATTGTGGGCCAGAGAGCCCAGGTTCTCGGCGGATCCTGAGCGGGAATGGCCATACAAAGGGCTGCCCATGCCTGATTGCGGGTGCGGTGTCTGTAGACCTGTGGGCTCTATGCCCTCGTATAGCTGGTCGAGAACGTGCTCGCCGTAGCCTGGCGGGGCAATGGCTGCAACCTCTTCCGACGACGTTCCTTGTGGTAGCTGTCGTACCAGGTTTCCATCCTCGTCCAACGGCATGTTGGGCGAGATAAAAATGGTCACGGGAAGCGTTGCGCGAAGCTCGGAGATGTGTCCGTCGGGGTTCTTGAGCGCAACGACAAGTTTCAACTTGTGCCGGATCTTAATCCCTTGCGCATTCACGTCCTGGAGGCATTTGCCCAACTTCCTCGGCAGATCCAAGGCAGTGCCCATCACCCAGCCCTCTTGGCCCGTGTCTTCGATCATGTCTTGCCAATGCTCGTCCCTGCTCATGGGAATGGTCCAGGACGCAATCTCCTTTTCTTTTTTGTGCTCCCGGACGCTGTGAGCCGCGTGCGACTGTAGAAGAATGTCGTGAACCTCCAATAGCCTGATTGTAATATCGCCCAACTCCAGCCCTTTCAGGAGCGGTGTAAATCTCGTCTCGAGAGGAATTGAGCTGCCAAAAACGACTGCCTTTTGCGGAATCACAATCGAGTATTCAACCTTGTTGGGCCAAATATTCTCGACACTCATGGCGTGTAGGAATTCGAGGGCTGACGACTCGAGGGTTCGGATGATTCGCAGGCGCTTATAGGCGTGCAGATCGTATGCCAGCTTTCCCCGTGCTACCGTTGCCTTGAGCTTGTATGTGATGCTCGCCTCGCGCATGCCTTCGACGCTCTCCGTCGTCTGCCCCGGTAGCAGCAGTTCGAAGGGCCATTCGTAGTTCCCGGCCGGCAAGATAACACCTTTGGTATGTGTAGCGGTGGCAGACGAGTTCGGCGAGCCGTCGGGCGCTCCAATACCGGCAAACGGGGTCCATCTGTGCGAGAATATTGTTGAAGTTCTGTCCACTTTTTGGCTCGATATCCCTGTGGGTGTCACCTTCGTGTCCGTCCAACTAGTAGTCGTGGTCAGCTTCTTCATTTTCCTCAAGTTCCAAAGAAAAGCAATGTTAGATTCATACTTGTATTGGAGCGTGCCCGTCAATCTCAAATGTATGTCTTCGATTTTGAGGGAAGACGGTAGGCACAGCACGACGGTGCCCTTCAGAAGCTGTCCCGACGATTCATGTTCGTTGCCGCGGAACACAATGAAGTCATTCTCGAGTCTAGGATGCGGGTTAGAAATAATCCCGAATGCGGCGAGCGCAAAAGATCTAGGAATTGGGGCAAGAACTTACCGGATCTCGAAGAGGGTGTAGGCGTGTCTTCCGGTCACCGACGTAAATGGGTTAAAGGAAGGCATTGCCAGACAATGAAAGGCAAAAAGTTTGCTGCTCTACTGTTGCAAAGGAACAGAAGTGGCGGCGCCCAAGTAGAGATATTGGTATATTCCTGTCATCTACCCAGCGTATCTGCTAACCATGTAGGGAGGCGGGTAGGTCGAGGCAGGGCAGCGCAGTGTGCGGCACGTCAGACACAAGTTGGTTGCCGTTGGCGATCCTGGGGTGCGGATCCGAAGGGTTGTCCTTGAAGAAGAGGGGCGCAAAAGTGACGGCGGGCTGAATTGTGCACTGTAGGGAGGCGTTTGTTTGTTTTACCTGTAAAAGAAATGGGAGGGAAAGAAGAGTGGCGGGAAAGGGACAAAATCTTCGAGAGGGAGCCATTGCAGGGCAGGACAAGGCAGTTAGGGAAGTGAAGGTCTAGACGGTCGAGGCCGGAGTTAGTCAGGTACGGATACCGTCGCACGACAACGGTACAAGAGAATACGGTGCAGTACCTGACCTGTAGGTGAAGTGGAGGGGTGGAGGCCGATCTGTCCAGGGGTCCATGCAAGTCCCAAAGTAAGCCCATAAGCGAGCGAACCCAGCTCATGCATGGCCCAATAAGCCAACCGCAAGGAACCTCCGGAACATCTCTTCAGCCCAGAACGAACTCAGTCCAATTATAGGTATTGGCATGTAACTACAGGGCCGCGACTGCTTTCCCAACGACTGGGCATCATAGCCCTGGTATACAACGTATCTGCGCGTTGGATCAAAATGCCTAGAATTCCGCTTCCTGCGTCCGTCACACGTGAGCACGAGCAATGGAACGTTGGAAATGCAGTCGCAACCAGGCAGCCGATTTCCAAGCATGTATTGTAACAGGTATTTACCTTACCTTGAAACAGCTGAGGTGGAGGTGTGCGAAAGCGGACAGCCGTCACTGAGACTTTGTATTGAATATGCACAGCTCACGAGTGATGGAAGTGCCACGAGGAAGTGGGGAGCACAGGGAAAAGGGTAGAAAAAATCTCGGAATGTGTGTGGCCTGTAAACGTGAGGAAGGCATATACTGCGTATATACCGCTACCTAACTTGCCTTATTTACGGGATACCGAGTTAGTGGGTTGGTAAGCTCGCCGCGTGGGGTGCCAGCAAAACGATGCATGCCTTATCACCGTCTCTGACTTCCAGTGGCTGAGACAGTTCCAAGGCTGAGATGTGGAGTAACGGCGCCCCCAGCAATGGAAGAGACGGGGGATCCGTCAGAATACGGTAAGGCAGCGAAAGAATGACATATGATACGTAAGGTACGCATTACTACTTTCCTTACGAATGCATATATTCGTGGCCTCCTGCTGGCTGTTTGTTGGCAAGAGCTGAAAGAAGCCTGGCTTCGTGTCGCGCGCGCCTGCTATTCTTTGGTTGAGGTGAGCGAGCTTCTTTTGTTCGAATTCTTTGTCGTGTTGGAGAGCGCAGTTGCCCCCAATACGCACGCCCCTTGTGGAAGCACCGTCTTAGCGCTTAGCCACAGATGTAACCCCCACCGTCCTCACCACCAGCCGCCCTGCCGTCAACGAATCTAGAAGGCTGCCAAATTCGGCAGGCGGGAGAGGGTGGCAGCATTTTTCTCTTTCGTTTTGGCTCCTCCACGGCAGCCAGCTTCCTGAACCCGATGGCCAACTGACATGCCTTGCCATCCCAAGATCATATGGCGCTATCAGCGGGTTTCCTCCAAACTACCATACCTCAAACCTGAGACGCCTTGAGGATGCATTGAACTGTTGGCGTGTCTTGCCAACAAAGACTGGAAGCCTGATGCCCAACCCCAGCTGTGCCTTTGGGGCGCTGACGCGAGACAAAAGGTCCTGCTGGCCAACGCTCAGGGTGAAATGTGACATCGCCCTGCTCCCACCCAAGGTTGATAGAGTGGCAGGCAAGCCGAAGGAGACTCTCGTGACGAGCCCGCCACCTGCGCCCCAGAGAAGCGAAAGTGCTCGCATGGATAACGCGGCCCCAGAACGGAGCGTCAGAACGGAGCGTTTCTCCTTGGATTGTTTTGTGTGAAGGTCGGTTTACTAACTTGTACATATGTACACTACAACATGATGTAAGAATTAAATGCACTCAAATACCAGGATCGGCGATGACAGAAAGATTCCCACTTGCCCGTAATTATCAACCCCACCAAACGGCTTTTTAAACCCAGTCCCGCTTTCAAGGCAAGGTAGCCCGGTGTCGGCTTCTCGGTTCAAGTTCACCGATCTATCTGGAGATAACGCCCTGCAAACCGAGGCGATCTTTTCGCGCCCAGGCTCATGACAGGGAAGCGGAAGTGTTGGGAAGTGTCGCAACGACATTCTATTCGCTCCAACGGGTTGCAATGCTACCTTTTGCTATAATAACCGTGCGATGGAAATTCTACCAAGAAATCTCACCGGTTGGGTATCGGCGGGATGGGGGGGTGGATCGGGACGCCGACAATCGGTGGCTTTTTAGCGCTTCCAATTGGACATACACCGCCACACGCCTTACAGGCATCGAGAGTGAATTCTTCTGAATACCCGACTCGCGAAGAGAAAAGACCCATTAAAGACGGCAAAAAAGAAGAAGAAAAGGCCTGCTTCTTCCATCTCGCAGTCTTCTTGCCTCACAGAGCATCCACAATCAATCAACATTGACTCACATCTCGCATTTCTGCAAAATACTATTTCCCCTCTGGTGGGTCCTGCCCGCTGTTTCACATGAAAGAGAGGCAGGGAGACAGGGACCACGGCTTGAGAGATTTTGACAAGGCTATCACGCCACGTTCTTCTGCATGCATGCTTCCCAGCACGCTATCTCGGCATTCCATGACACGGCATCAGCCTTATGGGCAAGCCTCTAGTGAATGTGGCGAAACACTACCTCTTCGCTTTCAGCCTTTGCACTGTCTATGTCTATCAGAACCCAGCTTGAGCCCGCAAGCAAACGTAGGCAATGACGCCTCCCACCCCATTAACAGATATCTACCCGTATGTACACATTGTTGGGAATGCGAGGCGAAACTTCAAAGACCCAGTGGTTCCACTTATTACATAGTCGTGAACTTTGGAACGTTGTTACAAAAAGATACAAGCAGCGACAGAACAAGCCTCGGAAGCTCCCGGGGCTCTGACTTGAAAGACTTGCCGAGGACGTCCGACGGCCCACTCCCAGCCAGCTCTCTTGCATCCGTCCATCTTTCCCAGCGTGCCACAATTCCGTAACAAAAGAAAAGAAGACCGTGCGGGGTAACGACTTTCTTTGGTGATATCGCGTCCGGAATGAAAATAATAAGGTAAGGTACTTACCGCATTTATCTCATCCCATCCATAGACGGCCACCGGGTCCAAACTGCACCACGGGAACACGCCATGTTAAATAGCGTCTGACCCGCCGTGGTTGCTACACTGCCGCACGCTCTAAGACTGCCGAGGGATGCCACCCCCCCCACCGAGCCTCGGTGATATCAAGCCAAGATGGCAATTGACACTTTCCAGAAGCCCCAAAAGCGCGCGCGCGCGCGCATGCACGCCGATGATCTATCTATGCAATGCATGCCGGCGAAAGCTTGAACAAGAGTCCCAGGATCTGGGACCGGGCTACGGCGTATACTTAATCCGTTCATAGGATAGAAGAGAAACACTTAATAACTGCATGTTATATTAAAATATTGGATTAATATGATCGACCTTGAAGGACAAAATAAAGGAGAATATGTCAGAGACCCGATAATCAAGAATGGTAAAAAGTTATTATAGCTAATAAAAGAGCAAAAAACTATGCGTCAAGAGGGAATCGAACCCCCCCCTCAACCTTATAACCATGGAAGGGTTGAATCCTAACCACTAGACCATTGACGCTTACTGGATTATGTTTATCTGCGCCCGAAATTCTTTTTATGAAGGCAGTATCCAACCATTCCGGTAACTTTACTCCCTATTTAACCCAACGCCATAAAATGTTTCTCAGAAACATTTTCATCCAATACAGGGCGTTTATAAAGCCATATTCTCAATATTTGACTTATTTGATTACATCCAGAGCCATTGAAGTAAAGTTGACATAACAATGCACCCAAGACTTATAAGATGAGCAGACATCGTAGTTGTACATTACATGGATTCTTTTTGTGTCCCACACGCTCTCCAACTCCCTCTCTGTTTTAATACAAGAGCAATCCGCTCAGGCTCTTTCATATTGTACTCGGCAACCAAAAAAGCTCCCTTCCCTTACTTCTGCCCATTCAAAACAAACATTGCCGCACCGTAAAAGAATAAACGCCGTACCTCGGGCATATATCATTGCTATCGTCACACATCACGCTTGCGAGCTATCCGTCTCTTCATCCAACTGGGGCGACGTGTCTGATGGGCGACTCCACGTCCTCAGATGGCCTAATTTCATCTCAGCAGTGTCAGCATCCTTGCCCCCTTCGCTACTAATGATGATGAGAGACGTACCTGACTTGCAGCTGGTGAGGATGGCAGCCTGGGTAAAGTCGATCCAGCACAGCGGGTCCTCATCAATCGTCTTGCTCTGCGGCGCAAGAAATTACGTGTTAGCTGGACGAGAGTTTACTGAAGGAGACTGGATATGGATTTCCTCCCTTACCAACACAGGGGGAAGCATGGCCGTCCTTGAACGCGGTTCCACGGCATGTGGCAGTATCTTCTCCGCTGCCTCTTCACCAACGCCGTAGCCGTTCTGTGAACTCTCGGCCCTTTGAAGCGACACCAGACGCGACGAAACCGAGCCACCCCGCTGGTGGTGATGTACGGAGGCCTACATTGTTGCAAATGTCAGCAATATTAATGAGAGGGCACAGAAGCTCAGTAGCCACTTACAGCTTTTGGGCGATGCAACATGCCGACACTGAAATCCCACAGACATATCCTACAGTCCTCTCCGACACTCCCAAACCTGTAGTTCTTATCGTCACATTGCCAGGGGTCAAACGCTACCGACGTCACCCACGAGTGGTGACCCTGGCACCGGGCTATAAGCGCCGACTCGGACGGACACCAAATCGAGATGAGGTCGTCTTGCCCACCGGTCAAGACATACTTGCCGTCAGGTGACCAGCAGACGCATATTAGGCCCCCATAATACGAGTAGAATAGGTCCAAAAGTCTGTTGATACGTAACTGGTGAGCATGAGGGACGCTTCAGACGACAAAGCGCAGCCCGGGATTCTTACTCTTCCTTGAGATAATCGATTATCCTCAGTGAGCCGTCTTCTGAGACAACGGCAAGGTGCCTATGGTCGGGGGAGAATGCAAATGCATTTATTCGCTGGTTGGACAGCTTCCATACCGCCACGGGGTTTGTCTTTTGGTTTTTGGAGTGGACCGACTTGTTGATCTGTATTTGGCTGGAGTTGGAGACTCCTCTGCTGGCAGTGTCCGAGTTCACCTCTCCGTTTGCCTGCAGCCCTGCCCCGGCCTCTTCGTCGGCGGAGAAAGTGGCGTCCTCCTTTTCCTTGTCGTAGACAACAAGAGATCCATCCATGTGCGCAGCGAGGAACAGGTGTTCTGAGCCAGGAATCCACCTGATCTCGGAAACTGGCGTTCCGTTGATAATCCCCTGTGTGCCATGGTAAGCTTCAGGAACATTTCGGATACGGCGCTTATACTAGGGGTAGGCGAAGAAGCCTAGAGAGCGACATACGTTCTTGTTGAGTCGCGTGTATCGCTGTGAGATGGGTTCCCACCATATGATCTCTCCAGTTGAAAACCCCATGATCACGTCAATGTGCGATGAGCTCTTGGTTAGCAGATTTACGTCATGGCAGAGGCAATGCGCCTTGGTGAATAGTATTTTTGTTAAATATTCGGCCTGCGAACCGTCAGTGGTGCCGGGGCTAGTGCGGGCCCAATAAAGGGCGCGGATATGGCTCACCTTGGATGGGGATGAGAGGTCGAGCCATTGAAAGGCGCGGTTGATGTTGGCGAAGGCGAAAAGGCCATCACTAGGGCGATCTTGCAATCTCTTGTTTAGTGTCTCGTGGACAATAACTCTAGAGATGAAGGAAGAGTTGCTCTTAGTCACGTTGTTCTTGGGCTTTCGACGCTTGTTCGCGTCCTTGGAATTGGGCGGCGCGAGCAACGCGTTTCCCTCACCAAAGGCGGGCGCATTTAACACGATGAGTGGCACATCGCTAGAAGTGATGCGACCGGCCGAGCTGCTGCTCTCGCGCGCCTCGGACGACGACTTGCTCTCGTCAGGGTGTTCTTGGATGCTCTGCTGCAGGCCGCTTGAGGGCGACGTGACCCTGTAGAAGGCGGCAGGCAGGGGGCGCACGTCGAGGTTGGCCAGTGACAGCTTGGTGCCGGCAGTGGCAGGCTGCGGCGTTGTTGCGAGGGGATTCGGGTTGACGATGGGGGCTTCCGAGGGGTGGGGAGGAGGAGTCGCGAGATGGAGATCTTCCTTGAGCACGTAGAGGCCTGAGGAAGGGCGAGGTGCAGAGCGCAAGGTTACTTAGCAGGGGATCGACGGCGCCACGGCGGGAATGCGATTGGGTAGAAGCTCACCCTCGCCGACCAGAAACTGGTATTCGGGTCCCGAAGGACTCGTGAGGATATTGTTGGTTTCTATCATGGGAGCGACCTGGCCAGTCCCGACAGCGGCATTATATGCCGCCTGAGTGGGATACCGTGGCGGAGGAGGGAGGACGCTGTGAGATCGTAGAGTTGACGTGTAGGTTAGCTATTTGTTTGAGGTCCCGTATGTAATGTACGGACGACGAGCGCCCCTGCCCCTGCCCCGTTCGAGTTGGGATGGAATCCTGCTTGTTCCTCCCTTCTTGACTCCTTTTGGGCAACCCGGTGCCCAGGAACTTCTTGGGTGTCTCCTTACAACATGGTAGCGGCTGTGGCGTGGTCGCCAGCGGGATTGCGCTGATGCACTGGCCGGAAGGGGGATGGGATGGTGGGTGGCCTGTCTGGCTGGCTCCTTGGCAGGTTCGCTTGGCTTGTTCAGCTCGCTAGGGGGGAGGGGGGTGGTTGCAGGTGGTGTGCAGATGAAATGACGGGCAGGTGCCTGGGGCTTCGGACGAGACGCAAAGCACTGGACAACCTGGAAAGGGCCAGGTGAAGCTGGCGATAGTGACGCTGGCCTTCAAACCATCGTGGAGTAGAATGAGTGGCCGGGACGGACAGCTACCGGCGCCGCACTGAGTAATAAGAGCAACAGGACCCCGATTAGCAGCTAAAAGGTGCAGGCACAGGGGTCCCTAAGGTAATCCTGCTGACGGAGACTGGGGAACCTCGAGCCTCCCAGCAGTAGGCCAGCCAGGCGAGCCAGCTTCCCGCAACGGCTGGACAAGTCTCTCTAAGGTGTGGGGAAGTGTGGAGGTGGAGAAGCAATGCGTAACGCGAGCCCCCGCCAAGGTGGAGCGGGCATCCATTGTTTCTAACAGGTTACACTACGTACCTAAGGAGGGACGAATGGCTTCCATACACCTACTCACTGCCTTACCTATACGTTAAGGTGGTCTCCTCATACTCTCAAGCCAAGCAAAGTGCTTCGCATGATTATAAAGGGTCTCTGTCGACTACACAATTTCATGGTAAATACCCTCTGTAAGTAAGCACTCGGTACCTCCCTGTTTGGTGAGCTATAAGGCTTTGAATTGCCAGAAATATCACCTGAGCAGCTTTCATGTGCTTTGAAGGCCCTTCGTAATTGACAAGTAGACAACAACTCAAGATTATCTCAAGAGACCATGCAAATCCGGTCTAGGCCTTTCTGTATGCAAGTAAACATACACTCTGTACGGAGTACATGTACCTGCCTAGCTTATCTCTATTCGCAGTGGATTGCGGACAAGGCTTCGTTGGTTGGGAGGGAAGACGGCCCGCAAAGAATGATAGAAACCACCACGAGGGGCCTCGACGCTGTGTCTAGTACAGATGACTTCCGTAAAACTATTAGTATATTCTAAAGTCGGGCAAAATACTCTTCATAGGTACAGGTAAATGTTTGAGGTCTCCATCCGATAATTACCTTGCGTAAATTGTAGGCTATCTCCCTAAACTTCTTAACTTAAGCCTATATCATTTTACGGTATCTATGAACCTCGCTGGTTGGTTACGAGGTTTTATTTGCTAAAAAGATCATGTACCTAGCATGGAACTTATAGGTGCTTGAGACGGACTTCGATAATTCAGGTTGATAGATAATAATTCGACATTGTCTCAAGGGGGCATGTAAGTGTCCGGAGTGCTGTATGGTACCTTCCTGACCTATGAACAGTGCATTGCGGACAGATTTCAGCCTCTTGGAACTCAGTAGTGAGAGCAGACCATGAACAGCTATCCGTAAAGTGGCAGCAACTCGAACTTCTAGGTCGGACCTTTGGCTTTTATGGAAGAGCTTTCACGTTTGTGATATGACCACGGGTCCCACTATCACCGAACTTTATTTGCTAGTATGATAGGGAGCTAAAAGCTTGGTACAGTACTTACCTAGTCTGCCTCTAGGTATGGAAGCAACCAGGTACGCTGGAAAATGATCTTGCAGTAAAATAAACAGAATAAAAGAAGTTACTTATTATGTATGCGCGGGAAACCCCCAAACTGACGCCATGTTGACCCTTGATATTGAAGTGATAAAGTGACTACGAGCGATCAGCTATCAACTTTTGGAACTTGAAGTGTTATGTCAATTTAGCGCATACTACGGAATAGGCCCTTTACCTTAGGTAAGGCAGGACTCACCGCAGCCCGACGGTTGGTGACTAAGGTACCTTTGCCTCCTATATTGTATGCGCTGCATCTCTGTAAACATGTACAAGACCTGTTTCTACTTTACGTTCGGAGAAAATTTGGCCTTCCCACACTGAACTTTGGAGGAGTCTAACAAACCTGCTGCAAAAATCCCTAGAGTTAGGTTTTAGCTCTAATGTCGTTGTTCAGAGCGGGTGGGGCTGTTCCAATGGGAAGCTAGGATTCCCAATTAGGCGGGGGACAAGGCTTGAAACCTATCGATAAGTAGCGGCAAGCCCGCAGCTCAGGAAGCCGAGGATTAAGCCCGGTCGCTGCAGACCAAACCCAGATCAGATCATTCGATCATTCGACTCGACAGGCCCGGCAGCTAGTATCATTTGTTGCATATCGCTAGTTTTGCTTTCGACTGTCGACCATCGCCTTGCTCTTCGACCCGTGCTCCCTCCCGTATACGCGGGGATCTGGGTTATGGCAGTGCTCTGAAAAGGGATTGCTGGTGACCAAAATCAGGGAGCAGCAGCTTGCCCACGACGGAAATGGCCACTACCGGTACGCCCTCCAATAGCCCTCCCTCGGTCTTGTGGAGGTTAATAGGGGGGTCATATCAAATGATGGATTGTGTCAATCCAGTCCCAGCTGACCAGTCATGCTTAGAAGTCCGCGTCTGCGTCTGCGGCGATGAAGGCACCGGAAAGTCCAGCTTGATCGCCTCGCTGGTCAAAGATGTCTTCGTCACGAGCAAGATCCAATCGGTCCTGCCTCAGATCACCATCCCCGCGAGCATGGGCGCGCCCGCAAATATAACTACCACGATCGTCGACACATCAGCCCGACCGCAGGATAGGACCACCCTTAGGAAGGAAATCCGCAAATCCAACGTCATCCTCCTCGTCTACTCTGACAATTACAGCTACGAACGTGTGGCCTTGTTCTGGATGCCCTACTTTCGCTCTCTCGGTGTCAACGTGCCTGTCGTTATATGTGCCAACAAGTCCGACCTCACTGGCGACGGCAAGACAGGTCAGGTCATCGAGGAGGAAATGTTGCCCATAATGGCCGAGTTTAAAGAGATAGATTCTTGTATCCGATCGAGCGCCAAAGAGCAACGGAACGTTATCGAGGCCTTCTACCTGTGCCAGAAGGCTATCATCCATCCCCTGGCACCTCTGTTCGATCACAAGGAGGGTCAGCTAAAGCCGGCGTGTGTAGACGCTCTGCGGAGGGTCTTCTACCTTTCCGACAAGGATCAGGACGGATTCTTGAACGACAAGGAAATGCAAGAATTCCAAATCAAATCTTTTGGCAAGCCCCTGCTGCCGGATGAGCTGGAGAATATCAAGCAGACTGTTGGCAAGACCATTCCCGGAAAGACGGCTCCCGCCGCCCCAGGTACCCCGGAGATGGGACTCGATATGCAGGGATTCCTACAGTTAAACAAGCTGTATGCGGAGAAGGGCCGTCACGAGACCATATGGTTCATTCTGCGGAAACACCACTACACGGACAGCCTGAGCTTGGAAGACCACTTCCTGCACCCGCGATTTGATGTTCCCGATTATGCCTCGGCTGAGCTCAGCCCAGCCGGCTATCGATTCTTTATGGATCTATTCCTGACATTTGATAAGGACAATGATGGTGGTCTGAACGACCAGGAGCTAGCCGCTCTGTTTGCCCCCACCCCGGAGTTGCCATCTTCGTGGCAGGAGAGCTCGTTTCCGTCTACAACAGTCAGAAACGAGGCTGGACATATCACCCTTCAAGGCTGGTTGGCACAGTGGAGCATGACTACATTTTTAGAACCCAAGACTACACTGGAGTATCTGGCATACCTCGGGTTTGAAGCACCCAACGCGCGCGACCTCACAACGCCTGCACTAAAGTTAACGAAGCCGAGAAAGAGAAGACGCCGGCCCGGGAGAGTTGAGCGTAACGTGGTCCTCTGCTATTTGCTTGGCTCTGGGGGAGCTGGCAAGTCGTCGCTTCTTGACGCATTTCTCAATCGCCCATTTGATCCGTTATATCGGCCGACAATAAAACCTCGACGTGCCGTCAACAGTGTCGAGCTGCAGGGAGGAAAGCAGTGCTATCTGATTCTGGAGGAGCTTGGCGAGCTGGAACCTGCCATTCTCGAGAACCAGGCTAAGCTTGACGCATGCGACCTGATTTGCTACACTTACGACTCGTCAGACCCCGACTCTTTTTCACACATTGTCGACCTGCGCAAGCGCTTTCCGCAGCTCGACGAGCTGCCCGCCATCTACACGGCGCTGAAAGCAGATCGCGATAAGACGACACAGCGCAGCGAACTGCAGCCTGACTCGTACGCTGCCGCTATCAATATGAGCACCCCACTGCATGTCAGCGTCACTTGGAATAGTATCAGTGAGCTCTTCGTCGCCCTCGCCGAAGCTGCCATGAACCCCAGCATCGCGTTCCCTAAGAGCGAAGACCCCCCAGATCACACTAGTCTCTACATGGCACTGGGCACAACAGCCTGCGCCGCCATCGCTGCCTTTATGATCTGGCGGCGGTCGACGAGCGCGATGTGATAGGTTTTGTCTTTGAGAGCAGCGGAGGAAAGGCAAGACGGGAGTCGAGTTGGGGGTTCTGTTTTATGGATTTCCTTTGGATGAAGAGATAGGATACGTATCAGCCCCAAGTGGGTGTTGATTCGAAGAGAGTTTGGAAAGCGGGACAGCAAGGGGGAAGCAGCAATTTTTTTGACGGGAGTAGGATTTTTCTGACATGGTTTTGTTTGCTTTGGCGACGTGGTTGTTTTAAGTAACGGCCTCGCTCCCCCTTTTGCTTTTGCCCTCCTCCCCAGGGGGCGAAATTATGATACCCACCTCAACTCAAGTCGCGCCATACGGACGCAACACGCGTGCAATCACCTTGGTTTTACGCATTGCAAATGCAAGAGTCTAGTATTTAATGTTGTCTTTTTAATAACGAAATTATCCAGTATATCTGGTCCCCACTCCGCCTTGAATCACCTCCAGCGACTTTGAAAGTCTGGGTTGCTTATGTTTCCCGCTGGTCATTGTGAAATGTCGCTGCCAGCTAACGGCAAGCTTAGAAGTTGCCGTTCTAGTTTGCGGAGAGGTTAATCGCAGAATATGCTAAAGATAGAATAGTGTGTGTGCACCATCACGAAGAGGCGACGCTCAACAATGGTACAAGATCAGTCAAACTGAACGGTCAAACATAATGCCTCGTCTAACGTCGCGACAAGATTTCGTGCCGTGTTGTTTTGGTAGCTCCAAGGATGATATACTAGAATGGCGGGCTCTGCTGCCACCGTACCACACCATTTATGTTACCTGTTTACCATTGTTTTGCTAGGTAGCCAAGTGTTCCCTAGGCGGGTAATGGAGAAGGAAAAATATTCATAGTTCTTCCATCAAAACAGAGCCTTGATATTTGCCAGAAAAAAAAAGGTTGCTGGAGGGGCGCATATGCCAGCAAGTTTAAATGTGAATGCACGGTGTCAAATGCCTGCTGCCTCACACAGGCCGACCCAACAACTTCGTGTCCGAGTCATGGGGGTTTCTTGCTGTCGCTGTCTCCGCAGAGCAGGAAAGGGAGAAGAGAGGAAAAATGCCACCGCGCCAGTTCCCATCAGGGATCGCCTCTGTTCCTCTAGAATAGGTAAAGCACAAAGCCAAAGTTGTTTAAGACAGAAAATAATAAGGGAAAAGAGATTCTTGTTTTGCCCGGGGGTGTTTATACCCTGTAGAAGCAAAAGGCAACGTAGAAGCTAGCAGCCTCCATCTCCTCGGGAGAGACGAGCAGGGCGCCGCCGCGGCGCTCGCGCACTCCCATGCGCTCGCTGAGGGGGCCGAGATCGGGGTCATCCTTCTCCGTCTCCCACACGTCGTCAAACGTCTTGTGGTACTGCAGCTCGAGGTTGTAGTCCTCGGCCAGGGCGCGGAACGCCTCCCATGGGACCACGTACTCGGGCACCTCTTCGACGGCCTCGTGCAGGAAGAAGTTGTATTTCCACCCAAACGGCGGTCGGAAGATGCCGTCCTCGGGCGTCTTTCCGGGGAACCGCACGCGGTAGATATCGTTGCCCCACTCGGCCGTTGGCTCCTCCTCGTCGGCCTCGCCGTCTTCTTTCTCGTCTGACACTTCCCCATCTTCGGCCTCAGCTTTGGTTTCAGGATCAGCACCGTCGGAAGAGGTCTCAGCCGCCTTAGACTTTTTCTGCTTTGCAAGCCCCTGGTTGAATGCCTCAACACGGGAGCCAATGACGTCAGAGTTGGGGATGCACCCAAGGAAGCGGCCGCCCTTCTTCAGCGCGCCGGCGACGTTCTTGAGCATCTGGCGCGCTTTCTCCTCGCTCTCGAACGCGTAGTGCATGCAGAACATCATGCTGACCACGTCGAAGCCGCGGCTGCTGCTGATATTAGAGGTCCCAAAGCCAACTTGCCGCACAATCTCCACGTCCCCCAGTGATTCAGCAAAGCAGTCCTTGGCGTGGAAGCGCGCGTCAAAGATGCTCGGCGGTCGTCGGCCTCTGTCACCACCGCGCCCTCCCCGCCCACCTCCTCCGCCGCGGTTTGCCATGCTGCGATATCGCTCCCGTGCCTGGTCAATGGACACATCAGCCGGGTCCAGTCCAACATACAACTCAACGGCCTGCGGCGCCTGCTGCCATTTGTACAGATCGCCTCCCTTGCCGCAGCCAATGTCGAGCACTAGCAGCTTATTGCCAGAGCTCATGCCGCGCTCACGGGCGCCTGGCACGTGGTCCTCATCGGGGGAGAATTTCTGGATGATGCAGCTCTTAACCCAGTTGTTGAAGGAGCGCAGGCCCTTGATGCGGCTGTCCGTCTTGCGCCAGTCGCGCCCTCGCTCCGGCACCGCGTTGTAGTGCGCCCGCACTACGTCGTTGATGACCGAACGTCCTGCCAGCGGCGGTGGCCCCGACGGGCTCCGCAGGTCCCTCGGGTCTCTCGGGTCCGCCAGCGGAGGCGCTCCTGATTGCGCTTCTAGATGTTGCTGCTGTGCGGCAAGGGTTCGCTCGCGTTCGAGGGCCCTCTGTCGAATTTGCTCCCGCTCTGCCTCAGAAATGCGAGCCCGCTGGCCAGGTCGTTTCTGCTTGCGCGGCGCCTCCCCGCCAGGTGGGGGTGAAGTAGACCGCTGTCGCTTCTTGGCCGGCGCCAACTTTTTGGCGTCGAAGGGCTGAGGTAGGTCGTCGTTGTCATTGTTTTTGCGACGGGACGAGGATTGCGACGCTGCTGAGTGCGTCTCAGTTTCGTCGTGGGGGAAGTTTCCCGCCATGGTAGATAGCGCGCAATCAGGACGGGGTGGATAGAAGGTGAGGTGTTCTGGAAGGGAGCTTGTAGATCTCGCAGCTGGTCTGGGCCTTTCTGGTCGCTGTCTTTAGCAGGTGCAGATCGGTGATTATCGCTTTGTCATATCATTCCGAAATGCGATGTATAAGACTCGAAATAAAGTCCCGAATCTTTTTCGCTTTGATATTAGGAGCAAAGCGCGGAATTGGCAAGTCTCTGTAGTTGCACGATAAGGCCGTGTCTGTGTCGCTGTCGCTGTCTGAAGAAGGCACGGAAGAATGCACAGTGGGCTCGCAAGGAATAAAATAGCGATAATAAAGCCGTCCACGGTAGGTTTCTACGTTTCGACTAGACCGGATTAGGGACAATTGAAGCTACAGTTTCAACTCGCTTGCAGAGCGGCTTGGAAAATACAGTCAGACCTGCACATAACGATCCGAGCTTACGATTAGAAAGTAGTGGGGTAAAAATGGGGCAAAATGGGTCAGAGAGAAATAAGTGGGCCTAAATTTGTTTTGCATTCCCTTCGTATAACAATATTGAGCTGGTTTGAAGGGTAGACACTAAGCCTCTTTGGTATAAACCCACTCTAAATTTGTCAGGCCCCACTAACTGCCTAATTAGGGGTTGATCTTTAACGATAACCTCTTATTAACGATCAGAATCTGGGTATATACCGCCCACTATCGTTCCTTGTAGGTCTGACTGTACCCATGGGCACAGCCCAATTACTAAGGCTTTTGGCTTGTTGAGCTTGGCCGCCAAACCAATGGCACTAGCCTAATATAGTAAGAACCTAAGATTCAGCTCCCCGGGCTGCGACTGACGCGAGCAGCTGCCGCCTTGCATCCAGACCGCGGCGCTCGAGCCAACCTGAGAGCTGACAACTTCGAGCTTAGCCATCCTCCGTCTTCCAAACCCAACCAGCGTTGTCAACATCTGCAAGCCGAGCTGCCAGCGACTTCATCCGCCGAACTCGTATCTGCCTTGAATATCTGAGGCATTCTTTTCTGCATCGAGACGATTTGTTGCAGGTTCCCGCATTTACTGGACTTAATCAGGCAGGCTTCTTACAACCAAGGTCCCGACTGGCCTGGCCTGGCTCTAGATCAAACCAACCAAGTCCGTCACATCGCCACCACAATGGGCTCAGATCCTCAATACGCAAAATGGCCGTTGCTGCTGCTGGCCCAGCACGTCTTCACGCTCACTAACCCCTACGCCTCCCGTCCCGCGCAGCAGGCGTCGGCCAAGAGCCTGCAGGATGCCATCAGCGAGCACAAGATGGCGCCCCTGTACCGGTACCTTGCACATCCCGTCGAGGGTATCCTCAACCCCGTCGGCGAGGCCAGTTCGAGTGTCGTCGGCAAGCCTACAAGCAGAAAGAGCAGCGCCGTCGGCATGATCGCCACCAAGGGCACCTCGTCGAGCATAAACCTCCTCTGGGACGAGGCCTTGTACCAGTCACTGCAGGCCGATAACCAACGTGAACTAGACGAGTTCCAGAAAGAGGAGGATGAGGCTGTCGAAAAAGCTGGCGACACTGAGATCATGGCTGCCAGAGGCAAGAGAGCCGAGTTCTGGGCCCGAGTCGGTGACAAGGTTTGTTTTCCACCGTCCAATAGCCTCCCCCCGGCTCTACTCGCCATTGGAAATATTTTACTGTTTCTAACAAGTACGCCTTGCTCGCCTCTATAGGAGAAAGCCATTTCCTCGTATGACGACGTGTATGAGAAGACGGGTATTCTTGGCACCAAGATTGATATTGTGCTCGCTATCATACGAATGGGACTGTTCTACGGTGACAAGCAGCTCGTCAAGAAGCACGTTGAGCGGGCCAAGACGCTGGTTGAGAGCGGCGGCGACTGGGACCGTAGAAACCGCCTCAAGGCCTATGAAGGCCTCTACCTCTTGACTGTGCGGAGTTACAACCTGGCAGCCCCCCTACTGCTGGACAGTCTGTCAACCTTCACATCGTACGAGCTATGCACCTACAGCAACTTGGTCGTCTACTCAGTGCTCGCCGGCTCCATCTCTCTCAAGCGTGTCGACTTCAAGTCCAAAGTGGTGGATGCCCCTGAGATCAAGGCGATCCTTGGTGACGGCAGCGACAAGCTCTTGGCCCTGTCGGGTGCCATCTCGGCTGGCCCCGGCGCCGACGCGAGCATGCAGGACACGAGCTCGATCCCAGCAGGAGCGACAGCCGTCGTAAACCTGACGACCCTGGGCCGCAGCACCGATCAACCTGAGGCCGAGATGTCGGTAGACTTCAGCTCGCTTTCTCAGCTTGTCAGCAGCCTGTATAACGGACGGTATAAGCTCTTCTTCCAGGCTCTTGCTCTCGTCGAGGAGCAGTTCCTGACGCAGGACCGCTACCTTCACGAGCACAAGAACTGGTTCATCCGTGAGATGCGCCTCCGTGCCTACCAGCAGCTTCTGCAGAGTTATCGTGTTGTCGGTCTCGACAGCATGGCTAATGACTTTGGGGTAACCGTTGACTTTCTGGATCGGTAAGATTCTTCCTGCGTTCCCTTCAAGTTTTTGATAGGAAGCTAACATGTTCTCTCACTCAGCGACCTAGCCAAGTTCATTGCCGGCGGCCGGATTCCCTGCACGATCGATCGTGTCTCGGGCAAGGGCGTCATTGAGACCAACCGGCCCGACGACAAGAACAAGCAGTACCAGGACGTCGTGCGCCAAGGCGATCAGCTGATTACGAAGCTGCAAAAGTATGGGCAGGCTGTTCGGTTGAGAGGGAGCGAAAGAGCGTAATGTTTTGTTAATCCATATGAATGTGCGTATTGAGAGGCGCGATCCTGTCTTCCGTATGAATGAGAGGGAGACTCTTAAATAGATGGAAGGAACACGAAAAGCGCATTTGTTTACCCGGGTTTTTCTCTGCATACCTCAACACCCACGCCCACATTTGTGCTGTGTTCTGAACCCGTATACTTGGTAAAGTGATCTCTCCCAACGTATCAGTTTTGGAGACAGTCGGCTAAGGGACAGGCAGGAGCCGTGAAAAATAGAGCAGTTTCGGGAGGGATGCGCAAATGTGATAATTAGCTTGTATGATACCTTGGCTTTTGACTGACGTTGTCTTTCCCATCCTTTGTTCTAGACATGGAGACAAACGCCAATATCCTGTGTTGAACATTGTGGTCTGTCAGGGGTGTTTGTTGAGGCTGGACCAGTGTGTATGAGTTTGATGTTATCATCCTCTCAAGAAGAAATAATTAATGGGAAAAAAAAGAGGCTGAACAATGATATATAAATACTGGCGCCTCGCACGCTATCTAGCCCTAACTTGCCCGCTGTGTATTTGGGGATGGTATTCCCTTCGCTCGCATATCATCTAGATGTGTTCTGCTCTCCCCGTCGACCACAATATTTAGAAGTATGAAAAAGAAAAATACATGGTAAAAAACGCCGAGTCTTCTTCTCTCTCGCCCTTCCTCTCCGTGATGGTATCCCATGCTACTACTAACCCAACCCCCAACTCCCCGCTTTTTTGAGAAAACCATGGCTAGACCAAAAGATAATCAGTAATGCGTACGGATCCAAGTTTCTCTTTTTTCCAGACTCAAGCATTCGAAAGCTCGCCAACAAAGGGAGGACTATATAATCGATATGGCTCGGTTCCGAGATATGAACCGGGAGGCAGCTCCGCAGAACAAAACCACCGCGCGCACGCATGTCTTTGCATCAGCGGTACTTGCCCATGAACTCCTGGTGGAATTTGATGATTGACCCGACCCACTCGGTTCCGGGCGCGAGGAAGGTCGTGCGGAAGTGTAGGCTGCCCTCCTTCTGCCCGAACCCGGAGCCGGGGACAACGCAGACACCCGTGGCCTCAAGCATACACATGCAGTAGAACTCATCGGCGGTGCGCCCCTCCTGGGCGGCAGCCTCGGCAGCCTTGGGAGACAGGTTGATTGTGGGAAAGAGATACATGCTGCCCTGGGGCGAGCCGCACTCGACGCCTTCCATTTGCTCAAAAGCCTTGTGCAGGGCCATGGCCCGCTCCTTGAGGCCGTTGAAGATGCCGTCATACTCCTTTCTGTAGAGATCGTGGCTCGGCTCGCCCGGCTTGGGCGGGTTCACCATAAGCTCCACCAAGCATTGGCCGATGACAGGGGCGCAGAGCATGATGCTGACAAACTTGTAGATCTCGGCCTGCACTTCTGGGTCGAAGTTGACGAGTTCAAAGTAGCCGCCGCGGTGGCCGCACTCGCCCACCATGCCCTTAGAAACCGAGTGGAGCGATGCGAGCTCCACGCAGTCGTACTTGCCTGGATTCTCCTTCTGCAGCTGGCGCAGCATGCGCTTGAAGCTGATGAACTCGCCAACAAACACATTGGTCTGATACACCTCGTCGGCGAGGATGACCAAGTGCTCCTGCTGGGCGTAGTCGATGACGGCGCGGATGTCCTCCTCAGGCAGGGAGGCGCCCGTGGGATTGCCCGGGTTGATGATGACAATTGCGCGCACGTCGATACCCTCGGCCTTGGCTTTCTCGTTGGCCTCTTTGATGGTGGCAAGATCAGTGCCCCAGTTCCTGGCCTCGTCCAGAAGGTAGGGGACACACTTGGCGTTCAACACGGCAAGAGAGGCGGTGTAAAGGGGGTACTGGGGGATGGGGACAAGGATGCCCGAATTTTCGTCGGCGCAGAGGACGTGCAGGAGGGTGTTAACTCCTGACGAAGCTCCGGCAGAAAGGTAGATGTCCGCCTTGTTTGCGGGAAAGCCATCACGTTCTAGTCGGTGCGCGGGTCAGCTTGTAAAGTAGCTACCGACACCCTCCCAAGATCTTGACGCAATAGCATGGGACGACATGGCACGGCAGCTAACTCACCTTCGAGGAACTTAGCAATGCTCTGTCTGATAGCGGGAACGCCATTGCTAGCGCTGTAAGCACCGACAGAGCCGACGCTTTTGAGGAGCCTCCTCGCGCGCTCGAGAACGTCAGGCTTGTAGCCCAGCTGGTTCAGCAGCACGTCCTCATGACTAAGAAGGGTCGGGTTTTCCAGCAGACTCAGGACCTGGCGGAAGAATGTAATGGGCTTCTGGTCGAGCTGCTGGGGGTTGCCGATGTTGGCCGAGATGACCTGGTCGAAGGGCAGGTCGGTGAGCCCACCCTGGAGGTAAGAGCGGTACTCTTCCGACTTGACGGCGAGCTCGCCGCGCACGGCATACTTGGCCGCCTTGATGTGTGGGTTGATGTTGTTGATGTTCAGGCGTCGCCGGGGCGTTGTGGATGACATTGTGCGGGTCTGCCGGCACGAAGGCGGCAGGCGCAACAACAACAGTGGGCCGGGAGACGACGAGAAGCAGTTGCGCTGTTGACGCAGCGGGGTAGGGCGGGGATGAGAAGATGGCGGGAAAGCTAGGCTCACGATATCTATGACAAACACCAATAAATGGGCTCGTTGGTTAATAAAAAAGATGTCTGGGAACTGCAGCAGCGAGTATAGATAGGTAAGGTAGGTAGGTATATAAATCCTAGCCTCGAGATAGTGGTGGTCCAAGAAAAGTATAGATTTGAAGTGGCGAAATCAGACACTAACACTTGAGGCAATAATTTACAGCGTATGTGAATAGCAGGAATAGGGGGGTTGGTGGTGAATGGACGATATGGAGGTTCGTCTTCTTCAGGCGGACAGAGAGCGGGCCAGGGAAGGATGAGAGAGAGATGGGCTAGAGACAAGAAACAAACGAGAGAAAATAAAAGATATGAATAATGACATGAGACCGAGGCGGGAATAAGACCGCAGGCCAGCATTGTGGTTGGCTACCAGCTGCCCGACAGGAGCGCGCGCAGCCGAAGAAATCAGCGCATCTTGTCCCTCTTGTCGCCCGACATTTCTGTCTCCACGGACCAGGCCGAATGTGAACGAGAACAGCGCTGGAAGTCAGACCCATGACTGAACCCGCCCCAGTGGCCGAAACCGGGGGCCCTGAGTCTGAGTCCGGACCTTCCTGGTTTCAGGCGCCTACTACAGAGGCAAGACCCCACTAGGGAGCTGGCATCAGGCTGCAGGTGGCGGGCAAGTGCGCGCGCAAACAGAAACGACGGGCTGTTGAGGGAGAATGGAAAATGAAAAAAAAAAAAAAAAAAAAAAAAGCCTCGTTACCTTTGTGACCCAAAGCTCGCCAATTGGCGCTTACAGTTGGCAATGAGCTATTTATCGAAGCAGCTCTGCAGCGAGCAATGCGCAGCGCCTTTTCCATACCAGGCGCCATTTTATGTCGTGCGAGTTGAAGAAAGGATTTGGGCGAGGTGACTTGGCGGTTCCTGGATGCGCTCACTCGGTTTAGGTGGGGAAAGCTTATCGTGGGGAAGCTTTGCAACTCTGTTCAGCCACTACAACCCTTCGAGCTCGAGGCCCGTGTCGGAGTCCAATTGTCGAGAGTCTCGTGACAGAAAGATCACAGATCTCTCTTATCGACAGGACCAGAGAGATGAAATAGGATCGTCCTTTTGGTGCCAGCTGGGTAACAATGCCGTTCGCTCCGAAGTGCCCAGACTCGACAGCTCCGAAAATGGAGCAAAGCGGTGTGGTGTTCCCGTCAACGGTCAAGGTGAGCCCTCGCTTGCTTGAAACGGCTAACGGAATAAGAACAAGCATGAAGATAGAACGAAACTGAAGTAATTGAATTTACCGACGCCGCCGCCGCCTCCTTCATGGCTGACTGGATGACCTCAGCCGATACGAACTAAAGGTTACGTTTGGTTGCTAGAACTCTTTGTGGCTCTAGCGCGAGGAGATGCTGAACGCTATTCATTGATAACGGGTGCCACAGACAGATTTCGGAAATAGGTAAACGAGAACCTCTAGAGAGCATCGCAAAAACCAAGGCCATTGTGTACCAGTTGGGTCTCAGAAACAAGATACTAGAGATACAGTCCAATCCATGAAGGACTGTCCAGTACCGCTATACCTCGGAGACTGTATCGCTATGACATCAGAGCCGAGAAAGGAGATATCCATCAAATAAGTGAAGAGTTCTTATTAGCCAGTTGTTTGATTATATCAGCATTTCATCTGAATTTATTTCCCCTTCACTCCAACCCATTAGCATCTGGAGGAATGAATGACCTGGGAGTTTGTCTTGCGTTGCTCTGAATCCCGTACGCACGCAGGTCCCGGCCCGTCCGTAGGCCAACATGCCGGCCTGGATCAACCGGCTTTCCGGCTCTTTCCAAAGTGCAGCACTGTAAGTGGGGCCCGAGCAGCTGTAGCTCGACCCCCTGACGCAGCTCTCTGTGTGAAAGTGCGCTAGTAGCTAGCGAGCGCGGTAGCTCTCCGGGGAAACTGACATTCGTCGGCGACTTGGGACACAGGCAAACGAAACCTCTGAGAATTTCAAAAACACACGACGGGCGCGCGCCAGCCGTTGACAGCCACGACCGCTCGCCGCCGCCGTCCCCGAGAACACCGACAGCGTTGCAAGCCAAGATGGCAAAGAAAGGTACACACCATCAATTCAATCCCCAATTGACAAGGGGGGGAAACAGGCAAGGAGCCTCCAAAAAAAAACCACTCTGGGCTAACATTTCCACTTCTTAAAAAAAAAAGCCAAGTCCCGCGTCATCATCGTGCGCCTCCTATCGATGGCCATGACGGGCTACTTCTATACCTTTACGCGGCCCAGAGTAGCGCGGCCGATGAGCCTACTCAAATATGACCCGATCGGTATGCCGCGCCCAGTTTCCATTTGCGCTGCGTTCTCCCCCTTTGCCACCCTCTTCTTAATGGATAGGGATCAGACCTAGGGGAAAGGATTGGAGACGAGATCGGACAATAAAAAAGACTACCCCCTCAACATTCCAACTTCAGCAACAAAAACAGAATGGCCACAACGGCTCTATACCCACCCACGTAGATACAGCTCGCTAACCACATCGAAACCCGCAGTGCGAAGGAGAGTCCTATTCCTCGAGTCAAAGAAAAAGTTCACTGGTGGCAGGTGATGGAACTGGCTGAGACCAAACAGAAACGGGGCGATGGGGTCATCCTTCTACCGCAAAATCGCCTGGGCGAGCCACCGAACGATTGCCCTACAGATGGACCAGCTTGCGAAAAGTTCCGGTTATTCTGTACCGCACATCAACCTCGCGGTACGGACAAAGGTGGATTTGCCTCGACGAACGAAGCACATGGAAGAAGCATGCGTACCCTTTGGTGGTGCATAACAGCAGCCGTGTACTACTACTACCATATACCACCGATGATGTCTGTCAGTGTACTATAAAAGAAACCACCCCGCCACACACACATCAGCATGGCCGGCGTTCTAGGTTTTGAGATAGGCTTTATTGCCTATTAGGGAAGGAAAGGAAAAATACATATTCTATTACAATGATCAACTTTCCGGTATAGTGTTGGATAGTACACTTTCATTCTGACATGGTAGCCTAGATATATCCCGTCCTTCATCCCTCCAAATGGTCAAATAACACTGTCAAAGCTCAGAACTAACATTCGTTAAAGTAAACCCGAAGGCGGTAAATATGTTCAACTGTCGCGTCGAGTATCGAACAAATTCGACCTGTCGTAAGATCTGCAATAGTAAGAGCAAGGGGAAGGATCCGTAACTGAACCGTTCTCAATGGCTATCGTGACCGTCTTTTAAAGTCCGGCAAAGGCAGAAGTAGATTTTCGTCCTTCTGTGCAAAATCCTAAGAAAATGTGTTGGACTCTTGCGATTCCTCTTCTGGACGCCGGAATCGCGGCTATGATTGGGAGTCCTGTTGCTGGCTTTCCTGGGATGCTGCGATGCCGTTTCTAGAACCATAAGTTCTAGTCTTAGGCTTGTTTAAAAGAGTTGCGTTCTTGTGCGGCTGTACTGTCCCTTTAAATGCCCACTGAGTTTGCTGAGGTGCGTTGGGGAAATCTTGGGTCGGTCCAGTCTCACTCTTGACTACTTCCTCCCCTAGCATGTTAAGTGACGACAGACGCTTTACACTAGGTTCTCTGGTCTGCTTTGAGAGACCAACTGAGTCTCCAAATCTCTGTGGACTCTCCGAGCGCTTCCGTCTGTGTGAATGTGTTTTCCGCGGCTTACCCGTGCTCTGCTTTGGCCTCGGTGCCCGTTCAGGCCGCTTGTCATGGCAGCTCTTAACTTGCACTTCTTCGGCTATTACCTCTGTGAGCATAGGCTCGGTGATTAGAGGCGTATTAGAGCTTCTGGTAGGCACACCCTGGTCTGGTGAGCTTTTCTGAGCGTCGCCATGTTGGGACATGCTTCCAGTGATACGCTTCAGAATGGATTTTGGTTTCCAGGCTAGACTCCTCTGTTGCTTCTCCTGGTCAATAGAAGGCGAGACAGGTTCGCCCAGATCATTTGCAGGGCTGCAGACGACGACACGTCTATTGCGGGCTTGAAGAACCGTGAGGTCCTTAGATGGGAAGGTAATGCCTGACTGATCGCCATTTCCAGGTGTATGTATCTCCTCGTCCTTGTTTAGCATGCTCCTGCTGTCGTCCTGCTGGTCCCGATAGTAGGCTGAATTAGGGGCGTCCAATGGTGAGAGCTGCGAAAGTATCTCTTCACTCTAAAAGTAATGTTTGGCATTCTAATTAGTCTCCCTCAAGGGCTCCGAAGGACCTCTACCCACAAGAGCATGGGATTTCAGAGAATCCATCAACTTTCCAAGGGTCTGTACGAATTTCGGTCCTGTCTCGTCAGCTTCACCGTCTCCGAAGAAGGTATCGAAGCTAATATCGATTTCAGTGACAAGCCCCTCCTTGGTAGTCCACTGCTTCAAGACGTCAAAGAGCGCATTAGCCTTCACACACAAGCGGCGGAAATCCCCATCAGACTTGAGTCCCCTTTCCATGGCACCATCAAGCTCGGTAGTAATTTTTTGAAGTTTGGCCGACTCTTGATTCCGAAATTGCTCACCTTTTGCAGCTTTTTGCTTGACCTCGTCGGCCATGGTCTTATACCGTTCCTCGGCAATGGAGAGGCTCTCTCTGAGCGACTTTGTTGTAGCAATGCCATCACGCTCTTTCTGTTCCTTTTCGTGCAGTGCTTGCTTGAGGCTCGTTGTCTGACTAGTCAAGTAATCCAGCTGTTGTGTGCGGTGTAAACCCTCCTTGGCTTCCGTTTTGGCTTTTTCAATTTCGACTCTAGCTTCCATGCGAGCAATACTGACTGCCTTATTCGCTGCGGCTTTCAGTGTGGAATCCATTGTCTGGATTGTTTTGTTGAACCCGAGAACACTTGCAGTGAATTGCTGCACTTCGGCCCGATATGTGTCATCCTTTGCCTCCAGTTTCTCATCAAGCTCCGCAATCATGGATTCTTTGGCGCTGAGGGTTTCTGTCAGACGCGAAATCTCGGTCTCAGAGTCTTGTAGGCGATGATTCTCCATTTCATGGATTTCTTCATGAAGGCTCCGTATCTTATCCATTTGCCGCAACGAGACCTTTCTCATCTCATCGACTTCAGCCTCGCGTTGCTGGCATTCGGCTTCCTTCGTCTTCAATAAACTAGAAAGCGTGCCGTTCTCCTCCAGTTTCTTCTCCAACTTCTGGCCCAACGCGTGCTACTGGTTGTCAAGTTGTTCCAGTATCTTTCCCATCTGGGTCTTGACGACTTCAACGAGTTGATCAGCTGGTTCTTTGTCTGGTCCATGAGACTCGAAGAATGATTCTAGCTTAGATGTAACGCTTTGGCGGTCAGGACAAGCAAACGGCAAGGTGGGAAACACGGCGTATTTGCTCACTTGTTGGCTGCTTCATGGTGCAGCTCCTGGACGCCAGCGAGCAAGTCAGGCTGGCTTGTCGTCAGATTCACCAGATTTTCGAGCTTTTCGGTCATCAAGGTGAGACTATCAATGTTTATTTCAATTAGCATCGTTGACAATATTCTCAGATGCTCTCCAAGAGAACCTTTATGCGCATTGATGCCAGGATATCATCTCAATAGTTATCACTTACTTCTCGTGAGTGTTTTCTTCGAACTTTGTTTGAAGCTCAACATTTTGAGCTTACGAGTATTATTTACGGGGAATGATATTCTAGTACAACATTTTGATGCCTCCCATGCCTCCACGGTGAGTTGGTTCCATGGTCTTTTCAGGGGGTCCGAAGACCCCCCTAAGCATGAAAACACAAATGCTTACAAATTTCCGGCCTGCTCCCTAGAAGTCAATTACCAAGGGAGCCAATAATACGACCTCTAGGTTGGTTCTGGGTACCGCTTGAAGTGAAGGTGATTACGTATGGAGCAATGGCAAGAGTATGAGAATGCATGACTTGGACAAGAGCAGGACTTGGGACATTAATTAACTCCGTGCTAAAGGAGAACAAAAAAAAGACGAAAAAAGACTACCAGAAATTTCTGGCCATGCCAAGACAGTCTAGTAGTCCATTCATTCTAGCGGACTAAGAGAGATATTTCAAGGCCTTGGCTGGAAAACCACAAGAAGCAAGTCCGCTCAAATGAGTCCCCTTGCACACTCACGCAAACATGTGTTGGGGTTTAATCTCGACGAAATAAAAGCTGCGGCGGCAAGTGCTACAACCTCCATACACCACACACACGTCTCAGCCACGGAAGCGGCCCTTTCCAGTCAAGGTGGCGTTTGGTGTGCGTAGTAGTATGTATGGATGGCCTCGTCCCGGGTCACCGCCGAGAACAAGCGGGTGACAAAAATAATAATAATCAGATCCAATTTGTTTCTACCACACCCAACTTACCCAGGATAAAAATCGTGGCTTTTTTGGGACAAGTTCATAACGAGGCTGGACCAATACGAGGTTGAACGTGTCTTCGAGATCAAGAACAGGGCTGTCGCCGATAACCGGTGATTTCCTAGTGATATGGGTATCCAGACTTCGTTATCGTAGCTTTTATACCTGGTATCATTGAGGGTGGTGAGTGGTGGCACCGACAGCGCCTCCCCGAGCGTCCCGCAGTTGTCCAAAAATAATATCCCCCCCCCCCCCCCCAAAAAAAAAAATCCACATATACAACAGCTCCTAAGAAGTCTGTCAGCGGGACTAACTCCTTGATATGTGTTTTTTCTGACACAGCAGCAGCAACCTGCGTAATGGTTAACCAAGGCATCCCCATCACCCTGAGGTAAGTAAGGTAGTTAGTTAAGAAGTCATCTACGGCTTTGCACGATCTCGCACTGCAGCTGTTCGTGGACCAGGCGGGAGAGAGGCTGAGATGGGAACATGCAAGTATACCAAGTATATCATGCAGCACGTCAACGGCGCGTACCACCGACGGGGAGGAACGCAAGTGGGCGGGGCGGGGGATGTGATGGCGGCAGATCTCCGAGCCGCTTTTGCACACTAGGGTTTGGTTGTTCGGCGACGGTGATTGGGTGCTTGGGAGGGTCGCTTCGAAGGGGTGGCTCAGTTGCGCAGGGGCCAAGCTTTGCTGCAGGGGTGCCACACATGCCGGCGCTTCGAGGCAATGGCAACTGCCAATCAACTGAGGAGGAAAGGGGACAGGCACACTGACGAAAGACATCGTGCGTCGGGCTCTGGGGTTGCCAGGCCCAATTGCGCATCACGACGGCCGCTGAAAGGGGCTTCGGTTCCTGCTATTACCGCCAGTGCCGCGACTTGGGGAGTGAATGGGCACAAGACCGGCGATGCAACATGCGATAGGGCATCACATTGCAAGCACACCACTGAGAGAGGTCGGCACCTGTGACAATGGTAGGCATTCCTGGCACCCAAGCATGGGATTAGGCCTAGTAGCGTATAGGTATGGAGGCCCAGACAGCTGTTTCTCTTTAACCCCCCCCCATCGCGCCGTTATACCTGGCTCACCATCTAAATACTTACCAGCCGCCCCTCAGCCCCGTCTCCCGTCCTCAATTCCCCATCCCATCCCCATTCTCTTCTCATTTTCCTGTTGTAGGCCGCATGTTGGTTCTAGGACAGGTCCTGGATCATTATCTGGTCACACGAGCTGGCTGCTTGACCTCGCTGCTGAACAAACAAAAACAACAATAGACATGGCGGCTACGACACATAGCTTTCCCCTCCCGACCTCGGGCCCTTCTACTGATGGACAGGATAATTCCAGTCCCGACACGCCGGTTGATGGCAACGCGGCGGGCGCATCTGGAGCCAGTACCGGGGGATTCGAGCTATCTCGCGGAGGGTTGGCTGCAATCATTGTAGTTGTCTCAATCGTAGCGATACTTGGCAGTAAGTTAACATTGCCCTCGCACCTCTAGGCAAAACTGACCGGGATGCAGTTGCCATGACGATTCTCTTCTATATCGCCAAGAAGAGGGAATGGACAATTCGTGAGACCATCCGGAGATCAGCAAAGAAGGTCGTCACCGTCTTGACACCGCGGCGGTCCGAATTCCCCAGATCAGTCAAAGAGTCGGTTGGTCGAGGTGGCCGGGTCAAGTTGGACGAGGTCCCGCCGACGCCGCGAATCAAACCGGAGCAGCTAGACTTGGAAAAAGGCGCCGACAAGCCCGACAAGAAACGCTACAACTTTAGCCGCAAGTGAGCAGGGCATTCTGCAAGCGAGGGTGCCGATGAAGGCCGAAACAACAGGCAAGCGCGCCGCCACGTTATGGGTTGGCAAAGTATCCCGACAATCCCAGACTTTGTGAGCTGAAGGCCTTGCGCCAAGGGAATGGAGTTCGTGTATGGCGGGCCCGAGTCGTTGTACGGCAGGACGCTGGGGCTGTGATACCATAATTTTGTCTGTATTATATAGGGTATGAATGGAACGGGGTCTGGCGTCTATAGTCGTCGGAAGGTGTTGGTGCTCGCGCTTCTTCTCGCGTCTGAGCGTTTGTCTGCCGGAGCTGGCGGCGGCGCCTTGTCCTTACTCTTAGATTCTGGCACAAATGTTACGTTTTTCTCCCCCACAACCTCGCCTGGACGAGTCTTCGTTGTTCGGGTATACTTCTGGGCCCTGGATCCTATTGCTGTGTCCTTTGCCCTGCCGCCCTGTACCCGTGATGACGAGACCTGCATGAAAACCTCGTCGCCAGCATCGCCAGCGTTGCCACCACCATCGCTCGACCCACCGCCGCTATCCTCGACAGCGGCCGGAGGGGCGCCATCACGCCCGGGCACTTGCGTACTTGGGTTGAGGGAACGGAACTCCCAGCTGGTCTCGTCGACCTTGAAATCCTCGTCTTCGAAGAGCTTACCGAAACGGGAGTCACCCAGCACAGCATCCTCGATATCGGCCTTCTGTTTGATTTCTTGTCGTTTGGACATCTTGTCAGCCAACTTCTGATTGACCTTGACTTTCTTGACACCCCTGATTCGGCTTGCGCGCTCCTTTTCGACCTTCTCCCTAATTCTCTTCGCTCGCTCCTCCTCCCAGATATAAGGGTTGGCGATAAGGCGAGCCTGGTCGTACAACTTGGCTGCGACAAAGTAGCCGTGCATATATGGCCGCAATAGATTTGTCTTGCCAACCAGATGCCCTAGGCTGAGAGCCTTCAGTTCAGGCACCGTCAAGAACTTGAAGTTGTCATAGGTCTCGGTTCTAGTCTCGTTCTCCATCTCGTGGACCAAGTTGTCAACGAAATGGCACCATCTTGGCGCCAGACCAAGGTTTGGAATAAAGAAGCTGTGCATTTGTTTTCCCTAGTTGTCATGTCTGTTAGCAAACCAATATCTTGAGTAATTTACTAGCATGACCATAACCTACCTCGTTTGCGGTCAAGATCATGCCCGAATCTGGGCAATGAGCAACATAGTTGATGTCGACCATGGGCTCAATGGATGTCCAGAGATCACCGCTGTGCTCGTCCCATATTTTGATGATTCTCTTGTCGGCAGAAAGCAACTTGCGCTCCTCTGTAGGTGTTGTCATGTGGATGAGGCTTTGGATGGGAAGTCCCATGCCCTGGTCCTTCTTGAGAAGAGGCCGCGGATTTCTTAAGTCAAATGTGCTGATTTGGCCGTGAGCTGTGCCAAGCGCAAGAGAAAGCCCATCTTTGCTGAAATCCAAGGCAGTGACTTCGCCATCGTGACCTCCGAGGACTGCAACTCGTCCCTTGGTGCGCGGGTCGAAGAACTCGACGGTGCTGATTGACGTCCCGAAGGCGCAAAGGCCGTGTGTGGATTCCGCTACCGCCGCAACATTGACCGCACCAACATTTATGCTGCCTTGCAAGCCACTAATTGCTTCGTCTTCCCCCACGTTAATCTGCCACGGTCGGAGGTATTGGCCGCGTTCGAGATCGAGCCGGAAAACCTCGCCCATTCCGGACCCGTCCGAACTCAGGCCGACGGCTGGAACAAGCACCTCGGTATTCTGGCGGATATAGGCCAGATCCCGGCCGAACCTGGGGAGGCGAGTTTCATAGTGGCATCCCATCGGCGTATGGAACTCTAAGGATCGGTCACTTTGCAAGTGTAGACTCTTGGAGTAGTCCGAACTCAAGAGAAGAAATGTCGTATTTTCGGACTTGGTGTGTCGCGCAAAGGACAAAGACAGCTCCTGTGTCGAGTGGACGTGAAATTGGGGCTTATAAGTGCCAGAGCTCATGATCCAGTTGCCATCCTCGCTGACTCGAACACAGTTGCTCGCTGTGGAGGGGTGTTAGCATTTTCCAGAAAGGCAAATTGTTCCCGCGAGCACAGTCGGAACTGACCTTCTTCGAATTCGAATTCCTGTAGCAGCTCGAAGTTGTTCTGGTTCTCGGGGTCATATTTGGACGATCGCTTCCTGCGGCGCGCCAGCCAGTCGGGCAGCGGTCTCGCGGTCGAAGGCCCCGCGATGGTATACCTAGGTAGTCAAATCAGCATCTTCGTCGCTGCGAAAAAAAGTATAATGAAGGTAAAGAAGAGAATCTTGGACAGCGACTGCATCTACTTACACCGGCACGGTCCCTGGGTTTGACAGCTTCATGATGGGCGATAATGAAGCATGCACAACTACTCGGCCAGGCGCATCTCCAAAAATTCTGGGCAGAAAAGTCCAAGAAAGTTTCGCCAGGTGTCTCGATTGGGAAGGCGGAGAGCGGAGCACGGTAAATGTTCGGCACTAAAACTCACGTTATAGGTGGGGAAGCAACCGGCCGCTGGATCTCAAATCTTCAGCGGAAAACTCCTTTGACGTCCGCTGATGGCCCAGCCCTGGATCTGACTCGAAGGGCTAGGGTAGCTAAGTAATGACGAGTTAACGACGAGTTAACGGGATACTTGAGGTTTTACTACCGAAATCGTAGAACGGCGAAGTGCCGCGGCAGAAGCAAAAATTACCTAGTCTCATATCACGGCAAATGCTTCGGCGTCTGTATCTTCCCGTCACCACCTGCTTCCCTCATGGCCGAGTTTGTTGGACCTTGCGCACGGCAATTGCAAGACGTTCCGAAGTGGTTTCTTTGCCGGGATTATCTAAAGAACAATCGGGTCTATTATTATCGGACGCCCCTAAAGTCAATACAGGATTCACTGCATGGCAGGTGCTCTAATTAAACTCTGGTAGGTATAGCGAGATATGTAAGGAATATTTACCACAAAACGATCCATTCGCACGAGTAGTCTACTGATATTGGCTATTGTGCGGCCAGATTAAGCAGATGTAAACAATTTTATCTCTGTGCTAAGATATTCTGAGATTCATGGGATGGAGATATCCTCAAAATCCAATCTCTGAATGTTGGTTCGTGGGAAACTGTCTAAGATATGGATAGCCTCACTCCAGTCCCTTACCGCTCTGGCTGAAGGCTTTTCCAGGCTGATACTATTTACCTCATTGAATCCCTAATATCTTCCTATCCATTATTCAAGTGCCGCACCAACATTCGGGGATTCAGGGATTGGACAGTATGTACTTACTGAACTGTCTTGCAATGTCCAAATGCAACCTACCTAGGAAAGTTTTCGGGAGGTTGCATCCAATCCTATTTGGCTATTCGTCCTTTGGAGAGGAGCGGGGCCGCTTGGCGGAGCTCGTGCTGGGGCCCCAATCAGTTCTTCATAGCGCATTACGCAGTGGCTCCTTACTAAGTTGACGAACCTCCAAGGTCACTAATCACTATAACTTTCGAGGTGTACCGCCGAAGAACAAGTCTGGAGTTGCACAAACGGCCTCCCCTGCACGCTCTCTTAGTATCGTCGCGCCGACTTCACGTGTGTCGACGACAGATAAACCTCGAACGACCTCGAGCGACCTCGAGCAACCTCCGTGTCGTCTAACTTGGGCAACTGCGACCACGCGCGCAAGCCATCGGCATTCCATCTCAGGTACCTGGCCTTGCATCACGACGCCCCGGCCACGGGCAGCAGGCCGAGCAGCAGCTTCTGAAAAGAAAGCTCCTTCTGCTCGAGTCAAGCTTCCGTTTCCAGGCTCCGCATGTGCTGCCCCGCGACGAGTCGTCGGTAATCACGGCGCCGCCCGTCCTGCGGTTGTCTGCGCTGCCATGGAGCCGCGCATCCTCGCGCACACATCTACATCACCGTCGCCGCGAGCCCGGTCCCAGCTCATAGCTGCAGCTTTCCTCGACACCCACACCAGCACCCGCAGTCTTCGGCGCGCCTGCTCTGGCTTCCAATAGGACGCCCCTGCGACGCCCGGCCACGGTGGATGACCGTCCACTAATGCGGGCACGCCGTGCGGCGACACCTCTTCCGATATGGACGCGGGCGAATACGATACCAATACTCTACTAATTGTAATCATGCTCCCCTCCCGTCTCCCTCTTTCATCTGACTTGCATGTCTTGCTGGGCATACTGACAGCGCTCGCGTTCAGAATAATCTTTCCTCTATCGCTTTCCGCATTTATGAGCCCGTCGCCTCGCACTCTTCGACCTACACCTTTGCTGCCTCGGACGTCGAGGATGCCCTGCGCAGCGATGGCCATCTTGTGTACATGGATGTTGCTAGGCGGGGAATATGGTGTTTCTATCTCTCTGACAAGGACGCGCCCTTGTCCCTTCAGCCCGAGCAACACGGTCTCTACGTCAAGATGGAGGTCTGTGGCTATCTTCTGAGGCTTGTCGAGGAAGGGAGCTTCGAGCCACCGAGTCTGTACAGGGGGCGGTCGCCGGGGGCAAACGTGACCAACACGCCGAACAGCTCCTCTTCCAGCGCCTCGGGGGTTGAAGTGGCATTCCGCAGCACACAACCGACCTCACTCCCGCCGGCGCTGACCGCCGGCACCGCTGCTGTGGACACAAAGATGGCGCCCAACCTCGCCCCGGACTCGAAGGGCTACAACTCGGTTCCAGCTCGTGAAATACATGAATTTTTCGTCACGGCGGTCCTGTCCTCGCTGTCGACTTCGCTCTGCCACCAAATTGGAGCCATCTCGCTCAACCACCGAACTGTCCTGCTCCCGCCCCAGGCCTTTCACGTAGACGACGTTGATACGGCCCAAGCGTCGCGGACTTCGGCTCTAGCAACATTCCGGGTTTACCTGACTACAACGGGATCTCTCGTCATCTCTCTCTCCGTGTCGTTGCTACAGGGCCTGATTTCCTCCGCTGAAGCCTTGCGCTCAAGCTTGCCGTCCCCAGGCCCCATAGTTCTTGCTGCGCCTCTCGGAGCCTTTGGGGCATTGCAAGGCGTAGTGGACGGGGATAGCCACCTCGAGAGCGGCTTCGGCCACTCCCCGGAGACCCATATCAGCCGAGCGAGACCAGAGCCAAGCGACAGATTCTCACAGTGGAAGAGTACCTGCATCAAGCTGCTCCAGATGCGTGGCATGTCGCCCGCTTTGTTAGATGGATGCTCGTGGCTGAATATACACTTTCTCCAGAGAAAACCATTTGATCAGAGAGGGGACGGGAAGAGGACACCGCTTCTGGGCTCAGGGCCAACGGCCCCATGGCCGTCTGTTCTCTGTTTTCGGAAGCCAAAGATGGAGGCGGCGCTGGGTAACCACTTCAGAAAACTGCAAGTGGGTAGCGTCGCTGAGCATACGGACCCCCTCAGCAACGCGAAGCTCTGGTCTCAAGGCGTCTCTGAACGAGAGGATACTATTGCAAGGAGGAAAAGAGAGCGAGATGCGACCATGTTGCGCGAGACTGCCGATGCGGATGCAAGAGATCACCAGCACAACGAATATTCGCCCCTGACTCTTCGGCGCTCGAGTAACGGCGGGGGCGGGATGGCAGCTGGTGTTATGTACCCAACCCCTCCAGACGGGGTCCAACAGCCAGGGTTCACCCCCTCGTTCGATGGTGCGGGAGTGAGCCCAGGCCAGCAGCCGCCGGCAACTGCAATGGCCGATATCGATGCCGTAATGCATCACGATGCGCCAACTAGCGACGGGTTCGCTGATGGATGGCACGTGGGTGATCCTAAGCGCGAGCCACAGGGGGTAGCATTCCTCGAAGGGGAAAACATGTTTGGTGATTTGGGCGACAACTTGTTTGAGGACAATGAGCTCACCGATGCCGACTTTAATTTCTTTGACGAGCAACCACTTGGAGCCGACGTCGATCTCTCTGTTCTTCCCGAGATGGGGTTAGCGAGGGATATGTCGGCAAGTATAAGCCACGCAATCCAAGGATCTTCCCGCAATTCCGGCGGTGCGGAAACGGCCAGACCTAATAACCGCCCTGCATTGCCCGAGTTCACAAAGCCTGAGTTAAAGCACGCTCGAAGCACTCTCGCCGAAGAAAGCCGGCAGCTGAGCAACCTGGAGAGCTACAACATGAATTCAGCACTGGGAATAAAAAGACACCCAAGCCCCTTCAACCCGGATACCGTCTATAAGCGCATCCGGGCGTCGATCCACGCGCCAATGCCACCCAGATATTCTAGCAAGAACACCCAGCCACGGCGTGGCAGTGTGTTCGAAAAGGTGGACTTTGATCCATCTCTATCACTCGTAAACAAAAAATACCAAGAGCGCGGGCCGTATGACTATACGATTCCGGCTTTAAAGGCCCAGAAAGACAAACGTGGTGAAAGAGAGAACCCCCTCATACCAGGTGGCATGCTGGAGCCTGTAAAGCAACGAAAGAGCCTCAAGAGTTTGCCATCAAACATTGGCCTTCTTCTGGCAAAGATTAACGGCGGAATTAACGGCGGCCTAGAGAGTAGCCCAGCGAAGCCTAATGATCTTTCCGAGTCGGAGGAGAGCAGCTGGTCTTCAGAAGACGATAATGCTAGCGACATGTCTGGCGACCCCTGCTCTCCAGAGAAGTCTAGCGTGATAAGACGACGCCAGGATGACGATGTTGTATCAATGGCGGCCTCCTTCAAAGACCTGGAGAACACTTCGGCGGACTCGCCCGGATATGGGTCCATCGACCTTTCCCGCTTGTCGATCCCTGAAGTTCCCGAACTGTCTATGACGAAATATTTTGCAGACCCGGAGCCCGCCGCCCTCCGCCCCTCGGGTTCGGATGATGACTTGATTACGGTTGCCCAAGTTCTCACCGAGCAGGCCGCCTCGGGTCTGCTCAAACTCGCCTACCAACGTCCATGCGCCGAAACTCAAGAGGCGCGCCGATGCTTGGTCAACGCAATCCGATATTCGGTGCAGGGGTTGCAGAAGGCTTTGCCAAGAACCCTTGCAGGTGCAATGGAATGCCAGCTTCGGCCTTTCATCGAGGTGCAGGATGTGCCATCACTGGGGCCGCCGAACCGTGTTCCGCCAAGGCCAGCCGGTCAGGAGCTGGTTCGGCCCAGCATCTTTCAGATTCCTACTCCTCACATTGAGATTCGCCGCTACGAAACCCAGCTCTCGGTGTTGCCATCGGCAGTGTCCTTCTGGGAAACACTTGGTCTCGGACCTTCGCAAGGTCCCAAGGACATTGTCTCTATATGCGTGTTTCCCCAGATGGAGGGCTTACAAGACAGCGCCCTCGCTTTTGTGGAAAGAATACGAAGCACATATGAGTCGCTCAAACTGGGGGTCTTTGTAGCGCTACCAACCGTCAATGGCATAGTGGGTGGTCTGCTCCCATTTGCTGCTGACTATCATCAGGATATGGTGTCTCCCGGGGCTAATACGCCTCGGGACGCCTCGGCGGCCACTGAGAATATGGCGAAATTGGCTCAAGCATTGGCGGCCACAGCCATGACCGAGAAGAACTTTGTCGTATATTTTGTGTATTCGGCAGAAAATCCCAGGTCGATTGTGGATTCTTGTGCTGCTTTTCAGGAGCTCTTCGAACACTACAAACGGGTGATGTCGGAAAGGAAGAAGCCGATCACGAACGAGCTTGTCCTCCAGCTAGTACCGCTCGAGCATCTGGCCTCAGAGACGTCTTTAGTAGTACTATTTCCGGCTGACTATATAAGGCTCTGCATCGAGACGTATGACCGCTGCACCCTCTTTGGCGGCTCGATGCCGGCCCCCGCGATTATGCTCGAGCGAGCCCTACCGCGAACGGTAGACTTCAAACTGACGAGCAGCCCCTCGCCAAATCTCCTCCTAGAGAACACCTACATCCATGTAGCGTATGCTCAAAGCGTGGATGAGCGCTGGGTCACAGCGGCATGGACAGACAACCGTGGAAGTAAGCAAATGACGGCATCATACTGTCTGGGACGGCGAGGCAAGCCTCTCTCAAGACACCTGACAGAGGTTGTGCGCGAGATTTGGGAGACGACACTTGACTTCATCTCGGTTCTTAAGGTGCACTGGCGGGTCATAATCGCCAAGTGCGGGCCCATGGACCAACAAGAAACCGAGTTCTGGGTCGGCCTAGCGAAGCCGAATGGAGATGCTCGAGCGAACGTTAGTCTGACGCTCGTGACTGTGGACACGAATCCGTCGCTACAGCTCATCCCGCCGTCGGTCAAAATCCCCTTCACGGCACCCTCCGTGTTTTATACCACGCCCGTGTCAACACCGCAGACCTCGATCGTCTCCCCAGACCAGAGCGGAGTCGGCGGCGGCGGCGGCGGCAACCCCTCGACGCCGATGGGAGCCACCAGCGGCGGGATCGGCGCTACGACGCCCGGCGGCGAGAACTCAGCCACGGAACCCGACGTGGACACAACGCTCATCGACGTGACCGAGACGACGTGGGGAGTCGTCGTCTCGCACCGCCTCAACAACTCGACCTCCCTGACGGACCTCAACCCGGCCCTGGCCAGCGGCTACCTCATCAAGCGCGGCGGCCACCGCCCCGACGATGCCCCCGTAGCCATCGAGGTCAACGTCATCCACAACGGCGGCAACAACCCGCGCGTGCACGAGTCGCTGCTCCGCGACTTGCTCATGTATTTCAGGGGCCTCGGCACCCTGGCTAGGGCCCGTGGCATCGTCGAGCGCGACACGGACGCCCGCCCGTGGCATGTGGCCGCGGCGGAAAAGGCTGTCCGCGTACTCTATCTACTAATGTGACGGGACGGCCCGCGTGTGGTCGGCGGCGAGATACCGAAAAGAAAAAAAAAATCATATATTGTGTTTTCCAGCGGGGAGGTTTGTTCTTTGCTCTTCCGTGCGGTGGCGTGAGGGTAATTGGCATTTTACTTTCTTTTCATTGTCTTGTCTCTTTCCATTTGTCCTGGTTTCCTCTTTCCTCCTTCCTCAGCGGCGTTTTTGGCGCATGAAATCATCTCTCGCCCTCTTTGGTCTTGGCTTGGGAGCTTTTTGAATGGCGGCGGCGGATAAGGAGAGGCGGGAAATGCATATTCTCTCTTTTTTTTTCTCTTTTTTTTTTTGGCTGTATTTAAATCTCGTATCCATGGATACCTTGAGATGGGCAACCGGTACTAGTATAGTAGGGTATGTGGTACGGCACAGCGCAGCATATGGGGCGAAAAAATTAGGAGGATTGCATTCAATCACAAAAAGAAATTCAACGCTCTTCTGGTTGACTGATCTCGTGTTATTGCGAATGGGGCCAACTCTACGGCTACCAAATAAAAGTACGCCAAGTTTCCCATAATATTCCAAATCAACGATATCTACTCAACCCGCCGCTCTCGATATTGCGCTGTCATGTCGTATCATGTCGTAACGTGCCTTGACGTCTGTCTATGTTTATGTCTCTCCCTTGTTTATTCCGTCTTGAGACGCCTGGCACGAGCTACTGTGTATGCAAAAAGAAATTAAAGTACTAAAATCGTTGCAAAACGCGAGAGAAGACATCTGGATTTTGGTTGGTCTCGGGGCCGCCGTCACTAGTTCTCCCAGAAACCGGGGAACAAGTACTCGATGCGCTTCATGGCCTCAGGGTCCCTCCCGGCAGGCTTGGTCATGAACTTGACAGCGCCCTGGGCACTGCCCTCCCAGTGCTTAGCCAGGACCTTGTCGCTATTTTCCTGCGCGGCCAGCTGGTCGAGCACGGCACCGACGAGGTGCTTGGCGTTCTTGCTGTTGGCCTCCATGTACTTGAGCACCATGGCCACGTCGACGTCCTCTGTCGTGTGCCAGCAGTCGTAGTCGGTGGCCATGCAGATCATCTGGTAGGCCAGCTCGGCCTCGCGCGCCAGCTTCGCCTCGGGCAGGGCGCTCATGTTGATGACGGACCCGCCCCAAGAGCGGTACATGTTGCTCTCGGCGCGCGTGCTAAACTGGGGGCCCTCGATGCACACGACGGTGCCGCCCGAGTGGAGGACCACGCCGTCGCCGCGCATCGCCGCGGCGCACTGCTGGACCGTGGCGGCCAGGCCGGCGTCAAACGGATCCGCGAACCCGACGTGGCCGACCACGCCGCCCTCGAAGAAGGTGAAGGGCCGGATTCCCTTGGTGCGGTCGATGATCTGGTCGGGCACGACAAAGTCCATGGGCTTGATCTCCTCCTGGAGGGAACCGACGGCCGAGAAGGCGATGACGGTGCGCACGCCGAGCGACCGCAGTGCAGCGATATTGGCGCGCGCAGGCACTTCATGCGGCGCCAGCTGGTGGTACAGCCCGTGGCGCGCGAGGAAGGCGATGGGAACGCCGCCGTGCTCTAGGATTAAGATGGGCGACGACGGCTTGCCCCATGGCGTTGTCACATCCAGCGACGCGATGGGCGTATACCCGTCGATCTTGCCCAGGCCGGTGCCGCCGATGACAGCGATGCGGACGGGTCCTGAGGAACAAGACGTGGAGGGGAGGTGGTCAGTGAGATGTTCCAGGCAATCGGTTGTAATACAAGCAGACCACTAGGTCTAGGTCAAGCGAGGCTAGTAGGTGAGGCCAGCCAATGCGGGACTGATGGGGGAGGAGGGGGGGGGGGGGGGGGGGGGGAAATGCTCACTGTCGAAGTAGTCTGGGAGAGAAGCCATCGCGAGAGAGGCCCGAGAGTACTGAAGCGGAAGCCTTCGGGGATAGTAAGAAAAAAGTTGGAGGAAGGTGTCTACAGCAGTCAAAGGTTTTACGAGGTTTTGAGTCCTTCTTTCCACGTTATTTAAGGTAGTTAGGTCGAGAGAGATAAGGCAAGCGGGCAGTTATGTATCCGTCGTCCTTGCCGTCCAGGATTGCACTGGCATACACTACTAATACTGGAGTCGTACTCGATGTGAGCTCGCCACCGCCTACCACACACACACTTACTTCCCTTCACCTTTGCGCTAAATTTGAAATCTTCCGCGGGGTTGTGTTGGAATTTTTACCCCGCTAATGCGACGACGTTGAGAGATCCCCGAATGGCGTATCACGACCCCTGCAGTCAGCCGAAGTCAAGCCCGAATTAAAGGTACATACGTAGCTCGGCAGACCCACAGCCACAGGCCCCGTTCGCCCCAAACCGTGGCTGGGCAATGGGGGGGTTTTTTTTTTAACAGGCCAGGCCATCAGGCTGCTACCTAAGTTATTAGCCAAGCTAGCCTGCCCGTGTCATGGAACAAATTCGTCTTTCAACCTCTCAATACAGGCAGAGCTTACAAGTTGCAACCACTACTCAAGCAGCCGCCATACTAACCGAGATAGCATAGTATTGATTTTCTAGTCGATTGCTTGCTGAGAAAATTACCAGCCAGCGACGATCATTTTTAATTTCTGTTCCTTCCTGACATTCTCCCTAATGCCTTACCTGGGGTAGTTAGTTCTCTTTGCGACGCTTGAAGCCAAAAGCTGTCTCGACGGGATCCACCTCAGGTAGGACAGTGCAGTGCATCTGTACCACCCAGCGCAGGCCGACTATCAGACAGGCCAGCAGCTAACGTGCTGTACCCTTGATAGGGGAATAGACAGGCAGAAGAAAGAGGAAGCCAAGCAGACATGTCGAGCGCCCCAATGCCACCGGGCCAGGGTAGTGCCGCGGCGGCGGCGGCGGCGACAACAATGGCGGCCGAAGCTACCGAAGGCCGTCGTCCCATCTCTATCGAGGAGCTGTGCTTCACAACGGCCATGAGCTGCTATGAAGGATGGCTGAAGCTAGACCCAGCCATCGGACCTCGTACCATGGCCATGGTCACAAAGTTCTTTTCCCGAACGCTTGAGAAGACGCACAATCTCAAAGACGTCAGGTTGGTCTAGCCTGGTCTGGTCTGGTCCGAGCAAAGGATAGCCAGCTTACCGAAATTCTAATGCCGAGTGTCTGTCTAGGGAGACTTTGTCAAGCAGCGTGGAAATCTGGATCTGGCTGACCAAGGACTTCGCTGCTGCCATTCCAAGCCTGACCACGCGTTCCATCGGCCCGTTGGCCACCTTGAATGACCCCGAGAAGGGCGCAACCACCCAGGAGAGCACTGCACTCATCACCAAGAACTACACGTCTCTCAAAGAGGATCTCCAGCTGCTCATCAAGCTTATGCATATTGCCAGAAACCTGCTAGTTGTGCCCGAGCCCGAGGTCGCCCAGGATCTATGTGCGGCAGCCCAGTTCGACCAGATGCTCTACCAGACCATCATTCTCTGTGTTAACGTCACCAGCAAGGCCTACGACGGCGACATCCTCGAGGAGGGTGCTCGCCTCAGGCTGGGCGAGATTACCGAACTGTGTAAGACTCTCCCTCGCGCAGGCATATACCCACTCAAATGCTAACGCGCACCCCCTAGACAAAAAGCTTCTTGTTACATGCCTACAGCAGGCGCACAACTGGATTGCTAAAAATGACAGAAACAAGACGTCCTTCTGGTCAACTGTGCTCTTCGACGATGAGACTGCAGGTGAGGAGGAGGAGGCCAATGCCGGGGCTGGAGACTTCCGCCCAGAGGTCGCCAAGATCGAGGTCCAGAACTGGATCGAGCGGAACTCGAGGGTGTGCGACAAGGCCCGCCAGCTTCTAATCCAATACGAGGAGACCTTGGCGTCAAGGGGCTTCCTACCCGGCAACTTGTCGCCCATATCCCCGCTGTCCTGGAACTGGCTGCCCGAGGGGACGATTCGAACACGGGCCGGCGATGAAGAAGACGACGCCAAGATCATCCCGCACTGGAAAGAGGACGAGCCCGACAAGTTCGAGCAGGACCGCGCCTATGGCCGCGTGTCGAGGGAGGTTGATACGTGGTGGCTGAAGGTCCGGGACCCGAATTACGATGGTTGGGCTGTTCCCATGCCCCTGGTTGAGTTTGCAAAGCAGAGGACCGAGAATTGCAAGGCCAATCTCGTCAACCGCTACGCGCACTCGTACCGCACAGATGAGCGTGAAGGCTCCGTGCACTCTACCGAGGCCCCGGTGCCTCCCGATGTCGCTGCTGAGGAAGAGCATGAAGACGGCCGTGCCTATTCCCAGGACTACAATGATGACATGATTGAGGAAGAAGACGTCGACGATGACGACTCGTACGGCGAAGGGCCTATGAGCGGCCTCCTGACAGAGGTGCCGAATATTCTCGACCCTAAGCAGATCGAGGCACTCCACATGATCGTCAAATCGTGCATCCTCGACAATGCAGGGCTTGCGCTCACCAGAGCCGGGGAGAACCTGCAAAAGACGCGGTGCAGAATGTTCCTGGCTCTCGAGTGCGGGAGGAGCCTTCTCCGGGAGATCCTAGTCTTCATTGCTGTCTGGGAGAAGAACGAACAATCGCTTATTTTCCAACTCACAACACAAATTGTCGAGGCCATCCATCACAGTGCCCTAATTCCCTACGCGTGGCAGTCCTTGCGGATTCCCAAAGACATCATCTCGCCAGCGCAGACAGTGCTTTTGAGGTTGGTCAACAACATGTTCCGGGCCAGGAACGCGGACCCGCCCTCCCCAGACTCAAAGGAGCATCTACGCGACGTCAAGCTCCTTCATTTCTTGTTCATCCAGTTCCGGAGCCGCATCGTGCCAGAATGCGCTGCCCTGATGCACCTCCAGGAGCAGATTCTCAAAGGAAAGTGCGATCCTGCTGACTTTCCCGTCGACACTTGGGACATGGAGCGTGCCAAAGATGGTCTTGAGCAGTTCCTAGAGCTTTTAACCACAGTGAACGAGGTTGTTGAGACGCGCGAATATCTTATTGAGTGGGAAGCTGCCTATGAGCTTCTGGTCTTGTTAGGGGGCCTCGAGGCAGGTGTGGCAAAGAAACCGCTTGTTGACCTGGCCAACCACTCAACCAATGAGCAGACCCCCGACCCCAGCCCCTCTGAGACTCCCATCAACAACCAAAGACGTGACGATGAAGATTCACAGCATCCGCCTCCGCCTCCTCCTCCACCCCCGCCCTTGCAAGACCCTGCACACAAATTTCCATGGTCGGACATCAAGGGCAAGATCCTGCACATCCTCGCTGGACTCCTCCAGCCGCCACCCGGACAGAGCAGCCCTGGAAACCCAACAGTCCAGGCGCAAATCCTCCACCATCAAGGCATCGTCAGCTTGCTCAACTGCTGTGTCTACGACGACCATAACCGCTATGCTCGGGAACGCGTCCAGATTTGTCTCAAATGGTTGATGGACGGCTCTGACGCGGCGAACAACTTCCTTCGTGAGCTGGTCGCCATGACGCCGCCACCGGAGCTTCGACCTCAGTCTTCCGCGCCCGCAGCAGGCGGGCAGCTCTCGCCTGCCCCCGCCCCCACAACAAGCCTGAGGATTGACGGCATTGGGGGCGAGGTCAAGGTCCAGCTGAGATCACCCAGTGGGGCTGGGGGTGGGAGTGGCAATAATGGCAGTACAGTATCGCGGCTAGCGAATAAAGCTGGCTCGCTAGCCCTCCCCTCGTTGGCATCGTCAACTGCGGCGCTCCTGGTGGATGACCTCAGGAACACCGCTAGCAATAACACCCTACCTCCAATCCAATCGTCCCCAGCTCAACCCTCAACCACAACCCAGGAGGCCCGTAACCGTTCCGCGGAGTTGCTCCGCGATATTATCACTCTGGCGGACGAGGCGGCGCGGCTGGCTATGGGCCGCCGTATCGATGCAGACGAAACCGAGGATGAGGACTTTATGTAGTGATAAAATTGGGAAAACCTCATCCCACCCCCCAAATATGAACATAGAGATATAGAACAGGGGTGCGTGGGAGATTGTCGATGGAGTGGATTTGAATTAGATCCAATAAAAACAAATAAACTGCTAAATATTAATCTTTATTCCCAGCTCAACTTCTAGTCTCTCCGTGGTCCGAATCCTCTGGCAAGTGGTACTAGCAATGTTTCTACAGTGACTAGACTAGTTTCGCTGCCTACCTCATCTCTGGCATGCGCACAGCAAGAAAAACAGGAGGACAGATATACTAGGAAGACGCATGGATTTGTGTCGACGATTGACGCAGAGCACAGGAAAACGATAGCCTTTAATTCCCGCCCACCTCCTCAATCGTCCATAAATAGGAACCAGTGTCGAGAACCCGCTTTTGATTTTTAGCCATTTTCATCTCGCTCAACAAATCCTCTCCCCCCCCCCCAATCTCTCTAGACCATTACGATAACCGAGGAACCCGGCCTTTTTCGCGCTCCCATCAAACCTCGTTAAAGTAGCAACAAAAGAGAAAGAATCTTGCTGAACATGGCTAGGATTTCACCCTTTCCCCCCTTTTTCTTCTGTCTCCTGCGGGCACGCGTCGCTATAGACAAATAAATTCCCCGTATCCTCCAACCTGGCTCTCAAGCAATTACCGGACTAAATTTGCGCGACTAATCTTTTACCTGTGCTGACCCCCAAGCTACAGAACATGGCAACTATAACAGGCAACCACAAAAAAAGAAGCCATTTAGTCTCGCAGCGCTCTGCTGCTGTTGATGCCCTCCCGAACCGCAGCCAAGATAAGATCCTTGGCCTTCTCAACACCCTCCTTGGTACCGATTACTTCGATTGCCTCGCCCTTGTTTTGGTCACGGGGGACAGTGATCTTGGTCCCGCTTTGCTTCCGGATCGAGTTGACCTTGCTGCCGCCCTGGCCGATGACGTAGCGGTACGTCTTGGGGTCAGGTAAGATCAAATAGCCAGTAGCAGTCTGGTTCATTGACTGCTCAAGAGCGGCGTCGATAGCCTTCTTTGCCTTCTCAATGTTCTCCGGCGAGCCACGCAGAACCCACGGAATCTCACCCTCCTCGGCCGACGTGCTCTCCAAAACGTTCCAAGAGTGAACATCTGTAGCCGCATCGGTATCATCTGTGATCAGCGGAAGCGCGCCGCCGTTGACACGAGCATTAGATGGCGCCGCAAGTTTAGGCGGGATAGAGTGTCCGGCATGGTCGACAGTGACCTGGCAATCGCTCTTCAGTTTCCGGAAGAACTGGCCGTTGTTGGCAACGGTATGGTGCATGGCGCGGGGAACCTGGACCGTCTCGCCTTGTTGCTCCTTGACCAGAGACTGGATATGAGTCTTGGCCTTTTCAACATCTCCGGATTGGCCAGTGATCTTGACGCCCGTATGGCCGCTGCCTTGCCGGGGAACATCGATCGAGACCTTGAACTGTGATTCGAGGCTCCGCTTGATATCGCCTCCGCGGCCAATTAGGGACCTATGCTTCTCAGGAGCCACCTCAAGGACTTCGGCTACCTGGCTTTCGCGCTGGGATACGAAAGCTTGAATGTGTGCAACGATCTTATCCACGACATCGCTCCGGCCTTCGACCTTGATGGTATTGCCGTCTGTGTCCTGCTTAGGGAACTGGATGGTGCGTGCAAGCTCCCGTCTGTCGTCAGACCCGCCTGCCTTGACCACAATGTCGCGGAGATTTGAACCTATAATTTGGTTAGAAGGCTACCCGTTGGCTAAGACCAAACGATTGCTTTAACTCACCACCAGCGCCAATAAGCGTCTTGTGATACTTCCGGTCAACGTCGATAGTCTTGACTACAGTGTCATCGAAGATTGCCTTCTTCTCCTCGATAGCCTTCTTAGCGGCGGCAACTTGTGCCTTGGTGCCCTTGATTAAGATATCCACCAAGCCATCTACGGTGTCTCTCGCACTGGGGATATCAATCTTGGCGCCAGTAGCCTGGCGAAACTGATCCATAACAGCACCTCCAGATCCAATCAGGGACGGCAGCTGCTTTTGCTGGACCGAAACGGTGGCCGTAAATGACGTGTCCTTCAGGTACTGCAAAAGCGACAGGAGCTCATCCCGAGCTTCGTCGGCACCTCGCTTGGGTCCCCGGACAATAACCTCGTCAGGAGCTTGCTGACGACGGGGCTTACCAGGATCACTGGAGCCCTCTGCAACGGACTCATCATCCTTGCCGCTCTTCGCCGTGCGGGGGAAGAAGATCAGAACCTTGTATCGCGTCTGCAGCCTGTTGATCTGGGCGCCTTGAGCACCAATTAGCTCCCGATGGAACTTGGGGTCAATCTTGAGGATATGGGTGACCTCGTCTTGCAGCTGGCGGCCAAGAGCAAGAATGTGGGTCTTGGCTGCTTCGGCCTTAGCCTTGGGGCCCTTTAGCTCGACCTTGCCATCATTGACTTGAATATCAACGTCGAACTTGTCCCTGAGCTCGCGAATGTTGCTCCCGCCCTTGCCAATGAGATGATTGGCGAACTTCTGGGGAAACTCGAACTCGAGGGTAAAGCCACGCTCCTTCTCATCCTCCTTCTCTTGCTCGAGAAAAGCTACGCATTTCTCAGCCAGAGATTGAACAGCGGAGCTGGGGCCACGGAAATTCACTGTTGTGCCACGATTGGACACACGGACAGGAATTTGGTTTGCCGCCCGGTTCTCCTGCTCCTTCTTGATGAACTTCCGGAGCTTGTCGTGAAACTTCTGGGGCACATCGATGGACGCCTCAGTCAGCGATTCCTGCTGACTAAGTAGGTCTTGAATGTGCCTCTGGGCTTCTTCTAGGTATTTCTGCATTTCGCCGACATCAGCTTGGCTGGGTTGAGCTCGCGGGATTTCGTAAGAGTCCGGGCTGGAAGGCCCTTCGTATACCAAGAGGACGGGAGCGTCGATGTCCGAAGCCTCCGGCATGACCAGTTGAACCCTGTAGTCCTGTCTCACGCGAGGAATAACTTCGCTCCGTAGGTGCTGATGGAAAAACGGGTCGACAGGGACGGTAGAAATCCGGGAAGGAGGGTGGCCGTCCATCAGACCCCTGATTTCTGACTGCGCCCTGATCGCATCCTTGCCATCGCGCGAGTACAGCTCCCATGGAAGTGCGCCCTCGTTGGAAAATGGAGTGTTGAAATGGACATTATATAGCTTCTCCAACCGCTCAATTTCCTTTCTCTGTCGGAGATAGCGCGTGACATTCCGGGCGTGAGCAGAGGCGCCACCGGGAGCTTGGCGGTGGAAACGAGAAATGTCGATGTTGGAACACTGCATGTTCATAGCGAGATCCATAGCCTTCTCGAGACCAGCCTGAACCTGGCTTGGGGGACCAATAATAGTAACTATGTCGTCATCCTCATCGTTCGGGAGAATAATGGTGCAACCTGTGTCCTCGAAGAATTCATCTACCGGAATGCCCCTGTCTCCGATAATGAATTGATGTCGGCCTCGTTGAATCGAGAGCTGTTCCAGAGCAAGCTGTCGGCGAAGCTCCTCGGCCCTGCGCTCAAGCTCGGCACGAGCGGCTTGAACAGCGGTGCGTTCACCCGCCAGGTGGATGGGATTCTCATTCGACGAGGGCGCAAACACCGGACGCTCCCCAGAGGCTGGTACAGTCGGGGGCTGAGAAGACCAGGCATGATGGGGAGGCACGCGAATCTGGACTCCCTTATCTTCTTCGAGCTTGTGCACAAGAGAGTTTTTGGGGCCGGCAAGGAAGGGATAAAACTCGGCAGGGATATCCTTCAACCGCGAGTTAACGTTGGCAGCTCGTTCGCCAGCAATCTTCAGGATGGCATTACGAGCTGTGGCAGCCGACAAAGCGTTGCCTTCAACAATGACATCGATCATGCTATCATCGTCATCTTCCACGGGTCCCTGGCTCTCATCAACCTTGGGCAATTGGATCCTGGCGCCTGATTTCTCCTGCAGGGACTTGATAGTAGATCCGCCCTTGCCAATAATGTGGGCTCTCGCCGACTGAGGGATGGGAACTTTGATAGATTGCTACTCGAAGGGTCGAAGGATCAGCTCCAACCATGCTCACGAGAAAGGGCAAAACACAGGCTCCTACCTTGGTACCGATTTGGTAGACCAAGTCCTTTAGTGCCTGCTGGGCAACATCTTGAGGACCTGTGGCCTCAAACCTGAGTCTGCCATTGCCCGTTGTCGACATGTTGACATTGGCCCGAGACTTCCGATTCAAGTCCTTAATAATGTCGGAAAGTGGCCTCTTCAACTGGTTCCGTGGCAGAACGTGTTGCGGCTCGAGGAAGAGGGTCTCAATATTTCGGCCGGGGATGTTCAGCGTCGGTGGCCCCTGCAGTGCCGGGCCGGTTGGGGTCGTGATACCAGAAGCCGGCGTAGAGCTGCGCGGAGTGCCGTTGACAGAGCTAGCGCCATTAGCCTTTCCATTTGCGTTATTCTTTACGCTCCAGATGGGCGCAACGCCGGCATTGGCCTTGGACTTGGGCCCGCCCAATTCCGGGAACAGCTCATGCGACTGAGTGTCCAGTCCCGACGGCGCCTGGGCCTTCTGCTTCCCAGCTGCTTTTGCCGACATTGGTTCTACCCATGACGTCTTGGCCTCGACTTCAGACGGCGCCGCGGAAGTTACAGGCTTGCGCAGTTCTTCGTCCTCAACCTCCTCCACGATAACGTGGTGCGGACCCGCGGCGTTGTGTTGTTGCAGGAGCTGGCTGGCGGCTGAAGGCTCGACAGTAGCAGTGGCGTGGTCGGCCATAATGGCGGGAGAGACGTTCGAACAAATTGTGCCCAACGGCAAGTGGTGTATGCTGCCCGTATCTCTGACAAGCCCCAACTCCTAGCTGGCTCGCGGGGTGCGATAGTTAGGATATGACGTTTTGAGCTATCCCTCTCTGCAGCGTAGGAAGCAGCCGCAGCGAGGGGTAGGAGTTGCAAGGACGAGACTTACTGTTCAAGAGAAGCAGTGTCGAAGCGGGAGGAACGATCGAGAATAGAATTGATGATAATTAGGCCCGAGATCGCTCGTGCAGAAAAGATGCAACGAAGGGCAATGCCGAAGGGTACACGGTCGTCGGTGTGTCGTAGAGCCTTTTGTTGAGCGGGACGGGGAAAATTATGGAGAGAACTGGATGGCGGCGAATTGCTGTCTAGAACATGATGCGCGGGGGAATTGTCGCAGATCCTACTCGGCGGGTGCGTCTATGGTGACGAGAGGGAGAGGGAGCTATGGCAACCGCGTGATGGCGCAAGAGAAAAGGCCAGACAAGCGACAGGTGAGGTAGCTCAGAACTGGGTCTCGACTCTGGAGCGAGGTGGACATTTCTTTAGCTTGGCCAAAAAATTATCTGGCAGGGGAGGCCCTGAGGAGCGTGGCGCGCGTGGGTCCCAGGTCAGATCAGGTCGAGAATGGAAGGCCAGAGGGCCTGCAAGAACATTCTCCGCCCCGCAAGGGAGCCTGACAGGCCTGTCAACGGCCCACTTGCAGCTGCCAGAGCTGCCTAGTAGGCCGTCCACGGTCCTGGAAGCCTTGAGTGGGGCGCGCCCCAAACGGCAGGAGAGTTTGAGGCTTTGGGACAGGATTCGCAGGCTTCTTCTGCACTCTTGTCAATCTTCGCATTTTTCTTCCCTTATATGTTTTCTCGTTCCTTCTTGCGAGTGTCATGGGATCTGATGTGGCACATGGACTCATTGGTGGTAATACTGTAGCGAGTATTCCGTATCTGTATCAGAAACTCTCTGTTCATTTGTTCTCACTAGGTAGATAACCTTCGATGTGAGCTCCACTCCACAGAGGGGAGATAATGAGCAGTACATTTTCTTATTAGGTGGTTAAACACTAGAGGCGCTACTACATTCGGATCAATCGAGGAGACAAGGAAAGTAACCGAAGTAGCTCTCTAGAGCAGTAGGATGAGAAATTGTGTCTCTGCCAGCGCAAGTTAGCACCGGGAATAAATTGAGATTAGTTGGTAAAAATTAGAATGACCAATACTGTGGCCCAAATTTAGAATGACGACCGCTACATAATAGGTGTAAAACTCACATTGGCATTCTAAAGACATAAACCGGTACCGCAGTGTGCTATATGCGCCCTCGCCTCACATTCGTGCCCTAAGATGGTCTATGACATGCCTTTCGTCTTCCTCTACCCAGCTTCTAGTCCTAAGCGAACTGAGATCGGTAGCGCCTGTTGTGTGAAGGGGTCCCACCGGCTGTGCCCCGGGTCTTAGTTCTACATGGCGTCTAGTCCTGCGGGAAAGAGTATTTATTCTGTGGCTGTTAAGATACACGCAGACCACCTTGATATGCAGCACACTTAATCACAATACGCTGGCTACAGTTGACACCCCAATACCAAGTTCCGACCAAGCAATACGTATTGGGAGTCGAGTGCCGTCGAAGTAAGCTCTTCAGGAGTGTCGACCAAAAATAAATAAATGTTTCAAGTCGACGCTCAATAGAAAACACACACCAAGACACTCAGAAACAGCGATGCTACTATGTAGACAAGGTGGTACAGCCTCGATCAGGAGCCGAGGCAGTCTAAAGTTTGTGGAGGCATGCCATAGATCTGGTAGTTACCTTTCGTTTCTTCCACTCCAAAAAATCGAAAGACGCCTTCGGTGAGCAAATTGGAGGATACGAAGGCCAATGGAAACAACAGCCGGACAACCAAGACAATGCATCGTTGATGGATAGCCATGTCGTGGAGATGGCGTACGATGCACGTACGTACACAATGGCACGGAAAAACAAAGACCCTCAACCTTAATATTGCCCCGGCCTCGTAACTTAAAAATATTCAGGTGAACATCAACGGGTGGTGCCAATAGAGGGGGATTGCCAGGGTTCAACCTCGTATACTTCGCGACAGGCCATGTCTCGGGACACTTAGCAAGATTCCCAGGTAGTCAGCCAGTTGGCATCGGTCGTTTTCTTCCGTTGTGCAGCTGCCCGTACCACTGCCTGGATATAATTCGCGGGAGAGTTTCTGTCAGGGTTCTGGAAGACCACAGGGCGAGAAAGAATAAGACGACCCGGTCTGGTGTCGCAGGAGGGGTCCGAAAACAGAATGCGGAGTGACGAATGGCTGCATCTGCAAGCCAGCGCCTCCGAAGGTGGTGACAAGCGACTATTGGAAGCATCCGCACCTCGTGCTTTGCCAAGCCCCCCATCAGTGACCCTTGCCGACAGCTCTTTGTGGCCGCGTGTCTGTTCGAGAATGGCCACCAGAGTCTCTATCCCCCTCGTTGTCTTTGCCGCCCACGCTGTGTGGCTGGTTATTTGCTTCTTCTCTGGCAACCTTCAATCGCTTATACTGTATGTACTGTCAACACCTGCTACGACTCTTCAGGTGAGTGAGACATATGATCGAGACAGGCCAGATATCCCCGGCGGGGAAATTGCGAGCACAGTCGCAGGTCTCACATCGACAGCCATCTCGTCGTAAGATGCGGATTGGAGACGCCTGAAGAGTGGTTGTGCGAACGAACATGGAACCGTTGTGCATGTCGACATAACGGCGCCTAACGTCCAGTCCAGGTCATACGACTAGTGAGAAAAGGAATTGATTCAATTGAATGGCAAAACGGCCGCGGGGAGTCAAGGCGCCATTATCCAATTAGTGACGAGCTCCAAACCTAGAAGCAATAAGCAGAAGCTAAGGTACCTCACCTTCAAGTAGAATGTATTAGTAGTAGTAGTAGTAGTAGTAGTAGTAGTAGTAGTAGTAGTAGTAGTAGTAGTTTATTACGCAGCACTCATCACACAGCATTCTTACTAGGAGAGTTTTATAGATTGGAAGGGATATTGATGGCAGTTCACCGACGAGGAGTCTGTCTCGTTGCTTAATCACAGCCTTCCTGCCAACGGGGTTAGGGTCGGGTGTGCTGTATCTGGGGCCCCTCAAGGGCTGAGTGTCGATGCCGTTGCATCGCATCGGGGCTATAAAATTTGAACGGCAGGAGCTGGCAGCTGCTCCAAGCATTAGCTAGAGATCGCAAGACAGATCGCCGGGTCAATTAATCTGCGAGCTGAACGGATCAGGCTTTCCGAGTCTGCCAAGGTTCGTATCCATCCGCCAAAAAATACGCATAAGCCAAAGGCAACTCGTCAAAATCTTGGAACTACTACCACAGCTATACAGCTAAGGTGGTTGTATCGGTGCTAATTTTTCATTGGTTTATACAGGGCGGTGGGGGTCTTGCCGCACGAGGGAGGGTGAGGGAGGAATGGCCGCAGGCTGCCGAACCTTGGAAGCCATCTCCGTGTGGCTGCTCATTTTTCATTCTCAGCTCGATTACTGGACTCGTTGAGATCTGCCATCGAAGGCATACGCATGCATAATGGAGTAATAAGCTGAATATGGCCGCCAAATTCAGGTTCTATACTCTTATATGCGGTCAGGCATCCTCCAAATGGATTTTGGTATCGTAGATACCAGAGGTATGCGTGTGATACGGATGGTAGTTGTTAGGTTAAGGTACAGCACGAGTTCTCATCAACTGCATCTAGGTCAACCGAAGGCGTGCTGTCTGGAGGGAAGGACTTCAGACTACTAAGGCAAGTCTACAAGTAAAGGCTGTTTCAGCAACTCAAGACACCAGTCCAACAGTGGCCGTCTTTGCAAGAACTTCGATGCTCATTAAATGTACCGTATGTATCCGTACCTTATTGTACTGACCTAGCTAGGTCAACGGATTCACCTGTGTACCTTAGTTAGATGCCGTCGAGAAGGTTGGCACAGTCCTAGCCATTCAGCTCCCAAGCCCATATCATGGTCCCAAGTTCGATGCGCCATGCCTATCTCCTACCTGCAACTTTATCGCTAAAACTTGGCAACTGCCCCGCGCCCTGACACGGCCAATGCGGTGGTGGGGTTCCCAGGCTAGGTTGAACGTGAACGACACGAGTTTAACGCCAACCGCCCAGTCTCCTCGACGCCACCGACCCCAGACGAAACATGGAATGTCGATGGGCACACCAAGTTAACTCACTCTGTTTAAAAAGTAAAAGCGACGACTTCTCAACGCTAGTCACGGTTAACACATTTTAGTATGGCTGTGTGTACACACTGTACGTGTGCACCTACAACGTCGGAATCCCACAGTGCTCGTACGGTGCAACCTGGAACTCAAGATTTCCCGTAGCGTGCTCCCAGGCGTGCCAAGTCGGCGCCTGTTAGCTCTGCCGTCATCCCCACCCGCGTTTGCTTGTCAACGTTATCGTCCGTCCTGTACATTACAACGGAGTACATACACTACCTGAAAGCATGTATGTATATACACAGCCTGCTGAGATGTTTGCTCAGGTCTGTGCCTCTGAGTCTGAAGTGCGGAGCGATCCAACGTGCTGGCTTTGGATCTTAGAGTCTGCGATCCGCTCGCCCCTAGCATTCCCGCGTTATCTCGTCCGTGAAGGACCCAAATCACGGACTCGGTCAGGGTTGTTAGCGGCCACTGTCAACACAAACCTTCCCAGGGCCAGGCACCCAGCCCGCCGCCATCCCAACGTCCAAAACCATCGGTCATTTGAGAATCACGGGCCTGCGCTACCCCAAAAAGCTAATTAGGCAGGACCAAGGTCCCATGGGCCTCGGTGGATCTGACTTGGACGACGTTTTCGGTGCGGCACCGTGGGACTTACCACTCAGAAACCGCCCAGATTGACCAGAGAAAAGGCCAGACCTACCAGGCGAGCTCCAGGTTAATTCGCACCTGAATCCCCAAAAGAACTAAAACAAAATCCAAAGCAGCCATTTTAGATCGCTCCCGTCTCCCATCGGCCACAACCCGTTTGTTCCTTGAGCACAGTGCTGGCAAAACAATTCACTGGCTTTGCCCACACGGAGTCCCCAAGCAAACAAAACGGTGACCCCGTTCCGTTCCAGGGTCAAGGACCCTGTTCCCTGCCTGCCCGCAGTTCAAGACCCACCCACAAACTAGAGTTGCCGCCACCAGCGAGCGGCTTGACCTCAGGCAGGTAAGGGTACTCCGTTCTTCGTCCGTGTAACTCTTTGCACTGTGTCCCGGCAGCCGCAGCGACGATTTTACCCAGTTGCTAAGAACACTCGACAGGCGGCCACCCCCCACCAAGGAAGAGACACTCGGCGCGGCTCAGTGTGCTCAAGCGGCCAAGCAGAGAGCGAGATCAACCAAGGGCAGCCAGCAGCCAAAACGCAATTTTCTACTCTGCGACCCTCGCTCCCGCCTCAATTACCCCATCCTTTCAGTCGCTTGACCGGCCCCGACGTACCCTTTTTTTTTGTTCCGAGTACCAGCGTCCTGGCTGTATCATGGACAGCCAGACCATCGTTTCCAACGGCATTTCCCAACGTCGGAGACTCACAAAAAAGCCCCCATCAGCCCACCACCACCACTCTAGCTCCTTCAGCTTCGATGGTCGGATTGACGCCCAATCTCTAGGGAGCAAAAGAAGCTCTACCAGTTTGAGAAGGGCCCCCAGTGCTCCGCTCTCCACTACTGCAAACGCAAACGCGTCCGATCTCTCGTCGCCACGCTTCCCCGCCGCACCATCAACAACTTCCACCTTTGCAGCCCGATCGCAGCCCTCGCCGCCGTCACCCATTCTCCCGGGCAGCCAGTTTATGGCTGCAGCCTCGTCGTCACATTCGCACTTCCAGTCACAATCTCATCCATTCCCTCTCCACTCTGCCGACGTCCAGCCACCCCGCGACCCGGCCACCACCGCCCGACCCCTCAGTTCAAAGACGTCAGACGAACTCATTGGCGCCCCCTTTGACGGCACAGCAATTCTCAATCGCATCGAGGCGACTAAATCACCGACGCACAACCACAGCCAGCCCCCACCGCGTCCCGCTCCTCCTCCACTCCCACTCTCGCTTTCGCGTTCGCCGTCGCAGGCACAGGCGCAATCGTACGCGCTTGCGAGTCCCGAATCAAGGGGCTTAGGAATGGGATTTACACCAGCTCTCCGCCAGTCGGGGAGCTTCTCGACAGCCATGACAGACCAGACATTAGTCAATGAGAAGCCGGGCGTCACCAGGTCCGACAGTGTCGCGGCGCTACCCAAGAGATATTCGGACGAGACGAGGGAGTCGAAACTTCCGAGTATGCTGAGGAAAAAGTCGGGCTTCTCGGGTTTTATGAACAGCTTGGTGGGCTCTCCAAAGAAGCCCCTAATCTCGGCGCCCGAGAATCCGGTGCACGTAACACATGTCGGCTACGACAGCTCTACGGGCCAATTCACGGTAAGTGGGTGGTTGTTTCTGGCAGCGTTTTTGCGTTTCTGACTTGTCTAAACAGGGATTGCCCAAGGAGTGGCAACGACTCATCAGCGAGAGTGGCATCACAGAGAAGGAAAGGGGAGAGCACCCCCAAATCCTCGTAGATGTCTTGACATTTTATAAAGAAACGACCGAGAAGCCGCAAGAGGACCAGCAGTTAGAAAAATTCCACGATGCGAGGACAGGAGATTTTCGCGGTTTGGCAACAACGCCATCGTCCGCGGGGCTTCCTTCTCCAGGAATGATGCCGTCGGGTTACAGTTCAATGTCGCCGATGATTAGCCCACCGGCCAGCCCGAGATTTCCTACGGTCAATCACCAGGGCAGCTTTGAGAACCCACGAGCTCCGCCTCCAGTACCCAAAGGTCCCGGACCTCTCCCGCCCAAGGATCTCAACTTGATGCCCAGCCGTCCTGCGCCCAAACCCCCGACGAGTCTCGCGACACGGACGGCTCCCCATTCCCCATATCCCGCCAAAGATTCTGGGATCGGCCTGCCACCACCTGGCGATGACGCTACGAGTCCGTCGTATCTCCCACCCAAGGATTCGGTACCAATGCTGCCCGAGGAACATAGATCAAGATCAAATTCGCGAGCAAATGGCGCCTCGCCATATATGCCATCGCAGCAGTCCGCTTCCGTCATCTCCCCGACCACCCAAGCATCATACCAGCAGCAGTTGATGCAGCAGCAACAGGAGCAAGCAATGGCGCAGGCGCAGGCAGCCATGACTGGGCAACTTGGAAGAGCGGCTAGCAAGAGACAACCACCGACTCCTCCATCTTCGCAGCAACTCCAGCACCCGCGGCAAGCAGAGACAAATGGTTCTGGAAGGGTACCTCAAGCTCAAGCTGGGCTTCAGCAAAGTGGCGCAAGACCCCGGCACCGGCCGCGACAGAGCAATGGCATGGACGTGACTGCTGCCTTGAAGAGCATTTGCACTCCAGGCGACCCGAGGCAGATTTACCGCAGCTTTACTAAAATTGGCCAAGGTGCCTCGGGAGGCGTGTACACCGGCCATGAGAGGGGGAGCAACAGACTAGTCGCGATCAAGCAGATGAATCTGGAGCAGCAACCCAAAAAAGACCTTATCATCAATGAGATTTTGGTCATGAAGGAAAGCTCGCACCCCAATATCGTCAATTTTATCGACAGCTATCTATGTGGGGGAGAGCTCTGGGTGGTGATGGAGTTTATGGAGGGAGGAAGTTTGACCGACGTGGTGACGTTTAACATCATGAGCGAGGGGCAGATTGCCTCTGTTTGCCGAGAAACGCTTCGAGGTCTCCAGCACCTTCACTCGAAGGGTGTTATCCACAGAGATATCAAGTCGGATAACATCCTCCTCAGTATGGATGGTAACATCAAGTTGAGTAAGTCAATCCTGTGCCACCATATCATGTCCCATCCTATTTTGTATCCTTCGCTTACCCATATCTTTCCCGCCATAGCCGACTTTGGATTCTGTGCAACGATCAACGAATCGCAGAGTAAGCGTACGACAATGGTCGGGACACCGTATTGGATGGCCCCCGAAGTTGTCACACGGAAGGAGTACGGCCGGAAAGTCGACATCTGGTCACTCGGGATCATGGCCATCGAAATGATTGAGGGGGAACCCCCATATCTGACAGAAACTCCACTCCGGGCGTTGTGGTTGATAGCAACCAACGGCACGCCGCACATCAAAGACGAACAGAGCCTGACGCCCGTATTCCGCGATTTCCTTTACTTTGCTCTCAAGGTAGATCCGGACAAGCGGGCAAGCGCCGGCGACCTTTTAATGGTAAGAATATACACTGCTAAGACTTCACAACTCTGCATGATTTCTAACCGTTACGCAGCACGATTTCATGAAAGAATGTGTCGACCTATCGTCACTGGCGCCACTAGTCCAAGCCGCGCGAGAGGCACGAGCACAAGAGAAGGCTCGTAAAGGCCAATGATCCCTTTTCTTTTAATCATCTTTTGTTTTAGCGAATATAACGCGACATCAATAGCAATCTTGCACGTCGAATCTTAGTATTTTCTATTCCCTCATTTTAAGGGCTTGGGGCGATTTTTCAGACACGGGCATATTCAGCCCAATCGGGCTTCGCACAGCATTATTTAAGCAGCAACTTGACCTTCTACTGTGGCCCTGTGATAGCTTGCGTGGACGGGGAAAACTTGACATGGGCTGTACGCGGAAAAGTTTCATTTCCTTCTATATCGTCTGCGCATCTTTGGAGACGGACCCAGAGCCGAATAAGGTAGTGAGAGCGTCATCAAAAGCATGATGATCCCATCGCCCCAAGACATGAATTATACATGCCGCTCTACAGATGCGATGGCAACGATAATGCCGGCCTCCAGTATCGAGCTTGAAGCTACAACACCACCGGCCTGTCTGTTCTTCTTATTCTCTAGTACTGTTGTTGATGCTTGTTACTTGTGAGTATACTGAAAGGAGATTGCGAGCGAGCGCCATTTGGATATCCCTCCCTTCTCGTTGCATATAATGTTGCATACTCCGTATTTTGTCAGAGTCGCTACTTTCCGCTACACTATTTGTTAGAGATAGAAAACAAAGATGGGTTGGCGAAACCAAGTAATATATTTGACATCTGGAACTCTGACATACAGTCCTTTTGGCTATCTCCGAGTCCACCGGCGGCGCCTGGGCTGCGACAGGGGCAGAGGGGGCTCGAAGTGAACGATGGATGAATAGGGGCTGATATAAACTCTTCGGGGAATTATAGTACCATAAATCATCGTAGCATTATTAACAGTCGTAGATGTGGTAATTTGGGGAGTGTTGGGTGGTTTGCTTTGACCCACCCATTAAAGGAGATGGATTATACAACAAACGCAAATTCAAGTACTCTTGCTTCAGTTTGTAGCGTCGATAATAGTAGCTAGAACTAGAACCTACAATTAGAATATCGCCATCTCCGTTTCTTCATTACCTCCGAGAAGTGTTTTTTGTGACGGCACCAAAGCGAACTTACGTTGCCCTCAGTCCTCTTTCGCACGGCTACGGATCCGTATGGCTGCACTTCCACACCCCAGGGGTTCGGACAGTGTGTATCTACACCGGTACTTTTCTTTGTCTCCTTATATTTAGTACCCTACCTCTCGCATGTCGTGAGAAAGAGAGGAGGAAAAAAAGAAAAGTAAGACGGGCGAGCCTTCTTTTCACTTCAACACACAAGCGGGACGGCACGCGGTTCGTGTTTGGGGAGGGTTGATCGTTTTCCTTTTTCATCCATCCTTTGCACCTTTGCAGAGTCGAGCTCTCAACGGAAAAGGTACATATGAAGGTTTGCCTCTTGACCTCACGTCGCCCAAGGTAATGTGCCTAAGGCAGGAAGGTAAGACGAGTAAGTTTAGCTCTGGAACAAGGTGGAGGCTCCCGCGCGAGAAAACATCCCATCTTCCCCTCCACGCACACCAACGAACGCAAGCCGTACCTGACTGAGCCAGGACCTGGATACTACCTATTATTAGTATTTGCATGTGTATATGCAAAGATGGAGCTTTAACTTTGGACTTTGCAGAACCGGCTACGTATCCAACAGTGTAGAATAGGCAATCTTCGTTCAGATGTCCGTTATGTTCCCCACCTGCCATTGATACCGGTTGGCAGTCGGCATTGACGACGAAACCAGCATTCCAAATAGCACTTGTGCGGTTAGTTTTAGATACGTGTAATGTTACGACAATTCAGGTCGGGGAACTGGGCAGTGGGCAACTAGGACGCATGAAGCCTTCATAGATATAGATGCAGTTCTCCTCTTCCGTAGTTTGTAGGAAGAAATGGAAGCAAAACTATGTTCTGTTTATTCTGGGAAAGAGTTTTATCGAAGGAGTGGTGAGATAAGCTCTGCGGGATTTTGAGAACAGTGAAAGGAATAATTTGGAGGCAGGGAAGAAATTGTAGCTGGCCGGGCCTTGAAGCGAGCCTGCTCTTGGAAGAGGCGTTTCGAGACGATGACATACACAGCACACATTAGCATAGGAAGTATAAAGTTGGAGACGACTGTTCCTTGTCATTAGAGTGAATAGCCTCAACTATTCAGGCAATCATGGTTCTCCTGATGTCAACAAGACCGAAGACCGTGTCTTTTAGGAATCATCGAAACTCCTTCCCAAACAATCGCATCCCGATGACTAGAAATCCTAGCCCCAATCGCTCCAACGCCAATCCAAAACCAGACAGTCAACCAGATGTAAGCACCGCTGTAAAATAAAACTCTCGGTGACACATTAAACCCTCGCCCTCACTGGGTATATGAAAGCCTCGTTACCACCCAGTTCAGGGCTTTCATGCAAAACAATTGCGCCGTTCGTATCCTTCTGACTGACAGAATGCGTACAGACGTCCCTCTGGTATCATTAGTAACCAAAAATGCCGTTTGTCGAGCGTTTTCCGAGCCAGACTCGTGTGCCTGGCTCAGTAGAGCGTGTATCCGCCATCAATGATGACGTTGGAGCCTGTCATGAAGCCAGAGGCATCGGACGCCAGGAAGACGCAAAGTCCGTTGAGGTCATCAACTGCGCCCAGGCGATCCTGGGGAGTCAACGACCTCCAAATCTTCTTCTGGGCATCCAAAGCAGGCACTTTGTTTAGTGCAGTGTCCATGTAGCCAGGGGAGATGCAATTGACGCGGATGCTATGTTTGGCCCACTCGGCAGCGAGCGACTTGCCAAGCTGGATGACGCCAGCCTTGGAGGCGTTGTAGCAGGACTGCTCCTGGGGATAGTTGACAACCGTACCCGACATAGACGCCACTAGAATGATGGATCCAGGTTTGCCGGCAGCCATCATCGCGCGACCCACTGCTTGCGACATCAAGAAAGAGCCCGTTAGGTTGATGTCGATTAGACGGCGGAACATTGCTGGGTCGTAAGTCTCAGCCTTAATGTTGGAGTCGGCGATGCCCGCCGAGTTCACAAGAACATCGGGAGTGCCGTAAAGATCCACCACGTTCTGGACGGCGGCGTTGATTGCATTGCCATCACGGACGTCAACCTTGAAGAACGAAACTGGCAGGCCTGTCTTCTGATGAAGCTCAGCCGCACTCTCATCTCCAAGGTCCTGGTTCGCGTCAAAAATGACAATGGCCTTGGCACCGGCCTCAGCGCAAGCGCGAGCCATGTGATTTCCAAGTCCCCGAGCACCACTAGTTCAGGGGTTAGTATGTATATAAGTGCGGAAGCCCGGAAGGCGGAGCCAAACTAGAGTTGACAGCTTACCCAGTGATAATGATGACTTTCCCCATGACGCTCATCTTCTGGAGTGTTTGGGGCATCTGTCTAAAGACATTCTCGTTGAGAGGAACGACGACATCCTCTTCTTCCAAGGGCTCGGGGATTCTTTTGACCGGAATGCTGAAGTGGTCCGAGCTGGAAGAGGCAACACCCTTGGAGTCGGGGGTGTAAACCGAAACAGGGATCTCGGTTTCCTTGATAACCTCCGACTTGAGGCGCCGGGCCGAAAGGGAGAAGGCAGCACGTTGAGCGAAGCTGCTGGGCAGAACGGCACGGGCAATGAGGGGGCGGGGTACGGCCGTGAGGCGTGTAGCCAAGCGGATGGTACGGGCAGCGGCAGCCATTGGGGCAATCTGAAATCTGGCGAACAGGGGAGTCTGGGTATCAGATGTGGCCCTAGTCCAGAGCGTCCAGCGAAGGGGTCGAGGGCGGTATTTTAGGACTGCAAGATGGGTGGAAAGGCGGAGGACTCGAAAGAGACGTAAAAGTGATTCTCAGAGTCTCAAAGGCGTCCTAGGTAAGGTAAGGTAGGTTTCTGCCGTAAAGAGGGGACAGGCGCCAGTGAGACGAGAGAAACGGCGGCGGCGATTGATAGCCAGTCAACGAAGGGACGGCTCCGAGTCGAATGCTGTGATATGCACGAGAGTGAGGGGTCCACACACAACGGTGAGGTGGATGGTGTAAGCGAGAGACGAGGCTCGGCCTTCACAGATACCAGAGCAGACGTGCACCTAAGGTAGGGGGAGCCGCGAGGAGGGGTTTGGAGGTACGGCAAAGGTACCTGAGCTCCTCAATAGCGACTACAAAACTGCTTGTGAATGAGAACAAACAGCCTGACAGCTATTCGCAAACCGTCAGGCTTATATACCTTAGGGACTAATGCTAAGCTAGGGAAGCTAGGGAGGTCAGGCACTAGGCGAGACCGGATGCCAGGTGAGGCGAAGGCCTACTCGGTAGCGGGCCCAGAATTGTGGGCAAGGGGCGAGTCGAGAATCGAGATCGTTCGGCAAGGAAAAAAATCTACTTGGTAGAGAAATTCTCGGGCGTTGTGTTAGGTGGCCTGGCCTGCGGATCTTCGTATCCACGAAATTCGCGAAAGCCGATCAGGCCGAAGTAACTGCAGCATTTTGGAAAATAAGCTCTAGTCTAGACACTTCTGTACCGCCTGCCCGCCCATAACAATAGGCGAGTCGACTGTGGTCCATGCCTCTCACTGCTCAGCACCCATTCACTACCTGATGCACCTGGACCAGAACGCGCTACTGTCATTGGGCAGCAAGGCGCCTGCAGCGGGTGTTCTGGGCCTGTGGGTAATGGTGTGATGGCTCACGCTGACTGCGGAAGGCCTTGCTCCCGCCGCGTCTGGGGATTGGGGTTCTGGTCGCGGGTCACTTGAACTTCCGCGGGCCACCAGCCTGAGACCAGTGCAAGCCCACTCACCCATGGGAGTCAGGAGTTGGGGAAACAGGAAAGAGCAAACGCGAATGCTTGTCAGGAACATACCTTTTTCTTTTTGCCGCGTCGAAAGTTTGGCGTGGTTTAGCCCGAGGTTGCCTGGAGCAAAACCGTCGAGGCAGCTGCGACTTGCAGTGTCTATCCCTGTCTTTGTTTGGATATTCTAAATCTTTGAGCTTGGTGTTGAACGAAGGGGCTCAATTGTGGTTCAAGTCCCACTATTTATGTCTTGGGAAAGTACTCCCTGTTGGAGGAACTCTATTCATCCAATGCCCGTACAAACCATGGGGGCAACCGCAAGCGGTGAGAGGTAATCCGGAAAGTTTGTGCAGCTTCCATCTGTTGAGAACTTGAGCTACACTTGTGGCTTTCTTGGCTTCATGGTTCCTGGTGGGACCGACCGACTGAGGCTTGGTCACGAGACCAGCAGCAGTTTCGCCAGATACCTTCCCCTGCTCGACTAGCACATCTCAAAAGACCTAAATCATCCAACTGCCAAAGACCGCTACCAGTTACGGATTGCTTGCCTAGTGACCTTCCACGAAGAACGCTAACACTGCAATCCAAGCCCATCTTGGTGTTTCTGGGAAGTGGGGGGAGACGAGGCTGGCTATCAGATATGTTATCCACCCCCTTCCCCGCACAACCTTGGCGGTTTTCACTAGGCCCGTTACGGGTACTGTACAACCAAATTTTAGATAATTCAACTTTCGAGGCTCCGATATGAAGTTGGGAGCATCAGTGAGAAATTCTGTTCGGCTGTGACACGTGGTTTAAATGATCATCCATCAGGTTTGTACTTGGCAACATAGGCAACATGCCTAGGCAGGCGAAGGATTTCCGTCCCAATCTCAACGGCAACCTTCGGAAGAAGCTTAGGGGACTCCTGGCCGAGGGCGGCCTCGTGTCGCTTCTGCACGTGGTGGCTGTCGTCCCGTCTGGTTCTCCCTGGGCGCCGACTGAGGTGGGTTGCATGGATGCACGGGGTGGCCCCAGAAGCACGCTGCGGCATCCACCGGCATCCACTGAGGTAACGTTAGTGGCAAATCGAGAGCGCGTGGGGGCGACATTTTCAAACTCCCATCTCCGCGTCCAATTCACGTTACCACACAATTGAAGAGAGACCTCCCAGCTCCTACTGGACTAGCGTCGACCAGACACACACACAGAGGCGGTGAGAGGCTCTTTCTCATCACAGGCGTTGAAACGCACATTCGGTCAATGCGGTCGATTAACAAATGTTACAGATGCTGTTGTGGCTCTGACAGGAAGCTGTAACAACAGAGAACTCGCCATATTCACATTCAACATGAATACTACAAGGCATCCATACACCACCAGGGCATATTCTCACATATGCATCGTGTATCAATTTACTAATCTGTGGAACTGGAGATAGCACAGGTCAACACTCCAGCTCTCTTGATTCGAGGGTCGCGGGAGCCCGAAGTTCCCGATGCTGATGTTACAGGCAATAACGTGCTGCTTGACTCAGTTACCCCGGCGCTGATGACTCTGAAACAATCGACCAAGTCAAGATTCGGCTTTGCATTGGCACACCAATGGACTCTGTTACCAGACGAATTTCCGCCATGTCAAGGATACATGTCACTTCGAAGCGTTGAGGCGCGTCCGCAACAGCGATGAGAGGGGTGGAGTGGCAAAACAGTCCTGTACAACCACCGCCTGCTGCCTTGGTGACTGGCACCTGCTGGACTTCCGATTAAAGATTTGTCTCGACCCAATTTTACATGCACGTGTACATCTCCTTGCTCGAACAGTAGTTGATAGAATGGAGGTGCTTTTTTATGCTGGCTGCACCACGCAACGCCTTCCGCAGGTTGTCACTGCAAGTGTACTTTCCATCCAAGCCCGGGCTTGCTTGGCCGAAGGAACGCGCAATCCTTCGCCGAAGTCGCTTGAGTCGAGAACGTCAAAGCCCATTACTCTACATTACTAGTTGCAGCAATCTCGACCGGATTGCTATAGAGGGAATATGGATGTGTCGATCTTGAGAAGAATAATACTGGGCTAGGTATTTTTTACAGTCTCCAACCAAGCTCCTTGAGTCCCACACCCCCCTGTCGGCCTTCGCGTTCCCCGCCAACGCCAGGGACAATCCGCAAATGTAGAAATTTACACCATCTCACCACAAATAGACAACACCCCAGCGAGACGGGAGTTTCAGCCTGCCCCCTCGAAAAAATTGTAATTTCTATCGCTCCTCTCCTTTCCTCTTCTCTCTGTCCGTTTTTGCTGAAAAGGGCAAAACATCCATAAACTACGCGGGGAGGTCTTCACACATGTTCTCAAAATTTAAGTTCTTCAGGAAAATACAAGAAAAATCGTGGTGGTACAAACGAATTGCTAGCTCGTGTAGTCAGGGCGGCATGGTACGTGCGTTTTTCGTGGCCCTCCAAAAAAAAAAGAATTTCCCGCCGTGTGTTTCCAGCCGCTTGGGTATCCATATGTACCCCGGATCTCACGATAGCCTCAAGCATCGCCACCACCCGCGATTACCACCCTGGTAAATAAGCTCGGACCACTCCGCCGTTTAACGTCCACGATGCTCTTCAAAACCAGCTAAGCCACATTCCCGCAGCCCCGACGGGAAGCCCCGTCGCGTCTGTCCATTCTGAATTTCGTTTGTGACGCCCGCATACCTAGCTGCAAGAGAAATGGGCGGTAAGCGAGAGGCGAATAATACTTATAATTCAAATACATACGTGCCAACAAGTGTCTATCTAGGCAAATAGAAATCGTTTTTTTCTCTGTATATCCCTGTTATTTTCTGCTCCCCGGCTATAGACGCTGGAGTACTTCGCAGAATGACACCAATTTCCACACATAACACAACCCGGAAACAGACAGGGGAAGAGGGGCAGTTGGTTAAGGCATGAAGGAATAGTAGTAATGGGGCAACCAGTGTGACCTTGCCCATCTCAGATCCCGCCGCCGCCGCCGCCGCCGCCACCGCTATAGGTTCCACAAGATCATTTTCTTACTCAGAAACGGGTCTGGGTTTTCCCAAGAATGGAGAAAAAGCCCGCCCATTCAACAAAGCATGACATAGCAAAGAGAGAACCATTGAAACACGCGAGTACGAACAGGACATGACGCTTACTTGTACAATACAGAGAGTAAACCCAGATAAAAAAGAAGAAAACCGCCTGCATCTTGATCTCCGGTAGACGACGGGAGAGCCCAATAAGGGTATTACCAAATAAAACTCCCTGCCCTTCCTTCCCAGAGTTTATAGGCCCTGAGACCTTATATCCCCCAAATTGTCTCTAATTATAACCCCGAGACCCTGCACAACGTGAGCGAGAAAGATGAACCCAGAAACAGCTCGAACCCAACAGCACCGTGGCACCTGACTCAGTCGCGTTCTAGCAGCTGGAACAGACTGGTGATATATGGCGCCAGGAGACGGTTTTCCGTAAACACCTCCCACAGGCGCTGCATGACGGGGCGGAAGAGGCGCTCATTCCAAATCCCTTTGCCAGCGGCAGGGCCGCCCTCATCGTCACTGTCGTCGCCACCCTGTTGGAGTCTCTGCTGCTTGAGCAGCGCCTCCTCGGAGTCGGTCTTAACGACATTCCGGGCAATGTTACGAAGGATGAGGACTGCAGAAAGGGGAATGCCCGCGGCCTGGGGCGGCGCGTTGGGATTGCGTTCGTCGCGCACGCTGGCCGTCTCCTCATACGTCATTATAATGGTATTTGCTGGTTTGAGGACGCGGAGTTTGGGCATGGGGCGTTTCGGCGCCGACGACGCCGAGGAAGGGGTGGTGGCATGCATATCGGCGCCCGAGCCCTTGTGCTGGGCGGCGATATGGAGCGCTTCCTCTGCGCGCAGATGCGTCTTGATATGCACCATTAACTGGACGAGAGTGAGTTTGGTGGATTTGCGGTACTTCGTGCAGATGCCCCACGAGCAGGTAAACAAGCCTTCGCGGTTTGGGAACTTGTTGTCCTCGCCGCGGGTTTCGCCGATGTGATCCATTAGTATGTGTTCCCACATCTTCTCGACTGAGAGGTTCAAGACACCGCACTTGACTTGGCTTCCAGGAACGCGCGCCCACGAGCACTGGAAGTACTCTCGTCCCTCTGGGCTTATAGGGTGAGGTCGAGGTTTAATACCCCTAATAATAAACTTCTGGACCTCCCCGTTTGGGCCCTGGTCTCGGACGATCTGCGCCCCGGCGGTCTGATAGACAGTGCTGATATTTCGTATAAAATCGGCAGCGTTTAGCATGCCCCGGTTTATGCGCTTGAGCGGGTCAACAAACGCAGCGTTATATGCTTGCCAAATGGCAATCTGGGTGATCTGCGAGTCCGGGTCTTCTTCGAAGAAGCACCTCAGCCACGCATAACAGCGCTCGTGCTCTTCCATAGACAGGAGCCGTTCCAAAAGGTCGCGGGGGATAGGTGCAACTTGATCCTCAGACGGGACATCGTAAGCAATGTGGGCCTCACTCACGGTGATCTCCTTGTTTGTCCGTTTCGCGCCGTGAGACAAGAGGCGAGTAAGGTGCATAACGAGGTGCTCGACATTGGTGCACCTTAGTAGAACCTCCAAATTGGGGACTACCGCTGTGTACTGATAGAGAAAGTCGAGACAAGAGTCCATCAACTCATCGTCGTTTAGCAGAAGCCAGTCCATGAGGTTTTGGAGCACAGCTGGCGGCACTCCGCTGAGCTTGTTAGTTTCGGTAGGATGGCTCATTGAAATGCGATCGATGGCTCGGAGCGCGGTCAGAATGGTACCCCGGTCGTTGGAGCTGAGCTGGGCGAGCAAGGTCTTGTAAAGAGCATCATCCGAGTCGAGTACCAAGTATGGCGTTATCTGCTCGGCAATATCAAGCGCGAAGTGCTTGAGTTCTACAACGATATCCATGTTTGGGAGGCACAGAAGAATACACAGCAAATCCTTTAAGGTGGGATATTCGGCCATGAACCAGGCATTTTCCTGGAGCATAACCATGTTGCGGATGGTCAGGACGGCCTCGGTGATCAAGGTCAGGTGATCGGTAAACTCGGCGGGCTGAAAGTTGTCCTGGACATCCTTGGGCTCGAGTTGGGCGATCCTCTCTAGGATGTCCGAGGATCCATTGATCCCATCGAGGTCACCGATCGCACCCTCGTCAAGCTCGGGGTCGTTAGAAATAGCCCATTCTACATCGTAAAATAGGCTTCCAACTCCGAGTGCAAACTCGGTCAGACCCTCGGCAAGTCCCGAGAATTGGGAGAACTTGTACTTGTCACCGCGCTCATATGATATCTTGACCAGGTGGTTGAGACCATAGGCCTGCTCCGCCCGGATTCCGGAACGCAGCGCTAAGAGACATCGCTCATAAATATTAGGCCCGTCGAGGCTCCCTGGGAGTTGTAAGCATGATTGCAGGTCACAAGGGGGCAATGGCTGACAGGGGACTGGAGGAGCCTACCCGCAGGAATAGAGGCACGTATTAGGGTTGACGTGCTGGAGGAAGTATAGGAGGGCGGTTGCCTCAGCATCCGTTGCCCCCTGGTAAATATATCGGGGTTGCTGGCAGGGGTATCCACAATACGGAGTTGCAGCTGCTGAGGGGGAGGTGGCTGGTAGTTTTGTACAAGAGCACTGGCCGGGTCGAGAGGGGTGGGGTTGAATCCATGCGAGGCGCCGCCACGGTTCGGGTGCGGATGGGGTGCCGCGTGCACTGGAATGGGGGTGTTGTTCTGGGACATGGGCTGGGGCCGAGGGTGAGGGTGGTGAGGATGACGATGGTGAGGATGCGATTGCGGCTGAGACGGCGTATTGGCATCTGCGGGTTGATGGCCGGACGGTTGCCTCGTCTGCCGAGACGAGTTTGTGTCGGGATGGAAAATGACGCGGGGAGCCGGGGCTTCTCTGAGGCCGCGGGATGCACGGCCGGAGCCGGGTGTCTCGTCGGCACGGCGCTCTCTACTCGGGGTCCCATCGTCGCCGGATTCATCCTTGTCGCCCCTGCCCTTGGCCTGGAAGTTCTCCAGCGTGCGAGTAAGAAGCGAACCGCCCTTTGCGGTGGTGAACTCAAGAATCTCGGGCGGCGGCGGCTCTTGGTTGTGGATTTTCTTGATCTCGTACGCAGCCAGGTTCTTGTAGAATATCTGCTTCAGCGTGTAGGCATCTGCCGGCGCGTTGTGTCGCATCAAACCCAGGCCTTCGCACATCTTACGCCACATGAGCTTTTCGTCCGAAACCTTGTCGTAGCCGCCGTTCTCGACAATATAGTTGAACAGTTGGTAGAGGTCGACATTCATAGTGCCCATCTTTGGTTCGGGGTCGAAATTGGTACCGCGCTCCTCGTGGAAGGAGCGCAATTCCTCAATGAAGGCCTCATACTCTCGGGTGCGCTCGATGGTATGCTCCGGGACAGGGTTTGGCGGAGCCATCTTCGCGCATCGAGCCGCAGCACGGCGCCAACACCAACAGACTGCGCGTTAACGTTGTCGAGAGCGGGCGGCAGCAGTGGGCCAGCTTCAATAGCTGTTGCTGTTGTTGTGGTAGACTGATAGATCGGGCGACCGTGGCGGGACAAGTCTCGATTCTCGGTTGTCAATTGTCGCGGTATGCTGAGCGCGATGGTTTAGTGTCCTAACGGTAGGCGTTTGCGACGCGAGGCGGGAAAGGAAATTTTTGGCTGGAAACCCCCTACCTAGACTAGGTCTTGGCGTGAGCGTGAGCGCACGGGCCACCTGTCAGTGCCAAACTGTGGCTGAAGCGCCTCAGCATCACATCGATGACCGCACCGAAGACAAGAGGTCCAACTCCTAATTTAATACCGGAAATATAAAGATGGAGTATTTCGGGAGCTTTACTTTAAAACCTGTATTCATCAAGAGTACATCCTATACCTTTGGGAACAGAAAATCATCAAGATCGAAATTCGAATGGGGATCTGTCTCTTTCGACCCATTAACACGGTATCGCCTGCCAACAAAAAGCAAGATTAGTTCAACACCTTACAAATACGACCATACCCACTGGAAAACTCGGGATCCCGTCCGCTCTCCCATAGATAAGCCAGTGAAGGGAAGTTTATCTAAGGGGTAAGACGAAAATTGTCAGGCCCGTACGGCCAGGGTGGAATGCTTAGAGTGGGCGCAGCGTGGAAGCAAGGACTCAGGGGGGAACCACATTGATCTCTGTCTCTCCCTTCAAGGAAAAAGGGGGGGCGACCCCCTTCTCCTTGGAAGCGCACCGCCTAATCCCGTCCTCCGATTTGGCCTCCCGGCTCCGCTGGCGCCGGGGCCTCCCTGCTACCACGCTTCGCACCCTGACCTCAGCTCCTTCGCAGCGTGCCGGCTACGCCCGTCCTCCGTTCTGCCCCTCGAGCTCTCACAGCGCCTGGGTTGCCCGGCTGCCGCAATTCGCACCCTGACATTCCCGCCGTATCGTCTAGGTAACGGGATCTTAACCTTCTTCTAGCGAGCCTGGTTGCGTCCTTCTAGGGCTGCGATCCGTGCGGTTGCTTCTGCTAATGCCTGGTTCTGGCTGTTCATCTAGGCTTGGGCCTGCTGAAGGTATGCCTGAGCCTGTTCCAAGGCTGCCTGGAGCTGCTGGTTGAAGGCCATATCGTCTATGACAAGAGGTTCTAGTTATTGTGCGAGCTGGGTGACTGATCCTTCACTAAGGTTCTCCGTATCTTCAGGCTATACTAAGCCCGCTGAGTCGCTACTGGAGTCGTTACTATTAGAATCGTTACCGTCCTGGGCTTCTACGTCTTCTTCTAGCTGGGGGTCCTGCAGGGTTACGTCTTCCTCAGGAGTAGCCAGGTTGTCGCTTGTGCAATGAGCACTCTGTTCAATCAGTACCAAGGGAGAGAAGCAAGAAACGTATTACAAACCGCTCGACTGTTGGGGTCGTCTATCTATAAGGGAGCAGGGGCTCGACAGGATGCTAGGGTTTGGTAATAATAAAGATAGAATAGAGGGTAAGCTCCTAATGCACGGGTAATACAGTCAAATCGGAATGCCACTCAAAGTATATGAATGTAATGAATGTATATGATTGCTTGCTTGAGGAACCAAGTAAGAGCTATCTAAGACCGTAGCTACGGTCATCGTATATATCTATCTAAAGGAGCTAATTAATAGCCGCCTTTCCGAGCCGAGTCCCGAGTCCCGTAGACGGGACGCGGGCCACACCTAGGGAGGTCCCGGAGTCCCGCACCGGGATCGGGGGACCCTCCTGATTGGTCGGCTCCAAACTGAGTGGGACCCACTAAGGTGCATCCCTCCAGGGATCCGTAACATATAACGACAACGATAGTGAAAGGAAGGACCCAACAGCTTGTCAACTCTCGTCGAGAAACGCACGAGAAATTAGGCAGGTTCCACTCGAGACAGCAGCGGGAAGAAGGAACGAGCAGTATTATGGAGAAAAGCGATGACTGCAGCTATTGGGGATGGCTTGGCTTATATGCTATTGGGGAGGGAGTACGTGGTAGCTGGAGTGGCCACGATAGTAGTACCGAAGGACGAGGAACCGAAAAGTGAGGCCGTGATTTAATAAGGACGACGAGTACGATGAAATAAATGTGTGGTTCATAGACTAGATAACTATGAATACCTCCTACAACTCCTGTTCTCCAACGCGCTCCTCTTCTTTCGGTTTGTGGAATAACGACGCAACTCGAGATCGCTTGAACTTGCCCGGCACCTCCTTGAGCCTGCGGTAGCTTCCCTTGAGGCTCAGCTTGGAGAGCTTGGGCGTGAGCATAAGCGCCTCCCCCTCGCTATGGTCAGTGCCCTTGTCCTTGTCCGTACTGATACTTATCTTCTGCTTTCCCTTCTCTCTTCCCTCCGGCATCCCCTTCTGCTCCTCGTAGCCATCGTCATGCTTGCTCTGCTTTATTAATAGACGTTCCTCCTTCTCCTTCTCCTTAAGACTACAAGTCCCGCTGCCCGTCTTGGTAGGTTGGCTGACCTGAATACTATCTGTACGTAGCGCTAGGAGCATAGTGTCGGAGCATGACTTCTAGTTATCCTCGCCCTCCTCTCCTTCGCTCTCGGCTATCTCGGCCAGCAATTCCTTATACTCCCGAACTTTCTGTGGAGCTTCATGGTACGCCATCTCGAGAAGGGATTTTCTCCAAATCGCTTCTGTCCTCTCACTCAAGATGCCGAGCTCGAGAGCCTCTCGGAGCATATCGTCCCAGTCGGTAGGCAAAAATGTCTCATCTCGAACCGAACCTGGTGTGTTATCGTCGGGGGGGTCGTCGCCAAAGATAGCTTGAGGGGCTCCGGCGGCTTTTATACCGGCAAATATGTGCTGCATTGCGTATCGCACCTGGAAGAAGTAGATGTGCGGTAGCGGGCGTTTCTCTGGGTCAGACGTACTTAACTCAAAGATATCGCCGTGTACGATATATCTGGCGCCAGCCCCAATCGAGTCCTGCATCGTCCGCCTACGATCCACCAACTTAGTCTCCTTGCTATGACCGTGGTCGCCACTAGTAAGACCTATCTCGGCATGGCGTTCCTTGAACCAAACAAGAATAAGCGGTAATACGATGCCAGATTGGTCCCTCACTGGCTGGTCGGTAGCTAAGAGATTAACCTCAGAACCCGAGCAACTCAAGGTAGCTTTGTATAGCTTGACTGTCACTGCCGGGCCTTGGTAACTGGCTCGGACAATTAGGTACCTGGCCTACATTGTGCAAGTTGGCTGGCTAGCTTGCATACAACTGGCTTGTGTACGAATTAAGTGAAATTTGATTTCGTTCGCAAGCTCGCTCCGTTGATACCTCGGCCTCCCTAGCTGCTCAGGTTATCATATATGTGGTTCCTATCAAAGGAACTTGAGGGTACCGCAATTCCAGCACAAATAAGCAGTGCAAAGCAAGTCTTTGGTACTGTTAAGCCTAGAAAAACCAGACTAATGAACTTTCAGGGGCCGGAGCGTCCTGCTTTGTTTTTAGGACTTCCTGAGCACATCTCAAGACCGGGTGCCCTCCTGCCTAGCTGAAGGAGGCTTGGTGATACCTACGCTGTGTAAGAGTGTATCAAGATAAGGCTAGCTATTACGTGTAACGTGTTTGATAAGCGAGTGGCAGTGACAAGCGAGTGGCAGTGACAAGCGAGTGGCAGTGACAAGCGAGTGGCAGTGACAAGCGAGTGGCAGTGACAAGCGAGTGGCAGTTCTCACTACCTCATTACAACTACCGAACGAGATACTAATACTACAAAGGAAATAATTAACTAAAACTACTCAGAATCTGATTCCTCATCCATTTTCGTATCTTCCTGGCACGTACGAGAGTTGTGTCCTATTTTGCCGCAATTGCTGCAGTGCCTTAAACCTGTTGCGTTGCTCCTCGCACGACCACCCCTCGATCGCTTTTCCTCCTCTACCAATGCGTGCGCATCCCTTTCGGCCAAAATATCGCTCGCATCCTGCATAGTTAATGGTCCTCCTACCCGGATACGACTTTTTTTAGCTCTCCGGCGTTTGCTTAAAGCTGTATTTGCTTCCTCAAGCTCTCGTACCCGCGCTTTCATCAACACCATCTCGTGCATAACCTTTGTCGTACCCTTTACAATCTGATCAAGTGCCTCAAGAATTGGAGTTGGTGAGCTATCTTGATGTCTGGTAATACGATCCTTGATGTGTGTTGATTGTAGAGAGGCCTCGGTAGCATTTCGTGGCGTTTGAGAGACCCAGCTGTCGTACGAGACCTCGGGGGGGCTAGTCGGTGTCGGCGTACGAAGCTTGATATCCAGCTGGGAAATCACCTTTTCTGGGTCGAACGGAACAAGGCCTGCCCCTCGAAAACCTCCTTTTACGTTTTCAGGTTCAAATGTTGCTTGGAATGCGTTGAAGAAGGCGAGGAAGAAGTCGGGCTTGGTGATATGGTGAATATGGTTGCGCATTAACTTCTCAATTTCCTTGCCGTAGAACCACTTTAATATACGAAAACACCCAATATCAAGGGGCTGAAGTAGATGAGATGAGTGCGGAGGCATGCAAAGTGTAATAATGTTATTTTCTTTGCAGTAATCCTCAAATTCGGCCGAGTGGTGGCTCTCATGCCCATCCAGAATTAGGAGTCGCTTTCCACCTATCGTACGATGGCGAGAATGTTGGTCAAAGTGTTTGATCCAGTCAAGACCAATCTGGTTATTCGTCCATCCAGTTTCTGAGAGATCAATTGTCCACTCGGGTGGGAAAGGGCTGTTGCGATACCAACTTTCGAGGTGGACTTTACCCGCAACCACCACGTACGGAGGGATAGTATCACCACCCGACCGTACGGCCTGAATCACCGTAGCCCATTCCCGATTACCAGGCTGGATCTTCTTCACCCTCGCACGGCCTTCGGACGAGGTAACAACAAGGGTTGGTGAGATCTGGCCCATCATGAACCCAGTCTCGTCAAAGTTCCAGATATCCGACTCGAGGATCCCATATTTCGCGATTGTATTGCGAACAAGGTCAAACCACGCGCTAATTATCTTCGGATCTTCGCATTTGGCTCTCTGGTAGTCGTACGGACGCGTCCAACGCGTCCGGAGCTCTGGCTGTCGTCGTACAAAGTTTAAAGCCCAACGCTTTCCGACGCGTGACGCGTCACGCGACGCGCGTAGCAAGTTGGCCATATCTTCCACCATATCGTATCCAGGCGAAAATCCTTGCTCGTATAGGTTGAGAACCCTTCGTACGATAACCTCCTCTTCAAGAGGGTCTAGTTTCCGAGAGTTGGCGACGGTATCTGCTCGAGAGGAGATTCCCTTATATCGCCGCTTGAGTGTGTTGTAGGGTACCGAATAAGCCTTTGCAGCCGTCCAGAGATTGAGTTCCTCATCGCGCTCCATAGCTTGGAGGGCAAGGATGATTTGCGCTTCATTTCGTACGATAGGCATATTGTGTTGTGAAATTAAATCGTGATGTTGCGCAAGAGGTGAAATTGGTGAGGTGGAGCTGCCACTCGCTTGTCACTGCCACTCGCTTATCAAACACGTTACTGTGGCTAGCTGTTTGAAAACGAGAAGTTAATATTAGACATTCAGTGGCGTAGGAACAACATCACGAGTTTCAGATTTGGTCGCTGACGACCCAATTTGGCAAAGTTGTCCAAAAGAGTCTAAGAGGTGCCCTGAAGGAGGAAGTTTTGGTGCGCTTCTCTCCAACTCGATATGGCGGTCCTTTGACTGATATGTCCATGTACTTACCTTTCGGAACAGTTCCCGCTGCTGGAAACTGCCCCCGTTGCCTCGGCACCTCCATCGTTACGGACGAGCATAAGAAAAAAACCTACACCTCTTGCAGCCAGACGGGCTGGATTTGGTTTGCCGCACTCAACAAGCACAAGAAATGCAGCAGCTGCGGCAGCATTTGCAACACGTGCAACGGAGCAGGCAACGTGGTTCCCGTGGCAACGAGCACACACCGCTAGGGACCCCTCGACCTCTTCATATATGATCACCCTGACGCTTTCGCCAATGGAATAGAGAGTGGTTGGGGGCTTGTTCCGCTGGACGGTGGTGGGCCCCTAGCCCGGGGACTCGGGAATCCCAGCTGGCCTGGGATGCGAGAGGTGGCATACGGTATGGTCGGGAGTGGGATATTGAGCTGTGGGCCTTTAGGCCCGTCCGTCCTCTCTCTATCTTGATCAGAGTCTACTTTAGAATAGAAAGAAATTCTCGTGCTGGACACGTCTTATTTCTGTTAATGTCCTCTCTGAGAGTCACCCATTGCAAACTCAAAGACCAGCAAAGGTATGTTCTCGCCCGTCTCTTCATGGGAGGTGAGCCGTGAGAAATCAGACGGTGAACCCCTTGCACTATGTCCGCCCCCATCTGCGTGATGCGGTGAATTTGTGGATCCTTGTGTTGGTGGCTTTAGGAAGAAGATACTAAGAGGATAGATAGGGTTAGTGAATCACTTCGCTTAGGACCTAGAAAGAATGATTCTAGTAAGCGTGGTTGGGTTGTTGTTGATAGTCGATAGTCAACTCACAAGACAAACGAGGGACAACCTTCGCTCATTCCTACTAAACACTAAAAAGACAATAAAATTACCTTTTCCCTATTATGCTTGGAAACAAGTAAGCCATAATCCGAAAAGAAAGTCTAAAGCTTGGTAGAGGGGTGAAAATTGTATTTGTTGCTAAATATGCTTGATAATGCTTCTAGGTGTTGGGATCTTGTATTCAAGTTCTGCTTCGAAGCCAGTTAATCGTTCCGATACTCTGGCGGGCACTTAATATTCAGAGACAGCTAAGAGGGTGGTAAATGCGATTCCCACAGTCAGGTTGTTGCCTCATGCCTCTATGTAATAGCGAAATTATATATACCTAAATAAGATAGTTAGCTAGAGGTATCATGATCTTATACACAGTCGTAGTGTTATACTGATGAGACGTACGTGGTAGATGAAAAGTAAGAGAGCACAGACAGGGCCAGCGAGATTACATGAAAATTCCGAGCGAATAGAAGCATAAGCACAAATGTGGGAATTACCGATCAATCAGGCCAGCGCACGGGCCACACCAGCCCAGCACCTGGTGTAGCACGTGACCGCGGGGCACGCGCCTTCGTGCCCCCGTAGTCCGTGATCCTTTTGGTAGACAGAAGAATACGACCACCACACCCTTTCGCAGCGGTTACTATAGTGACTAGCACGAATGACCTTGTCATTCCAACAACAAAGGAGTCGTGAAAGGGTCTAGTCCTGATTTATATAGGTAGCGGTACATGTTTTTGAAGAACTTAGTTCTATATCCTTGCAGCAGTTCTTTCTTTTCAATATCGAATTAATCTAAGGATCAGAGAAGCATAACCCAAGGATAGAAAAGACTGCAGCCATGCCAAAACTTGCGTGCCATTAAGCATAGAGGCCTTTTTGTTCTCTAGTACCACGCTGCCTAAGAAAGAGGTCTGAGCCTGCTGAGATAAAATATGTCGCTGCCTCTTCGGCCGAGCACCTCCGCCCCTGTCGCCGAGCCGGCGGGACAGAAAGCCCCACGAATACATGCAGGATTCCGGCCCGGAACTTCAAATTTGGCAGTCGAGCCCCGCTGGCCGACACGGCAAACGACACGTCGATAATGGCCACATCATTGAGGTTGGCAGCCCCGGTGGTCACGGCTCCGTCGGCAAAACCGCTAGGATTCCGAACTCACTGGCGGAAGCGAAAATGTCCCTTATTTGGAAGAAGCCGCGAGTCGAAATGTACGGCCACCCCATGCCCTTGATCACCTGTAAGCTGCCAGGTCTTCAATGTTGGAAGTATATGGCCAAAGATTTTGTGCTAGCAGTGGCTCCGTTTAGTTCTCTTGAATTCCACCAACGCAGCTTCCCGAGCTTTGGATCTTCTGATTCGCTGCTGCGCCTGCCCTATAGGGGTCGCGCCTTCCGAACATGGAGGACCAAAAGCGAATATCTGTCCGCTTCGAATATTAAGTCTCATATGCGTACCGATACTTTTAGCAGTCCTTCAAATTATAAGGAAGGTCTCGCTAAAAGCTCTAGGTTGGGTAAGCGCGGTCAATCGGCCTTGGCCCCTCCCCCCCTTCATGCATCCTTCTTCTACCTACTTTGATGATCAATACAGTCTAGCGCATGGTCAGGTATAATCCGCCATTAAGCTTGTGGCCTGCTCACTGTCTCGGCTGTGCCTGCCTGATCACTTGTTCTTCCAGCATCTGGGATGGCTGGGCCAGACGACGCGAGGCAAGTCGAGCCTCGGGTCCACCGCTTCAGTCTGGAAAGCGTGTTCATCAACGGCACTGTGAATGGATACAGGAACTCCCAGCTCGTGCTGAAGATGCAAATCGGCCTTGCCCCTCGCAGACCATACACTGGCTCACAAACTAGGACCCCTATTAGCCGTCCCCTCTTGATGGTACATGTCAAAGACAGGGCAGATGAGCTGGTTGGTTGCAGCTTCTTATCATGAAACCTCGGAAGAGCAGACATCTGATCATCGTGATACCGTAGGAAAGGCTAGAACTAGACTCATTCTCACTCGCCTCGGCAGACACGGAATCAGCCTCCCAGCATACGATTGACTGCTTTACCACTGACCATGTTCTTGTCTTCCGATACCCGAAGCCAACAGAAAATGCAAGCTGCCTTTTATTCGTTTTTCCTAAGCGCAATGTAATGATCTGACATAATAGCACAGAATTTATGCACGCTCACGGTCAAGTTCCGGACTATGCCCGAGTTCGACACAGCTCTTCAAGAACTAAGGGTATTGAAACTGAATATCAGGCATGTCCGATCCAGCGAGGGCCTCAATACAGCCTCAGAAAATGCACTAGTCGGATTATTGGTGGTCCCCACCAACGACTCCTTGCCAGTGTTTAGACCGTTTAGTCATTCGCCAAACCTCCATAGCCCAAGCTCATCAACTGCTTCTCAATCTGGGACACATGCTCAGTATTCCCCATACATGGACGGCATCATGCGATACTTGCCTCCCAGTCGTCCGCCAAGTCAGCCGACGGGGCAGGCTTTACACTTGCATTCAGGCCGGCCATCTGTGACTCAACGCCCTGCGACCACAATGGGAATTCCTGGAATCCTTGGGGAAGGTATCTACAAGATCAGCAAAATAAGTACCACCACTTCTGGTAGACCGAGGCCAAGAAGACCTCCGATTACCTCTAGATTCCAGGGCTCTGCATTATACACTGTCTCCAAACACCTCGACAAGACGCTAGGAAGCCAAGATAATGTTGACGCACCAGGACGAAAGTTTTTGCACGAAGACCGCTCTCATTCCACGCGAACTGGAGAGCCCGGCAGAAGTTCAGCAAATGCAGACAGCAGACAGCGCAGTCTCACAGACAAACTGCCTCTTATTATATCTCATGATAAACCACAAAGCCTGGAGAATTTACCAAGTGTATTAGATGAGCACCAGAACGCAGAAAACAACCCGCATCAGCCAAAAAGAAACCGGTGGAAACGACTGAGCGAGAAAACTGTCGACAAAGATCTGCTCAGCCGATATAATGCGGCTGCGCTTCACGAAAGTCAGCAGGCGTCGAGGATGGCGTCCATCCCCGAAGACAGCCCCCTAATGCCAAACGACCAATTTAGCAGCATTTCAAGAGATAGGAGCAGCCGATTTTTCTCTTCAAGACACGAGCAGCTGCTGAGGGCTGCAAGCTTCGACGACAAATCCTACCCGCATTCCAAACAAACCAGAATGCCATCCCCTGGTCTGGTTGCGCATGAAATTGATCCCAGCAATGGGAAAGACGACAATTTGTTGCTCCGAATCGCCGGGCTTAACCAAGAAGGGTTACGCGAGGCAACAAGACTATGGGAAGACCTGATGGAAAAAGGCAGACATGAAACTGACTTGGTTGACGATTTGGAGACGGCCTTTCAGATTTGGGCAAAATATGGGGAGGCATGGGCAAAGCGGCTGGACAAAATAGCAGCCGCTACTTTCCAAAAGATGAAGCATGCTCGGGATTCGAAGGGTGCTTCCTAAGAACGCCTACAATTACCACTATATTTGGAGGTTTAGCATCTGAAGACCGTATCTAGCCCGACTTTCCACCGCTTCAATTCGAGGCTTGCTTTAAGAATAGCTATAATACAATCTACCCGGCCCTTGCCTAGTTACTTGTTCGGACACGCGAAGCAAAAGCAATTGTATGCGACAACCATAATTTAGGAGTTTGTCCAGATATAACCTGAAAATGGCGTTTCACAAATCAAGTGCACCATGGACTTGGACCTAAACGAAAAGCTGTATGTGTTACATTTGCGCTAGTATTAGAAGTGCTAAATACGCTGTGCTGTCACATCAATCTCAAGAAAAGCACCACACTTGGTTAAACAACCTAGTTATGTTCGTCATATCATAAGGTACATTCATCTCGCCTTGAGACACCTGTCGACTGTTCATACAAACACAAAGGAGAAAAGAAACAAAGGGAACGTTCTAGACCTTGCTCTCCGGCTTGCTATCTTCATCATCCTTCACATCCTCTTCAGCCTTGAAGTCCTCGGTAGCCGGCGACGCAGGGGCGACGGCGGCGGCAGCATCATCAGGAGAGAAAGTGAGGCTGACGCTGTTGACGCAGTGCCGCTCGTCCGTCGGCGTCGGGAATCCCTCGCCCTTGAAGACGTGGCCGAGGTGGCCGCCGCAGTTGGCGCACACGATCTCGGTCCGCGCCATGCCCCAGCTGCGGTCCTCGTGGCGCTTGACAGCTCCCGGGATGCTATCGTAGTACGCGGGCCACCCGCACCCGGACTTGAACTTGTGCGTCGCCCGGTACAGCGGCGCCGAGCACCCGGCGCACGCGTACACGCCCTCGCTAGGGTAGTGCTTGTCGAAGGTTCCCGACCCGGCCGGCTCGGTGCCCTTCTCGCGCAAGATGCGGAATTGCTCTGCGGGTGCGTGTTAGTGGATGAGTCCTTGGATGAAGGCACGACTTTTTGCACTTCTTGCCCCCCCAAAAAAGGGGGAAAGGGAGTTCAGCCTCGAAAAATGCTCGTCATTATTTTGAGTTGGAATCATGAAGGAGTGCAAATGATTAAGGTTTTAGACATTGTCGCGTTGCTCGCATGAAACGTACCCTTGTTGAGGACAGCCCGCCACTCATCTAGGCTCCTCTCGTCGGGAAATGACGACGTCATGTTTTTGGCTGCTGAGGCTGAGCTGCTAAAGAGGCTGCCAAGAAAGGGGATTGACGACATGGACTTTAACGTTGTGGCGGTTCTCACAGGTGAGCGGAACGCTCGCGATGGTCTCGAGGCAAAGTGTGATAGGGTTTGCAAAATGCGGACAAGTCTTGCGGAATGGTAGCGCATGAAGGGTAGATTGGATGATGGAAGCTGAGGGCAATGGTAGTATATATATGTGTGTGCGATGTGTTGTCAAAGTGAATGTTTCAAGGCTACTTATACACTATGGAGTATGTGCCTATGGCATTGACAAATTATTGCGGGCTTTGAGAAAGGCCGCCAGGCCGTTGCGATTTGGAATCACAGAGGCGTCGAGCAGTGCTAAATACCAGCCCGGCGAGGAAATCCGGGGCCATATGAATAATCCGTTACAACCTAGGCTAGCGTTACTTACTGCACAGCCCGTACAATACATACGGAGTACAAAGTTGGGGAAGCTGGCTGAGTTTAGGAATTGCGTCAGAGAGTTGATTCCTCACTGGGCTTAGCCCTCGCACGATTTCATCAAAGTATTCCACATCGCTGGGATTTGCATTGTTGGCCCCTTTGTTCCGTCTCACTAAATCGTCAGCCTCGGCCCTCGAGAGGGCACACTTCCAGGGTTCAGTTCGGCATCGATTGTTGGCAGTATTGATGTTACAAACGAGGGAAGCCATCCACCAGGTCTATTTGTGGCCAGGATTGGGACTCTTATCTTATCGAAGAGAGACGTGACATACATAAAGCGGGGTCGTGACTCGTTAACGTTATAGCTTAATTGGCAACAAGGGGGTCGTCACTTGCACCCTAATTAGCGCCTTGGTCTTACCTGATAGAGGACAACCCCCCTATGCCAAATCCAGCGGGCTCAGAACGGCCAAACTCAAGGAAAGCACACGACGTCAAATCCCCCAACCGTACACAAGCCAACTGCCTTTAAACTCGCCAATCACAACACTGAGGCGAAGAGGCGGGCCTGTATCTTCGTTAATTTTCTCCCCACTTGACGTATACAGCGATGTCTCGACGACCGCCTAACCCCGCGGCCGAAAGGGCGGCTAGAAATCTAATAACCATCAAGAGCCTCCTCAAATTGGAGCCCAACAAGGTATGCGCCGATTGCAAGCGCAATAAACGTGAGTGTCTTATCGCCCTGGGCTCGTAGCTAGGTTGGAGTCAAGGCGGCCTGTCGTTGAGCTGCCAAAGCAGGGTGCTAACTGCTTGGTGATGTAGACCCGCGATGGGCGAGCTGGAACTTGGGCGTCTTTGTCTGCATCCGGTGCTCGGGCATCCACCGTGGCATGGGCACTCACATCAGCCGTGTCAAGTCGGTTGACCTTGACTCATGGACCGACGAGCAACTGCAGAGCATTTTGAACTGGGGAAACGCGCGCGCCAACAAGTACTGGGAGGCGAAGCTGGCTCCCGGCCACGTGCCCTCCGAATCCAAAATCGAGAACTTCATTCGGACCAAATATGAGCTCAAGAGGTGGGTAATGGACGGTCCTATGCCGGATCCCGCAACTCTGGATGCCGAAGCGGACGACGATGTTCCTTTGAGTGTGGTCAAGGAGAAGCAGAACATCGAGCACAGGGAACAGGCCCGCAAAGCCTCTGTTGGCCAGACTGCCGATCCACGATCAATTGCTTCACCCCCTCTTGCGGATCTCATCGGGGGGGACCCATTGCCGCTCAGAGCTAGTACGACAAGTCCGACGGTGACACAGGTTCCTCTTAAATCTGAACTCGCTCCGCCAAAGGCAACTAGCACCAAGGACTCGCTTCTAGGGTTGGATTTTATGGGAGGCCAACCTTCTGCGCCTCCGCGGCCAGCGAGCACGACTGGCACACCTGGCGTTGGAAACCAGTCGCGCCCAGATCTGAAGCAGTCGATTCTTTCTCTTTATGCGACCGCTCCGCGCCCCCAGCCGCCGGCTGCGTCGCAACAAGTCTCCCACGTTTCGTCGGGCTCGTTGAGCGGAATGCCGTCTCCAACGGGCATGAGCCAGGCGCCGAGTTCGTACGGAGGGCTCAATGATGCCTTTGGAAACCTCGGCTTTGGGAGCCCAGCACCTCCCAAGCCTCCCCAGAAAGATGCCTTCGCGGGTCTCGGGAGCTTCTCGTCTCCTCGGCCGGCGCCTCAGTTTAATAACTCGGCCTTCTCAAACCTAAGCGGCGGAAGCTTCTTCGACTCGAAACCCGCCGCGGCCGCTCACCAGCGACAACAGTCTATCGGAAATGGGAGCAACTTTGGCGGTTTCACCTCTCCTACTCTAACAAATGCGCGGTCCGTTACTCCCAAGTTTGTCTCACCGCCGCCATCAGCCGCACTGGGCGATTTATTCGACTTCTCAACTTCGTCTCCTCCTCGCGCTGCAGCAGCCCCACGGCCAGTCGTGGCACCAGCAGCGACGACAATGACACCCTCCGTGTTTAATCTTTCGACGGCGCAGCGCAAATCTCCTCCTGCCCCAGCGGCTCCGGCGAACCCGCTTGGGTCACTGAGTTCCGCTGGTTCGAACAACCTGTCGAATTCTGACATATGGGGCTCAAATGCGTGGTCAGCCCCTGAAGCGCCCAAAAAGAGCCCGGAGGTGCCCAAGACGACTACAGCTCCAGCAAATGATTTTGGGTGGGGCAGCAGTACTGGATCCTTTGCTAGCCAGCCTATTGTACCCGGCGCCGCTGGGGGCTTTGCGCCCGCCCCCAAGGTTGCTGCGGACGAAGAATTTGGAGGGTGGACGAGCAGCGCACCGGTAGCTGCTAATCCCGCCGGCGCGCCCAAGCCCACAACGGGCTTTGGAGCCGCGAGCGAGGATCTATTCTCGAATGTTTGGGAATAAAAGGCGGAACTCCTCTCTCCAAAGGCGAATGTCCCGCGTGGGTCGGGACGGCAGCATAAATAACAGTGCCGGGATAAGTATGGAAAGTCGGAATATATCTGACAATGACTTTAAAAACACAGGATTACGAATTGCGCGTAGCATAGAGAGACCCTTTTAAAAAAAATGAAGGACAGTTAAGAAGTGCTTCACATGGCCCAATTTTGTACCGGGGAGATATCATGAGACCATTGAGAGGGACGGAAATAGCATGGACACCCATAGATTTATAATTCTTGATCTTCCATGCCCACTCGAACCAGTAGAAATAATTGAAGCGCGCTTCCTAAAAAAAAGAGACAATCCAAACCCCAGCCTTGACGCCGTTGCTATGCTCCCTTGCACTTGGCAATCCCGCTTCATCGTAGTCCGTTCCATTGAAACCGAACCTGATATCCCCACGCGCCGGTGAATATTGGTACATACAGCATTAGTAGTGGCTGCATCCATTTCTCTTTCCTTCTCTTCCCAGTCTGGTCTTGTCCCGCGTATTAAATAGCCATTCTCCCTCTGGGGGTCCTCCTTGGCTGTAGCAATCACGCAACCAGCCCTTAGTAGCAGTCGCAGCAGCAAATATAGTACATGATAATGATTACTATTCGGCCATCATTAGCGCAGGTGTGCGTCCCGCCTGGCACCCGCTCAGAACATCAGCCGATAGATGTAGTAGAGCACAATCACCACACCGATCAGGATGCCGGACAGCTTCAGCACGGCGACTTTGTTCCCCGCCGCGGCCATGCGCCCCAGGCGCGTTGCGGAGCCTTTGAGCTGCGTGCCCATGGTGGAGAAGGTCTCGGACTATATATTTTTGAAAGTCACTTCGTCAGTCTTGGGCTCGCTAAGTGGTTGGCGCGTGCGGCCTGTGAGGCGTAAAAAAGGTAAAGCACTCTCCCTACCGTAGACTCAATCACTTCGTGTGACCGCGCGCTGTCGTAGATGTCGATCGTCACGCCGCGCAGCGCCGACACTTTGGCCGAGAGCTCATCTAGGCGGGCGTTATTTTGTCGCTCGCGCTCGTACGATTCCGACATCGTTGCTTTTGTGGTTCGTCGCTTGAATGCAAAACTCTGAGACCGTGGGCGCGCGATAGCCAAGAGGTGCTGCAGGCGACAAAACGCAGGAGCGCAATTAAGGCTCTCTTCTCTCGAGAACACACGGTTTGTTTCAGGTCGGTTGCGAGAACGGATGTGACGATGACCCAGTTTCGGCAAAAGGAAGAAGAACTTGGTGTGCGGGTGGATGATCGTCTTCTTTGTTGGGTTACGCGGTAGATAAAAGGGACTTCCCAGGTTGGTTGAAAAAAACAAATACAATAAGAAAGGAAGAATAAAATGAATCTCTCCGTCGCAAGTCGAAGGCCGTGGCCGTGCGGTCGGTCGATCGATCAGCCGTGTCGGGTCTCGAGGTTTGGGGCGTGGATAATCCGGCAGCAGGTCGTGGTCGTTAGACTCGCTACCTTAATTAAGGGCTGTCAAAAGGGGGGCCAGGGTCTTGCCGGACTTAAAGTCTGCTTGACGCGGTTGGCCGACTATGCCAGTAGGCAAGTCACCAGCCACACAGTGGCTGACTTCATGATGTCACTAATTCGGGGTCCAATGACTGGGAGATAAAGTTTGGGAGCAATGGGTAGGGCGTGAAATTAGGGATTAAGCAGCGCAATTCCAAACCAAATGTTCCCAAGACTGCTACTGTGTAGACTGCTCGTTTACGGTTATTGATAATCATAAGCGCACCTTTACGCCGTTCTTGTCGTCCGAGACTGCGTAACTCGGGATTGAACGGCGGCCCAGCCACGACTGCCTACAAAGCTAGTGTGGCTGAGAGCCGGGGGGTAGGTGGGAGAGATGACGCGGGGAGGCTCCTAGAAGGCTGCTGTGCTGGGAAAGCCCCTGATACTATTGAAATTCATCCCACCTCGTGCAGTCTTTCCCGCACCACAAGAACACAGCCTCTTTATTGCACATCGACGCGCGGCAAGCGGCCTCCTTTGCCATCGCGATCAAACTGAAGTTTTCTTACAATAATTACATGAAATAATTCCGTTCGCGGCTTAATCAGCCAACCCATCGCGGCATTCCAGTTCCGACAAACCAAGCCGGGTCGGCTAGCCCACTGACTCCGAGCTCTGGTCATCCACCTTGCGTAGCCTGGAGACAAACTCAGCGCCACCTCACAGCCTCCGAGGCCTAATGCAAAACTCTCCCTCGGAACAGTGCTCTAAAGTCACTCTCCTCCTCCTCTTCACAACACCAGACGATATCAACGCCAAACATACGATACCTAGCCCTCGCTTCCAACCCTCAAAGTCGCTACCCAATCTCCTAGGCAGCCATAGCCATGGGTCTCAACAATCCTCTGCCGTCGTCTCTGGCTTGTAAGCCTCTCCAATCCCTCCGCAGGTCGACGCGACTTGCACAAAGTCAATAAATGCTCCAGTTCCGATAGCTGACATAGAATGTCACAGCCGAATGCAAAAAATGCGGCAAGATTTTAACCTCGTTCGTCGACCCGCGTCAAGCTTTCTCTCCTGACAAGGTCATCCCTCCGTCTGTGCTTGCAAACGCCAAGGTAAGAACCCAAGCGGGGTGTTCTTCCAATTCCCCGCCCCGTCGCCGTCGCCGTCAGCCGTGATAACACCTACGTCCTGGAGCTGGCCGCAGCGACTGACTCTCTACTGTAATAGGGCCTTGCGATTCTCACGGTAATCAAGGCCGGCTTTCTCGGCTCGGCTCGCTTCGGAAGCGGACTTGTCGTCGCCCGCCTGCCCGACGGCGGTTGGAGTGCGCCAACAGCTATTGCGACTGGTGGCGCAGGATTTGGCGGCCAAATAGGCATCGAGATTACCGATTTCGTCTTCATTCTTAACGATGCGAGCGCCGTAAAGACATTCTCACAAGCCGGCTCGCTCACTTTAGGTGGCAACGTCTCGATCGCGGCAGGTCCGGTAGGCAGGAATGCAGAAGCGGCTGGAGCGGCGTCGCTCCGAAGTGTCGCAGGAATTTTCAGCTACTCCAAGACGAAGGGCTTGTTTGCTGGTGTGTCGCTGGAAGGCTCAGTCATTGTGGAACGGAAAGATGCCAACACCAAGCTATACGGTCGTCCCATCTCGGCGCGCGAACTCCTTTCCGGATCCGAGCGCCCGCCGCCGCAATGCTCCTCCCTCCTGAGCATACTGAATTCGAGGGCCTTTAGCGGGATGGCGAGTCCGAGTGTGGCAGATGACCGCATGTACAATGACATACCCGTGTATGACGACAGCCACGACGATGTGGTGTGGGGTAATAAGACGGGACCTGCGTACGGCGAGGGCCAGTCCCGGACTGGTGCCAACGGCGATGGCTTTTCACGCGACGAGTTTGGCCGACCGAAGAGATCCAGCACCTGGCAAGACGACGTGTACGATCAACCCCGGCCCTTTGGACAGACATCAAGGTCGACCACTTTCAACGACAGCGGCTACGGCGGGCAGGGCTCTCCCATCTCTCCGCTATCGCCGCTGTCGCCGGGGGAGAAGAAGGTCGGCCCAGGACGGCCTGCAGCACCGAAGCCCAACTTTGCGAGCAAGCAGGCTCTTATGAAGAAAAACGAGGCTGTGGCCCTCTTTACGTTCGAGGCGGACCAGCCAGGAGACCTTGGTTTCCAAAAAGGTGACATCATCACGGTTTTGAAGAAGACAGAGAGCGACAACGACTGGTGGTACGTTTCGGGCCTGCTTCCCTCGCGGCCTCCCATGCCATGGAAGAACTTGTAGACTAACTGCACAATAGGACGGGCATGGTTGGCACAAAGCACGGAATCTTCCCAAGCAACTACGTGAAAATGAAGGAGCAGGACTAAGACTCAAAATATGCGGCGAAACTAGGATGTCCGCCGTTACTATACGGGTTTCTCAGATGGCGACATGAGCTCTTTTGAACCACTAACCGTCGTGACTACGATGAGGGGTTAACAGCTGACGTAACTGGCAGGATGGATATTGGTGGCACTCTTATTGCTGTGATTTGAGTTGGTGACGGCCTTTTTTCTCGTTTGATTCTGGTTGCGACGAGGGATTCGAGTTTGTTGGGAATATCCGGGGGCGATGTTATGGCTTCAGCGTTTGTGGCATTTTAAGACAATTTTTTTTGGTTGGCGTTCTGGAAACTCGGTTCGTATTGTTGTCAGTCTGAATAGGTGCACACGGCGATTTTCTGTCCATCCATCTGTTAGTAACTATGTCGAATGGAATGTGATTCGGTCAACGAATCCATCTATATGCGCGGAGATGTTGACCTCTCTCTCTCTCCTATATGAACTAATCGTTTATATAAGAACCTAGCGATTCAAGCCTCTTGACTAAACGAAGCTTGCATTGCTAACCTATTCTTATTGCCTGATGTTTATTGACGGCATACCAGGCCCGCGTCTCTCTACTTCTCAACGAGTCTAAATACCAAGGCACAGTAGCCAAGGTAGATGAATAAGGATATCGGGTAGGAAAAAGCACGAGGGCCGTGAGCTTCGGGCCGAGCCGAAGACGTCCAGACATTCCCAGCCCGTCTGCATCAGAGGTGCATCTGCACTGTGCTGCTGGTGAGTAACAGTCTCTATTCAAGGCCGATCATTTACGGCACTTGGATACGTAAGTTCTAAATTAACCATCCCTGTTAGGTTGCCTATTGCGGATTTTGGAGGACCTTGAGGGCCAAGAGACAGGATCGTGAAGGTGCCCATGTCGCTTGTGCCGAGCTTCAAAATGAAGCAATTGCAAATTGTAAACATAAACACATGTTCCTTCCTCTTTTGTGGTGCTCTCCACTTGCGCGGCTACTGAGTCGAATATGACCGCTTTTATAGAGCTTAGTTTATTTCTGTCCCTCTATCAGAGCTAGACTCTAACATGGAAACTTGTACAAGACCGACTGCCTTTTAGTTTTGCTTATTCTTGCACCATATTCATACCGAGTTGCTAACATCAGTCTAGGACTTCGGATTGCTTTGGTGCATCATCATCATGTTTCTTGGTATGACAAAGTTGTCTGCCATTTATCTTCTTGCCATCCAGACTACATTGTTCTTGTCCGCAAGCAGCGCGCTGTCGACTAGGTTCGGCCGCGTCGGCTATTCACAGCTCACTCTTTGTTTGCCTGTTCATTTCTTCTTTCGCAATGATAGCTTCTCTATCAAATAATGTCCCGTCGGGCACTTCCATCCAGCGGTCTCATTTATTGAAGGCCCCCACTTGAAGCGCTCGCCCAAAGAGAGCGTCCTTTGGTGACTTGATTGGCCATGCGGGATTGGCGCTATCGATGGGTTCCTGTTTCTTGAAAGCGCCCACCCACCCCTTCCAGCTGGCCCTCCGTACACAATAAGAGCCGTCTCAACCCGCTGATTCGCCCGTCTCTCACCAACCAGCAACCACAGCTCAACGAACCAACAGAAGCTTCTAATCAAGCCCCCCCACAAGCTCAAGCTCTCGCTCTCCCCGAGGAGATGATTTCCTCTTTGGAGCAACGCTCTGGCTTCTCAAACTGCCCAACGCCGCATGGCGCGCCCCTGGATTTGAGCTCCAGACGCGGTTCCGCCGTCCCCATTTGCCCGATGCCCTTGAGCCTCGAGCGGGAGCTAAGACACAATGGAGGGTTGCTAGCACATGGCGTTGGACTTTTATTCATTCGTCCCTGCCGCGAAGCGGCCGGCCTTGCTTCCGAGGGGAGAGAAAGAGGCTGGGAGGTCAGCCTTTTTCGAGACCCCGGGCGAGATCTGAAGGCCAGTTAGTGACCAATTGACTGACGATAGTTGCCATTGTTGTCTCGTTGCTGTTGGTCTCGTAGGACCCGAGCTTTGCAAGCTCTGGAGAGCTGTTATTAACGGTCCGCCCAGGGCCAGCCGTATGATGGAAGTCCATCTTTGCTTCTTCCCTGCTTTGTTGATTTCATTCTTTCTTTCTATCCTACAGCCTAGCTTAGTCAGCTTGCTTGGGCATGTAATTCCCCCACAGCCAGCATAGAAAGTCATTTTTCGCACTGAGGGTGATGGCAAGAGGGCGTAACAAGACGTTCCATTCTCTCTCTCTGCCCAGAATGCCATCCTTGCCTAGGCCTCCGCTCTTTTTCTTCTTTCTCTCGTTGTTGATACTCTTTCAACTGTCCTTTGTTGTTTCTCTTCCCCTGGGGGTGAGCTTCCAAACCCAGACGGCCTTGCCGATCCTTACGTTGCCATATGGCTCTTATAGAGCATCGAGCTACCGTGCCTCAAGCGACATGTAAGTCGACTCCCGACGACGAGCACTGGAGATAGCTTCAGAGCCGTACTAAACCAGTGTGTGCTAATATAATTTTTACCAGATATGTCTTCAAAAACATTCGTTTTGCGGCACCACCTGTTGGAAATCTTAGATGGGCGAAACCTGCTCCACCGTCGAATAATGCTACTGTTCAGGACGGGAGCTATGGTCCAAAGTGCGTACAATCGGCCGTCTCGGGAATGAGCGTCATCGGAACTGGGAATACCTCGCCAATTGGGGCTGCCATCAACCAGTTGTAAGTGCTTGTCTGCGTATATCAGCTGGGGCGGACTCTGTAGAGATATATTTACGTGCTAACTAGAAATACCAGTCTGGGTGGAATCCCCGTCCCGCTATTCTCTGGCGGGAGCGAGGACTGCCTCTTTCTTGACGTCTACGTTCCGGGGAAGGCATTGAAGAACACATCTCTCAAACTACCAGTCGTGGTCTGGATCTACGGAGGGGCTTACGTCTTCGGAAGCAAGGACACGATGCAGCCACAGTTGCCATTTTATGATGGCTCTGGAATGATGGGCCAGTCCAACAACAATATGATATTCGTCGCCATGAATTACCGGCTCGGCGCCTTCGGCTTTCTTGCCGGGACGACCATGGAGCGTGACGGGCTGCCAAACGCAGGGCTTTGGGACCAGCGAGCCGCGTTCCAATGGGTTCGGGATCATATAAGCCTCGTCGGTGGCGACCCTACGCGGATTACGGCCATGGGTGAATCCGCCGGGGCAGGGTCTATCGTCCATCATCTGGTTGCCCAAGGCGGCGGTCTAGATCCGCTGTTTTCAAAAGCTATACTGCAATCTCCGGCCTTCCAGCCACAATGGGATCGTGCCGGGGCAGTGGAAGCGACCTTCAACACCTTCGCCGGTCTTGCTGGATGCGTAGGCAAAGGACTCACGTGCCTCCGTGCCGCTGACTCTGCCACCTTGGTCAAGGCAAACACGGCTCTCAACGTTAAGCCTTCATCCGGCTCCTTTTCCATTGGACCGGCCGCTGACGGGTCGTTTATTCGCCAGCTTCCCGTCTTGGAACTCAGCTCAGGCCACTTCTGGCCAGTTGAGTCGTTGGTTCTGTCTCACGTCGCGGACGAGGCGAGCCTCTTCGTGAACAAGTCAATCCAGACTGATGCAGCATTCTCTACGTATATAGATTCCTCCTTTCCAAACTACGCACGCACAGCGGGTGTCAATGCCCAGATCGAAGCGTTCTACCCTCCCATGAGCGGCAGCAATAACAGCAAACAGCCGAAGTACCCCAGCCAGACAGCACGTGCCGCGGCATTCCTCCGTGACGGGTGCTTCACTTGCAATGTCAGGTGTAAGTGCCGACCTCTCTACTCAGTGGTCAGGGGCAGTCAGCTAGCTACCTAGCCGCTTTCCGTGTTTCTTTTGCCACGAGGCTTCACCTGCTGACAGGATGCCACAGACATCACCGAGGCCATTGGCGACTCGAAGGTCTGGAACATGCAGTACAGTGTCTGGCCCGGGATCCACGGAACAGACCTGGTGCCGACCTTCTTCAGCACCGCTTTCACGGCCGACACCTTCCTCGCCGACCTCGCCGTGCTGATGGCGCCCGTGCTAGGCGCGCTCGTCTCTGGTATCAGCAACGGCATGCAGTCGTACTTTGCTTCGTACATCACGACGGGCGACCCTAACACGAACCGGAAAATCTGGAACGTGCCGCCGACGGTCAAGTGGAACCATCCCGTTAGCGGCGGCAGCAAGGGCTCGGGCGGAGGTGCAGAACAGATCGCTGGCGTGGTGGACGTGGGGAACTGGGGGTTTGGGACGGTCAGCGACTCGCAGAACCAGAAGGCACCCTGCAACTTCTGGCGAGACTTGAGCGCTGCCGTGACAGCTCTGGGCGGCTATGCACCACCCGGCGCAGTCGTCTCGCAAGGGCTTGTCAAGGTCTCTGTCGACCCAAACGCAAACTACCGCGGTGGTAATAAATAGGCCATATAGAAAGTCTTTAGAGAGTCGAGTATTGGTGCCTACCTACCTAGGTAGCTAGCTACAACTGGCTAAGCCTAGCGATGATATGAAATTAGTACTTCAATTCACCTTGACCATTTCGCCGGCCCCCTCCACTACATTCCCAAATCCTACAGCCACAGGCACTGCCTCCATCTGTCTGCATCTGTTTCATTGGTAATTGAAGTCATGAAATTGTGCCCATTACTGTAAATGCTCCCTCTCAAACAAAAAGGGCGAAAATAAGAAAACAAAAATGAAAGTGGCCAGCGTACTTGCACCTGATTGTTGTACCTTATTTCCAGTATTGGGAATACTCCGTCCCCGAAACTCCATCCCTCCCCTTCCATAGGGTCTCCTCATCCATCAATCACCCTAGCCACTCGGAGGCCTTTCCCAAACCGAGGCCTTTTTTTGTTCCATGAACCGTAGACGCCTGCCTGTCCGACAGCTTCATGTCCCAATCCACAAGCCAGAACTACCTGGCCTCCTGGGAGTTTTTTTCTTCTCGGTTGAGATGTAGAAAAATCCAACTCCAGTAACCCCGAGATCGATCAACCGACCAACAAAAATAAAGACACCTGAGGTATATATGACCAGGCGCCTGCCTCCATACCACCAAACCACGAAAATGAAACCAGCATGCTCCTAGAATGACCGCCACTCTTCGAGTATGCGAACCGCAAGCCGAGACGTGGCCCCTAGAAATCGGAAATCGGTTATACAAAGTGTACAGAAGCAGGCATACTAGAACTGTGAGGATGTCGTCCTAGGCTTCTGCGGTAGCAGTAGAGAGTTGGAAGTCACACTCGGCCATGTCCTTGTCCGATTTTCCCAGATACTTCTGCATCACCTTCTTGAAGTCCTTTTCATCAACCACAGCACCGCTGCCAGAGCACTTGGCCTTCTTCTGCAGATCCGAGCAGAGACCGTCCAAATCGAAATCGCCGTTCTGAACCTTGGGGCACTTTTGCAATGTTTCCCTACAAGCATTGTTAGCAAGGTGGCAAACATATAGCTTTGTATCCAATTGTCCGTACCATATTTTGTTGCAAGTGTACGAACTTTCGTCGGTATTCTTGGCAGCATCAATTTGTGAGATGAGGTCGTTTTTGGGTGGCACCACCGGAGTCGCGACAGGCAGGTTGTATGGCGTTGTGAAATCCATCTCAAAAGCCTCGTTGAAGAAGCTGTCGTCGAGACCGGTAGTCAACACATTCTCTTGAGACTCCCTATAGCCCCCGAAGAGCTGCGGATCAAACTGGAAATTGTTTGGAAGCCAGCTGAAGTTTGCATCAAAGTTGGAGAAATCTGAAGCAGTGTTAGTTGAGAGCCTAGGTAATATACCGTGGTTGGTCTGCTACGTGAAGCGGTGGCTTGGGGATGTTTCTCACCTGGTATTCCATTGCCGGGCTGTTCTTCTCCAATTGTGCTCAAGGTATCAAGGGGCTTGAATGCCGTCGGTGATTGAGCCGAAGGCTCCGGGGACGTCCCGCAAGAAGAACTTGGACCGCCCGCGTTGGAATTGGACGAAGCTGAGGGCGAGCTGGTCGATGTTACGACCCCAAGATTGAAGTGCGAATCCAGGCTGCCCACTGTGGAGCCACTTGCGCCAGATCCGTAGCTGAGGGGAGGCGTGAAGAGGTTGGCAGTCAGGTTTGCCAAATCCTCCTTGGTCTGCGAATCAAGACCAACTTGACTATAGCTGCTGGAATTGCTTGGGCTGATACCGTCGTTTGGCTTTTCGGAAGGACTGAGTTGACCACTGTTGCTCCGCGTTGTCGACATGGAAGCGGAAGCGGTTTTCTTGGCGACATTCGCGGCCGGAGCCCCGGGAAGGGAGCCGAACTTGGGGAACTCGAATTGAAAGTTGACATCATTCAAGTTGTTTGTCAAGGTTGAGCCCCACGGCTTGAGCGGGGACGGGCCAGAAGCGGGCCGGCTGTTTGCGATTACGGAGACGCGCTTCTTGTACTCATTCAACTCGACCGTCATCTTGTCGACCTTGGCACGGAGAAGGTCATTCTCGTGGTTGGTAGCCTCGGAGACCTTCTCAAGCTCCTGGACTTTAGTCTCAAGGTCCTTGAGATGCTTCTCCTTGCGCTCGCGGAATGCCCGCTGAGCCGCGCGGTTCTGGGCCTTTCGCTTCTGTTTGGGTAAGTGTCAGTAAGAAGACGTCGTGTGCGTCAATCGAGGCCTATTGGGCGACTCACAGAACTTGGTTCGGTCGTGAGGGGCTTGCGTCCCGGTTTCTTGGCGACCTTGTCCTCGCTCTCTCGTCTCTTGGCTCCACCGGGTGAATCTTCGTCATCGTCGTCGTCGTCAGGGTGGCTCCGCTTATCCAGCGACTCGGTCTCGGGGGAATCAGACTTGGAGCTTGATGCACCAGGCAGGTCACCAATCATCCTGGGATTGTTGCTGTGGTCAAACGAGAAGTCAAAACTCGAATCGGGACCACCGAAATCATAGTCGTAGTCCAGATCAGGGCTTTCCTGGAAACTGTTGACAGTGTCGGGGCCCTTGTCTGGTGAAGCGTCCAACGGCGGGGGCGACAGGCTTAGCGCCGCGTTCGTAAAGTTGGTGCCGGGCTTATTGGAATTGAGAGCGGCAAACAGTAGGTTCTGTTGCTGCGGAGTGAGAATGAAGTCCTGGAGAGGGTTCCGTGTCGACGTCATCTTGGCTGAACTTGAGCGCGACAATGGAACTTGCGTGGCCGTAATCATTTACGGGATACACCCAACGAGGGAAAGAGAAGCTCTCGGAAAAGGGGGGAAAAAAAGAGGAGAAATTTGACCGTTAGACTAGAAAGTATGGCCAAGGTAACCCAAAGGGGAGGGATTGGTGAAGCGTGAGATGACTCTGCCGGCCAGCAACGGCGGGGTATTGAGGATTGGGCCTTTCTTTTCCTTCTTTCCTGCTAATGGAATGAACGAGGTAAGACCGGACAGCTGAGCAATAGGTTTTCTCAGTCTATACGGCGGAGTACTGGCGCAAGGAACGCCGTCAGAAGTGAGAATGTCGATCCGGACACGCAATCAGAAAAGTCGCCTCCCAGACGCTGTGCCTTGCAAGGAAGGTCCCAAGGTGAGGAAGAGTGGATTGTAAGAATGGGGGGGGGAAGCGGAAGCTGGAAAAGTTGCGGCCTTCCCGCCTGAATTGTTGCCTGACAAAGCTCACCTGACTGACACCCAGCCTTTCCCTCTTTGAGACCGCTGGAGAAATCAGCGGATGTTATGTGGGTATTGGATGTCAGAGTACGGCACAAGGGCGCGCGAATTGGATCGGACAGGGCACCTTCGGAAATGGACATGGCAAACTGCGAGAAAGGGAGGGGTTGAGCACGTCAATTTGTCAGCGCCCATCGAAGGCACGGGAAATGCCAGTGTCCAGTCCGTGCACTCACTAAACCGCCTGCTTAACCTACCAGGCTCCGGGGCATCCAGCGCCCCAACCAGAAGAGCCGCTCAAGCCGCTTAAGACCGAGCCCCCCCACACCCTTTCTTCAAGTTCAACCTTCCGTCCCTCGACCAGTGCACCAGGCACCAACTCGCCGTAACCACCAACAAGCGAGTGCCGCCAGCCGTTGATGTGCCAAGTCACCAATCCTTTTTTTTTCACTAACCCAGTGTGACAGCCGAGAAAGAAAATCTCACTTCTCTCGCAGCTGTCCTAGTTTTATTAATCCACCAGGCTCTGGCACGACAAAAGTGCTACACGCACTTACAGCAGTAGCTCCCTTAGTTACACGTAGGATTGCCGCCCGGATGAGTCAGGCCTAACCGGCTGTATGTTACACGGGCGATTTCCGTCTGGACTTGAGAAAAACTTGCTCTCATTGATCAAAGGGGGCGACGGATGCCGGATAGAGGGAGTTGCCCAGAAAGAGATCGACGCCCCACCGACATTTGGGGCTCAAGCCGTCTTACTGCGTACTCAGTGTGTAGGCGCCCCCTTATATGATAAGGAGAGACAGCTTGTGGTAGATAAATGCATGCATGAGGGGAGATATGTATTGGACTGTCCCACGTGCGATGTGTTCGAGATAGCCCCCCCCTATGCGACGGTCCACATGTATCTATTTTAGCCTCATGTCCGCGGAACCTTGATGTCAGTCAGCTTAAAACGCTTGCGTCAACGATGCGAAAATAACCAATATGGTTTGAGGCTACACCTTCCCTGGAGGTAAGTCTTTGCCTAGGGGAGCTTTATTTGTACATCTATCTGTGAGCGATCTACTTGGGCGAAATCGCAACCTCCTCGCATTATCGCCATGGCATTGGATGACATCATCATGGCGAAAAGATGGTAGTCTGACCTGACCCAAAGACACCAACCTGCTCACATTTGGCAGTGTAGTCGTACCTGGAGGCACCGAGGTTGTGTAGTGGTGTGGCGTAACTGCGTACGGAATCCTCCGTCCCTCGTATGTTCTCCGGGCCCGATGAGGTACGTAGACTTCTTTATCGGATATCAAAGCTTCCATTCTTGCATCGGGCGGGCATCTGTGTGGACTGTGGGGCCACCAAAGCCGAGCGCCAAGATCTGGATGGTCCGTGCTTCTACCACAAGCGGAGCCCCGCGCCTAGAGCGGGCGAGAACCCCCCTATCATCAGCCTTGCCCAACCTAAAACGGACCGTGCCATCCCATTCATGTGACGGCAAAGCGTGTTGTGAAGCTCTCTTGCTCGGTCCTGCTAGGCGCCCAGCCAGAGCGCATACCAACCAATTCGACATCTGGGATAACTATCCGCCTTTGTTCCTCTCGGGCCGGCGAAAGCAAGCTTACCTTACTGAGCGATGGATCTCGCATACGATCATATACAGGAGGTCGCCGCAATCCCCGACGACTCGTCCCCCGCCCGGAATGGCAACAGGACTGACAGCGACGGTAACCCGAAGCCCGAGGTAAGCCTCAACGAGGACCTGCAGGATGCGTACCGCGCTTTTTCAAATAGCCCGTGGGGCGCCAGGATCGGGGGCTTTTTCGGCAGCGTCGTCAAACAGGTGTGTACTGCCTTCGCCCTTCCATGCTTGCTCGCCTGCAGACAATACTCTCCAGAAAAGGTCATCAAGATCTAATACAACCCTTCGATTTAAACCTAGGGTGAATCCGTCTACCGCGAAGCTACGCAAGAGCTGTCGGCTGTCGGCCAAGATGCCACTCGTGGCTTCACCGACCTGCGTGCGTCTCTAATCAGCCACACACGGTCGTTGTCTCTCGTAACCCCCTCGACCGACCAAGGGGCGGCGGCGCGAGAAGCCAGCGACAACGCCGAGACCACACCGACCGAGGCCAAGGACCAAGAAGGAGAGGATGCCCTGGCCGAATCTGAGACGGTTCTTTCGCGACTCCGCGGCGAGGCCGCCAAGCGGCTGAAGGATCTCCAGAAGGCCGAGGACGCGGCCGACGAGGCGCTCTTGAGATTTGGATCGAACCTACGGGACTTCCTCCGTGAGGCTATCAAGATTGCGCCGCCGACGGGCGAGTCCGAGAGCCAAGGGAACGCGGTTTTGTTCGAGAGCAAGGACGCCCACGGGAAGCGCGTCATCCACACGTCACGGTTTGACGCCCAGCTTCACGTCATCCACACGAGCCCTGACAGCTTCTCCAAGGACGGCCCTGGGCACGAATACGAGGCTTGGTCCCAGGATTTTGACATTGATAAGAAGACGGAGGATATCAGCAGCGATCTTTCCAAGTACCCAGATCTGCGGACGACTATGGAGAAGCTTGTGCCGGATCAGGTGCCCTATGCCGACTTTTGGAAGAGATACTATTTCCTGAGGCACGGAATTGAGACTGCCGAAGCGAGACGGCGGGACCTGCTGAAAGGTATGCGCGCAGCTTGATCGTTCCCGCGTGTGTTTTTTTCCTCCCTTACTAATTTCAACGCGCAGCTGCCTCAGCCGAAGAGGAAGTTGGGTGGGATGAGGACTCGGATGATGAGGCCGCCGGACCTAGCAAAGTTACCAAGGCGGACCGCCCCGGGTCGAGCACATCGTCTATAACCATCCACCCACCCACCGCCCAAGCTCTCCTCAAACCGAACGAGCCTCGGAAGTCCAATGACGAAAAATCCCAGGCTGATAGCGACGCAAGCTACGATGTCGTTGGCGCTAGGTCGGGGGTCCCCAGTCAAGCTCCGAATAGCCCCAAGGACTCCCGAAAGGGTGATGACAGCGACGAAGAGGACTGGGAGTGAGACAAGATATGCTGTCGCGGTGTTAGGTAGGTTTCCTTTGCGTTTGTTTTGGGCGTGTGTTTGGATCGTCTGGGTCGTCTTATCCCCAGTCAAATTCCCAATTTTTTATGGTTGTTGTAGTCCCCTCATTTCTGCCGTGGCTGTTATATAGGCCGAGGAAGCAGGAGAGAGGAGAGAGAAGGGGATAGTCCTCATATGTACAGAATAATTTCACTTTGCTGCATCGTGTCGTCGAGCTGCGCCTGTTCACTGTCTCCATCCCTTACCCCTTTATCTCCATGCGCCCGCCGGCAGCTTCATCAAGCAAAAAAAGAAAGCAATGAAGCAGCATAGGCCCGATTTTATCTCTTCTTGCGCGAAACCTTGGTGAAGCCGTCCTCGTCCACTTCAGGGCTCTCTTTTTTCCTCGGTTCCGCCGCGGGCGCATCGCCCATCTCGACATCTTCGTTCCCGTCGCTATCGTCGCCGTCGTCGTCGTCATCCTCATCAGTGTCCCAATCAGTGTCGTCGTCCTGATCCGCCACCTTCTTGAAAACCACCTTGGCCTTGCCGTCGCCCCCGTTACTGCTGCTGCCACCACCACCCCCACCCCAGCGCCGCCGCAGCGCCTCCACCTCGTCGAACTTGCCCCGCGCGCACTCGGCCCGCACCCGCATCACCTGCTCCGCCACCTCGAACGCCGACTCGTCGTCCACGTTGACCTCGAACTCGTCCAGCATCACCTGCAGTAGCACCGTCTCGACCTCCTCCTGGTCCGGCTCTTCGTCGGCCCCCGGTACTGCTGCGGCAGTTGTGGAGGATGCGGCGGTGGCTGTGGTGACGTTGGGCGTGTTGTTCGGCGCCGGCGCCTGCGCCTTGGACAGGTCCGGAAACAGCTCCACGATCGCCCCCGCAAACCAGTCGCGCTTGTCCGACGAGTCGGGCCCGCCCCATTGGTTCTGCACGGCTAGCGTCAGTGCCGGCCACAAGTGCAGCGCCATCGCGACGCCCTGCTCGAAGTTGTTTTGGCATATTGCTGTTTTGCGCCGACGTGGGGTTAGTTTTTTTCCTTCCTCTTTTCTTATGTGAGGCTTGGGTTGATGAGGCGGGGGGTTGGGTGAGTTGGTGCTCGTCTTACCCGGCGTAGGAGCCTGCGGCTTCGAGGAATTGCTGGCCATTTTCTGTTTGGGTTTTGGGAGGCTCCTTTCACTGTCTGGTTGCTGTTCGCTCTTGACCAATATTCGACGACGATAATCGACGGCGGGGTGTTGTGGTGGGATCTTTTTTTTGGAGGCTTCCCCACTTGGTTCATCATGAAAGGTTCGCTGATAACCCTAACCCTTTGATTCTGCGCTCCTCCCACTCGCCCCGCAACATCCGTCATCAACAAGCAAAGCAATCCTTTGCAATCGCCCTGGGTGCACACACATTCTATCATCATCATCATCACCATCAAACCTATCCACTCACATGGCCGACAACGAACAATCACCCAGCTCGATCAGCTGACTCTCTACCCGGCAACACCTCCAGAGACAGCATCTCCCGACTCCCCTACACCGTCTGTGGGCTTGCTGGTCTCGGGCGTCGATAAGATTATCGCCGAAATTCGCAATCGCATCTGTGGCCGAGTCGAGGTCGAAGAGAAGTGGTGGTGCATCAGCCTCAGCCGCGACGAGTTCAAGGCTTTTGAGGCGCGCTTTGAAGCCGAAGGGGATTACCGCTGGCCAAATTAGCTAGCCTATTTATTCAGTACCACATTAGCTAACGTCTGATTAGGTACGACTACTTCCCTCAGCTCGCCAAGTTCGTCTTACGAATGTCGGGTACTATCCACGAAGCCGTTATCAGAGCATTCGGAAGCCTAGTCATAGATTAATTGATCGATATATAGCGAGGTAACGACTAAGTCGCTGCCGATTTCGCTCGGGGCATACGCGCAAGAGGAAGTCCCAAGATTGAGAGTGATGGTGGTTCCCATTGCCCAGACGGGTCGTTTGCGCACAAAGATGCGGGGGCAGCATGTGTTATCTTGGAGGTCTCCTTCTCACAACAACGACAAGATTTGCCATTCCTTGCAGATGATTACATCCTAGGTTCAAATGGGCGGACCCAAGTCGTTATTGGGGTTGACCTTGAATACCGGGAGGAGAAGGGAAGAGAAGCCAGGGTCACTGTGGCGACCAAGATATATTGAGGAAGATGGGTAAGCCGTACTTGAAGCAGCTGAGACGGAAACAGGTATCTTTCGGGCAGTGGATGGTAGTTTGGTCGATGGGGAACGGATCGTTCGCATCGGGCTCAAAGATTTTGGGTACTGGCCCGATTGCCTCAGAATCGATGACATCCCCGGGGAGATTACTATTTCGTTTTCTCAACTTTACGAAATAGTGCAGGAGGCTGAGGCTAGAGCGGAGCGCTGGGATCGTGAGCGCAGGAAGATGCAGCATGAAAATTGTTTGAAGCGACCAAGGGTTCGGTCACCACCGCAGCAACTCACAGAATCAGACGAGGAGCGGTTTAAGGCAGCCGAGAAAGTAGTCAAGAGGTAGCTTAGCGACCAGGACAGCGATTATATCCCAAAGTAGGATTCTATTTTGGGGCAGGTGGCAAAGATAGAGCTTGTAGAACTAATAGACCTCGGTATACTTAGATCCGCAGATCCCGGGTTCTTAGTATCACCCAACCAGTTATACACAACTAGCTCTAGTTTATCCCTTTATAACTTCGGTTGTTGTGGTTTCTTCCTCTCGAGGGGGCCAAGCCAGCGCATCCAGTCGTCGTCGAGCATTTGCTTGGCGGCTTTAGGCTTTTTTGCCCACTCCTGGAACTCGCGCTGCTCGTCGCGCCAAAAGGCCAGATCGGCCGCGACGAACTCAGCTGCATGTTCGGCACACCGCGTCGTCGCCTCCATCGGCACCAGATGCCCGTAGCCCTCAAGCATGACCTGGCGCACCCGTCCTGCGGCAACACCGCCGCTGCCCCCAACCCCGACTCCCGTCAGGTCCATCTTCTCCTGCCGCACGTCAGGCGGGTTTACCCCGCTGTGCTCGCCAAACACCCACAGCACCCCCGGGCGGAGGCTAGGCAGCCGCTCAGTCGTTAGGGGGCTCTCGGGCCGGTAGAAGACAAAGTCGGCGTTCCCGTTGCTGGCGAAGTCGCTAGTGGCGTCGACGGGTTTCTTGGCGGTATCGATGACGCGCTGGCCCGTTGCCGCGTCGTAGCCCTGCGCCTTGGGCCGGTAGTAGGTGAAGCACTCCATGTGCTTGGACGTGGTCAGCGTGACGCGGCCGTCGTCGCCGCCGTCGTCGCGCAGGCCGTGCTCGATCAGCGCTTCGAGCGCGCGCGGGTCCCATGTCGAGTAGAAGGCGTTGCGCCGGAACCCCGCGGCCGCCTCGGCCCGCGACGGCCACCGGTCCCGCCGGTACGCCGACTGCTTCATGGGCATGTAGCCGTACGCGGGGCCCGCGCGCGCGAAGTGCGACAGCACCGGGTCCAGGAGTACTAGCGACGACAGCAGCCGCGGGTGCAGCAGCGCCAGGTTCACGATGATGTTGGCCCCGAACGAGTGGCCCACCCCGATCAGCGGCCGGACCATGGCGGAACGGAACTTGTTCACCATTAGGAGCAGATCGCGCGCGTGGTCTGTCCAGGAGGCTGTGATGGGGGGGGAGGTGTTAGTCATGTTTTCCTGTCCCACTCCCAGCGTCACATAACAAAAAATGTAGACTAGAAACTGCTTTTGCCGCACTTACGATCGTTGCCGAGATGCTCATCGTTGATGATACCACTCTGGCCCTGCCATGCCACGTCGGCGATCCAGATGCCGCGGACGCGCACGCCTCGCTGGCCCAGGGCCCGCACGAGATCCTCCCATAATGGCTCATACAACTCCTGCATATACAAACATGTTAGAAAACACGGCTCAAGTGCGAGAGTGGGTGACAGAGAGCTGTAGCCTCTCGAAAAAGGGATGAGACATGATTGGCTCCCTAGACACGTAAAGACGTGACATTACATGACATGGCTATGACATGGCAACACCAAGAGTCACACAGTGAGTGAGCAAGCCTGACTGACAGACAGACAGACTGACTGACCTTGACAAAGCCATTGGCATGCGAAGCGATGATGGTCACGTCGCCGGGCTGCGGATCCGGGTTGCTCCGCGGGATGTACTGCTTTACGGCGAGGTGCAGCACGTCCTCTTGCGAGTGGGCGGTCCCGTGGGGGTATTCGCGGATGTGCTGGGCCTCGACGACGTGCTCTCGGACGTCAAAGGCCGACGGCGACGCTGCGGCCATGACTCTCTCTCTGGCTGGCTGGCTGGCTTGCCTCGGGCGTTCGTTACGTGAAGAGTGTGGGACGTGGTGTGCGTGCTATAATAGGTGTGGTGGTACGTTGTGGGTGCGTATATGTGCGTCTTCTCTCCCGTCCCGTGTCTCTTCTTCACCTTAGGGCCGCGAAAAGATACAGGGACCAGTGCGGCGAGCAAAACAAATAGTCTCTTAATTTACCCAACGACCGTGACGAGATTCACGCACATCGATAATTCAGGAAGACATGGCTCGCTAGCGATGATGCAACGTGCTCGCATCGTCGTTCATCCTCGTACTGGTTCCCCACGGGTAAAAGAGGGCGACTTCAGTCCAATCAAGTCCCGATCCGTGGGGATCAAAAGTACCGAGGCACACGCCGTGGCTGCTCTGCTCGAAGAGAGATACTGTTGGACTGCCACAAATGGCGGCAAACAAGCCGAATAATTCCAGAACCGGAAACACTAGCCCGGAACCCCAACACCGTTCCTCGGCTGGGCGAGCTCGGCAATAGATATCTCGTGGAAAGAGATTGGATTGGCGGGGTAATTCAGCTAGTGTCTCTGGTCGCTGGCTACAGTGTGATAGGAGCTCTTTGCGTCTCGAAGAAGCATCAAATAATCCACTGGTCGGATGGTGTAGTTGGTTATCACGTCAGTCTAACACACTGAAGGTCTCCGGTTCAAACCCGGGTCTGATCATTTGTTTTGCCTCTTTTACTAATAACCATAATTTTTTCTTCCCAACTGGACGCCTTAGGTGTTACCGTTCTTATAACGCCTCATACTCAAATACTAATATTTGAGGTTAGGTGAGTCAACTTCCACACGTATACCTGTGCGCGGCGCAGAGCGGCTTGGTACTGTACGGGACTCCGAACAGTGGGGCTATTCACTGTGTCGTGAACTTTTGCAGGGGCTGAAGAGCTGGGCTGGGGTTAGGTCAGGTGATCGCGGGAACCTCGCGTTGTTGGTGGATCAGTCTCCAAAAGCAGTTATTTGGAAACGCGTTTCTAAGGCAAAAACACCACCGCCTTTGGCGACCAGGGTGCGTCCTCTTCCTATCCACCTAAGTTACATGCGTCCCGGTTCTGCTTGTTTCCGAATCGCCAGCCAATGCTAATTAAATCCAGGCTCTGTACGCCAATTCTTTCTACATTTCCCACCTCTCTCTTGCCATCGTTTTCCATTTTCGAACAGCGACCTCGTCGTCTTCATATAAACATCGCACGGCCATCGCGTCCCCAACGGCTTCCGCGTCCAAGATGGCAGAAACGCGTGAAAAAGCCGGCTTGCTCGACTCGTGCGTGATTGCATTTGTCCCGAGCAGGTCGTTGTCTGGCACTATGATCGATCAGGTAGGCGGCCAAGCGCGTTATCCAAGAATCCTCAAACCTAGCCCTGGCTAACGAGAAGATGGATAGTTCTCGCAGATTGTCCTGTCCCACGGCGGTGAAATTATCGAGCCCGATCGGCGAGGTAGAATCGCCATTGAACAGGCCACCCACGTTGTGTCCAGCACAATCGACTTCGACCAGTATGTCGAAGCCCAGGCCATGATGGTTCCTGTCGTTACTACCACCTGGCTCAAGAACACCATCAGTCGCAACAAGGTCGCTCAAGTCAGGCCGTTTTCACCCGACCCTCGCATGATATTCTCCAACGTGGTCCTCACCTGCGCCGATATTCCCGCCATGGACAAAGAGACCATTATTGGCGCCACCATGGCCCTAGGTGGAATGGAGTCGAAAGACTTGACCAAACAAACAACCCATATATGTGCCCTTTCCATGGACCACCCGAAGTGTATTGAGGCCCAGAAGAAGCATAGCAAGTGCAAGATTGTCCTTCCACATTGGTAAGCTGCCGGTGCAAGCAATTTGGACTGTGATCACTGGCTCACCACTCTCTAGGTTCGACGACTGCTTTAAGTTAGGGAAGAGAATCGACGAAGGTCCTTATTTGCTGCCAGACCCAGAGATTCTGCGAACACGACCAGAAGAGGCCGTCAAAATCACGAGCAGCCAGCATCTGGACGGTGCCACGTCGGCAATCCCAAGTACTGCGTTGTCTGTTGAGGGAGCGTCCAGGGGGAAGCTTACTATTTTCGCGCAGAAGAAAGTCATGTTGTCATGGGACCTCCCTATCAATGCACGGCTGAAGAAGATTCTCACTGATCTCATCCAAGGTGGTGATGGGGTGGTCATCGATGACGTTGAAGTGTGCGACATGTTCGTATGTCAATACCGCGATGGCTCCCAGTACATTCGTGCGTCACAAACCGGGAAAGATGTCGGCAGCCTGGCCTGGCTCTACCACCTGATTGTGCACAATGAATGGACGTCTCCTTTCCGACGTCTTCTGCACTATCCATTACCAAAGAATGGCATCCCCGGATTCAAGGATATGAAAATCACTTTATCCAATTATGGAGGTGATGCACGGATTTATCTCGAAAATCTCATCACGGCTTCCGGTGCGACATTTACGAAGACCATGAAGGCCGACAACACACATCTCATTACAGCTCGGATGCATAGCGAGAAGGTGGATGCTGCCAAGGACTGGAATATTGAGATTGTAAACAATCTCTGGATTGAGGAGAGCTATGCAGACTGCCAGGTCCTGAGTCTGTCCAACCCGAAATATAGCCACTTTCCTCCACGAACCAACCTGGGTGAGGTTATTGGCCAGACATTTCTTGATGAGCGCAGGCTCCATGATATGTACTACCCAGGAGGTGAGGAAACTTTGGATGGCGTAGCGAAGAGGAAGCGGAAAATCAATGATGCCGCTCAGGAGAATGTCTACTCAGTGGGACAAGCAGCCAAGAATTTCGACGTAATGAAAGACTCGAGTCCCCAAGTCACAAATTCTGCCAAGGGTACGCGAGCCGCAGCAGCCAAGCAGGACCTCACCACACCAGCGAAGGGCCGTCATGTCCGGTCCGGCAAAGAGAATGACACGCCATCGGTCGTTTCAGGAGCCGCCTCGACTAGCAGCCGTAGTGCCAAGGCAAAGGCGCTCTCTAAGATCCAGGGCTTGGCCCCCGACATTGCGCTGTACGAAAAGGAGAAGAAGCGCGCCAAAGACGGGCAAGGCCCATGGGGAGGCAAGCGAGCTGCGGACCAGATAGATAAGGATCAGACAAACAAGAGCTCGAGCCCAGCACGAAAACAGCCAGATGAGGAAGAGGACGTGCAGCAAAGCCTGCCCCGGAAAAAGAGACTGAAGCTTTCCCTACCTAAAATTAACGTGCGGATTTGCTTGACTGGGTTTGAGAGGTGGGTCAAACAGCCAGCAAAGGAGGAATCAGAGAGGGTACGTCCAGGTTTCAGTTCTTGCAGGTTATTTTCTGTACTAATTATCCTAACCCGATGCCATAGAAAAAACTCCGCGCGATGGGTATACACCTCGTTCAAGAAAACGTGCCCTGCGACTACCTAGCAGCGCCCCAGATGGTGCGCACCGTGAAATTCCTCCGCTGTCTCGCTCGGGGCGTCGAGGTAATCGACTCGTCGTTCATCACAGCTTGCCTGGAGAGCAGCGAGAGACCCGATATTGAGGATCACCGGCTCGTCGACCCGGAGAACGAAGCCAAACACGGAATCAACATCGAGACGGCCGTTGCGCGCGCACGCGTAAACGGCGGCAGCCTGCTCGCGGGCGTCGCCGTCTACTGCACTGCCGAAATCAAAAACGGTGTGGAAAGCTACAGGGCCATCGCTGAAGCGAACGGCGCCATATTCAAAGTCTACCGCGCGCGCGGTGGCGCCACCATCCGTCCGACTACGGTTGAAGAAGATGGCGGGGCCGCCCCGGAACCCGTCTACCTCCTCAGCCAGAAGTCACCATCGGAGAAGCTGCTCTGGCCGCGATTCGAAGAGATGGCACGCAAGGGCAACATGGAGCCCCGCATCGTTGTGACGGACTGGCTGCTGGACGTGGCGATGAAGCAGGAGCTGATATTTGATCCCAAGCATTTGGTGACGAGGTATTTTGACGAGAATAAGTTCTGAGCTACCAGCGTATATTTGGGGGTTTGAGGTGGATCAATTTTTCGCTAGCAGGCGAGCATTACTGGTGTTGGGGTATTTGCTGCGCTTCCTGTTGGATTTATATAGCTAGGGAGTCAGGCTCGACTGGGTGTCCCTTTGTCTCGAGTGTGCGAGTTTCGGAGTCGCCCACATTTACATCACGCCCCTCTGCGGACTGTCTGGTTAGATTGAGCTTTCTGGGGGAGCGCGGCCACGTAGATACGTGGCTTCTGGGGACCTCTTTCTCCCTCTCCCAAAGTAATAAAGCAAGAATTTCTCTGTGTCCGGCCTAAGAAGCGTGCCTTGCCTGTTCAGAAGAACTTAACGCCCTGGGAATCCTCGTGCCCGAAGATTTGCGCCTTGGCCCGCTTGACAAGGACGTGAAGGGCTTTCTGTAGCAGTTCGGGATCCAGGCCGTGAAATTCTGTTCTTGGGTAATTGCGATGAGCTTAGTTACTCGACGGACGACAGACATCCTCCCTTCACACAAGACATGTATGTCTCGGGCCGAAAGAAATGATGGACGAAATAGAAAATAGCAAGAGGGCTCCCTAAGCTCTGGAAAGGGTAACAATGGATAGTTAAACTGACCTGTCCCTCGCGTCGCGTCGCCCTCGGTCAGCTCGTACAGCGTCAGCACGCTGCCCTTCTGCCCCGTCTCGTCCACCCACGCCTCCACCAGCGCCGCCCACTCCTCGGGCGTCCGCCAGTAGATCCACGCCACGTCTCCCCCCCCTCCTACCCCTGAGCTGTTGCCGCCGCCGAAGCCCTCGCCGTCGTCGCCCGCGCCGCCCACGTACTCCGCCCGCCCGTCCTTGCGCAGGAAATCAACCACCTCCCGCGCGTCCGCCAGCCCGATGCGCCGCCCGATCTGCCGGTTGTGGAACAGCTCGCCCGCGCCGCCGCCGCCGTCTGCGTGGGAAGAGTCACCACCGCCTCCTGCTGTCATGGGCGCAGACGCCGACATGCCCGTCGACAGCGCCAGCCGGAAAATGCGGTGGTGCCGGCAGTACGCGAGCACCAGCGCCGCCCATTTGGTCAGCTGCGCGTGGTGCGTCGTCAGGTTCGTCTGCCACGTGAAGAAGGGCGGGAAGTAGTACTCGCGCGGGAACGTGAAGGCGGCGGTCCCGGGGGCGGGGGAGGGGGAGGCGCCAGCGGCCGGAGATTGCATCGCGTGCGCGAGGTCCGGTAGGTAATTGTTGGCTGGTTTTGCGGTCGTGAGTGTCTACGTATCTCTATTGTAAGCACTTCGTCGGTATGAGAGTCGTGATGCGTCCTTTATGTAGTCCAGGTCAAGTGGTTGCAGGATCAACGTGGATGGGAAGAATCGAGGTCATGGCGGGGTCGAGGTGTTGAGGACCGTGACAATCCCGCCTGGACAGGTTAATAATGGCGGGGTAGCTGCCGAGCGTCGGGAGCTTCGACGAGTTCACCCCCATTTCACGGTTGGCTTCAGGTACATGTCAAAAAGCAAAAGAACTTCGTGTCATAGAATGCTTGATATTGGGAGAGAGAGAGAGAAACACGTCAAATTTTCACAACGCCTGGGGCTATATCCAGCCTCTCCGCCGTCATGTCATCATTTCATCTAATCCAACCCACCCACAAAACCTTCTGCCCACTATCTCATAGCTCCAACGCCGCCGCCTCACAAAGACAACAACACCAGCCCACATGAATACCTAGTCTCCCAAATCATCAAAGAGACAGAGAATTTACACACACAACAATACCAAGGTAATTACAAGTCAAGCGCGCGGGTATCCTCTCTCATCTCGTCGCTGCCGAGCTCCTTCTCGAGCTCGTCGGCGACAAACGTCTCGTAATCCTCAAGGTTCTTCTGCACGTGCATCTTGAACTTGATCACGTCGTTGAGCATGCGCATCGTCTCGGTGTGGAGCTCCTCGCGCAGGGCGTTGGCCTTGAGCGTCAACTGCTCGTACCTGCACAAATTGTGTTAGTATATATGTGTTTGGCAGAAGGGGAGGGGAGATTAGGCATACTCGATGTTGGTGTTCATCTCGCGCTGCTCCATGAGCTGCACCGACTCGGAGAGTTGGGCGCGCATCTTGGCCAGCTCCTTCTCCATCTTCTCGATCTGGGCGTCTGACGACATTTTCTGTGTCGTGGTGACCTATCCAGACTTGTTAGCGTATGCATGTAAGGACGCCGGCCGCAAGAAAAAAGAGCTCCGCTCACCTCCTTGGTCTTCTCGTACTCCTCCTCGGCGGCGCGCACGCGGTGCTCGAGAGCCTCGACCTCGCTGCGCTTGTCCTCGATGGCCTCCTTGGCGCGGTCGAGCAGGTCGTGGTCCTCCATCATGCGGTCCATGGCCAGCTTCCTGCGCTCCGAGACTTCCTTCCTGAGCGCTACGAAGCCGTCCTTAACTTGGCCCCGTAGATCCAGGTTGAGAATGTGCGCCGGCTGGTACCCCGTGACCGCGTCCACCAGCAGCCTGTCGCTCTCGGCCCCCGGGCCCCCGCTGCTGCTGCCGGTGCCGTAGGACCCGTGGAGCTGCTGAGATGAGGAGAAGTTCGGCCCCCCGCCGCTCACCGTCACCTGCAGCTCTAGGTCCTTCCCCTTGGCGTTGACGGCCGTCGACGGTATGAGGCCGATCTGGTACGCGACCGTGTTGTAGCGGTCCACCATGCGCTCGAGCTCGTCGAGCTTTTGGCTTGCCTCCATCTCCTTGTCGGCCACTTTTTTCTTGACGTCCTCGAGTCTCTGCGCCGCCGACTCGATGCTCTTCTGTAACCGCTCGCGCTCCGACGTCATGCGGTCAATGTCCTGCATACTGATGCCCTGGTCGTCGACGGCCTTTTGTAGCCGCCGCCGCTCGTCCTCGGCCTCCTTCAGCTCTACGTGGAGCTTGTCGAGCTCCTCCTGCAAGACCTGGATGCGCGACTCGTACTTCTCGGACCGCTGCATCGCTAGTGTGTTGTACTCCTCGAACTTGACCTTGTCTTCCTCCATGATCTTGAAGTGGTTGTCGAGTACGGCTGGGTCGGGGGTTGACTTCTCTAGATCCTCTATTTCCTTTAACAGTCGCGCGTTTTCGCCTTCAAGGATCTCCAGCTCCTGGATGTACCGCGCGTTGGACCGCTCGAACGCCCTGGCCATGCCCTGGACGTGAGGCGCCAGCGCTCGCTCGACGTCCTCATCCCCGGCTTCGTCGTCCATGTTGAGCCAGTCCTTGTACGCGCCCTTCAGGAAGTCGAAGATGATGTGATCGCCAGCTACATCGATGCCCGCTTCTACGCAGGCGTCGTCGTAGTGGTGGCTCGCGTACCGCTCCATCATCTGGGCCAGCTGCATCATCCAGTGCAGCAACCCTAGGAATGTGCTCCAATTCTGGCCACCTACGGCCGCGATCTGGCTCTTGGTGATGCTCTTCTCATACGGGTAACGCAGCTGTTTCAGCAGCGGCGGCACCTCTTGGTCTATATTTTTTTGAAAGCGGTAGCTCGGGTCGATCTGGTGGTACAGCCACTGGAACATGTAGTTGAAGTCCTTTTGTGTCGGCGACTTGATGAAGTTGTCGGACAGCTTGTGGCTCATCGTCATCTCGAAGTTGTGCTTGGTGAGGTACTCCAGCAGCTCCTGACCGATGCGCGTCTGGTACGAACGGTCCTTGAGCGGCCTCGGATCGCGCGGCACGCCCGCCGCCTGGGGTACCTGCTGGAAAAAGCTCTGGTGGCCCATGCTGCCGCCGGCCGAGGGGCGCGCGCGGTAGATGCTGCTGCGGCGCTCGCCATCGGTGGAAGAAGTGTGGGCACCACCAGGCGTGTACGGCTTCAGCAGAGCCGTGTTGTTGTTATTGTTGCTATTGTTGGTGCTGAGAAAATTGCTGTTGTGGACCGACGCGCGCTTCACAGACGACAGGCCAATGTCGGCGAGATTGGTTCCAGACGACGAGCGCTGGAAGAGCGGCTGGCTCGGCCGCGACAGGGCAAGCGAGTGCCGTGACCCCGACACGGACCGCACATGGCTGGTGGACGACCGCTTCATGGCCGACGGCGGCTGCGGGATGGCTGAGTTCAGATTGAGACCGCCTAGTGCTCCAAGAGTCTAGAGAGATGCGACGGATGGCAGGTCAGCAGAAAGTCAGGTCTGGGTTTCTGCTCGAGAGTCAATTCTGCAGAGCAAGACGGGGCAGTCGCAGTTCGTACCTCCCTGGGCCTGCGGACACTCCACAAGCCTGGCTCCTGCGACATGGCGTGAAGGTAGATTTGGCTGGTCCGTTTGCGCCTCTAGCTGTTGCGACTCGGCGAAATAAATGTGTGCGACGCGCAAAAAGGGTTGTTAATTGTGTGCAGTTTCCAATTTGAATAGTTGCCGCCGCGTGAAGCAGCCGCGCTTCGTCCTATTTTGAGATTCCAATTCTAGTCAAGGGCTCCAATCTTGAAGAAGGGGAAAGATGCGATGCAGTGCGATGCAGTGTGGTGACCAGTCGTTGGTTGCTCAGGTAAACAAAAGCGCGGCCCGTTATTGGTGCCCGTTCTGCGGCGCCAAACAAGGATAAAGCGGGCCTTATGCAACGGCAGGCACGTGACATTGAAAGCAAGCTTTCCCCCACAACTCAATTATGAGTGGGGGGCGCTGGCCGCCAGCTGCCGGCGCGTGGGAACGTGCAAGCCGCAAGCCGCCTTGAACCTCGGCTTGCTCACACCTTCAATCCATCATCGGTCATCAGCCATCCCATTTTCGGCGCCCTTTCACCACAGGCGCCTTTGCGCAAACACCCCCGAGCCCGAGATACAAGCCCCTTTGCGCTCTTGCATCCAGGTTTCGATAGGCAATGACGAGAGGGTAAAGCAGCAGTCTCCAGAATGGCCATCCGCGAGGATCTGGTCGCTTCAGCGGCCAAGTGTATGCCGCCTCTCCCCTGTCCGCTCTCTCCCGAAAACTGATCCATCCCATCCCTCATCGCGGGATGCGGAAAGCTGATATATCCTCTGTTCCCTTCTAGTCTTGCAAGATCCGAGCGTCGCCGCCTCTCCGATCGAGAAACGAATCGCGTTCCTGCAGGCTAAGAATCTCACCCCGGAAGAAGTTAACGCCGCCCTCTCCCGGTTCGCCCCCGATGCAGCGGCAGCTCCGCAACCACAACCCTCCCATGGCTCTCCGTCTGCCGTCGCTCAGTCGCAGCCATATTACGGCCAGTACGCGCAACAATACCCGCCGTACGCATGGCAGCCACCGCCCCCAGAAGCTCCGCGCCGCGACTGGAGGGACTGGTTTATCATGGCGACAGTGGTCGGAGGTGTCTCGTATGGACTGTTCAATCTAGGCAAGGTAAGCAAAGTTCCCACCTCGTTGCTAGACTAGAGGCTAACTAGCGACAGCGCTACATCTATCCCCTTGTCGCGCCGCCCACTCCGGAACGGCTTGAGCAGGACAAGAAGGCCATTGATGAGCAGTTTGAAAAGACGTTTGCGCTCGTCGAGCAGCTTGCCAAGGACACAGAGGCGCTAAAGGCTGCCGAGCAGGAGCGGACTGAGAGGCTGGACACGGCGCTCGGCGAGCTCGAGAATGTTATCAGCGACCTGAAGTCAGCGAACCGCCGGCGAGACGACGAGGCGGAGCGACTACGCGACGATGTGCAGAACCTGAAGGACTCGATCCCGCGCGCCATGTCTACCCAAAAGGACTTGACCGACAACAGGCTGCGCGACGTTAATACGGAGCTCAAGAGCCTCAAAACTCTGATCACGCAGCGCATGAACCCCACCGCCACCTCGACCAGTGTCAACAACTACCTGCGGCCGAACCAGAATACCGGCAGCACGTCGCCCGCCGCGAAACCCGCGACGGTGGAGGCCAGCAGCGAGAACGGAGAAGTAAATAGCAAGACTGCGACGACACCAGCGGCGGCCGAGGAGCCGAAGCGTCCCGAGTATCAGGATTTCCCTTCGGGGCTAGGCCGGAGCTCGCCTTTTAATAGCGGCATGACGCAGAAGGCATCGATTCCGGCTTGGCAGATGATGGCTTCCAAGACTGCAGGATCGTCGTCATCGGCGGCACCTGTGAATGGGTTAGAGTCCGGGAGCAGTGACACCCATGAGGCTGCGGGAAGTTCATAAAACAAATGTCTCGCCGAATGTGAAACGGTTGGGGTTAATTGTCTTCTTTTTTTTTTGTCTACAGCTTTGTATAATACATCACACACTGGACCCAGCGGCTTGCCTCTGCGTTCCTGGTTCCCGGGTCAGAAAACCCTCGGGGTATCGAATCTATCTGGGTGAGGGTTCTCTCGTCACCTTTTTCTGTCTTTTTTGAACAGCTGACTAGTGTATGTGTCTAACACTATCGGATACTCGGAGGTGCTCCCTTGTCCGTTGTTGGGTCGGCGGTCCGTATACTCTCCTCGGTCAATGGGCACATCTCACAGCTTTCATTCTGTGTGCAACACTCCAACGATTTAACATGGTGTTTTCTAAGTTTAGGCAAGGTAGGTGTTTATACCCCTTTACATGAGCTTGGCCTTGTTTTAACTTTCATGACGTGAGAATGAAGGGGGTTTGCTGCACTTGTTTGACTCCCCGACACCCAGTCCGCCCCTTTTAGCGTTTTCCTCTGCAGTTACAACTTCAACATCACCCCATATGTGCAACTTGACATGCGGGGGGTGCATGCTGTTCGGGGCGTTACTTTTCCTTCACTTTTTTTACCCGCTCGCTGGCATGGCCTGGCATGGCCTGGCCGGGTCGAGTCGGGGGAAAGAACTGAACCCGTTCGGTATGCCCGCTGCGGGAAGCGTTACATAGCGATGACCTCGCTCTTGTTCTCGCAGTATGTGCAGTGCAGTGCCGGGCGGCTCGAGTTCGTTGTCGGTATGCAACTGCCCGCAGCAGATCCAGCGCCTCAAGCAAGTGCGACAACGGGGAAAGTCCTCGATTTGCTCCCCGTCGAATCGGGCTCGGGGTGATGAACGTTGGCCCGAGATGTCCGACTTCTGGCTTTTGATGTCTCGAGGGTTGTTCTCCAGCTCAAGATAAGAGAGACACTTGCACTGCGATATCTGTTATGGTCCTTCGTCCTCACCGCGTTTCTCATCACACCTGCTTTTGCCTTGGGATGTCAAACTCACACAGCTCAGTCAGTGGGTTACATGAGGATTTACCTTACCTTATTTGACTTCACTGTGTACAACTACTCTTTTTTCACTTTTGCCTCATAACCAGCCATAACAGGCACATAATCTCTATCTCTATCCCCCCCTCCCCCCGTCAGAAAGCAATTACCCAACGCCAGACTTCGAGCCGGCGCCGCCGCCAGCAGCCATGGTCCAATTATCCATCATTCTCGCGGTGCTTAGCAAAGTGCCGCTTGCGTCCAAGGTGGCCTTGCTGCACATGCTTCGCATGTCCGAGGCATCCAAGTACCAGACGCTGCGTGTCGAGCTCTCCGTTGCCGTGATACGCTCTTTCTTGGCCGCCACGCCCGCGCCAAGCATGACGACGCTTCAGAGTTTCTTCGCCATCGACATCCCCGTCAAAGGCAAGATATGGATCAGCAAATACAGCGTGCCGGTGCCGGCCGAGTCCGACGTCGCGGGGGCCGTTGCGCGCGCCATCGACGGGCTAAGCACTCCGGAGATTGCCAAGATGGACCGCTCGAGAATGCCCGAGCCGGTCCCGGTCGCGGCAGAATGGACGGGCTACCGAGCCAACGCGAAGGACGATTCGGACCCGCCGGCCCTGCCAGAGAAGGAGCTGTACGCCGAGATGATGAAGGAGGTCAAAACCCCCGTGACCGTCCTCTACTTCCACGGAGGCGCCTACTGCATCATGGAGCCATCGAACTACCGACCTTTAAACCAGAAGCTCGCCAAGCTGACGGGCGGCCGGTGCTACTCGGTATCCTATCGCCTCGCACCGCAGAACCCATTCCCGGCAGCACTGATGGACGCCCTTTCCTCCTACCTCGGGCTCCTCTACCCCGCCCCAGATGCCTTCCATGAGCCTGTACGGCCCGAGCATATTGTCCTGTGCGGCGACAGGTGAGTTTCTTCCCCTTCGGCAGACTTTATCTTTGCACGTGTGCCGCCCACTTACCCTCTCCTGCTGGGCGAATGCTAACCTCGGAACCCGCAACGCAAACAGTGCAGGTGCACATCTCAGCATGGCGTTGGTGCAGACGCTGCTCGAGCTCAAGCGCCAAGGGGCACAGGTGCTATGGCAAGGGCAGCAAAGGGACGTGCCTCTGCCGGCGGGTATGGCCATGAACTCGCCATGGGCCGACATCACGGTCAGCTCGCCGTCGTGCAAGAGCAACGCGGCCTTCGACTACTTGCCGACGCTGGAGCAGCAAGTCGACGTCGAGGCGGGGCGGCCAGCGTGCGCGGCGTGGCCGGCCAACCCGCCGCGCACGACCATGTACGCCGAAGACAGGCTAGTGATGCACCCGCTCGTGTCGCCGCTGCTAGCGCCCGCCGGCAGCTGGGCCGGCGCCCCGCCTGCCTACATCTGCACGGGCTGGGAGCTCGTGGCGGACGAGGACAAGCTCACGGCCACGCGCCTCCACGAAGACGGCGTGCCGGTCGTCTTCGAGGAGTACGAGGCCATGCCGCACATCTTCGCCGTCGTCTTCCCGGACATCGACGTCACGCGGCGCTGCATGGACGGCTGGGCTGGCTTCATCAACAGGGTCGTCGAGGCCCCGGCCGCCGTGCGCAGCAGCTTCGTGACAATCAAGGCCAAGACGCTCGCCGAGGTCGACCTCGACCCGGACACGCTGGCCCCGTACGATCTCGACTACTTCCGGGAGCGCGTGAAGGTGCGGCTGCAGATGGGCTGGGTAAGGGACTCGGGCCTCGGTCTCGTCAAGGCATGATTTTCATTTCATGTCTGTCTCCCACCCCAGATAAAATGGCAACTGGGACATGGGATAGATTTTGAGAGATTCCAGAGATGGCAGTTGTGATTTATTGTGGCCTGTTTTATTGATTGCAGATGGATTTCCGGTGTTGGGAGGTATTGTACAGCTTGTAGCCTTGTAAGGGGTCGGAAAAAGAAGAGAAAATCAGTAGATTTTAGAAACTGAATTTAAAATTCCCCATTCATCATGATGCTCTGTATTTTCCGGCATATTAGTACCATCTGGTGATATCGCACCTTCCTCACACTTGCAGGGGCGTAAAATACGCAGCGCGGACTTCGGAATACGGATGCATACATGGATCGTGCTCCTAGTGCCATTTCAATGTTTGCTAGGGACCCACACGCAAGCAGCGACTTGGCTTGCTCAGTGCCAACACATTACGACTCTTTCCTTGTCGCAGCTTTGAAGAGGAACTTTGGACTAGCACATGGGGTTGTGGGAAAGACAAAGGCGGACCGACCATCAGTGAAGACCCTCTCCCCCTCCAAAGAGAATAAAAAAAGAAGAAAAAAATGGCCATAGAACGGCACGCAGCTGCCGTGGCGCGCATCGCCACCACAGTGCGCGGCTTCTTTGACCGCTCCGAGCCGTACCGAATCTTTCACGGCAGCACCAACTCGACGCGGCCCGCCCGCGGCCCCGGCGCCCGCGTCGTCGACATCAGCGAGCTGCGGAATGTGCTGTCGGTCGACCCCGTGCAGCGCACCGCCCTGGTCGAGCCCAATGTGCCCATGGACCGTCTCGTCGAGGCCACGCTGGCGCACGGCCTGGTGCCGCCCGTCGTCATGGAGTTCCCCGGCATCACCGCCGGCGGCGGCTATGCCGGCACGGCGGGCGAGAGCAGCAGCTTCCGCCACGGCTTCTTCGACGACAACGTCGAGAGCGTCGAGATGGTTCTTGCTGACGGCAGCGTCCACCGTGTCAGCGGCGCCCCCAGCGACGAGCGCGCAGACCTCTTCCGCGGGGCCGCTGGCGCCGTCGGCACCCTCGGCGTCGCCACCCTGCTGGAGCTCCGCCTGATGAAGGCACGCAAGTTCGTGCGCACCAGCTACCGCCGCACGTCGAGCGTGGCCGAGGCCGTGGCTGCCGTGCGCGAGGCCGTGCGCGACCCGGCGACGGACTACGTCGACGGCATCCTCTTCAGCAAGGACCACGGCGTCGTCATCACGGGCACGCTGACCGACGAGAACCCCCCCGACGGCGTCAAGCCGCAAACCTTCAGCGGCGCGTGGGACCCCTGGTTTTATCTGCACGCCAAGGAGCGCACTGCTGACGCCACTGGCACCACGGCATCTAATAAGCCAAGTTCCGCGGTTGTTGATTATATTCCTCTCGCCGAGTACCTCTTCCGCTACGACAGGGGGGGGTTCTGGGTCGGCGCGGCCGCGTTCAAGTACTTCTGGATGGTACCGTTCAACCGGTTTACGCGGTGGTTCCTCGACGACTTTTTGCACACGCGCATGATGTACCGCGCGCTGCACGGGTCCGGCGAGAGCGCCCGCTTCGTCGTGCAGGACATCGCCATGCCCTTCGCCATGGCCGAGGCCCTCGTCGACTATACGGCCCGCGAGCTCGACATCTGGCCGCTGTGGCTGTGTCCGCTGCAGCGGCGCGCCCCGCCGACGTTCCACCCCTTCACCACCACGCCCGCCGGAAGCACCAGCACCAGCAGCAGCGCCGAGAAGCCTCAGCCCACTGTCCACGAGGAAGCCGCCGTCACCGCCACCACCACCACCACCACAACAACAGCACCCCCCGCCACCACGCAACAACAGGAAGAAGACTCCATGATGCTCAACGTCGGCGTGTGGGGCTGGGGCCCTTCGCAACCCGCCGACTTCGTGGCCAAGAACCGGGCGCTCGAGGCGCGCGTGCGCGATCTTGGCGGCATGAAGTGGCTGTACGCGCACACGTACTACCCGCCGGCCGAGTTCTGGCGCATGTACGGCGGGCGGGCGTGGTACGATGCGCTGCGGTCCAAGTACAAGGCCACGAGCCTGCCGAGCGTCTGGGACAAGGTGCAAGTCGATGCCGACGCGCAGACGCACCGCAGGCGCAGCTGGCTCAAGAGCGTCCGCCCCGTCGGCGGCCTGTGGGGCATCTACCAGAGCATCCGCAGCCGCGACTACATGCTGCACCGCGGGGCCGGGTGGAAGTACAAGGCCGGGGAGGAGAAGAAGTGATTTGAGCAAGATGGGTTTAGGTGTAGAAGCAAAAAGGGAAAGTAAAGGAGGTTAGTAAATACGAGCAGAGAGATTGGGCGCGGTAGCCTGTATATTCCCTTGAGTCATTCATTGTACGATACTTGCGAATCAGTTTCGATATACGGAATTAGAACAGATAGACTGTATAAAAGGTTTCACTGACGGAACGAGCACATCTTATTCTTGTACAAACCACCGTAATTCATTAGGAAAATATCCACGATTCACAACTCCAGGAACGGGGTATTTCGCAAGACGACATATTCATCAGAGGTCGTCTACATAAATCTGCCAACAATGCCTGGCCGCTGTAAACCATGCCCGTCCCATAAAAGCCTCCCATCATATTAATATTGGCGTGCCGTTCGTCTCACATCACAGTCGTATTCGTCCATCATTTCCACCAACCCCCACAAGCAAGTACGATTTGGATCAGACAAATGGAGAAAACCCCATCCACACCACGATTTTCAAAGCTGGATAGACGCCAGCTCCTCGACGACGAACTCGGTAAAGGCCTGCTGCAGCTCGATGCCGACGCGCGAGTCGTTGGACTGCTCGGCCAGCTCGTCGACGCCAAAGCCGCTGGCGCCGTGCGCCCAGAGGCAGCGCGTCACGGCGCTGCAGTAGCGGTCGCCGACGAGGTGGCGCAGCTCCGCGAGCGGGTTGCTCGGGGCTGCCGTGTTCTTCTTGTTGCTCTTGGCTTTCTTGCCGTCCCCTGGCATCCCGCTGCCGCTGTCATTCTCGGGAGGGACAAGGAACGGCGCGGGGTGCTGTGGAGGTGTCGGCAAGCCGAGGAGCCAGTCGCGCACGAGTTTGGATTGCTCGAGGGGGACTGCCAGAGGAGTTCTTCCGCCTCTCCTCCTTTTCTTCTCCTTGTTTTCTCCGTTGCTGGTGCTGTTGTGGCTGGTGCCGCCTAGGTTCAGAATGCGGTGCAGCGGCCGCCAGTGCGCAATTTCGAGCAGCACCAGCCCCAAGCTGTAGAGGTCGTACGTCTTGCGCGAGTTGCGTTCCGTCGGCGGCTGGCGCTGGATGCTGGGCCAGCGGTAGAGGTCCCACACTGTGTCGGCATCGCGGTGCGTCGTCTGCCCGCCGTCTGGGCGGGAGAACTCGAAGCCCGAGAGCACCGGCTTCTCGGGGTCGAAAGAGCCTCTTATGTAGTTGTCGTCATCATCGAACTCCTCGCCGCTACTGCCGTCGGCGTTGTCTTCGTCGTCGACATCTGTTTCTTCATGGAAGTGAAAGACGATGTTGTCGCTAAATATGCCCTTGTGCAGCCAGTTGACCGCGTGGAGGTTCAGCAGGGTCGAACAGAGGGCCCTGGCCATGGCGACACGTTGCGCCAGCGTCGGTTTGAACCGGTCGTCGCCCTCCTCGGCCAGGAGGAGAAAATCATAGAGGGAGACGACGCGCGACTCGTAGTCGCAGCCTTCGGGCATCTTGAAGATCCAGCCGTAGCGCTCAGCACCCGACACCTCGCGGTCGTCAAAGTAGCCAACGCATTCTGGCGCGTGCAGCGTCTCGGGCTTGGGCAAATGCAGCATCTCGGCCAGCGCCACAGTCCGTAGGGCCGCCTCTTGGTCCTTGGCGGAGCCCGGAGCAAAGTCGCCAAGGGCTTTCCACTCGATCCAGACGGGGATGTTGCCCTGACGGCCGTGCGTGTTCAGAATCCCGTGCGGCCGCGCTAGAGTCTCGGGGCGCAGGTCAGGGGGCTCATTCCAATCTAGATCTTCGGCGAGCTGCTCTTCTGTGTATTTGCGGACTGTGATGCCTGCCTCGTCTTCTAGACTCGCCTGCACGTCGTCACTGCTGTTATCGCCGCTGGTGCCGTCACCTCCGCCATTGCTCTCTCGAGCCTTGAGCCGCGAGAGGATAGCATCTGAGGTGCGGCTAATCTTCTTCAGCTGCACTAGATCCTGGAGATTCCTGTCGTTGTGGTGGGCGTAGCGCTCGCGGCGGGTGCTTGACGAGGTGTTGATGAGGCTAGTGACGGCGTCGAACATGTCTTTTAGGCCCTGGATGTCATTGCGTGCCAGGATCATCTCGCGGTACGTCTTGGCCGTGATGTCGTCGATGCGGCGCCCCCGATAGTCACGCATCAGCTCGTGGAGGCGTTCTGTCAGCACGTGCAGGTCGCGCAGCAGAGTCTCAAACTCTTCCTTGTCTACAGCCACCCACCGCACGCGCGCTGGGTGTGTGACAATCTCCTTGGTGTTCCTCCCCGCTTTGCCGAGGAAGTCGCGGATGTGGTTGGTGCCACGCCGGTGCCTTCGTGCCTTTTTCTCGGCCTCGTATGACACGGCCAGACTGGACACCTGCTTGACCACGTCGACGTCGACGTCCGTCGGTGATACAGAAGCGGTTGCCTTTTCTTGGGTGGAGGACGAGCTGTGTTTGTCCTTGCCGGCGTCACTGCTGCTAGTGCTGGCCGAGGATGCTTCTGGGTTGAGCTCGTTCCCGTACCGCGAGTTGAGCTCTCTGAACTCGGCGAGAAGCCACTGGATCCGGGACACGATGCCAACCAACTCGGTTGCGTTGGTCCCTAGCGTGACGGCGAGCGAGCCGCCCTCAGGAACGTGGACAAAACCGGCAGCCTTTCCCCAGGCCAAGACGCGGTTGTACTCGATGATGAGCTGCAACCGATATTTTTCGCACTCCTTGGGCATGTCGACCAAGGCGCTGAAGAACTTGAAGACTAGCCAAGCGGGTAACACGGTTAGCCACCTGCATGCCGTATTCGTACAGTAGGGCTGACAAACGTACGACGCATGGCATTGTCAAAGACATCCCAGGCCACCCCAATGATGCCGCCAGCCGTTGTTAATGGCTCCATGGCCACGGCAGTCTCGTCGGCGTCTACCGGTACCCTAGTCTCTCTTGAGAAGGGTATGAATGGTGTCCATGCGACCTAGGTCAAGGACCCGGCGATGTTTGCTAGATAAATGCCAGACACAAGCTGTTGACCAGTCAAGGAATCGGGTCAGTCACGCAGTGGTTGTTGGTCGAAAAATGTATCCATCTGCCAAGAAGCGTTGCTGCATATAGAACTGAAGGGATCTCGAGCGGGTTGGGTAACGCTGTAGTGATAGTGATAGTGATGGGTCAGTAATGAGCCCCTGAGGAAGCCTAGAGCAGCACCCGCCTCGTGCTCCACAGACCGGGACGACGACCGCCCTGCGCCTGTCCTGTGGAACGAGCGAATTCACCCAACGTGACCAGTCCAATCACGTATGCCCGACAGCAACAGGGCTGAGTCTGCCGCGTCTGTCGACCGTCGACTTGTCCGGTTTTCACCGTTCAGATGATGCAGAGAGCCGTCAAAATCCGTCTTGTAGTTCGCCTTGTAAGGTAAGGTATGCCTTAGGCTAGCGTAAGATGCCCCAAGGTCCCCCATACCTCCTGCCTTGAAGAGCCATCCGTACCTTCCATTTATTAGCTGCTAGACATCATCTCTGCCAGACCAGACAACCAGACATAACCGACAGGGAGGCCCTGAATCGCCTCTTCATAATTTCTACCTGTATATTGCCGATTATTATGAATTAGCATTGCACTGCATCGTGTGCTTTTTGTTTCTTTTTGTCTTCGAAGTGGGAGAATGAAGGGTTGAATTTTTGAGGCTGTGAGTCACTGAAACATGAGGTAGCCTTGTAAGTGACCCTTTTGAGGCGCTGGAGGCAGTGTGTGCATGGAACTTAACGAATGCGGCCCACCACTGCGGTACGGAACCTAAGACTTCAAGGTTGAGCCCTAGGAGGCCTGGCCGACTTCCATTACTCTACAGTTCTATTTGTCCGAGAGTGCACATGAGAAACCCTAGACATGCAGCACTGCATCTTCTGGGAGACATAGTGAAATGCCGGTCTGAGCCTCGCCAAAACATGAGACGGTGGCCGTGCTTAGGTTGGTTGGTTGGTAACGGGCAGCCGCCGATCGTGCCATTCCGACGTGGTGGAATGCTCGGCCGCTACTGCCACCTACCTGCCTGGAAGTCGCCACGCTGACGGAACTTGCTAGCACCCTCCATCTTGAACGGCGTGCAACCGACAGCACCCGTTGACCCTGGGCACCCAGTGGTCTAGTCAGGTGGCTATTACCGCCCCAAACGAGGCTTGGTTCGGCACTAGGTTCGGGCTGCATTAGCTTTCCATCAGAGGCACCAAACCGACGGAGGCCGAGAATACAGTGCACTGGAATCCAGCGCTGCCTCAGCCCCCAAACCGTCAAATACCTTAACTACCGGCCTTGTTCCCTTAGCGCTTTTCCCTCACCGAATTTCCTCTCCCCTCCAGCCAGCCCCTCGACAATTCCTCAGGCGCTGCCACGAGATCGACTGCCGCTCTTCTAACTCGACAGAATGACAGATGTCGTCAATCCCGGGGAAAGCGGGTCCCTCAAGCTACCGAGATCCGTGTCTGCGCTCCGCTCGTCCAAGCCGACTCCGAAGCGGGTGCCGACGCGAGTCTCGATCCTAGTCCCCGAGGGCGACTCCACTAGAAATGATGTCTCGCCTGGTGCGCGCTCCGGGACGTCATCAGATGCCAACCTCGCCACCGACCTCCAAGTTACATCGACACCATGGTCCCGAAAACTTATCCTCACTCTCGACGGCGGCGGCATCAAGGGCTACTCGTCCCTTATCATCCTGCGTGCCTTGATGAAGGAGGCTGCGCACATTGAGCAGACCCTTAAACCTGCAGCATTGTCAAGTGCCCACACCGATCGCATCGCCCGCGATGCCATCCCCGATGCCGTCTACCGCGAGGGCCAGTACCTGCCTTGCCACTACTTCGATTACGTTGCCGGTACGAGTTTCGGTGGCTTGATTGCCATCATGCTGGGCATGCTCGGGAAGACCGTCGAGGAATGCACCACCGAATTCCATAACCAGCACAAGGCCATCCCGCTCACTAACGACGTGCCCGGCCGCGTCTCAATCGAACTTCCGCTACTTCGCAAGCGGAATACATGGCCGACCAAGCGCACAAGGTCCTTCTTCGACACCTTTGCCAAATTCAGCGTCACGTCGACGGCCAGGTCGTTAGCCACCGCGGCCGCGGCTTCGGCGCTCTCCTCTGCGACTTCCTCGGCCGTCGCCCCATCGGAGGCAGGCAGCACGGCCTCTACCGCGTCAGAGTTCAGGAAGGACTCTTTTCAGTGTCAGACGCTTGCTTGGTGCTCTGAGGTCGAGGAGCATAGGGAGCGCCGACCTTACGCATTTTGCACATACAAGGAGGATGACGAGTCGGAGAAGCTAGTATCGATCCCCGAGGTGGCCAAGGCCATCACAACACCAGCCACCTCCTCGTTTAAGCCCTTCAAGCTGGGGTCAGGTCACTTTGTCGATGGCAGTAAACAGATCCGGGACCCGACACTCGAGGTGCTCAAGGAGATCACGAGCTTGCTAGATGGAGGCGAGCCAGTTATAGACCTGCTCTTGAGCCTAGGAACAGACGAGCACCAGGCCTGGTTCTACGAAAAGCTCCGCAGCGTTGTCTACGGCAACGGGAGCTCCGGCACTAGTAAGAGTAGCAGCAAGAGCAGTGGTGGCAGCAGCAGATCGAGTGCCGACATCAGCAAGGAGGAAGGGCGCTCATACCACCAGTACCACAGGTTCGAGGTGACCGATGTCAAACTGGGCATGCGCAAGAAGAACTATCTCTCCCACATTGAAGAAACCACGGAGAAGTGGCTCGAGTCAGCAGAGCAAAAGGCATACCTCCGCCGATATGCCGAGATGTTGGTGAAGCGGCGACGAGCCAGGGCCAATACAGCGCGCTGGGAAACGTTTGCCCTCGGCGTTCGCTATCACTGCTTTCACGAAGAGTGCAGCAAGAACCACAATGACAGGTTATTCGACAGCCGAGGAGACTTCTACGACCACCTCGACAGGAGACACGATCTCGTGCGGTTGGCGTCCAAGAATATGGTAGATGTGGAGCAGGAGTTGGATAAGGGCCGACAGTTCGGCCTCAGCTAAAGATTGCTTCCAAAAAATAGCTTCTCCAGCGTCCCTATGAACCATTTGTCGTCTTTGTTCTTTTCTTTTTTCCCTCGCCTGTTTTCTCGTTATCTTCTCGGAGCATAGCAAAGGCATAGTTCGGAAGGCGTAGAAAGGAAGGCGTTTTAGCCTGGACGGTCTGGCCTGTAGGATACCAAAGTAACTTCCTTTACGGAGTATGAACGGCGAGGTAGACTTTCCACAAAAAAAGGGGTTCGGTTTACTTCCAGACGAGGAAGGCATCAGAGGCAGATCTCTGTATTGTATTGTATTATTGTTCGTCCAAGTACACTACGAGGAATCAGATGCATTGCATTTTCTTCTTGTACACCTCCACCGGGGAAATACATGTTAGCTTGGTACGTTGGTTACTAATAGTATCTTCCAGGGAAATCTCGCTAATCACTAACTTTGCCACCTTCCCACGCTAACATGTATTGCCCCGGAGGAGATGTATAAGAAATTATGTCTGTGCACGTGAATCGACATCAAAGCCGGCACCATACCCTCGCTGGCCACCAGACGAAAAGGGAGTCGGCGATGTTGGGGTAGGAAATTGATCAAGTCTCGGCCGTCTCCCCGGTCCAGAACGGCCGAATCTACCCACTAAGTAGGGTATCCCCCACATTCTCTCCCAGACTTTCGGGCAGGCCCGCAAATGAATGAAACGTGCAGGTGTTTCGCACGTGTGATTGGCCCAAAACTCCGGGCTCTAGTTTGAAAGCTGGGAGGCCTCCGATTCTCTCCAGTGCCCCACATCTAGTGATGAGAGATGGGGTTACACACACTCCACTGTTGCAGGGACTGCAGTGTAGTGCAACAGGTTAGGTTGCAGTTTTGAGACTACTCCACCAACCAACAACAACCTCCCGGAACCCCTTACGCCGTCAAGGTGCCTTTGGACATTCGCAGAAGACACTGCTGCACAGGCCAACATATAGCCATCAGTGGAACTCACATTAATTAGAGCAGTTTCACCGCTTTTTGAGGCATTTGCTGTATGTGCTTCAGAGCTGGGTGACTAAGAGCACTGGGGATCGACGGAAACGAATGTGCTGAGTAGGTAGCGTGCAAAGTGGGTGAAGAAAAGAAATCTATCCAATCCATAGCTCAACGCCAGAAGCGGTTGCTTACATAGGTAGCTTACCTACATCTAGACGATCCTAGCCTTAAGTTTGCAACACCTTTGGAAATAAAGTGCGTTGTCATTGATGCAACGGATGATTGACGACGTGTGGGGGTTTGCGACAAGTCCTGTTAGCGCTGCAAGACTCCTGAAGTGGAGCGGCGATCCTCTTTGAGACTATGGTGGAAAAATGAATGACGCAGGTGATATCACCCCAGCTAAAAAGAGGAGACGAAAAAAAACAAGCTTCCAACCACCCGAAGAGGTTACTCTGGCAATGCAAAAGGAACAACCTAGGACCAGGCGCGCGCTAACTGAACAAGTCCAGGAAACCTCGTGCAATTACTGATTTTTCAAACATTTATATTCTGGTTCTATTCCAGAGGCCGAGAACAAGACCACACGGGCAGATTTGCGCGTTTTGACACGAATCCCGACTGCTCCATTCTCGTTGTTGGCTCGAAAAGAAGGCAAGCAAAGTCGGCGCAGTTGGCCACGCCGCCACATCCACTTAACACAGTTTCGAAAGCGTTGGCCAACGTCCTTGGTACGGCGCAGTTAGAAGGGTATTTGAGTTGGGAAACTGCCCCGCGGATCCACGTCTCCAACATCTGTCAGGAAGGCCAGACGAAAAGAGGCCAAGAACGGGCACGGTCTATCGCAGCAAGCTAAGAAAGCTTCCCCCTACCAAAACTCTGCTCATTGCTCAGTCACCAAAGACACAGCCACGCTTGGCATTTCCGGACCGAAACATTGAAACCGTGCGACCACAAGACGTGACCAGCCCGCGCCCGACAGACACCACATCAGCAGCGGGTTACGGCAGTGTGATAAGTGTACTCTAGGTACATACGCAATCCTGCTCAGCCGAATCCGAGATTTGGGAGCAAAGGAACCGAACGATAAGAGTTGGAAGGGGCAAAGCCTCTCGAAGGCCACCAACAAAGTTACTCAGCTAAGCTTGCCATTAATCCGCGCTGGGCAACCCGTCTCCGTCTCCTTTGCGCGCGAGAGAAGGTGAGAGCTACCTTAGGTAGCTAGCCCCAGCTACTCAACCCTCTCTTACCCCCCCTTTACCCTACAACTTTACAACTCAATTGCAAGTGCCGTTGCATTCTAACGAGGGTGCATTGGGCAATTGGGCCATTGTGCATCTGCGAGCTTCCCATCAATGGTAACCCCCTGCAGAACTTACTGCAGCGACTGACAGTGACCTGACTGCAGCTCCATCAACGTTCGGTCTTTTTTGTCCCTTTGTTCGCCCTCGGCAGGCCCTCCCTGTCGCCCGCCCCATTTACGACGGCTGCAAATCGCAAATCCGCAGCCAAGCTATTGAGACGTATTTGACGCGTTTTTTTACGATCCGACGAGCCCGGTGCCCAGACTTTTTGGGCGTGCTCAGCCAAAATGGTTTGTAAGTGCCACTCTGGAGACGAATTCCCTTCGCCATCCACCACGAGACTAGATAGTCTTGGCCCATTTTCCTCCCCCCCCCCCCCCCCCCCCCCCCGCCTCCCTCAAACTGTGCCATATATCTTGGGCCCAACAACCTTAACCTACTACTGCCTTAATAACTGCCTACCTCGCCTCCATTTCTCATTTTGGTTCTTTTATCCCGTTTCCGGCTCCCCGCTCTCCGTTCGCGCAGTCGTCGCCTGGAATTGTCAAATCCCTTGCCCGTCCGTCTGAATACCTTCCATACACAAGCGTGCTTGGCTACCACCGCAACGACCCCAACTCTCTTAGTCGTGGTTCGCCATGAGGTTTCACAACCAGGGTGTCGCCAATCATCATTGCCAAGCACTTAGAAAACAACCATGGGCAACAGTTTAACTCGCTTTACAGTTAACGTCAACTTCCGCGAAGAGTTTCGCCGCATTGGCGGTCACAAGGCCCAGGACTCCGACGGGTTCACAAACGGTAACGCCATCAACGGCGATATGGACGAAGAGAGCCCCTTGTTAGGGCACACCGTCTCCCGCGATCCGGGAGAGTACAGTTTCTGGCGCCATTTGCTTCTCGATAGAAAGAGCTCCCCTGGCACCGATAGCTCAAACCCCCTCGTAAAATTCCTCGCGCGCATATGGAATGTGACAAAAGTCACTCTGCTAAGTTGTACGTATCTCTGCTGCCCGCCTGCTCCAGCTTCTGCGCTGCCCAAGTTCTAATGCGCTCATTGCGCGCGTCCATATAGCTTGGATCAACATCCTGCTTCTCTTTGTTCCTCTGGGCTTGTTCGCTGGAAAGGCGGAATGGGGCGCCGTCTGGGTATTTTCGCTCAACTTCTTCGCCATCATCCCGCTCGCCGCCGTGCTCTCGTTTGCGACGGAGGAGATAGCTCATCGTCTAGGCGAGACGCTTGGCGGGCTGGTCAACGCCACTTTTGGCAATGCCGTTGAACTCATTGTGCGTTTTTCTTGAGACGGCCCCTCTGATGCGAGTGCCATGGAATGCGAGGGCTAGGCTAATAATTCCCCGCCGTGGTTACAGGTCAGCGTCGTTGCGCTTAGGGCTGGCGAGATCGAGGTCGTGCAGGCGTCTATGCTAGGCTCAATCCTCTCTAATCTACTCCTCGTACTGGGCATGTGCTTCCTGTTGGGAGGTATCTACAACATGCACGCACCAGATGGTAGTGCTACCGAGCAGATCTTCGCTCAGGGAACTGCACAGACGACATGCTCCCTCATGGCCCTCTCATCTGCGTCGATGATCATCCCGGCCGCCCTGTACGGTGTTCTCGACAAGGCCGACGCGCACGACAAGGCCGACAGCATCCTGGTTCTCTCGCGCGGCACCTCCATCATCCTGCTTTGCCTGTACTGCCTGTATCTGTTCTTCGCTCTTCATACACACAAGAAGCTATTCGAGCCGGAGCAGCAAAACGGCGCTGCAACCGCCAATGGCGAAGGAGCCACCGCTGTCGCTGAGGAGGAAGAAGAAGAAGAGCCCCTGCTTGGCCCCTGGTCCGCTGCTTTGGTCCTTGTCGCAGTCACGGTTCTGATTTCGTTCCACGCCGACTACATGGTAGACAGCATCGATGCGCTGGTGGCGACGGGAAAGATCAGCAAGAACTTCATTGGCTTGATCCTGATCCCCATTGTGGGTAACGCTGCCGAGCACGTCACCGCCTGCGTTGTGGCCGTCAAGAACAAGATGGACCTAGCCATGGGCGTTGCCATTGGCTCCAGCATTCAGATCGCACTGCTGGTTACGCCCTCGCTGGTCATGCTGGGCTGGGCCATTGGCCAGCCCATGACATTGCATTTTGAGACGTGTAAGTTTTTCCTGTTCTTTTGAATGCACAGCCAAAGATTGCGATCTGCGGATGGGAAATGTGATCCGGCCTGGCCCCCACGTAATGGCTGGGTTGCACCATTTGTAGACATTGGAGTGCTGATAACTCTTTGCAGTTGAAACTATTGCCTTCGCTGTCGCAGTTATCATCGTCACCTATACCGTCCAGGACGGGAAATCCAACTACCTTGAAGGTGCTATGGTGAGTTTTTGCCGCTCTGCCATACATCTGCAGAATGTCTACTGACCGCAATGTGTGTGGCAACAGTTGCTGGGTCTATACGTTATTATTGCGCTTGCTTTTTGGGCTAGCCCAACCAAGGCCCTCGATAGGGTCTTGGCCATGGTTCAAAACTAAACAACTGGCCACTTTGCCAGAATCCCGATATTCCCTTTATTATTGGTTACCAATTTCTTCTTTTTGCTTTTCGGTGTTTGGGGGTCTCGTCTTGGTTGTCTTGGTTCATCCGTCTGTACTATAAATAATTCAATAAGGGGGTTGTATAGGAAATATGGCGGCTATGGATATTACCAAGCCCCAGGAAGCAGGTCTGCAAGAATGGGTGGTTGAGGAAGTTTGCGCTGTATGATAAGCTAGAGCAAACATCAAAAGTAAGAATGAGCAGGCAATACACTTTTGTATACCTGACTACAATGACATGGTGTGTGAAATGGTTCAGTTACTCTGCACCTAGTGGCTACCCCTATTCGTATCTATGTCGGTATGGAATGCCTATTCAGCACTTCCGCCTGGGAATAATAAGCGACCCTAACCCTAGACTTGACCTCAACGCCATTTTCCCAATATCTCTTATTATGCCCCTTAGTAGTATGACCTGCAGTCCTCACGGGGCAGCGCCCTAAATACTACCCGAGGTAGTCGCCAAACATCTATTATTCGTGTAGTCCTCTTCCTAGAGACAACTAATATCCTCCTGTTCTAATCTCTTTTCTAATTTCTTCGTGTCACCCCTTGTCTCTTATTATTGTTTGCGCCCCCTTTTATTATCCCCGGAGTGACAGCCACGGTAAACAAATCCATTCTCTTTCGTCCTCTCCCCTCCATTGAATGCTCATTAAGTTGAGCTTGGTACTCTCCATAATTGGCGTGGGATTATGTGTCGTTGTCGATTGTGTTCTCCTTCATCTCATCCACATCCTCATCCTCGTCAGCATCCTTGTTCCGTTCTCATCCTCGTCCTCGTTCTTATCGTCAGATACAATCTCCGCGTCTATCCACTGCGCAGCTTCACCTTCCCGCCCGTCAGTCATCTCAAAGACAGTAGTCATCATCATCGTCTTCTTCGGTATCCGGCGTGCACATGTCGCGCTTGAAGCCGCTGCTGCGCTGCGGGGACGAACAAGTCGACGACGAGGTCGCCGAAGTGCACCAGGGCGTGTCGGTGTCCCAGATCAAGCTGTTGCTGTTGATGTTGTTGAGGCTCTGGATCTCGAGGCTACCCTGGTAACTGCGCTCGATGCTGGCTAGCTTGGAATTGAAAACGTCCTCTTTTTTTTTTTCCAGTATAACGATTTCTGCGACTATTATCTGCAGTACTTACAGCGACGGGCGGCATGCTGTTCCGCAAAGGTGAACATGTCGGGTCGGTCTTGGGCGTTCTGGCGCCGTACCAGCTGGGTTTTCGGATGTGATGTCGGATGTGGTGAGGCAAGACAGGCAATGGTTGAGCGGCATTGATGATGTCGAGAGACGCCGACTTTCCTATTAATGGCTAGACGTATCTCCGAAGAGATGTTCTCTCTCGCAGCCATATTCGAAGCTATAGCCACGGCAACGGCAACGGCAACAGCTATACTGAACATCGAACAACAGCGCCGTTCGGTCCATCCTGGGGGCTAGGCCTGTGCATTCTCTGAACAAGTCCACAGAACAATGGCGAAGCCCATGCGTTGTGGGAATAGCCAAGTACTAGCGCAGACCGAGCGACACGAGTCGATAACAGTTAGTCAGACAGTTGGGAAATAGACTCTGCAAGGAAAACTGAACTTGTCGAGTTTAAAGCCAATACACTCATCCTTCCTCGCCACAACCAAGAATTAGGAATACTGTAATTAGCCCCCAAGGCGATGTTTGTACTACCAAAACAATATATACTTATTCTACCGTACTCATTTTGCCTTGCGCCGAACCTTGAACGTCTTGAGAGGATCCCTCTTCCGACCGCTGCCAACCTTGAACGAGCGTCCCTTTGGCTTGTTCCTCTTGTGCCCCTTGTCCTTGCCCTCCTTTTTGAAGGGCACGAAGCCGATCTGATTTGAGGTGAGAGCTTTCTGCCCGCCATTGGGCAAAAGATAATCGGGCACGTGCTTCAGATGGGGCTGCTGTCTCGTTGTCCGGCCAAGTTCACCATCGTGTCTGAGATGGGCAAGCTCTGCAGGGTTCTCCTCGAAGTACCTGTGAATGCTGTCAATAACTAGCCAGTAGTTGGCTGGGCGAATGGAAAGACTCACCGCTTCAGTGTCTCGCTCCTGAGAAGCTCCTGTCTCAGCTCTCTAGTCCGTGCTTCTCGGATTGCCACCTTTGTAACCGCCCGTAGCGCTGTACACACACGTTAGAAAAGACTAAAAATCGGGATGACCTAGACATACCATCGTTCATCCGATACCGAAACGCATCCATCTGGGTCTTGCTGAAATTATATGGCTCCACTTTTCTGTTGAGTTTGGCCTGTTGCCTTATGATTCTGGCGAGGATCTTCTCGTCGTGTTCTGTGCTCTTCAGGGAAGTCGGCTTGTGCTTTCCAAACTGGTCGCTCGGAATGACAAATGAAAGTGCCATGCCGGTACGTCCAGCCCTTGCGGTGCGCCCTATACGGTGGATGTAAGAGGATGCCGATGTGGGCAGATCAAAGTTGATCACGGCCGCAACGTTTCTGAAGTCAACGCCTGTAGACCTAGTTAGTATGCAAAGACTCCCAGCTCAGAAAACCGAGGGGGACAAGACTGCGATCGTCACATACCTCGAGACACGCCATACTCGGCGTCGCGTTTCTGCGTCTTCCGCTTCTTCTTCGACTTCTCGGACTCCTTCTCGGCAGCATCGCCGTCTTTCTTCTCTGCTTCGGGCTTTATATCCTTTGATTTTCCGTCCTCGCCAATTGCCAAGTCTCCAAAGACCTCGCTCTTCTCATCAGACGCAATAATAATGTCGTAAATACCCTGTCAGTCAGTCAGCTCTCGGATTAGTCAAGAAGTGGAGTTTTATGTACATACGCGATTGAACTCCTCAATGACTTTGATTCGGGAATTTAACGGCAGTTCAGAGTTCAAAATACAACTCCTGATGCTGAACTGCTCAAAGAACAGCTTCAGACGGTAGGCCCGATCAATATCGGCAACGAATATGAGACACGGCCCCTTGATCAGCTGGAGCTTGAATATCAGATACGAAAGCAGCCACTTGTCGTCTTCGGCACACCTTTATTAAGAGTTAGCCAAGACCGCAAAACAGAGACAAGGAGAAGGTGTGCGTACTTTACGTAGAACTGGGCGAGTTTCTCATCCTCATCGCCCAGCTCCTCCTTCACATCCAGCAGAGTCGGGTTGCGGCAGAATATGCCTTTTAGGGTGTCCAACTCGGCTGAAAGAGTCGCACTCATCATGATTGTTTGCACTCCCTTGGGAAGAGAGCGCGATATGTTCTCCATGTCCTCGTTGTAGCCGTACGACAAAACAAGATCTGCCTCGTCCAGAACCAGGTACTGCAGCTTGTCCACCGAGAGGGCCGACGAATTGATGTTGTGCCACGCGCGGGCGGGCGTCGAGACGACAATGTCAGGGACATTGGACAAGAGCGACCGTTGGACGGCGTCCGAGACATTCTCGGTCAGTTTTGCAGCATGGATGTCTTTGGAGCAAAAGGCCGAGAACTGCTCGATAACCTTGAAGACCTGGTCGGCAAGCTCGCGCGTCGGCGCAAGAATAAGGGCGGCGGTGAAAGGGGTCGCGTCAGTCTAGCAACAACAAGGTCAGTTAGTGCACATGCATCCCGGGAGAGCTCCAGCACATACGCTCTTGCGCTTCAGAATCCCCGACAGCAGGGGCAGGACGTAGACGGCCGTCTTGCCCGAGCCGGTGCTGGCCTTGCACAGTACATCTTGGCCTTGGAGGGCCAATGGAATTGCTTTCTGCTGGACGAGAGTCGGCTTCTCGAAGTTTTGCTTCGCAACCGCCTGGACTAGGCGAGGGTCAAGACCCAGGTCGGCAAAAGAAGGTTCGGCTGTTGTAGGTTTTTGTTGTTCCTTTGGCTGCTCCTCGCGGGTTTCTTTTGGTTGTAGTTGTTGCTCTTGCTGTTGCTCTTGTTGTTGATCTGGGCTCTGCTCCTGTTCCAACTCCTGTTCCTGCACTGGCACCTTGAACTTCTTCGTCTTCGTTTTTGTTTTTGCCTTGTCCGACTTGCTGGGCTTCTTCTTGGCGTCGCGCACAGGCGACGGCTCGTCGTTTTGGTCCAACTTGCGCTTCATGGTCGGCGTGCGAGAATTGGATTACGCTGCTATCTTGGTGTGGTGGAGAGCTTTGCTGTTGCAGTACCTTCAGGTGTCCGCAGAAAGTCGTGGGGCACTGAAGCGGAAGGGAAATTTTTCGAAAGGCGGCAGAACTTTGTTATCCGATAGCACAACCCGTACCGAGTATTTTTTATTTTTTATGGAAACTTATGCAAGGGTTCTCTGCCGAGCTTCATGGCCCCGCAAAAAGCTTATTTCGACCCACCAGCCTATTGTCAGTGCTCTAGGTACTGAAGCGCTTTACGTTAAGTCGAATACAGCACCTGGGAACCCAATGGCATCACCAACCTAACTGCCTCAACATAAGTCTACAAAAACATTAATGCAAAATTACACCGAGTTCAGTCATCCCGAGTCATGATACCATAATGTTCGTAGCCTTAAGCCCATGAGTAGGAATAATACAAGGTCTGCTGAAGAACGTCTCACGACGTGGACATCAGTCTCTACGCAGTAAAGAGACAAAAAGTGTGTACGCACATACTCCGTTCGCTAAAATAGGAGGAAGCTCTTTATGATGCTAGCCTGTCCTGACCCAACCTAACCTAACATAACCTAACATGACCTAGGAATACCTCGGAAAGAGTTCGTTACACATACACTAAGACAGGAACCGCAACAACGCACCAAAGAACAGTCATCGCAACTACCAAGCAAAAAAGAATTCCCAGCTCCTTGTCACTCCTTCCGTTTTGTGTTTTGGTCTCCGTTGAAATGGGGGAAAACTGAGCATGAACCGTGACCAATAATCCCTACATGGGCGCTGACTTTTTTCTTTTTCCCCGCCGGTCGAGCAAGACAGAAGAATGAAGAAAAGGAAACCCCAAACGAAGAACAAATTCCCGTACTCTGAAGAGAACCTCAGGCACCCAATAACAAGATAAAACGAAGCTCCCTTCATCAGGCCCATTTCATTCTTGTCAACACGCCCCACAGCGTAGAAGCTGGGCGACAATTAATATCATCGAAGTGTTCCTCTCCGTTTTGTCAGAGACCTAATGCGCCAAGTCCTGCATTGTCATTGTCATATGTTGCTCATACGAAAGCGCGGGCGAGGTGCGGCTCCCCAAGGCAGAGGTATAAACTGAAACACGAGCTCTCCAGGTGGAGACACAAACTCAGGTACTAGTCTCAAAGTTGGAACCACGATCTGGATGTATCGTAGATGACGAGGCCGCGGACGCTAAATTCAGCGATGGTCTTGTCGCAGTTTCAGCTTTTTGGTCATTTGTGGCCGCCACAGGTTTGACACCATCGATACCCGGCCTGGGGTCGTAAGACAACTAGTAACGGCGCTCAAACTCACGAGGATAACCCTCCCGAGGATAGCTGTCACGGGGCGGAAACTCCGGCGGGGGAGGGCGGCGATCATAGGGCGCTCGTCCGTTCACATACGGGTCGGGAGGATAATCCCGAGGGGCGCGGTAGGGGTCATCGTAGCGTCGCGGCGGCGGATAGTCATCAATGGGAGCGCGGCGCGGGGGGGAACGGTATCCTCCTCTTCTGTCGTCGTAGTACTCTCGGCGGGGGGGCGGAGAAGGACGGTCGCGATAAGCGTCGCGATATCCTTCGCGACGTGGGCTATAGCCTCTAGGGGGCCACGACGATCATACTCATCGACAGGTGGCGCATACGGGCGACGCGGCGCGGGAGATCTCGAGCGAGCACGATCAGGCGCACCTCGCGGAATGTCAGGCTGCGTCTGTTGTCTCATGTCAGCGATTGTATTCAAAACGGAATAAATCTTTAGACCATCCTACATTAGCAACGCATTTCACCGACGAGCCTTTGAATTCGCGGCCGTCCAGCTTCTCAACAGCGGTTCTCAAATCGTTGGCGGTCTCAAACTCGACAAACCTAGAACATAGGTTAGCTGAAAAGCCGCCCAAGTACGTGGAAAGGGGGGAGGACATACCCTTCACCGTTGCCGTTGCGGCCAGTCTCGGAGTACACAACATCAAGACCGGACTGTCGGGCGAAGTCTTTCAGGTCCTAAAGCCAGATTCCATGTAAGTCGAAGTCCAGGAGTTTGGCGCGGCGATGATCCATGCGAAAGAGCCAGGTTTCATGTCCAGTAAAGCCAAACGTGCGCCGGGCGTTGGGGTCCCGGCATGGGATCTCATTAACCGGCGCAACAGCATTAACAAAAACCAGGGGCAAGACGGGATGGGGACATTAGGACGAGAGGGCCGAGGTGGAATGAGGAAGGCACGGTCCTGGGAAAGTGGCCAACGGGGAAGCTAGCCCATCCCATGCGACAAAGACCTTGTTGTGTGGAAGTTGTGGGAGTTGTATATGACCAAACCTGAGATGGGGGATAGAGATGCATCTTGGACCAAGGAAGCCTGGCGCGCTCCAAAAAGCCTCAGGGGAGGGGAACATCCATGTTTTATCCGCGGAGAAGGAAGTGGGAGAATAAACAGACCTGCCAACTCGTATCATTGGGGAGTCCACTGATTTGCATTCGATGCGGAGTGCGACGTGGCCGGGGCGCGTTACTGCGCTCGTTGGTATTGAATGCGCCTCCTTCGCGGTGGCGGGTGCCACGGGCAAACTGAACCGTCAGGCGTTCGCCCATGAAGTCGGATCCATCTTGAGCATATCGTTAGCCAGGGAACGGTCGTTGGTCAGGGAAATCGGGGGCCTCCATGGAGGGTCCAGTACGTACGGAAAGCTAAAGACGACACCGGCATTGTCAGCATTAATCTCCATCACGAGGAAAGCAGTGGCGAACGATACCAAGGTAGGTTGGTCGATGCAGGGCAAGTTCGAGGAGAGAGCTTACCTGGGACGACATCCCGGGCATCCATGGCATCCTTGTACTCGATGAAACCAAACCCGTTCATGAGCTTGATCTCGGTGATCTCGCCGGTGCCATGCGTGGCGAAGTGAGCCTCAACGTCGGCCTTAGTAGCTAGGGTACAGGTCAGCATCGCGTGCGAGCAAGCAAGCGCAGTGAGGGGCGGGGTGGATGGTCGGCGCCCATGGCCTCGACAAGGTCAAATGGGCGCGGGCGATAATAGGGTGATAGCAGCAGGTGTAACGCGTCGCGTGGGGTAGCTCACCATTCCGGGGCAGGTTGCCCAGATACAGGCGGGTTGACGACACCTCAGTCATTGTTGACAAATGATTCCTGGATCAGGCAGAGCTGGAGTGTCCGAGGGGAGGTCAAATGGAGATGGGGAGTTGGGAGGAGGAGATGGAGGGCTGGCTGGCCCCCGTTGCGTGGGTGTGGGGTTGTCGAAGCTCGCGCCAGAAAAGTCAATTCCTAGGTAAGCTCTTTCGGGAGCCTCGCGGCTGATAAAAAGAGTTTGCAAACCGTGGGACTGGGACCTATCCTAGCGGCGCAACAGAGAAGGAAAGAAAAAAAAAGACAGGGTTTACTGATGTCTGACTGAAGATGCGTGCGCCAATGTATATTGAGGAATTGCAAGCAATCCAGGGGCAGAAGAACAACGCTACACTCTTGTCTCAAGCGCGCGCAGCGGGACAAACCAGTTAGGATGTTCTGGTGTCCAAGGGCAGCGGCGAGGGGAGGGGTGGCTGGTGATGGAAGGAGTGTGTGGAAGGAGGGAAATTTTGGCTAGCTTCGGGGGAGGAACTTAGGAAGCAACCTACTTGGGGCGGACGCGCAGTGGTGCAGGCAAGGCCGCACGCCCCACGCAGGCGGCAGCCCCACACTTCGCCAAGGCCAAAGCTTACCGTGGCGTGCCAAGGCAGCAAATGACAGCCTCAGATCAACCTCTCTGCCCGCGCCAAACTTGGCTCTGCCCAACGACTAGCCTTGTTCCGGGCAAACCAGAAGGCACACGCCCTACGTCTGTGGTCCGGGCAAACGGTCCTATGAACTAGCACCTTGCCGTCTTTTCTTTCCTAACGGCTCGAGTCGCACAATGTATGCATCTTAAGGCAAATGTGATCGGAAACAAAAGAGGTATTGCATCTGTCCGTCTGCCCCAGGCGTTGGCAGTCCGTTCCTAATTTTACTCCAGCTTCCTCGGGAATCCGATTAGCACCCAAAGATGCAAGAACCAACCCACCTCATGTGGTGTGGGGTAGGGGCTGCTTCTCAGTCAACTCGGACGGACGACTTCAGGCTCAACGTAGAAACTTGATCTGTTTCGCCTTTTCATGTGTTAGTATGCAGATAGATATATACTCTTTGATATTCCGATTAAGCCTTGCCGGCTAGGTGGCCCCTTGTCTTAGTGTCAATCCAGACAAGAGCAGAGATGCACATGTCCAGATGACCTAAAAGGCTGTGAGACAGCCCTGTTGAGACGTGCAGTAGGTACTAGTAGAATGTCTCATGGTTGAAAAAGGACAGCTCGGTCGCCAGCGCACTCCCCGACAATGTATGTGCACAGTATTTATTGCATACACAATATCTACTGCCAGCCTACCTATATGCATCATTATTTACCTGATGAAGCAGTCGTCAAGCACGGCAACCTGGGTAGTACCGGCAGGTCGCCCCCCCCCCGCTCTTTGCGCGGGATTTCCTCCACAGACTAGACCATGAGTTACATCCATGCCACATTCCAGCATGAGCATCATGCAAGGTAGGCAGGCGCCTCTGCATTCGAGCACTGCAACTTCGAATCAGCAAGAGAGAAAAAGCTGGAGCACGGTAGAAAAGGCATCACCCGCCATACGCGACTGTCTGGCGGCCTTATTATTCAATATTGCGCAGCCCACACACCAGGCTACTTGTCTTGGCCTATCTGTCGGTGCCTTCAGTGACGAGAAACGCTCGGTGTGTGGCTTGCAGGATTTCTGCGACACTACGTGTGCCGACTTTATAAAACACAAAAAGGGTTTAAAAAAATAAAAAATAGAGAGCCAAAAAGGAGAAAAAAAGCCCAAACGCCATTGCTATGCAATCAAAATTGCTCCCGCCCTCCATCCCCTGCAAGTCTTCAGTCCTCTTTAAACAGGATGCTAATAACCTCATCTAAAAACGTAAAGGCTAGATGGGCACTAAGAAACCACAATAGTCAGCATTTTTATTCTCTATGTAGCATATGCCATGTGATAACAATGGGAACCGAGATGTGAAAACGTACTTGAGTCGTGAATTATTCAATGTCGCGAATATTCTCCGGCTTGCTGCCTGTGCGTTTAAACGGCCCACTACGCTCCCTGCCAGATCTGGGACCAACGTGGCCAGCATGAGGCTCGCCTCGGTCCTCGTCCTTGACTTTTGCGCTGTTGTTCGGGGCACCTTGTTTTTGGGGAGCTGGCCGCCGGGCCACATGCCGTCCCGGAGGAGGCCAATGTACTTGAGCATGGCATCCTCCTGGACAAGCGTCTTTATGTTGTCTCGCAGTTTCCTCTCAATGGTCCCACCGAGGAGCTGGTGCAAGACCACCACGACGGCACGGCCCCGCAGCCAGTTGTTCCCGCGGTTGAGTTCAAACACCTCGAGAAAGATGTCACAGATTGGCTTGACAAAGGGCTCGAGCTCCCTGTTTTCGAATGCGTTGAGCTCAGCTTCTGCCTCGGCTACGCTCATGCTTCCCTCCTCGCCCACGGTCAGGGGCATCGTGTTGAGCTGGTTAGTAGCCGCCGCAATCAAGTTCTGCCCGGCAATTGATAGCTGGTCAAGAACGGGTATGCTTCCGAGGATGTCCTCCATCCCGTCCGTAACCGAGTCATATAGCCGCGTAATCATATCCTTTTTGTCCTCGCGATCCGTCAGGTCCTGACCTTGGGGGTTGATGACGCTCTGCGAGAGAAATGCCCGAAGATCACGGCTGCGGCAGACATCTGGGAGAAGGAGAAGCTCGCGAAGGTAGTGTTCCAGGGCCACGCGGCGCTTCTGCAAGAACTCACTCTGGAGTTTCATCACCATCCGTCGCCGGGGAAAGTCCAAGTTGCGCACAGAAGGATAACGCGATCTAAGTTTCTGGTGCAGGTCCAAAAACTCGCTGTAGCGGCGCGTAATGATCCAGGTCGCCGCGGGCATCTTCTCGCCAGCGTTTCGGGAAACCTCGATGGCATACAGGGCGAACTCCTTCCCATCGTCCTCTCGTCCGACCTGGATGGATGTGATTTTGATCGTGGAGCGACCGTATAAGCTGTTGTCGCTCTCCTGGATGACGTACTGTTGTCTTTGCAGTTCCTTTCTCCGAATTTCTCTTCCCAAGCTGGCCTTTGACTTCCGCAAGATCCGTAGCTCGGCTGTGTTATTGGTCAGCTCCGCCTTTCGCAGCAGCGAGTCCACCACGGCGTCTTGGGCAATAAGTCGGTCGATGTCGTTGGTTAGAACTGTAATGGCTTCAGCTAGGCCAAGGTCACCGGGCGCAGCCTCATGAACTGCATCCGCATCCTCATCAACTTTATCGTCGTCATCGCCTTCGCGCTCGTCAGACAGAAATCTATCTTCGTCCCCAAAAAGATCGTTATCGACAAAGACGCCTATGCGCGATGCCGCGCTCACAAGACCCAAAGAGGCCAGGCTAGGTTTATCAACTTCTTTTCCCGCGTGCAACTGTCGGGTCATATCAATCGACCCCCTGTCAGACCGCGGAAGGTCAGACCGCGGAAGGTCGACAGAGCCGCGACTGGAGCGTGGGATATCCACCGATGGGCGTTTGGAGTCTGTGTCTGGCGAGGTAAAGAGGCTCGAGCCAGCTTCATCGTTTCCAAAGAGCGAGGCTTGGAGATCCTCTGCTGTTGGAGGCTGGCTGCTTTCCAAGATATTGTTAAGCGCTTTTTCCATGGCTTGCACGACTTGTGTATCGGGAACAGGCGGGACGGTTTCCTGGTCGAGACTCTGCACGGAATCGGCCAGTGCGTCATCTCCGAGGTCGTCATCGTCAAACAAAGGGGTGGGAGAGTCTTCGTCGACCGATCGACGGGGAGCGACCATATGATCAAGGCCACTGTTGCCGTTAACATTCATGGTCCTCAGATCTGATGCTGACCCAGCTCGTCGGTTATGGGGCCCCGAATGAAGCCTTGGGACCAAGCGGGCCACCGGGTTTGGTTTCGCAGAAATGTATGATGACGACCGAGCCATCGATGGTGTCGCTGAAGATTGCCCGGCGCTGGGGCCGGCGATCACGGTGCGCTTTGACGCCTCTTCGGAAGCTAGCGCCTTGTAGAACAAGTCTGACTTTTTGAAGTTGTGAAAGTGTTTAATTTGCATTTCCTCCAGAACAGCACTTTGGGCCCGCAGGATTTCCCTTCGCGCCCTGTAGTATTGCTCCGGCGTCGCATCCCTGCCGGCCTTTAGGAACTCTTGGATAATACGCTTCGAAGAGCTGGGGACCTTGAGCTCTGGCTGACTGAGGTATGCGGCATCAATTTGCGCGAGGTCAAGCCTGTCAGAGTCTGTCCAGGGGGGTAGCTGTAAAGGCAACTGCTCTCCCTCGGGCCCATCATCCTCGAGCGGGTTACGAAAGCCATCAACAACAAGCCAGAACTGAACCAAAGGCATGAGCCGCTGCCTGTCCATAAACTCCATGAAATAAGAGAGACCCGAGGGGTCCCGGAGCATATCGGTGAGCGACGCATTCTCCAGCCGGGACACGCCTGGTGACGAAGTGCCGGTGTTCTGTGGAATTGCCCGGCGATCGCCTCCCGCTGCCAGGTGCTGAACCTTCTGGTCTAGCAATTTTTTGCCCATCTCCAACCGGCGCAGGTAGACCTGGTCCACAGTCTCCTGCTGCGAGTCCCTCTTAAGCTGGATGGCAACTTCGCTACGGAAGCGCCTCGCGTCCGAAAGATTGTTCACTTTGCGGATTGCACGAATAAACTTCTCAAACCTCCTCTCGCTGTCGGAGGGGGACAGCCGGGGGAACGACATGGGCTTGCTAGTTTTGGGAGCCGGCGAGGCATGCTCGTCCAGGGCTGCGCGGAGCCTCCGGACGGTAGAGCGATCCTGGAGCATGCTCCGGCCATAGTTCTCCATCAGCTGGTTCCAGGTATCGGGATCCGACAACATCTGCATAACGGGAAACATGACGGCGCATGCGGTGATTTCACGGATTATGGTCGAGACGGACCCAGAGGCCAGAAGGCTCGGCGGCAGGACCTTGGGCAGGACTCTCGACATGGTCTTTCTTAGGTAGTCCTGCTGGGCCGTCTTGGTGTCGGAGAAGGCCAGGCTTGCGGCGGGATGCAGCTTGCCGTCCCTGTACTTTGAAGCGATGGCCAGGTCCAGCTCTTCCGTCTCGGTGACAGATCTGTTCAGCTTGCGGCCCCTGACGGAGCGCTCGGCATCGTAGAAGTCGCGAAAGTGGGCCGTCATGATGGGCACGAGGCGTGTTGTCAGGGCCTCGGTGAGGTCGAGCTCGGCCAGGCGGTCGCGGACCCTGAGCAGCGCCCCGCGTATGGTCTTGTCTACCTCATCGGAGAAGACGGGGTTCTTGCTGATGCTAGTGTACCAGACCTTGACGAAGTCGCGGGCAATGTACTCGAGGAGCTCGTCGAGGGCGGCCGAGACCTTTGGGGATTCGGGATAGAGTGACGTCTTCGCGTACGTCTGGCGGCGGCGGAGGGCGGCAACTTCGGACGGCCACGATTCGGGGCCAAGGAATGCAGCGCCATTCGGTCGAGCGGTCCGTCGGAGCGGGCGGCGAGATGGGAATGGAGAGCGCCGGACGGTGAGCAACAGCAGGGCGGCGAGGGTGACGAGGGTGACGAGCACGCCGCCAACAAATGCGTAGCCAGCCCAGCGCAGGGCCGGGAACCAGTTGACAGCATAGCCCCACGCGATAAAGCATGCAACACCCGCAAGCGCTATGTCTCTCCCTTGAAGGACCATAGTCTGGGGCGGGCGTTTGGCGGCGCCCGTCGCCGCATTTCCTGTTGATATGGAATGTCTAGGTAGGTACGTAGTCCTGTCTCGCCGGGATTGCCGCCAATGATTGCGTTGTGGAAAGCAGCCCGGTAGGCCATTTGTGGTTAGTGACGACGGGTACCTTGGCTGCGGATACCGCGCGCTATTTACCCCATGTTCAGCACATCAACCACTACCACCACCCCATGTCCCACCCTGACCCCAATCACACCTCAGAGTCCAGCTTGCTCATGCGATATCACGTTCTTGTTCTTTTGTGTTTATGCAATTGATTAAGTCGACTTTGGCATTTTCTCTAATCACGTCGTGGAAGCATGGCGGACATAGAAATCCCCGAGGGGGTGCTGCGATTCGTATGGAGGGAATGAGGCGAAGTCACTTTGTAATTAACACCTGTTATTGGTCCTGGACAGCACCGTGTCAATGTCTTTCTGGTTGACTCTGCTCTCTCATCGTGGGTATCACATGGTGAAGTCACCTACTCCTCCATCTTCTCCAGCTCATCGCCAAACGGGGGATCGTCCAGCCGCCTAAAGAGAGCAATAAACTTCTTGCCGCTGTTCCTTTCCACCTTCTTGCCCTCTTCCGTCTCCGTCCGCATGATGGTGACGCAGGGGTCAGCCTCCTGTTCCTCTTCGGACACCCTCCCGAAGGAGGGGTGTGCTTCGAAGTGGCCCACCATCCACTCGTGCAGGTCCGGGACGTCGGTGATGGTGTAGACGATACCACCGGGCCTCAGGACGTAGGCATACTCCGAGTTGAGCGTTGCCGACACGATGCGCTGCTTGTGCTTGCGCGCCTTGAAGTGGGGGTCCGGGAAGCAGATAAAAATCTTGGAGAGCTGGGCCTTTTTGAAGAAATTGGGCATGAACTTCATCGTGTTAGCACGGAGAACCCCAATGTTGCGGTAAAGCTTCTTCTCCAGGTTCTGAGCCCTCAAGGCCTTGATCCGATCCTCCACGAACTGCGTCACCGACACGCGGATTTCGAGCCCTGAGCATACATGTTAGTACCCCTGCTTAAGAACTCGAGGCATCTTTTTTCCCCTGTATTTTCTCACCTAATATTAGGGTGTCAGGCAACGCAGGGGCAAGAGCAATGAGCAGACCCCCGAATCCGCACCCAATGTCTGCCACTTCAACATCTTGGGTGAGCTTCCTTGGCTTCTTCTCTAGCGCCTTTGGTTCCTGATTGCCGAGCTGTTGCTCTTCGGCGAGGACTGTTGCTACTCCTTTATCTTCTTGGTCCTGGGGCACGTCTTCTGAAGCCACATAGTCAGGGAACAGTGAAGACCAGTCCATCTTATCGGGTGTTGCAGGGCTATGTGGTGTGTCAGCTTGAGAAAAAATCAGGAAAGGCACGATAGAGAAACTCACTATATCAGGCAATGGTCTGAGAAGGGGTTTGCGTGAGCTCTCTGTCGGTAGAACTTCTTTCGCGGAAGCTCTGCGGCACCCTCATCGTGAAGTGCCGCCCGATAGTCTTCGCGCCTCTGGCGCTTATTCCTCTTATCTCCGCCCATAGTTTATGTATTGTTCTTGGACTGTGATAGATTCAGAAGCCGTGTGTATACTACTGGGTGCTCAATGCTTCACCGTTTGGGAACCTGGAATGATTGATGGTCAGAGGGTTCGATGTGGGTCATCCGGGAACAGAAAATCGCTGCTCCGATCCATGGTTGTGACTGTGGGGTAAAAAGTCTAGAAGGGTTAGGGTTAAACACGTTTGCCCTTCGCGACCCCTTTGACGTGTAAGTCGAGCCTGGAGCCCTAATAAGTGCCCAAAAGCACCGCAGACCATTTTCCATGTATATTTAGACAGCTAAAAAGACACGTTAGACTTCCTTAGCCTTCGCAGTAGTGAGTTGACTCTCATTAGATGGAAACTAGCATTTTTGTTATGTAGAGACAGGAGAGATCTGACTCTTCATTCTGTGGCGTTTGTGACGTATCAGTCTCTCCCACGCGGCTTCTTGCCACCAGACGGTACTCCAGTGCCTACCTTATATAACAGCTTGTAAAACTGCAATCCACGTCGTACACCCAATCATAAAAAAAAAGAAGAATATAAACTTGTTAAACAAAAATTCTCCATACTTACTCATTTGAGAAAGATTTATAAACAAAAACTTCAGACCGATTGCATCTTATCCCGTCTTTTATTTACCAGACCAACAATCATGCCGCCACCCTCCACCTCAACCGGTGCCACGGCCGCCACAGCCAACCAGAGCACCCACACAGAAAGCAACGCCGCATCCCACCCAGTGGGGGCCGGCATCGACACGGGGGCCGGGACGACGCGGGCCAAGACGGCGGCCGAGCTGGAGGCAGACCGGCTCTACGAGGAGCGCATTGAGGAGGAATACGCCAAGCGCGAGGGCGGTGCGTAAGGAGAGCCATCTCGTGTGTTTGGGGCTTTCAGGGTTGGCTATGAGAGGCCGGGTCGGGCGGGTGGATCATTGGCTGTGTGTATTTTTGTAGTTTCGTTGCACAACAAGGTGTGGTCCTGGGTCCATGTCATTCATCATTCATCGATGTCCCCTTAAACCGCCGAGTCTCATCTCCAATACTCTCGACCAGCAGCTCCCAATCTCCCAAAGCTTCACTGTATGTCGAGCCATATCCTTGGAAATAGCCACGACGAGACAGCAAACCAAGATGGTGCTATACTGTAGGGCCCCTTCCGGACAGTCCGAACAGTCGCCCTACGAATAAGACGGAAAAACAACAGATACAGACAGGTCTGTAAAATAAGTGAGAAGCCTATGTGGTCATTAAAGTACCTAAAATAGCAAGACAGCAGACGCCGCTCTCAATACCAATAGACTGCTCGGAGACGACTGACCTACGTCACATGAAGTCTCTGGAATCGTCCACAATCTGTTCGCTGCATATGCGGGGGTTGTTCTGTTAATAGTCAATATATCGCACTCGTGTGGTTACCCTATTAGAACGGAATGAAGTCTGAAGCGTAGGACGGCATGCATCATGGTCAGGGGCGAACCAGAGTCTCGGGCAACGGACCACAAGTTATGGTGACCCTGCCCACGCTTCACTGGGGCCACCATAGAATATACTTTTCAGGGGAATCCAACATGAATGTTGTTGTACGGAAGCAAAATCCCAACATGCAGGTACTCGGCAAAGGTCGTGGCACGTACGGCAACACGAAACAAGCCACGACACGTAGCAGGGGTTACTGCTCGGTATGACCACAAATCCTTTTTCTTCTTCTTCTTTTCGTGCCGAGGCAGTGGTGATAGGACAAAGGCCAACAGTGCTAGTGTTACCATGCCCCCCCCCGTTCAACGGGATCGATCGGCACCATGTCGACCACGGCGCCCAAGCTGCCTGTGCCATCGAGGCGAATTCCTAAAACAAGCAACAAACGAACAACTTCCGAGTCTAGGCTAGGTTTGTCTTCGCGCGGGCTCTCGCTATTTAAACATTCTCAATGTTGCTGGCGGCGTTGAAGAATATGCTGTTGCGCCGGCAAAGAGCAGACAGCATGTTTCCGTACCCCGATCGAGCCGCGAGCGAGTTGTCGTCGAGTGGCACGCCAGTCGAGCTGCGATCGAGCTGTGACCAGCGGAGCTCCGATATCGACATGGAGTCGCAGAATAATCACCATCAACAACAGTGTGAGACAGTTACAGAGCCTTCAGCTCTATCAGGAGGAACCCGACAGCTACCCAAAGCGAAGGTGATGGCGCCAAAGAGACGCTGCGGGGGGTTCACGGTCAACGCGCGCGTCGTGTCGGATGCCACCATTGGCCTCTCGGACGGCTTGACGGTGCCGTTTGCGCTGACGGCCGGCCTGGCCGCGCTGGGCGACACGCGGGTGGTCATCTTTGGCGGGCTGGCCGAGTTGATAGCGGGCGCCATCTCGATGGGGCTGGGCGGTTATCTGGGGGCAAAGAGCGAGGCGTGAGTTTTCCAGTCCAGACCCCCTTTTCTAGGTCAACACCGCGCGCCTCCTATCCGGGTCGGGACTCGACGATACCCAACAATGCCCATACGGAAAGAAGACTAACGCGGAACAAAAAACCCCTATACAAAATACAGCGTCTCGTACAAAGAGGCCCGCAAGCAAGTAATGCAGCGCGTCCTCAGCGCGGCCCGAGGCGCAGCCGTGCCAACTCCAGCGCCAGCGCCAGCTTATCCGTCTACTCCAGCGGCCGAGATAGCAACGACACCGACAACAGCAACAACAGCAACAACAGCAACACTAGCAACATCAACGCCCCACAGCACCCCGTCTCCGGCAGCAGCCGCGCTCGCATCCGAGATCCGCGCCGTCTTCGCCCCGTTCGCCCTGCCCCCGCCCACCCTCGCCGCCGTGACTTCCCACATCGCGTCGGCGCACCCGGACGCGCTCACCGACTTCCTGCTGCGCTTCCCGGCAGCAACCACCAGTGCCGGCAGCAGCAGCAGCCCAGCCTCGCGGGGAGCGATGGCGTCGGCGCTGACCATCGCAGCAGCGTATTTCCTCGGCGGCCTAGTCCCGCTGCTGCCGTACCTGTGCGTGCCGTCGCCGTCATCCTCCTCTGGTAGCGACAGCCAGCAGCAGCAGCAGCAGCAGCAGCAGAACCTCGCGACGGCGCTGCATGCTAGTATCGCCGTCATGGGCGCGGCGCTGTTCGCGTTCGGCTACGCCAAGACGGCCGTTGTAGTCGGGTGGCAGCGCGGCGAGCGCCGCGTGCGCCGGGCCCTGCGCGGCGCCGCCGAGATGGTCTTCGTGGGCGCGGCGGCGGCGGCGGCGGCCATGGGCCTGGTCAAGGGGTTTGATTCTTTGCTTGGGAATGGGAGTGGAGGGGCGGGGCATGGGTGAGTTGGGAAAAGAAAGGGGAAGCGGTGGTTTGGTTTGTTTGTTTTGGGTGGGAGTGGGAGTGGGAGTGGGAAAAGGGGGGAACTGTTAGAGAAATATTGATAAACGAGGTTTAGCTTGCTTGTTGAGACAAGAAGAATTTTGAATAAGACTCGGGAAAAAGAATCATATTGTACAAACTGTCATGTTGTGAGATAGGAAGTGACGGTGTACGACATTTTAATCCAGAGTCCAAGGTGATTGGAAACCCTCTCCCTTCATTCGGACCGAGCATGTTTAGATGACCTTGGTTGAGCCCTCCTTGGCCAATTGCTGGCGCCGCTACGGTCAGAATTATAACACAGGCTATTGCAGACATTGGATGCATACCCCGTACTGTGCATACAGAGCTGGGCACCAAGAGCCAAGACAGTAAACACCACTGGCCTGTTCTGAATCTCGGTGTGTTTTATTTCTTAGATTATCAAGTCGGGACGGTTGATAGTTTCATCTGTGCAAAAACCACCGCCGTCTTATTAGTGATCCCGTTGTTGTTTCAACCCGGTCAAGTTGGGGTAAGGCATTGTAACTCCGGACCCAGCCCGATCTGCTGTGACTGCGATTACACACGTGCAGTAAGCTTGGAAGAATACCTCATGCAATGATGTCAGAAGGTGAGCTCACTTTTATGTCTCTCTCGTGAGCTGATAATTTTCTAGGCATTTATGTAATAATGCATACAAGACCGCGCAGGTGGCACAACTCCGGAAGCAAAGCCGCCCCAATCGTACACGTTAACGCAAACCCAAGGCTTGGCCGCAAACCTAGGCCCTAGCCCCCGAATCCGATGCCGGCCCGGGCACCAGAAAAGAAGCGGAGAAGAGTGAATGGAATGAACAGGGAGGGGAATAAAACGCCCAACGTCAGGTTCTTCGCCGAATCCCTCGCACGACTGGATTCCATCGATTATTCAGCTGTTGCCAATAATCGCATCACAAATTTCTTTCTTTTTTTTCACCCTCTAAAAGAAATGTGGAGCTACATTTTCTCTAGCTCTCCTCCGGCCCGTTCCGGCAGCAGTTCGGTCGCTCCTTCGCGTTTTCGCATCGCTCTTCGGGGGAAAAAGAAGGATCCGGAAAATACTCGTAATAGTTACAGGGGTTCTTTGTTTGGGGGGTTGTGATGGTTGGCGTACTGTACGTACGTACGTACGTACTACTACCCAACCTAGTATCCGTAGGTAGCTCACCTTCTGGCCCTCTCTCTGCTGTCTCCGAGCTTGTCGCCGAAAGGGAAAGGGAAAAAAAAAGAAAAAAAAGAGGGTCAACTTAGCTCCGAACCGCACAACTCTTCGTAACGCCGACTGAGTTGCGATGAGATCATCGGTTTGTTTGTTCGTTGAATGCAAACCCGTCCTCTGTTGGCAGTTGTCCCTTGTCAGCGACGACCCCGTCTCGGCTCGGACAAAAAGTGTGAGTACTTAAGAGTTGGTTTCGTTACCAAGAATAACAAACCAACCTTTCCGTGGCTCGGTAACACGAGGAGAGACTCTTGGAAGTGGTAGCTTTGCTATCTCGTACATCTCTGTACACATTGTATTGGGACTGTACGTCAACGGCACATATGATGTGTTCCATACCCACATGCCTAAGAGGCAATGAGGTTCATCAGGTATTGACTCGGCGGCGCGGACTAATCCACCAAGTTGCCTCCTCGCACTCCGTGACGGGAATAAAACTTGATTCTGTGTTAGCTACACGGGATCTACCAAGTACAGTAGTTATTAGAGAGAGAAAAAAGATAGGCCATTCAAACACAAAATCCGAGCGTCGACGTGTGTGGGTTCGGATCCTAGCAGGCGAGCCAATAACGGGTACTGGGTTCCAGAACCTTTTTGCTGTGTGTACTGTGTAAGATGCACACACATGACAACTAACAACTAAGTTAGTAGCAGCAACTCTTCCCAACTAGGCTACGGCGCAGGCTCAGTCAGTACCCCATGCTCGCCGCTGCCGCTTGTTCCTTGCACACCACGCGCGCGCCATGCCGGGGGGGCGGCGGAGCGCGGTCGGAGATAGAACCGAGCCAAGAAAAACACGAAGGCCGGGGTGTCGCCGGGGGTGGGTGAAAGGTGGGTTGGCTAGATGCGGGCAGCAACAAGGATCGATCCAAGAACGCCAATAAAAGATTGGCACTATCCCCGCGTTCCTGTTTGCATTAGCTCTAGCCTTCTTGGTGAATGTCCATGGCTAAAGGAAGACAAGAGTTGAAAAGGCGGCGGCACCCCCTCACCGTTATTTGACGACGACATCAGGTGAATCTCACCGGCACCTGACCTGACTTCCAGTTGTAAAGTTAGCAAACAAAAAAAACACAACCCCATCTACAATTGGACGGGGGCCACAAGCCTTTTCTCTTCCTCTCACACTCTCACAGACACGCACCCTGTATCTGGCCTGCTCAGAGGTGTACCATACCTGTGTGCAGCCAGCCAAGGCTTTTCCCCCCTTTGGCCCATGAAATGGCGTACTACGGCGCGGAGAAGGAAGAAGCGATGGAGCAGCCGCCTCGGGCAGACCGGAGCTCGTACGGCTCGGACCTCGAAAAGGAGGAAGTGCTGTCCAAGAGCAGCAGCAGAAAAGAGGCCGGGGGGTCGAGCAGCGAGAGCGGCGTCGTGGGCTTCGAGCCCATCAACACGGCGCCGCTGAGCCGGAAGCCGAGTTGGGAGACGACGGCGGGGAACAGCCTCAGCCGGGAGCGGTCAAACAACGGCTGGGGCGTCGACGACTTGGACGTTGACGGGCTCGACGAGGAGGCTGGTGGCGGCAATGCCCAGTCGTCTTCGTCTGGTGCTGCAGCAGCAACAGATGCTACTTCTTCCAAGCCGCCTGCAATGGGGGGAGCCGATCCGTTTGAGGTCGGATGGGAAGGCGGCGACAGCGACCCGGCGAACCCCCGCAGCATGCCGACGTGGCGCAAGTGGACGATAATAGGGGTGACCAGCTTTGGGTCGTTCTGCGTGACCAACGCGTCGGCAATCTACACGGCATCGTACGGGCAGATGAACGCCGAGTTTGGCAGCTCGCGCATCGTGGCCACGCTGGGCCTGAGCATGTTCGTCCTGGGCATCGCCCTGGGTCCCTTCTGGAGCCCCCTAGCCGAGTTCTACGGCCGTCGGCCCATATACCTCTGCTCGTTCGCCTCCTTCATGCTCTTCATTATCGGCTCGGCGGTTGCCCAGAACATCCAGACTATGATAACGGTTCGATTCTTTCAGGGCCTCTCTGGGAGTGCCTTCCTCTCCGTATCGGGCGGGACCGTGGGCGACCTCTTCACTCGGGACACGATGCTGGCTCCCATGACTATTTTCGCGTTAGCACCCTTCATTGGCCCGTCGCTGGGACCGCTGTTTGGCGGTCTCATCAACACGTACACTAGCTGGAGGTGGACTCACTACGTGCTGCTCATCTGGAGCTTTACGCTGCTGGTGTGCATTGCCCTCTTCGTCCCAGAGACATACCGTGAGTTGCTGTTTTTCATTTCTTTTCTCTCTCTGTTATCTCCCCCCCCCCCCCCCCCCCCTTTTCCACGACGAAATTCGGATGTTAAGGGGTGGTAGCTGACTTTCACACGCCGGTCGTGGCACTATACAGATCCTGTCTTGCTTCAGCGAAAGGCGGAAAAGCTGCGTAGGGAGACGGGGGACGATAGGTGGCGGGCGCCTATCGAGAAGACGACGCGGTCCATGACGAAAACCCTGGGATACGCATTACTGCGACCGTTCCAGATTCTCATAATGGAGCCCATGTGCCTCATCCTCGATGTGTATTCTGCTGTCTTGCTCGGCATGCTCTACCTGTTCTTCGGAGCCTTCCCCCTCGTCTTCACCAACAACTACGGCTTCAACCTCTGGCAAGTGGGCTTGAGCTTCATGGGCCTGCTGGTTGCAATGATCCTGGCCGTGCTGAGCACCCCCATCTGGCGCAGGGTGCGCGAGCTTCTGGTCGAGAAGCGGCGAAAAGAAACTGGTGTGGCCAAGAGCGAGCCCGAGGATCAGCTCCCGCCCCTGATATTTGGCGCTCCGTTGATTACCGGGGGACTCTTCTGGTTTGGGTTTACCACGTACCCGCATATACACTGGATCGTGCCCATTATCGGCTCCGGCTTTTTTGGCCTCGGGTAAGTGCTACATCTTTCCCCAACCTGTCCGTCTATGCATGATACGAGGGACGGGAGAGAGATTTCCGGGTGCCGATCGCTGTGGCGTCGACGTAGCTTTGATCTCGGCCGAGGTTGGAGCAGGTCGGCTGCCACCATAGACACACACACACACACACTCTCTCTCTCTCTCTCTCTCTCTCTCCCTATGCCTCCCCACCCCAAAATGTTAATAATCCTGAGCCCCCACCGGTGGACTCGACAGAGGCACAGCAAAAAAAAGAAAAGAAAAAACTGGGGGAAAAGGGGTCGTCCATGACTTGCTTTACTTCAACGGCGCCAGCCGTAAAGTGGCAGACAGGCACCCGCTGGCAGCTTTAGCAAGCGCCGGGACTCTCTCCCAGAATATTTCCTTTCCGTCATGACTTGGCCGAGCCCTTCGGAGCGCCGTCCTGGCCTAGTTCTCTGTAACCTCGCATCACCAGTTCTCCTCTGCAGGGGTCATGCCAGCTTGCCTTTTACGTACTGACTTGGGGTCTCGCCAGTACCATGCTCGCCTTCTCAGCGATATTTACCTTTCTGGTGAGTGCAACACCCCAGAGTTCTTTCCCAGTATGGGGCGCGTCTCAGGGCGCACATAGACAGGATGCAACCCAAGCCCCTCCCCCTCCCCCAGACTGGAGCAATTGTATTGGACAAAATGCGAGGTCAGGTCAGGATGCTGATACGAGTGGATGGCGGTTGTGTAGGTCGACGCGTACCCGCGATACGCAGCGAGTGCCCTAGCCGGGAATGCTCTTGTGCGATGTTCATTTGCAGGTATGTGGGTTGTTGTTGTTGTTGTTGTGCCTCGGTGGCACTGATGTCTGCTGTCTCCTCAGCTGAGTCTTCCCGTGACGTCTATGTCTCTGGCCTGGCCTGACCTGGCCTGGTCTGGAGTTCTGGGCTATATTCTGACGCTGGCACTGATACTGACGCTCACCTCCGTGTAGCCGCCTTTCCACTGTTTGGAATCCAGATGTATGAGAAGCTTGGGTACCAGTGGGCTACCGGGCTTCTAGCCTTTATCACCCTCGCCCTGATGCCGTTCCCCTACATCTTCTTCTGCTACGGGAAGAGGATACGGGCCAGGAGCAGGTTTGCGACAACCTCATAGCGGGAGTGGGGGGGTTGAGACGTGGAGAGAAAAGGGAGCTTCCGTCCCGTCTGAGACAAACGCTTCAAGCCATTGAGCTAAAGAAGGGGCAACGGCATCTACAGCACGCTACAGCAACGAAATTACTTCCGACGACTGTGCTACATGTGAATTTGCATGCGGCGAACCCCAAGCCAGCTGGCCCCCAAGGAAGGCTGCAAGGAGGGGCTGGCGTGGAGAAGGAAAGCAGCCGAAGGAAAAAAAGAAAGAAAGTACACGCCGTCGTCTCGTTGACGTCTGATTTCTTCCTCATCCTCGTCCTAATTCTCGCCCTCGCCCGTGCCTTCGCCTTTTGGGGCTGTTCGGGAGGAAAGGGAAACTTGAGACAGTCAATAGGGGGAATGTGGATGGCACTACGTCGACTTCGTTGCCTGGCTTGTGGTGGAGCGGGGAGTATATGTTGTGCATCTGCTCAGGAGAAGGGGCGCTGCCACTAGCTTGGCGAGTTGGCAAGCCACTCGGCTTGCCTACACAAAGCCCGGCTCGAGTCACGACGAGATGCAGTCCACCTCTTTAGGATGGGGACCAGAGCCGGAGATCTATGGTTGCATTAGTGCCCAAGTAAACATGCTGGCCATGCCCCCCCTGAGCGAAATGGATGGGATGGCTTCCGCTTGAGGACACGCACGACAAGGGTGAGAGACGGGGGCAAGCTGAGATCTGGGCTCGATCTAGAATTGCAACATCGCTAGGGAGATGTGGCCGACTCCGGACATTTTAATCCTGTATTGTTCGTTCTGCCACACTGCACTAGCCAACGGTCCAAGCGGCTAGCCAAGGTGAAGCAGGGCAAAATGTGACATGGGTAGAGAACGGGGGGGCGACAGTCTGGCGAGTGGGGGGTGGAGGAATAGTCGTGATGATTCCTGTCTGAGGCGCTGCGCCTTGTCGGGCCTCGTCTTCCAGGCCGTCCTAGCTAGCGGTCAACGTTTCCATGGGCATGCCAGCCTGCCATGATTGGCGTAGCGGGCCGCGGTGCTGAGCTGCACGTCTCAATCTCTTGGCAGTGAGTGCTGGGCAAGCTGGAGGAACTTTGGCCTGGGGAGCTCGGGAGAGCTTCGTACCTTTCCACATACATACAAACATATATGCAGACCCCTGTGCTGCTAGCGCTGCGTGCAGGACGCAGACTAGCTTGACAACCTCATAGGTTGGGTAGTTATATGTCCTGTATGTGCATACTTGCCTACAACACAATAGGGAGACACTGTGGGTAAGAGTTGAGTTGTATCCAGATCCAGAGTACATACAATCCAGCCCCGGCTTGTTTGCTTTGCGGTTGGTTGTGGCGATAGGGACCATAGCCGAAATTAATATTAAGAAGCAGTATCCAGCAATATTTCATTGACAGCTTGTTATTTTAAGAACATGTGTCGTCGTTTAATGGAGATCGAAATTTTGAAACGGCTACGGCAAAGGAAAATCGAGTATTGCTTCTGCGGAATGCGTTGTATGTGTGTACAAGTATCCGCACGTGCAATAAACACACAAAATACATACACATACGTACCTGGGCTGGCGACAAGGAAATGATATCCACAGATCTGTCCAAGGATTTGGCACACTCAAGACAGACATGTCTGGGATGAGAACAAAGGACGTTTGTGTCTCGCAGGTTGGCCTGCCGCGGGAGCCGCTAACCATAGGGGGGCGAAGGCCACAGGAAGCGTGCGGTCCGTACTCTGACCTGAGGTGGTCACTGGTCAGGTTAATAATTGTGGGCGTCTATCCCCCGTGGTGTGTGTGGTGACGGATCGGGCTTTCGCCATCTGGGAAAGTCGTTTTCTTTTGGCGCGTTTCGAGGAGGGCAGACAGCCTCTTGAGGGACTCGCTGGGCCGCTGGACGAGGGCTAGCTCGACAGGCCATGCGCAGTGGAGATGAGAAGTGTGGACTGTGGATGTCCAAGAAACGATGGTGTCTGGTCCGATCGAAGCTGATCTCCGGGCGCCACATGGGCCCGCCCGTTAATCGCGAGGCGGTTTCATTTTACACTTCCTTTTTTTTTTTCTTTCAGCCATCAGAGTCTATTGATCCTTCCTCCGCCCTACTAAGATTGATGACGTTTCATTTGATAGCATCCAAGCGTCAGTAAGGCGCGGACTTCTCTTTGCTTCTGCGGCACTGACACGCGAGGTTCTTCTGTGCCTTCGGCTGATAAAGGAATTTTTTTACTCGGGAGTCGGGACCTGCCCGCCCTGTGACCACATTAGTTTCTGGTTCGTTGTACAAATTGAACCGCGGCGGTTCGGTTGCGGACCGGGTGCAGCGGCTTCAATTTGCGGACAGACTCCTGTGTGCCCTAAGCTAGCACTGTGTAGAATCACCAGCACCGGGGCATGTATCCATACGTGTAAAGCTGCTCAACCCACAGTAGGCAAGGTAGTGCGAAGGCGCTGCAGTGTGTGCATAGGTTGGATGGAAGCTCTGTCGGGTATGTACCGTCTTGGGGCCCCAGATACTTGGCGGCGCGAGGGGGGCTCTGCGCCCAGCTTCGGGGATCAAAGGCGGCGTACTCGTGGGGATCGCAGGTACCCAGAACCTGGACCCGAGCCGCATGCTGGAATCGGCAAAAAAGACTGCAGTCCCGTCAATGGGGATCTTGAAAATCTGTGTTCCGTGTGTTTGTGTCGCCCGCGCAGCTAATAAGGTAGGAGAAAAAAACCCCGCAGCTAGTGGGGAGTGTACTCTACTCCACTTGCATCCTACCCGAGGTCCCTCCTTCTAGGTAAACCCAATGCCCCTGCCAATCCATCCATTCAATCGCAGCGCCCGCCAATCCGACACCGAATTGCACATACCTGCCCACATGCTGCTGTTGCTACGGCAAGAGCCACTCGAGAGCCACTGCCAGTGAGGTGCACCGGTGCCTCTGTCTCAGCCTGCTGCTGCCCCGAGCGCTGAAGTGTCTCTCTAGGTTGGCACTGGTGTGGTCCTGCCCCATCCACCCCCCCCGCCTCACGCCGACCAAGTCAAACAAACCCCCACTGATAGGGAAGGAACCAAAGGGCACGAGAGGCAACACCGAGTAGCCAGCTTGGGGTCTTGGGATTAGAGAAGGGGACTTGACGCCAACACACCGTGTCTCAGGAGACCACCTTCTCTAGTCTGGTGCGGTACGGTACGGTAAAGTACAGTACGGCGCTGTGCTGTGCTGTCATGCCACTGGGATACCTTGGATACCTACTCAGTACTCACAGGCGCGCCTCCTCATGTTCGGGAACCGCAGTAGCCCTCAGCCTGAGACGCTCGACCCCCGCCTCTCCCGCCCCTCCCGCCTCGGCCTCGGCCTCAACGACCGCTCCCCAACCCCCCGTCACCTGCATTGGGACTCGATAGCGTCGGCGGCGGCGACGGCGTCCAGCGCCACACGTTTTGGACGGCCAGCGCGGGCCGACCAAGACCCTTGCGAGCCCTACACGCACCTACCAATACCTTATTTGCAAGAGGGCTGCTGGGTACAGAGGCGGCAGAGGGACTAAGAACCTGGAGGGTACTGTCCGTACATACGGAGTACATACATACCTCGGTGTACCTACCTTGCAACCTACCTAGGGCGGGGCAGCGACGATAGGAGCCACACGCCGGCCACGGCGGGCGAGCTACCACGCGTCGCGACCCTTTTGGAACCGTCCCAGATCTGCGCCGACACGCTCAACCCGGTTTACCCAGCAAGGGAACCTGGCTGCGAAGGAGGCGCCAAGTCCCCGCTGGCATCAAGTAACGGCTACTTGCAGCTGGGCTGCTGGATGCCCTCCTATCACCTCCGTCATACCCCCTCCTTTCGAGCCTGCCTAGTCCGCACCTCCTCCCAGGAAAAAAGAACTGCTTCGAGGAGCTGTCTCCGGAACTCGCAGACAAACATACAGAGCAAGAGAGAGACGGCAGAGCGAGGTGCTTTATCCGCTCCCGCATGACCCCTCTTGCGCTCTGGAACATCCCCCCCGCCGTCGGCCACCAGCTCTTGTTGCTCCGGCCAGTGCGCCCGCGTGTCGCACAGGGACGCCTCTGCCCCCCGGGTCCTAGCCCATTGGCGGGCCTGCCAGAGGGACCGCTGAAATACGAGACATCGCGTCGTCGCTGTGTATCCGGCCTCGTCAGCTGGGGCGCCCAGTTGGCTGTCGAGGATCAACACACCCCATCGTGAATTACGGAAGCCCACAGTCCCTGAGCCATCCATACCCACTTCTGGCCTCGCGCGCCTCTACCTGCCGCCGCTCCGTTGCCGCTCACCGCGCTTTAATTAGAGAGACTTCTGGGGTTTGCCACACTTTCAGCACATACCACTCCGCGCGCCCAACACAGCGCAGCACATTGACAAGACCCTGACCTGGTAACAGGAGTGCCGCGCCGCGCCGCGCTAATCTCTCCTTGGGTGGTCTCACTGCTGCTTGCCTGTAGGGTTACCTGCAGGAGGAGGTCGAGGAAGAGGACGAGGAGTAGGAAGACGAGGCTTTGACCATCGTCTCTTCTGACCCCCAACCGAACAGGAGAGAGACGCCTACCTGCCTGCCGGCTGCTATTGCGCAAGAGCTGGAGTGTGTGCGGGCCTGTACCACCGTGACATTCTACTCCAACCTGGTCTTGTATAAATCTCAGTCATAATGCCAGAAGACAGCACGGCCGCAGAGGCAGATGTCTCTGCTGCCATGTCCGACAGCGACAACGAGTACGACGATCTAGAGGCGCCCATTAAAGACGAGGACGACAGGATGGTTGATCAGAACACCTCCCCAGATGGCGTTGACCCAAACGGCGAGCCAAAGAAGAAGTATGACCCCAAGGATCCCAATCGTCCACGGAGGAAAAAGGCCCGGAGAGCTTGCTTTGCCTGCCAACGTGCTCATTTGACCTGTGGTAAGCTCTATTGTTGTCTCCTTCTGTCTCTCCCTGTTACTTTTCTCTCTCCTCTCTGTCATCTTCCTCTCTCCATCTCCCCTTATTCTCAACAACACCGTGTTTCTCTCCATCTAGCTATGCTTGAAAATGAGCACAACATATTACTTCCAAACTCTCGTCGCCGCAGTTGACGTGTTGACCTCACATCCCACACACCCTCTTTGACGAGACCAGTGACCTTGTTTGGCTAATGATTGTGCTCTAGGGGATGAGAGGCCATGCCAACGGTGTATCAAGCGCGGGCTTGCTGATGCCTGCCAAGATGGCGTTCGCAAGAAGGCCAAGTATCTTCATGACGCACCGGCTGAGGCATTGAGACCTGTGCTCGGGCCAAGTTATAATCCTACCCCGGTAACAACTAGGTCGAATGGCAACCGACATACGTCAAACTCGGGCTCAGAAGCCTCATCTACTGTCGGCACCTTCTTCTCGCAGTCAAACGCCTCCTCGTTTCCAGTGTACTCGACCTCGCAAGCGCCCATGACCACCTTACCAGAAAGCATGGCGTTTGGGAGCCAGCAGTCTCCCGTGTCCCCATCATTTCCCACGCCGGGAAATCCCCAGATTGGCGGCATGTCCGTCCCCCAAGTCTCTAGTCCAATGCCAAATTTCACCGCGGCGCTCTTCGACCCGAGCAACCCTGCTTTGTTTAACTTCAACTTGGAAGGACTTAACTTTGGCAGCCAATACGGGGCCATGGAGTTTGGCATGCTCGGGCATATGTCCTCGGGCGCTGCTGAGACACCTCCCCGCGATCCTTTGGCGCAACAGGGTGGGGATGTTAACTTTGGCTCAGCCGGCGTCTTTGGAAACGGCATGAACCAGTTTGACAAGGTGTATGAAGGCGGCATAATTGGTGACTTTCTTGGTCTAGATACAAGTGCAAACGGCCTGTACTCGCAAGGCAATCTGCAACACGGTCTTCCACATGCCTACGCCATTGCGGCGGGACCAACCAGTCTCCAGAGCCCTAGCACCGAGAACAACAGCCCACAGCCGACAAATTTTGGCTTCGAAAGCTCGCCCACAATGCCTAACTACTCACCGGCGCCTGGGACCGCTGCCCAGACGGTGACCCAGCAACGACCAAGGCCGAAGACGTCAGCGTCTTTGGCGAAGCTCGGGGCGCAGTCACATTTGGGGAGGCGGCAACGCGACCCCTCATACATATACGAGATGGTCAAAGAACCGTTTCCATATGTGGGTAGTTTTCACAAACTCATCACCCTGCTCCAGAACCGGTTCTCGGCCGGCTCGACGCTGCGTATCGCAAAGGCGCTGTCGAGCGTGCGGTTAGCCTTCATGTCATGTACACGGACACTGAACCGTCAAGACTTAGTCTTCATGGAGAAGACGTTCCAGCGAGCCCTTTTCGAGTACGATGAGTTCATGCACCAAACACCAGGGCCCACCATTGCCTGCCGACGGAGTGGCGAGGTGGTAGGTGTGAACAAGGAGTTCACGGCGCTCTCGGGCTGGACCAAGGACGTGCTGTTGGGGAAGGAGCCTAACCTCAACGTGAACCTAGGAACCATCAACAGCTCCTCTAGTTCTTCAACAGCTCGAGGGAAAGCGGGTCTGACAACACCTCTCCTGAAGAGCATGAACGAGCAAACCGCTGCCAAGACAGCCGAGGGGCAGTTACAGCCCGTGTTTATTGCTGAGATTATGGACGAAGAGAGCGTTATCGGGTTCTTCGAGGACTTTGCTCAGCTGGCTTTCAACGACAGCCGTGGTAGAGTCATGAGGAAGTGTCGGCTTCTCAAATACAGACCTCCGGGTACCACGGAAGGCGGGGTGCAAGAAGAAAGCCCACCCAAGGATTCTCGGAACACTAGCAGTATTCTGAGCAACCGCGTGGCTAAAATTGACGGCGAGCACGGCATCTCGAAGCTCGAAAGGGACGGCAAACTTGAGTGCTGCTACACGTGGTCGATCAAGAGGGACACGTTCGACATCCCCATGTTGATTGTGATGAATGTAAGTTTTCTTTTTCTTTGTATGTACTGGATGACGAACTTTGAGGCTGACGCATTTTCGGCAGTTCCTTCCGTGTTTTTATTTGAACCACAACCAGCTTGCGGTCTAGCTGCTCTTATTGGGGTTTCGGGGTAGGAAAAATTATGGCTGAGATATCCAAATTCGTTGGCAGTTTCTTTCATGTTGTTGGATAGTAAGCACATGGCATCGGAGTCAGTACTTTTATTCATATACCTTTTTTGTTTAGCCTGTGATGCCTATATGGGCTTGGTTTAGTAAGATAGAAGACTAGCAACCACATATCGATATATATAACGTAAGCGAAAAGGCTCAACGAGCCCACATATCGCAATGACAATAGCTTTTGCAGGACGCGTACTCCGTAATGTATGTAATTATTTGACTTTGTATCCGACCCTACCTAAATTTGACGTCTTTCTCTCTCTCCCGCTCGCTCGTGATCTCTTTGCTCGTTGTCTCTCTATTCTACTGAGGCGTTCCTATTCCATTCCCATTCCAAAACGCGCTAAACGGTCGGCACATGTTAAATGCATATCATGCAGTCCCATCCCCCCCGGTCGCTGGGGCCGTTGTCTCCTGTGCTTTCTCGCTCCACGGCCGCAGCAACCACGCCCCGTCCAGAGTACCCCCCTCCTGCCCGTCTTTAGACGGATCGGCACTACTACTGCTGCTGTTGCTGCTGCTACCACTAAAAAGCTCCCGGGGCGTCCACGCCGGCCGCGCCACGCTGGCCCGCGCCACCTCGCAGTCAAAGTTGATGTCGGCGATCAGCGCCTCGAGCCCCGCGTAGTCCTTCTCCTCGCGGATGAAGCCGGCGATGAGCAGGCGCATGGGCGCGCCGTAGAAGTCGGCCGCGAAGCTGTGGAGCACGTGCACCTCGGCGCTGCGCACCGTGTTGCGGTAGAAGGGGTTGTACCCGATGGACATGACCATGGGGTAGACGGTGAAGCCGTTGTTGGTGGTAGTGGATGGTGTTGCTGGGGAGGCAGGCAGCTGCAGCGATGCCCAACCAAAGTACACGCCCGACTTGAAGTCGGAGATCCACGGCGTCGCCGACGCGTCGACGGGGAGGTTCGCCGTCGGGATCCCGAGCTCTTTGGACCCGCGCCCGAAGCCGCTGATGACGCGCCCTTCCATGCGCAGCGGGAACGGCGGCTCCGGCCCGCTTGCTGGGCCGATAATCGACGGCCGGCCCGGGGTCGGAGGGGCGGCGGCTGCGGCTATGACGGATGCGGGGGTCGCCATAGTCTTGTGGGGTTTGTCTTATTTTTTTTTCTTTTCTTGGCTTTCTTTCTCTCCGTGTGTATACGTGACCTTGGACGCAGATAAAAAGAAAGGCTTTGGCTGTTCCCTTTTTCGACTTTTCCGCACTGGAAGAAAACAAGGCGAATTATGCGGTCCTTCTAAATGTGTGGTGAGTAATAGCTTGGTGTAACTTGCACTAAGATCTCTCGCTCAAAACCGTGTGCTGGGAATAAATGATGAATCAGGTAGGACGGTAACCAACGAATATGACAGACGGCGTGAGGGTGTGGCAGTTGCACTATTGAAGGCACCGACGGCGGGGTAGTGGGGTTGAGTGTAAATCTGGGGTCTAGGGGTCGCTGATAAGATACATACTTACGATAGCACAGACCAATGGTTATTATCCGTACAGTACTGATAACTCAGTAACACGTATTCGTTTACCGTAACGTGCCGTAGAGTGTTCGGCCGGGCTAGAGCCGAACCTTGCCGGTGGTTTGCCCGAGCCACCTGCTCCGTCTGATCTAGAGCAGCAGACGGGCTACGCCGACACAGCCAGTGGCTACTGTCGCACAGAGCCGGTACCGCTGAGTGCGGAACGACCTCTATTTTACAGAGGATCAGGCCATTTAGGTGTAATTACGAGGGAGCAAGCTTCGAACCTTAGGTAATCAAAAAGCCAGAAACAGCAAACTATTCTCAAGTATTCCAAATAGCAGGATTAGGCCACGTAAGTGTACCACGTCTTGAACGCAAGAAGTAAGCACTTAAATGCGAAGTTGAAGTCTGAGAATTATTTACATACCTACAAAAAGACCCCCGATTCTCCTTTGAGCAGGCTCCATCGCCGCCGTACTGCTACTGTTGAGTGAGGTGTGTGCTCACCAAATAATGAGCTCCCAAATAACACCGTACAGGAACAAAACAATTACCCACCCCTTCTGTTTCCCTCTGAAGATACAGCTGACCCCTTCCTCCCCGTTTCTCTCTATTCCTTCCACTCGTTCCTTCCCAACCTTACAATGTCGCGCTGCTCGACCACCCAGAACTTGGACGGCGCCTTGCCCTCAGCGGCGAGTTGTGCCGCATGTACAGCGGCGCGCGCGATGACAACAGCATCCTGGCCCACGGCATCCGCGGCGCCCTGACCAAAGACTTTGCCAAGGCCGTGCACGATCCCATTCAAGAGACTGCCGCCCGTGTGCGGCTTCTCGCGATCGCCCACGATCAGGCCCGGGCGCAGGATGATGGCGGTGTCGAACCCGGCAGCCTCGATGGCGTCCTCGACGCCGTTCTTCATGCGGCCGTACGGCGCCTGGATGAAGCCCCGCGTGCCGGCCGAGCTGATGAACACAAAGGTGCACACAGCCGGCAGAGCCTTGGCCGCCTTGGCCAGCTCTACGTTGAGGTCGTGGTCGATCTTCCACTGGTTCGCGATGCCGCCGGCCGCGGCCCTCGTCGTCCCCACGGCCGAGAAGACGGTGGTCGGCGCGGGCGCGAGAGAGGACAGCTGCGACGCCCACTGCGTCGTGTCTTCTTCGACCACGGCCTGGAGCTTGGCCCCCGTGTCCTTGGGCGCCCGCCGCGAGATGGTCTGCACCGTGCTGGCGAGCGTCGGGTAGTTGCCCGCGAGGAGCGTCGACAGGATGTTAGAGCCGACGAGGCCCGTGCTGCCGAACAGCGCGGTGACGCCGGTGATGTTAGTGGTGGCTGCCATGATGTTATGTGTGAAACGCAGCGGCGGAGGGTTGTGTTCAAGTGTGTTGCAGCACTGAAAGAGCACGGGATGATTGACAAGTGCGTATTTCCTTCCAGATTCGGAACGACCGTTTTTTCCCACAAACTGATCGCCGCTAGAAACCTGCTAACGTAGCAATGCGACAAGACGGGTGAAGTTATCGTTAGGTAGTCAACAGCAACCGAGCTCGGGTTAATAGTCTCGAATAATCGAGGGGCGGTTACAAACAAGAAGTTCGGAATACCGTCCCTGACTTAGCCGTAGAGGCGGGGATTTAAAGACTCCGAGGCTGCGGAAGGGGCGGTAATCTGCCACCTTATTTTCTCCGGCGTCGCGATTCGAGACAACAGCTGATTACGTATCTCTTCACGCATGCTGCATGGTCGGTGTCACAGAACAGATATCCCAAGCCGGGGCCACGAAGGTACACACAGCGCTACCAGCGATAAGGTCGAGGTGTTCACTTTTGGATTTTTTGGGATGCTTGACATCTATGTCAGAGAGCATTCATAAATCCGATGTATAACGGAACGTCTTGGCTTCCATAGCTGTTGATGGTTGCCTTAGGTAGAATTGAAGGTTTCACCTGCAGCCTTTGCGAGAAGGGTACTGTGTACGATGGGTAGTGGAGATGTCCACCTTCAGCGAGCCTGTCTCGCCTTGTCACGCACAATCATCGCGTCATCGCCTGACCTCTGTAGTACTCAGAACATGGCAACTTCTTAGTGCAGTATCCGCCTGAAAGTCAGAGCCGCCGACCCTAACCCTAACCCTCAAACAGCACGCTACCTCATCTCAACTCCACACCAAAAACAAAACACATCCACTCGAAAAGGACAATATAAAAGATCATTAAAATCCTAATAAAAAAGGTGAAAAAAATACAACAATAGGGTTTTGCTGGCCGCCACCGACCTAACTACTGATCTGGCCCTCATTGAATTGTCTATGGGAGAGCGGACGGGATCCCGAATTTTCCTATGAGCCCTGGTCGTAGGTGTAAAGTATGCCGAATTTGGAAGCCTTGATGAGTTCCGGAAAATGGGATAATCTCGTAGGTCACTCGTATACCGAGGCGGGGGTTAGATGATGGCGGCCAATGCTCTTGCATCTGCATATAGCTGTATTATTTCGAGTCATATAGAAGCAGTTGGCTAGACATTACTAGACGCATAGCATAATGACTATACTGTATCCAAGTGTCGTATGTTGATAGACTTGACATGGTTCGGTAGGTAAGGTACAATACGTACGACTATCAGTCCAGACATACGTACAAATAAATCAATCCAGACCACCCAAAAAATGCATGAGCCCGAAGTAACCAGCAGGCGCTGAGAGGCTAGCCAATAATATAAGGATAAGGGAATGTCACGGGGTATGGTGCCATTTCGATAATGTGTTTGTCTTGGTATGTTATGTATGGTGAGCATGTGTGATGATGATCAGACCCAAGGTACCGATTACTATTAGAGCCCTCCTCCATGGAAACGTGTTAAGAAACAACCTGCCCCAAGCCACCGTCACGCTCTATTACAACTCTAAAAAATGAGGATAACAACGTTGTAAGCACGCAATCTCTCAAAAAAGCTTAGGTTCCGGCTATGGCTCGGCTTGTCGCTTCTGACTTGGTCGGCCGTTGGCCTCAATCGTCTATGGCAGTTTCTTTCTTCATACCTCTAATAATTATGCCTTGACAGAATAAAACCTCTTGAACATGGCGTCGACGCTATCAAGATAATACGTCCCTGGGGCAATGGTAGAGGCATCACCCTGGGGCTTGAAGTCCTTTTGGAGATGGGCCTGCTTCCTCAGATCGCACATCTAATCGACCCGTTAGCAACCAAATCCAAAATAATCGAGCATCGCTTGAGAAACTTACAGCATCGTATGTCTCGGGGGGCACAGCCCGTCTCGCAACCAGTCTATTGGGGATATCCAGCACACTCGAGATTTCCTCGGTGCTACCAACAACGCGGAAGGAGCAGAAGCTGGCGGCAAGGCCAGAGCCGTAGCTGAACAGACCTAATCGCTTTCCCTGGAGCGTGGCGCTGTCGATGTGGGAGAGCAAGCTGACTAGACCACCCCAGACGCTGGCGCAGTACATGTTGCCACACATGGTAGCGACCTGGATGCCGGGGTTGACGCGCTCCTGGAAGCGCTTCTTGGTAAGGGTCATGAATGTCTTCTCGACCACCTTATCAGTCAGGGACGTCTCGTAGTCCATGTCGCGAACCTCGGGGGGAACATCAGTGAAGGCCGGGCTCTCGGGGTCAGCAAGATAGTCGTGGTACAAGAGACGGGCATACGACTTGGCCACCAGCTTGCATGTCGGGGCGTGGAAGGCCAAGTAGTCGAAGCGATCCAGGGGTGTCTTGTTCAGAACTCCCTGGGGGCCGCTGCCGTTGGCATGCCCGTTGGCGCCCTTGGTGAGCAGGGCCTCGCGCTTGGAGTAGGCAGTGTAGGCGGCGTCGAGCGCCTTGGTGTAGCAGTTGACCGAGTAGTGGCCGTCAACATATGGGTACTCGCTCGTCAGGTCGGGCTTGTAGAAGTCGTAGGCGTGCGCCATATACGAGCCTCGCAGACCGGGCTCCGCGACAATAGGGGCATTAGGCCCGACAAGGATTGCAACGGCGCCAGCGCCTCCCGTGGGACGTGCGTTGCCCTTGGCATAGAGTGCAATGTCTCCAGCAACGACAATGGCGTCCCGCCCATCCCAAGCCGACGACTCAACCCAGTTGACGGCGTTGAAGAAGGCATTAGTACCGCCATAGCACGCATTCACCGTGTCGACGCCCTCGATGTTGGTGTTGTCGCCAAACAGCTGCATCAAGACCGACTTGACCGACTTGGACTTGTCCAGTATGGTCTCGGTGCCGACCTCGAGGCGGCCGATCGAGTTGGGGTCGATGTTGTAGTTCTTGAGGAGCTTCGAGACGACGGTCAAGGAGAACGAGTAGATGTCTGGCAGCAGGGGGGTGCCCCGCGCTATCAGCCCCTGATCTAAGAACGAGAGCGGCCGTTGCTGGCCCGACCCGTTCACACGCCCAATACGAGAGGGGCGAGGAGCCAAAAACAGAGGAGCGGGGCCACGGCGACTTGGAATGGGGAGGTGAGTAGCAAACACTGACCCTCACGATCGTCGCAGAAGCTCATCTTGGTCTGGCCGAGGCCAATTGTGTACTTCCCGGTGCTAACGCCATCGAACTTCTCGAGTTCGGATTGCTCCACATACTGCAAGAGCAATTGGTTTCTGTCAGCGATGTCGGCGCAGAACGGCGCAGGATGGCGGGGCGCCTTCGCTCGCGGCGCCAAGCAGCCACGGCAAGCGCAGCAGCGGAACGCACCTGGCTGGGGAAGTAAATCTCAATGGCCTTGATGCCGATGTTCTGGGGACGAGTAGCCATGGTGGGCGAGTAATTGGTGTTTTTTGGCAGGTGATCGAGAGTATAGGAAGGTTGTGGCGGTCGTGGGAAGAGAGAAAAAGGGAGGGAATGGGTCGATGCACGGGTTCGTCTTTGGGAATCAAAGAGGGCAGTAAATAATGTTAGCGTCGTCCCAATGTTTTTTTTTTGGCGGCCATTCACCGCCGTTTGGGGCTTTGTGGATTAGACCAGTGCCCGTGGTCAGGGGTTCAACCCCCCATCTTAGGTGCCAGCATGCATATCTAGCCCCTCAATAGGGGCCGTACTATTGCGGGGGGCTGAAGTTGGACGGATGTGCATTGAGCATATCAGAGTGACTGATGGGCGTGTAGACGCACATACCTGACTTTTAATCACAGCTGTGGGCAGCACAAGCGTCGGTAGGTTGGTTGTCTTTGTCGGTGAAGAAAGAATCTGGCGGGTGGCGGAAGAGAGGGCGGGCAGAAGAGGTAGAAGGGAAACGGTTGGCGTTGAGGACGACGGGATTTGGGGGGGGGGCATCCACGAGCGAGGATTGGGCGGGAGCGTACGAGGTTCAAATAGAAAATCCAGAACACACACCGTAACAAGGGAACAATGAGAAAACGAGCCCAAGAACAATACCAAGAGCGTCTCCAGTCCAGAATCCCAGCCGAACTCGGAGGGGCGAGGAAGAACTAGCAGTGAGGTATGGATCGCGACGGGAGCAAGGGGAGTCCAGCGGAAGGCAGTGACGGCGTATCCCGACCGAAGCACACGACACCTCAAGAATTGTTTACAGTATAAATTAAACTAATCGCATTACCTTAGTTAACTTGGACCAGGCATGTTTGATGGCTCAGTATCCACAACTCTGTTGCATTTGACACTCGGTGGCACTTTACTGCCCGATATATGTAAGGTATCTATCTTCCTTCCTAGGTCTGCTTGCAGGAGCTAGGTTGACCTCTGTCTTAGGTAGTTGTCCCGCCCGTCCCGCAACCTTCTTGACTGCGTTAGATGCAGATGCTAGTGTCGCGTGTGCAACGCACCGTACGAGGGAAAAAGCGACAGCACTCCAGGCGAACCGCCATTGCCACGCCACAGATGCCAAGAAAAACAAAGGAGTTACGGGAGGAGATAATAAACGAAATGAGAGAACTGTGGTTTCGGGCGGTTCTCCTCTGGGCCTTTGGGCAGTTGCGCGTCTGGTGACGCAAGATGGCCAGCCTCTCCCGCCTTGGATCATATGAATGTAGACCCTGTTTCTTGCACAGCCCGCCAAGGTACCCATCCAGAATCTGTCTGTCTCGCCATGGAGATAGAGGCCCGTTCCGGTGTAGATGGCGACGACAGTGGAAGCACGGTTATCGTTATTACGCGGGCGGTGAGTATCCCATGCTTTGCTGGCCAACAAGAACAAAATCAGGGTCGAGCATTCTGTTCGGAATTCAATATGTGATCTTGTGTAGCGTCGGTGTTGTGTGGCGGGGGGTGGGCTTGGAGCAGGGCTTTTGGATTCTATTCGCCAGATTGCCATACACCGCTGCAGGAACCGTTTGCCATCCCACCATCTCAGCGACTTTGAAGATAGTTGTGATCTTGGGGGTATGTAAGTAGCTCCGATCGTGGAGGACGCTAGAACAATAACCCATACTAAACGCACCTTAAGTTCCAAACACTTACAGCTCCCTCCGCCCCCCAATTCGCCGGGGTACCTCTACACTAGTTGGACTTGAGACACGCGTCGTCCTCTTCTTTAATCTCCCGCAAGTCCATTGTGTTTGTTGCCCATGAATGGCGAGAAATTTAGGGTTTGAACTCGAGTTCTGGCAGTTGATACAGTGATCAAGGGTTCAAGACCAGCAATCGGAATACCCCCCCTTTCGCCCCATTAATGGAGATCCCTTCTATGGAGTCACTTGATCTGATAAAGATGTGCCTCCACAAACATGGAGACACTCCATTTTTAGAGGCTCAGTTGATCTGATAAAGATTTACCTCCACTAATATGGTGACACTAAAATGGGCGAGGATCTGATCACAGGCTTGGACCAGATTGGCTCAACCTATTGATAAATATGGGCCTGTTGGAGTTTTCAGGGTTAGCAGTGAGGGCCCCAAGGGTTAGCCATGTAACTTGTGAGTATGCCGTCTCGCATCGAATTTTCTCTCGGGAAAGAAATCCCAGATTTTATATGCGGGAAATATCAGAGATCGTCTCTGTTTATTAGCCTTTACCGGAACGATAGCTCCATAACCATTGGCTTTTGAAATGGAGCCAGTTCAATGCCGGGGATTCGTCAAGTGAGGGCATACATTTCCATTCAAACCTTTCTAAAGCTTACAACACCAAATTTCCATGAAACTATCCTTCTAGAATTGAAATACGAATAATCGCCCCAAGTCAAGGGATCTATCGTGAATCTCTCCAATTTCTCAGTCTTCAACTCACCGATCGGGGCACCAATATCACTTTGACCCCCACTCAAACTCGCAGTATTGGAGAATCTCTGTCTACGACATCATTATTCATACACTCCAAGATCAAGCACCAGGAAAAATAAATGTCAGAATATATATAATCTTTATTTTTTAGGGGTGTGCCTATAAGTATAAGTGTATCCGTCATGACGAATGCAAGAAATCAAAAAGCAAGACCTCGCCCTACGCCCGCCAATGCAAACCCAAACCAGGCTCTAATGTTTAAGAGACAACCAGTCCATATTTCCCCATGAACCGTGAACCAAAAAGGGGGGATAAGTAAAAAAGAAAACCCAGGGGATGGACCTCCTCCGGACACAGTTCCCAAAACGCCATAACATGCTATCTCTCTCTCTCAGCCTTAAGCTCCTGCCATACTTTTATCCGTTCATTCGTAACATCATTGGCGTGCACCGGTTAGTGCGAGCCATAGCCAGAATCGCCGCCGGGTGTCTTCGCACCAGGAGAGTTGGCATCGACGATGACATCATCCTTTGCCTTGACTGCGTCGATGGTGACAGTCGGGACCTCGAGCTTGGGCTTGGAGGCGGCGGCGTCTTCTTCCGCCGGCTTTGTCTTGTCGTCCACGGCAGCCGGGGTAGCGGCGGCGGCAGTGGCAGTGGCAGTAGCCTCAGCGGTAGCCTTCGTCTCCTCCTTGGTTTCCTCAGTCTTCTTAGTCTCCTCAGGCTTCTTGATTTCATCCTTCTTGGCCTTCTCCTTCTTAGCCTTCTCCTTCTTAGTCTTCTCCTTCTTAGACTTCTTCTTCTTCTTCTTCTCGGCTTCCGAATCTGAGGCAGACGCAGAGTCTGAGTCGTCCTCGGACGAGTCCGAGTCAGAATCAGAGTCAGAAGCATCGCTGCCCGCGCTCTTCTTGCTGCCACTCTTGCGACGAGACTTCTTCGACTTCTTAAGATCTTTCTTCGTCTTCTTCTTCCCGTCCGTATCCTTGTCCTCCTCTTCCTTCTTCTTCTCTTCCTCCTCCTTCTTCTTGGCCTCCTCTGCCTCCTTCTTAGCCTTCTCCTCGGCCTCACGCTTGTCCTCAGCCTCCTTCAGCTCCTTCTCCTTCTTCTCCTTGCGTGTGTCCAAGACCCATTGCTCGGCTCCCTCGACAGCAGCCTCTGGTTTGCGCTTGTTCTTGAGCAGGTATCCCTGGAGCTCGGCCGGACTGAACTCATGCGCGGGGATCTTGGCTGAGAACTCGACCGACAGGCGCTCGACCTTGGCAACGATCTCGTCCCTCTTCCGGGTCGCCTCGGCAGCGTCATTGGCTTTCTTCTGCTCGTCTTCGGGATTGAAGCGCACCACCTTCTCGCCATGAACCTTGGATGGCGGGGCATCATCACCCTCGAGAGGAGCGAAGATGGCGCGGAAGATGGACTCGATCATCTGAGAGTCGGCTCTGTCGAACTTGACAATCATGTCCACTCGACCAGGTCGGATCAAGGCTTTGTCGAGCTTCTCGAGGTGGTTGGTGGTCATGATCAAGACACGGCCTTCCTGCGAGGCGACGCCGTCGAGGATATTGAGCAGACCAGACAAGGACAGCCGGCCAATGGGCGGGGTCTGGACGGGAGCGGCCGGAGTTCCATTCTTGTTGACCTTACGCTTCGGTGGTTCGTCGGCATCGGCGCCGTCTTCGCTCGGAGTGTCATTCTTAGCATCCTCTCTAGTGTGTGTGAGACCGGCGGTATCGATATCCTCGAGAAGCACGACACAGCGCCGAGGGAGTTCTGCAAAGAGGGACGCAAGGTTCTCCTCACTAGCGCTCACCGAGCTCAGGCTGACAATGTAGATGCGCATCTTGAAGAAACCGGCAAGTGCCAAGCTGAGCGAAGACTTTCCGGTTCCGGGAGGGCCATAGAGCAGATAGCCGCGACGGTAGGGGATACCGCGGTTTGAGTACCATCTCCGGGTGGCCGGATTGAGGTAGTCGGTGACGTCATCGATCAGGTCCGTCTTGACCTTGTCGTTCAGAATGACGGTTGAGAATGGGCGTGAGGTGCGCGCCATGCATCGCTGCCATGTCGCATCCGTGCTGCCGCTCTTGGTTGTGCCCCGGTAGATTAAAGTCTTGGCCTCGTCGCGCTTCAGGTAGGCCAGGCGTGCCTCGTGGAGGAGCTCTTTCAGGACCCAGGGATTGCGGCCAAAGCACGAAATGGAGATCTCCTCTCGCTCGCTGGCCACAAGAAACGAGGCCTGCTGCTGGTTCTGGATCCGGCGGAAGATAAGCAGGCGGTTCTTGTACCAGAACCAGTGACTGCCAAAGGTTGGCGTGTAGGCTAGCGCCTTCTTCTTCTTGGAGTCGGTGGTGGCAGTGGGATCCTCGTCGCCGCCGAAATCATCACCGTCATCGTCATCATATCGCCAGAGAAACCAGGAGCGAGAGTTCAGGTTGGTGTTGACGACGAAGCGGCGGGCGCCCTGGGCAAAGCGCTGCGAGGCCACCCAGGCCATCAGCATGTTGTAGATCTCATCGTCGGTCCGGATGTCGACGACGGACATGAGATGCGATTCCGCCAGGCCCCAAAAGTACTCGCTGAAATACCGCCAAATGAATGTGAAGGCACCGCACAGGAGGACTAGCGGTATATAGAGGTTCAGGTCAATGTGGAGGTACTTCTGAACCGCGTTGGAGAACATGGAGAAGCCGGGGAAGAAGAAGTCTAGCAGGACAGCTTGCGGGGGCGCTGCCATGGTTGGGATCGCCGACGCCGCTCCCCCGGTGGGAACGGTCGAGTCCGCCGCCATGGTGAGGGCCTCTAGAAGACCCATGATGGTGATAACGTCACGGAGACGGAGACGGAAAACGGCCAGCCTAGAAGATGGGAAGGGCGGTGATGGATGGGGTTGTGTGGAAGTACCGAGCTGCTACGAAGCTCTTGTCGCGCTTCCTTTCCGCCTACAGGAGAGGAATATTTGGTTGATGGATGAGGATTGTATTAGACAATCATGGGAAATCTGGGAGGAGGCGAAGGAGGGGTGGCGCGTGTGACTTTATATACATTCCATCCCTCTTCCATGGCCAGGCCCCCGAGTTCTGGGTCTGATGATGGCCTGGCAGGCTAGTCCCAAATGACATCGGGTACAGTACATGGCCAGCCCTTCCCCAGGCCAGGCCAGGTGAAAAGTGGACGGCAAGGCAGCAACACAGCATGACGAATGGGCGCTCCGATATGCGAGGCATCCCGAACTCGGGTGTGAGTGAGATGCTGCTGCTTAGCTACATCTGCGTTTTGCGGGAGTGGGTGTAGCTGCTCGCGAGCGGCGCGTCACCCACAGTACCAACTACCTACCTTACTTGCCCCCCATTCTCACACAGCCCGTTCGGCAATGTGATGCTGGTATGCCATCCCATGGCATGCAAGAAAGCACATTGGAAAGAGACTCGTCACGCGAACAATTGGGCGCTGCAGGCAATCCACCAGGGCCAAGGCGACAAGACCAGCAAGCTGGGATGTGGCTGACTTGACTGGCAGACGGGGAAAGAAGCTTGCCCCGCATCTCTCTCTGCCTTACGGGCACAGCATTAGTCCTTGGTGCTTAGCGTGAGACGGGGGCGCGGCCAGGGATCGCTTTCTTTAGCGTATTAGTCACTGGCCGTCGGTTGGCCTCACTGCCAATCCAGAGCCCAAGAAACCACTCCCGCCGACCAATCACTGGGCCCGTTTGGAGGATTGGCGTACCAAGAAAGTGTTGTCCTCTTTGCTGTTCCGTACGGGTGCGTACGAAGGAAGCAACTAGCAAGGTAAGGTGTCCGCGGGAATTGCTCATCCCGCCATTGTTGCGTCACAGGCCGCCGCGTATCATCAAACACGCTGTACAGAATTCACCCAAGTATACGATTCAAATACAAATTAAAAAAAATTTGAAAAATATGTCGTCGCTGGCGCGCGAGTCCTGGAAGATCGGGCATAGTAGGTAACTCAGATGGCGATCAATCAAGACCAGCCAAGCCGCCCTTCCAGTGTTCTATGGAAGGGTGGGGCCTCCTAGCGGGAGCCGTTTTCAGATGGCTGGTGCAAGGTTGGCTGTAAGGCGGTGAATAATTCCGAGAGGGCAAATGGCGCCACGGAGCCACAGAAATGGTGGGGTGAGCGGGGGAGGCGGACGCGCCGGCGACCCTGCGGCCTTTGCGGGATGCCTCATTGGACCAGTTGAGGCTCTGAGGGCCGCGGCGGTTTTCAAAACCTCCCATCAGCCAAACCAGAAACTATGGGCCCATTTCACTGACCGTCGATCGGATACCACCATTTCGCAAATTACTCTTGTTATGTTTCAAAGAGAGCCTGGAAGGCTGAAGATCATTTGTCTATCAATATCCATGATTTGAACCCTTGTCCACCATTTCCAGTGCTGTCGGTCCGAGTTGCCTTGCCACGTCCACAGTGGTACAGTACGACAGGACTTCAAGTCCTCGTCCTATGTGACTTTACTAACCCGTTTCTGAGATCTAACTAGATCGATTCACTCCTTCCCCTTGAGCTCAATTTGCAATAGCCTTCACGGTATGATGACTCTTCAGATTCTTCACATGCAGTCAGCACTTGGGCGGCAAGGAACCTGATATACGAGAATGGTCCTCATGGAGGCAAAATAATTACCAGATGGGTACTAGAAAGGAGGCGACCGACCGAAATCCACTTACAAATACCTAAATTTACCTCTTGCCCAGCCATTTAGGGTTATGACACCCAGCGGCGTCTGACCAGCGATAGGACCGACCGTCGACGGCCTAAGCAGGCGGCTCCCACCACCTACCGCATCGGATGCCCGGTCGCCTGGGGTGGTCAACGCAACGGTGGGGTGCCGAGTTTTCGGCAGGTTGGAGGTAGGATTCGTGATAAGATAGGACTGGTTCAATTAAAAGCGGGGCTCAACTGAGGAGCTTCCACCAGGAGGCCGTTGGATGCCCCTTTTTTTTACCGGACAGTTCCAATGGGCAGGATGTGCATTGGCGAATCAGCGCCTGGTCCATATATCTTTGAAAGTGCAGTGCCACAAGGCTGCCTCCGTCTTGAGATGTCACGACGATTCACGGCCAGTCACCCATGTCCAACCCCTCTTTCTGCCTGGGGAAGTTGCCCGTGGCACTCTGCCTGCCGTGCAGTGCAGTGCCTGCCTGACCCCTTCACCTCCCGTTCTATCTAGGGACTCAGTCCTTGCCCGCTTTCATCCCAGGCTCAGCCTTCCTTCTCAACAGATCTTAGATTAGTCGACCAGAGTTCCCGCCTTCTCTTACGACTTGCCAATTGAGGAGGACGCGTAAAACTTTAGCTTTGACGTGCCTCATTTGGTAGCAGACCGGGCTGCTCAGCCTCAGCCGCCTCAACCTGCAGCATGGCATGATAAACAAACTAGTCCCGGTCGGCAGGAAGTACTATGACGTGGGTATAACGGATCGACCAGTTGTCGAGCGAAGGACTTGGTTTTGCCGCGACTCAGCGTGATACTTTGACTTTGAGTTCAGCTCGCTCAGGGGTTGCGCCGGTGACTCACCGGGAAGTCCTCTGTCGAACGAACCCCGTATCCGTACTTTTGACACGCGTACGCGGAGTATATCGCATTCACATGTTCAAAAAGGGCTAGGAATGCCGTCTTTCTTTCTCGGTGAAGTTGCGGGGACAAGTGTCCACGATATGGCCAGGCCTGCCTAGACCCGCTCGTTTCTTGAAAAGAGATGCAATAATGCAAGGAGTGACCCGTCTTTTTCTCTCCTCGCGCTACTCCAAACCATAAATAACCATCTTCCTCGTGAAAAGCGAGACGATGTATGCTGTACTTGTAAACAGAATGGTTCACACTCTTGTCACAGTGCAACATTCACTCTTTGTCTGGAGAGCTTCGTATCTCATTAAACGGCCAACGACAAACAAAATCTCATCCCTTTCTACCTCATGAAACGACACGAGATAAGAAACCCCAAAGTAAAGTCTCGATAAAACGTTTTAATCCAAGCAACGTATGGTTTTGTTAAGATGAGTATCGCTCTCTGTCTCAACTGAGGCTCTGTTTTCGCCCCTTCTGCAACGGGACATAATCACGAGGCTAGTTCCGTCAAGATAGCCCAAATGATTGTTTCCAGAAGACTTCGTCTTTTTTTCTCCACTTCCCATCCTCCCTGTCAAAAGGCAGAGAGAGACGCTGTGACGCCAAGGTTTAATAAAAGCTGAATAGAATTGAAAGAACCCGAAGAGAAAATAGATACCAAGAAACGAAGAGGACAAGACAAAAACAAGAAACCTAAATGTAGTCCGCCTGTGTCGGAGTGCTTGCTGTTTTCGTGGTATAGATTTGTGAAGATAAGCGTGGTATTACATGTTTGCTGGCTTCAGCGCCAAAAAGAAAGAGAAAGAGAAAATTGAAACCGTCAATTCGTAAGACTCATACAACATGGTTGGGCACCGGATAAGCAATGAGTGAAACAACTAGCTTGGTTGTTTACCCAGTGAACACCTGAATGCCGTTCGGATCTCGCACAAAGTGGCCGTCAGCCTGAGGCGGTGGCGGTCCGGGCATCGGAGGCACGGGGCCAGCCATCCGGGGAGGAAAGCCATGCGGAGGAGGAGGCGGCTGGTGGTGAAACTGATGAAATGGTGGCGGCCCGCCGGGACCGCCGCCATAGACGGGCTGGAACGCGCCCGGAGGAGGTCCGCCGTGATAGGGAGGCATCATACCCGGGCCGGGGAAAGGACCGCCACCACCGCCACCCTGGTAGGCAAAGTCTTCCTCGACGAAACTTCCGTCGCTGCTGCCGTCGTCAAAGTCCTCCTCGTCTTCACTAGAGACGTGGGCCTGGTTTGGACGCCCCTTGGTCCACGGGTCAGGTCCAGGCGCACCACTCCGGTGCGATGATGAGCGGGAGCCCCTTCCGTTGGAAGAAGACGGCTTCTTTGGCTTCTTGGGAGACTGCGAGCCCTGGTCTGCGTAGTAGTACATGCCCCGGGACTCGATGAAGTAGGCCTCGAGGTTCTTTTTCCCGCTCGACCAAGAAGACCAGGACGAGGCGTTGCTTCTGGTCTCGAAGTCGTCGTCGTAAGTGGTCTCGTAGACTCTCACGCTCTTGACTTTCTTGGGATTCCGACAACAGAAGTAGAGCAAGGCGTTGACCGCCGGCGTGTTTGGAATGCGCTGATCTCTATACCGGGTGGAAGCCCCTGAGGCGCGGCTGGGAGACCTCGTCCATTCTGAGCCGGAGCTAGAGCTGCGGGAATGAACAGACATGGCGGGAGGCAGGAATTGGCGCGATGTTTATATAGTCGAGTTGAGTGGCGGGCTGTCTAGCACACGGCTGACAGATTTGCGGATCTGGGCACGAGGGTGGGAGAGGCAGTGTGGAACGAGCAGGACAAGTAATTGCCCCACACCGAGGTAGGTCTCCAAAGTGATACAAAGCTGCCAGGGGTAATATCTCCCAGCTTCGATTTGGAAGGGGCGACGATTTCGAGGCGAGCAAAGGGGACAGGGTTTAGGGAAGTTTACAGAGAAGAAAGGATCGGCGGGAAGAAGAAGGGCGTGGGCCCAAGATATGGGTTGTGCAAACATAGTCAATAGTCTGGATGCTCACCATGTATTATGTAGGTAAGCACGAAGCACAGCACAGGCGATTGTCCAGTCTGATGCTGAGTTGAGCTAGGTGGGCGGGCACAACGCTGCATGATGCATACATATTTTGGTTTCACGCGCAGGCTCCAGGGCCAAGAAGGTCGACAAGACGAGCGGCGACATTCCATTACGAATGGCCGATGGCCCGTGGATGGCCGGCCTGGCCTGCCAGCGCAGCACACGATCACCAAGAGTGTCTCTCATGCGGGTCGGTTTGCCAGGCTCACCGATGTCCCAAGGGCCTAGAGCCTCACGGTGCTGCCAACGAGCTTGATAGGCTGCGAGATGGTCGGGAAGCTACAGCCTGCCCGTCGTTTGGTTCACAAGCCGGGCGTCGGTCGATGGGCGATCGGCCTCTCAGGAGCAGGAGCCCCCCTCCCTTCCAGAACGCTCACCATATTAGGAATCAGAACAAGACGCGCCCTGCTTTGGGGATGGGCAACGGTGTGCTGCGTGATTTAGGGGCCCCAGGGCGATGCAGTTGGTGCTGAGTGCATCGCAGCTGCACTTTCGGGCGGTCAACATGCGGGTGCCCGCATTTGCCTTTTCTTGTTTTGCTGATCTCGTTGTCACTCTGTCCTCGTTCAGCTGTGTTTGGTCCCGTCTGCTCCGGAAATGTCCACATGGGGAATCAATTGCGCTGAGCTTGGGGCTGACTCGATAAGAGCGGAGATAATAGCACATCAGTTGTATTGCAATGTGTGATTAAAAACTCGAAGGCAGAAAATCACAGAATTTTCCCTAGTATTCTCATTCGGATCGGTATGAAATACCTCGGACCTGGAAAGGCTGCGTCGCCGCGGGGCACCCAGAAATCGAAGCGGGGCTTCAGGGCGCTAGAATCTGCAAACCAATCGAGAAGGAGGCACTCCATGAGAACTGAGAGGGCCTCCAAGCCTGGCCTTGGTCCTCTTCCGAGGACCTGGCGATCTTCATCCCAAGCATTTTCGCCAGCCAATGGCTGGCAAAGTCGGGCGTGAGGTGACACGGCGCAATAGAGCGGTGCTGGTGTTCTCAAAGTGAGGCTGCTGCAGCAGACCGATGTGCCGAACGCTCACCACCATCGACCAGCACCCGTCGTTCTTCCTGAGGTTCTCCGTAATGGCGGGCAGCCGTGGTGGTGGCTAGAACCTGGAAGGCTAAGGCGGGCTCGCGACAGTTGGCATCCACTCGTTTGATGCCATTTCTCGAGTCGCTCCAAATCACCCCTACAACCTTGGCGAGGAGATACCAAACCGGTAGGTAGGCTTTCGTGGGAAGCGACAGGTCGCCAGACAACCCCGCACTCGACCTGACAAAGAAGACTTTCAGGTCCCTTCCCTACACCGCACTAGAGCAAGTTCTCATCCGAGAAAAACTTGAGGCTTCAAAGAGGGGAATGCTCAAGGTATCAAGGAGTCGACCGTTTGGGATTCGTCAATTCCGGCATGAGTGATTGATGACTCCCAGCTTGGTCTATGCAAATTGGCTTATGATGGCGGGGCTGGACCGGGGCGGTGTTCTGCTGAGACTCGGCCACCTCTCCCAGAATTCTGTAGTGCAGTCAAGCCATGGTCGGGCTGCTGTTGACGCAATACGCCAAAGTCTCGATCTTTCAAGCTTTTCAATCTTCACATAGTGCTAACAAGGCATTGCCGAAGCCACTCGCAATTATGTCCAGTCCAATACCCCTATTTTCCCCGTTGCTTACAATCACCCTTTGAGGAACACAATCCTCAGGCTCTGAATTTCGAGTCGGGCTACTTTTATTTTCAAAACATTCAAACTTAAAACGAACCAGGGATTACGGGTCTTAAGTACGCTATACTTTTCAACAATCAACTGTAGGGTGGTTGTGTATTCCGTAGCACGTAAGTTGATACTGTTGTGGTCCCGCGATCATAGCGGTTTTAGGTAGTGCACAACGACGTGAGCAGCCACCTACAGTTGGTAGTAAAGGGGAAAACGTTCAGTAAACAACTTCCCGTGATCTCCAGTCACGACCTAACAGCAACAAACTCAGATAAATGAATCAGTAGAAACTTCCCGTCGCAGGCTGTCCCTAGTCCCACATTCGATGTGAGTGCAGCCCATGAAAATTTCAGGGAAGTGACGGATTGACAAACTATCGAGGCTCGGCTCGCTCAGCCGGAAGTGGTACGTGTATATACTCCAGATCCTTTTTAATTATAGAATATCCGTATCCCGTCATCATATGCCATGCGGTGTGAGCAATAAGCGGGGATTTCACCCGCCCGTTCTCGGTTCGGGCAAGTTGCTGCTTCGGGCCCGGAGGGTCTAGAATTCTAGATGACTAGAGGTGGTAGCAATAGCAAGGAGAATGCACCCCACAATCTCATAAATCGAAGAGAGACGGACCGCGTCTCGCTTGCAATATTCTCTCAAGCCCTGTGTCACAGCCTTTTCAGGTTCTTTTAAACATTGCCGGCACTACACTTGGAGTTCAGCTTCATGAAGCAGACCAGCCTGAGTTGTTGCTTCGACCGCGTCGCACACCAACCAAGGGGCGTTGTTTCATTGTAGACGCTAAACTTTAAACTCGACTGCACATCCCCGCCTTCATCCCCTGAGCGTGCATTCAAGGAAAGGGAAGCCCCCGTATTTATCTAGGCTTCGCATTGACAGTCCGGGCAACAACAGGCACCTCAGTTAGCCGTTTCTAAACGAGGAGAGGTGGTGCCTTTCCTTACTCCTGAGTCCTGAGGAGTGAGGCAATTGCTAGACATATCAACCTAGCTATGAGCAAGGTCCTGGGGAGCAGATGGTCACACCACTGCAACTGCTGCCCGTAGGTACGAACCCAAGGCCCTTTCGACCACAGACTCGATTGAATCCGCTCCCGATTGCGCAATGTGGTGCGCTTTCTAGATATGCTCCAATTCGCCAGAGTATAGGGTCTGGTCAGCCATTTCGGCTGTCTTGTCGTGCTCGGGGGGCTGCTTCCAGTTTGGGCGTGCTGTCTACAGGCTCAAATCGACCGACGAATCTTAGGTCCGGGACAAATTGATTTCCTGCGGGCGATAGATTATGGAAGCTGCCGAGGCCAGGCTCGCCTGGCTCGCCTGGCCACCGGAGCTTTCCATGAGTAGGTAGGCGTCGGGTGTGTAGGTCTGGAAGTTGGTGGACTGTGCGGTACCATCTGCGCCCGAGGGCCAGTAGCCGTGACCTCGAGCGTAGAGATGGCCATCGTCAACAGCTTGCCTGCCATCCTCCCTCGTCGTTCGGGCGAGATGGGATGGTGCAGAGATTCGGTATCACGCCGCCAACCTCAGATGAACACCTACCTACCTTACCTAGGTAGGTAGTTGCTGCCGGCGACCGGTGCTGCCCTAAGAACGAAAGCCGATGGGTTTGCCAGCGGAGAACAGAGTTGAAGCGATGGCAGACGACCTGGAGGATCCGCTCCTGGTGGCTCCCGGTCGCGCCAGCGAGCCCGCTTGCGATGGCGGGTGATGGCGGCACCTCTGGACACTGCCGGGCTTTGGTCTAGGGTTGCGCGGGAGTGATGGCGGCGGGCGAATCTGGATGAGATCCGAGAGTGGATCGATGGGTAACCTAGCGCTTTAGAATCCCTGTTGCAACAAACGTGCCTCAAGCGTTGCCAAGTGATCCGACGGGCCAGCTAGCCTCTGTTAAGGGCGCAGGGGCTTCTCCACAACTAGCTAGCCCGCCAATGGGATGGCCTTGCCCCCCCAAATGCAAGTCCGGACTGGTCTAGTGGTGCAGCGGGGGGTGATGGTTCCTGGAAGGACAGGGCAGTCTGAGGACCTCCTTTAGCTGCTTTCTGTGTCATCCGGCTATTATCTCTGTCGCGCCGTGGTTAGGCTCACTACTGTAATAAGTGCTTTGCCGGCAACAGCACGGCGAAGACTCAGCGGCCCTTTTCAGCCTGGAAAGCCGCCTGCCAATCATCCCCACAAACATCAGCAACCATCGCACGGCAAACCAGACGACGATTTCCTGGTTCGCTGCCCTGCGTGGACGTTCCATCCCGACCAACACGGCCGACGATACAGTTTCGTCTTTCAACGCCCCCTCCACACGCCAAACCCCCGTCGACGCCACGACACAACGAACATTGCGATATTTTCCATTCCCGACAGCAGCGCAGCGCAGCAAGATCGTCGATGACCGAGCCAGGACCGCGGCGTCCGTCAATGAATAGTTGATGGTGCCGACCATTCTATCCTCGCCTGCACACGCTGGCGTTCCGGCCCATACAAGCCACGCACCACCACAATGGATCCGACCAACAGCAACAAGACCTCCCAGATGGGACGGAGGATCTCGACTAGGAACTCGGTCAGGATATCCGTCAATGGCGGTGATGAGGACTTTGAGCTTGCAGCTGGCCTGATTTCGGACGGATTCAGACCCGTGCAGCAGCCGCGAACTGAGAGCGAGTCGTCTGCTCCCTCTTTTGTTACTCCCTCCACCAGTGCTTCCTCGGTCGACCAGGTCCACGATATTCAACCAAGAGCGCCGCCCACCAGCCGTCCCTCAAGCGTATCAAAACCTCACAGGCCGGAAGAATCGTTATCGCTCCGGCACGATGGGGGAATGGGTTCAATTGATGCATCTGCCAGGCTAGCTAGGTCATCGAGCGTATCAACCGACTCGGTCGCATATGTCCACGTCGAGTCTCCCTATCGAGGACCCGACGGCCCTTCTCACCCTTACCAACTCTATCCCCAAAATGTGAGGCTGGCGAGGACAATGAGTACGACGACGGCCTCGACCGATCCCGTCTCAGAGTCGTCTTATGCGGGGCTCAGAGCCCCGGCTCATCCGTATGGTTTATATCCCCAAGACACTGCTGCCAATCCGATCAGCGTCCCCGCGCCGGCTATACCTCTTGGTTTCCACGGCCTTCCCGACCAATATCAACGGCGGATAGGCCCCGAGGGCGAGGATATAGCCGACATGATAGGCCCAGATGGGCACACAGAACAGTTACCACCTTACACCAGATACCCGGATGATGCATACGCGCAGAAGGCTATAGGTGCCGAGGGAGACCTTGGTCCTGCAATTGGGGGGGCCATGGTAATACCAGCCGGCCTTATCTTACCGACATCGACAACCAGAGAAATTCCGGGGGCGGGAGGAATTGGGCTTGCGACCAGAAACCCGGAGTTCGAATCTATGGACGATCTGGGCTCTCCCCAATCCCGGCATTCGTCGCGCAGCTTTGCCTCTGACACCAGCCATCATGATATCAACACAGCCGCTGCAGGTCTGTCGGAAAAACATAGGCCCTCAAAAACATGGCAAGCCTGGATGAGGCGGAGATTATGGGGAATCATCCCATTCTGGGCGATATTCCTCACAGGCGTGGTTCTTCTTTTAATGGGAGCAATACTGGGCGGCGTCATCGGCGCCTTTTTAGATAAGCAGCACAAGAAACCGCCACGCCCTGCCTTCCCGTAAGTATTTCGTGTTTCGACTAGACAAGACTCGAACTGACAGAAGAATATAGCAACCCGAATTTGATGCCGACGACCACAGCCACGCCAGATGCCACACCTATCCCTACTCCATCAGATCTCCCGCCTTTGCCCATCGGAACATTTGGCATGCCGTTGGTGCCGAGCCGGGTGTCACCTTTTTGTCTTAACGACACATCCCAGTCGCAGTCGTGGGGTTGCTACTTTGTCATATCCGGTCTTTATATGACAATCAGCAGAAATTCGAACGCTGCCGGGAGTGATTACAGCGTCAGCGTTAATTGCAACCATTCACTCACCCTCAAGAACAATGTCTACTCGTACGGCGAGCAGCCCCCGCTAGTCGAAAACCCGGTTTCTTTAGAACTTGTTAACGACACGGTTGAGACGGGCCGCGGACCAGCTTGGTTCAAAATGCTACCCTACAACAAGACCGTCGTCCTTCCCGCGGGGGCACTTAGCCCAAGTACCAGTGTGTCCAATCAAAGGATACGGCGTCTTGCCTCGGCCTACGATCCCGGAATAGGGGATTTTAGGCGCAAAGGAGTGTTGGGGCCCGGTGATACAGCATGGGTTTGCACCTGGCCAAACACGTATCTTGAGCTTTTCATTTATGCCCAACAAAACTCGAGTTGGTCTGGGTTCAAACCGCCGTCGTCGTCACCGTCATCCCTGCCATCATCCTCCACGGCATCCTCGTCCTCATCATCAGCGCCGTCTCCACCGTCATCATCATCTGCACCTCCCTCCTCGACAGCCTCAGACGCAGCAGGACACCATATACCAACCGGATCGTTTCAATACGGAGGCTCGCCGACTGGCGAGCCTCAGTACAACGGTTATTACAACCACATCAGCGCCCGTTCCCCAACCAATCCCACTACTCTTACTCCAACTTCACCTTATGGGCCCATCGATACCGGGGAGGGGTTTACGCCACCCCCTCCTCCTTATCCTAGAGTCATCAAGCTAGAAGAGCGTCGCATGCCCGATGCACCTGCGGCGCAGTGTACTCAGGTCCAAGTACAAGAGAGGGGCGAGCCAGCCAAGCCCGTACGCGACTCCAAGGGGAACATAGTCTCCCTCGCGATTGCGGAGAAGAATCCCGTTTCGGCGAGTAGCACTCCGACTGCCGATGTCAGTAAGAGATCACCTCGTGAGCATCTGGACTCGAGTATATTCCAGCGTGAAGGGGATGCCGAGAACCAATGTAGCTGCGTGTGGTTCCTCACGTGAACGGATGGCTTCCTCCTTACGTGACTATATACTTTTCCTTTACCTTTGGGTCGGCATACGAAAAAAAAATAGTTCGTAATATCTTACTCCATTGCGCAGGTTTTCCCTCCAGGTTTCGGTTCGGGGTTCATCATTTGGGCGGCATCAAATCTGCTGTGTTTTGGGTTCGGGGTTTTCCAAACAGATACACCAATTTCCTCAGTTTTGTTTAGTTAAGTTTGAGCGGTTCACGTATATTATGTCACTTCGTCTCGTCTCGTCTCGTCTTTGCGTCTCCCTGTGTCTTGCTTTAGCCTAGTTGCCATTTTCGATTCTTCTATACTATATCCCGGGACATGTACGGAATATGCCAACGTGTCCCCTTTCCTGTTTCGATTTTATTCGGATCCATTCCAGGCATGTTCATTCTTCTTGGGGTTGGGCTGGCGATGTGCACTCACAGTTGTTGCTTTTTTGACCTTGATGTTGGGTGATGACTGAGCAAGCTATTATCTTTATCTTTCCTCTATTTTTTTTCTTCGCTTTGGGCTGAAGAGATAGGAAGATGGAGACAAAAACGAATAGGGGCGGAGGTTGATCTGTCTTTTCATTGCGGCCAGAAACGTACACGAGATTTTCCTTTGGGCTCTTCCATCTGAGTCGTCATCGTTCGAATCATCGTGTTGCGGGACTTTGGATTTATTTTATAGTTATTTACCGTTTGGGACGCGACACGGCTGCGAACAATTGCCTATCTGTGTTGAAGTAGAGAAATGCAAATACAATATCTACCACATAGCGTCTCATTGCCCCTTATGCGGGTTCCATCATGAAGAGGGTATCAAAAATTTTAATTATTTGCACAGTCAAGATTGGCCTACTGCTACTTGTCGTTGTCCGGTACTCCACCGCTCTCTGCCCCGGCGGCGACAAACTGGATGTCTTTGCTCAGACCGTCGAGAAAGCTGTCAGCCATCTTTTTGGCCTTCCGCTCGCCAATTTCCTTCCGGCGCATCTCGATCTCACGCCGGCGGGCGGCCGCCTTATCCTCGCGCTCCTTACGCAGAGCCTCAGTCTTAGTGCGTTCGGCATCCAGGGCGGTCATCTCGGCGGCGCGCCGGTCTTCTTCCTTACTGAAGGCGTAGAAGCCGACGCCCTTATTCCGGATCTCGCGATCAGCCTGGTAGTGCGTGGCGGGCGGTGGCGTGGCACTGCGGTCGCGGTTGCGCGCCAGTTCATCCATAGCATCAGCGTCAAGGGCCGCGAACGCCTCGATCTGCACCGCGTCGCCCACAATGAGGTTCTCGGGCGCCCGGGGCCGCGCCGACATGCGCTCCAGTTCGGCCGCAGACGCCTGGCCCCGCGCCAGCTGCCGCTCTAACCGCAGCTTCTCGGCCCGCGTCCCCCGTCGGAGCCGCCCGAACTCGTCCTCGTACTCCATCACCTCTGTGTCCATGCTATCCTCTTCTTCATTGTTATCGTCTCCAGAAGAGGATGAGGATGACGAGCCACCATGTCCTTGCTTCTTCTTCTCAGCCTTCTCGGCCCACTTGCGGTCAAAGTCGACTAACCCAACCTCGCGCCCAACGTAGTCTCCCCGCTGCATGGCCGCGTAGAGGCGTGCCTTGGACTCCATCTTGCGCCGCGCTTGCGCGCGCTCTGCCTTGTCGCCCTCGGTTCCAACGGGGTCTTTCAGAGAGAGCTTCGCGCTGCTCCTATCACGCTCCGCGTCCCCACCACTGTCGTCATGTCTTCCCTTACCGGCTTTGCGCTTCTTCACGCCCAAGAACAGTAAATCCGTTTTTGACTTGGATGGCCGCGCGCGCCCTGGTATTGCGGTGTTGCTGCTGGTGCTCGGCGCGGCGGAGGCGGCATTCATTGTAGAAGAGGACGACGTTGTCGTTGTCGCCGCCACCGAGGTTGCGGCGTTTTGCACCGCAAGCAGGGAGCTGAGCTGCGACGTAAAAGCCAGGGAGCTGGGAAGCGCCAGCTCTTTTCTCTGCTTCTTGGCTGGGCGCTGCCCATATAGGTTTAGGTCTTGAGGCATGGTGGCCCTTGGGTCGACCCTCGGCGCTCGCCCATTCGTTCCTGAGGTGGAGTTTTCTTGCTTTCCGGAATGTGTAACTTGTTAGAAATAACCGCATAGCTTATGAGTTTGTGTATCCATTACACTTGCAAGAAGATGACGGACGGTAAGGTGCAGTGAGATAATTGGCGGAATGTTGCAGGTCGAAAAAGCGTCCAGTATTGATGTGACCCGTTGATGAATGACGAACTGGGTGGGCGCAGGGGATTCCAGGCCTTTGGGAAACCGCTAAGCTGCCCGTGGCTACCTTGGCAAGCAAGGTTCTTGCCTGGGGCTGTTTCCGTTCCACATTACAGCGGGGCTTGCACCTAATTAGGCGGTGGAGTGATTCACGTCGTCATCAGCCCGGGGGTCGCTGTCCTCCTTGCTGTCTTGCCCCTGGCGATGTGTAGGTTTTGGGAATCAACCAGGTTCCCATCCTAACTGGCTGTTTCACAGCCCAATTCCACCGCGTCGCAGGCCATCGCTCGGCACGACGGCCTCTCCCTTGTGTTATTTCATCCCTCGTGTTCAGTGTATTTACGCATGCGCCATTATAATCGGAAGTGGCTTGCTCGTATCATTGTCCTGATGGAGCTTTCCCTCGCGGTCCATCACTACGCCATGACCGAGCTGGATCCGAAACCCAACAGCTACAGTTAGCCGAACCACACTCGACCAGTTCTTGATGTTCCCCGCGCCTCCAACCAACAAAGCCTACCATCCATCCTGTGAACGCGCACCCAAGCACGCGCCCCGCTCACGTCGGCTCGCAGCAACACACTCCATGCTCTAGTTTGTTTGTTACCTGTATAAGTCGCAGAAAAGCGAGTCACGACTAGCTCGTTGGTCATCGCGCGCCAGCCTGATTTGTTTGCCTACAGCCTATTCTGTACCTTTTCGCCAGACTTGCAATGGCCGACTTCAAAGATGACATTGGCTGGTACGTTTGGTTCACCGAGTTGAGCATTGTCCCGCCAGAATACCGTTATATTCTCCGCATCATATCCGGCTTCTTTGTAAGTTCTCCCCTGTTAACCCAGATCGTGGTGGGTGCCCGCGTGGGCTGTACTGACGAGCGACTTTATTTAGATAACTCTCGCCCTTGCGCCCATCATTCCCGTTATTCTCCTGGTTATCTACGACTTCTCACTCTGGTTGTGGAGGCTCTACAGTGCCAGCCACGGCATGGCTCGCCGAGACGGCCAAAAGCCTTCCACAGACGTTGATGTTTCCGGGTTATCCGGGACTTCGATACCCGAGAGCTCGAGAATAAACGGCACGCTCAAGACAGGCGGAACAGGACGAGTGGGTTAGCTGTAGTGGAGGAGGAGGATGCGAAGCAATAATCCGGCGCTGGCGAGTCGAGATCTACATATGAGAGACGAAATGAAGTCCCGAACCCTTTTTTCTTCTCCTTGACTATACGCACTGTGCACTCCTGCAAAGATGCTTTTCCAACATTGCGACTATTTATAGCTGGGCGAGCACCTTGAGAAGATCGCTCGTCACGCCCATGGCCGTTACTTCGCCTCCGGCGCCTGCGCCCTGTATGATCAGGGGGTTGCTACCATACCGCTTGGTATAGAAGCTGATAATGTTGTCGCTTCCCTTGAGCGACGCAATGGGATGAGAGCGGTCAAACCACTCGATGCCGACCTTGACCTGCTTCGTGGCCACATCGATGCTTCCCACAAACCGCACCACCTTGCCCTCTCTCTCTGCGGCTACCTTCGTCTCTTCCATCTGATCATCGAATTCGGGCAGCTTCTCGAGAAACTCGTCACCGCTGGCAACAGACTCTAGCTCCTTGGGAATCAGGCTCTTAACCGGAAATGATGTCGGGGACTCGACCGGGAGGCCGGCCAGCCGTGCGAGGATGGTCAGCTTCCGCGCCACATCGAGCCCGTTCAAGTCGTCCCGTGGGTCAGGCTCTGTGTAGCCCAGCTCCTTGGCCTTTTTCACCTCAGCTGACCACTTGCTGCCGGACCCGGAGGTGGGCGCGAATGAGTTGAACAGGAACGACATGGTGCCGCTAAACACACCCTCAATCTTGATGACCTCGTCGCCCGTGTCTACCAGATCTTTGAGAGTTGAGATAACGGGAAGCCCGGCGCCGACGGACGATTCGTGATAGACGAGCGCGCCCGATTGCTCGCTCGCGCTGAAAATGTCCTGCCACAGCTTGTACGACCCCGAGAATGCCTTCTTGTTGGGCGTCACGATGCTGATGCCACGGCTGAGGAACAGCGGGTATGCCTCAGCCACGTGTTGGGAGCTGGTGTTGTCGACGAGGATGGCCTTGGAGCCTGACGCGCTCAGGAACTCTGCCAGCTTGAGCGGCTCCAGGGGGGCTTGCGAGGACGAGGCGAGCGTCGACAGCGCGCTGTCAAAGCTAATGGGCGAGTAGTCACTACTATAGACGGCCTTCTTGCTCGTGGTGATGTAGCTGAGCACCAGCTCGGGGTTGGGCCGGTGGCGAGCCAGCTGCTCGAGCTGCGAGAGGAAGCATTTTCCTACCCCGCCAGCGCCTGTTCGACCGGAGTGAGCATAATTCAAGGAGACAGGGAAGACCGCACAGAGGATAGATGCATACCGATGATTGCGATATATACCTGACGTGCTGCTGCCATCTCGGTTTATTTTAGCTGCAAAATCCTGTTTAAGCGTAAAGGACCCTCGGTGTTGATAATTCTGTGACAGAGTAATTGGGTTATTTCATGATGCAGTCAGTCTAAGCACCGCATCGCGGGGTCCCTGGAAAATGCGGGCGCCGATAGCGGGGCTCGTTCCTCGTACTGGCCGTATGTACTGTATGTATGGAACTTTGCTGTTGGGATCCTAGTATTTCTGGAACGTTGTTGGTGGCGCAAGCAAGGCGCCTTGCCTCGCGACATTTTTATATCAGATTCCAGATCTGACTCCAAACCTTACAGTCCAACCCCTGAATGTGTATTACCTAGCTCACGACTTGAGTTTTTGAGGTATAAAGGGCGTTATTTCTTCACGGCTCGACCTAGAGGGCGTCATTGAAAAGAGGCGTTAGGTTTTGGAGCAATGCCTGGTAATGAATGGTACCGGGAAGGCTTTTCTGGCCGATTCATTGAACTGAGTCATCGAGATATGTACAAAGTACCGCTCCAACAATTATCCAGGGGTGTGACTGTGCCTCGCCTCTATAACTCTCGAAGAATCTATTATGCACTTATAATTATATGCCCGACAGCATCGATGCAATGCTATATTTGTCAGTCGAAGACAGTGAGTATGTTTGTGGACATAAGAGGATTATAAATGCTCCAAAGCCGTGTATTCGCCATATTTCGTCATGAGAAGCAATACATGCTGTTGTAAAAATAGCCCATGTGTGCCCACTTGCAACGGTACTCGGCCGGCGATGTCGCTGTGCTGTCCAAGTCTGGAGTACTGAGGTATTTCGGGCTGTCATCGTGTTGCTTTGTGCTTCCTGTGATAGCAGTACCATGTGGTTTACCACTTCGTGTTGTTTGAGTTCGCATTACTAACGTTCGTTTTATTAAACAGGTAGGTGCCTTTGAATAACTGTGGTCACTAGTACCATGAAGTAGGTTGATGTATATAGGTGAACTTCGTGTTATACGTTCTAGTCTATTTGACACCTCCGGCGATAGTACTGTAACGACATTGTTCAAATGACAGCACAATATGGCTATGCAATCGTCAGTAACCGCTGTTGAGGCTCACGGCATGGCATAAGAGGTACAACATAAATTCAACCACTGCCGACGAAATTATACTAGGCTAGATGTGTGTTGCTGTTGTTGTTTTTTGTTCTTTTTGTCTAGGTAGTATTGGGGACGGGATCGGAATCAGGAATGGCTGTGTCGGTATTTATCTGCTAGGTACTGCTTGAAAACAAGACAAAGTAGTCGTGAGAACCAAGTAAGATCCAAGTCATAATGCCTTTTATTGTTTTGATGGGTAGTGAGCATGTGAAAGCGGCCTTGCATGGTGGTAGTAAAGATGAGGATACATCTTGACGCCAGAGGTAACTTGGTGTTGTTGTGAACACAAATGAGATATGATGATATATTGAACAAGATATGAAGCAGGTGACTTACTCGAAGGCATTAACTAATGCCAGGCTCGTCTGTGGCATTGCGGTACATGGCTGAGCCGTGCCTGGAACATTAACTGGTATATTTATTGTGTTGTTTTAACACAGTGTAGTGGGCACAATAGAAACTTTAGGAAATATAGAAACATGAAGATAAGGATAGAGAATAAGCAACATGGAAAGAAAACAGAAGGGCAGTAAAGGGAAGAAGATGAAATATGGGGGAAAAGAACAAAAGAGAGGAAGTTGGCTTCCGGTGCTTCTTCCATGAACATGGCTTCGGGGACTTAGGACCCGAGTAGCATGTAACCTCCCCTCTGCCTTAAGAATATGAGCTACTCTGTGTGAAAAAAATCCCCTGGTACCAATTGCCTTCTTCCCCTTCCTCGCTCGGAGTTAGGCATCTGTCAAAACAAGTCACTCCCTTCGCTTCGCACATATTCCCAACACAGACGCCGCTTGAAAGCTCGATGACAAACACACAAAAGTCTGAGTCTTTAAAAAGAATGACTCAATGCCATCCTTGTCGAAGATTTTCATATTAGTATAAAACTAGAGTGGGTTCTTTTGCCTTGCTTGCAAAAGGCCCCTTGCTTGGGGCAGGCAAAGAACTTTTGAGAGACTGGACTTGGAAGGTAAAACGGTTCCATCTCCACCCAAGGCTGTTTCATGTTCGTGAGCTAAGATACCTTTTCTGGGCCAAGACTTTTTTTTGGCGAATATCTTTGTTGTGGTATCTCTGCTCTCGGGGTTTGCCGTACCGTATCATACTCGCACAAAAGTTGGCGGGAGGGCATGCGCCGTCCTGAGGCAGCAGTTCAGAGTGGCGGGCCCCCGTATTGGAGTTTGGGGGCGGGGGGACTTGGAGGCGTCCCAATCCCATGATTTGGCGTGCGGCGCAGGGGGCGGCGCCGTGCCGAATCCTTTTTGCGCCCGGGAGTGAAGGCTCGGGTCGGCACCGGGCACTCTAGCCGTGCCGATGCTCACTTTTTTAACATAGACTTTGGGGTCTTGGGCGGCACAGCTGCACAAGAGCCGTCGCCGTGCCACATTGCGGCCGCCATGACGCGCCCCCAGGGACCCCCTCCCCCCTCACCAAGGCGGCTAAGCTGGAAATTACGGCCTCGCCGGGTTCTCTACGAATTATGAATCTGTGATTGAATCTTAAGCGCCCGCGGCAAGGTCCAGTTGCCGACGGCAACACGGCCGGCCGGGGATGGTACCCTATACGACTAGTCGTTTTAGCGAAACAACTCTCGATGACTCACAGAGCCACAAAGGAGCATAGGGGGGAGGAGGGAAAATTAGGAATAGTGAACTGAGGAGAACGTGTAAGGATGTCAATTACACCCGGTTGTTTTCAACATAATTATGTCTGGATAGGTGGTTAGTTCGATGCGCCGTAGAAGAGTCACCGAAAAAAGCCCAACTAGGGACGTTCAGCCTCATGGCTCGTCTTCAAACGGCAACAAGGCGAGATATGGTAGATGCTGCGAGCCCTACGAAGCGCTTCACTCCGGGAGCCAGATAGCGGTTCGACGGACCCTCTGGCTAACGTGGTGGTTGGCAAGGACCGGCCGGGCCCCGCCGAGGTCAAGTCACGGGAAGCCATTGCTTACTCGAGCCAGGCCTCAAAGAGTCCCGTGTCTAGTATGGGGCCGGATATCACGCCGTGAAGCCCAGGCCGTTTGCGGCCAGGTGGTGAATTGCTGGACATTGACAAACCTCAACTTAACTCGCCTTCTTCACCTGGGAATAATGCCAATACGGATAATGAGCTCGGTAACCCATAAGCACTAGGCAAGACATTCGACCGGTGATGCCGAGGGCTAACCTCTTCCCCGGGCGTAGTCATGGCTAGTTCAAGTAACGGGCATGCCAATCAGAGAAATTGTCAATTTTAAAGCGGTTGTGGTGATCATCGTCCCAAGATAGACCGGTCCAAGCGTTTGATGACCCGGCTTCGACTACGGATATGTAATAGAGTCATGGACTGAGCGTAATGGAGGACAAGTGGCACGGAGCCACAGATGATCAGCTTCGCTGTTAAGCGCGCGTTGGTCTAGAGTACGATCAAATCGCGTTCAAGTCCGTGGGCAGCGAGGTCACTCGATGCGGCGGCGGTGGTGGTGGTAAATTGGCAAGCCTCGGCCGCCCGACCCATGTCTACGTATTATCATGAGCCTTACGCAAGCCGCGGCACTAGAGGACGGGCTGTATATCGGCGTCGACACGAGGCACGTGAAGCACGGGGCAGCCTGAAGTCGATGACAAGAGGCTTTTGAAGCAGGTGGCAGCGAGAGTCTCGTCTCGGACGAATTCACCCGCCACTTCAGGACGAGAATCTCGGCTGCAGGCGCCATGCATCGGGTTGATACACCCAGAGAGGATGCTGAGCTATTTTGAAGCTAGTGAGCGCGATTAATGAACTCCCTTGGCCACCGAAGCGAGAGTACACCGGCTGGCTGCCTTGGCTGCAGATACACAGAACGAAGAAGCCGTGGGCAGAACAGAACCGCGAGGCCGTGGGAGAGTGGTGATGAAGACAAACCGGACACGACCACCGTGCTCGAGAGACAAGGAAGATGCAACTTACCGCAACACTCCACTAGGTTCTAGCCAATCTACTCCGGGTCGTCGTGTGTGTACAAACACACTTGAAACCCGAGCTGCACGGCACCCTCTACACGTGTTCGGTCTGCAATCTCTCGTTCCCAGTATTCTGGAGCGCCATGTGGGAAATTCTGTGGAATGACATTAGAACGAAGCAGGCGGGCGGCGGGCGTCTTCAGAGAAGACCCCTAGTGGTGGCACAAAGTGCTTCACACGCGGGCGTCGGGAATCCTGTCCCTCGCATGAGCCACCAAAGGAAAGGCCCACATGGCTGGCGGGAGAAGAATCGAAGAAGGATCATGGAAGGTCTCCCGGCCCCTGCGCCGATTTGCCATGTCGCATGGGGGGAGGGGGGGGTCCGGATCTTGAAGACAGCCCGTCGCCAAATGGTAAAAAAGAGGAGTGGCTGAGATACCGAGTATGATCCAAGAAGGCCTTGCCACCAGCCCATGGCCTGCGATGCTTTTGCCATGTAATTTTTCTAGTCAGCCTAGCTCCCTTCCTCCCCTGATTCCAATAGAGGCTGCCTTTGGCAACCCTCATTCGAGCGGACGGCTAATGCGCGGCGCTGCTCGGGCGGGCAACTTGTTCAGATGTTTGCATCCTTGCATGGGCCTGCCCCGCGCTCCCTGTGCATTGGCTTGGCACTGGCTGTCGCAGAAATGATGGATCCTGCCCTGGGAGGCGAGGTGCATTTTCCCAAACCTCCCCCCCGGCTTCTAGAAGGTTTCTGGAAGCCTTCTACGGGCAAGGGGCTTGCATCAGGTGCCGTGCCCCTGCTCTCGGCGCGCGCTGGCCTTCTTCAGCACCGGGACCGAAATGGGCTTTATGCACTGGCCATCTGGCAATGGGACTCTTTACTCCCATCTGCCAATCTTGGACGCGCTCGGCCATGCCAGCTGCGAGCCCCTTTACAGCTCCTGCATTGCTGGCAACAGGGTGTTCCTGGGCGAACTTTGCTGACCAAACTCCAACGGTGAAGCGGCTTGTTCGCAGTCGCGTCCGGAACCAGCAGACCAGCTTTGGTTGTACAGTAGGCTCGGAAAATAGCACCCTATTCGGGCGAGGAGGGCGGCGATGGTTTTTTGCGGCATCGTGTGCAAAGCAGGCTGTCTGTGAAAAGCTTAGTACGTACAGTCCACGTATACACCGCATACATCTAGAATAATACGCACGGAAACATGGTCGTTCCTCGCCCGCCGGCTGCTGAATTACGGGCCTGTCTCGTCGAACATAGCCAGATATTGCAAGCCATGCCTATCATGGCTGGAAACAGATGAAGAGCCAGCTCGCATGTAGATCCGAAGCCCGCACCCCGCCCGCCCATGGGCCAGCAAGAGGTACTCCGTGCATCTATGTACCTAAGATGCCATGCTTCAATACCCTCTTTTTCGGGCATGACCGCACGGCGACCAGAGGAGCTGGGACGAACGTTGAAGTCAATGGCGGACCCTCAAGCTGGCATGTGCCTACTGTATGTTATCCGTATATGGAACACCTGGTCAGTGGCTTGCTGACGAGGCCAGAGCTTTAAGGCTGAGTTGGGTCGTGTTCGTGGATGGAACCAAGCTCTTGTTGAAATCGGGGCGGATCCATTGGGAGACCATGATCCTGGTTTGTTTCGCACAGCACCTGGGGTCGGCCGTCCGAGCGCCTATCAGGCAGGGGCCTTGGGGAGACAACCGCCGAAAACAAGCACGCACCGCATTGTAAAGTTCCAATACGTGTGCTTTGTTGAAGGAGATGATGCCAAAATTAGGATGTGCAAAACCCGCGTGAGTGGCTTCAAGAATGTATTGTACTATAGTTGACACAGGGCACATTGGTAGGCCTTTAAGCGGAATATCAAATGTGAATCACCGAGGGACGATCGAATCCAAAGCACCTCAGGGCCAGAGCCTCTATCTCAAGCCCAAGGCGGCACTCTGTGGTGAGGTTACCTTTCCTGTAGGTACGGATTGTCTTGAGATGTCATCGTGTTTCTGGACCAGGAGTACATGCTAATCCTGCGCGTCCGTGCGAAAAGACTGGCAGCGCTTCTGGATGTCGCCGTCATGCTCTAGTTGAGACCGGAAATCCGTAAGGCTAGGGGAGCCTGCATCGCTCTCCGCCGGCTGAGAGGGAAGAAAATTTAGCCACGGGCAGCCATGTCATCTCATCCCATTCTCGCTCTCAGTGGTGGAAACCCCTCGTTTTGTTTCTTGGTCCAGGTAACGCAGTCTCGGTGATAAACGTGGTTTCGGCGCCGTGTATTGCCCAGATGGGGGCCGTTAAAGGGCACGGCGAGGTATGGAATAGCTACCTCCACTACCTTAGGGATGGTGGGATGGCATAGTCTCAATCTCACCCAGGCAGGCAGGCTATGGTGCGCTTGTGGCCAAACGATGCTGTTTAGGTAACGAGGGCTAGGACGGTAAGTAAATATTCATCTCATATTGCAGCTTTCATAATTATATCAAAAGATTTAGATGGGATGCGCTGTCTTGAGCTGAGTGACCTGGGAGTTTAGTGGAACGTCCGCGACTTAACAGAACAGCGGCGAAGGCCAGCGCTGGGAGCGTAGGGCGGGGCAGGTACCTTCGGTGCTAGGTACTAGACTGTTCCTGGAGGAGTAATGGACTTACAGGTTGCAGTCGCATCGTTCTCAATCTCAACGCCGTTCGCAGCGTTCAATACGGAGAGCTAGGACACCTCCAGCTTCCGGGCCCAGCCCGAGAAGCCCGAAGAGTTGAAACTCGACGTTAAGCGGAGAATTCTGTCGACAATGGAACCTGGGAGTGACACTGCCCTGCCCAGCATTCAATGCGCTGAGAGAAGGTTCAATTTTAGCGTGCTTCACACTACAGTTCAGCTCGAAGAGGTACCTCGCGGGCCTCCCTGGGGCTAGCAAACCGCAAGTACCCCCCCATGCTGCCCACATGCTGCCTGGGAGCCTGGGGCACGCGCTTCATGGGCAACCGTAGGCAGCCTTGGCATGCACGGCCCACCAAGGCAGGTGCAGCTCGACCCACCCACACCCCAGCACCCCGACCCTGTGTTGACCGTTCGTTTCAACTCGCCCCTGCACATTGCCCTTTCACGGAGCACGGTGCCTTCTACACACCCCAGGGATCCTCAACTGTGCCGAGCCACGTTATTTTCTTCTTCTACTATTATTTCTTTGAGCCTTTCCCGATGGACACCTGCCTCACAGGTCTCGACGCTCGCTGCTTCGTATAATATCCATTGCATTCCACTGCGGGATACTCTTTCTTCCCAATCCCCCCTCTCGTTTGCCCTTGCCTCTATCCGCATCCGCCTCCACGTCACCCAGTTTAGGCGCGAGTTTAATACACGGTACAATAACAACCTGCCTTGTCTTGCCTTCCGCCACTCGACACTCGGATCATAGGAACACCAGTGTTGAAGCGAGGAACCGTGCTGCGAATCGAGCCACGGACCAACACTCTCAAAGGGTCTTGGCTATCCCAAAGAAAGGTATATATATTTTCTTGCATATATGCCCCTAACTAAGGAAATCGTCCCGTGATGGGTGGGAAACGCCTGTCGAACCAGCCCACTCGCACTTGCATTTTACTGCCCCTTTGTCTCGAGCCCGTTTGCTTGGGGCTTCCTCGGCTTTGCAGTCCCGATAGGCTCCTCCCTGTGCACACCTACCAACGCGACACCCATACTCTCTGGCGCATTCACTTTATGACGAGGCTTGGTGTTGGCTTCCGCCATCTTCCCCCCGAACTTTTCCACTCGATGCGCCTACTAAATAGCGTCTGGTATTCCACACCGCACGACGGGCCATACGCCTACGTCAATTCCTCAACGCCAACCGAACCACACAACAGCACTGTTTTCGTCGAATTTGACAATAACCGTGAAAGCTAACATAACCGCCCTCCTACTAGTACCTGCGTACGAGAACGACCAAGCCATACTGTCCTGCGACAGCCGTCGAAAAACGAACCCTAGCGGATTTTTTTTCCACGCGCGGAAAGCCCTGCAACTCCCTTCGCACATTTGCAACGACTCTGGAACAGCACGTCTCTGCATACGCCTAGCAGTAAACAGCCATTAGTGTTGCGTTGTGGATGGGAGCTGAACCACCGCTTTTTACTTCCTTGTTTCCCTTGTGAGACACCGACGACGAAGCACTTTTGATCCGTCACATCGCGTCGAAGAATACCTGGCCCGACACGCCAGAGCCGCGTGTACAACCCAATCACGCACGCCTAGCTCATCGTAGAGCTAATTGCTGCGAGAGTGGCTTTTTGACCTCTCGCTCGCATTAGTCGCGAGTTGTTCCTGACGAACGCAAAATTTTCAGCCCCTCGTTGCGGCGGAATTGACACCACGGCTAATCGCTTTCCCCTACAAACGGGGGTGCCGCGGGGCAAGTAAAAGAATATTGACCCTTGACGGTGATTTGGCCAAGATCAAGGTCGTCAACTTAGACTGTCGCGGTGGTGTGGTCAGGGCGCGTGCATTTTGGCCCTTGGGCGCGACACCACACTTGAACCGTGCACGACTCAACCACGTCCATACACTCGCATCTGTCGAAACTTGAATCGGAAGACTGTCGCGACATTCCCCGTGCCACTCCAGGAATTCTATTACGTACCGAAGGCCGATTTCGGTACTTTGGATCTTCCGGATTTTTCTACTGAGGTGAGAAATTTTGTTTTCCGACCCCGCATCACCTTGCTGTCCCTTTTTTCTTTTAACCTCGCCCCGTCACATCGCGAAGGCCCAAGCTCAGGCCCAAGCTTCCGATCTGGACTACACTGCACGTGTGGTTCCTACCTAGGTAGGCCTGTGGAGTAGAGCTGGACTGAACTGTGGCTTGCACTCACCACGATCATTTGCCTGGTTCTTTGAGCGTAGTCTTGTTGGGCCGTTTCGACTTGCTTCCTCACCGCTCAATCCGCTGCTGTCCGTGCTGCTGACATTTCCCGGTTAGCAGCAGTATATAGCAGCATTTCTGGCACCTGGCACCTTGCTGGAAGCACCCAGGGATACACTGCAAGCGCGAGATAGCGCACCATTATGTCGCAGTCACCATCGTCAGCTGGTGCTATGGGCATCGGCAGCATGCTTAACAACAGGGGAATCGCGGGCACCGCACAGGGCATAACACCCGACCAACAGCATCCTGGCCAAAACCATCCGCAGCTCGTGATGGATCGGCCAAATTCGCCCCACGGCTCCGAACACTCCAGATACTCGGGCCCCATGAACGCGTCCTACCCTTCACCTTCCGCCATGGGAACCTCATTACCGCCCGTTCCCAATGCCAACATGGGTCCGACTTCATTGATCCATCCCAGTCTTCCCCCGAACTTGATGCACGGAATGTCTCCAGGAGGCTACAAACCCGTCGATGCCTCTCAGCCACCTCTGAAGGCTTACCCCTGTAGTACTTGCGGCAAAGGCTTTGCAAGGAGAAGTGATCTTGCTCGTCATGGTACGCGGCCGTCTCGCCGTTCTGCGAGACTCAGCTAACAATGGTATAGAACGCATCCACAGCGGCGTCCGGCCACATGTCTGTGATTATCCTGGGTGCGGCAAGCAGTTCATTCAACGGTCCGCCCTTACGGTACATCAGCGCGTTCACACGGGCGAGAAGCCCCACCAGTGTGAGCGCTGCGGCAAGGTATGCGCAACGTTCAGCGAATGGCTAGAGCTACTGTTAACTCCAGTGTAGCCTTTCAGCGACAGCAGCTCTCTCGCACGGCACCGTCGGATCCACTCGGGCAAGCGGCCGTACAAATGCCCTTTTGCCGATTGCCAAAAAACCTTCACACGTCGAACTACCCTCACAAGGCACCAGAACCACCACACTGGCACTATTGAGGAAGCCGCGCGCGCGACGGAAGAGGCTTTGGCACGAGGCGCAATCGCTGCTGCCGCCGCCAGATCTAAGCCGCGGTCGGAGAGTGAACAGGCGTCCAATCACGGATCGCCACTCTCTACCCCATCTCCTGCGCAACGGACCATGTCCATGTCCCCAAGCACAGAATTGGCCGGGATGAATAACATGCAGTATTTGAGCAACAACTCTTTGAGTAACAACTCTTTGCCACCTCATCTTCGCGGGGATGTCCACGTTGGTAGTCCCGCATCGACGACATCGTCGGGATACAACACCGGGATGCGGCCGACATCTCATCCCAGCGGATACGGCCCCCCTCCCGCAACACTAGAGCCCAATATTGAACACCAACAAGGTCCAGGCAGTGCAGCCGGAAGCCCTCACCTTGGAAGCGTTGGATGGGCGTCACCTGGTCCCGGAGGATCTCCAACCCACAGTCTTGGCGGCAACGGATATGTATATCCGGACCCCGAAGCAGGATATCCTAACGGTGCCCCTTTAGGTAACCTGTTCTACAACAGCGCTGCTGCAGGCCGACGACAGGGGAGCACGGAGCCTGGAGCTACACAATACGACGTAAAGCCACGACCGGGTGAGCTCTGGGCAGCTCAGTAATAAAAAACTGCGACTGAAACACATCGCACAGAGACTTGCCTGTGGCCGCCGCTTCTGGGCAATATTCGAGCCGGAAAGGGCCCCCCTTCCGGGAACTAGCGTGTTGACGATGATGAGTGGCCACCCCCTGCGGTTCGGCTTTTTTGGGGGGTTTTTGGTTGTTTTATAATAGAAATGCTCGGGCCCGAACCTGGACTTGTTCGATTAATGATCCCAGCGGAGACGAGCTAGGCGCATCTGCCACTTTCCGGTTTTATTTTTTTGTCTTCCCCTTCTTGTCTTGGCACGCGACCAATGACGAGCTCTCAACGAATTACCCCATTCCCTCTCCTTAGACTGGCGACTGGCTGTTCCCCGGTCACGGGGACGCTCTGTAGTGATAGTATGACTGTATGGAAGGGTAGCCTTAATGGCAGGCTAGGTGTTTGGGACTTTATTCCTTTATTATTTACTATGCGGAATTCGGGGGGCTTGTTCGGCAGACAAAACAAAACACGACGCTGGTGGTTGGGAAGGTGATGCAGAAATATGGCAGTTCAGGGCATATTCAATGCATATTTAGTATGGTAGGCGTATGTTGAAGAAAGGTTGATGAATTATAGTGTGGTGGGCGCGTTGCGCCCGGCCTTCCTAAGGAAGAACCTGCGGCAGTACTGCTCACCGCCCTACTTATCTAATCTACACGTGACCTACCAGGGCTTGGCATGCGCCAGGCCCGGGCAGGGGGGGTCCCAGCCAAAATACAGGCCTGACGACGAGTATTTATTTTTCGTACATCAGAAGGCTTGGGTGGGTCTTAGACGGCAAACATGTAAACCCTCTGCCCGGGGTGCGACAGAAGACAGGAACAAAAAAGAACATGACGACTTATTCCATAATTTAACTTCTATCCGAGAAACCGTGAATATGTGATTACAAAGACTTTTTTTCTTGGCACTCTAGTCTCTCGCTCGATCTCTACATGGTCAGGCAGGATTAGTGCGTGTTGGGCGGCTGCGCGGGATGTTCTGTAGTCCTCCTTAGGCTGTACCTGCTTGTCGGCGTCGGCTCATGAGCCCGTTTTCAGACCCTAGAGAGAAGAAGGCTCTTTCTCAGCCTTAGGGTAGTCAGAATTACTGTGTAGATTGCTGTGTTTATCGTCTGTCGAGTAGTCTCGGGTTGTTACACAATGTCGAAGCTCAAGAGTCAACCGACTCGGTGACGCTGAGCGGGGACGTGTGTAACATGGTGGGACAGAAGGTGCGATATGCCACCGACTTTCGACATGGACGACCCTGGTGAGGTCCCATCTCGTGCTCTTGGCGGGGGCATCTGGAGTTGAAGTCGCGATTTATTTTTATTGGCTTGGTACCTAGGTTAGGTAGATAGGTAATCTTTATTTTATTTACTGATTTACCCATTTGCTTCTAGGTGAGAGGGCTTTCTTCGGGTGACTCGTTTTTTCTCAGCACCCCCATTGCAGACTACCTCGGCACTCAGGTAGGTAGGTAGGTGTTTATTGGCGGGCGGGTAGGGATTTCCTCGGGAAGTATGGCGACGACGGGCTGTGATGGATGGCATAGATGGAAAGTAATCCATATTAGTATTTATTATCAGTAAATTTTCGGTGAAAGGAGTTGCAGGAGTCACAGCCCGGCGTTTGTGGCTGCCGCCGCTTAGTTAAAGCCGAGGGCAAAAGGGAGAACCTCGGAGATGGCAAACGACTTTTTTTCTTCTTTTTCGGTGCCATACTGCCGTTGGAAATTGAGAACGGTTAGAACTTGGGTGGACTGGAGACATTCCTTTGGGAATTAAAATGGGGGGGGGTCCTGATTTTGTGATTTTGTGATCACCAGCAAGGAGGGGGCGGCGGATCAGTAATCTTTTTCCATTTCTTATCCGGGCTCTGGCGGCCTTTTCTGGCTTTCAATTCTTTTGCAGTGCGTATTTTCGGGCCTCGCCGCAGGCTGCGTACTGCTACAAAAACTCAGTTTGGTGGAGTAGCTCGTACATGTAAGGCAGGTGGGGGGACTGTGCCTGCGGCCCGGGGCGCAAGACCACCACCCACCCATGTCGCCATTTCTTGGTTTTCCGACCCCTCGTTCCCTTTGGGCTGGACTGGGGCGGTTGGTTCGCCATGGGAAGGGGCTTGCGTCGTATATATACATAGGTAGCTTCAAGACTCGGACTGCGGTCTTGTCGGGAGGTGGGCAGGCACATTATATATATATGAGGTGTGTTGTAGGAGACCTTGGCAGCTTTTGGCTTGGCCTGCTTGTCCTTGTCCTACCTCGTCTCCCGTCTTCTTTTTTTTGGCTGGGCAGATTGCGTGACCCATCCCCAAGGCGGGATCAGCTCCGGGTATCGACTATCGACCATCGACGCGACGTTCGATCCACGGCCGGTACTATCAACCAACGCCTTCCTTCGTTGACTTTCTCTGCCGAGGGCAGCTCCATTAACTCCGCAACTCGCTCCCTTTGGTCTCCGAAGTCTCCGTTTTATTTATTTGCCTGCCTTGCCATCCTTCTCGTAGGCACTTTTGCTCTGTGGTTTCATCTTGCCTAAAACTCGCACACACGCACGCACACACGCCATTTGAACGCGGCACTGGAGGCGCGTGCACCTCTCTTCATCCCAGTCTCTTGGGTTCTAGAAGGCTTGGAGAAAAAACTTGTGTAAGCCGATCTATCCAATCTAGTCCAGAGAAAGAACGAACAACGTGCTTACTAATAGCGGACTACGCTCAGGTAGTCGCTAAGACGGTTCGCCGTTGCACTTGCCACCTGTCCGCGGCAGTTAATAAGCTGACGAGAAGAGGGAAGCAGCAGGCACCAAGCAAGCTGCTCCCTCTTCCCTCGTCTGCCTGCCTGCCTGCCTGCCTGCCTGTCTGCCAGCCGGCCGGGCAGAAAGGTCTCACGGGACAGGACGGAGATACAGGGGTCAGCGAGGCACTACGGATACAGCGCCAAGCATCCGGTGCCAAGACGAACGAGGCCGGATTTGAGGAATACGCTCTCCGAATCCGTTCATATATTTCTCACTTGGCATGTGTAAGAAATAAGAAGTATATAAGAAATATCGTACACACCCATTCCAAGGTAAGTAACAACACCATAAGCAGGCCGTCAGCTCGAGTATGACGGACCAACAATCGTCTACTAAGGTACATGCCTTGAGCTACTGAAGAGGTATTGACTGACTACTCAAAAGGGCTGATTGATTCCACACACTCGCACCTCTAATACCCCTCAAGGAAACGAGGAACTCGGAATCGAGGTTGAGGGAACGAGACACAAAAAACCATGGCAAGGCTTAGCATCAAGGTCGATATCCACTCAGACACGGTTTGTCCATGGTGCTATCTCGGGAAGAAGAGCCTCGACAGCGCCATTGCCACCTTCCGCGCCCGCCATCCCGGCGTCGACTTTGACTTGGTATGGAGGCCGTATATCCTCCACCCAACTGCTAAGGCCTCTTGTACGTTGTTTCCGTTGCCACCTTTTTTTTTGGTTGTTCTTCGACTCTGGTGAAAGGTGTGCATACTTGGACTTGTTCTCTCTCGCTTCCCCCATTCAAGCTCACATATCGCGATGAGGGGTTTGCGACTTCTCATCGTCCACCGGGCTTTGTGTCACTCGTCAGCATAGTGCTAGACAAAGTAAAAGAGGAAGTGCAATGCGGTCTGCAAAGCCAGAGATCAAGCTATCCTTTTCTTTCCTTTTTTCACACAATTCTCTGGCACTCCAATTCGATATTGCTCCTTCTGACCGAACCACTAGCATACCCAAAAGGGTCCAGCATCTCGGCCGTTCTCGGCCCACGCGCGGGCCCCATTTTTGAACGCATCGCGGCCACAGGTGCTGAGTACGGCATAAATTTCCGGTGGGAGGGCCTGACGGGCAACTCGCGCGATTCGCACAAGTTGATTCTTCTTGCGGCAGAGCAGGATGCCGCTGCCGCCGCCGCCGCCGCCACCTCTCTGCTCTCAACATCACAGTCCCCACCACCACCCCCCGCACAGACTGGACCGGCCTCGGCAACATCTTCCTCCTACGCCGAATCAACAATATCCTCGGCGTCCACAGTCTCCATGTCTCCGCAGACAGAATACGACCAGGACGAGGATGTGGACATGGACGGCCATGACGCCGACACACACCTGCCCAAGAACCAGCCAGCAACAACACCAACTCGCCCGCTTACCAACAAAAACAGCAAGTTAGACGCCGTCATAGAAGCCATCTTTAGCGGCTCCTTCCAAGAGGGCTTCGACGCGTCCGACCGGGGGTTCCTGTCGCACGTGGCCGTGGAGACGGGAGTTCTCGGGCCGTCCGAGGCGGCCGCGCGCGCGTGGTTTGACGGCGATGCAGCAGCAGCTGCCGCCGCAGAGACAACGTCGGCCACGCGGATCGGCGCGACCGTCGACGCCGAGGCGGCCCGCGCCCACGACGTCGGCATCTCGGCCGTGCCGAGCTACATCGTCCAGGGCCGGTACCGCATCGGCGGCATGCAGGGGCCAGATGTGTTTCTGGGCCTGTTTGAGAAGATTCTTCTCGGGCAGCAGCAGCAACAGCAACAAAATCAGCAACAAGCACAGAGCCGAATGCTGGCGCTGAAAGATCTGGCCGGCGTTAGTCTCGGAGGGCGAGTAATCGACGAGGACGAGCCGGTGGCGGTGAAGCAGGAGAGAAGGGACGGGGGCAACGAAGAGGAGCGGCGGCGGCGGCAACAGCGGCCGCAGACGGGTGAGAAAAGGAGAGACAGGAGGTTATCGATTGCCACGATCATGCGGAACAGCTGCAAGATGGAGCAAGACTGAGAACAAACAAGGTTGTTCTCTTTTTTTTCTTCCCCCTTGGAAACAAACCATGTTACTTTCCACTGTCCCGTCGGGGAAGGAGGCTCGAAAGGAATAAAAGGCGGTGCGGTTATACCCAGCAAAAAATAGTAGGCTGCTAAATCAGGAACAATGGAGGGTTTCTTCTTCTTTCTGTCTTCTTTTTGGAACAGGGAAAAGAAAGCCGGTGCTGACCAGGGGAAGGGGGGAGTTGCTGGCGTACTATTCCATGTACGGGGATGTCGTCTGCGAGCGACTTTATCTCTTTTTCATGTACGTATCTGTGTTATGAGTGTACGTACGTATCAATCGCGAGGCTTGCAAGTTGGTTGAGGAAACACAGTGAGAAGATACTCCCAGAGATATTCATTGGTGATTCCGCAAGACTGGCTAGCCTTCTGGCGTTTGTAACTGTCAGTCTGCTTATCATGGAACTGGCGGCGACATGTATTTTCATTTTTGTTCCCTACTAGGAAGCTATGTTACCAGCTCATCTTATAGACATTTATTCCTCCTCGTGCCCGAGACGTTCTGCCGGCTCGGCTCAAAAGGCGAATAAGTATACTTACTTTTTTTTCTTCTTTTATTTATTTATTTCTCGTCTGGCAATCTAGGTTGGGGTGCTTAGAAGACGAAAAAAGCCAGAATCATTAAAAAAACGCCAAATCCAAGACCGTGTACCCGCTTCTTTCTTCACCCCCTCCGAGAAGAAAATGTCAGGCACCTGACGATTGATTTTTTTCCTATCTTCGCTCCTGTAAAAGTCATATTCGCTCCTGTAAAAGCCATCTCCGCTTCATGCGCGAGGTATGAAAAAAAGCAAAAGAGGAGAGAAGGGAGAGAAAAGAGCCTCGTTACCTGCCTGCCCTCCCTGCCTACCTAACCGGTTGGCCCCAAGACGGAAAATAAATTCACCTTCCCCTTGAAATGCTCTGGTGACCCGCCGGGAAAACGCCGACCCAATGCCATGATCTGTGAAGAATAGACAACTTGTACTAACAATGTGAGCAAAAAAGATGCAATGAAAAGATACAAGCACATATGTGCTGACCTGACCGACTTGGTGCATATTCTGCGTGAGCATGCCGTCACCGCTTCATGTAGCTATAGTCCTTGAGGAGATGCTCCATGTGGGTGTTTGTCGACTTGCCCGTGCGGCGCTGGGCACGCTTCTTCTTCTTCTCGACCTTTGGGGCCTGCATCAGCTTGAGCCGCGGGTCTTCCGAGGCCGGCTTTTGCTGGGCCGTCAAGAGGCGCTGGACAATAGTGTCGACGGCGGGCACCTCGACGCGGGACCACATGACTTTCAGTTCCGGGTCAATGTCGTGGAAAAGGCTTGAATCGTCGAGCCAGACCATGCGGGCGACGTTGTCCTTCTTGGCGCGCACCACCAGCAGCTTGTGGACGGCCTCGAGGTCGCTGATGGCCGCCTCACAGTCGGGCCAGCCGTCCTTGAGATCCTTGACGCTGACGCCGCTAGAGTCCGTCTTCTTCTGAAGGTAGGCTAGAAGCTGCGTTTTGGTGCGCACGTTGGGGATCGTCGGCCGGTGCAGGTAGGTGCCCGTGCGCCACGTCTGCTCGCTGAGGTTGGGATCGGGAATCCACTGTATCTGCGGGTGCCGGCGCATCTGCTCGACAAAGAACTCCTGCTCGCTCTCGGGGCGGTTGGTGCCCGACAGGTATCCCAGCACATCCGCATAGCCCTGCGGCTCCTCTTTGGTGCGCAGCCATGAGACGGCATAGGCCATCTGCGCGATGTCGCTGTCGCCCGTTCCTGTGTTGATGGGCTGCGAGTAGACGATGGGGTGGCCGCTGGCCGAAGCGCCCGGGGTGTCGCGTTCCTTGCGGGGGTTTGCGACGGCGGCCGCCGACGTCGTCGAGCCAATCGAGGGCGAGGGGGACGGCGGTGCGAGAGCGCGCTTGGTGCCGCCAATCTTGGAGGCAGCGGCAGACATGCTGCCGGCAAAGGCGGCCTGCTGCCGCTCGAGTGCGCTCGCCATGGCTGCCGGCTGCTGGCTGCGCTTGTGAGATTCCTCTCAGTCGGTGTCTCGAGTTTTGCTTCTCTGCGACCGCGCCTCTGTTCGTGGCTCGTGATCGCGAGAGATGCCGCCCTCTTCACAGAAATGCAGGTTTCTGCGAATGATGTCGAGCCGGCGGCGACGTGGCGGTGGCCGATGAGATGACGTCGAGAGGTGAGGGAGCGACGACCTCCGTTGTTGGAGAGACGTTTGGCCGCTTGGTTTGTGCGAGAAACAGTCAAGGCAAGGCTAACTTTAACTTCCTGGCCTGGAGGATTAGCCGAATGGTCGAAAACGGGCCAACCATGTGAGCGCAGCGCAACAACCCACCAATTAGCCGAAATAGACCTTGTAACCTAGTTTCAAGAGCTCCCAAGCAAAGAGAGTGTGAAGAAAAGTCTAGAATTATCAGAATTTGTTGCTTCAATCACCCGTAAGTGACATTGCACTATTTGATTGCGTGTTGCGACAAGCATTGCGCTGTTTCGAGCCTCTTCTACAGTCATTCAAAAGCCCCACAGTAGCGAGCTTGGAACCGTCAAAGAAACTGGAAACAAACACTCAAAGGTGACAGTCCAGGCATTCCGTTTCCTCGGGTACTAAGTATTGTGGCTACTCGGGGTCGTTGGCTGGCGCGCTGCGGAACTAGGATAAAGCCAATCCTGAATGGATCAAAGAAGAGACTTCAAGCAAATCGATTGACCGGGAAATTACAAGATTCTATAACCCACTCACTAATTCCAATGCCTACCAAAATATCGCCGTCCTCCTTGTAAGATTCTTAGCCAACCAGGCACGAAAGAGATCGGTATTCGACATCGCCTCGCTAGAAAATGAACCAAATCTCCGGCACATGCACAACACCTGGAGAGAAAGGCTGGGCCACTTGACGGGAAGTATGCGTGAGAAGGTGAGAGCAGTGCTTTGTTTGCCTTTCCTCAAAACGCCAGAGCCTCAAATAAGCAGGTCGTCGCATCTCAACATTTTACCGAGAGGGACCGATGTTTGAGAAGGCCTGGGGCTTTGCAAGCGGCGTAGGCCCCGAGCTTCCGTTGTGAGTGTGTGTTTGTGTGCGGGTTGAATGTGTGCGTGCTGGCCCAAAAAGACAAGCGCCGCCCTCTCCCTCCTCGTCTACCACGGGATAGAAAGTGTGAAATGCGCCAAAGCCATCATTATAGATTGTGTCTTTCTCTCTGCCTAATCCCTTAGGCGTTCTGCGCCGCCTGCTGTTGCTGCAGGTACTGGTAGGCGCCGAACGCAAGCAGACCGCCGATAGCAACTACCGCATACAAGCCGACACCGGCACCGGCACTCTGGGTTTGGCCAGCGGCAGCCACGGCGCCGGTAGTGGCGGACTTGGGCTTCGGGTCGCCAGGCTAAAGAAATTGGTCAGTATGGTCGCTCTTTGCTGTTGTAAAGGGATGGAGTCCAGTCCTGTTTTACGTACATTGCGCTTCAGAGTGCCGACCTTGAGCTGCTCCAGTGTCTCGCGGGCCTCGTCACTGTGACCAACATCTTCGAACGCCTCAGTAGCATCCTGACCGGCAACATCTAGGAGAACCTCTTCGCCGCCGCTGTGTGTCGCCGAGTTGCGGGTTAGCTAACTAGTCTGTCCCGAGTGCCGATGCGGGGAAAACGTGGATAAGACCCATCGGCGGGCGGAAGAGACGGCAGTTACTTACGGATGCTCATCCACAAACTTGGTGGCATCGTAAATGACATCGTGAACCACAATGTAAAGGTCCTTCTTGGTGTTGTGCTCGGCAACGTCCTGGAAGGTAAGCTCCTTGGTGGCCATCTTGTTCAAGGTCTGGTCGCGAGGGCTTCTTTTTTTTTTTTGATGGTGCTGGACCAGCTGCTGTTAGCAAGGTACCGCAGTGCTAGGTCTGGCTCGTGCTACACGGGGAATGCGTCGCGACGGTGCTGTGTGTCTGGAATCGGAGTTTGGAACTTACAAGTATGGATTGGGCGGGGGATTAATGTGAGGGCTTGTCCGTGTCGTTGGAAAGGGGGATACGAAAAAAAAAAAGAGGAAGGGGGAAAAAAGGTCAAAGACCGTTATTGAGATAGATCTCAACAATCGCGGATAAGACAGCATGGCAGCTTTTGGAGTTAACTATCTCTGGCGAACCCCGAGTATCCATTTCCACCACCCCGGACAAGCACGGGCCAATGAGCGCCTGCCCGAAGCAAGTAAAACTCACCTTGATTCGTCCAATGGCAAATGGGCCGATCTGGGACCTGTTAATCCCGGGGGTTACCCTTGGATGATTTTCACGCTCGACATAAAGGGGTCCGCACCCACTGTCAGTTGTCTGCCACCCAGATGGGTATTCAATACAGCGGTCACCTAGCTAGCAGATTTGGCTGGGTACCGATATCCGTCTCCTGTCCCGGTGCGGCGGCAACCTGAGGCACACTTTGACTCCGGGGCTAGCTTTATTCCCCGCCATGCCACCTCCATAACCCGTTGTCCGACGGCCATCGATTCGGCGTCTCATTTCCCGTTTCGGAGTGCGAGTGCCGAGAGGTGCTTCATGCCAGCATTTCCTGTTCCAATATGTAGTACTAGTAACTAAAGTACGCTCACAGATCAAAGGCACTTGTTGGAATCCATTCTCCCGTTGCTTGTATTTGCGTTTGTTTTTGGGTCGTTTCTGCCTTTCAAAATCTCATTTCGGTATCACGAATCCACCTCATTGGCCACTATGATTCCCAACTGACTCGACTTTTCCCGCCTGACTATCTCCTCGAAGCTCCGCCACCGATATCTTGCCCCAGCCGGTAGCTAGAGACTTTGTCCCACTCGATTTTCTGTCTCGTCACTGGCAATTGTCTTCTAAGCCCCTTGAAAGCCCCTTCACTGAGACTTGTAAAGCTACGATTGAGCTCTTCCTGGTACTTCTTTTCACTCCCCGAGATCTCCTTCGCAATACTAGCGCCAGACCCGGACGACACAGACGAATTCACAGGCTTGTTTGTGAGTAAGCGAACGTTGCCGTCCTCGTAGTAGTGCACGTCGACCTTGATGGAGCCCTCAAGAGCACCAGACGCAGGGTTAAAGATGTATAGTGACCGCCACCGTCCGTTCCTGCAACAAGGTTAGTCGACAACCTAGACCCCAAATACGTATGCTCTGGTCCGCGGAGGGGGCCATACCAGAAGTTGTTTGGGCTGTACTTGTTCGCAACTATGATAATCGCGATCTTGGAGTCGTTCTCTATCGGGTAGACGCCGTAGGTGGCATTTTGAAAGTGCTCTTTGACATAGGTGGACAGGCCCTTAAGCGTTGATTTCCTAGTGAACCGGCCAGAGTTAGCCGCGCTGTCTCGTCACGTATGGGGGGCATTTGGCTTGCTTACACCAAGTCTGCCTGCGCGCCTTCTAGCACATAGCTCTGAACCGAGCTGGCTTTCTATACTGCTAGTCAGTACTTTGTTTCCCCACGGTCGGAGGGCGACTGCTGTTCACCTGCGTAGCATGGTCGAATGCAAAGCTCGAAGAGCTCTCGACGTCGAAGTAGCGTTCGCCGCCCAGCGAGCTGTGGGAGCTGACAATGACCGGCTGGCTACCCCCAGGCAGTTTGACCGTTGCGAACTGCTCCTCGTTGTACTTCTGAAAGGCCGGGCCCAGCTCGCTTAGAAGGCTCGGGGTCGAAATCGTAAGAGCCTTGATATCTAAGGGGAAAGCATAGAGTTAGATTATGGTCATTCTCTAGTGCGAGTGGGTAGCAAAAGAGTCATGCCTGCGACAACGTCTGCTAGCTAGAGCTCTGTCAGTATGACCCGTATGACGACGCCTGTTCGTGGGCTTGTATCATGGCGCTTACCTCTCCAGGGGGGGCTCCCTCGACAAATGACGAGACGATTGCCTTATTTGACGACATGGCCAAGTCGACTGGTCGGAGTTATCTGAAAGAAATGTTCTTCGTTTGCTGTTCAGCAGCAGGTTGAGAATGGGGCTGGTCGCAAACGTGCGGCCGCGTGCTTGCTTGGGCAGTTTTGGTGAAACAAGGATGCGGGGCATCACTCAAACCGAAGGTGGGGGAATCGGATTCTCAACCTGGGCGAACACGGACCACCAAGCTAGCCGCCATAACCCGCCATAACGGTTGTGCCTGGCAGCCTGCCAGAGTCTAAAAGTAGCCGATCACCGACACACTCCGCACACGACTGGGAACTGAAAAGTGGAGGCCGTTGAAAGTTTAAAACCTTTTCCAGATGGGCAGGATGGCATTTTTGTACCGCTATATTCTAATATCGTTCTTTCTTTCTTTCCTTCTGCTTTCCTGTCGGGCCGCGCGATATCGGTGGCATCAGTACCCCTATCGTGTGTTCCGTATTGCGAGCTTCGTGAACGAACAACAGGGCGACCTAAACAAAACAACGGCGAAATAGAGGGCGGAGCACGCTTTGGAATGCATAAGCTCGAAATAATTGACGCCGATTCCCTATCCAAACGCCTTTGCTCCATTGCCACGTATTGCTTCTCTTTGCTCAAACTCGACCCGCTGAACCCTTAGTACTCTACGACCCTTTTTATATTGTCATATATCCCTACTCACGTTAGCTGGAGATGTGTCGTACCACGGGCTAGGACACTTACTCGCTACATCAGGAGTATTGAAAGCCTCGAACAGGAGAGGCATGTGGATGCTCCATCCCGCGACGCGAGCTACAGGCGCTTCCAATCGAAGGAAGGTCTCAGTATCCTCTTGAATCGCGGCGGCAACCTCAGCGCCAACGCCAGCATTGACCATGGATTCGTGGACGACAATGCACCGCCCAGTCTTGCGGACGCTCTTGAGCACACATTCCTTGTCCCATGGGTAGATGGTTCGGAGGTCTATGAGCTCGACTGAGACGCCCATGACCTTTTCGGCATGACTGATGGCTGCCATGCACTTGTACAGGGGCTGGCCATAGGATATGATTGTGACATCGGTTCCTTCCTTGAGAACTTCGGCCTTGGACAGGGGGAGCGTGTAAGACGCAGTCGGGACCTGCTCGACCGCCGCGCGATACAGGATCTTGGGCTCCATGAAGATGCAGGGGTCGTTGCTCTGAATTGCCGCCAGCAGTAGCCCCTTTGCCTGGAGGGGCGACCTGGGCATTATCACTCGAAGCCCCGGAATGTGTGTGAACAGGCTCTCGGGGGACTGCGAATGGTATAACCCACCGTGGCCGACACCACCACACGGCATTCTCACTGTCAAGCCGCCAACGCTACGCCCACAGGCGCCATCACGGTAGCGGAACTTGGCGGCCTCATTCACCAACTGGTCAAAGGCGGGATATACGTAGTCGGCGAACTGGATTTCGGCGACAGGCCGCATCCCTTCGGCGGCAACACCGATGGCAAATCCCACGATGCCTTGTTCGGTTAAGGGGGTGTTGAAGACGCGGTCGCCTCCATATGTCTCGGCCAGTTTGCTGGTACAGCGGAAGACGCCTCCGAAGGCGATATCCTCGCCGAATATCATGACTGACTCGTCTTCGGCTAGGGCCAACGACAGGGCGTCGTTGACGGCCTGGAAAAGGTTCATTCGCTTCGTGGTGCCATTGCGAACGTGGGGGGGAAGCTCAGGGCTGCTCAGAGCGGCCTGTGATGTGTGCGCCAACAGGGGCGTCTTTGCATAGTCGGTCGGTAGGTTCAGCTTCGCCTGGGGAGGATGTGTCGAGTACCGTCGGTTTAAGGGCGAGGCCGGCACGATCGCGGTAGCAGCCCGGGGTAGTCGATGGGAATGGCGCACCTGGGCTCTTACACGCGGACTCGAGCATAGCAATTGGGCGTTTGGCCGAATTGCCGGGCCTTTCATTTTAAGTCTGGAATAGGGTCTTGCCTTGACGCTCGCATAGACAGGTTCTGCATCCCAAAGGCGAGAAGCAGAGGTCGTAGAAGAAAGAGGTGTAGGAACGGGGCGAGACTACTGTTGGGGCCGGCTTGCGACGGCTTTGTGGGTTTCAAGGAACGATGGAGACACCTGAATGGGACGGCGCGGGGCCCCGCTTTCTATTCCCCCCGCCCTGCCAAGGCCTGAGCTTGGTTGAGGCAGGGCACCCGCCAGTTGCGATGAAAGTCAATAACACCCATGTTTTTCGTCGTGCAAAGGAGCCAAAGCCAGAAAAGATGAGCTCGATCTTTCAGGTATGTCGGCAAGGATTGGAAATCCAAATAGGAGAAAATTCTAGCCCCAACTTGGTTGGGCGCATTCGTGGCTGGAAAGTTTGCTGGGATGGAGGGGTGACGTAGTCCCACAGCGCTGGAGAGCGGTTGGGGAATCAGACGTTAGTGGATAATTGCGGTTGTCCAGTCAACTATCGCGCCTCTTTACTTTCTTGGTAGGTGCAATGGGCAAATCAGAAAATAGCGAGGCAGGACTGTCAACCGACCTCCCCGAATGACGTCGCCTTATTAGGCAATAAAAAACCAAGACACATTCCGGGCCGGCTATGGTGACGACTCCCATACCGATATTGCATTCCCAGCAGATCGAAGATATTGACGTCGCCGCCCATGGCTCCGCGAGAACCGGGCCAGCGACGCCGGAAACCGCCAGCTAAAAACAAGCACAAAAAAAGGCGGCCCAGCTCAAGAGACGAACCCCCAACATCAACCGAAAGTAGGTCGGCAGGAACCACATCGCAGGGCTTGTCCTCGGCGGCATTGGCGCTGCTTAACCAGGAAAATGCGAGGAATATCCCAATACAACAGCTCCGTCGAGATCGAGAGCGAGAACGAGAACGAGAACGAGAACGAGAAGAGGAGAGGGAAAAGGAGAGAAAGCGCGAGCGCGAGCGCACACGGGCCAGAGAGAAGGAGTTACGAAAGCAGAGAGAGAAACGGGCTCTAGCCAAGGAAGACGCTCGCCAGGCGACGACAAACCCAAGAAAACAAGCCGCGAGGGACGGCTACCGCGATCTCGGCGACCCCCAGATTCCATATGAAACGGCGGTCCAGAAGCCTCGCGACAAGAAGCGCAGCAGTCGCCGTGTTGTCAGCGGGGCGATACTCGAAGAGGGCAGGGGGGAAGCACGCGGGCTGAGAGGGGGCGCTCTAGAAAGCAGCTACGACAGCAGCGTCGAGAAGGATGCGATATACGAGGACCACGGCCGGAAGCTGCCAAGAAACAAGCGGAAGAAAATATGTAAGTCACAATAAACTAGGACCGTGCTAGCTGGTCGCCGGTGACGCTTGCTGACAGCAGATTAGGGATCCTTGTTGGAATCGGGGTCGTCATCCTCCTCATCATCATCATAGTAGTAGCCGTCGTAGTCAGCAAAAATAACTCGGGCGGCGGCAGCAGCGATGACAGCAGCGGGCCCAACACGTCGGGGTTGAGCGGCTTGTCGCCGAGCAGCGTGCCGGCAGGGGCGCCGTCATGGCTGAACCCGTTTGTCTGGCAGGACACCACCAGCTTCAACCTCACTTACACCAACGACACGGTTGGCAACCTGCCCGTCATGGGGCTTTACTCAACTTGGGATGACTCGGCGGCGGCCAACGAGCACGCGCCGGCGCTGAACCAGCCCTGGGGCGACTACTCGAAGCGGCCGGCGCGGGGGGTCAACGTCGGCGGGTGGCTGTCGCTGGAGCCCTTCATCACGCCGTCGCTATTCAACTACGACCTGCGCATGGGCATCGTCGACGAGTACACGCTGTGCAAGTACCTGGGGTCGAAGTGCGAGAGCACGCTCGAGAAGCACTACGCCACGTTTGTGACCGAGGACACGTTCCGCGACATCGCCGCGGCTGGGCTCGACCACGTGCGCATCCCCTTCTCGTACTGGGCGGTGCAGACGTACGACGGCGACCCCTACGTGTTCCGCACGTCGTGGCGCTACCTGCTGCGGGCCATCGAGTGGTGCCGCAAGTACGGCCTGCGCGTCAACCTCGACCTGCACGCGCTGCCCGGCAGCCAGAACGGCTGGAACCACAGCGGGCGTCTAGGCCCCATCGGCTGGCTCAACGGCACCGACGGCGACACCAACGAGCAGCGGTCGCTCGACGTACACGACCGCCTGTCCAAGTTCTTCGCCCAGCCGCGCTACCGCAACATGATCAGCCACTACGGCCTAGCCAACGAGCCCAAGATGACCTTCCTGTCGGTTTCGGGCGTGCTGCAGTGGACCGAGACGGCGTACGCGCTGGTGCGCAAGAACGGGCTGCCCGACTCGGCCGTCGTCGTGTTCGGCGACGGCTTCCGCGGCCTCGAGAACTGGCAGGGCGAGCTGACCGACCTGAGCACCAGCCAGGGCGCTGCCCTCGACGTGCACCAGTACGTCATCTTCAACACGGACCTCATCGTCTTCAACCACTCGCAAAAGGTCCAGTTCGCCTGCGACAACTGGTCCCAGCAGTCGAGCGCCAGCATGGACCGCGCCACCGGCTACGGCCCCACCCTTGTCGCCGAGTGGTCCCAGGCCGACTCGGACTGCGCCCAGCACCTGACCAACGTCGGCTGGGGCAACCGCTGGACCGGCACCCTCGGCACCCTCACCTCTCCCTACTGCCCCCTCAAGGACAGCCGCTGCGACTGCAACGCCGCCAATGCCGACCCCTCGCAGTGGTCCGACACGTACAAGCAGTTCCTGCTCATGTTCGCCGAGGCCCAGATGTCCAGCTTCGAGAAGAGCTGGGGCTGGTTCTACTGGGTGTGGGACACCGAGTCTGCGTGAGTTTTGTTTTTCTTTCTTTCTCCATTTCCCCTCTAACCGACACTGTTCAAATTCACTGACTGGGTTATTTGTTTAGCCCCCAATGGAGCTACAAAAAGGGCCTCGCCGCCGGCGTCCTCCCCGCCAAGGCCTACCAGCGGAGCTTCGACTGCTCGTCTGCCATCCCGAGTTTCTCGGGCATGTCGGAGGGCGTGTAGGTTTGTTGTTGTTTTCTTCTGGAAGGGCCGGTTTTTGTCTTGGTAACGCACAAGCTCAGCATGATCTTTACCCTTTTATTTTTTTTCCCACGCATGGCTCAGGGGAACGGTGTTTTATGTTTGTGTTTATTTTTTGCTGGTTTTCTAGCGACGGCATCAGATCTACCCGGGCATACGTATATATAGGTAGGCAGGCAAGCATAGGCACACAGCGTTGGTCATCATGGATGTAGGTGGGAGGGTGGTGGTCTTGGTTGACTATAGATTCGGCCTTGCAAAAGTGGCACCGAGGGATTTGTAATAACGGGTTGGAAATGTATACATATATACATATATATATATGTGTGTGTGTGTGTGTGAGAGAGAGAGAGAGTTTTGGTTATATAACGACGACTACGAAAACGACGGCGATGGCGATAAAGGTTGTGGCGCCTGTCATGGCGTGCGCGTGTGTATATAGAATGAAACTCGCTCGTTGTTTAAACCAATAAATATCCTCGTTGGCAAGGAAAAGCCTGGTAACTTGATGTTGTATGAAGCATACAATGCTATGTTATGTCTCATCGCCATCTCACGCGGTTTGGTCTTCCTCTGCACCATCCTGGTGGTAATGAGTAGATATGTATGTATATTAACCTCGGACCCGAAGAAAGACACAAAGACTCCGTTTCCAATGCCACACACTCGTAAAGTATCCAGCTATTTAGTCACTATTACTTACTCACGTCCTGATATCTGGCCCATTCATTCGGGCATTCTGTAAGTGGCCTTTTCTCATGTGTCTATCATATAAAAAGGTAGATGCACAACAACAACAACAACAACAACATCAACATCAACATCAACATCAACAAGCGGCCGTCAATCATGTGCTCCCGTATGCTACATTCTCATGCCCAGACGCTATCCGGATGGGGTGGCATTCCGTGTTGTAGACGAACTGGTTGGTGTGGTCTGCCTGCACCTGCCAAGGAGCGTCCTGTGAGGGAGATGAACGGGTTAATGCTGTTCGTGATATACACAGCACAGAGACAGGGGGAGGGAAACTCACTTCGGCAAATATGAGGTACGAATACTTGAGCACCTCGGCGAACCAGAAGCTCTCCTGGAAATTGGAGAAGCCGCCGCCGCCGGGGGCGTTGACGTCGTTAACGCTGGAGTAGCCGCTGCCGATGCGGCAGGTGGCGTTGATGGCCTGGAACGACGCCCAGGCCCACTCCTGGTACTTCTTGTCGCCCGTGGCGCGGTAGGCGTAGTAGATGCTCTCGAGGACCTCGGGGCGCAGCACGTAGTTGCCGTTGCTGATCCAGAACCCCGACGTGTTGTAGAAGCCGGCCTGCGCGGCCGGCGGCCCCGGGTTGTTGGTCGCGTTGAGCGGCGTCCGGCTGTCCTGCCACGAGAACACCTCGGGCCCGATCCCCGTCGCCGTCTTCACGTACGTCTCGTGGCACGAGTCCACCAGGTCCAGCCCGAACCGCACGTATATCGGCTCGTCGAGCGTCAGCCCGCCGAGGATGAAGTTGCCGCCGTTGAAGCAGGCCACTGTTTTGTTTGGTTGCAGAGAGTCAAGAGTTAGATATCGCATCCACGAGACGGTGTGACTGTTACCACGACCACGGGTTCACAACCGGCCTGAAGATAGGACAGACAAGAATAATAAGAAAAGAGCAAACTTACGGTGCTCCGACACAAACTGCAGCGTCCTGTTGTTCCACATGGCGAGAAAGGTAAGGTCCGGGCGCGACGTCGGGTGCGACGTCAGATACTGGATGGACGAGTCGACGGCCTTGACCCAGCGCTCGCCGTACTCGCGGAAGCGCAAGGGGTCGTACAGGTACATCTTGATGAGGTACTCGTAGAAGCTGTCGTCGCCGCCGCCCCAGCCGCCGCTGCTGTCGACGAATAGGCCCGTTGTGATATTGACGTTGGTGCCGAGCAGCCCGGGGAAGGGCTCGCCGAGCGCCGGGCGCGGGTGCAGCAGGTACGACTCGGCCTTCTGGGCCAGCCGTCCGTACTCGGGGTTGCCCGTCAGGTCGCTGAGGCGAGTCCACTCGAGCACCAGCGTGCCGATGGTGGCGATGCCGTTTGTGGCCTGGCCGACCTTGCGCGGGGGGCCGAACTTGAGCATGTTGTCAGGAACGCCGCTCGGCGTGTCAAAGGCCACTTTGAGGTTGTCGGCCAGCCGCTGCGCCTGGACCAACACGGCCGTCACGTTGGTCGTGTCGTTGCCCGCGTGGTTCCAGAGCGGGCCCGTCATCAGGTCATAGGCTGTATCAGAGAGTAGACAGAACAAGTTATTAGCAGAGAGCCCCTGCCGCCGCCCGCCATAAGCCATGATGCGGGCGTCGCGAGGACGGGATAGTCTAGTTCTTTACCGGACAGCATCCCGCCTAGGTAACGGATGGTGGTCTCGAACAGCGAGATCTCGGTCGACGTGTTGCTGAAGTTGATGGTGGGCACGTAGTCGAGGATCTGGTTGACGACGCCCCAGTTCTTCATGACCAGCGCCGTGCTGAAGGCATCTACCGCGCTTGCACCCCATCCGTTTCTGGACCGCGGCGAGCCATGTAGCGCATGTCAGTTACCTGGCCGGCGGCACCGCAGTTTCATAACTGACTGAAAAAGAAAACACACCTGTCATCCGAGTACGTATTGGTGGCCGGCCTCAGGGAGTCGTGGGGGAAGGCATATTTGTAGTATCCATTCCAGGCAGTCTGAAATGCCTTCTTGACGGTGTCCGCCCTGTATTTTTGTGCAGTATACCGGCGGCGAAGTGAGGCCTCGTCATTCGGGGGAAGGGGGTTTGCTACCACTTGGTGCGCGAGTCCGACGAGGAGAAGGGATACCAGGGCCGAGGCGGTTCTGAGATGCATGATTTAAACTATGTGGGCGCAGTCAGGGGCCGAGGGGAGGGAACAACAACAATACCATACAAGATGACAAAATGTCATGTAGATGCTTGAACAGGAAACAATGAAAACGATTTCCCACCGAGGAGCGACAAGAGGGCCAAACGGCAAAAGACCAAAGGAAAAAAAAAGGGAGGACGGAGATGAAGATGTTTATACTTTTTTGCACGAGACAGGGAAGGGGTGGATTCCCGGTAAAGACATATTAAGGCGTCTGAGCACTTGAAGAAAGCCGCCTGCGGGACGGAATCAACATGTCATCTGAATGCCGCCATGTGCTCGTCGGGACGACGCATTGGTTTTGCACGGAACAGTACCTACCTACCTCCCTCATTGCGACTCCGGGAATAAGCGCCACGGCATGCCAGCTTGCAGATAGACTAAGGCGGGCTATAGAGAGGCTAGGACAGACGCCTCGGCGGCTCAGAACAGCAACAGCAACAGCACAGCACAATCACGACAGCGAAACACGCCCATTTTCGAGGATCGGCCGTGGCTGCGTGGGAAGATGCTTGGCTAGATCCGCTCGGGCTCGGCAAGCCTGCCTCTGTGGCTCGCTGCTCATCAGTGCCGATCCCCTTCCAATTCTCTCCGCAAGTCTGTAGAAACGTAGCGAGGCGAGCGAGGCTCAACCGCATAGAACCACGATATGATTGGGCAGTTCCCCTGATACCTGCCTAAACAAGTAGGAGCTTGTGTTGCCGCCCTGAGAGATTGAATGGAACACTTGAGCAGCGAACCTTGGCTCACACGCTCAATGGTAGCAATGCAGAATGTCTTCTGACCTTTGGCAACTTTTCATAGTTACACCACGCAAGTCAGTCCATCGGCAATGACAAAGTTGGTTTATTGCTCAACTCCCTAGAACTTAAGCCAGGAAATGAGAAAACCTTGCCCCGCGGTTAAGGAGCGAGTCTGGAACTTGTTGACAAGGGAAATAGCTGGCTGAAAATAGGCGTGTCTTAGATGGTGGGTATTGGTGCAGCCAAAACTCTCCGGGAATGCCAGCGCCTTATCTTATTCCGCGGACGGCACGGGTAACTCTGGGGAAAAGGTTACTAGTTCATCAGCAATTATTTCTAGGCTAGAAATTGCAGAGAACCTGACCCGACCTCGTGGCTGTTTGTGCAGGTGGCCGAAATAATCTAGTAAGTGGTGCATTAACTGTGAATTAAACAACACTCCCAGTCCGGCAGGACGTCCGCCTGTGGGGGGACGGGCACCGAGTTTGCGAAACAGTGACAACAGCATACAGCATACAGCTACATACTGCAGTCACACGAGCTGCTGATGTAGTTAGGAAGGGTGGACCCAGGTATACGGATGTTAGTGGGAAATTAAAGAAAAAAAAGGATAAAGTCAATGCCCCCCTTTCGGGCCGTAGGAATCCCAATGACTAATTGCGCGGGTGCAATCCGGATATTGGCATCTGGAAGATGTCCTGGCTTTCCACTTCTACCCCAAGCCCTCGTCGGGGGGGGGGGGGGCGCCACAAGTGGATAGGAATCCCCAAGAGGCCGAGAACACCACGGGAGCGGACCCGGTATGTCTGTACCCCCTTCCGCCCATGTGCCGTGCGCCTGTCCCACAGCCATCCGGCAGTCTGCCGAGGCCAATGCGCAACGGAGCAAGCAGGTCAACAAGACCGATCGAGGCCCAATGACACCTTCTTTCTTGGCTCCCGCATTCCACGTGCGGCCAGGTGCGACACGGTGCAGCCCGGAGCAGCTCAGGATAGCCCAAGACAGCATCTAATGAAACACAATGTGTTGGCCATTTGCTGCATAGTTGATATGGACTTGGTTCTGAATCCTGTGTGCGCCTCGGGCAAGGCGACCGACCGATACGATGTCGTCCAAAGACAAATGTAATATCTTCGTGTTCCATTTGGCGACCCTGCAGGAGCACTGCGGCGTTCAAGCGAGAATAGACTCATGACCAATTCCAGGCTACTTCCAGCGAGCTGCGATGGAGAGACGAGCACCGCCAAAAACAAAACAGTTTGCCAGATGTAGCCTCGTGAGTTGCAGTTCTAGCCCTCCCTTCTCAGTCTCGCTAATGCTGCAGCTATACCGTCGCTGAGCCGATCGTCGCCTCGAAGAGCTGGGGCCGTTTGGGTCTGATTAAGTTCCGGGTCGGCCTCGGCTATCAAAGCTTCCTCGTCAGCCTCGAAACTTTGTGTAGTTTTATCTTGTCCCGGGAGTTGCCCGCCGGCAGCTCGCGTGTTCTGGGAAGCAGGTGTTGGTGCCTTGTCTCGCCGGGAGACACTTCCGATCGGGACCGCCGCGTCTAGCACGGCGCCCCTTGGTCGAGGGACGGAAGAAGACGTAGGGTCTTCCCCGACGCGGCGCTTCGCCGCCTTTTTGACCCGGAAGGGCTCCTCTACCACTTTGCACCAATTCTTGACCTTCCTCTCTCCCCAGCCGCTGATGACGGAAACCTGCTCGGGATCGGCATTGATGGCGTGCCTGAGACTGCCAAACGAGCTGACAAGAGCAACGGCATCTGCCTTGTTGATGCTCCGCGGCACCGTGACAAACTCAACTAGCTTCTCGGCATAGCCGGTGGCTTGCTGGCCCCGGATGGCCGAGAAATTGGCGTGCTCGTAGGACTTGTACAGCTCGAGATAGCGGGCGGCTTCGACGGCAGACCAGCACAGGATGACGGTCACGTTATTAACGATCGAGGTCTTAGATAGCTCCCGTAGCGAGTCCTCATGGTTGGGGATATCCACCATAGTAAGCAGGATGCGAAGGTTGTACTTCCCCTGGAGATTGCGGATGCGCGTGTAAATGTACTCGGGGTGAAGGCGGTGGTACTTGAGACTGTTGCCCCAGGGACGAAGCAGGCGTTATTCTTCCGCGCCCGCCTCAAATCTCTGTACCGAAGAAACTCACCTCAGAAACAGCGCACACGTGGTCAGGCCCAGGCCATAGTCTGCAACGATGTCGCTGTATTCCCACGGCATCGACTTCAAGTTAGCCAGCACAGGGTTTCCTTTCTGCCTCGGCGACACCAAGATAGACGAGCCCGAAGACCGAGACGGCAGAGCCTGCGGGGTCGGCTGCACAATCTTGGAGCCCGAGGCAGCCGAGAGGTTGGATGGGGGCGCCCGGTCGAGTCTCTGGGGCGTGTTCCTCTCGACTCTCTGTGGCGTGGGTTGCTGTATCTTCTGAGCCGAGCCCTGCCCGGGGCCTCGCGTTGACTCGGTAGCCGCCAGCGCAGCTAGGAAATCATCATCTGCGCCGAAGTCGTCGTCCATTTTGATCCTTCTCAGACCGTATGGATGCAATCACCCTCAAAGAAGAAACAAAAGGGATTGCGACGCGCTTCCCTCCTCCGATTGCGCGAGGTTAGGTGACAAAGGAGTTAACGTTGATGATGGCGCAGGGGGCAAGAAGCGCCACTGTATATATAACGAAATACTCCACCGAGGCCTGGAACTGATAAGGAGCAAATTGTGGGGAACTGTAATGTATGTACCGCTCGCATCCAACGCCGCTTGAGTGAATCGTTCTGTAGAGAGAACCCATTCTAAGTTGTTCGAAACTTTATTTAATAAAACTATGTATTTCAAAATTATAGTTACGATTGTGAAACTCCTAAGGCGTTCTATATTTTTTTCCTCTATCCTTACCCTAGGTATCCGTACTTACCTGGGTACCACCCCTCGCATGCTAGGCAAGATTCGCACAAGGGTGGGCGGGGCTGACCCTCCGATCGTGTCGTCATACGTGCTCCGTCCTAAAAACAAGGGCGGAATGATGAATCCATATAAACCTTCCGAGGGAAATAGTTTCATGAATACGGGTGCCGAACAGGGTGACTTGAAAACGAAAACAGACAATGATATGATATTCCAGCCTCCGGATAACAAAAAAAAATTGCGTGACAAAACAACCCGAACGCTAGGCATATACCGTCATAGAACCCGACCCGAACGCCCTAAATAACAGTAGGTATCATAGCACGCATAACCCTCTCACTAATCCAGATCCTCGGCCCCAAGCTCCGCTTCGTAATCACTCTCATCACTCGATCTCCCATCCCCAGCCAAGCGGTCGTGCACCGAATACAATGCGCGTAGCCACATGTCAAACACCGTCTGCAGTGGCCTCAGCTCCTCATTCCCCAGACTCGCCTGCGAGAGCTCGTCGCGTAGCTTCTCGTACGCCTCAATCATAACCCACACCTGTAACGCCGATGTCTCTGGAGAAGTCCGTACAGGTCGCTTCGCGAGCGCCGATGATAAGTCACGAGTAAGAAGGTCTAGGCATATTTGCAGGCTCAAGCTGTCAGGCGTTGGCGAAGGGCTCTGAAGCGGGTTCTCGAGATATGGTGAAGTCGGCTCTGGTGAGAAGGAGACAGGCTTGAAATAAACGGTTTCCTCTTCGAATGAGACTAGAGTGCTGTCGTCTGATGTGGGCGAGCCGCCTACGAGCCCGTCTCGTCGGCCAGGGCCGCGTCCTTGGGATTCCTCTGCTGCATCTGTAGGGGTGTGCTGTTCCACGGAGTGGCCATCATCGCCGCTGGGAGAGGGCTGTGGCTCCAAGTATGATTCGAAATATATGGAATTAGAACTAGGCGAGTCCACCAGCGCTCTGTACTGCTCCGCAATAAGCTCCAGACTGGGCGTCTTAGAGAGGGTATTGCCAGGTTTCTGACTGTTCTCAAGCTGTCCGATCCAGTAGATGGGCGTTTTAGCGCGCCGCCTCATTGTCGCTGAAGTAGCGGAAGCTGGAGACATTGGAGAGTCGGAACTGCTGAGAGAGGATCGCGGTTGCGCATCGTGTGTTGCAAGATGAGAGAGTTCAGGGACTGTGCCGACTGGGCTTATGAGATGCTCGCTGGACTGTGAGGGAGAGGAGTCTTGTCCGTGGAGGCATCCACTTCCCCGAAAAAACTCGGCCCATTTAGAATCGCTGAGGTCAGGGGAAGGCAGCGATAGACACGGCAATGCCGGTGCTGACTGCTTATTTGCAGTGTCGGATTTATTGCCGTTGGATGATGCCTCATTGCCTGTGACTTGACCGGGCCGCTTTCCCACGTTGTTTCGCTGCCTTGTGGGAATTTTCTGGAGCTTCCGCCTCAACTTGTGAACGGGTGCCTGAACCGGCTGGGGGTCGGCCAATGGGCGTGCCTTGCTTCGTTCCATTGTTTATCTAGAAACGCTAATTTAGGCGATGGGGGTGGAAGCACGCGGGAGAAGGAACAATATATTGTGGAAGAAAATGTTTTGGTGTCTCGACGGGTAGGGCGGGTGAAAGCAAAGGCTCGTCTACGGCTTATAACCCAGGGGAGCGGGAGGGTTTGAGAGATATGACGACGAGTTCCCCAGGAGCCAGCCCAGCCCATGCCACAACCGCCATGCGCCGTTCGAGTCCAAGTACGATTCATGGGGAAACATGACGGCTTCTCCACCTTAAAAACAGGGTCTGAACGCAAGGCTGGGCCAGATGTATTCCTGCAGGCAGTTCCCTGCATGTTTTGTTCCGTCAAAGCAAGCTTGTGCGTAGCGAACCTGCTGCTCGTCGCGGGAGGCTATGCCCGCTTGGGATGGCGCCGACCACACTTCGACGTCGGCGCTGGCACCAATAGCCCTTCTGTCAGCGACAAGCAAAGCTCCAAAAGACGACATTGGAGTCGCCGTTGGAGCGGATGCGGGGTACGCGTGGAATAGCTTTCAGGTGAAAACAGAGAATAAGGAGGTTGGGAATCTTGAATTCGTGCTAGTTTGGCTAGCCATGACCACACCACACAACCCAACTGACCTCGCAACGTGATGATAAAGAACCTAACTAGACGCTTGTGCCCATCTGATAGTTTTCTCCACCTACTCTTTTGGAGCATATTTTTGAGGTTCTTGGACAAAAAGCGGAATGCGCGGATCAGCCGGTTCCGCGAGGATGGCTCCCGATGAACAAGCTGCCACACCTGCAGAGAAGTTGATGCATCTTAACGGAATTTCCTCTCTCGGTATTAAGCATCTAGACCTCCCGTCGCGTGGCTCTCGGGCCTCGAGAACGGGATGCAGCATTGTCTGGGGTTCTGCACGACTCAAGACGCGCGAGAGACGGACGAATCAAAGTGGCCAGTGGCAACACTGTTCTTTCCGTCTCTGTACCAACGTGCCGTTTCAAGACGAGTGTTCTCGGGGTCGAAGAGGTGAACTCGGCTGCTTTTAGATCACTGCAGTGCCAAGAAGGCGGGGAGAGGTTGCTGGCGTGGTTGAACCGTCGGAGGAAGTGCTCATCCACCCAATTGATGCCGGTTAAGGCTCTGGGTCCGCGTGCAGGACATTGCTGGACAACCTGATGCTGATCTGCCGGTTGAAATTTTTGTTGTCCAGATGATAAGTGAAATTTGAAGCTCCTTCCGAGTAAGAAGGGTCGAGAGCGACGTGCCTCTTGGGTACATACAAAGTCTGTCACCCCCACATTTGGAAGCCGAGCCTAGACCACTCTAGCTGAAACCCGACCAATCATGTGCACGGACTGTCGCCATGTTGACCCCGTCTTTTGGACGAGCGGATGTGCCACCTTCCCACGGAATGGAATGTTCCACGATGACTTCTAGAAACATGCCCTCGATGTATGCGGAAACAAGTAAACAACCTCCGAAAATTAAGTCCTGCACATCACCGAATTCCCTTGAGCTGCATTTACAATGACCAGAGGTTTCTCAGGCCGACCAAAATGACCGATTCGAGGACCCCACGAGCATCGAGCCCCAGGCAGGCAACACCGAGAGTGTGATGTATGGGGCGCCAGGTAGCCGGATTCACGGCCTTGGCTGTTTTGTTTCGATACTTGTTACCTTATCTAGCAGAGACTCGCGCAATTGATATTGCCACACGGGGTATTCCAGTAGCCATCTAGAGGATTCTATCTCACACCCTGCCGGGGTTATATGTGGCGTCACTTCTATGGTGGTTGTCTTCCGGTACTGTTCTGTTCATTGCCTGATCTTCAGTGACCCCTTCCCCCTTTTTTCCTTGTCGCCTGCCCAGTTGTTCGTTTCTCTTTTTTTTTTTCGGCACATGGGTTCATACCGGTGCCGTGAAAGGACTGTTCTGTATCCCCCACTGCTTTGTTGGATGCCATTTCTGGTCTCGACCTCAACTGACCCGACCAGCGTTGGCGCTTTCCCAAACGGACATCGAATCGGGGTCCCTCCCTTCGTCGGTGACGGACGAGAAGTGGACTCGGGCAACAGTCATTGCAATGCTCGAGGTCCCGCCCTCCCCCAAAACCCGCTCGATTTATCCATCAATCACAAGCCGCTGGCCCGCGTTGTCAGGAACAGCAACGAGTTAACCCCACCATGCCCCTCACGACCCCCATAGGCGCCTGTATCGGATGCGTGGGCTCAGCCAAGTTGGCGAATGGCTTCACTGGCGATAGAAATAGCTGGAGGGGGATAAGAGACTTACATAACACCATGTATAGAGGCACCGCCTAGCTTCCCAGGGGTTCCATCCAGATAATACATCTGCCTACCTATTTCCACCACACTTGAACCGTCCTAGACCGTGCTGCCTACATACTACCTCTAGCTACACTTCGTGCTTGCTAGTTACGGCGGGAGACCAAGACACAGCGAAGAGCCATGGGAGACATCACGATTACCGGCTGGGTCACGCGGGATGTGCGGTTTCCCACATCGCTCGACAAGACAGGCTCCGATGCCATGAATGCGGCCGGCGACTACTCGTCTGCGTACTGCATCCTGCAGACCGATTCAGCGTTTACCGGCCATGGCATGGTATTCACTTTCAAGAGCTTCTATGGAGATTAAGGAAGACAAACTGACAGGGGGACTTGGTGGGCAGACATTTACCATTGGCCGGGGCAACGACGTTGTCTGCGCGGCCATCAACCACGTAGCCGACCGTATCAAGGGCAGAACCCTCTCGAGCCTGGTCGACCACTGGGGCAAGACGTGGCGGCACCTCGTCAACGACAGCCAGCTGCGGTGGATTGGGCCTGAGAAGGGCGTCATTCACCTGGCCCTAGGCGCCGTCGTCAACGCTATCTGGGACCTGTGGGCCAAGGTACTGGGCAAACCCGTGTGGCGCATTGTGGTTGACATGACGCCCGAGCAGTTCGTTGACTGCATCGACTTTCGCTACATCACCGACGCCATCACGCCCGAGGAGGCCGTGGCTATGCTCCAGGAGACGGAGCCCGGCAAGACAGAGCGCCTCCGGGACGCCGAGAACAGCCGCGCCGTGCCCGCCTACACCACCAGCGCCGGCTGGCTTGGCTACGGCGAAGACAAGATGAAGGGCCTGCTGCAGGAGACACTGGCCAAGGGCTACCGGCACTTCAAGCTCAAGGTGGGGTCCAGCTTGGAACAGGACCGGCGCCGGCTGGCCATCGCCCGCGAGGTCATCGGCTACGACAAAGGCAACGTGCTCATGGTAGACGCCAACCAGATATGGTCGGTGCCCGAGGCGATCGAGTACATGAAGCAGCTGGCCGAGTTCCGGCCCTGGTTCATCGAGGAGCCCACGTCGCCCGACGACATCCTGGGCCACAAGGCCGTGCGCGAAGCGCTCCGGCCGCACGGCATCGGCGTCGCGACGGGCGAGATGTGCCAGAACCGTGTCGTCTTCAAGCAGATGCTCATGGCCGGCGCCATCGACATCTGCCAGATCGACGCCTGCCGCATGGGTGGGGTCAACGAGGTCCTGGCCGTCATGCTCATGGCCAGGAAGTTCGGCGTGCCCATCGTCCCGCATTCGGGCGGCGTCGGCCTGCCCGAGTACACGCAGCACCTCAGCACCATCGACTACGTCGTCGTCAGCGGCAAGCTGTCGGTTCTCGAGTACGTCGACCACCTCCACGAGCACTTCCTGCACCCCTCCGTCATCAACAACGGCTTCTACCAGACCCCCATGGACCCGGGCTACAGTGTCGAGATGAAGCCCGAGAGCATGGACCGCTTCTCGTACCCTGGCGCCGAGGGCAGCTGGTGGAGGAGTGGTGAGGCAAAGTCCATCCTAGAAGGCGAGAAGATATAACTTTAAATTGCAGAGAAACTTACACGTTATGGTGTTGTCATTGCATCGTGTTGCGGCTTGGAAAGGAGGTGGCTTCAACGAGATGCTTTCAGCTCAGCGAGTCTGGAACATACACAGCATATATTTAGACACATTCCGGAGAGACTACGTACCTTATATACTTTTTGTCACTCCCCGAAGGCGATTGGGATTGTAATCTGCAGGAGTTGTAACCAATCATTACCCCAGTGGTGGTTGGTTCTACATCACAGATTGATACAATACTTTTAAAATTACAAAACCGTGCAAGACTGTGACATCCGAGCAGTAGAGGCTTCCTTCTCATCCTCTCCTGCGCTGCCTATCTCCTGCCTAGGCCGCGCCTAGGAATTTTTGACGACATACATCAACGTGATTCCCATGACAGGCGCCGGCATGCCATCCTCATGCGAGTGCGTAGCGGCATGCTGCGTGAAGTTGTAATTAGCCTGCACCGACCACTTCTCGCCCGCCTTGATACGCACACCACTAGCGGCGCACGAACTCATGGATGACAGGGCTATCTCGGTCGTGAAGTGCTGGCTCTCGTGGTCGTGGTCGTGGTCGTCATCGTCGTCGCCGCAATCGTGGTGGTGAACGGGATGGTCAACCACGTACCCGGCGCTCTCGCCGTACCCAGCAACCGAGTTGCACACGACGGCGTCTTTGTTCGTCTCTTTAGCAATGACTTGCAAGTCGATACCCCCGTCGTGGAGGTGGCCCAAGGCTAGCAGGACCTTGGCTGAGAAGTTAGACGTCCATGGCGGGTCCATGACAAGGCTGAAGGCGTCAGCGGGGGTGCCACCCATAGCGCCCGTACTCGTATTTGAGGTGGCGGTGGTGTTGGTGATAATAGGGACGGCTACCTCGGACCCGTTCTCACCGCAGGTCCCAGCAATGTCTAACCACAAGGGCGTCACCGAGGCGAAGGCACTCGAAGCCATTACTGCTGCAGCGGATGGGACGAACTCCCAGTCGATGCTTATGACGGCAGCTCGCTCTTCATGTACCTCGTTCATAAGCTCCGCTAGAAACTGAAACGAATCATTGTCTGAAATGTGATAGCCGGCCTTTTGCGTACTAGAGGTGGAATAACATTTGATATCATGTATCGTTAGTATTCGATCATTAGGCTGGCATGTAGGAAAGAAAAGCACACCGCTAGAGCGTATGTGCGGAGTTGCGTGCAAACACTGACCCGTTGAGACAGATATTTGCGGGCGTTCTCTCGTTTCCAGAGGCAAACAGGCGTTCCGGGACATACGGGCAGGTCACGGACGGCAGTCTCAAATTCCCGATCACGACATGGTGGAGTGACAGGCCTGTATTGACGTTCGCGTAAGAGCCGTTCGCATACTCGAGGTCTGCCTGGATGTGCGTGAGGAGACAGTCTGTACAGGGCGGCTGGATGGGGAAGTAGAAGGATGCCATCCCGCCGTTGTCATGCGCCGATGGCGCGGTCAAGGGTCCATATCTGATCTTCAGTCTCTGCGACTGCAACTCAGGGAAGAAACGGGGTTGCAAAATTTCCACGCTAATGCACTTGTCCGCTGAGAGACAGTTAAAAGGTGTCGGACATATCAAGTGACGGAGAGGGATGTGTGACTTACAGCATACTAGGTGTTGTGCTGGCGGAGCTGGCGAACTCTCACTTGCGGGATCATAGAGCAAAAACCCCGTAACAGCCCGAAACCAAGTTAACTTCATGTTATGTAAACTCGGTGTAAAGCCTGAATATATATGTGCGATATGATGTCCCCTTGGTTGTTTGATTCAGGCTCCAGTATGACAGACTAGAAGACATCGATTGACAACAAAGAGCGGCATGCCAGTTCAAATACAGTTGAGTAGATTTGCTGCCTGTAGCTGAGAAATTAAATGAGGATGCAGCAGAGCTATATATACGTCTTAGGAAAAGAGATCGACGGAGAGATGCGGGAGCACGACAGTCTCGACACGTAAGGCCGTAACCAGAGTACATGAAAGTACGGAGTAATGATCAGGATTTTGGGGTTTGGCTAAACATAACAGAAAGAATATACCTAGATAGAGGTCACAACCGACATACTCATCGCAAAATGGCGAGTGCGAGTGCTCCGTCTATTCTATTTAATTAGCCTGAGTGAGGCACATATGAAGTGCACAGCAGGCCGCACTCTCGCTCCATACACTACTGACCTGGGCTGTCCCGCCAACGGGAAATTCTGAAGTAATTTAGACCGTATATCACGGCACTCGGAACGCTAATCCCCCCGAAAAGTGTGCAAAAGTCGAGTTCGGCGAGTTCCATGACCAACGGGATTAAGTATTGTTGTGCCCGGCCGTGGCGACCTTGAGTATCTCGGCCTCGAGACCCTGGACATGGACAACAGAGATGCCTGCGTCTTGGAGGCTCTTTTTGCCTGAATTACTGACAAAGGTCTTGGGCTCCATGACGCCGACATAAACGGTCTTGATGGAGTCTGCGAGTCGAAGAACTCGCTCGACGCAAGGCAAATTGCCGCTCAGGCGTTTTGAGCATGGCTCTACAGTGGTGTAGAGCGCCATTTCGGGAGGGAGCACGTCCTGAAGGCACTCCTCGGGGACGCCAAGTTGGTCTGCCAACTTCATAAAGCAGCATTGCTCGGCATGGGTGTTTCCTGGCAGTTCCAAGGTGTAGCCAGTCGCGAGGACCCGGTTGCAGGACAGGTCAACCAAGACAGCCCCAACGCAGAAGTTTGTTGCCTTGGGAGGCGATTTCCTGGCCTCGTCGAGCGCAAGCTGCATGTACCCGCTATGATCGTCCGCTTCGATCATGATCATGTTGTAAATCTATCCAACAGAGACAAGCAAGGGCAATCAAGCTTCAGGAATGCATAGGCAGGCAATTAAGTGTTGATAAGAAGTTCGAGTTGACAACTGGTGGGAAGCTGATGGATTGGAGCTTCAGGGGAACCGCTGTTTAAAGGTTTCCTGTGCGCGATACGATTTGCACTGTGTTTTATCCACTGTGCCGCCAGGCTTGGTACGTGGGGCAGCTTAAGCTAAAACGCGTCGGTCGCGTCGCTCCATCACGACCTTCCCCAAGTTCCACAAGGACGGGAGGTATTGGTACGGGGCCTACAACATCCCAACTAAACAACATCACACACCACACCACTCGCCCTCACAATGGCCTCAGACGAGGATCTTGTGGATGCCGATTCGCAAGCAATTGACCCGTATGAGATCCTCTCCCTTGATCGCGCCGCTACGGCCGACCAGATTAAATCGGCATACCGCAAGGCTGCCCTGAAGAACCACCCAGGTCAGTCGCAACAATTGCGTCCATTCTCAAATTGATAAATACTGTTGTTGCTCACACGTACCTCTATTAGACAAGGTCCCGGAAGCGAAGCAGACCGAAGCCAAAGAGGCGTTCCAGAACATCGCATTTGCGTACGCTGTCCTCTCAGACCCCGCCCGGCGTAAGAGATACGATGATACTGGCTCAACTTCCGAAGCCGTCGTCGACTCGGACGGATTCGACTGGTCTGAATTCTACCGGGAGCAATTCAGACACATAGTCACAGCCGAGAACATCGAGAAGATTGCCGCCGAGTACAAGGGTTCTGATGAGGAGAAAGACGACATATTGGCGGCCTACGAAGAATTCGAGGGCAAAATGGACGGAATCTACGAAAATGTTATGCTTTCTAACGTCTTGGAAGATGACGAGCGATTTCGGAAGATCATCGACGATGCTGTTGCCAGCGGCGATGTACCACGGTTCTCGGCTTATGCTCGTGAGACCAAAAAGTCAAAGCAACAACGTGTCAAGGCCGCCAAGGGCGAGGCCGCGGAGGCTGAGGAGCTAGCCAAAGACCTAGGCGTGCATGACAAACTCTACGGGAAGAAATGCAAGAAAGATTCAGAGGCGGGTCTTGCCGCCTTAATCAAGCAGAACCAGGCATCCCGAGCCAGCGCGTTCGACAAGCTGGCCGAGAAATATGCGCCAGCGCCCAAGGCGAAATCCAGCAAAAAGCGTAGCTCAAGAGAGACCGAGCCAGACATATCAGACGAGCAATTCGAGGCCCTTCAAGCAGATATGACGAAACGAAAGAAGAAGAGTCGGGCTTAGGTCGAGCCGGGCCTTTTATGTGAGACTTGGTACTGCCTTTGGGATTTCTCGCGGGAGGTGGTCATGAGCAATGAGAGCACTCGGGCGTTAGGGTAAGGATGCATTAGCAGGAAGAAGTTTGGGAACGGATATAGTGATCGCTTTCTTTTTATCATGGAGAGACAGCTGCCGCAAAATGACAGCGTCTCTTTTTACGCCACAGTATGTGCAGCGTTGGCTGAAAAGACCAAACCTAAATGACTCGTGAAGCCCCAGCGAGGAGGTGAAAGACTTAGGTAAGGCCTGTATAGGTAATACAGCCTTGGATGCTTTGTTGGTTGTCCTACCTATCTATCGCTATACTTCCAGATTTTAGACTGCCACCTCTGCATATCTGTTCCATCTTCACGAAATAAGAACATTGCTGGAAAATAAATGATATCCATATGATTTCTTAATATCCTTCTATTAACCGCCCCAACATGGAATCGTTCTTCCATGTGTTAAATGGTAAAGATATGCGCCTTACCCTAGGTACCTATGGTATTTTCTAAGCGTTGTGAAACTGTTGCCTAGAGCAACCTAAATCCAGCTTGTGACCGTCTGAACCAAACCGTGTAAGGTGGGGGTGGGGTTCTTGGGGGGGAATCAACATTTATCATGGAACCCTTGCGACTCGTCACTTCCAAAGTTACCTCTGTCGCAACTAGACTACTCACCTAACGGTGTCTACCCGCTGGCCATTGCATTTCATGGCCAGCTTCACAAGCACAGAGTAAATGCGCGTGTCAACGCACGCCTGCGGAATGAATAGAGGCTACGGGGCCTGTCGCAGAACACAGAAGATGCCATGACTGGCACCGATACGCCAGAGATATACCCACAATACTGTTTCCACCTCTCGCCCACCATCAATCGATGGTGTCATTTCCGAGCAGCCGACATTGCCGCCTTGTCCGATCACCCAGGGTTTCGAGGTACGAAGTTCAATCTCGCGCGCAATCGCTGCTCGCAAACAGAGACTGATAGTGCGTGTTTTTGGCTTGTCCAGGGCAAGACCTTTACTTCCACGGCAACCACCCAATAAAATGGGTGCGTATTGCTGGAGTCGTCGTTGCGATTGACGAATTCGAAACTCGCCGGATATACACAGTCGACGACAGCAGCGGTGCGACTATTGAGTGTGTTGTGGCAAAAGCTCGACCCAGTCAGACGGGAACAGCTGGAGAACACCAACCCACGTCGGCCACGGTCGAGAAGACTGATCAGCAGAAGCATCAGCAGTCACCATCAGCCGACGGCAAGATTGATATTGGCCACATCATTGACGTCAAGGGCGGCATCAGACTCTTTCGCGAAGCCAAGCAGATCAATACCGAGAAAATAAAGCATCTGCGTTCCACAGAGCAGGAGGTGCAGTTCTGGCAAAAGGTTGCCCAGCTCCGCGCCGACGTCCTCCGCCACCCGTGGGTGTTGGACAGGAGGCAGCTTCGCAGGTGTCGGCGGGAGGCCGAGGGCTATGATGCCAATCGCGCCAAGAGACACAAGAAGGCGGAGTACGCGACCTCGAATTCCGCAGCGGCGGTGGTGAAGGCCGATGTAAGACCATGTCGGGAAAACACCCTAAAGCCCGAAGCGATCACGTCGAGAGCGCCTCCAAACCCTCCTGTGAAGCCCAGACCAAGGATAACGGGCTTGGAGAAGAGGGTGAAGCAAAGTGCGAGGCCGCTGATGGTTCAAGGCAAATACGATGCTCTGGGTCTATGACCCAAAATATAACAAAACACACCTGAATAGAAATGAAATGGCTCTCCTAATGCCGCTATTTTTATCTGACCTTTTCCCCCCAAAAGCCCGTGAATCCAAAGCATTGTCGTCTTCTTCGTTGTCGTCGCCGCCGTCATTTTCGGGGCTTTTTTTCATTTCTCCTCGGCACCTGGGTTGGGCTTGAAGCCACCTCGAATCCGAACCTCCAGCAGCACCCCAGTCCGAGGCAGTGGCCAGAGTCCGAATCACGGGGATTTGATCAATTGAGCGCTATGCAGTCAACAACCAACATTCCTTGCGGAATGCTTGGCGAGGCTACTGCCTTCTTGAAGGCGCGATATTTCTACAAGGGTCATCTCATCTAGCTTCTTCAACCATCACGATCCTGGAAGATCCACCCTTCGTGTCGTGTAACTGGACGTGTTAGAGAATTTCCTCACAGAGTACTTGACGTGCTGACCTTAGCTGTTCCCCTTTTGCTTGACAGCGGTAGATACCAAACGATAGTTCAAGTGAGATGATGACAATTGGCGGTGATGCATGCAGTTGGTGATGGGGTGACATGTTGTTTACCGCTTGGGCATCCCGGTAGTGCCTGCACCTCACTGCCTCTGGAGGCAGACCTGCGAACTACTCCTGCCTCAAGAACAGGAATCCCGCGTAAGGCCTCTCCGCCCCATTTACATCCTGTCGCGCGGATCCATCAATGGAGGCAGTGGACCTTCCTCTTAGCTTTCCTTTTTAACATTTGAAGACACTGGAACGCAACCTACTCGGCAACCCCCTCGCAGTCCACACTCTTGGATACCGGCAACTTCTATTCCTAAGCTGATCGAGATCTCGAGCCCGATACTTAATCATTTTCCTCTCCACCCTTTGAGTCGAGACCACTCCCGACCTCTTTTGTTTCTAGTGTTCCGTACATTCCTACGTCTCCAGCCTAAAAGGTGGGCAGCTTTCGCTCTTCAGCCCAAGACATTCCCCAGAACTACAGTCTTAGTACCAAACTCCCCAACCATGCGTTCCAGTGGACCGCAGCTTCTGTCTCGGGACGTTGTCATCCAGGAGATACCTCCCGCCCCCATGGAATAGCAACGGAAATTGGGGGTTGGGGGACTATCACGGAGTCGGCTATCACTATATATTAGCTGTGTTTGAGTCTTGGGTTTCAACTTTGCCCTTGAAATTGCTACACATATCATGGGGCGCTTAATTATGCTGACGGTGATTTTGCTAATAATTCTTCAGGCTTCGGCCTCCTCAGGTCGCCAAGAGAGGCAGCCCTCCCAGCAAGCAGATCAGAGACTCTCGACCGGTCTACGCCAGTCTTTCAGACCTCGATACCGGACACTTCCTCCATCATCAACTACCACATCTCGAGCCCCATCTGAAGGCATCGAGAGGCGGGCTCCGCGCAGGCCAGGGCACAAGTATCCATGCGGATGGAGCCAAACTAAAGACAACAATCCAACATCGACTGCCAAGGTCATCACAAGCGCCGGCCCGTTTGGGACTGTTCAGATCCTAGCCAGCACCAAAGGCCCACAGACTGGTTATATACCATCATCCCTTGAGACTCGCGGACATTTGAGCACACAGCCTATCTTAACTAGTATCATACCGCAGCCGACTTCCTTGCTTTCAACCTCTTCAACAATATCAGTTCCCACAACAAGCTTGCCCACCGTATCTACGATGCCTTCCCGTGATATCTTCGCCGACCCCATAGCGACGGATGCACCCCCGTCCGCCATTAGCACGAAGAAAGACCACCCGGTGCCTCGGCTGGGAATCAAAGGGACGGCGCCCTTGTCAACCAACAAATTCTATGCCAACTTCTTTTTGGGCAGCCAGACTGCTCCGTCGTACCTCCACCCCTACTCAGTGGCCTGGGCGCAGGGAAAGGGGGCCTCAGCGAGCTGGGGAATAGCCATCTCTCACATCGAGCCGACCCAAAGGGTTTATGGCCAAACAAATCCCACGACAGGGGCTGCATCGTACTTTATCAACCCTGTCGGCATCCAGTCTGTCTGTATCTCGGCCAAGGAGTTGGGTGCGGCCACCACACTGACAACTGAATCGTTGACGGACTTTTCCGTCCGGGTTTGCCTACGTCCCAGCGCGACGGCCCAGGCCGCGATACAATTCCCACTGGTCCAGGGTTCGGCCTTTATCACCGCAATCTTCAATGGAGCGTCACCTCTCATCCAGACGGGCGTGTTCTACAAGACGGTGACGCGGTCAACCAGAGAGGCAAAGCCCGGCGTCACCAAGTACAAGCTCCATCTGGAAGACGGAACCACATGGCTGCTCTACGCGTACCATACAAAAGGCGACGCACTGGATCTCCAAGTCACCAACAACGGACTCGCCGAGTCCAAGGGCCCCTTTTACGGGGTCATCCAGGCGGCTAAGGACCCTGGAAATGGCGAGACCATGTACGATGAGGCATGCGGCACCTATCCGACAGATGTCGAGCTCTCTGGGAATGCCAATGATAACAAGGGCACATACACGCTGGCGTTCAAGAAGGCCGGGATGCTCCTGACGACGCTGGCCATGTTTGCGCTGCCGCACCACCAGAGTTCGTTCGACGACGCAACACGCGCCAACCTGACCAGCGTCAAGCTGCAGACGACGACAAAGGGCATGGCAGCCGCGGTCATGGCCGATTCCTGGACCATGGTCGAGGACGATCTCCCCGTTAACATGAGCTTTGTGCCTTGGTCCCCAAAGGCCGGCAGCATCAGCACCCTCTCCAGCACGGCCAAGACGTTTATCCGCAACATTGCCATGCAGGAAGTGTCGCAGAACATACTCCAGCAGACAAACCAGAACTCCATGTACTTTAGCGGAAAGGTGAGATAAAGGAGGCAGTCGACCAGCTCTGGTTTCGCGGTGCTTGGGAGAGAAAGAGCTAACCTGCGATTCGTTCGTTTAGGCGTTAGCGAAATTTGCAACTGTTTTGATGTCCATTAACGACATCCTGGGAGACAAAGCGCTGGCAGAGGCGGGCTTGAACCAGCTGAAAGTAGCCTTCTCGCGCTTTTCGGAGAACATGCAGCAGTACCCGCTCGTGTATGAGTGTAAGTTTCAAAATTTGACCCTCCCTTCCTCCCCATGGTAGTAGCCAACCGGCAAGGCAAAACGCCATGTTTTCTCTGTCTAACCTCCAAGCCTGTAGCTGCCTGGGGAGGCGTTGTCTCATCGGCCACATACGTGACGGGCAACTCGGGGGCAGACTTTGGGAATACCTACTACAACGACCACCACTTTCACTACGGATATTTCATCTACTGTGCCGCCGTCATTGGGCATTTGGATCCCACGTGGCTGACCGACGCCAACAAGGCCTATGTCAACATGCTCGTCCGCGACGTCGCGAACCCCAGCGCCAAAGACAAGTTCTTCCCTGTCTGGAGGTGCTTTGACTGGTTCCACGGCCACAGCTGGGCTCATGGGCTTTTTGAGACACTAGACGGAAAGGTAAGGCTGCTTTCCCCTTTCCCCCTTTTCTTTGCTTTACTGACAGTAACGTTTGTTTGGGGCATGTGAACAGGACCAGGAATCGAGTTCAGAGGATTCCATGCACGCATACGCGATCAAGATGTGGGGGACGGTGTCTGGGGACCAGAATATGGCTGCCCGGTAGGTCTTTTTCTCTCTTTTCTCTTTCTCTTTCTCTTTAGCCCGACCCAGATGTCAAAAGGCCAGGCATGGGTATTTTCTCTAACGACCTGTGTGAATGAATAGGGGAAACCTCATGCTAGCAATCCAGGCGCGGGCGATTCAGGCTTATTACCTGTACACGAGCAACAACACTGTGCAACCAGCGCAGTTTATCGGCAACAAGGCGGCGGGGATTCTGTTTGAGAACAAGCTAGACCATACGACGTACTTTGGTACCAACATTGAGTACATCCAGGGGATCCACATGCTGCCTCTGCTCCCGCACACGCCGCTAGTGCGCACACCGGACTTCGTTGCCGAGGAGTGGAACACGTACTTTGGCAACGGCCGCGCTGCCGACATTGTCGGCGGCTGGAAGGGCATCCTGTACGGAAACTATGCCACCATCGACCCCCGCGGTGCCTACGCCTTCTTTAGCTCGCCCGGTTTCGATCCCAGCTGGCTCGACGGCGGCGCCAGCTTGACCTGGTATTTGTGCTATTCGGCCGGTATGTCATTTTCGTTTCTCTCCTTTTTGGAGGCGTTTCCTATTGGTATTTTGCTGACAGTGAATCTTTTCGGCACGAAGCTCTCGGTGGACTGTGAGTCACTTGCAAACTGTTCCTCGGTCAGGCGACTGTAGACGTCAGGTCTACCTAGTCATTAATAGTCAGACGTGGCGGTTGAGATGGAAGAAGGAACGGAGTGGCGGTGTATTACTCAACTTTTAAGTTTACATGGCGTGGTATTGTTTTTAAGGATTATTCATACTTGTTATTCCCTTGATCGTGGTCATGAGATATATTAGGAGATGGTGGCGGTTCCGCGACTTTCCTGGGTGGCATAGAGTTTGGTTACGTTTATATGGGATGCTGGCGCGGCATCTGGCTCAGGTTGAGGGAGAGGGACAAAGGCCAAGTACCTAATAGTTGATTTCAATAACCCTTTGAGAATATTAATACAAGGGTTTTATGATAGTGTGTGCTTGTTTCTTTATCTACATGGCTATTTAGATCAGAAGACAAATCTTGACAACACCACAAATCAACAGCCGAGAGCCCGGTGTTCCGATGCTGAAGGAGTTTTCCAGGTTTCTTCGTCATGTTCGTTGTGTTTCTGCCATCCAGTGTTGTCTGCCGCTCAGGTGCCGGACCCTCAACCGCCCAAGCTGGAAGGAGCGACCCCACCTCAGCAGCGAATGACTGCCCCGGGCAGGGATGCTCCTGGTGATCAATCACGTCCTTCCGAGCAGCCTTCAGGGGAACGAAGCCGCATTTCCCCAGCCATCAAATCTGCGCAACCCGCCTCTCTGTGAACAGCACTGCATGCATCCCAACTGCGGGGAACCTTCCCGTAATGGAGGGTTCCATGCCTGTCAGGCTGTCAGTTCCACCACTTGAAGCTGGCCAAGCGCCCGGGCCGTGCCTTCCATTCAGGACCTGCCAACCTTCTGCGTAGCAGCTGAAAGATACCAGCCAGGCTTTGAGATTTCCATTTCCAGTTTCCTGTATTCCTAGGAAATTTCCATTGGCACGGTCTCAACATCCAAATCAAAGGCCTGCAGGATAGGTAAGTATCAGGCCGCCTCAATTCAATTATCATCCGGAAATTTTTCATCGCCTCCGTCTCTCGGCCACAATGGCGGCACAACTTTTTTTTTTTTTTTTGCGAGTCTGCTCGAAGCAGCAGCAGCAGTCGGCCAGGCTATGACTCGACTGGCGGTGGGTAAGCAGCTCTCGGTTCCGGTGTTACGTGGTGCAATGGCCTGCCTTACCTTGTACTGTACCCAGAACTGCCGCTCACTAACCACCATCACACGCATGTTATGTAACCCATCAACAGCCAGTCTTGGGATGGAAACGCAGCGAACCGGGAGAGCCCTACTCCGTACGCCGCCGCCTCGAGGTGTTATTTGGTACATGCTTCGTATGTACCCTATAAATCTGCCGCCCGCCAGCGCCCACCGCCTCTATTGTTGACCTTGCCAGAAAGGTCCGCAACTGCAGATCTCAGCCTCGTCTGCGTCTTGGGCATCGTCATCTCCTTCTTAGGCTCTGCCCTTTTTCTAAGCACCTCAATCTTTCGACTGTGGGATCGTCGTTCTTCTTTTTCTTGTGCGTCTATAACTCCCCTTTTGAAATACCACAAAGGCACCAGGTATCTCAAAGATCGGGCTGTTAAAGGTAGTCTGAGCAGTCCCGTACACATGGTCTCAGCGTTCGGCGATTCTTTTCACTTCTCTGCCTTCCATTTATGGGCACCTGGCCGTCCCCTTGAATCTGTATAAGGTGAACTGTTGGACGGTGGTCGGCGTGTGCCTGGTCGCCGGGTCCGACGTACCACTCGCTCATCTAGATCTGAGCTCTAGCTGGTACCCTTGTACCTTTCGGCCACATTCAATATCGCGGCCTTTTTACTTTCGGGCTCTCAACCCAACTGGACATCACCGGGGTTTCTCTACCGGTACCATCATGTCACAAGACTCAGATGGCGGCATGATCCGCATGCACCAGTACCTGCTCGGGCGCGACGACGACAACTTTGTTTGGGATGATGCCACCCGGGAGCGAGACGGAGACTGGACAGATCCCGTTCGCGAGGCTGGGCTCGATGAGAGGAAGCACAAGGTGTTCCATCATTCGAACAAGGAATACCTCAACCCGCCGACACCCTTTGTCCAGAAAGACCAGCTTGGCCAGTCTGGATCAACGATAGTGTACAAGGTGTTGTCCCCAGTAGGACACACCTACTCCAGGCCACTGGCGCTCAAGATCATCCAGTGCAAGGACAAGCATGGTCCCCCGGGGCCGGAGAGCAATGTGCGGAAGCTCGCGTTGGAAGAGGTCCGAAACATGACGACCATTCGGCATCCGCACATCGTCGTCTATGTGGCGTCGTTCGAGGACTACTGCATCAAGACCAAGAAGATCCGCCAACGGCGTGGGAAGGCCCTGGCTGTATATCACCCCCGCGAGCAGATCAAAGCTCACATCCTGGGCATCGCCATGTATCCGCCTGCCCAATGCAACTTGCAAGTGTTCATGATCGAGGCGAACAGAACTAGCCTTCCCGACGAGGCCTGGATGCTGGAATTTATGCACACGTACTTCGGATGCCTTGCGCAGGCCGTTGCGTATCTGCATAAATCGGGCGTGCAGATTCGCCACAAAGACATAAAGCCTGAGAACGTGGTGATAGACGAGTTTGGCCTTCCAGTGTTGACCGATTTCGGGCTTGCGAAACACTTCGAGACGGGCCAGCCCTCAAATGGCCCAACGGACAAGACGCTCAAATATGCCGACCCAGACTCCATCGAAGAGACCGAGCGCGACGAACGCTCTGATATCTTTTCACTCGGCTGCGTATACTTGGAGATAGCGACAGTCATCTTAGGGAAGCCGGCCATGTTTGCGGAGGACCAGCTCGTTGACGACACAGCCGCCAGTGGTAGTAGGGACAGCGGCGAAGGGAGAGAATTCAAGTACAGCGAGTCGTTGGACCGACTGGATGAGTACCTTGCGACGCTCTCGCGAAGTGCTAGGGACGAGTTGTTAGCAGTGAAGCCGGGCCGTGAAGCATCAGTTAACGCTGTCCTGAAGGTGCTTCCACACATTCGCGGGATGATGCAGAAGGACTACCATGAGCGACCCTACGCCCACCAGCTTTACCCGCGGTTTCGTTCGCTATACAACATCTACGACCTTCCCGGGCCTTGCGTGAGCTGTGAAGAGGAGAGACGAACCGGTATTCGCTCTTGGCCAAGGGCCGCAAGCCCGACCGTTTTTCGAAGCTCGACAATGAATTCCGCCATGTTCCAGCTTGTAAGGAGAACATCCATGCCGTCCAGCCCGGTGACGTCTAGCCCGATATCGCAATCGCCGACCGATATAGAAGCAGACGAGCGATGAACAAAGTCGATAGGAGAAAAAGGTGTGGCGATTTAGATTTTGTGTAGTATAGTGGGTAAATAGCCTCCCGTCGCTTCGTTTTTCCCGCTGAAAAATACCCAAATAAGAGAAGAGCAGAGTCAGTATAAAATCTCAGCGTTTTGGGAAGAAATCTTTAGCAGCGATGGCGATACGCTGGGCATTCAAGGAAGCATTGGCATGTATTTACGGGGAAATAGGGCAACCCATTTGACGAACGGGGGCATTTACCATCAGTTCTTAGGAGCTCCGTCTCGAGAGTGCCGAAGTTTTGCGTCTGTTCGGGATGAGTGGTTTGGTTATGCTCTAGGCTATGAGCGTTCAAACACGCCGTCACGAGCGACAAACTCATGGGATCGACAAGTATTTATTTATATCACAGCCAATAAGAGAGTCGCTCTAAAATTGTTGCTGAGTTGGAAAGTGACGAAGAGAAGGTTTAAGAAATTCCCTTCCGAGCCTCGCTGTTTTCTATTTTTTCCCTTACATATAGCCGATGTCCTCCGTGCATTAATAAAATGTCTTAGATGGTGTGGGATTGTTTTCTTTATTTTTCTGTAAGAGAGGGAGTTACATACGCAACCGGGCCGTAAAGAGAGAAGAACAAGAAGACGGGCGAAATGAAATATTAACAGACTCGAACTATTTACTAATGGGCTCGATTATTCAGTAAAAGAAGCGAGTTATAGTGTAGAATGACCTATGTAGCTACCTAAGGTAGACATGGGAAAGGAGAAGAAGATCTCTGTAAGTTGGTGTGGCGGTAAACAAAGTATTTGTTCTTGGTGGGGGCGATGGTTGGACTATAACATAAAATTGGTGTCCCATACTTCAATAAATCAAGAATCTCGCCCGGCTAGCTCAATCGGTAGAGCGTGAGACTCTTAATCTCAAGGTTGTGGGTTCGACCCCCACGTCGGGCTCAATTCCCGGCGGCGAGTTAGTTTTTTGGATTTTTCTTCTTTTTGGACTTGACACAACAAGTCATAAGCTTCAGTGCAAGTTACGGAGTACATAAACCCTAATTCGCATCATCTAAATACGACATCTACTCTATAGTGGAGGCGGATCTACGGTAATCTTTATTTCGGAGGATTCTCTTTAACCCAGTGTAAGTCTTTCAGGACCATTTCCGTTCTCTACGTTGAATTACAGTTTGCGATTTGTTTTCGTACTCTATAGATTTCTTCTTGCTGATAATTCGCAAGCAGGTCCTGCCCTGTTTGTTTTCGTCACTTGAGCCGGAGTCGGATTATGGTTTTAATCTTGTTTCGCACTTAGAGTCTGTTCTGAGGGCGGACGATGAGCGGTTGTCGTCAACGATAGACTTGCGGCACGATGAAGGTAAGGTATCTGACTTGTTCAGACTTGTGCAAGGCTTGCGCATCCCCGCGACTTGCCTGCAAGCCCAGCTGTACCTGGAATCATGCCGCGATTGCGCAGCGATCTGTTCGCTGCAAAGAGAAGCGACTCACCTACCCGGCTTCACTTTCACGCTGTTGGGAACCGATCGATCGATCTCGGCCCTTCGCCTGTCCCTCTCAACCCCAACTTGATCTGCCCCACAGAGGGTACAGCACCCCTGCAAGAGTTCGGGTGCAGTGAGAAAGACGCGAAGACCCCGCACCCCGCAAAGTTCCGATTGTTCCACCAATAATGTAACAGATACGGAGCAGGCCCCGTAAGTTTCGCACGCCTAGGTCCGCTGGATTCTTCTCCGGCGCGCATGTGAGATGCACGTTTCAGCGCTGAAAAAATAACCCGTCCGTCATTGCACCGAACGCACGCATCCCTTACGTTCAGTAGTGCATGCAGCCAGCCATCACACGAAACTAGGCAGCGGACGCTTATGCCGGGAGTTAAAAGTTCAATACACCCCAAATGTTGAAGCAGATCCTCTTACGGAGGGGCCCCCCTCGCCAAATCGCCTTTGGTGTAGCAACGACTCCCAGTTGGACAGCCGTAATCGGGAACAAAAGCAAAGGGGCCCTCCAGATCTGTCGGTGGCTGACCAAAGAGGAGATTCACTGGAGCAGCTAGGGGCACGCCTTTTATGACGTAGCGACACCGAGACCGACTGAGGTGCATGTACCACCGTCAACAACACCACCACCACAGCCCCTCTTCCGTCTCTGGTTCGCCTCGCATAATCGCCAATACCATTATCATCCACGTGCTACTCCTACTACTACTGTTAGCACTCCTGCCGGTCCTTCGCTCGCATCGTTCTCGTCCACAGCCGCCGTTTTGTTCCAACGCCGCATGTTCCAGTCAAGCTGTCGACAGTTACACCACCCCCGCACCCCCCCGCTACCTTTACCCGCCATGGGCGAACTTGGGGAGCCTGACTGGGTGGCTCAGATCGATGCTGCCAAACTCCAGCTTCCTACCGACAACAGTCTGGCGGGCATGATGGTTGCAACAGAGCTATCGGCAAACGGCCTGGCTGTTATGTCGAACGACGCAGTCGATACCCCTAACCACCACGAGGACCATTCTTCGCTTCCGCAGGGAATACACGAGACAGAGGAGGAAAAGAAGCGGCACTGGTTCGTGGGTAGCGTCGACCAGGGCACCACCTCGACGCGTTTCCTAATCTTCAACGGGGAGGGTGATCCAGTCGCAAGCCACCAGGTAGAACTTGGGAGCCTCTATCCAAAGTCAGGGTAAGTCATTCCCATACCTCTACGCTGCCCCATTGTTTCCTATGCGCCGTACTTCCAACTCTACCCTTTATGACAACCACCTGACGGATGCCTGTCGCAAAGCTGGCATGAGCAAGAGCCGCTTGACCTGCTTAGCTCGGTTGAGCAATGCATCAACGGAGCAGTGCAGAAGTTTGAGGCGCTGGGGCATTCCAAGGCCGACATCCGGTCCATCGGCATCACGAACCAGCGCGAGACAACAGTAGTCTGGGACAGCAATACCGGAGAGCCGCTCTACAACGCCATCGCCTGGCCGGACACACGCACCAAGAATCTGGTGCGAGAACTCAGGTCGCGCGAGTTGGCCGACACTCTCACAGAGCTGTGTGGGCTTCCTCTATCAACGTATCCCAGCAGCGTCAAGTTGCTCTGGCTCCTGCAGAATGTTGATGTCGTCAAGCAGGCCTATGAAGAGGGCCGTCTCGCTTTCGGGACCGTGGATTCATGGTTAATCTACAGACTCAACGGCGGCGCACAGGCGGAGAAACCCATCCATGTCACAGACAGCACGAATGCGAGCAGGACCATGTTTATGAACCTACGCACACTAAAGTACGACGACAAACTTCTGGGCTTCTTTGGGATCGATAAGCACAAGATCCAACTACCCAAGATCGTGCCGTCGTCCGATCCCAAGTGCTTCGGTAAGCTGACAACGGGCGCGCTCGCCGGTGTGTCCATTGCCGGGTGTCTAGGCGATCAATCTAGCGCACTAGTCGGACAGTGTGGATTCAACGCCGGTCGAGCCAAAAATACATATGGAACAGGGTGCTTTCTCCTCTACAACGTAGGCTCCGAGCCCGTCATATCTAAATACGGCCTGCTAGCTACGGTCGCCTACGATTTCGGCGCACTAAGGAAACCCGTTTACGCCCTGGAGGGGAGCATAGCAGTAGCTGGGTCCGGTGTCAACTTTTTGATGAACAACCTGGGATTTATGGAACAGTCAAGCCAAATTACAGACCTCGCCCTGGAGGTCGAAGACAATGGCGGCGTGGTTTTCGTAACAGCCTTCAGCGGACTCTTTGCCCCGTACTGGATTGACGACGCCAAGGGGACGCTGTGTAAGTTGAATAGACCTCGCCTGCATCGGTAAGTTTCCTCAGTTTAAATTACTGACTTGGGTAATGTAATAGTCGGTATTACACACCACACAACCAAGGGACACATTGCGCGCGCAACACTCGAGGCGACGTGCTACCAGACTAAGGCAATCCTCGACGCCATGGAGAAGGACTCGAACCACAAGCTTGAGTCGCTCGCCGTCGACGGCGGCATGTCTAACTCGGACCTGTGTATGCAAACCCAGGCTGACATCAGTGGTATTCTCGTGGACCGGCCGGCCATGCGCGAGACGACAGCCCTCGGCGCAGCCATAGCTGCTGGCCTTGCCACGGGCGTGTGGTCCGACTTTGAAGACCTCAGGGAGATTGGCCAAACTGGCAGGAAAGTGTTCACTCCGCAGATGGAACCCGCCGTAGCCGCCAAGTTGTTCAAGAACTGGGAACGCGCCGTCGAGATGAGTCGTGGATGGATGAAGGATCATCCCGAGTGATCATCTGTAACCAGAGAGTGCGTGTAGCGTGGTGTGAAAGGTTTTGATGGCGTTGTTGCATAGCTGTCGGGCGTTTTGATACCGAGCGTTCTTTTTCCTCTTTATCTCCTTTTCATCCCTCTCAAATACCTTACGTACGTACTTACCTACCTATGTCCCTTACTTACTCCTTTTGGCGAGGATACCACAGGCGTTGTTCCCGTTTCTTCCTTTGTACTTTTTACTTACTTTTCCATGTGTATGATAACATTCTTATTTATATATAACATTTAATACTTCATTGATTCTGCTATAACAGTGGATCTTCTCGTTCGTGTGTAGTTCATTTAGCGTTCTCCAAACTGAAAGTAAGGTACCCGAGAAACATCTTGTAGGTAGAGTAGGTAAGATACAATTATCTCTCCTAAAAATATTTCGATATACGTGTGCTGTTAATGTCTCTCTATAACTCCTGCTCAACTGGATGTACAATGAGGCGAAGGAAAAGTATCTCTAAAGCCTTAGTCAATCTGTCTATTATGAATTTTCTGCAGCAGTGCACATTGATTGATATGAAGGTCCCGAACTATTGCTATGCGACGTAAATATTTCTGGGAACTATCCAAAGCTGATGACCGGACTAGTTTACATGCCAATAAAAGAAATATATTTTACTCAATAATTCGAAGCAAGATGCGGGGATGGATATCTCCTCAGTGGCATTTCCATGTTCTCGGCATGACATCAGTCGTTGGTTTCACGAGCAGCAACGAATTCCGAGAATGTCACTTGCGTGCGTACGTGATCTTCCTCCGCCAAGACAGCTGCTTGTAATGCCGATATAACGTATACCATGGTAGCTAAGTAGGGGATTTTCGTTAGCACCGGGAATTAGGCAGACTTGAAAGTTGGGAACTTGTGAAATCGGCTGCGCAGCATTCCGTAACAAGAAATTAAGTAATCCTCGCAGACCACTGGCAGACTTTGGACGGCAGCAAGCCACCGAGTCGAGAGTGCCGTACGTCTGACGGATTTCGGTGGCGGTAAGGCGTCTCATACAGTCAGATTCACTATTATAGAGTCTTTTCAAAAGGGGTAGTTATTATAAATAAAATGAACTTAATTACTTGCTAGGGGAGTGAAGTTCCCCGAGAGGGAACTGTTTTATAGTGTGGTCCGTAGCTTAACTCGTCTAACAATACTACTATCCGGGGCGCCTCGAGGATCGCAACCCGCTCGTACCAACAACCGAGATCGAATTTCTCGATCACGCTCCGGCAACCGCTCCAGATCAGATAGTGTCGTGTCTTCAAGGTGCGATCTTTCCGTGCTGCTCCTCGTAGTCGTGCAGTGCTTTCGTCTCGAGAAAGGTCTTCAGTGGTTCCCACGTCGGTTTCCACATGACGAGTACCTGGTTGCTTCTTCCTTGCTTCCTAGCTCCCAGGGTCTTCTCGACTGCCCATTCGGTTCCTACTTCCGTCAAGGTTAGGGGCTGGACGTCGTCGTCTGTTTGGGAAGGAGCTGGTTCGCCGGGCATAGAAGCAACTCCTCGCTTCGTCGACTTGCGGCCCCCGGGCGAGAAGTCGGATACTGTGGCATGACCAGTCGCAGAGAGACAAAAGGTCAAGAATACAAGAAAGAGACGCCGGAGGGAGGGATTCTTATTTATCTTTGAGCGGAAGGACATGGAGTCGTGGGGTCAGAGGTGGGGGAGGGCGCCTTTCCCATATCGTGCAGCACCGTGTTCTCGAATACAAATTAAAAGAGGCTTCTACACCCTGTACTCAGTATAGTATGTACGAGGACAAATTATATAATACGTAGTGGGTGAGTTTTTAAAAGTGGTATAATAGTAATAGTAACACATATCAAAGAGTGAAGTGAGCCAGATGGAGGGTATTTTTCTCCCTGGTCGTATTCTGGTTTTTTCCAGTAGCACCAGCACTACCAGCAGCAGCAGCATCAAAAAAGGGGTATTACATGATAATGGCTGGCACGTCAACATTGGTCTTAATGGTCTTGTGCGGCAGAATGCTGCCGCCGTTGACGTAAATCTCGTCTCCGATGGTGACATCGTCACCCAGAACCGACACGTTCTCCAGACGCGCCCACTTGCCTACAGTGCTGTTCCAGCCAACTATGCTGCTCTTGATCCACGCGTGGTCCTTGACCTTAGAGCCAGACAACAGCACGCAGCGCTGCAGGCGGACGCCGTCGCCTACGACGACGTCGGGGCCAATCGTCACATTGGGTCCTATTCTGCAGTTCTTCCCGATCTTGGCAGATGGGTCGATCAGCACGTTTCCGCCGTGTACGAATGGCTGCGAGGAGGGTGTGAGCTCCTTGGAGCCCTTCTTGGTGAGGGAGGACAGGTATAAGCAGGTGCCCGTTAGGAAGTCCTTGGGCTGGCCAACGTCCATCCAAAAGCCGTCCAGGTCAAACGAGTGCAACTGGCCGTCCCTAACCATGGCGGGGAAGGTCTCCTGCTCGATGGAGGTAGGTCGTAGCTCGATGCGGTCGAGCACCGATGTGTTGAGGAGGTAGATGCCGGCATTGATGCGGTTGCCGACGAACTGGACAGGCTTTTCTACAAAGCGGTCGATGCGGGACGGGTGGTTGGGCTTGTGGACAATGACGCCGTACTTGGACGGCTCCTCTACCTTGGTCACGACGATGGTACCTTCGTCGCCATGCGCCTTGTGGAAGGCCAAGAGGTCCTCGAATGGGTATTCGCAAGTGACATCCGAGTTGAGGACGAAGAAGGGGGTGTCGTCTTTTCGCAAGGTTTCCTCGGCCAGCTTTAACGGTCCAGCAGTGCCCAGGGGCTCGGTCTCGATGGAAAGGGAAATGTTGATTCCGAATTGCTTTTCGTACTATCGTGATTGGCAGTGTTAGTTTAACCGTCCGTCTGCGCCAGACTTCCGAAAATGCAAGAGGGCTACCAACCTCGGCCAAGTACCTTTCCATAATCTCAGGGCGGTAGTTGACGGCAAGGACGATGTCGGTGACGCCAGCGGCTGCAAGCGCCTCGATCTGGTGCAGGATCATGCGCTTGTTGCCGAACTCGACCAGGGGCTTCGGGAGCGTCAGCGTCTGCCACAAACATTGTTAGCGAATAGCCTCGAGGCGCACAAAAGCGACACTGTAGGTGCGCGGGTTGCGCTTTCCGACCGGTGGGACGCTGCAAGGACGGTGGCAATGAATGAATGGGTGGGCATACAAGAGGACGCAGGCGGGTGCCAAAGCCGCCGACGAGAATAAGAGCTGCAGGCGACAAAGCTGGTTAGCCATTTTGCAATGCAGGAAGAGTAGCAACAGCTTCTGCTGTAAAGAGAGGCAGTAGCAGCAACGTCCCGAAAAAAAAAGCCGAGTCTCTCTTACCCTTCATGATTGCGTTTCGGGGACAAAGTCAATAAGCAACGAGCGAGCGAATTGAACAGGAACAAGCAAAAAGATGGTTGAACGAGTGTAAGAAGGGAGAAGGAAGAAACAAGGGGCGAGGGGGAAGGGCTTCTTCTTCAAGGGTTTCCCGTAAATGCCCTCACGTCGTCAGGAAAGCAGTCACGACCAAGGCTAGAGACCGAGGAAGTTGAATACGATCACGGGGTAGAAAAGGGCTCGAAGAAAGGTGGCGAAGCGGTTTTCCGGACAAGGGAGCGCAATACGGATGGTAGGTAGCTGCAGCAGCTAACGTTTACAGCAGTAGAGAGGGGGAAAGAGGACACGACACTTTGAAGCTTTTTTTTTTCTGGGGTGCCTCTTGCGTTTTCGTTTCCCGTCCGCCGCCCCTTTACTCGTTCAATTACTACAGGCCCCCCCTCACCGCCCCTGACCTGAGCGCACTGGCAGCTAAGTGTATCAACCAGTAAATGTAAGACAGCTTGCGCAACCACGAGCCCAGATTCAGAAGGCTCTTTGGCTGGTTGCTGCCCGGACTTGGAAAGAGGGCCGGCGCCATTTTGCGTGAAAGGGGATGGGGCAGCATCAACCCAAATGCCAGGCGCTCAGCCAATCAAGCAGTTGGCTCAATCTCCCTGCGAAATTTGCGGGAAGGGGGGAGGGGTGCACGCGGATCGGGCGGTGGGGGGAGGGGTGCAGCAGTGGAGGGCTGGCGCCATCGTCGAGTCGATCAGGGAGGGCTGGCTGGCTACCTTGCTCTGTGTGCCCCTGGCCCTGACCGTCGGCCCGTACTTCGGGACACAAGACGAGGCGAATCTATAGGTTGACGCACAGTAAATTCATCGTTCGAGTCTCTAAGTAGGTACCTAGTCATATCCCCCGTTTCCCCTGCGCTCCAGCTGGACGGGCAGATGAGATGGATGGCTGCTGCTCCCTCCTTCCCTCCCATCTCCCCACTACCGGGCTTAGCTAGACTGACCGTCTTTGGCGACCGCTGTCGGTTCTACAAAGTCTAATCATCCTTTTGTCGGCCGTCGTAAAGGTATTCGAACGGTTGCCTTGGGCAGCAGTTGAGAGTTCAATTGGATTGCTTAAGTCACGGGTTCCCATGGCCTGGATTTATTGGCTCTGCACACCGAAACAGAGGAAGGCGGTGCATTCCCCTTCCACAGCAATGCAGCAATGAGAACACGCAGATTCCAGTGCCTCTCAGCCGACACCGTGCCGTTCATCAAGTGGTGCGTAAGTAAGTGAGTGAGTGGTATGACGTCAACTTGAATGCCCTCGGTCACGACCGACTCAGGCACCAAAGATGGACGTGCCCTCAGGACTCGGTACTCCGTATTTACAGTAAACAACCTCGCCCCGAGCCACAATGAGCCACCCCAGCTAGTTCGTCCGTTTCAGACTCTTTAAAGTGCTGATTGCCCACCGGCACTGGCCGAGTACCCTTGCCTGCCTGCCTGGCGATCACGCAGCTGGTTTCAAGCCGCCCCATTCATTCAACCCGGTGAGAGGAACGACAAAGACAATATCTGCAACTCCAAATTGGAACGCTGTGCACAAATATATCCAACGACACACATGGCCACAAGACCCACCACACAGCCGAATATAATCTAGGTATCCGTTTGTTGGGCATATTTGACCCAAGTTCAAAATAGAAAACCCTTCTTACCCTGGGTTATTCCATTTTAGCTGGGTCTTTGGAACGTGTTGGTGTAAACGCTGGCAAGCGAGGGACTATTCCCATGTGGGTGCTCGATATGGTAGGCTCCATTGCAATTTATCTAGTTAAGGTGCCCATCTACGAATAAATGGTCGCCAATAAGTAAGCAAAAGAAAATAAGGGGGTGAAGTGTATTTTCTTTCATCATCATCATAGGTCTCAATCTCCTGAGAGACATGAGAGTTTCGTCATAAAAAGGTACGTTGTTCGTTCATGTCATAAGTCCGTCTTTGACCATCCTTCCTCCCGCCCGCCCTTCTCTTCCCCCGGAATCTTTTCTCTTTTCCATCCCAACTCAAGCGCTCATGAAATTCGCCCTTGCCTCTTGCCAATGTTAAAAATCAAGGACGAACAAAAGAGGAGGACAGAATACCTCTCGAATATTCTCCAAGAGGTATGTCAAAAATCCATTTTAACTCAGCCTCACCCCCTGTTTTCTGTCACAAAAAAGCGGCCAAGATTGCTTGCCAACACACACCACTTGATTCCACGAGAATATGGCGCTGTCTAAACGGGCATTCCCATGATATCGATACCAAACTTCCGGCCGTTTTCTGCGTCTGGCAAAGGGCGAATAGACGTGTGAGTGTAGCTCAAACCAGCCCTTCCGGGCTAAGTCCACCCGTGGGTTGGGCAACCCTCGGAAATGATGAACCAAAGAGATCAACGTGGGGCAAAAAAAGAGAATAACTGTCCAATATATGCGTTTGTGGTGTCTGGTCCACCAGAGTTGCCTCTTGAGAATATTGCGTGCTCTGCGGAGCCGGTCCATGTTGACTTCGAATCTTCTCCCAGGCTGGTCCTGTGATACCCAGCCGGCAGAGATGGAACAAGGAGCAAGGCCATCCAATGTGCTTCGAAATAGGACGAAGAAATCCAAAGAAACAAAATGCAGCAAGATGCAACGGGAAAAGGCTCCTGGAATATGGTTGAAGAAATCCAATTAAAAGGAGGAAGGCAGAATAAAAAAAACCAAAAGTCGTCGGTCAAAGTCGTTAGAAAGGCAATATGGTCTAGGTCGTTACGTTCGTTCATTCATATCGTGGGAAATGCAAATGTTTTGGTGTACGTGCGCTTGGCATCATCTCTCGTTCGTTTCTCGCTCGCTCGCTCCCGTGTCTCCTTGATCATGGAAATTGCGGGTTGGATGCCACCAACGGGGTATAAGTGCCGAATCTCTCTCGCTCGCTCCATGTCTCTCCGTTGTTGCTGTGAAGCCTTTTCCAGTTTTATATCAGAATGTACGGTCCCGGAGTTTCCAGCTGCTGCCTTGGGCTTCTTCGGGTTTCCTCGGTTTCCACCGATTTGGGATTGGTCCTGGTAGTAGTGGGAATCCAAGAAGATCGGGGACCCAGCGGATCCAATCATGATGCCCTTCCACAAAAAGAGGTGCAGTTCTTTTTCGCATTCATTCTAGCGAAGCAGTAGAGCTGCTGCTTGAGTGATGTCCAGATCGGCGGCCGTGTGAGTGATTGGAAGAGGAAGTGTGGCGGCTCCCCTTTCTGGGCCTACGGGTGGTGTCGTCGGCTGGGAGTCCCTGCACGATCCCGTTGCGGGCCAACATGCCTCCATTGACGGAAAAGTTCCGGCAAACCATAAAGGCACGCATGGCTGCGTTCTCCTGGGCTAGGTTGTCTGACTCGTATGCCAAATCGGTCTGGTACTCACGGCCATTGACCAGAACCAGGCAGGTGAAGCCGTGAGAGTCACGGTGGCACTCGTACATGGGGTCCTGCCACCCACGACGCCGACAAAGACCTACGGGGAAGCCTCGGTTAGCTATGTGATGCTGGAAACAACCCAATTCGTTGTCAATTGGGGCTGGCACCCCCCTCCATCCCGCCGCATCCCCCTTCTTTCTGCATGGGATCGAGGCAGGGCGAACCGGGATGACGTGAAGAAATCTGCATGACAGCCCAACATGACGCCGCCTCAGCCCTACAAAATGTTGTGGGATGGGTAGGGTGCTTCGGATCAACAGGTGACGGGGGGCTTGGGATGTGGTGGTCGGGATTTAAACTGAAGCAGGAACAGGCGGGAGCAGCTGTATGTCGTGGAGATGTCGTGCAGGGGTGAACCACCCACGAGGCGGACGGATGACATGCCTGGTAAACGACACCCCACCACAACAGAACAACGTGGGATCGGGGCATCGTGATGGCAGGGAGGAAGGTCGGCCCATCACCACCAGAAAGACTCAATTGACGACTTACTTTCCAAGTACTGGATGTAGAATCCCTTCATTTTGTCAATTGACCCCCCAATGGGTCAAGATGTGACGGACACACACGGCAAAGCTAAAAAGTGGGAACGTATAATGCCGTCGAAGTCCAAAGTACAGCTGGAAGCAGTAACAGACAATAGAAGAGAGATAGAGAGAAAGAAAGCAGGCAGGCCGCGGGACGGGATCCGGACTCCGTTTGATGCGATGCAGTCGAGCCCAACCTAGGGGCAATGTGGTATAGAAGGCACACAGAAAAAGTAGGGCAGTGCCGGTGATGGAAGCTTGTCCTACAGACAAGAGGGTGTTGTGGGTTTGTGGGTGGTGAAGTCAAGGCTGATATGCTACGTATTCAAGGCTCGGACGCAGGAAATTCTGAGCCAGCAACGGCGAGACATGTGTCTTTATTGCGGTGCCAGGAGACTTAATGCGGGGCAGGGGATGGCAAATTGTCCAGATACAGACGCGAGAAGGGAAATGACAGAAAAGCTAAACGGACAGGAGGGAAGGGTTCGTAAGATGCATGCCGACTGTCGAGATGCGGCTCAAAGTGTGACCCATCTTGATGTGCTGGCGCGTGTCGTTGCCATTCATAAACCCGCTGAGACCCGGCCAACTCCACCCTTACACATGGGGGATGCATTCATCTTGGGGAGGGGATGATCTCTTTTGATAAGTCGGGGCCAGTTTGGATCGGAACCAATATGGAGTACGGATCTCGAGTGGCAAGGGTCCTGGCAACGAGACACGGCACCGCTAGCTGGTACTTTGTTTTTGTTATTTACCTTCTGCCTTGTCCGGCCTCTCAACTTGCTATCTTTTCTCTCTCCGCTCCTCTCCCCCTCCGCTAGCTGCGTGTTTTTGTCCGAGACTGGGCTGCGGGCGTGCCTACCTGCAGGCTTTTTCCTTGGGGTAAAAGCGCCTGTCTATGCAGACCCAGGCATAGTGAGGTGGCAAAATGGAACCGCCGAAGGCCAATCTCTTGCTCCGCAGGCGGGCTCGCGCGAGGTGGACTCTCACTCGAGGACTCGGCAGGCTTGGTCTGCTGCCGGGCACCCAGTCGAGACCCGTGCTCTGGGTGAGCCCGGAGACAAGACCGCAGTGGGAGAGGGACGTGCCTGGTTCGCAAACTATGCGAAGCAAAGCAGAAAGGGGGCAGAAAGCGGAGACTGTTGTCTCCGAGATTCATCTGGCGGCGGCCACTAATGCAGCTGCAGCGATGCGAGTATGTGTATGTGAATGTATTGCCTAGTAGTGCAACTGTGCTCTCGACGACGACACGCCCCGAGCGGTACAAGTCAACAGACATGCATATCCACCTGTCATGCTGCCGCCGCGGCCTGCCACGGCTTGTAGCCCAGCAGCAGGACTTGCCGTCCCAGTACATACAGTATAATGAACATACAGTATAATGAACATACAAGCGTACAGTACAATGCATGGACCGGACGGGGACGCGGGACGTGGACGAGGGACGAGAAACCAACAAGGACGGCGAGGGACGAGAAACCGGGGGTCGGGGTCGAGGGTCGTCCAGTGGCTGGCTACATACTGGTGCCCGCCTAGTGGACCAGGTAGGCAGGTCTGGAGAAACGAAACGATACAGTAGCCGAGCGACGGGCGGAGAGAAAGAGAAAGAAACTCCAAGCCAAGCTGCATGCGCGATGCTGGCGGATTATCGACGTCGTATTGTGGGCCATGCCGCCGGGTCCATATCCACGGGCGATTCGCCGGGCACTCGCGTCTCCGTCTCCCATGCCATTGTCGCTCTTCTAGGCGGGTAGAATCAACGAATGTCGTAAACCAAAACGGGGCAATTGGGTTTTCCGGGACGACAAGTAGCCCACCCTAGTTCGGGAAAGCAACCGGCGCTTGTCGGGGGAAAGTGGGGAGGGAAGATTCAGATTAGAGAAGCTTCAGTGCGTGCTGTGCTGCTAAAGCAATCAAGGTGACCCAAATTGACAGGAAGGGCTGGGCTGGAGAGCAACAGCCCATTCAGGCAATCTGAAGGAAGGACCGACCGACCGACAGACAGACAGACAGATATGGAGGGATGGCGGCCGTGGCCCTCTCTCCCATCGCCAGACCGTCGGCGGACCCCAAAAAAGCGCCTAGGTTGAACGACTGGCTTGAGGCCATACCACGAAGTCGGTGAACAGAATGAGGTGCATGAACAGTGGCTGGGGCCGGCAAACCCTTGCATGCCCTGCTTGTGGCCCTAAACCGCGAACGGCGTTTTCTGAATGGAGGATGGGGTCGCGAGGCAACTAGGCACAAGCAGACCTCGACTCTCGTCATGCAATGATGAGTTGGCACTGCTGCTGGATATTAAAACAAGAACCCAGCTATGGGTCGGGCTAGAGGGGGAGCGCATCGAGACCAGAGACAACTCCGACTCGATGCACGCTAACGTTACTGACGAATGTGTGTCGAGGTATCCGTAAGTATGTAAGGTATGTACCTCGTAGTAGCAGCCCTTTGCATCGCTCAAGCATCTCCTCGACCGTAACGACCAACCGACGACCAAACTTAGATCCAGATCTTCATTGAGCATTTTTGCCCCCTCGCCCGCCCAAGCGAGCGGGGAGGGCGAAGAAGCGGGGTGGAGGGCGAGGGGAGGAGAGAGGAGACGGAGAGGCTGGAGTTCCCGTGTCGTGTTGCAGGACTGGCGAGGAGAAGACCCATCCGCAATGCTGGGCAACATCGCCGAGTGGAGGTGACTTGTCCACATTGGACGCCGCGTAGCGGTGCGTAGCGGAATCCCCAACGGCCTTGGTTGAGTCTACTTTATGTACTTTCCCGACGACAAACCTTACCTTAGCTAGAGATACAGAAGACCTGTCTAATGTGGAGCCCTTCTGTCTGGACTTTCCTCGGCTTAAGACACTTGCTCGTTGGACTCCACGGCCAGTTTTCGGTGGAATTACCAACCATCCATGTTGGACAAGAAAAACGGAAAATAAAACAAAAAAACACTATGATCGAATTGAAGACAAACATCCTGCTTCGGGCGCAAGAAATCCTGCAACCCTTACGGCGAGTTGACGAGGATGGCGTCGCCATAAGTGGAGGGAGAAGGTCCCGGAAACCTAAAGTGTGATACATTTAAGGTACTGTAGGTAGGTACTTGAAGGAGTGAGCACTAAGAATAATTCTGGAAAGATACAAGCCTGCCCTCAGAGAGGCCATTGGCAAGAGCCACGCGCCGACGATGAATGCACGGGCAAAGGTCAAAGGCCACCACCAAAACAAATTGTGGCTGGCCCCGTTTCATTCGCAGGCTTGGGTCATTCACATCATCAACATGACACCATCAAACGCTTCTGATTGATGCGCTTCATATGACGGATGATGTGAGCCTCGGGGCGCGAGCGGGCTAACCGGAGAGAACAGAAAAACTCTCTCGGCCAAGGGAGACAAGCAGCAGAGCTTGAGCAGCTTGAGAGGCTTTCGACCGTGCCTCCGCCCAGAGAGTTGCCCGTAACGTACATCGAAATGTTTTTTTCTTGTGAGACTCTTTCACACAGAAATGAGGAGGGACGGTTTTACCGACCCCGCAATGAGCAAAGAACCAAAAAAAGTTGAAAGGGCAAAGAAAGTCAAAACGCAGTGAGGGGCAAATATCAACCCCTCATTGCTGCTCCATTGCATTGCATGGTAGCGTAGCGTAGCGTCCCACTTGAACGTCATCCTTCCGAATCTCTGTAAGCCACCGCTATTATCTTCCACCCAGTGCCCGTTAAAAGAAGGCTGTACCGTAACGTACCATACCAAACTAGAGGGTGAGGGGCCGAGGCGAACAAGGTTAGACAATCGTGGGTATCTCGCCCCTCTCCTTCACCTCCATGTCTGTAGCAAGAGCGAGACAGAGAAAGCGGCATGGACCGAACTGAAACCAACCTAAGGTACCTACCTAAGCATCAATACACAAACATTTGTCCCTCGGGTTGCTTCTTATGAAGGCCCCTGTTACGTGATTGCTCGTCTGCTTTTTACCCGAGTTCTCAAATGTTCTTTGGAACGACTAAGGGGGGAGGCATCGATAAAAGGAAAACTACGAAACCAAGGCTTTTGATAGTAAGAAGCTCGCTATTTTTGTCTCGTTGAGACACTTTTCGTCATGTCCCTGGTTTCCCTCTCCACTCCGTCCCTGTAAGAAATTGTCTGATATTACTCTTGTACGTCTACGCGAACTTGTTTAGGGCCATGGCCCGTTGTTACGACCAGGTTGATCATCACGGAGTAATTGAAGGAGAAATGACTTAGAACTATGGACTTGCACTACAGTTTGACAGGTAAAAGACCGTTAGACGGTTATTCGGTCATGAATGCCTATCAGGGAATTGGTTAACCGAAATACTAGAAACACCCTTATCGTATGCGTGTACATGTACAAACTCTTCCTTCTCTCGAGGCCACGAACAAGAACATCCTCTGACCCTTGGCTCCGTGTCTATGTACTGCATCTGTGACTCCGCGGAAGGGAAGCGGAGCTAATTCTGGACGATGAAGACAGTCGATCCTCTTCGCCTCCATTAACCGACAAGTCCCGTAACAGATCATGAAGAGGGAAAAAAGCAAGTCAACCAGAGTCGTGGAAGGTGGCAAAAGGCCCATGCACCTGCCTTCCGCAGAGCAAGGATAGAAAAGCACGCAGGTCGGACCCTGCCTCTTAGTTCGGCATTGACATGGGTGGGTTTCTAGTCCCTGACAAACGCTTTTTTCTTTTTCTTTTTCTTGTCGTTGACAGCCTCGGACTCGTGAATATACCGTTCGACATCTTACCTTGGGCTATTTTGCACCTTATCATCCACCAGAGACACTTTGCTTGCTGGATTTCTTAGTTTATACACCCTACCGATGACATACGGAACTATACGCCATACACATGGACTGCCAATAACCCAACCGGAACCCAGGAAACCACGAAATGAAGATAAAACCCAATAGGCAGGCACTTAACGTACGACACATGCGCAACATATGTAGCGAGAGTTGAGAAGGGTTTAGCTTCCCGCTGAACCTGCCCTCCATCCCGAGCCCGTGAGCCCACATAAACGCCAACGGGCCAACCCCCATGTCTGAAGTGAAAAAGGGGGAAAAGGCATGATGAGTTGTCAAAGGCGCACGGAGGGAGACCGTGAAGGTGAGAAAGGAAACCACAAAAGTGGCCCCTCCCCCCGCCCCCAATCTTATTCAGGCTTGGGCATGCATAGCAGTGAGCAGCAAACTGGGACGGCTCAGGTGTGAGGATGAAGGTGGGCTGCCAATCAGTCCTCCGCTGGGTCCCTTCATGACCAGGGGTGGGTGGGGAAAGAGAAACGTGAAGAATCCCGAGACCCAACACGTGATGGAATTGACGACAATAGAACATACATGGTGTGCCTGGATGCTTTTGACACTTTTTTTTTCGCTTGTTTTGTTTTCCTCCCACCAGGACGTGTGGCGTATGTATAGTCTAGTATAATGCGGCACCCAGGGCGCATATACCACATACAAATAGCAGCGGCAGGATGATATCACTAGAAGCCTTCCTTCGCTAGGAAGTAATTCCTGATGGCCTGCTGGTTGCGGTGGGGGATGGCGTAGACTGGGTGAATTGGTCGAACCCGGTCCCTCTGGTCAAAGATCTGCACGCCCTCGAAATACGGCAATACGACCCATAGCGGATCTGCTACTGCTGCTGCTGCTACTGATCTTGTCGTTGAAGTCGCGGGTTCAGTCCCAGCAGACGCGGGCTCTTCTTCTTGTTCCTCGGGCGGCACTAGTTCCCATTGATGCTGGGCTGAACTGAGACCCGAGAGGACATAGCACGAGTGATAGGCATCGGGCGACCTAAGTTTCCGGAACCCGGGATTAGACGTGAGACATACAGATGGGTAAGAGACGGAACGTATTTCCGTAAGAGAGAATGTAGAGGGCAACAGGGCAGGAGGAAGAGAGAGAAGAAGAGAAGGTGGGAATGGCACGGTACGCCAACTCAGACAACGACTCACTTTCCTGGCTTATCCCGCAACCCACCCTTTCTGGTCAGGTCTTGGCAACAGCAAAGAATATACCGAATCAAGCCTTCCCGGCTGAATAGGCTTTCCGGTGCAGGTGGAAGGCTGCCAGCAGCAAGATCAGCACCACCGGTAGTAGCGCCGCTGAGACACGCTTCAATTAGTGGGAAGCACCCGCCAACCCAGTGGCTGTAGCAGCCGTCGACGAGCTTGTTGGTGCGGCCGGAGAAGCCCCCCTCGGGCGCATATTGTCGCGACGACAGCCACGCAATGAGTCGTGGAACGTCGAGGTATCTGCCATGCATCCCGGGCATGTATTAGTATGTGATGCTTCTTGTCACTTCCTTAGTGGGTAGGAGAAATGCAATCATGTAGCCGCTGTTACTTACCTTGGGATGACCTGGCTAGGGTGACCAAGCAGGGAAAGGCAACCCAGGGCGCAAAACGCATACGCCCCGTGGGCTTCGGCGTCTGGCTGACCAGAGATGCCGCCCTCGAATGTTTGGCCTAGCGAGTGAGCATTAATCTTTTGGGGTTCTGGGTATAGACCCGGTCTCATTTGACTTACATCGTCGGACATAGTCTCCTAGCCCGGTGAGGAGGTTCTTGTCGCCCTCCTCCGTCCAGGCTGGGGACTCCGGCGCCAAGTCCAGGGGAAGGTTGAGTAACTTGATTATGACTGCCGCACAATACGCGCCCCTATTTTTATTTTTATTTTTCAGTGTGTCAGAGAGAAGCAATTCGCCATTTTGTCGTCTGGGCAGCGTTCGGTTCCGACATACCTGATGTCTTCCTCACCACCGAGGCAGACCTGAAACCCTCCGTCGGGCTGCTTGAGGCGACAGAGCCATCTCCAGATTGCCTTCCTGTCAATGACCTCGAAGGCTTCCTCTCCACCCACTAAGGCAAGAGCCAGGACCACTGCATAGGAAGTGGCCATGTGGGAAAGCTGTCTGCAGCCTCCGCCGAAACCTCCAGTGTCGTTCTGCATAGAGCGCGCTGTCTCGGCGACCGCGTTCCGGTAGCGGGACACATCCTCGCCGAGGATTGTAAGACCTGAGATGGCCCAGTACAGAAACCAGGGCCTGCTTGCATCCACGGCGACGAAGCGGCCTGGCAGTCCGCCCAGGGCTAGGTGAAGAAACCTGATGTGTTTGTCCCTGCTCAGTCGTGGGACTCCGTGCTCATTGTACTCCAGGATATCATCTTCACCGGCCACGAAATGCCGACACTCGTTGGCAATCTGGTCCTGGGCGACAGAGCTGTCGGTGACGAGGGCATCCCTGACGGGAGGGTACCCGGTAAAAATGTCTGGAATCATGAAGGAAGGATAGATGTGGGAGACGACAATTTCTTCTTCGTCTTCCTCTTCTCCTCCCTTTGCTTGGTCAACGATATTTTTGTTGCGGGTTGACGGCGAAGGGGTATTGGACGGCCGCGCCATCCTGTTGCCGGTTCGGCTGAAGACAACTCGAGTTCGATGCCGCAACGCCTTTGTCCGCAGCGGCATGGAAAGAGGCCAAAAGCAGAAGAAAGAGCCCAAGAACAATATTAAAAATACCCCTCTCTTAGTATTGTTTAGGTGTCGCAAAAATCAGTCAACAGTTGGGCGACATGATGAAAAGACTGATGTTTGCAGCGTTGCTGTCGAAAAGCGGCCGCCATTGAAGCCCAAATTTACGGGTCAAGAAAGCAACCTGGAAGGTTGCCTGCCAGGTGGTGGTCGGGCTTGCGGCCAACTGCCAAGCGAGAAAAGTTTACAGGAAACGTCATAGTTTTTAGCGACCAACTGGGAGTAAAGGTGTGCAATTCCATGGAATTAACTGGCCCCAAGAAACTCATCTGTCTACCTTACCTACGTATGTGGTTTTTTCTTTTGCTACTCTCAACTGTAACAGCCGTGGTTACTCCGTACAGAGAGGGTGATATCACCCTGGATGGCGAGCACTGACAATCCTGGAACCCAAAAAATCCAAGACCGACAGCCGGCTGGCAGCTTCGGCCTCGCAGTGAGCAACCCCACCTCCCCGCTCCTCAACTGACCCTGCCGAGCCGATCGAAGTTGCTCCGATAAGATTTCCGAGTTCAAGTCCGAGAGGAGGCCATATAAAGAGTACCTTAGGTATCAAGCATTTTGTCACGTATGTCTTCAACTGTTTTTCAAGCCTCGGTCAAACGGATGCGGAGATGATCGATCGTCGATTTAGATCCATACTACCAGACTCGCGCACATCTTACACTGCGTCTGTCATGCAGTTACGGCTGATCGAGCACACCAATTCTGTCCTTCCGCACTTTGTACCTACCTGCTTCCTGGTAGCACTACTGTGTACTGTGTACGTAGTCCTCCCGGGAACTGGTGCATCGCAGGCACAGTTTTCGCACATCCTGACTCGTCACTGGTTGCTGTGGTCGATGGGGGAGATCTCGCCTCCACCCTATACTAGAGCAAAGACGGACCGCGATTGGTGCCGCCGACTCTGTTTCTCGTTGTCTGCGATCTCTGCCGGTGTCAACTCGGAAGATCGAGTGCCAGCAAGGCCACCGGCCGCCTCGGCGCAGCTTTAAATCGCAGAATCCCGAGTTAGTGAGGTCAAGTTGCTCAAAGAGAACAATAATTATCAAAGCACAGCGGCTCTCATGGGGCGTGCATTATCGACTTTGACTACTTCTCAGAGTCTAGAATATGATATATCAACTCTCCCGAAGTCGTGGGAAGCGGCAGTCTCAAAGCCGATCGCTCACTCGTTCAAGAAGTGACAATTACCTTCAGGACAGAGAACAACGCCGGCTTTAAATCCACTCGCCAAATTGACCAACCTAGCCTCTGGAAATATCGTTGCCTTGGCTAGTCCACATATTTGTACGGTATGGCGAGACAGCAGTTGCGGCGCTTGTTGCATGTCCGCCGTCTGCAAGCAAGCAAGCCGGCGAAACTCCGGGACGGAACGCACTCGCTAGCGGTCTGTTTTGTGGAAGACGAGGCCGGCTTCAGAATATTCACTCGTCTACCCAGAACACGGCCAAACAATACCCTAACAACCGATAACTTCCCTTGAAGGCTTGGGAGGTTCTAATCCAAGGCGTGCACGTCGGGTCTTTCCATTGTGTTTTGAGATCTGCAAGTCCTTCTAAAGAAACCTTTTTGGCATCGCGTCAACAACCCCTCGCAAGCGCCCTCCCGACAACCCTTGGCTCGGATGTCGACCCCGCATATGAACCCGCTTTGCTGCTGACATGCCTCGTAGGGGCGCTTCCCCGGTTGCGAATTGCGCAGGAGGTAGGGGTAATCTGCTAATTTTCTCGAAGAAAGCTTCATCGTGTCTTCAAGGCTAACACCATAGCTAGCAGCCATCGCAACTTCAAGAAGACCTGCCTCCAATTGTGGCCAAACACCAACCACTTCAACGGCGTCCTAATTCAGGGTCCTAGTGGAGGAAGAAAGCTGATGGGCCCGCAATCGGGATCTGATAAGCTGTGGGGAAATGGGCAGGGATCAGCTAGCATGGTAGCAGTGGCACAGAAGCCCGTGTCACGGGAGGCTCCTTCTCACACATATTCCTAATCGCCCACCCAAACTTGTCGAATGCAACCACTGGAACCGAAAACTGCCGTGCGTTTGGAGACTCCCATTTCCCACTGTGGGAGTACTTGCTTTCTTTTTGTGGCCGGCCGCTCGGCATTGCGCATCTTCCCGGAGGGTTGTTGTGCAGACTATCGGAACCATCCCATCATCAACCCACCATCCTCGTTTCTAACTGGGCAGCTCGTTTCCCCACACGTTGAAAGTCGCCGCCCTCAGCCGGTCGGGGTGCGCCCTGTTTTGAGCAGCGAGGAATTATTGAAAACTTGGCTCCAACTCTGGGGGGGCCGTTGGAACAGCCACAGTATTAATCAATGGGATGGATGACTGATAAGGGCAGAAACCCATTATTGAGAAGATGTGCCTCCGTGCTACCCGAAGGATTCCTTCCAAGAAGACGCAAGGTGGGCGCAATGTACTTTTAATTCTGTCATACTCGTACAGAGTACGGATGGACTACTATTAGTGAAGGCCCGCTATTTGAAGATGGGGGGACCCTCAGGTTCTTGGTTCCCGTCGTTATTCCACGAGCTTCCTATCAATTCAGCCGCTGAGGATGTGTCAAACTGATTAATGATTCGGCAGAAGCCGAGCGCCCAGTACGCAGGGACGGCATGGAAACACAGTTCCCTTTAGTTTAGCTTCTTGTGGTCAATGGATGTCAATGTAATGCAACTCGAAAGAGTGTTGTGCAGCACGCCACTCCGACTTCATAATCCACCTGCATCTCTCGATGGCAACATTGGCAATCCTGTCACTGTCAACTGCGGAGAATGCACTCCTGCAAGGCTAAGGGGTGGGCTTTTGAATTTCTCACTCTAACTGGAGCGGCCATCAACTGTCGGCTTGTGATGATCTTTGCGTAAATGTTTGTTTAGCAATTCCGTTGTTGCTATCAAGATTATTCGGTAGCTTCCACGTTTGACACGGAGTTTCGGATGCGGGACGTGCGGGTACGGGTGGTGCGGATGCGGGACAAAACACAACCAGGCCAGACCAGACTAAATAAAACGGCAAAGTTTGTTCTTAATCTACTATAACCGATCGAACACACAACCCCGAGAGACTATAAAAGAGGCGCCGCGCCGCGCCCCAGTCTCAATCTCCGAGTTCGTTGGTGCATTCACTGGGGAGTGTCTGGCACAGTTCAATGTTGATGAGTGAGGGCTCCATAACCTAGCTGGGCAAAGCAACCCTCATCTAACTCGCACAACAATTTTGACAGTGGTATTTCGTAGGTAGGTACTTATGGATCGCTTCTCCTGTCATTGAAGAAGCTATTGGCCGCCTGTGCCTCTTCGCGCCTGCCTGATGCAGAAGACAGCGTGGAGAGGGGCTGGGGGAGGCGGAGAGGGGACGAGAGGCCCTGCTACAGTGCGGCGGGGCTGGCTTGGGACGGTCCTGGGCTGCCCTTGTGGCCTCTCATCTGCTGTAGTGATTGGACACACCCGCCATGCAACTATCCACTGTCGCATGCCCGAGTGGGCCTGAGCCCAATCAGCGGCAAGCTGTCGGACCAGGATTGTAAAGCGCTCTCACCGCCTCTTCAGCGGTGGACGGGAGCGAGTTGCGTGAGGTGCGGCACTGGACTTAGGGGGCTCTCCACCTCGCCTCGTCCAGCGATCTCTCTCGACGAGCAAGCGTTTTCTCACGCTTTCCCACGTTGGATGCGAGTTCTTTGCACCCTTTCCCCAGACTCGCTACCTCATCCCACGACCAAACGAGTGCGAGCCTCCAAACCTCGGCGAGTGCCTCTTCCTCCGCAACGCTTGTCATGACCCTCTCTTGACCGACTCGACGTCGAGAAAGAGCGGTGTCGCCCCTCGGCCAGCTACAATACTACCGAATCCCTCCAATCCCTTCTCGCACGCGTCGTTTCTCTTCTTCTCTCTTGCCTGGTCTGTCTTGTGAAGATGACCTACGACTTCAACGCCGCCGGGGGAGAAGCCGCATTGTTGGAGCAGCTTGGATTCGATCATCGGGACCGCTATTCGTATCCTGCCGTCTCAACGGCTGCCCCATCGCGAAACCCCGCTTCGACCGCCCTCGTCACAATGTCGCAAGCCAACCGCCAGAGTTTGAGTTTGAGTCCGGGGACATCATGGTTGCCTCTCGACATGTCGGGGAGAGTGGGTGCGCCTGTATCGATGCACTCGCCCAATTCCGGCAGCGCGACTTCCTCGTCTCCCGACGACCAAAGCGCCCAGTCCCCTGGCCATCACAGTGCTATGCCAAGTCCCTTGCAACACCAGCACTCTCCGTTCCAGACGGCCGCCCACCCGAACACTTCCTCTCTAATTGCGGATTGGTCTCTGTCCCTGCAGGCTCAACAGCAGGCCACCCCGGACCTCGCGCAGTTCATCCAGGACTCGGCTACTTTGATAAATTACAACCCATTTACCTCGGGTTTCCAGCCTGCTCCGCTTGAGTACCTTCCAGCAACGACCCAGGCCGCCCTTGAGACCAGCCTTCACATGGAACCCACCTTCGGCACAATTTCTCCCGTCGACGACACGGCTCAGGCAATGCACTGGGGAGCCGGCATGGCAAACTGGCAGGATTTCGAGCCTGCAATGCTCTTCCAGCCTGACGGACTTCCCCGAATCGGAAGTCTAGGAAGCCACTCGCCAACTGGTACATATCTAGAGGTTCTGTCCTTGAATTCGGGGAGCGACAATGGCTGGGCATCGGTGGATGTGTTTCAAAACTACGACGCCTACCAACAAAACCAAGCCTCGCAAAACGCTGCCATCTTTAACCCGAGCCAGACATTGCACTTGAGGAGAAGTAATTCCGATTCCTCTCAATCCGACGGCAACTCGCAGGAGTTTGGAAGTTACGACGAGGTCAATTTCCCTTATTCCCCCTACTCGCCCGGCTCCGACACCCAGGTGGACCCTGCGGCCAATCACCGCAACTGTTTCCCGGGAGAGCATCATCACCCAAGCACCGAGCTCATCAGTCCCTCAGCTGCTGTCGCTCCTATGCCTATCAAGGCTGCTTCCACGTCTAGCAGGCCTGTTGTCGCCAGCGGCTCCGGATCTGCTTCTCCTCCGGTCCGAAGAAATTCCGGCCAGCGGAAGAGCCCCATTGCCAAGGCCACCAAGCCCGTCATCCGGAGAACATCCACTGGCAAGAAGGATGGAACTGGGGAAAAGAAAGTGGGAAGACGCCGTGGCCCACTTCTCCCGGAGCAACGCAAGCAGGCCAGTGAGATTAGAAAGCTCAGAGCTTGTCTTCGCTGCAAGTTCCTCAAGAAGACATGCGACAAAGGCGAGCCTTGTGCGGGCTGCCAGCCTTCTCACGCCCGCTTGTGGCAAGTTCCCTGCACCCGGATCGACATCAAAGATATCGGCTATTTCATGAAGGACTGGAAAGCCGACTACGAGCGGCATCTCGGCCGCGGCATGTCTGTCTTCAATGTGAAGGGGTTTGCACAAAAGGAAACACTGATGTGGATCACTCACGGCTATGGCTTCTGTCTTCCTGTTATGGTTCGCGAGGTGTATGTTGCGGATGACAGCTGTTTCCAGCTGGACTGGGTCGAGTCAACGCTGCAAGACCAGGAGCCCATTGATTTCGAAATTCGCACCGAGCGCTTAGATGTTGGACATGAAGGTGTTTCACCAGAGGCGCTCTCGGAATATCTCGACAAGCACATCGACGAGGGATTTGAGAGATTCATCGACGATCACTTCGAAGGAACCCCCTTCATCACTGAAATCTTCAAGACAGCATATCGTTTCTACGTCAAAGAGCAGCTCCCTGTTATCCGGAAGGCCCTTAAGCTCGTTGTGGCCTACAATCTCACTCTCCACATCACTATGGTAGAGCAGCCGCCTACCGAGGAGCCAATGGAGGGCCAGATTGACGACGAAGATTCCAAGTACTTTGGCAAAGTTGTTGCTCCGGTCATGATCAATTTCCAGATCAAGTGCGCCATGGCCGACATGTGGCGCGAACTTCAGAAAGATATTCTTGAGGAACTTTCAGCTCTTTATTCCAGCGTTTACAGCGGAGAGCGGCTGAAAAATTGGCCCACTATCTACATGCTCGCTTCCATCCTTTTGGCGGTGTGGGAGGAGATCCAGTTTGACTGCCACTACCGCGTTCCCGACCCGGTTGCCGTCAACAAGTTCTGCACCGACATGGAGACAACACCTGTTGGAGTCATTGTCGGCCTCTTCCATGCAATTTCGCAGAAACTCCCGTCATTCACCGAGTGGGATACCCGGAGACACGGTCAGCTGCTCAACAACAACCCAGCTGTTTGTGAGGCAATGACAGAAGTGAGACAACATGTCATCAAGCATGGTCAGTGGTGTTGCGTCTTAATCCTTTCTTTTCTTTTCTTGGAACTTGCAACTGACATAGAATCGCAGAGGCCTACCTGAGAACGCGTCAAGATACAAAGTTCGATCGATATGATTTTGACTCGTTATCCAACAAACTGCTGTCAAAGCTGGTCATTCGAGCCAACTAGGACCGCCTCTTGTCGCAACATGATGTCTCATTACAGTACCCGTTTTGGACGGAAACATTCCATTCTGCTCGCGAGAGCCTCTTTTGTTTCTTTTGTCTATTTTTTGTTGTTGGGATTCCTTCTTCTTTCAGTTCAGCGACGGCGTTTTTGCGACTTAACTCTTATGATGACTGCTTCGCTTTACTTTTTTTTTTCGGGCTGGCAGCTGCCACACGTTTCGATTTAAACCGACGTCTATTATCACGGACCATTTTATGACACTTTTGATGATTTACCCAACGATCTGTACGACTGAATCAGAACATCAGTCCCGATGGCAAGGACACGGGCGCATGGGAACGACGGAATGCTCTTACGATACGCACACGAAAGAGAACAGAGCATATAGAAATATGCATGGGATTGGCGTTTGTTTGAGAGGCTTACGAAGTCTTCAAGACACATGTTGCTAGGGCGGGACGGCTTTGTGTGATGGCCAACAAGCGAGATGGGGGTAAGAATTCTAGTGAAGAAAATAGAAAAGCCAAATAAATACTCAGCTCGATACAAGCTGCAGAAAAGCGAGGTTGGGATTTTAATCTTAAGATCCTTTAATTTTCAAGTAATTTCATGAGATTTAAAGCACTGAACAGGTAGTTGTGGCATGTTTATGGGTATATGTTGTGTAAGGAGTTGTTGTATCAAAGAGAGAAATGGACAGAAGTTGGTGTGCTTTGCCGAGGCAGCTTGAGATAGGTGGCTCACTCCCAGCATCGAAAGCGACCACATCCCTCGCAAGAACCACAGTATCTGGGTAAGCTTCTATGAATCAGCACTCCTTGATCTTTCCACCGAACGGAATCTCGATTCCTCGAAGCCTATTTCACAGTCCTAACGTGTCCCCAGCGAGATTCAAAACCCACGAAAGAACATGTCGACGCCTTTTACGTTTAGTCCATGTTTTAACCTTCAAATTCTGAAATTTCCTCCAGCGACGGGGTCCTTCTATCGTTTCCATGAACCTATTCCAAATTCACGCTCATCATTTTCCCGATGTGCTCTGGTCCTTACAATATGCAGACGGATTATTCAGCGTCTCTCTCAGGACAAAAGCCAATTTGCGCGCTCATACTAAAATAGATTCGCGACGGAACAGATATTGGATATCCCCCGCTTGTTGTGCTGATGAGAATTAGGCACCGTCGGTCGCCTGTCACCAACCGAGGAAACGATGACGTCGGTTGTGCCGCTTAGCTTATTTTCCTACTACTCGCCTGGTTGAAACACTACCAGCCAAGTCTTTCGGTGCACGATGCCGAATACTAGGGAGCCTTACACTATGCAAGAAAGAATGTGTTAATAGTTGAAATGGGTGATGTGAATTTTCCTGACGAATGCATTGCGACAGCGATTGTCTTTGTGGTGTCATTTGGCCCTTAGCTTGATGCAGCAGCAGCGCAGCATCTTCAAACACCCGATGATTGCGGGGTTGGTTGTTGGTTTCCCATCGGCATTGTGGAGCAGCTGCTGCAGTGCGATAAGAGCGACACATTAATTCGCAGAGCCCGCTGCGAGAGCAAGACAATTGAGTTGATCTGAAGGTGGCTAGAAGACAATTTAGCAAAATGGTCGAACACTTAAGGTGGTCTTCGGCACGTGCAACTGTACCAAGGTGCTACCTACACGTGTTCCGTAGACCGTGAGCACTCACTTTTACGGTCCGGCCTCTCGGCCAGTTTAGGCCCACTTTGGATTTGGTCCGGAGAGGCGAGGCCTGGGCGCCCGCGTGGTCTCGCCCCTTGTCGCGCTCCTGCTGACCGGCGAGCCACCCAGATGCTAAGTGGCGGCTCGACAAGCGGATGGGTGCATTGAGAAGACAGGCAGGCGCTAATAATCGGTGGATTTGCTCCTCCAAGTTTGAACAAACTAACGCAATATTTACAGCATACGATAGATGTTGGATGTTGAACTCAAATTTTCTAACGATTGCGTTGCAATATGTTTTTAGTTGTGAATTCATTCACATCATGCAACAGGGACAACCCGTTTACCTTAGTGAGGTGGTGGGCCTTGTCAGGCGGGGCGGGAAGCGCGCCCCCAGATCGCCTTGTGGAGGCCAACCAACCGGCAAGGTTGAGGAGAGGGCGAGGCTCGGCAAGGGGCCCTTCACTTCATGATTCCACCTCCAAAGATTCGTTCAGTAGCGTACTCTGTAGAATGAGCCAAAAAAGTAATGAGGAGCTGGAATAATTGGTGAGGCTGAAAAGGGCTGACTGAGCCTAGGTTGGGCGAATGTGAATTATTCATCCTCGGCCGCAGTCGGAATCACTGGCAGTGGACGACTGTGCGACGTGCGAGGCTGGTTCTTAGGACACCTCTTTGCCCCGCTCCGGCCATCCGAATACGCTCACCTGACTGGACCGCGGCCATTCGAGACCCTTCCCTGCGCTTCCCTACCCTTGCAAGAGCCAACCAGCGGCCCTTGCGCCTTTGTGACACACCCAACTCAGCCACCCCTCCGTGGCGGCCTGACCAACTCTCTCGCCTTCCTATTTAACCTCTAACCACTCTTCTTTCCCTCACCACTTTCTTTTCCATTTACAACCACCAACCATCTCCCCTCTTCTAGGAATCCTCCACAAAGAAGAACCCAAATATCCTATCGATACCTCCAACACCACACTTGAGATCTCACATCACTTCGTCAAGATGCAGATCTTCGTCAAGACTCGTAAGTTACCCCGCACTGTCTACGAGGACTGCGCTGTGGCATTTCCCGGTCATCGGGCGCCCTCCCCGACCGAAGCTAATCAAAGCTAACACATCCTTCCAGTGACTGGCAAGACCATCACCCTCGAGGTCGAGTCTTCGGATACCATTGACAATGTCAAGTCGAAGATTCAGGACAAGGAGGGCATTCCGCCTGACCAGCAGCGCCTAATCTTTGCCGGCAAGCAACTTGAGGATGGCCGCACCCTCTCCGATTACAATATCCAGAAGGAGTCGACTCTCCACCTTGTCCTCCGTCTCCGTGGTGGCATGCAGATCTTCGTCAAGACATTGACTGGCAAGACCATTACTCTGGAGGTGGAATCCTCGGATACCATCGACAATGTCAAGTCGAAGATTCAGGACAAGGAAGGCATCCCCCCCGACCAACAGCGCCTGATTTTCGCCGGAAAGCAGCTTGAGGATGGCCGTACCCTCTCGGATTACAACATTCAGAAGGAGTCCACTCTCCACCTTGTCCTCCGTCTCCGTGGTGGCATGCAGATCTTTGTCAAGACTCTGACCGGCAAGACGATCACATTGGAGGTAGAAGGTTCAGACACAATCGACAACGTGAAGTCGAAGATCCAGGACAAGGAAGGCATCCCCCCCGACCAGCAGCGATTGATCTTCGCTGGAAAGCAGCTTGAGGATGGCCGGACTCTTTCTGACTACAACATTCAGAAGGAGAGCACCCTGCACTTGGTACTCCGGCTTCGTGGTGGCATGCAGATTTTCGTGAAGACGCTCACTGGGAAGACGATCACATTGGAGGTCGAGTCATCGGACACGATCGACAATGTAAAGTCCAAGATTCAAGACAAGGAGGGTATCCCGCCCGATCAGCAGCGATTGATCTTCGCTGGAAAGCAGCTTGAGGATGGTCGGACTCTTTCCGACTACAATATCCAGAAGGAGAGCACCCTCCACTTGGTGCTGCGTCTTCGCGGCGGCCAGTAAGCGGTTCTTTTTTGTTTGGGATTGGTTTGGGGTGGATTTACACAACGGCGTTCAGCGATTTCGGATAGTCGCCGGAACGGACATACATAGCTAGGTAACTGAGCACAGCTCACCCCAAGTAGCAATGTCTATTTGACTCTTGGAGTCTAATTTTACATCCTTTTCTTGTCCACGACTCTGTAGTGCAACTCGATGATTGAATGATTTGCCGGCTTGTGACAAATCATAGTAAAACTCTCACAGGCGCTAGGACGGGTAGGTCAAGCTCGCTGTAACTACCCCGCGAATACAGTACATGATCGCATGGAACTGCACCTTCCACGAGAAAACTCTCCACTTGATCAAAGTGGCTCAGAATGGAGAGACGCATTCGGCGACGGCTTTTTCAATAGATAATCTTTTAATCCTTTTCATATTTTCGATTTTCCCTCCTTCACGAATTACTAATGCGGCAGGTCAATCCGCCATGGTGCTTACCGGGTGGGACTTGGGAGCTTCGAGAACCGGAGAGCTTTTTGCCTTGATCGCACTGGTGTCATCGTCCTAGTAGAAGTGAAACACTTGCATCTAGGAAGCCGCACGAGGCACGCACGAAACAAACACTGTTTACGCTCCACAGCCTCTTGGGCTTGCTTACCAGCAAAGCTCCAGTGGCCATTCACCAAAGGCTATGCCTCCCTATTCGTATCATTTGAAATTCGAGCTTTATTCGACGCCTGATCCGGCGGCGGGCCGGAACGACGACGGTGACTCTATCGGACACGATATCTGGGTTGCCTTGCCCGGATCGAACATATTTGCCGATCTACCTTCCCACCCACGCAGCCAACAACAATCTTCACCTCCGCGACACTCGTCTCGCGACATCAGCCGCGCTAGCGAGCGAGCTCGTAATTCGGTTGTAATCGACTGCGGGGCACAACGAGCCACTTCCCAGGTCGGCGCCGATAGCGACCGCAACGTCGTCTTCCTCAGCGAGCGTCAGTGGCGAGCGCGCTCTAGCAGTTCCCCGCCCCCGAAATTCTCTGCTGGTATCGGGCCGCGTACGGCAGCTAAGGACTGGCGTTTCGGCCTGGTCAACATTGAGAGCTTTGACCTTTCCAAAGAGCAACGCGGTGGCAGCAGCGGCGAAATATCGAGCACAGGAGAGCCGGAATCAAGTAAGGCAGGGAAGATGGCTATCGGAGGTGACGATAGCGGCGGCGCACATGCTGCCGCACCAGCCGCCTCCCTGGGCCCCAACCTCGGAGGCATGGGGCTGGCGACCAATGGTAGATACCTGCCTCTAGAGACAAAGAACACCGAAGCTGGATGGGGAATTGTCCATCTTTACAGAGAAGGTGACGAGTCCAGTATCCCACGTGCTGCACTGCCGAGTGCACATGTTGCTGGGGAGGGAGAGGGCAGCGCGAGTGGGAGCGGCGGCGGCAGCGGAGTCGAAGGCGGGAACTCAGATGACGATGACAGCACTATTCTCTGCATTCCTGCGGTTCCCAGCTACCTCTCGGCCAGCGACTTCCTTGGCTTCGTCGGCGAGAAGTGGAGGGGGGACGTGAGTCATTACAGGATGGTCATGACAAGCAAACTGAGCCGGTACATGGTCCTCATGAAATTCCGGGACCACTGGAAAGCCAGCCAGTGGCGTGAGGAGTTTGATGGGAAGCCCTTTGACAGTATAGAGGTAAGTTTTGTTCTCCGTGCCGGCGATTATCATAGCCTTCCTTACTCACGTTGGAACCCCTGCGCTAACCGAACACATCAACAGACCGAAATCTGCCATGTGACGTACATCAAGTCAATCACATTCGAAACGCCAGACCAGACAAGTGCAGGGAAGAGGAAAGGCTCCGAAGCTACCGTGGACGCTTACTCCCCTACTTCTCCCGGGGTTGTCAACTCCCTAAAACCCTTTCCCCCCCCGACACCGAGTCTCATAGAGCTCCCCACCTGCCCTGTGTGTCTAGAACGGATGGACAACACGGCCGGCTTGATGACCATTCTCTGCCAACATGTTTTTCACTGCACATGCCTACAGACGTGGAAAGGGTCTGGCTGCCCCGTATGCCGGGCGACTAACCCAGCGCCCAGCCAGGATGTCTACAACCCAGAGAATCCCTACTCGCAGCCTTTTGGCTCCGGTGTGTCCAATATATGCAGTGTGTGCGATTCGACGTCGGACCTGTGGATCTGCCTAATTTGTGGCAACGTTGGCTGTGGACGGTACAAGGGCGGTCATGCCAAAGATCACTGGAAGGAAACGGCACATAGCTTCAGCCTGGAGCTCGAGACACAGCACGTGTGGGACTACGCCGGCGACATGTGGGTGCATCGACTAATCCGTGATAAGGGCGACGGCAAGGTAGTAGAGCTCCCGAGCAGTAATAATAGCGCATCAACCCGTTGGCGGGCGGCTGGCACGGGGCCTGAAGAGGATGGCGATGGAGACGTGGTGCCTCGCGCCAAGCTTGACCGAATTGGCATGGAGTACACGCATCTGCTGACGAGCCAGCTCGAAAGTCAGCGGATTTATTTTGAGGAAATGGTCAACAAGGCGGCTGACAAGGCAGCCAAGGCCTCGGCAGCAGCCGAAGCGGCGTCGACAAAGGCACACGAGGCGCTCGACGGGCTGGCAGCTTTAAAGGAAGAACACAGGGTCCTCAAAGAAGAAACAGTGCCGTCGCTAGAGCGTGAGCTCACGCGCGAGCGGAACCGAGCGAACAAGTCAACTGAGCTTGCGCGCAACCTGAGTAAGTCTCTTCAAGAGGAGAAGCAGGTCAGTGGGGGTTTAATGAAACGTATCGAGCACCTCAATAAGGAGGCCGAGAATGTCAACAAGGCGCTTGCAGAGCTGCGAACTGAAAACGAGGAGATGAAGGAGACAAACAGAGACCTCACCATGTTCATCAGCGGGCAGGAGAAACTGCGAGAGCTTGAGAAAGAAGGCAAGATAACGCAGAACGAGGTTGAAGGAGGTTCTGCAAGTTTGCCGGAAGAGAAGAAAAAGGGGAAGGGGAAGGGAAAAGGCAAGAAATGAAAATCCGCCACCCTGATTTTATACTCGGCGGCTGAGAGCGAGTGGTTTTGACATCTCAAATCCACATCATTATCAGACAGCAAGACTCCAGTTAGCATAGACTTGCCGAGTATCAAGCACCTAGTTCGGCGGACGTTTTGATAATCAAGTCTAAGAAAGCGTAGATATTTGGGAATTACAACCGTGTCTGAGATAGGACGTCAATCTCAAAGCGACCTTTGTCGTCGGAGCGCGGTGTGGGGGGGTGTTGAGCCGTCTGTCAATCCCAACTGAGGTGAACCACCTCATGTTGTGATCCGTGCAAATGAACACCCCTTTCGCTAACTATCAAGGTATTCCACAGGTAAAGATACATATGGCGTAGACTCAGAGGGAAGGTACCTGGCAGCCACTGTGCCTTTAATAAGTGAGCGGACCCTTGGGGAATCGATCTTTCGGCCATCTGAATGCCTAGGCATGGAGCCATCTCAACGCTAGCTTCTAGGCATACTGCACTATGGTAGGAGTATCCGTTCTCTGATCTTGGCTCTGTCACATGGCAGCATGCATGGGAAGTTACAGTGCTTTGATGCGACTTAAGATGCGACCAAAAGCTGTCCACCAGCCATCTTGCTACTTGGTTACCAAATTTCGGGAGTGATATCTCCATATCTCCAGGCTCTGGGTGGGGTGCACTAGGGAATGTTAGATGCGCCCCAATCAGGACAGGGCAGGGCAAACACCTAAGATAGAACTTATTGCCCGAGAGCTGCCTGCCAGCTCTCGATCAATTATTATTAGACCGGGAATGCCCACTGAGGGCCGGCGCTTTGGGCCCACTGTGGCTTTCCAAAACCCCCCTTGAGCTGCAGCCGCCAAAGAGGTTCTGGAGACCTGCCAAAGAAAACCCGGTCGAACGGTTCACAAGCAAGAATGACATCTTCGGTTACACCGTTTCATCCCAAGCTCAGTTAAAGTGTGCGAGGGGGAAACGAGGGAAAGGGGGTTTCTCCCACATCTGGTTGGATACCTAGCTACCTATGCTTTGCAGCTTCCACTGGAATTATTCTCTCACGTACGGCGTACTGTATTTGCACCGGCCCTCCCCAGCTTGGGCTTCTAGGTTGTTTGCTTTCGAATTGGGTTTGCCTTCACCTCGGCTCTTAATCAGGGAGTCCCTCGATGCTACCTACTTCCCATCACTAGCGTCAAGGGCAGCGTGGTTTTCTCTTGGAAACAAAAGAATACCCAATACCCGGACCTTATTTTTCCCCTCACGAGCTCATCGTCTTGTCTGCCTTATATACCTACCTAAAGTGTTCTTCCATTCCTATGACCCCGCCAACCTGTTCTGGAAACAACCCTCAAGCCGCCCGAGCATCGTCATCGGCACCATCACTACCAAAAAAAAAGCTAGCCTTGCCGCAACTGTGGCACCTGTTTCTCCCCAAAATGCCTTGCGTCGTCGCTGGAATTTGATCAAATATTACGAGACGAGCTATCAGAAACTTATCCTCGCTACCCGAACCACGTTCCGCGGTTCGTTTGGCCAGCCTGAAACCTTGATTTGGTCCTCGTCCTTTTTTTCTTCAGAAGTCGGCCAGCGTCTCTTGACTACGCGAAGCAGTTGGAGCTCACATTCCAGCTTCTTTTGTGCTCTCCCCCCCCCGCGCAACTGCACCACGGGTGGGAGAACGGGTCCGTCCGCCAAAGAGGGCCGGCCATCCACCTCGTTAATCCGACAACCCCTCGGTGTCGAGCAACTACAGCGCATTCCTTTGCGGGCAATCGTCGATGGACTCTGGGTTGACAGAGCCGAGAAACGAGTCGCGACAACGTCAAGGGAAGACAGGGCTGCACCGCATTGCGCCTCGCCCTCCCCTCCCGCTAGCATTCCCTCCACTCCCGACTCCGCAATCATGGCCGATACCGAAGCGCAGAACAGAGATGCGCCTCCGCAAAGCGCCATCTCTCGACCGCCCGGAAAGGAGCTCTATCCCATGAGTAACTGGAAATATGACACAGTACTGTGGACCACGTCGATCCTTGCCGACCTCTTCTTCCGCGAGGTGCACCCCCGCGGTTCGTGGAAGGTGCCTCGCCACGGCCCTGTTCTCTTCGTGGCGGCACCACATGCAAATCAGGTTGGCAAAGCCCTTTTTTCCTTATTTTGCGACGTTTTTTTCTGTGCAGGCGGACGCTCAGGACCCCGGACACTAACGATCTGGCGGCTGCAGTTTGTCGATGCACTGATCCTGCAACGGACGCTTCGAAACGAGGCCAAACGACGAGTCTCGCTGCTCATTGCGCAAAAGTCAGTCCACGGGTTTATCGGATGGGCATCACGTCAGGTCGGTTCCGTCCCGGTCGGGCGGGCGCAAGACTCGGCCAAGCCGGCCAAAGGCACCATCTACCTACCCGACCCCATCGACGACCCGACCCTTGTTCGGGGCGTCGGCACAAACTTCACAAAGGACGCCGAGGTGGGTGGCATGATCTTCTTGCCCTCGATCAAAGGGCATAGCGGGCTGAGCGTCGACATCGCCGAAGTTATCGGACCCGACGAGCTGCGCATCAAGCGGCCCTTCAAGGGCAAGATCTCGCTGTTGCAGCTGACGGGGCGCGATGACATCGACGAGCACGGGAACTTTGAAAACAAGAAGGTGAATGGCAGCAAGGAAGGTTTTGCAGGTACCAAGTACAAGCTCGCCCCCCACATAGACCAAACCAAGGTCTACCAAGCCGTATTCGACCGCCTCAGATCCGGCGGTTGCGTCGGTATCTTCCCCGAGGGAGGCAGCCATGATCGCACCGAGCTGCTACCCCTGAAGGCGGGAGTGGCCATCATGGCGCTCGGAACCCTTGCCGGTGCCCCAGACTGCGGGCTCAAGATTGTGCCCGTCGGAATGAACTACTTCCACGCCCACAAGTTTCGGTCAAGGGCCGTCGTCGAGTTTGGTTCGCCATTCGAAGTCCCTGCAAAGATTGTCGAAATGTACCAGAACAACCAGAGACGAGACGCTATTGGCCAGCTCCTGGACATGGTGCATCAAGCGTTGAGCGCCGTCACGGTCTCGACCCCCGACTACGATACCTTGATGGTTATTCAGGCCGCGAGGCGGCTCTATAACCCAACTGGAAAGAAGCTACCCCTACCCGTGGTGGTGGAGCTCAACCGCCGACTCGCCATGGGATATGAGAAGTACAAGGACGACACCCGCATCGTCAAGCTACAGAAATCGGTGAAGGAGTACAACAGGCAGCTTCGCTACCTCAACATTCGCGACCACCAGGTCCAATATGCCAAGATGTCATGGCCCAAGGTGGTGGTGGCGTTTTTCTACCGACTGACCAAGCTGCTGCTCCTGTCGGCCGCCGTCCTCCCTGGCTTAGTTCTCTTCGGGCCTGTCTTTATCGCCACCAAGATTATCAGCCGGCAAAAGGCCAAGACAGCCTTGGCCGGGTCCTCGGTGAAGATCGAGGGCAAGGACGTCATGGCAACGTGGAAGTTGCTAGTAGCCATGGCCTTCGCACCTGTGCTCTACAACTTTTATACTTCGCTACTCGCTTACAAGGTTTATCAGGACCGTCTATGGGGCCGAGTCCCTGAGTGGGTGCCCATCTGGATGGTATTTTTGACTGGGTGGATCGTGTTCCCGGCTATCACATTTGCTGCCCTTCGCTTTGGTGAGGTCGGCATGGATATCCTCAAGTCGCTCCGCCCACTCGTGATGTGCATCAACCCATCGAGCAGTTACAACATACACCAGCTCCGCGAGCGCCGTGCCGAGCTAAGCGCTCAGGTCACGGAGGTCATCAACACTCTGGGGCCCGAAATGTTTCCCGATTTCGAGCACACGCGCCTCGTTGATCCCTCGACTCATAGCCCGACGGCGACCACCAGGGCGTCGGCCGACCAGTCCTCGCCAACGCAGCTGACGTTTTCCAAGGAGCACCGCCGCGGACACAGCGGTATGTCGTCGCCCAGCACGCCCGGCGTCGTTGGCGGCTTGGAAAGCCCGACATCGTCATCGTCGGCACTTCTCTCCCTCTCACGTCGCGCCACGACGCAGTCAAGCCGCGCCATCCCGCGCAACGAGTCATTCTCCGACATTGGCCAAGTACAGCTGTTCGCGACGCGGCCGCCTTCGCGTAATCGCAGCCGTAGCAGCAGCAGCGGCGGCGGCGGCCCAGGCAGCGGGTTTGGGTCGATGGCAGGCTTCCCGGTGGGCAAGTTCACGACGCTGGATTCAAAGGAGGGATTTGATGAGGCGAGCAAGAAGATTCGCGAGGCGATGCGGGAGCGCGGCGAGATAAGGAGACGCAAGAGCTCGAAGGCGTCGAGGGGAAGCGGTGGCGGCGGCGGTTTCTTTGAGACTAATGCCACTGATGATGACGATGACGAACGAGATGGCTTGTATGATGAGGCGAGGAAGAAGGAGACGTAGACTATGCCCGCGCTCGTTTCTATTCTTGTGTATTGTGTAATGCAGTGTGTAGGGGCTGCGGAGATGATCTACTGGAGAGCTATTAGCTCTGGGCCCGAAGGGACCGGGGAGAGGGCAGGAGAGAGGCTGGCAGGGTGGCAATGGGACGACTTGTTATTGTTCTTGGTGCTGGAGGCAATACTGGCGCGTGCAAATGGGGCCGGGTTTTCCGTTATTTATTTTCTTTATTTATTTTCTTTATATTTCTTTTTGGGCACGTAGTTAATTTTGGATATTACTTCTTCCTTACTTCTCTCGATCCTCTCCTCCTCTTCCTTGTTCTCTTCATCCTTGTTTAGGTTGAGGGAACTGGACACGGCGATTGGAAGCTGCGTGATTACATGCTTTTGGGATGGCGAAGGACGAGGGAATAGAAGGACAGCGAGACGAGACGAGTTGAATTGGTCGGTATCTTTGCCTCACCTATTCAAGTAGAGGGTGTGTTTGCGGATACAGTATGCCCGGGCACATAAGAGCCAAGAGAGAACAAAGTAACGAACACGGACGAGAGCGACAATCTTCTTGCTCCCCGCACCATCGGGAAAGTCCAGCGCGGCATCTGGACCACTCTTGTGTAGGCTGGAGGACAAACGTTATGTACAACGAAACAAATTACCTAGGACACAACAATCCTCCCTCGCGATGTACATACGTGCCTATACATGTCTCCTCACCCGGTAGCTAGGCGAGAAGCGCCATGTACAACTAATTTGGTTAAGAAAAATACAAGAAAGCATGGCAAGGCATGCACTAAAGCCGCCCGGCTTGTAAATATTTAAATGTACATATAATTAAGAGTTTAAACCGCCCCGACTACCTATAGATGAGTTGTGTTTATATTTAATATCTTCACTGAAAGGCTCAAAGCTACCTATGCTCCTAGAAACCGCAGAGAGTAGAGTTATTAAAGAAAGGCCCAGTATTAGGGGATGTAGATTGTAGATGGGGGCGGCGGGGGGGAGGGGGGGGGTGTCATGACTTTTCCTTCAAGTTGCTTCCGTTGTCGCTGCTCTCGGCCGGACCAAGTCCAGCAGGTGCAGAGCTGACGGCATCATCAGCGACAGCAGCTTCGACGTCGTCTGTCTTGTTGCCGGCCGGCGCCAGCGGCTTCCCGTGGCGCTTGATCTTCTTCCAGCTCAGGCAGCAGGCGACGAGGAAGCCGACCGAGGCGGCGGCGACGCTGATGTAGTAGGCGTTGTGCAGGCCGTCGAGGTAGGCGGCGAGGACGGTGTCCAGCAGGTCCTCGGCGTGGAGACGGACGAGGACGTGGCGGACCTCGGAGGCGCCGCTGTGGATGAAGGCGTCGGCGGGGAGCGACGGGGCGTTGCGCTCGATGCCCGAGGCGAGCCCGTTCTGGAACACGGCCTGCGCCACGGCGATGAAGACGGCGCCGCCCAGGCTCTGGAAGAACTGCACCGAGGCCGTCCCCTGCGCGATCCACTCGAGCGGCATGTTGTTCTGTATGACCAGCACGCCAGCCTGGAAGCCGACGCCGACCCCGAGGCCGCAGATGACCTGGTACCCGAACCACTCTCTTAGGGGGCTGTCAACCGAAAGCGTCGAGATCATGCCCGCGCCGACGGCAAACAGGATCATGCACGGTAGGATGAACGGGTTATAGTAGCCGATGACGGTGATTAGGCCGCCGACGGACACGGATGTGACGACGACCGATATCAGCATGGGAAGCAGCTTGATGCCGGCCTGCACGGCGCTGTCTCCGTGGATAGCCTGGAAGTAGAGGGCTGTTGACGTTACGGTATAGTTAGTAAGACGCGCTCGCGCTCGCGCTCCCTTCTGTTGCGCTTTGCTCGGGAATATTTGATCGTCGATATTAACCAGAGGGTAAGGGGGCCGCAGGCTTACATAGATAATAGACCAGCGGGAAGAAGCCGGCGCCGAAGAAAAAGGCAAACATCATGGCGCACAGAGCGTTGCGGTTCTTGAAGAGGCGCGGCGGGAGGGTGCCCTTGTCGCCCTTCCAGATCTGGATGCCGACAAAGATGGCGGCCATGGCGCCGAAGCCGACAAACAGGCCGATGATGCGCGAGTCGCTCCAGGCATACTTGGTGCCGCCCCACTGCAGGGCGAGCAGGAGGGAGACGATGGCGGGGATGAGCATGGCGGTGCCGACGAGGTCGAGCTTGAGGAGGCGCTCGACCCACGTCTCGTTGAGCGGGTTGTTGACGCGGTTGATGCGTAGGAAGAAGAAGATGGCCACCATGGCGAGGCCGCCGATGGGCAGGTTGACGTAGAAGCACCAGCGCCAGGTGGCGTGGTCGGTGAAGGCGCCGCCGAGCAGCGGGCCGGCGACCGATGCGATCCCCCACATGGCGCCGATGAGACCGAAGGCGGCCGGGCGCTTGCGCAGCGGCAACGTGTACGAGAGGATGACGACGGACCCCGAGAAGAGGCCAGCCGTGCCCATGCCGGCGACGGCGCGCCCGACAATGAAGGCGTTGGACGTCGGTGCCAGCGCGCACACCAGGCTGCCGGCCTCGAAGATGAAGATGGCCGCCAGATAGATGTACTTGACGTTGAAATTGCGATACAGCGACCCGTAAGACGGCTGGAGCGCCGTGGCGCTCAGGAGATATGCGGATCCATACCACCCGATATCGCCAACGGTGCCATATTCGCCCGTGATGGCGCCCAGGGCCGGGGCGATGATGGTTTGATCCAGTGCCACCAAGAAGACGGCCAAGCAGAGAGAGGCGATGATGGTGACTAGCTTGACGCCATGGGGGTAGACGGTTAGGTCCTCGCCACTAGCGGGCGATGGGGCCGCTGCCGTTGCCGTTGCCGCCGGGGGCGAGACCGGCCTGGGCGGCTTCTTATCCGGCTCCGTGTTAGAATCTGACGGATCCGCCATATTTGTTTCGCTATTAATATGGCCGGTGGGGCGACCCACGGGGGCCGGGTCTTGGCAGGATATTCGGGCCGTGCAATGCGTATTTTTGTAATGCGGCTATATTTAGCCGTCGATGTGGTGTCGAAAAAAGGGGGTCTGCGAGTCTGACAAAGTGATAATATCCCCGGTTGAATAGTTTTCGCCACCTCGCTCTTCCCTTGGCCGTGGATGTTAAACAACAACAACAACAACAACGACAACAACCACACCCACAACCACAATATGGAAGAACCTTGGAGTAGACCGAAGTCTAACTCTCAAACAAAAATGCGCTGGCTTTTCTCCCTGTTTGTCATTGCATGCATAAGTGAGACCAACTATCGAGCGGTGTTGTCGACGTTCACAAGTCTTTTCCGTCTCTCCCTTGAGCGGTGACGAAACGCAGGTTCTGAGACAGGCCGAACTAGACGATATACTATCGAAGGGATTTTTAAAGATATAAAAAAGGATTAGAGAAGCTGGATCAAATGTAATGGGGAATTTGTAGGATATAACGTGAAGCGATAGACTATGCCCACGAAGGAACGGGAGTCGGCGAAAGACTAGGACAAAGAGTCCACAAAAGGCAAACAGGTGAAACGACAAGTGATTATTGAAAGACGCACGCGCGCCCGAGAGAGTTTGGCGAGGGAGCGTCGAAGGGAAGAAGAACAAGAAGGGGAGTCGTTTTCGTTAACAACAATTATCGCAACGCTGCCCTTCTCCGTTTTTCTTCCCTGCCGTCTTCTCGACTCAGCTGCTCCCGATCCCGAGGACCGGTTCGCTAATATAAATGGCTAACAATCCCTGCACACCATCGTCGGTTTTGGTGTGCATCTGTTCCAGCAGGAGATACAACCTTAGCTTCATAGATTCACTCTTGCAGGCGCTGCAGCCTGTGGATAGGTTCTCCTCTTTCTGGAAAGCGGGATACCAGCCGCTAGGAAGGGGGGTCAAGGCGGGGACGTTCAAGAGAACGAACTCGGCTTTGGGGCCGGAGATTGCAGCACCCGAGCACCGAGCGCCGAGCACCGAGCATGTCTGTACTTCTGGTCATGTATGCATATATATATGGAACGCTATCAAAAAGTAGAAGAGTCGAAACAAAGTAATATGAAAGGCAAGAATATTCCCCGGGTACGGAATAAATAAACTCGACATGATATCCCCAAGAATATGCTCCCTGGCAAACTCTATTGCCTACCCCACATCCTCCTTAACAAGTGCCGTCTTCAGCCTTTGATCAGACCGTCAGTTGTAAAAGGAGCCCGCCAGCTCAAGTACTACCCAACACGGTTCAACCAACGGCTCGTAGACTTCCCCACCGACCCTGCGAAGAGACAAGGCTGTGAGTTGAGAGCTGAGAGCGGCAGTTGCCGTCGACTGTTGGCATACCTAGGTAATCCGTCTCAACTCGGTGCCCGGCATATCGTCCGGAGTGCGGTGTCGTGCCATGTAGAGAAAAAAGAAACGACCAGTCATCCCAACAGCATACGTAATAAAACCATTGGATCGACTGTCCCACATGCAAGGCTTACCGCGCAGCCGGTATTCCGTACAGTGCACATGAACTCGCGCCGGATGCACCGTACAAGCACTTTAAGACACGCCAGGCCCGGGCGCTCACAGTTTCACAGAGTGCCCGCAGATGCGCCCATGGCATGCGAGCGCCACGTTCCCACGAGCATGCTTGATGAAACGCACGAGACTGATGACGGATGCAAATGTCCATTAGCCACGTGCCAACGATTAGGTCGACAGCTGCAGCGCAAGCACTTCGTGACAGCGCCAAGTCACTCTCTCGAAACCGTCCGAGAGGCGTGGAATACGGGCGCCGCAAGCAAGGTCTTTGCGCCGCACAGAACACCATCTGGTCTTCAGCTCATTCATGCACCACCCGAACAAGCACGTGCAACAAAAGGTAGAGAAAATGACGAGACCGAAATAGAAACAACCCTCTTGACATAGCCTCACCGCTCTTATGTAGCCTCGCCGACGATAGAGATCGCTGCCGATGGAGATCAATCGCAGAGGTCAAGGTAGAAAAAACAATAATAACAATAATATTTACTGGCCTACTTCGGTATCTCGTTTACAATATCTCATCATCACAATCGTTTAAAATCCATTTTCATCTTTCCCTAGTCTTCGCCTACTTACTTGTCTCGTCGAGGGCGTGGCTTTTCGTGTTGCTTTGGCTAAACTTTTTTTTTCGAATCTGGCTTCCTTTTACAGGGGCATAGGCGCGTTACTTGCGATTGCGCGTCTTCTTCTGTGTCTGGGACGTGTCCTCCTCAACCTCGTCTGCGCCCTTCTTGAGGTCCTCCGTCAGGCCCCATTCCTCCTTGTCGTACCAGTCTTCGCCGTCCGACATGTCGCGGTTGGCCCCCGAATGGGCCTCTGACTTTGCCCACTGCCATACCGTCTTACGGTAGCGGTCCGCTTTGAGAAGGCCCTTGTACAAAGCCCTTGTCCCTCGGCATACTTCCTCTTGCTTCTGCACGTAAAGCTGCAGTAGCCGCCGCACATCCTCTGCCTCCTGCTCTGGGAGGCCAAGGTCCCGGTCTGGCTGCGCCGAACGTGGAGCCAAAAATAGTGGATGGATCAAGAAATCATCTAGCGAACCCGTTTCGCTAGCTGCCTCAGCCATTTCCGTATCGTCTTGACCGTCGACTGCTGGCATCTTGCCGCCCTTCCCGCCCTCGCGCGGGCGTGCATGGCCATTGACCTGTGTCTTGTCCTCTAGCTTTTCTTTGCTAGAACTTGCATCTCCCTGCTCTCTGGCTTCACTGGTATTGATATCGGCTTTTCCCGGTGGCCTTTCTCCGTCAGTGTCGTCTTTATGTTTATTTCTGACCGCCTCTCCGTCCGTCACCTTATCGTCAAGAGCATCATTTTCAGTGTGACTAAGCTCGTTAGTGCCATCGATATGATTTTTTGGTCTCGAGTCCTGGCGTAAAGAGCCACTAGATGAGTCCTTGTTTGCGTTTGGTATAGCGTCCGCACCAATCGGGGAGGCGCGGCGCCTGAGGAAGCTTGCCGTGTTCGTGAATAGCTCTTGATCGTTGGGTTGGATCATGACCCCGCAAGGCGCCCAGGTGTTATCGCCGATAAGCTTGGTCAGGAGAGGCTTGGCTTTCCATAGCGCCGCGTTTTCCTTCTGCATCAGACTCGAGGCCTGCTTCACCAGGTCCGGCAGTGCTTTAGAGATGTAAGGGCGCGAGAGGGTCGGGTGGTTCGGCAGGTCGGTGACAGCGGTCAGGGGGGCAAGAAGTTCTAGTTCAGATCAGTATCGCGCGCCCTGCAAGCCAAGAAGTGACAGAAAACGGGAGGGGCACCGACGTTCTAAGTGGATGGACGAGTAGGGATTCTCTTCCATGGCCGACGCAATCGCCTCTTGAATATGCTCCTCGTTGTCATCGCTGTCCAGCTCGTACCCCTCGTCATCAACGAGCGGCGGGTTGTGATTTATGATGGTGCGTTGGTAGCCAGCGTGTTCGGCGACCTTGTGCATTGGTTAGCTTGGACGCGGTTCGAGGGGTTTGGCGACGAAGGCACAAATGGGACAGAACGCACATCCTTGTAGGCAGCAGCACCTGTTGAAGCCGCAAGCCGGCCCTGGCGCACAAATCTTGCTCTCTTTTTTAGCTTGTAGCCTCGGTTTGTGGTGTGATCGATGGACGAGTCGGAATCTGAGTCTGTCGCGGCCGAACACGCCGGTTAACGTCAAGCCCAAGAGAGGAGCGTTTATGCTTAGGAATTTTGGAGATTACCATATGCCTTGCGCTTCAGGGCTTTCCTGATGGCGACGATAGTCTCCATGACCATGGCCTGCTGTTGAGTCGACATGATGGGTAGGCGAAAGGACGCGAGGAGACTAGAAAGCGGAAGCGAGAGCGTCGTCTTGAGCCAGGAACAGGAGTTTGTAATAGCGTCGAGGAAGGAAAGGGTTGGATTGGGTCTTGGGGGACTAGATGGTTCTATGCGACACGTGTCGAAATAGATGCTGTCCAGTCCAGCGCGGCTGCGATGGGCTGCCGAACAGGTGTAGCTCGTCGCGAATTTGAGGACTGAAGCATTCGCGCTGAGAGGGGCTCCAGGTGCTGAATGCGCCCTCTAAAAGGCGGGAAACGACGGCACAAAGTGGGGCGGTCAATTAACTCTGCGGGACTCCCGGGTTAGTAGTACTTGTTATGTGCAGAAAAAAAGAAACAAATGCAGATACCTATCTATGCAAGAAGGGGCTAAATAAAGCATAAGACTGGATGCAAAAGCATAAAGAACCAAAATGATCAATTCACAAGATTAAAAATCAAATTGCATCCGACGTGGGACTCGAACCCACAGCCTCAAGATTCAATGTTCTGAAACATCCAGCGGTAGAAGTCTTGCGCGCTACCATTGCGCCAGCCGGACTGAACTGACTTGATTCGTTGGCGAAAAGTTACTGTGTATGAAGGACCTAAGCCTTTAGGGGAAGAGGCAACAGGGGTCCAGGAACCGTTGCGTCATTCTTTCAACGCCCAAGCTCTCTGAGCCGCAGCACCCGCTCCACTAATGCGCCCCCCCACACTCTGGAGCAGCCCAGTGGATATCCGTACATACATCATCGTCAACCTGCAGCTTGCGACATCCGCCCAGTCGCAGCTCTCCCGAACTCAGCTTACTCAGGGAAGCCATCAACGTAACGAAGCGCGTGCCAACAAATCCCGACACCCACCATGGCGACTGACGACGGAGGCGCCATGTTTCCCGGCGGCGGCGGCGATGGCGACCGCGTCAAATTCGAGCCGTCGATGCTGAACAGCATCTTCACGGCCCCGAGCCTGCCCTTTTGGGCCCTCGCCTCCGGCTTCACCAATCAATGGTATCAGACCCAAATCAGCGACGCTGTCCGGTACGCCGCCATGGCAATACACCGTCCGCTGGACGTTCGAGAGGCCAGGGCCATAGCCGAACACACGGCCACCGGCTTCCACCTGCAGGCCACATACGAGCCGCCGATTTGGATCGCCTCGGCGTGGTTCATGGAGCGCCGCTATCGCGCCACATTGCGCCTCCCCTTCTGGAGGCCCGACCCAGCCAAGTACAATATATCCTCCTTCCCGAGCATAGCCAAGCCCACCCTTGTCGGGCCCCAAGCCCGCTTGGCCTGGATAGCCATGCGATTCATCGTTTACGGAGGCGTAACCCACTACGCCATCACCGGTCCTCTCATATTTTTCTGGGGACGCGCTGTCACCATGGCGGGCTTCCTGGGCGACGAAGATCTCCAAGAGTTCCGCGAGAAACTAAAGATGCACCAAGCACAGCGGGCTGGCGGCTTTATTCCTGGGATGGGCGAGATGCCACAGAAGCCCCAGCAAGACGAAGAAGAAGGAGCAACATACTCGTCATACGGCGGCGCCTCAGAAGTAACTAGTGCCCCGGCACCTCGAAAGTCAGCCTGGCAGGCGCGCTGGGAAAACACGCAGAGACAGAAACAGGAGGCGGAGGTGCGGCGCCGTACGCAGGACGATGACGACGCAGACCTGTTTAACGACGCCTCCCTCGTCGCCCCGTCCGCTCCTCCGGCCGCGGCTTCGAGCGCCCCACAGACAGGGTCCGCGTGGGAAAAGCTCAGGAAGAATCCGGCGGCCGAGGCCGGCGCATCACAAAGCTGGGCAGCTCGGCGCCAACAGCAGCAGCAGCAAAATTCTACCAAGGACGACGAGTATGTGTACTCGACGCAGGAACGAAACACCGCCAGCGAAAAGGAGAAGGCGCAAAGGGAGTTTGATGCGATGCTTGAACGGGAGAGGAGTGGCCAGGGGAGCAACTCAAATAATCGTCGCTTCTGAAATGTACGGCGGGGTTCCGGACTCTTGTGTGACTAACTAGATACCTAGGTACCTGACATACGTATACGTGACTGAGGTTACTCGCGGTTCGACCGTGTGTATCATCGATTTTTTTTTTTTTTTTTTTTTTGCAAATTATCGTTCCCCTTTCCCAGACACCAGGTAGAATCACAGACAATGTGCTGTAATGACACGCAGCATTCACTTACTCTTGGTGTATCCTTACCTTATCCGGTTTCCTGTGGCGATCTGGCAACGCCTTGAATGTAAACATTGCCGACGACAAGGTTGAATGTCTGTTACATTCAGGGGAATAACAAGTTACCCGTTCGCTTGGATTATTAGCTGTGTTTGTTTCTAAATAATCATGTCAAACACAAACTACATCCACTGAGAATATTAGGGGAAAGCCGCAAATAACTACCCTGGCCGACGGACTGGGAAAAGGGAGTGGAGATAGCCAACACACATCCAAACAACATACCGCCCAGTACTTACCTACTCAAGTCAGAATAATTAACAAAAAAAAACCGGTAACGACACCACACTTGGGCCCTTTATATTCGCCCATTTACCAGCCCGCCGGCCCGGTCTGTGCTCCGTGCTATGCTGTGCTGTGCTGTGCCGCCCAAAGGCACCCCGGGTGGTTTCCGAAGGGTAGATGATGAATGCCGTAGATCGCGTGCTCGGGCACGCCATCATTCAAGGATGCTAGGCGCATCCATCCAAGTATCTCCGCGGGGCGCCTGTTTTTTTTTGGTTCTAATACATACAAATAAATGTGTGCATGTCTGCTCTGTCTGCCACGTCCACATCTGTCTAGTCCGTCTCTATTCTAACCTCCTTCGTTTCCTCCCAAGCCACCATCGTGTAGAGGAGCAAGTGTGATTACGAGTGCCCCGTGCAAACACAATATCAGTTGTTGGCAGGGCACAGTCGATTCAATGAATGGCTTCTTTTTCGTCTTATTCTTCGTTTTCCATTTCAGTCTGTCCTGACGCCTCATCCTAACGCCACGCCTCTCCCCATCCAGACTTTCATGGACATCAACTCACTTCAAAATTGCCTTCGAAATCCCAGCCGCATCCACAAGGAACACAACTAGTATATATTTTAGAAAATATTTATTTCATTAATTCTTTTTCATTCATTCATTCAACCTTATCTTTGTCCTTCCACCCTCCCACTTCAGTCTGCCATCCCCGCCATCCCCGCCGTAGCCGAGAACCCGTACATGCCTTCATCGCTGGATTCGCTGCCGCCACCGCCCCGTGGGCTACGGGGGCTATGCATGTTGCTGGCCTCGGCACTGGTGGGCAGATCGCCGCCATAGTTACCGCTGTTCTCTACAATACCGCTCAGGTTACTCCAGCTCCCTCCTACTCCCACTCCGATACCCGTGCCCATTCCGCCAAACCCCCCTCCCGTGCTCCCTCCCAAGGCCAATATGCTCTGGCGCCTCGCCGCATCAATGTCCACAGCACTCCCGTGGCGACTGAGCAATGGTTTTTCGGGCAGTTGCTTAAGCAAGCCCGTGGTGATGTCGAGCATGCCCATGGCAAACTCGGTGAGACCCTTGCCTTCGCCAGGCTTGGAGCTGACGGACAAAGTCCACCTGTACTCGCCAAGGCGGCGGCGGTACCACTCGGCCTCCTCGCGGCCAGGCGACGTACCCCAGAGCAGCGAGCCAAAGGTACCGATGAGAGCAAAGTTCGTCTTGGATGCAAAGTACCAAAATGCGCGTAGGTGAGAGGGCGTCAGGCGGTTGACAAAGTCCATGGCCGAGATGAGACGCGCCTTGGCCGCACTGCGACAAATGTGCTGGATGTACGGGTCCATTGTCGCCCCTACCGCGACACCGCCGTCGATGGAGCGGATAATTCGGCGATGGAGCGTTATTTCTGTGGCGAAATAGGCTAGGTGGAGGTACCCGATGCTCGAGAGCCTGGCCGTGATCGTGCCTCCTCCAGTCGTCGGCGACGATGTATCGGTACTGGAAATGCCACCGCTTTGAAACGTCGAATCCATTCGAATCGCTGCGGGTATTGCGCCGTACCACTCCTTCAACTTGAGTTGAATCGGCTTAGCTAGCGACAGCACCAGTTGCGTCCCCTGAGGACCGGCGTTGACCACAGCCTGCGTCGCCTGCAGTGTGTAAAATGTTTCGAGGATCTCGGCGAGAATTTGCGACAGCTGCACCATCTGAACAAACAGCGTACGTCCGCGCTCAATTTCCAGTCTCTCTTCGAGGTCACTCTCGTCCCACTCTACGTCAGGGAAGTCGTTCTGCGTCAAGGCTTGCACCGCCCAATTGGATGAGAAGATATGTGACGGCCGACCGTGAACGAGAGCACCCCACTTGTCTTGCATATACAGGGACTATACACGTTGCTTGTATTAGCCTTGTCCGACCGAAACAGAATGAGGATCTAAGTGGATGCGGTATAACATACCCATGCCAGTCGTTTTCTCAACCCTTTCTCCCAAGGCGGAATTTTCCAGCTGGAACAGTCCAGGTGCAGACCAAGCTCTTGGCCGATGGCCACGAGCTGTGCTGTTGGTGCCCATTGATCTCCCTCGGGACGCTGAGACAGGAGCAGGCCGGCCTGTATTGTGGAGAGCTTGGGTCGATACATGGCGTCGGCTAACGTTGTCCGAACCAGCCTCTCGAGCTCGCGCACATTGGGGCGTGGCAAGGAGGCCAGCTCCTCTGAGTGTTCCCACCAATTGATGGCCAGGATGTAAATGGCGGCAAGGAGCGGCGGCGAGAACTCACGGTAAGAGCGCTCATACTTTTCGAAAAAGACTGTCTTCTGAATAATGGGAAACCCGGGGTGCACCACACGAAAGTATAGGTCTATCAACTGGCGGCTGTGTGGCGCGACAATTCTCTCAATCTCATCCACGTCGTCCAGGACATGTTCAAATCCAGGCGTGTTATAGTCGGGGAGCATGAGAAACGTTTCATTGTCACTAACTCTCCTAAGAGTCCCGCGAGTGAGCAGGCTCTCGTCGTGTGGGTCGAAGGAGGAGAGGTTGATAAGAGAAGGCTCGAAATCTGTCGTCGGTCCTATGTATTGGCTGTACCTGTCCGACTGGAGGCCAAGGGTGCGCTTCAGGAGCGTCGGGCCGCCAAAGTTGGCCATCTCCTCAATTAATGAGCTACTAGCCGTGGTGCTGGAGTAACTGAGCTGCTGGTGCCTCCGCCTCCTGTTATCAGACCTGCCAGGCGAACTGCATCGGCCAATCACATGTCAGAAAACCATGTGTCAAGTGTCTGCAGCCGGCATTGGGTTGTGCATAAATGGAGGGCCACGGGACAGAGAAATGTTGAAAGGGGGGAGCGGCAATCTGCAGGGTCGTTCTGCCTCTTGCTCTGATATATGTGTTTCGTGGAGGGGGGCGAATAACAAAGAGGGAAGTAAAGCCCTCTCACCTTCTTTTGCTGTTGCCGTCGTCGGCTTCACCGTTCAGCTTCCTTTTCCGCGGGGGCGGGCTCTCCCTCAACGAGCAATCAGTACCGCTCACCAGACAGGCGATACAACTCTCCTCCTCATCGCTCATGACGCAATCGCGCCTTTGGCGGACACAAGACTCGCAGGGGATCGCTGCCGAATGGCCGCTTGGCGAGTCCGAGTCTGGGGAGTCAATGCCGTTGCGGAGGCTAGGGTATGGATCGAGATGGATGCTGATCTGACGGCTAGGGGGGAATCGCGGTGGTTTGGGGGCGATGGCGATGGGAGCCGTCCTTACGACGGCGCTGGGAGCGGACATGGCGCAGGTAAAAGTCTCGGGCAACCCAACAAAAGGCTGCAGCACGCTACCAAGACAACGACACACAGGCTGGTAAGTGCCGCAAGATTCAGATGCCACCCAGACGATAGCCCAATATCGGAAGCTCCCACACCCAGCTCGGAGCTTTTTTTCACCCCTTGCTCTAACGTTAAGTCCCAGGGAAGTGAGTTGGGTGGGTGTGGCGATGCCCGGTCTCGTGAAATGGACCAAACAGAGCGGCTCGTGGAGGCTTCGAAAAGAACAACAGGGTCCACGAGATGCTGTCTCGCAGACGCAGGATCTGGTTAGATGGCCTTCCCCTGTCTGGACCGTTCGGTCTCGACACCAATACCAGCGGCGAGTGGGCTGCGGGCGGATGTTCTGGGACCGATAAGGATGACAGCCCGCACCCAGAGATAAGGTTGAATGCTCGACTCGACAGCCGGGCGCAGTTCACACTCACACCCCCCGGCGTCCCAGGCAGTATCTCCAACAACAACAAGAAGAAAATACAAACAAACGACTCCCACGATGTCACGCTGCGGTGCTTTCCGGCCAGATAGTCAGAACAGCACGGGGCTCGCTACTTGAGGCGTCGAAAGCCTTGTCACGAGTCTTCTATCTTCTCGCAAGTTCTAGAGCCACAGGGGATCACACGCAGACAGGACAGAAACGAGGAACAGGGTAGCTGAGATGGCGGTTGGTGAGAGAGGGGAGAGGGGCGTGTATCGCCAGAGATAAAGGTACGGCCGGCCGGAGGTAGGTCCTCGGAGGGCGCCTTTGCGGGTGCGAGAGCGGGAGGGCGGATACAGATGATCTGCCCGGATTGGGGGATCTAGGTGACGATCGAGACTAGGATAAGATAAGCTTGGCTTATCTTCGTCATTTGGCGATGAAGTGTGGGTGGTCGCGTGGGTTGATGGCTGATGGCACGCAGCTGCTGCGTCTGACTGCGTCTGTCTCGAGTCTATGTGTTCAGAGCGTTATATCAATGCCGTCTACTCTTGGACGTTGAAGTTTGACTCGAGGGAGGAAAAAAGAGTAGGTAGGTTTCGTTGGTTTAGCGGCAGATCGGCAATAAAGAAAAAGGCCAGAGCAAATGTCGAGACCCGTTTTCTGTGCTCGTGCTCCTCAACCTTCAAGCGGCAGTACGCGGTCGTCCTAGCCTCTCTCCCGTGTTGCTTAGGTAGGCAAGGTAGTGGCTTTTTAGAGAGGTACCGAGATGCAGGGCGCCGGGTCGAGCAATCGGGGCGTTCAATCGTTAACAGGGCGGTAGTGTGATGCGAAATCCAACGTGAGCGAGTGGCCCAGCACCGCCTGCCCACGCACAACAAGGTGGGACCCTTGCGCGAAGGGACAGACTGCCCCAGGTCGAGAGTGGAACAATGACGTTCCTCGTTACCGTCCCATATCGTTTGCTGCTGTCAGATTGCAGAGACACGTAAATTGATTGATAGATAGCGAGAAAGCCTGACCTTATCATGGTTGAGATTTAACTTTGAAATTCCTAATAGTAAAGCGAGCGATAACAAGCCGAGGTTCCATGGTACCTTCCCGAGACTCGCGTGTGCTTCTTTCTTGGGGGTTGTGGAGTCGCACCCGGGAATCTGAAGGAGCTTACGGGACATTACCAGCGATTCCCCCCATTAACGTCCCTTCCCCCACAGCAGATCCAACAACCCGGGGCTCCTTGGCTCGGAAAGGTTACACAAACCCTCGTCTTACAGCCAGTCACGGAACCGGACAGGTCGGACCGCATTTAGAGGAGAGGCAGAGAGAGAAGGAACGACAAAGTAGTTCTCATGTCAACGGTACCGGCGGAGCCGTCCCTCGCAGCGCCATGTGCACCGCGAAGCCGGACCGTTGCCGTTGATGGAGCCCCATTACCAAATGAAAACGGCTTTCCGGCCCTTTCGGGAATACATTTAACGTAATGGCTCACCCACGCACCCCCTTTTCCTTTTGGCCAAGCCACAGATAGGAAGACACAGTGACACACTGCGTTTATTTTGTACAGGGCCCTTGGATTAGAAAACCCGACCCGTGTCAGGAACATGGAAACATTACCTGTGCTCCTTTCCGAATTATCAATCGGTTCTCGCCGTGTGAAACATTAACTCGACCGTGATAATGCACCTCCATCCCGGGTCTCCATCTCTCGATCCCGACTTGTCATTTGTGTTGCCCGGGAGCGAATGACTGCGAGCGGATACCTCAGTTGTCTGAGGTGTCGTTTTGCCAAGTATCAGAAGTGATACCACCTGTACAACGCCGGAAGCCAAGGCCGAGGGCATTGTCACCGATCTACGGATAGAAATAACCTGAAATACGTAGTAAGATAATTACTACCTAGTATATTTGACTCCATTCGCTTGGTAAGCGCAACACGCTTCAACCTATGAATGCCGTGACTATGATGTCCCCCCGGCTTTTGCACTATCGCCGCTGGGGCATATGGAGCAGCTCCCCTGTATGCCTTTTCCGTTGTTGTTTAAAACTACGTGCTGGCAAACTTCCAGGTTGATAGACGAACCACCTCAGCCTAAAAGTGGTAAAGGAGACACGGAGTGGCAGAGAGAGAATGCGGAGAATATAGAAGTATCGAAGTCAGTATTAGGTATCATGGTAGCGTCTTCAAAGTGTAGTAAACAGTATAACTCAACCCAGCCCAAACGAAGCCCCGACCCCGCTCCCCAAAAGGCGCAAAACAAATCCCCGTCAGTTGGTTTTCCCCTTTCCCATCCTTCCAGAGACACTCAACACAATCAAGGAACAAAGCGGTCAGGGTTGGTTGTTTGGCCTCGACCTCTCTCCAAATCTTGACAACCTACACCTCCTCCTCCCCCGCAGTCGCAAAACACGGGGGGCTGCGCATTTCGCCCGGCCCTTTGTTGTGGGGGTTAGAAAGAAGGAGCGGCATTCTTTTGTCCTGTCCATGCGCTTTTTATATTATAACCCTTGTAGGACACGCTTCTCGTGCATCTTTTTTTTTGTTCACTGCTTTTTTGCCTCCCACGGGCGCGGGGGTTGTCAAACAGACAGCTTACAGGGCGCTCGCTCTTCAACCACTTACCTTCCGTGTGATCGCTCGCTCTTGAATGACAGTACGGCTGGTCTGCATTTGATTGGATCTTCGCCCCATGGAAGCTGAGAATGGCATTTGTTCCCGCTCTCTGCTTCCCAGTTTCGATACCTATGCCGGGAACTTTCTATTGAAGCAGGCGTGGGCGTGGGCGTGTGCATGTATGTGCGTGGTTGAGAAACGACAGTGGCCGGAAAGGGTTTTCCAGGCTGCAAGATTTATCACTTCTTACATAATTATTTGTCTCCCTTTCCCTGCTGAGTGATTTATTTGTCAATATTCGATATTTGTTCTCACTTCCATAATCTCACATAGCGTCAGAAGGTAAAAGCACTTCGTCAGAAGGTAAAACCCGCCACATCTCTATTACCGAGTGAGCGGCAGGGGGGCCGGAGCATTTGGCGTGGAGGGGGTGAGATCCTTTGTACATAAAAAAATAGTTGAGATGAGATAGGATCGGAACGGGAACAGGGTCCCCCTCAAAAATCAACACAGCTCGGGTGTCACAGCCCAGGTCGGAGCGGCCCGACAAAAAACAATGTTGTTGGCCGTGCACCTGCCGTCTACTTTAAGTATTGTCGGGTTGGGCGTCTTTTCAGGTCGTATTTTCTTTCTTATTCATCTTCCTTCCAACACCAGCTGGTCTGTTCTCTGTTGGTCCTCGATCTTTTCGTTTGTGTAACCTCTATGTACAGTACATGTACTGTACTCTCACTGCCCGCACAAGAAACAGCTTCAGCTACATGTATTCGTACTTCGAACAAGAATCCTATGAGCACGGCTTGGATTCTCAATGCTAAAATATGCGCAACAAAATCACAACCGGCTCTACTTGTATTTGACTACAAGGATTTCGTGGATAATTTGTATTGTATATTCTCTGTCCGCTCTGTGCAAGGAAAAGGTCCAGCAAAGTCCCTCTTTAGTCATACCCATTCATAACATTAAGCCCTCGATACTGAAAATTCGAGGGCTTCCACCTCTCTAGGGGTACCACACCATACATGTCTCCTTATAGACCCCCGACGTGCCACCCGTCAGGCCACCCCTTTGGGGGATCTCGATCTCGAAGGAGCCAAGGGCGTTGAACCCGAGCTTCTTGTACATGGGCACTGCCACCGGCGTGCTTTCAATGTACACGGGCAGTCCGTCGGCTGCGGCCATGTCGAGAACGCTTCGCGTGAGCAGCGAACCAGCTCCTCGTCCTTGGTAAACCGGGTCTATGCAGACAAAGGATAACTCTGTTGTCGGGTCGCACAACCAACTTAGTAAGCGTCTGAAAGTCCCAAATCGACCCCAATAAAAGATATTTCCCAGAAATTCCCAAAGCAGCGTTGAAAGATGACTGGAATCGGCAAAGGAAAGCAGGGCCCTGCTCCCTCTTCGATAATAAATTATCGGAGGCAGGAGGTAGGTAGTCGACAAAAGTTGGTTGAGGTACTTAACATACGATAACATGGCCGGTCTCCAAACAGTCTGTTCATGGCATCCTCTGCGATGGACGCATAGCCTTCAAGCAGGTCGCGACGGCAACCGGCGGCGCGCTTATACAAGCCTTCCATCTCCTCGATCTTGCCATCCTTCTCTGGATGTCTCGGGGACGCAAACTTGGCGAAGCCGGTGATGGAGCCTGAGTCGGGGTCTCGCGCAACAAGGATCCCGATTTCGGGTACAGCAGCCGTCTGTTTTGCCGCTAGCTCCTCGGCAGGCGCGCATGAAGACAGCTGGCTGGCTGTGTGCGACGCCAAAAAGCTGCCAAGGCCTTCGAGGCTGCCGGGGCTAGGGAATTGCGCGTGAAGAAGCGGGTTCGAGTCCATTGCGGCCAGGTGTATTTCAGCGATACGTGCCGCATCCGCCTGCACCGGGTGAGAGAGATCCATCTTCCTAGCCATTTCTAGACCCTCCAAGAAAATCGGCGCTGACGATGGGACGGTGATGGTGGTGGGGGGCGGAAACAAGAAATACTCACTTCTCCAGCTCAACAAAAAGCCTAAAATTTATCGGTAAGCGACCAGCCTGCAGGAAATAGATCAGGTGACTCGAGCTATTCGCTGCTCAGATGCATCACAAGGAAGCAGCGCATACTGAGCCCCCCCCCCAACCACCACCATAGAATACCATATCTAATAGGATGCAATAGACTGGGTGTGAGGGGGGTACTGGCGAATGCCGGAGGAACTACTCGTCGCTGATTCCGCAGATAACTCGTTCAGCATCTGCAGCGGTGGCTCCATCCACGCCGACCAGTCGGGGCCGAGGTAGTCGGCAACGGATCGGAGGAGGAACTGGCCTGAGTCGCCGACCATCCATGCGTCACGGCAGTGATGGAGAGCCAGGAAGTAATAGCCCAGGACGGCAAGCGCCTCTGGCCGGCCCGCATCTAGCATTGACACAAAGGGCGGCACGAGCATCGTCGTCCAGTTGAACAGCGCATGGATATGGGTCACAGAGCTGGGCCTCTCATCAAAGACGGCTGGTCTGCCGTCAAAGACGGCTTGTAGCAGGTCGAGGGCCTTTTGCGTCGCCTCGAGCTCCTGTGGATTCAGGCCTGAGGACAGGATTCTCTGCTGGATATCCCCGCATTCTGGACCCACGCCGCGCACGTTGTACCATTCAAGCCCGGCGTCGATGACGGGCTTGAGCTCGGACCCTTGGATATCCTCCCAGTGCCCAGCCGTGCTGTTGTGGACGCCGCGGTGGAGATGCAGACATCTCATGAACCGCGCGAGAGAGGTGGGGAAATAGTCGTCCCGGTGAGACAGGGTGTCGCAGAGTGTATGAAACCCCAGCACCGAGGAGAAGATAAAGACTGGGATGCGGTTGGTGAAGGAGCTGTCGAAATAGCCGAGGTCGATATTGTTGAAAAGCGTTACGGCGTGCGTCTGCAGCTGGATCGCCGTATTGCGATAGAACTGCTCTTGCAGTGGCCTGAGGATGCTGAGATGATGTGCGGACAGAGCAAGGACCTGGTACATCAAATAAGGCTCGCGCAGGGCGTGCCGCATGGTGATGGCCAATGGCATACCGACCATGGGTGGGAAAATGGTGCCCTCCTCGGTCAGATAATGGTGAAGGAGCTCCATGTGGACCATGTCGACCCGGGGGTGGAGTTCCGCCAGCGGCGAGAAGCGCGGTAGCTCCGTGAAGACGGCATCAAGATGAAGTCCGTTGATGGATCCCGAAGGCGATGTCCTGGTACTCGGCGAGACCACTGACTCCCCGCCCTCGCTGGTCGGGGGAAACGAGCAATCCCTCTCGACAGTAGCACAGTTTATGCATCGTGGGCGAGTCTCGTCGCACTGAAGCTAAAAATGTTAGCTTCGTTCTGGTCTGTGTCTCGTTCTATTTTGTTTGGTTTGGGGGCTTGAGGGTACAGCAACCGAAGGTGCGGGTCGGACCTTGATATGGCGTCTCTTGCACTCGAGACATCCCCGGCGGGACTTCTTATGTCGTCTACGCATCATCTTGTTCGGTCACGAGTGGAGTGGTGGTCGCGGGATTAGAGTGAAGGCTAGGGAAAATGTAGAATACAATGTAAGCGCTGTTCCTAGGAACCGAGACTGCAAGATCCGTGCATGCGTCGTGTGCCTTCATCGGAAACCGCGGGTGCGGATTTCCGCCTCGCGATATATATCTCCGTCGACTCAAAAGCCAAAAGGGGCCGAGCCCAATGGGCCCTCCTCCTTGGCCTTGTCAACCGACAGTTCATCCCGTCCCATGCGCATTGTAGCGGCCAACAAACGACCCAACATACCCCGCCTCCAGGCTGCGCACTAGTTTAAGGCCGTTGGCAGTCGCTTTGCTTGAGTTCTGGGCGCTCTAGAGGGCCTTTTGCTTGATAGCCCGGTAGGGTAGATGTGCAGATGCGCGCGTCTGATGTCCGGGTGCCCCTTCCACCCCCCCTGCTTACGCTAGCGCCGCATCGACGCCTGGAGAAGGGTGTGGAGAGGAGTGTGCCAAGGGGGTATTCGCACGTTAGGCCAGGCCGGCTATTAACACCGACGGCTTGACCGAGAAACCCGACCCTCCCCAATCCCAAGCCGTTAGTCCTAAACCCGGCGGGACACTGGTGTATGCCCCAGAGTTGGGCGGAAGCATCACGGCTCAACCCACCCGCTGGGGCACCCCAGCGCTCCGTCCCCACTCCCCCTCCCACAGAGGCAGGTAGATGCTGCCGAGGAGACAGACCTGTTTGTCGGGGAGAAACCGGGAGGACACTATTGGGTATCGTCTAGAGGTGGGAGATGCCATCTTGGACGAGTGGGGCCTGTCTTGCTGGCTTTGCTGGCGCTGGTGTTGTTACTGCCACCGTCGCTCGTCTGATGATTTCTTGAATCACCAACAAACCTAAGCACCCAATCGCGAACGAGCCGCGTCTTATCGAGTTGCAGGTGTGCGGGCTTGCCGGAAGTCAAATCAGACGGGCCATAGTGCCCCTGGACGTCCTGGCTATCGAGCTGCGCCCGGTAGAGCAGGTGAGCTTTTGTGAGATTCTTCCGGAGGCTTGACCCGTAAACTTGGTTCGTGAAGACGTTGAGGGCCACGTTTTGCAGCAGCACCACGTCCAGCGGACGCAAGCCCGCCAACACGCTCTGGGCGACAGTGTCGGACGTCAGCCAAAAGGTGATGGCGAAACCAGCCCGTGTCTCGTCGCCGACGAGGACCTCAACGAGGTACTTTATGGACCCCCACCGCGTCTTCACCATGCGCGGCTGCGAGATAGAGATGATGCCTACGATGAGGTTGCACGACATTGTCTGGGGCAAGATCTTGACGAGGTAGGCAGCTGATGGGATGTCCTTGAGATCGCTCATGTGGGAACTTCCGCGGAACGATAATGGCTCCCTCACGAGCATAGCCTCCGCACCGTTGCCGCTCCCGTCGGCGCCCAGGAACGACGTTGTGTCATTTGCATGGGTAAACGACGAGGTTGAAGCGGTCTGGGAGTCGGCAAAGGAGCCGCCCGTAGTGCTAAACTGAGAGGGAGCTAACCGTTGTTCGTTGAGCTCGTAGATCGCCATCGAGCGCTCATAGAACTGGGAGATTACCTCCTCTTGATGCGCTGCTGCTGCCTGATTTTGAACCGGTCCGCCACTGCCCCTTTCTGGCAAGTCGACCGCTGCCAGGGACAGAGACGTGGTGGTGAAGAACTGGGGTTCCAGCCCATCAAGGCCTCGACCACCACCAGTTGGCTCGGAGATGAGCTGGGACACGTCCGAGGACAGGTGTGCCGTTGCCATTTGGTCTGGAACAACAAATGTAGATGAAGCTGTAACCGCAGTCATGGCTGTATCTGTAGGGTATCTGGCCTGCTCCAGAGGGAGAGACCTCCACATGGCATGTTTTGGAACGGCTAAAGAGCTCGTCTCCGTCTCCGTCTCCGTCTCCGTCTCCGTCTCCACCCCCGCCGGCTCTGCCTCCGCCTCCGCCTCCGCCTCTGAAGCGCCAGGGCCAGCAGTAGCAGCAGCAGCAATTGTAGGATTCAGTGATGTCAGGGACACGGCCTTCTTGACACCAGCGAATGGAGCAACGCTGTCTTCAAAGTCGGCCAGGAGCCCAGAGGACCGCCAGTCAAGCGCGTGGCTCTCAGGCGCGCCAGCAAAGATCAAGACGCGGCCGGCCATTGCCAAAGAGGCTCGAGGGTTAAGCTGTACCACCGTGCTCGTGATGTTGTGCGCGTGTAATTGAATGCGAATGTGACGAGATGGATGCTAGTGAAACTCAAACAACGTATGCCGAGAGTGGGCATGTGGCGCATACGGTACTGTACCGACTACCGACTGCAGTGTGCACCTTAGCTACAGTAGTTGTAGGTACACCCCATGGCATGGCGCAAATGCTTCGCCCAATGTGGCTAATCGAGATAGCTTTGGGCGAAAGCTGGTATGGATGGACCTGGCTAGGTTCGACTATGTTCAGCACATTATGTCCCTGCAGTTTAGACTAGTGGATACCGACTGGAGGTTAGGTTGTCTGCAAGGAGTAGTGGACGAATGCCCTCCCCTAAACCAACCTGGTACCAACCGACAAAGAGGATAAGCTCGATACCATTGGACGTGATAAGAGTGGGTCATGGCTGCCGGGCTCTAGGGGGTCGCGCACTGTTTCTGCCAACATGAGGCGGCCGCTCCCTACCTGGGATAGGGCTGATGCGCGGGGGCAGAAGCCAGCAAATCAATGCGTGTAATAAAGGGCACGGTGGAGATGCAAGCTGCTTGTGCACAGTGCTTGTGGACGGCGCGAGGGTGGTTGTGTGATCCTCCAGCTCACGTAGCCTAACTAGGTGAGGTAGTACATACCTTACGTACGTAAGGATAATGCATGGGAGGGAGCCCTGAACAGCAGATCCATTTCGAATTTCTTTCCTGTTCAGGCCGCGGCTTGCGGGCCAACTTTCCTCCACTTTTTTGGGATTCTGCGCTTAACAAATCAATTTGGACTCCGTATGTCCCCGAGAATGTAAAGCACCTACCACCTTACCTCCCTAAGTACCCTAAATTGCTATTCGAGCATCATGCGCAACAATACAAGCCCGATTTTATTAGTGCCAAGGTATTACATCTAGCACATCGTGTAGTAATCTAGTGCGTACGGCTCTAGCCGAATGAGCTATATACGTACGCCGGTTTCTAGCGTTGAGGTAGGGAATTTACCATGGGACGTGTCTCGAGCATTAGCTGTAAGGAAGCGGACCACCTCGCGCAACAATCGGTGAATTCTAGGGCGGCAGATGGGCGGTTCGTCTAAAGTCTAGAGGGGCGTTTATTCTCTGCCCCACTGATCTCCACAACTTTTAGACGACGTCGTCCGGAAGCATTTGTGGTCGTCTCAACACGAGGGCCGCTTGCGTGTTCATCGAAGGATGGTGTAAAGTATTTGTCAAAAGAACCTACCAATGAACCCAAGGTACCCACCTCTCCCAGCAGGTAAGGTATCTCCCTAAGTCGCCACGGCTAGGGACCTGAGTCGTTGGCAAGGAAGTTACCTTCCTTACTTGGGAGCTTTGTGGCTCATCTCGCGTTTCCGTGGAACATACAACAGACGGGAAGCAAACGAAGCACACGTAGTCCAGTTCATCTCGCCTTCCTGCCAAGCAAGGCATGGCAGCCATGCCGCTTGGACTCGAAACAGCTTCAGGCGAATCCAAGGTACACCAGGTAGGTACCTGGCCTTAAGGGTCTGATAATACCCAACCAACCTTAATCCAGCCGTACAGTACACAGAACTGTACCAACTAAATGATATGGAGTGTTCTCATGTTGTCATCCAAAAAAGGCCCCCAGCCTTCGACGAATATTTACAACCAACAGGCTTAGTGAAACATATGCGGTAAGGTGGACTCGAGAATCCTGTCCAGTCGTGCTTGGGCGGGGCCAACTGTATTTTGACGGGACTCGTGTGGCAGGGCAATCTCATTATCATACCTACATAGCATTTTGGGGGAACCATGTTCCGGAGGCTGTTCGGAGCCAGCAAGTGGGAACGGCTCCTTTATTTGCTAAGTACGTAGGTAGGTAGGTAGGTAGGTATGTACGGGTAGGTAGCTAGTAAGGTAATGTACATACTCTCATGTCCTACCTAGCTTTGTAATATATAGCCGGTATTGCACAAGTTCTATACATAAGCGCGCCTTATCATCCTAGCCGGTGGCATGAGATCAAGCAGATTGAGCCTTGGTAAGGAGGCGCGGTCGGCGGGCCTCAATACTGGTGTGGCAGATGCGCGCTGGACTGGCAGGCAGTGGACACTGTGGCCGGGAACTGCACCCGTCTAATACGCGGGAGGAGCCTGACCCCGGTTACACAGACTGTGCTAAATCGGAACCTGCCCGTCTGCCAACACAAAACCCTATTTCTGGGGGTGGACAAAACAAGCAGGGGGTAATAAGGTTGGATTGAAACGGCGTCTTATGTTGTTATCCAAGCTGTGAGGGTTTCAAGAGTTCGAAATTGATCAACTCCGCGTCATTAGATTCTTACGGCACATTCGCTCAACCTCCATTTGGCCTGGGGCATTGGAGGGGGATTGTAAACCTGATTGGGACAAGTGTGTGGGTCGGCAGACCCCAAACGCTTGCTACGTAGTTTAGCTTCGTAGGGCAGGGAACAGTCGTCTCACCCGTCTCCTCAAGTTGGCGATCATCGGGAAAAAATAAGGTCCACACATCTTGCATCCCCCCACCCGCATGTCTACAGCCTTGACAACCTTGGAAGGAGGTTAGCCCATCAACATACTATGTAAGGTAGGTAGGTACATAATGCACGTGCCAGAGGATGAAGTATACACAAGTACAACGAGCAGAATTAAGGCGATCATTGCCACCCGGACATGCTGTTTGGTTTGCTTAAACTGGTCCTCTTGTTTAGGCTCGTACGGAATAGCAGCCTGCAATAACCGAGGAAAAGTCGCTCAATGGATATGGCATTTCTGCCCATGCCCAACATTTCTCAAGGGGCATCGTGAACTCGGGCCACCGATCCCCACTAAACGCAACGGGCCGGCGCTAAACCGTTGGCCAGTGCTTTTTTCATCACCCACTTTCCTTACCTAACTTAATGTATCCGTACGGAGATCGGAAATGTGAACTCCGCACGGCGTGAAGTCACTCTAGCTAGATATGGAATCCCCGAAAATCCGAAATTCTAGGTCAAAAGCTGGGAGAGAGCGGCGCAAATTCTCCACTTCACTTCGGCATTCTCCCGCTGCGTTGAGACCACCCAACTTTTAAAACAAGGTACGGTAACTACGCGTATACGGTATCTTTTGACAGACATGGCTCCAGCGCCGTGGGAGATCGTACCAAGGCATGAGACCTTGTTTGTTCTGGTCACGGGCGCGAGCAGGTACGTACTGCGGGCAGCGGAAATCCCACCTCCGTCTCCGCCTCCGCATCCGCCTCCGCATCCGCCTCCTACATGCCTTACCTTAGTCCTCGACCGTCAATTGTCCGTCTAGTGCCGCCCGATGCTAACACTTCCTTGCAAATAGCGGTATTGGCTTGGGCATTGGCCAGCGTCTCATCAGCGAATACCTTGCGACACGCTCGCTGTCAGCCCACCTCGTGTTGATCCCCACCGCCCGGAACGTCAAGAAGTCTAATGAGACTGTTTACGCGCTCCGGCAGCATGCCAAGGAGGTCGCCCTAACCTCAACCACTCTCCGCGCCCGCGCTGGTCCCAGCTATGATCCGCGGCAAACCACGCGGCGTATCCATATCCTTAGCGTCCAGCTGGACCTGTGTAACTTTTTGACCGTCCAACAGGCAGCTGACCAGCTCGTCAACGGCACATTGAGCGGCCCGCCTAACGAGGGTGGTGCCGACGACGATGCCGACTTCTTCGAGCCGCTCGTTGATGTGCACATTCCCCGCCTTGACTCTGTCATTCTTAATGCTGGCATCGGCGGCTGGACAGGCATCGACTGGCCCAAGGTTGTCCACAACATTCTGACGCGGGGGATCGTCCAGGCGACGACTTGGCCAACTTTCAAGGCTGCCACTCCCGGCTACCTTATCAACCCGCTCCCTGCGAAGAAGAATGCAGACCAAAGGGATGCCAAAGTTCCTGTTCCACAGTCACGGCCTCAGCCTCAACCTCGGGTTGGAGAGGTGTTTTGCGCCAACGTGTTCGGCCACTACCTCTTTGTGCACGCGGTGACGCCGCTACTCTGGCGGGACTCTGATCCGCTTCCTCCCGGCCGCATCATATGGGAGAGCAGTATTGAACCTGTTTGGGACAGCCTGTCGCTGGATGACTTTCAGGGCATCAAGACGGACGCGGCATACGAAAGCTCAAAGCGGGTGACAGATCTGCTAGCACTTACCTCGTCACTTCCCGCGGCCTGGCCGTTCGTGTCTTCGTGGCTAAAACCCGATAAGAAGGCCAATCCTACCGCAGCAGCCGCTACAAATCCACCAAAAGTCTATGTCGTGCACCCTGGCGTGGTGCAGACGACCATGTTTCCGCTCAACGCCTTCCTGTTCTTCTGGTACCGCGTGGTGCTGTACCTGTCACGCTTCCTCGGTTCGCCGTGGCATCCTATCACGGCTTACAAGGGGGCGTGCGCGCCCGTGTGGTTGGCGCTGCAGGAGCAGGGCGCGCTGGATGCGGTGGGCGCTGAGCGCATCAAGTACGGGTCGAGTACGACCTGGGCGGGCGAGGACCGGGTCAAGATGTCCGAGGTTGAGGGGTGGGGGTGGGACGGCCGCGTTGCGGACCCCAATGTCGCCGTGTCTAAGGATCGCGACACTAGGCTGCTGGGCAAGACCACTGGCCGGAAGCACGGCGCCACTGAACTGAGCGAGGGAAAGCGGGCAGAATTCGAAGCACTTGGCGTTGCTTGCTGGCGGAAGATGGATGAGCTGAGAAAAGAATGGGAAGTTCGTATCCAGAAGAGCACGTCAAACTAATTGTTCTGGGTAACATATACCGTTAGATTTCTTCTTTTTCTTCTACATTCATACATCTACCTAATAATAATTTAATTGATTGGGATGGGAGTGCGAAATTGGGAGACGGAACTAATGGGGTGCTTCCTTGGCACACAGTGTCCACGGATCACATGTATAACTACCTAATGTGGAAGTCGCTTCCAGAATAGACGAAAGACAAAATACATTTACCTAAATGTGGATGGCTCCGTTCATTTGTCTGACTAGTTGATGGATGGATGGCTTATGGGCTTGGTTATATTCACGCTATTGAACGCCGAGATATGCACACCAAGAAACGTCCACGCACACTCCACACCCTGTATCCCATGCGGAACAAAAAGATACGCGGGCAGAGTACGCGGACAAAGAGCCATGGGACGCACTTATTGAGATGCTCAAAAAAACTATTAAACAAGTGAAACCCGTCGGGTTTCTTCACTGCCCTCTCGCCAAGTTGGTCGTGAGAAGAAAGGCCGAAAGTATCCAAGACACCAACGAACCGCCACACCCAGATGTATATGTATCCCTCGACCCCGATCAAACCTATCTATACGGTTTCCCGGCTCCGGGCTAATGCCAACTCGTCTGAGCGAACGCGCCTGAGCCGCAGCTTGTCGGCGCGACCAAACAAGCCGAGACACAGCGGGAGGGGCAGGACAGCCATGGCGACGACGGCGGTGAACACCAGTGCCTTGTGCATGTCGTACGGGGGGGCGGCGCCGGAGCCGGCCTTGAGGGCGCCCGAGATGACGATAAAGATGCCGCCGAGGAGCTGGCCGCCGCTCCACGCGATGGTGGAGGTGACCTCGGGGCTGATGGGGTGGGTCAGCTCAACGAGATACTCGATGACGACGGGGACCATGGAGAAGGAGGCGGCGCCGAGGACGGAGAGGACGACGTAGGGGCCGGCGACGCCAGCGGCGTCGCGGGTGGTGGGCATCCAGATGAAGACCAAATACGAGAGGGCGATGAGCGGAGCGGCGATGCGGATGGCGGGGAGAAACGCCTTGGTGCGGTCGATGATGGGCGAGGTGACGGCCGAGGTCACGAGGCCGACCACGATGAGCAGCGCGCCGGCAATGCCCGCCTCCTCGTCCGAGTAGCCGTGGGGCTCCATGATCTGGTTGATCAGCGACGACACGCTGTTGAAGAAGCCGACATAGACGGCGAACGGCACGAACAGCAGCCAGAACTCGACCTGGCCGAAGAGAATCCGTGCCGAGGCGCCGAGCCCAAGCTTAGGCGTCACGGCTGAGGGCGCAACGGGTGTTGGCGGCGCGGCCGGGATGAAAAAGGAGGGGAGCGCGGAAACGGTCGACTGAGAACACGAATTAACACTTCTGAAGGGAGGATAGGCTAGGAGAGAAAAGGGAGAGATTTTTTCCTTACAATCAGAGACACCCACAGCACCATGGACGGTATATCGCCGGGAGCGTTTACCCAGAAGGGCACAATGAGCTGGCCCAGGGCTGCACCAAAGGGGTTGGCGAGGGTAGTCAGGGCGGTGGCACCCACGCGGCCACGGTTCGTGAACCAGAGGTCCGAGTAACGGGTCGGCGCAGCGAGAACAAAGGGCTGGGCGAGGCCTGTCAAGATCTGGCCGAACATAACAAGACCAAATCTTGCGCCGGCACGGCAGCCGATGTATCGGACCCAGTTCCCGGCCAGGATGAGCGCCGCGGCCGTGACTATGGACGGCTTCGGGCCGAGGTGTAGCACGTAGATAACCAGGGGCATGATGAAGACAAACGAGAACATGAACGCCGTGCTCAGCCAGTTGATAGTAGTCTCGTCGGTGCTAAAGTAATGCGCCGCGTGACCAGAAACAGGCGAAAAGGTGAGCCACTGGATATAATGTCAGCTAGTGTTTGGGCGGCGGCCCCTTTTCCTCTTCCCCACAGCTCAACGCCCGAAGACATATCCAGACGTTTTCAGAAACCCCATCTTTCTCGGAACCGCATAATACGCTCTCAGTGAAATTTTGGTTGGCCGTTGCCCCGATGCAAGTCTAACTATAAACGGCGCGGAGATGCAAGACGGTCCGCTGCCACGTAACGGCTGGCGTGCTTCAACGTCAAGCCCGCCGTTGTTATCTGGAGGAAATACTTGGCTGGAGAATAAAGGGGGACTCAGGGAGGCAGGGCATAGCTTGAATTGTGAGGAGGGAGATAAGCAGGAAAAGGTGACTTACATCCCAACTGGCAATGATATTCAGCAACGTTAGCTGCACCAAGCCAAACCACCGACGCTTGTATACCTTGAACACCTCGGGAGTGGCACTACCCACGTCCAGAGACGCGGGTCTAGCAGGTGCACCGCCAGCGGACGCGGGTGACACGGCGTCTGTGTACGGCATCATCAGGTGGTGGGATGTTCCCCTCTCATGTTGAACCGCAACCGCGTCAGACGAGCCGCGCCCTTTTTTCTTGTTACTGGTGGTGTCGTCATCCTCGTCGTCCTCGTCGGGGCCAGCGGAAGCGGCAGCAGCAACACGCTGCTCCGCAACAACGCCACCACCGCCGACAACGGCCTCATCCTCGTCGCCCTTTAGCGCCTGCCAGCCTGGCCCCTTGGGTGCAGAAATGCTGCCGCCCATTGTTGCGTTGCCACCACTGCTGGTCGTGTTGCTGGTGGTGTCTGGGCCAACACCGACACCGCCTGTTTGTTGAGATGCGCCCGCCTGCTGCTGAGCAAGGGGCTTCTCACTTGAGAATTCGGCCCCATGCGCTGATGCACCTTTTGTCGGCACTGTTGGCTGCTGTTCCTTGTCCTGCTGCTGCTGCTGCTGCTGTTGCTGCTGGGGCCGCAGTGAGGGTGATGTGCCGTTGCCGTTGTCGTCACCGCCGCTGCCGCCTTTTTCATCGCTGCTGTTGTTGGTGCTGAAAGCCATCTGATCCCGCCAAATGGGATCCAAGCAAGCTGACTGTATCCACCTGGCTGTGATATGCTGCGCGGCGGGGCGCGGCGCTGGGATCCGAGCTCAGCAGGGCTCTCCGCGGAATGCACGCCTACAGGCCAGCGGTTGACCAGCTGCTGGGATCGGGGTGCTTAAAACATTCAAGGGTGGGCCCGGATTCTTCAGTGTGAGTTTAATTCATTTCCCCTTTGTTCCGCGGGATCTTTTTTTGTGGTGTTTTGGGCAACCCAACTCACACCAACACCCCCTCGCCAGTGTTTCTTCAGATACGGGTACGTTAGATACCTTGGGTAGCGGCGCCGTCTCGCCTGTAGACGACACACCCGAGGTTCATTTGCCTGCCCCTCCCCTCCTTCCATGTTCGCTTGGCGTTCTTCCTTTTTGGAGAAGGGGGGAGGGCGGCCAGGTCACAAGCACCGCCAAGCAGAGGGCTAGCCGGGCGCCTACCTCGTTCTGGCACCAAGACCGCACCGCTGCAACACCACACAATCAATGTCTCTCTTTTAGGTTATTCACACTTCACACTGAAACTATTCGAGCACGGCACTCGGCACGTCCAGCTGCCGCCCTCTGGACTCTGAGAAACTAACACATGGAAAGCTCGCTTTACGGGATTGCTATGGATTGCTATCTATCAGACATTTACAGCTGAACAAATCCGTGGCCTACGTATGGAAAGCCAACGTGAGCAAAAGCGGTCGCATTAATGGCAAGGGGGCGAGATGAACCTTATCTCCGCTTCTCCAATGATGTTCCAGGAAGCAGGTTCTTGCTAACTCGGGCTATTTGTCTGTCTCGGTGATTCTGAAGCAACATCTCGGCCACCTCCATAAACCTCAAACCACACAACCCACCTCTTCATCTTACAAGCGACAATCGAATTGTCCTTGTTTTGTCGTGCGGCAAACATGAAAAATGAAAACCAAAAGGTCGTTCCAGAAGTATCGCTCGTTGCGCTCGTTGCGCTCGTTACCTGGTGTTTGATGTCTGTTCGTCTATTGTGAGGTTTCTCGTAAACACGACACGATTAAAAGCCATTTGGTCTTTCGTCTTGATGTATAGAAGTGCCCCCCCCTTTGTCTCGTATGTTTTCGTTCCAGATTCTATAAAGTCTTTCTTTTGTGTGACGCTTTGAAGATACCGAGGTTAGCATGCCTATGATATTGGAGCCAGATGCGAGGCCCCTCTTCTCCCTCCCTGTGGCCAGATGTCCAATCACAGAGGAGGCCTCGTGCTCTAGCATGTGAACACGTGCAAGGGTCCCGATACTCAAAACGTAGGCGAGGTATACGGCACTAATAGAGAGAGCTCTTAGAAATCACGACGTCTAAAATTATTCTTTTCGAGTGTGACGGGAAGGGTTATGATACAGACAAGGACCAGAACGGCATGGATGTACTGCCCAGAGCTGAGTGCTGCACCAAGCTTGCCCCTATGAAGGCCGAACATTATACAGGAAGCGCTCCCTCAGCCCCATTACCGTAGATGTGTATGCGTCGCGACAGAACCCATCCGCCTCCCGACGAGGCAAGCCGTCAGTCCCTGTTCTTTCTATGTCGTTCACGCTCGGTTGTTTATCTGGGTAGATTCGAGGGAAAAGAGTAAAACGGGCGTGCCAACGACGACTCTGTCTCAAAATCCGAAATTGTCTGTCGATCGCAAAGAGTTGGGGCCGCCGCTCCACCGGGAGATAGACCGAGGCGAGCCATTTATTTGAGGACGGACCAAAGCTTGGGAGCAGCACACTGGGTAGCACAGTGGGCAAGATGGAAGACTGTGCGACGTGAGGCAATTCCAATGTCAGTAAGAAGGTACTCAAAGGTTTGATAGGCCAACGGGGACCTCCGCGGGGAAACAGGAATTCGAAAACACGTACACTCCTCGACGCAATCCTCCTTGGGGCCGTCGCTGGACGAAGCATTGGTGACGCGGTCGACGCATTCGTCGAAGTGGTGCTTGGCGGGAGCACACTGCTTGGACTCGCGGCATTCTGCAGGCAGGATTCCCCGCTGGTTAGCAGCATTCCCAACCAGATAAACGGCAAGGTGAGGGTTGAGTCGGTGGGCAGCCCGGAGAGTCGTAGTATGGCGATGAATTGGCGCGGTAGTGATGAGGGATCGGAGGGGATGCGGGACTACCGGTCTACGAGACCGTGGCGCAAGAGCGCTCGCTCTCTCTCTGGGGAGATCAACCCACCTTCCTCAAACTTCTCCTTAGGGTCGACAATCTCCTCCTCGTCTTCCTCCTCCTCGTCATCCTCCTCGGCCTCGGCCTCGGCCTCTTCCTCCTCGGCCGGCTCCTCGGTGGCCTCCTCAGCCTTCTCGGACTCGTCCTCCTTGGTCTCGGCAGTCTCCTCCTGCTGTGGGAATGACGGAAAACGATCAGCGGTTATCCTCGATACAGGATGCAAGCCTGCCTGACGCCTTCGCAGTAGACGATGCGCGATCTCGCCAGACTGTGGTCGAGCTTGGGATGCTGCAATGGCTGGGACCTCGACGCTTTGAGGGTGGGAACTCGAGGTGGCCTACCTGTTCCTCCTGCGCGGGAGCCTCGGCGTCAGCGGTCGTCCATGGCGTGGCGGCCTCGACGAGGTCGGTTATAGTGTCCCAGATACCCATGGTGATCGGCCGGGGCGGGGAGTAGTATCAATGGCTAAGTTCGCAGGGGCCTGGACGAGGTTTCCTCGGGCAATTGACGTTGCGCGACGTTGGGAGCTGGCAAAATTCGGGGAGCGAAAATCGTCCAGTCTTCCCAATTGCGGGATTTCGATTGGCCGGAGCTTGTCTTCCGGCTGGTTCCGCGGTCACGTGTTAAGAGCGTTTGTAGGGATCTTCCCGACAGCTTTCTCCAGAAAACCGGGCCGGTACCTGACAGTTTGTAAAGTTTGGAACACGGTGAGAAGGAGGCTGGCAAGAACCGTTGCTGTTTAATAAGATATACCTACTCTTCGGATACCAAACCACGTTCCCGTACGGCAACCACGGTCTCGACCACAGACTCGTCAAAGAATAAATAAGCAGATAAAGTAAGAATGCAGGCCAATATATTCGTGCCTCTATAACCGTATCGCGACAGTTCAACTTCTATTACGAAACCGGAAAGGAAACCGCCATGTTGACAATTTATCAACGGTCCCGCGCTAGAAAGCAATGCATGAATTGTAAAAATGATTTGTTTTGGCAACCAAGAATCAATCTGCCCCAATCTTACAACTCGTCTACTCTCCATTCGAGTAGGCCCGATACTGGTGTGGTATGATTACGAAAACCCGAAAGGAAAAGAAAACAACAAAACACACTCCACACAAAAATCTTCCTCCGATTCAACAATGTAGCAAAACCACACATCTCGTCTCCCGCCATTTCCTCTTCTTCAAAAGGGGCTAGCGGTATGCAGATGCTATTCAGGACCAATGACGTCATAGGCGGCCAGAAAGGTAGGTGAAATCGCACATAGCACCGCCGTCCTATGCCACTCGGGCAATCAATCCCTCTCGGCCTCATCCCGCATGCGCTGTTCGTACTGCATTGCGATAGCCTGAGTTTGCGCTTCAACGTAGTCTGGAGGAGGTTCATTGGGTGTTGGCTGCGGCGGTTGATGCTGGCCTGCCGAGCCCGCGTTCGCCGCCGGGGCCGAGGCCGGGGTGGGGCCGGGAGAGGGGGCGGAGCCGCCGGACGATGGTCCCGGCCCGGACGGACTAACAGAATCGTAAGGAGGCGGTGGCTCAACGTTCTGGCCCGGAATAATCCCTAGTTCCTGTGCGTGGTGCAAACGCTCCTTTAGCCACTCAAACTTTCCCTGGAAGTCGCTGTGGCCGCCGTCCCTGAATATGAATCGAACCTCTATCCGGGGAATATTCATGGGGATTCCTCCACCAGGGACAGGTCTGACAACGCCACCCCAGCTCCAAGGCCCAATCCATGATGATTGAACATGGGTGTCGCTGAAGTTCAAAACAGGGGCGAAGAAGGACTTGAAATCATCCGTGGGTCTCGCCGGAAGGTATATGACCTGCCATCGCAGTGAGCTTAACAACTGTCCAGCTGGCTCGGATAGGGCCCGGCGCCAGGTGGGGGCCAGGCGTGCTTACCCTCTCGTTGGTTATGTAGACAATCCCGCTGTCGCTCTTGACTCCAAAGGGCTCGGTGACCTGGAGCTCACGCGGGGTTGAGATCTCAAGGCCGACGCGGGTTCTCGAAGTGTGCAGGATCTTTTCGCCAGGGATGGGTACGATCTCGCCATCCCTTGTCAGCATGACCCAGCTGTCCTCCTCATTAGCCAGGGCATTCTGGGCCAGGGTCCAGGAGTGCCGCTCGACTAAGAACTGATCGGCCATGACATGAAGAGCAAGAAGAGAACAAGGTGATCCGGGATTGGGAAATGTAGAATGATGCAGGGAGAGAAAGGGGGACCCTTGTCTGGGCTCGGGTGCGGGGAGAGAGAGGCGGCATGGACATGGGGATGAGGGGATGTGGATGGGAAAGGAGATGGGCTCATGGGCAGCCGAGGAAGGGCAAGGCAGACGCACTTTATTGACATATTGAGGGAGCGTGGGTGGCAGGAGGGCCAGCAAGGCCGAGTTCTTCTTGGCCGGCAGGAAGCTTTGATTTGACGGGGGCTTCTGGACTCGCTGCTCTGTTAGCACGCCGCACTCGCAAGGGTTGACACAGTAGCGGGGGGGGGGGGGGGGGGGGGAGGGTGGTTCGTCCGCAAGTCGTGCTGCAGCAGAGCCGAGATCTGGCAGACAGGACGCCGGGTGGCCGTGGGTTTCTGATGGGGGTGGATCCGGCGAGGTGGGCGGGAGGGCTGGCTGACAGCTCAAGGTTCCTTTGGAGCAAGGTTTGTACAGTCCAAGGCTGGGATGATGTGGGTGGTAAGGTACATAGGGAGTGTATAGTGTATGTAGGTAGGTAGCTACATTCATACCTACTTACAGTTGACCGTATTGCCGTTTACCGTCTAGACGATCCAAGCTGGGATTGCTGTTGTGATAGTGCGCAGCTTCGTTAGGCCGTCCTACCTTTCCTATCTACCCACCTAGCACTGCTGGCTGCTTTGCTGCGCCGTGGTGGGGATGGGTGGATGCCCGAAGTAGGTGGGTGGACTGGAGGGGTATACAAGATGGGGGCAGGTACTGTAGGTAGCTAGATTGTTCGAGTTCGGAGCTCGGGATTGTCAGTCAGGTCGCAGGCTAGTTTGACATGCGGAACGGAGTTTGTGTAACGGAAACAAATCTGGTGCTGTACAGACGGTACGGAGGCAAAGCTCGGGAAGCCTCAGACGTCTTTGGGACGGAGTGATGATGGAGGGGTCGAAGCAGTCCCGCCTCCCCCGATCAAAGCGTGCGTGGCGTGGGTGGGCTTGACAGTAGTTAGAGGCCTTAAACCCCGCGCAGCCAATGGGGGGGCTGGTGGGTCCTGTTCTTACAGACAGAGAGTGGAACCAGCGCTGGGTGGGTCCAATTTGCACAATGACGCCTGCCAGCTAGATCTTTGGGAGAATGATACCAGGTAAGCTGCCTCAAGGTACCAAGTATCCAGCACCGCAAATCCAATGGAATAGGTAAGGTATCCATATAGATACAAGCCTTTCCACCTATAGAGAGCAGTAATATAATAAACCAAAAGGCCTCAATTAAAGACTACCAAATTCACGACTGCCCAAAGGAAGAGAAACATTTTAGGGGAGGTGCTGCTCCATGAATCCCAAGCTTTTATAGGTGAAGGCGAAATCCGTATCCGTGCAGGAAATGTCTGAAACCTCCCGTCGCAGATACCACGTACATGTACTGGGTACCACCTTAGGTATTGGGACCTGAGGTATCCGTATTTGCTTCCTGCTCTTGTTGCCTTCGATATATCCATTCATAGATTCACAAGGTACAGAGTATCGCCACGACAGTGTCCAGATTACAGTGCAGTACTTTAAATCTCTAAGATAATTAAGGTGCTACCTGCTAGTAGAGCACGACACCTGAGTAAGCAATTGGCGGGAATGCAGGAAACCAAGAGTGGCGAAAGGAGCTTGTAGGCACCTTCCTAAGGTGGGCATCGGAAGGTAAGGTAGACAGGAAGCTCAGCGTCAAGCTCTCTTAAGCTGTCTTGTTCCCTCCCGTCTCTCGCCGCTGGCGAATTTTAACCATCGAAAGTAGCCACTAGGCGATTCGTTGTCGAGTTATTTCGCCCTCGTCCGTATTCCTCCCCAATCTACGGAGTAACCTACCTTACCTATCTACATCTGCATGCTTCATATGCCCGACCGACCTTCCATGCGTCAAAGAAAACATGGCCACCCTGGTCGCCCTACATGATGATACATTAAGTTCATCCCGGTCGATTCCATGTATCGTGTCTCTGTATTTACGCATTTGCATATGTACAGCACAGTGCATACATGGAATGCTTCGATGTTATATAGAAGCGCCATTGGAGTGCTCGAACCTGCCCACTACGACCATGGACGTTTGGCTCCCGCGATTGCCAAGCTCTGTCGATGGAAAGAAGCGGCCTAGGTGAACGGCTCTACCCTCCCCGAGCTGTCACTACCAGCGGCTTTCTTTGCGTCCCATACTAAGTAGGGCTGCCGTGCCATCAAGCTGAAGTTCCAACCGGCCGGGAATAGAGCTGGCGACGAGACGTTCATATTTGGTCCTCCATGACCAGGGCGTGTCCTGCACCTATTCCAGGTTCCTAGCCCTGTTGTGCGCACTACGACCTCTCATCCCGGGATACGCTGCACCGGACGCTCCACGAGTCTCGGACCTGCCTGTCCTTATTCCTCAAGCACCAGCACCAGTCACGGCGCTGGCACTGTCTCGGAAGCACTGAGTCGCGAGGAAGCGAGTGCTCCGAGCAGTGAGTGACCTGACTGTCCACTTTCCTGCCCAGTACCCGACCTTATCCAGTACCCTGTCCGGTATCCCGTCCAGCATCCTGTCCAGCATCCTGTCCAGCATCCTCAACTGTCCAGCGCAGTTTCCCAGGAACGCCGCCGGGGTCTTCCGCAGCTAGCAGCTCAGGCCAAGGTAGTGCGTCGGTTGGACCGTAGTGTTGACGCACGCGAGACCGGTCTGCATTCTGCAGCAACCAGACAGAGACAGCACAGGAACATGGGCTGCTGGGGTTTTCCGATATTGATAACGAACGATGGATTGGCGGTGGTATGATGGATAAGTGCGGGCGCCGCCGTGGCGTAGACGCAAGGACCGCTCTCTGCTCCTCGCCCGCTCGCCGGTCACCCTTCAGCCCCCTCCGACCCCTCCAAAGCCAGCCACTGCAGATGACCCGAGATGACGAGCTGCGAGGCGCTGTAGAGTGTAGACTCCTTGACGGCCGACTCCAGCTATTCCGCCCTGGACAATCCCAACTCGCCGGCTCCCCTTGCCCCCCCCTCCTTGCCCCCTCCCCGTGTCAGGCCTATCAGGCCGAGTCTCTGCTCACCGAGCATCAGGGGTTCGGTGGGGCTTGCCCGAACAGTCAAGGTCCCGACTTGCCTCACCGCCCGACGACGAGCACGCACGGCACAGAGAGAAAGCGGCGACGAGACTGCCACTGTCCCCCGATAGCTCTATCCGACCGCCCCTTGCCACTCGCATACATAATAGGGCCAAGTGAAAACTTGGAAAGCGAAAACAAGCGTGCCAAATCCTAGATGGGAAACCCCCACTACTTATCCGGCCATGCCGCTTTCAACTCCTGAATCTCGACGCTGCTGCTGTGCGGAGGACTGGATGACTTCCAGGTCCAGTGTTTGGGGGGGGGGGCTGGCGGCGGTCTAGGCGACAGTGTTTTTCTCGAGCTATGTAAAATCCTCGGCTGAGCAGCTACGGAAAAACTACGGCCACTGTCTAGGTACCTCCTCAACTACCGTAGCTTAGTACCTGGCCGCCACCCAGCCGCCCGTGCCACCCGCCCGCCCGCCCGTTAGGTTGGACTCGCTACCGGCTGTCTGGTCTGGCTTGTCCGCTGACCCGCCCTTACCTCCGCGCAATTGAGCCTCTTATGAATTCAGACACCGGCCGCTACGGAACACATGTCGAGCTTGTCATATATCGAGGACGGCTGGTGTTTGAAAAGCGTACCCGTACCACACGCACAGCGCACCGTGGCCTAGACGACTGGCTATCTAGTACTCGGTACGGATAGCTACGTTAGGTTCTTCGTCCTCTTCCCCACCTCTAGCTTGGCTGCAGTAGTTAGTCGCAGTGTCTTGTCAAGTCTAGTTACATAGCATCTCAGGCCCAGTACCCACAGTCTCGGCACCTCTAGTGCCACCTTCTCATCGGATGCGTCTGCAGTCTACGCTCCTTCCAAGGCCGAACATTCCAACGTCGTCCAATGGCAGCTCGCGGGGCAAACACCCTTAGCCCAAGGAACCTCAGCTAAACGGCTTGGTCTTTACTGGAACACTTGCTAGCCGGGGCCAACTAGATGGTAACTTCCAAACACGGCTGTAGTGGTGATGGGCTGCTACTCGCCCAGGGACGTGCTCTGCGTCTCGAAGGACCTGGGATTGACCGAGGCTACAACAATAGGCACGCCTCAAGAGTTGTTCTCCGTCGTGGAAAGAAGCCGGTCAAAGCATCTTTTTGTCCCAGAGTTTCTCGCCTCGAGCCCACAGGTCGACAGCGCCGCCTGAATGAGACCGTTGGCATGGTACGTCCATACCTGGGCACGTGCGTATGGTTTACACCCAAAGCAGAGAATTTTGGTCTCAATGCAGGCTGATATCGATTCGATTCGATTCAACTTGGCCGACTATTCCCAAGCGGTTGGGAAGGAGATCCCTGCACCATTTCCATACCCATCAACAAGAGCAAACCTGGTTCCAGTGAATGACAGCCCAGGCCCCCAGCTGTAGCATACAGCAACCTACTACTGGTTTGCAGCCGGGGAGGTTTTTTTTGGACTGGAAGTCCGGCCTCGACGACGGGCCAAGAGTATGTGGTTACGTCGAGATGATGTTTCCGTTGGCAAATCATACGGCAGTTCGGAGCACTGTCTGCAACTACGAGTGATTCGGGGCCCCGAACAGAATAACCGAATTGATAAAGCGGTCAGTCTAGGGGCAAAAAGTGAGGGCCTAGGCACAGCAGGCTACTGCCTGGTCATGGAAGTCCACTCCCTGGTCACTTTCCACGCCACCAGCGAGTATCAAACATGTCTGGGACAATTCTCGACGCGGTCAAGCTTGCTTTTGGCTGGTTTGTCCAAGAAACTGGCGGTGAAAACGGCGTCGTGGAAAGGTTTCTTTTGACAAAGCCAGCTCATAACATTTACTACTCCGTAGGCAAGAAAGATACTCTGCATTCGGCAGAAGATTCACCGGAGTGATATGTCACCTACCCTAGCCGGACCGCCACCCACATTTTATTCCCACATCTGTTTCCGACTGCCTAGTCGAACGAGACGGACAATGACTGCTTCTCTAGGCATCCTCAGTCCCCCGGCATGCCGCCCCTGCTTAAGGGGAAAGTCGTGTGAGTAGTCAATCAAGAGAGGGGGTTGAGGTATGGGAAACTCGTGACCGACCAGAGACCCCTCATGATTACTCCGTTGGTGAGCTTGTTTATTGTGCGATTGGACGCCGCCCGGAAACGGTGCCTGTGGGAAAGTACAGTACAGGTATATTGATTTAGTTTGCAGCTGACGGGATCAGGATTGCTTAGGTCAGGCTCACCTGCTTGACGGATGGAAATCCTTCCCCAGCCCCTCCTCGCTTTCTCTTGTCTTCTTCGTGGCCTCTGGTCACACGTCGGACCAAATAGCGACCCCAATTGACCATCTATACATGACACACTTACACCTTGTCCCACGTCAGCGACCTCGGGTCTGAAGAAAACAAAGGGGAGTTCTCATCTCGCGGTGCCACAAGCGTGGGGTGTATCAAAATCTGCATATATTCTTACTTTTCGAGGTCCTAGATCTCCTTTGGAACGACTGCGGCGTGGATATCGCGCAAGAACAAGGCCAAAGTGCCATGGTGATTCATTTTCAGCGTACAGTCATAAATTAACATCATTAACTCCCCCCCCACCCTCGACGTTCCCCTTTGGCCCGAGATTGCTGTTGATACGGGACTAGGATGACAAAAAGAGAAGCGTCCTCCGATTGTGGCTTTTTTCCCTTTCGAATGAGCGAAGTCGACTCGTATAGAGAGGGGCACAAATGCCACCATGAAAGCCAAACATCCCTGGCAAGCCTCCCGTATTTTTTTCATTTTCTTCTTCTTTTTCTTTTCCGAATATTCACGCCCTTCAATGCTTGGAAAGCTTGCCACCACGATCGGAGGGTCTTACGAAGCCGCAGAATAGAGTTATTTCGCGGCCAGGTGTACCCCGGTCGCATTTCCCGAGGCCCGAAGAGAAGCATTCACAGCCAACCACGGGCAGACCAAGGGGATAACTCGGCGAGAGCGAGGAAAGTGAGGAACCCTATATCCCGAGCACAGCACGCACAGCAAAACCCTAAATCCATTTCCTGGACAATGAACGCTCCAACGCCGAGATGAGACAACGGAACAGGGGAAGGGGGGGGGGGCCAATCGACTCAATGGCAACCGACAAAAGAGTGCTGCGGATTTCTGGCCGGTTTCCTCGCTCCATACAGCCAAGCTTGGCGCATGCCCTCGACGAGATGAGGGAAGGTTGGGTCGCGTGATGGTCGTGGGCAAGACCCGTGTGTTCCAGACCTGATTCCCCAGCCTCGTGTCTCTCTTTTCTGTTTGATTCATTACTCTTTCATAATTCGTGCTCAAGAAAGCCACGCGTCGTTGCTTTCTTGGGTATGGCCGTTGCCAACGCCAAAGTCGAGCTTGGGTATTTCGAGCTTGGGCACATCTTCGATCTTCTTCTTCGCCCCGCCGCCGCCGCCGCAGCCAGCAGCTCGTTTGACGGGCGAGGTGCTTCGGCTCTCAGGAGGCGGGCCATACCTGACGTCATGTACTGCCCAGCCGTCCTCGGCGGCGGCGGCCACCCAGGTGCGCAGGCCGTCGTGGACTGAGCCGTAGAACTTCTCCTTGCACAGGCGGAGGCTCCCACCCATGCAGCGCTCCCAGCCGGAGATGCGCAGCTCAGCCCGCAGGGCGTTGCGCTCGTGGGTCGTTGGGCCTGTGCATGCCACGATGGCGTTCATTAGGTCCAGGTGGCTGGCCAGATAGTTGGTCGCATCCCACTCGACCCCGCCTACGTAGGGGGCAGCGGGTACCGGCGGGCGTTCTTGGGGAAAGTGACGTGCCATGTAAGCAAGCAGGCGGCTGTCCAGCTCCTTCCCGCAGCCCCCCCCTGTGTTCGGCCGCGAGTTGCCGTCCGCTGGGTCAGCCGTCGTCGTCGTCGTCTGCGGTGCTGGGCCATGTGTGCTCGTCGTTGTGGATGATTCACCTCCCGGAGGAACCCTTGTCGACGAGGCATCAGGGGTCTTATCCTGGGTGGAGGTGGGGTGGGCATGGGTCGGCGGCTTGTCCGACGCCGGTGACGACGCCGACGACGACTGTGACTGCTTCGGCAGCGCAACAATGTTGAGGTTATGCAGGAAGATCCAAAAGACCTCCTTGGTGACCGACACGACCTCCTTGCACCACACCCGATAGGGCCGCTCACGACGCATCTCGAGCACGAAGTCGAGAGGGCGCTCGTCCTCCTTAGCTTCGGGGTCGCGCAGATAGCGCAGCACCGTCTGCGCCCGCGACGTGCGCTCCTCTGGTGGGGCACACTCGATGTACGTGAGCAGCACGGACGTGATGATGCTGCGGGTGGTGAACTCGCTCGGCCCTTTCTTCTCCGGGTCGAAGATCATGTGCAGAAGCGCCGGGAACAGCGTGGCCTGGATGGAGTGAAGGTACTGCAGTGCCAGCGCCGTGGTGCATAGCGCCTTGAGACACAGCAGCGTCTCGTGTAGTAAGGCGTCTTCGTGCTCCTCCCTGTAGAGTGTGGAAAGGGACAAGTCAGTCCAAGCCTTTGGCGCTAGAGAGACAGAATCGAGGCAGTCATGGGGATAGGTACCGGGTAAGGGGGGAGGGGGGTGGGAAGGAGGGCATGTCATGTCTTCTTACCTCCACTCGACTGCCATGATCCGCTGCAACAGCTCAACAATCTCCTTCATGCCGCCTTGGCGAATGAACTCGTCGGTCCAGGCCACCGTCTCGTTACGGAGGAGCAGACGGAGCTTGTGCAGCTTCCCCACCTCGACGAGCTCGGGCTGCTGCACCTTGCGCAAGTATTGCACGAAATCACCGGGCCCCTGCTGGCCCTTGACTTTTGCCAATATCCCACTGCCAAATCCGCCGCCGCCGCCGCCGCTACTGCTGCTGCCGCCGTTCGGTGTCATCTCGCCCGACGGCGAGGCGCCATGCTCGCTCGCGATGCTCTCTGTCGACTTTGTTCGGAAATGCCGACCTAGGCTGCTGTCCGTCTTGAGCTTCTTAGTCGGCGAAGACGACGCGGACTTGTTCTTGCTGCTGCTGCCGCCACCGCCTCTGACTAGCGTTAGGCTCCTGCCTCGCGTGTGCTTTTTCTTCTTGCCGTTGCTGCCATTGCCGTCGTGATCGGATCCCCCTCCTGCGGCCGTGGATGTGGCTGCTACTGCTGCTGCTGCTGCACCACTACCACTCTCTGTCGCTGCTGACGTCTCGCTGCCGTTGGTTCCCGGGCGTTCCGGATTTTGGGCCTGTTGCTGTTGCTGCTGCTGCTGCTGCGTCTCGGCCCAATCCTGCCGCACAAACTCCATTTTGATTGTCTTGTTCAGGTTCCGCATCTTGTACCGCTGGTTCTCGGGGATGTTGCGTCGGTCCAGCATGGCCTCGAGGTGCTCGTCAATGTCCTTGGGGTCGAACAAGACTGGCTCCGCCGCCGCCGCCGCCGCTGCTGCTGCTGCTGCTGACGACGTGGCCGCCAGAGACGTCGTAGATGGTTTCGTTCCCCTGGTCCCCCCCCCTCCAAACCCAGAAAAGGCTTGCTTGAGGCCGCTGCGTGTCATGGCACCCTTGTCCCCGTCCGACTTTCCCCATGTCTGTCCCCTCCGGGCACTCGTGTCGTCCTGTGAATTCCTTGACTCTCCTGCCGCCACGCGCGACCTGCTGTTGGAGTCCTCGACTGGCCGTGTGGCGTAGGGCTGGAATGACTTGGGCTGCAGCTTCTGGAAGCTCTCCTCGCCACTACCTCTCGCGCCGGACCGCTCCGTGGAGCCGCCGCCACCCCCTGGCCTCCTGTTAGCTGTACTAAACGGGTCGTCTCCCGGCCTCGTCTGCTGTTGGCTCGCGAACTGGGCATAGATAGGTGGCGGAGCGGCGCTCATTATGGGGACGCTGACGTGGTCGCTCCCACCCAGCGAGTTGGGCGGCGTGCGGTTCTCCTTGTCCTTTGCGGCTCGGTCCGCGGCTCGGTCCGCGGCGGCGGCGGCGGCTGAGCTGCTGTCTTGGTCCAACAGCAGCTGCTTGAGATTCTTGATTGACTTGGGCCGCGACAAGAGCGCGGCCAGGTTTGTGGATGACTTGGCCTTCTTGGGCTTGGTCGGCGACGAAGAAGACGACGACTTGGAGGCCTTGGTGGGGGAGCTTGGTTCCTTGGCAGCGGGTGCGAATGCTTTGAGTGAGATGGTGGCGAAACCAGTTTTTGTCGGCGACGCTGCTGCTGCCTGCTGCTGCTGCTGGCGGTCCTGCTGACGCTGATCACGGTGGCGATGTCGCTCGGGCGACCTCTCTTGCTGATACAGTTGCTGTGCCTGTGGTTGCGGCTGCTGGCGGAGCTCGCTCAGAGCCTGCGGAGGAGGCGCATTGTGGTGGTACCCCATGGCGCCCCCGTTGAAGTCGATTCGGGGCGCGAGGCCCTGCCCTCCCGGCATGACGGTGACATGGGCACTGCTGAGCATGGGCGTAGACGCAGCCGCCAGCGACGATGCTGGCAGGCCGGCGCCGTCCGAGTTGTTCCGCCTGTGGCCGCCGCCCATGATTGATCGCAGGACTGACGACTTGGTGCGCTGGTGGTGCGGTGCTGCAGACGGCGCCGCGCCGCTATTCAGGCCCGCTGCCACTGAAGGCATGGTTGGCTGTTGTTTGTTGTGTTTTCGTTCGTTGCTAGGCTTGGAACGAAGGAAGCGATTACTAGAGACACAAGGATTCCAGAGCTGGCCGTACAAGAATGTCGTTGTAACAAGATATCCCAATAATGCCCGATGCCCAGATGCCAAACAATGTGCTCTAATGAGGCTGGTTATTATTAAACAATGCAAGATCTCCCCGGTGCTGATGCTGATGCCGATGCCGATGCTGATGCGTTGTTGCTGATATGCTCTTCAATTCATGCCATTGCCGGTCGTAAGCGTAAAAGCTGTCGTTTGTTTCGTGCTTGTAGTTCAGTTGTGTGGATGGCCGCTGTCTTTCCAAAGGCACAGGGATATGATTATGGCCAAGCACCCAAAAAGAAAACAAGAAGCCGGGTATGGAGAATTGACTGCTGAAGGAAACCCAAAGCGATTCCAATCGCACTCGGGTCTCGCCTCTCTCTGTTTCTGTATTTGAAATAGAAATGAGAACAGGAAAAGAGACGTTGGGTGTGTGTGTGCGTGTGTGTGTGTGTCCAGAGAATAGTTTCCCAGGTTTAGTTCAGCAAGGTTCGACTGAGAGTCCAGCAGCTGCGTAGCCAATTGGCGCGTTGTTTACCAAGGGGGGGTGGTGGGTGCGATTGGGGTCTGCCGTTGCCTGGGCAATTGTTAGCAGGTTGCTTCTGCTGCCCCGCGCCGCGCCCACAAAACCCTTCCCTCTGGTACTACCAGTGACGCGACCGGACTTGGCAAGGCCAGAGCCAACCTCAACTCCATAAAATGATAGTGGAGCAACCAACAGTCGTCGCTGACGAGTCAAGAACTTGACGCCTCGGGAGATATATGTGGAGGAATTCGTACCTTGGATTACCGCAACAAAAAGAGCAACAACATATGCGGCCTTTTGCAAGGGATGGAGAGGAAAAAATTGAAAATGGTCTTAATGCTGGCGGCAACTGCGACGAACGACAACAACGACAGCTAGCGTGCAAGCATTTCAAAATCAATTTCTACACGCATCCGCATTCTCTAGTCAAACTCAAGGTGGCTCACCCGAAACCTACATAGACACTTATCGTAACCCTGGCCATTTTTCACAGACTCACTGCCTCTTGACGCATACGGTAGATACGGATACCTAGGAATGTGTCTAAACGTCGCAATGCTGTCCAAGTCAGCAAGAATAGAAGAACCAACTATTCTGGTTTTGCGCAACGACAGATAGTAAGTATTGCCCAGTTGACAACTCCCCGTCTAGAAAATAATTGATATAAATATGCCCAGTCTAGTTAAATTTCGCTAGATAATGCACCTTTCAACTGCCCTGTTCGCTTAACATGCAATCGGTCCCGCATGACTTACTCTTGATATATAGTAGGTAGGTTATGTAGGTAGAGAGAGTTTTAGGTGGCAGGCGGGCGGGCACGTCAACAACTTTCACCAGCTCAAAAGCCCCCTAGCGCGATCGAAGCCGCCTCTGAGCTGGCTCTGGGGCTTGACGACCTTGCCCTGCAGGACGGTGAATTTGACGATGCCCTCGCAGTCCTCGGGCCGCACGCGCGCAAGCCAGATGCACTGCGCCGCGCCAACGTCGTCCATTTGTTCTTGTTGCTCCCCCTTTTCTCCTTGCCCTGACTTCTCTCGCGCGGCATTGTCGCCGTCGCCTTTCTTCGCGTCTCGCCCGAAAGCGTCGGGTCGCCGGTAGATCATCATGTTAGCGCTGTACTTGTGGCCGCCGACGTGACTGATGAAGTAGATGCCGACGCCGCCGGGGCGCTCGTCGTCGAGGTCGCGGTACAGGCCGAGTGGCTGCAGGTGGCGCTGGAGCTCCTTGCGGATCAAGGGCGCACTCTGGCCGCAGCGCGCGTCGCGAGTCTTCTGGCTGCACAGCAGGATGAGGGCGTGATGGGGGCAGGGCCGCGTCGTCAGCTCGCGGATAGCAGCCGGCGTACCCTCAGGCAGCGGCGCTGGCAGCGAGGCCGGAAGCTCCACGGGCGCCAGCGGCGACTTGTTGGTCGGCGCTTTGTCAATGACGTCGGTGATAAGCGCGGGGGCCGTCGCGGGGGTCACATTGTCGATGATGGTGAAGGCCGGTAGTAGCAGCACCCGCGTCGGTTCCGAGTATTCGGACGTGTGGTGCGGGGTGGGAATGTTCGACGCCGAGAGCATCAGGCGCTATAGGCGCCAAAGTTTGTCATGTCAGAGCTCGGCATCCAAAGCGCAAGCAGCAGACGAGGCACAGAAAACTAAGGTGCTTACCCCGTTGCTTGGCCCCTTGCAATTGGCAATGGCCTGCATGACGCTCCCCTTCTCGTCGGCCACATCGCGCACCCAGTCAGTCTTGCCTGTGGCCACCAGCACGTGGGTGCTCCAGCCCTTGACCAGGCCAAACAGCTCGTCGCTCTCGTCAATCTTGAAGCCCTTGGGATAGTGCACCGAGCAACTCTCGCAGTCGTGGTCGCAGTCGTCACCGTCGACGGCCTTGTCAACGGCCGGGAAGAGATCGTCGATGCCGGCTTTGGTGCCCGAGTCGCCAATAGCTAGCCTCTTGGCGCTGTTGATCAACGACTTTAGCCCAGCCATTTTTCTTTTCTTCGTCTTTCTGCGCGTTGGGTACAAACTGTGGTCGTTCTATTCGGTTCTCGCAACGGCTGCAACTTCTGCTGCTGCTACGTCTGCGGCGTTTTTATAAGGGGCAAAGCAGCAGCAGCAGCAGAGAGTAAAAGAGAAGGCGAAGAGACCAGACAAGCCAAAAGCTTAGGCAGTTACCGCCTTTTCTCCTGCAGGCCGTCGTTGGAATGGCGGGTCCCGGGCTGTTAATAGATAACTATGGAGCATCGATGCGCGTCCTGTGCGCGCGGATTTGCATCCACCGATAACAACGAAGAGAAAATGCCAAATGCGGAATCCTGGGGGAAGAAAGCTGTTTACTGCTGGCTCTGCCGTCGGTGGTTTCGGAGCTAACAGACGGGGCCCAGCGATGGAAGGCTCGGCCCCTCCGCCCTGACAGGGGACGGGTTGTCGTCAGCTCCCAGGGACCCGCCAGGACGGTACGGAGCCAGCCCTGGGGCTAAGCTGGGCCGCTGGCCGCCTGTGCGGGGAGAATTTGGGGAGGGAGCTGGGGGACGCAAGGTGAGGTGGAGGGGTTCAACAGACTTGGAATTTCAGCAAATTCCATTTATCCCGCCCCGCCTAACCTGTCAAGTGGCAACGACTCAACTCTAAACTTGAAGTCTCGCTTGAAGCAGAATCTGCCAGTGGCACTCTTCTTGGTTGGGACAGACACAGGCAGACACACCAGGAATGCGGTTTTCATCATCTTTCCTTTTGCCGCCACGTTGGAACGGCCCCCTGCTCGACTCGGACTTTGCCAAGACAATATTCGCACCGAGCAGCAAATTCCATTTTCGACTTTTGCGAACGGCATGTAGTGACGCGGCATGCCTCGGGGTTTACAACAGTGCTCCGCGCTCATCGCCGAGCTCCCCTAAGATGATGACATTCTACGCTATCATTGACTGCGCTGCACTAGTAGCCAGGTAGCTATGCAGTAGTTGTTGGCTTTACACTCATTAACGACAATGGCATAAATCGAAGGACGTCAGCAACAGCATTGGCCACAACCTCCCACGAGATCAAGTTGTGCTACCGCTTTGGGAAAGGGGCTACATGTCCACTTTGTCCATCAAACCATGCCAGTTGCCAGACACAGCTGCACAACCTCTCGAAGCATGTGTTTATGTTTGCCCATCTAACAATTGCCGGGGGGGAGATTTGGGGTGGGTCACTTTGGCTGTTCAGGGGGTCTGGGAGGAGTTGTCACGAGACTTGGCGGCGGATGGGTTTGAATCGCGCCTTCCGTAGTGAGCTGTGTTGGTTTAAAAAACGTACGACATGTCGTTGAGGAAGATTACACCTTCCTCGCCGTCCCAGAATTAGGGCATCTCGAAAATTGTAAAACCCCCTCCCCCCCTCCCCCCCTCCCCCCCCCTCGGTTCATAATTCCTGCAACAACTCTCAACACGTGGCCATTTGTTTCGAACATCATCATCGGCCATAAACAAAAGAATACACTACATTTACCTGGGAGTATATGATGCGTCCCTAGATTTTGTGTGCAAGATTTCTGTAGAGCAAAGTGCAGAAACAAGAATAACAGTCAACCGCCAACTTATAAAAAGAAGAATATCGTTCTTGCCTTGGCCATACACGGCTCCAGAAGAGAAAAGCAAAAGAAATACTTGTAGAGAATCGAGCCAGACATGATCAACCCTTCCACCCCCCACGATCTAGCAACCGTCATACTGGCGCACCGGCATGGCCCAAAACCTCGTTGTGTCGCCGAAGTGGGGGAAGGTCGAGTCGTTTGTCCGCGGCACAAACCCAATGTTCTGCACCGCGAGCTGGAGGCTCGGGGCGGTGAGGATGGGAATGTCAGTGCCGTCACTCTACGTAAGTTTAGTTAAAGGGCCCGGAATGTAACAAGCTTGGTTCCTCAGAAAAAGATGAAAAAAAAAGAAAAAAAAAGAAAAAAAAAGGAACGGCCTACTGTGCTAATCAGGACCTCGAGGTTCTGCTCCAGAAACGGAATCACTGTGGTTGGCGTCATGTCTGGCAGGCTCAGGTTGCCCCGGAGGAGCGCCTCGCGCAGCGGCAGGCTGGCTGAGGCTGTGCCCTCGCACGGCAACGCCAGGATGGACATGTGGCCGAGGACGAGGCCGCCGTGCACAACGAGATTCACCGTCGCCGGAAGCGGGATCTGGGCGCGGTCGAGCGAGATTTCGGCCGTGTAGTAGCACGCTGGCGGCGGCTTGGGCTGCGCCGGGGCTGATAGGTGCTTCGCCCCCTGAGTGTCGCTGCCGTACAAGCTGTTGACCTGGGCGCGGACGTGGTCTGCCAGCCCGTCCGGAGTGGTCGGCTCGTCCTCGTCCAGCTCGGGGTACGTATACCCAAACACGCGGATGTCTGCCACCGACTTGCTCGTGTGCAGGTTCAGGTTCTCGTCGAAGAACGGCTTCAGCGGGCTGTCCGCCGTGATGTGCGTCCCCGGAGGAGTTCCAAACTCGCCAGTGGACACCCCCGTCGTGTTGAACATGGCGTCTTTGTAGTGGATGGCCTGCCACATGGCAACAAGGCGGTCGATGTTGCAGTGGTGCAGCATGCTAGTGAACTCGCCGTTAGATATGAAGTAGTGTATCAGCCGTCAAGTGAGGAGCCTGGGGATTCTCTTACAAGAGCGGATCAAACGCTGACCAGTCGATGTGTCCCAGCGTTCCGTCACAGCTCGAGTAAAAATGTATCATGTTGTGCGGGCTTTCGAAGCTCGACCAGTTGCGATTGGCGTACGCCATGGCTTCAAAGGTCTTTGTGCGAGTGAAGACATCGTACTGTTTGTCGATGATTGAGATGATTCCAATGTCAGCTCCATCTCGGTGGCGGTGACGGCCAGAACTGGCCATCTTGGGTGGAAAAAGGAGGAGGGAAAGGTGTCACATACAACCATACCGACCAGGCCCCCAGCAACCGAGCCGAGCAACTGGTCTGATTCCGTGGCATTGTTTCCCCCTTGGCCAATACACCTGATCGTTTCGGGATACCTTGTCAGCGGCCCCCCAAAGCTTGCCTCGACGGCCGGCCGCTGGAACTGGTAGCTATACAGCGGGTTCCGCAGGGTAAGCTTGCCCCTCGGCCCATTCACGGTGGTGTTTGCGGTAGTGACCGCGTCTGGCAATCGAGGGTCTGATGCCCAGTCCCAGAAGGGTTGTCTGAGCGTCTGGGCGGCAGCCAGATATGTCGGGGCAACATTGGGGGGGTATTGGCCGGCAATTCCGAGAGCGTGAGAGACCAGTGTTTGCTGCGCCGAGTGAGCACAGACGGTTATCTCGGACTATGGAACATGGCTGGTGCTGGGGTAAAGGGGGCGGGCAAGTGGTTCCCTCGTACCTCAAACAAAACCACATAGGGTCGGTGCCATGTACTGAAGAGAAGTTCCTTTTTTGTGACGGTAAGCGCGCGTGCCACCGGTAAAGCTTCATGCACCCCCGTTTGGATGACGAAAGATGAGAGCAAAGAGTTTGCCTAGTTTCTGCTATTGAAGAGAGATAAGGCGAGGGAGGCACTTACTCCATGAGGACAGTACCCGATGAATGGGGCGCCTTGGACCTGGCCAACCCCGTTCCACGCACTGTAGGGAAGTCCATGGATACCTCCGAGAAGAAAAGGTTAGAATAAACGCATTAGCCAGTTTGGGGAAGAGGAAGCTCGGCGCGGAAAGGGTCGAGGCTAAGAGCTAATCTCGAGGTAAGTAACATTTACCTGCTATCTGAAAGTACGAGAGCTCGTCTGCTTCGTCGACAGCCTGGAGCGCTGATAACGCCAAGATGTAGAGGTCCCTAGGGGAAGCAGGCAAATCAGAAAGCCTCCTTTCCGCCCTCCTTGTTCAGAGTTGTGAGTCAGGGATTCTTTTTACCACTGCGGCCCTCCCCGTGCGTATAGTTTGTTGATGTTCTGCCTGGCCGGTCGCTTCCCTGTATTTACCTCAATGCCGGTTTTGACGCCGACTACCGGAATAGGGGTAGTGGCAGTCGTGTTAGTCGCTCGAGCCGCCGCCGCCAACAACGACGACGGGAGAGCCGTCGCCGCAACAAGATAGAAGACGACAACGTTCCTCCACATGCCCGCCATTGATTGGTATCCAGCCGCAAATGCAGCAGAAAGTCGGGCATGAAGAGGAGAAAGGAGGCGTGCGCGTGCGAGCTGCAGGCTACACCGCCGTCAACCGTGAAAATGGCTTGGCTGAAGGACGGGCTGCCTCTCCATTTTTATCAGAAGGGTGGCAAAACCGGAAAACCCACCCTTCCCTAGAAGAGCAAACCCTCCCTGCCTGCATTTTTCTCAGCCTCGGCATCACCCACGCGCACACACGGCCGGGTGAACCAAGTCGCTGCCGGAGGTGCTTGCTTGGTAACAGTATCACCAACTTTGTGGCCACTCGAGCACAAGATTGCAGAAGCAATGGGCAGTCTCGAGCACCGAGAGAGAAAAGTTAAAAGGGGAGCACAGAGAACATCATTCTTGGCCAGAAGCAAGTTTGTTGGTAACATTCAACGCGGCGGTGATCGTCGTATGCACGCTTCCCCCAAGGGAGGGTCGGCGCTTGTAATCTCATGGCCCCCGGGAGACTTGCATGTCCATGGGCCGGGAGACACCCTAGCCCGGACGGGAATTCGCATCTCGCTGCTGAGTGAGACAGGATGTAGCACCTTCGTCATCGCGCTGCTGTTGGCCGCCCCTTATTGACGATGAGGCCATGGCGGTAAGAAGCCAAAAGGGGGAGGGGAGGGGGGGCGGGGGGCGGATAAGCCTCGTTCTTCCGCTATTCCCGCATATGGCAAATTCAGCCCGGTTCTCGACTCTCGGTATCGCTGGCGATGACAGTTGTTGTTTCTTTTTTTCTGTGTCCTTCTTTCTCTGGAATTCGTGGGGGGCAATCTGTGTTGTCGTATCAGTCAATGGATGTTGGCGATATGCAAGGAGGTTTGACATTACTAACACTTTAAACAAAAAAAAGCAAGCAAAGGATGGAGCCCAACAAGGCGCCCAACGGTATCGAGCCCGACGGGCAAGCGTGGCTTGCGCCTCCTCATGCGTTCCTGTCTGGGCGGGCCATGGCACAAGCGCTACTTCCGCCATCTGTCGGTCCCGGGTTATCCGCGTAAGACGCCGGATATCACGCCTGGCCAGAGCCAAGTGCATTGGTCGTACGCGGACATCGTGTCGTTGCAGAGAGAGTGCGAGGGTAGTCCAGTTATTGTCCGACAGTGAGGCCTTTTTTCTCTCACCTCTTCCTCTCCCTCTCTCTCACCCCGCTTCTTGACTGTGTCCAAAAGAGATGCAGACTGCAGAAGCCACAGCCAAAAGAAACATTCCCCTCTTGTCCCTCACCAGTGAGAGTCGAGGAACCACCACCACAAGATAGACTTAGTCCCCCGCATTCCAAGTCTCTGGAGGTAGCTTCCGTCGAACGAATTCAGCCCTTCATGCCGAGCTAAAACGCCTCTTTCACAAATAGCTAGCTCCAACAAAGATGTTGTGCTTGAGCAAGCACTGGAGCCATCCGATACGTGGCAGAGCGCATGGCGTGAGCGAGCGGCTTGTCTCGCGGAAGGATAGCTCTGCAGGCGGATGCAGCAAGCAAGGCGCCCGGCTAGCTCGTGCTGCACGAGCGGGTGTCTTGCTTTTCGGTGACACTGGGTAACATTGAGAACTCACCATCCCGGTACCCAGAGATGTGCGGTAAGACTTGGCGTGGGTAGGCCATGTTTGTTTGCTGCTGTGTTCCCTACGGCGTGCCACTACTTCGGAAGAGGCCAGCACACCTTTCCTAGGAACAGCTCAAGGGGCTGATAGGCCTTCCGCGCCGCAGAATGGAGTTTGACTCTGTAACCTTGAGAGTTCATGAGTCGTTACGAAATTCGGTGTCAAACCAGGACGCTAGACTGGTCCGCTGAACGGTTCTTTGAGCCGTTCCGTTAATCGCGAAGGAATCCGGCATAGGCGTGGCCCTTATCCTTGAGGTGGTAGGCTATACAAAATAGTTGCTGTCGTTCAGAGGATGACTCTGATGGACGAGGTTGCGGGTAGGGTTGTAGGTTCTTGTTTCCCCCCGAAAATTCGGGTACGGGTTTGTCGTGGTGAATCAGCCCTGAACTGTGTGGGTTAATATAAAATGGATGTCAATAATCTCAACCAAGTGAAATGGCGGTGCGGCGAAACTAGTGAGGGCGGCGGCAATAGTGCTATTGTTTTGTTAATTTCGCCGGGCGACCTCCCAGTCTGAATACCTCGTCGAGGGACAGGAATACCTTGCTAGAATGTCAAACACAACAAGCATCAGGGCGCGTCATGGGTGGATAATTCTCAAAATGTTATGAGAAGCATGGCTCTGTTGAATTCCATACGAAATCTGAACAAGTATATGGCGGTGAGGGAAAGAGAAACAATAGCCAGGCAAATAACTTCCGGTAAGAAAGGAGTTGGGAGGGGAGGGGAGGGGAGGTGACGGAGCACTGCGTGAAACTGAGTTCCGTGAAAAGGCTGTACTTTTTCCCTGGTCATACACAGACCGCTGGTTGTACCGCAAAGACAGCATCGGCCTAAGAGGGGACCCATGTGATGATTCCTTGCTTTTATAAACGCCGAGACGAGCTTTCTATTTTTCTTTTCCCAACTTTGTCCCGTGCTACTGAAATGGAACACTCTGAAAAGAAAAGAAAGAAAAAAAAATGTCGAAATCGTGCCCTTCTCTTCCCAATTGAGGAGGTTCCTCTATGCCATCTTCCGTCCCGAAACATGGGCGTCACTGTGTATGCTGAATTTTCTCATCGGCAAAGCTCAAGAAAAAGAACATAAGCCATGCTTTGTCTGATGGGGGGTATAAATGAAAATAAAAGGAAACGACAAGGATAAAAGAACAAGAAGACTCGTTAATGCCGATGTTTGGGGTAGCTCATGGACATCATGAATCGTGAAGGGGCGAGGAGCGCGAATTCACAGCGACTTCTCCAATAGGACGAGGTCTCTGAAGCCCTCCTTCCACTTTTTGGCCTGTTCGGTAGTTGGCTTGGGCAGGGGACTTCTCGCGTAGCCCCCATATCCCATCCAGCTCTGCAGGCCAGCCTTGACGCCGACAACTCCGCCCTGAATGGCGGTCCAGTCACCTTCCGAGACGATCTCTTGTACTTCTTGGGCCTGGGTCTGTTTTCCCTGCTTGTAGAGCTCAATGGTTTGGATGCATGATTTGGGGGCAATGTTGGCCAGGCCGGCTAGAATTCCATGGCCGCCAGCCACAAGAGACTGGATGGAAAAGTCTGCGGAGCCCGCGAGAACCAGGAACTCGGGGTTGCTGGGGTCGAAATTCTTGGTGAGCTTGCGCGTGGCTGCAGCAACGCGGTTCAGCTTTCCCGTGTTGCCACACGTGAGCTTAACGCCCACAATGTTTGGGTGCCCGGAAAGCTGGATGATCATGTCTGACGACAGGTCCATGCCGCCCACGGCGCCGGGAAAGTTGTAAATGATTAGGGGAATGGGCGAGGCATCCGCTACGGCATTGAAGTAATCGACGATGGTCTGCGAGGCCGGGGCGAACAGCGGGGCGTAGTAGGATGGCGGGAGCACAAGGGCGTAGTCGCCACCCGCTTCCCATGCTTCACGGCAGTACTGGATAGCCTCGCGCGTGCTCTGGGCGCCGCAGCCAACAATGATTGGCATGTGGGAGTAGCCCGCGTCATTGAGGGCCTTCCGCGTGGTAGCCGTGACTAGCTGCCTCTCAGAGTGCGTGAGGTGAACGGCCTCTCCGTTGGAGCCCTGGGTGGCAAGCCCGGTCACACCGGCCCGAGCAAGCCGTACGGCATGGTGCGCGATGGTGGCCGTGTCCACGTCCTCAGTGTCTTCGTCGAAGAAGCACATGGTTGGCACGTAGACGCCGGGTACAAGCGGCCGAGCCATGTGGAAAGTCGATGCGTCTAGAGAGCTGCTGCTGTATGAGCTGCTCAGGGGCGAGTGTGTGTCAACAGGAGCAAGATGTCCAGTCATGAGGGACGAGGAAGCCGTAGAGCGGAATGATATCCTGTTGAAGCCGGCCGTGAAGCTGCTTGTGGGAGAAGGGGCGTCATTGTGGGGAGACATGGTGAAGTATGAGGCTGGTTGGAAGTGCACAATGGGTGGTGTCGTGTGGAAGTGCGCGTGTGAAGCGAAGATGGCAAAGAAGCGTGTGAGTTTGGCAGAAGACAAGAAAAGTCCATCCGGGCTTTTTGGGGGGGGATGGGGAGGATATATGTATAAGACGAGCTAGAGGAGATCTGGCAGATGAGCCGAGGAAGACGAGGCAGGGAGTGGTAGTTGATGACAAGTAATGGGTCGATGCCGGAAGCGTTGAGGTGATAGTAATGTATTTTCTTTTTTCCAACAATTTTTCTTTTTCCCCCCTTCTTTCCTTTTCGCCTGGGACGCCTTAGCCCTCCCTAGCTTGGTGGCGTTCCATGAGGACTCCAGGGCCCAGGCATGAGGTAGCCCGCTGTCGCCCAACTCCGAACCACGGACAGGACAGCGTCTGGAGCTCCGGGGGGCAGGGCAGGGCGAGCTGAGCGCTAGACATTCTGAGAAGCCAGGAATAACTGACGCGAGGGCCGTCGTTTCTGCATAGGGCGAAAGCCGCCCGCCCACCTCTTCCTTGGAGTGTAGTGTACTGTATACGTATACTTACAAGCGCACAGTGCGGGCTCGCGAGGAGCCATCCTTGCCACAAAGGTACCAAACCTGGGGGTTTGTCTGGAGCCTGGCGGGTCCGGGAAAAGAGGCTCGAGCACGGCGGAGCACACGATCCAGGATCTGTCAAGGAAAACGCGGCCTGCTGTGTGGGGGTTAGCCTGACAAGCATGACAGGCACCGCTGCATGGGTGGAAATGGCGATGGCACCTCGGCTGCTGGGGATGATTGCCTCCAACTCCACCTGGTTTTCAATGCGGAGAATGGCCACCTGGGCACGGGAACACCTGCAGATGTCCATGTCCTGTTCCGACCGGGACGGCCCCTATTCATGGGGACTGGGACACACAGCCGAACCTCGCGCGAGTGTTGACATCTCCAGCCGAGCAGACACGACATCATCCGGTTGTTCCCGAACAAGAAGCACGTTTTGGCACGCCGCGGGATCCGCTCCGCAAGTCAGGTAACTTCGCCGCTGTCGCGGGGCGGCGGCCTTGCTGGCTGATGAGGCTTCTTGGAAAAGCTTCGTATCATATTCCCTAGATCTGTACAGGCGTGCGTGTATGTACGTAACACAGTCCAGTTGGACGAACCTGCTTTGGGTCACCGTCGATTAAATCACTGTCGATTAAACCAACGGTGCATTACAGGCGGGCCCGAATCCTGCAATTGTCCTGTCATGTTTCACACTGTTGCAGTCACCAGGCGAGCCTGTTGACTTCAGAATGGAGATCTTTACCGCACGGAATTGCAGTTGGCGGGAATGTGCAGGACCGTTGAACACCACGTAGGTACATCCATGATAGAACTCATGATAATACTGTGTTGACGCAGCAGAACAGAGCTTACACGCACATAGCGCACAGTACCACGTCGGCATCAAGTATGTTTGGTACACGCGGTAGATGAAATTGAATGGCCCTCGTTTCTAGGCCGCCGCGAGAGGTGAATGTCTGACTGTTTTCTCTATAGTCAGAGTAGCCATGGAGAAGTTTGGGCAGCTTACAAGTCGGCGGCGAAGAAGTGATTGGCGGCTTCCAACTTCAAGGCCAACCCGGGTAGTGTAAACAGAGAGGCCAAAAGGAGCCCGATTATCATGAAAAGCGCTTTCGACGGGCCCGGAGAATACGTAAGAAGTCAGACCGGTTCCAAAGAAGGGTAACACCGCCCGGGATGATGTGTCTCTCCGCCCATAGGATACTGGGGAGGTACTGAAGGAGAAACGGCTCTCTCGCCAGCATCAGACAGGATGGAGGTAGTTGAGATGTTTCCAAATATCTATGGCGGGGCTCTCCAGCATGATCCATCAATCGACCTATAATTGGATGAGCGAGTCTTGTGTCGTGCCTGTGGAGGCTCAACCGCGGAACCGGCGCCCAATATTTTCCCGCTCAATTGGCTTTGGGCGACATTTTCTGGTGGGTGTTCTTATCCGGGACCGGTTAGGGACTCTTTCATTGGCCAGCAGACGACTGAGGGCCATATCCACTGGGTCGGGAACCTCAATTAGGGAAAAACGAGGACGGTAGGAACGAACTGTAAGCCAACGGTCGGCTGATGGATTCGGTTTGTCAACAGCTGGTCGTGATGGTCATCTGGACAGCTTAGCGCCAATCGAGACCTGAAGAGAGGGCCTTCCTTGCGTGTGCCATGGACGGGTTGAGGGATTGAGAGACTCAGGATCAGGCGATTGGTGCATGTTCTGTTTCATACCGGAGACGTTTGATTCAGGAAACCAATTTGCATACCGAGTGCTTCGTAGTGCCGGCGGGATTGGATTGGCTTTCGTCTGATGTTAGTGAGTCGTGCCGACTACGACAACGACGGCCCCTCGCCCAGAGACGGCAGGCAGACCATACCCCAGTTCGAAACTACGCGCATGGAAGCTGCATGGCCGGGGGTCCATCATGATGTGCCAAGTAGCGAAATCAGTCCTGAGGCGTCAGCGGCTGGAGTGTAGACTTGAACTACTCTGGTCAGCCTGACCATCTCCCGTCTTTGGTCCGTTTGTAAATTTGGCCCAAGGCGAAGAACACGAAGCCCGTTGTATACCCTGTGTATGTACTGTATGTACTACGTCAATGAGGCAGGCGCCTGGCCAGTCGGTCCAGAGGGAGGAAGCGCGATGGAGCCTGCCTCGAGTTGTCAGAGTCTCCATGGATGTCCGTGTTCGTCTGCAACAAGGACGTGCGCTGTGACTGGTCAATGAGGAGCCCCAGTGGCATAGTAGCGAGGCGCATGGAGGGGCAAGCAGGGGGGGCAGCCTTTTGGAGGGGCAGGTGACACTTTTGAACCGCTTTTGTCGGCCACTCAGCCTGCATCAGTCGCTGTTCTCGGCATGGAAATATCCTCGTCGTCGTCTAGCTCGCTGCCCGCCTGCCTGACGTTGCTTCCGCCTCGATGCTGTACATCCATTGTATTTTTGCGCTGCGAGGATGACTTGTGGGGACTTAGCGGCATCGTCTAGGACCTAGTCCTTTTCTCTTGTCCGCACGCTCCCGTCATTGTCATCTCATTCCATGCATGGAAGGCAGGCGCGTCGTTGGTTGTCAGGGAAGCAGCAGGCACATGAGACTTCGAGCGTCGACCTTCCAAATCCAGCGGTACCCAATGCTAATAATAACGGTGCTATATGGTGCATTTAAAAACATGCCCGGGAAAAGAACACAAGTGAGGAGCTAAGGGGGCATGAGAGCCTAGCGTTTCTCCGGAGAGTCTCTGCCAGAGACAATAGATCTTCAAGGCCAGAGACGTGGAAAAGGGGACCTTGAGAAGGCAATCGAGGAAAATCTGGCTGGGCAGTCCGGCCAACTGCGATTTGGTTGGGCGCCCCCACCTCCCGCATGCCTGCCAGCAAAAATCGGTCACGGCTCAGGTCAGTGCGCTCCGCTGCTCCCACTCCGAATCCCCAGGTCTCGCCCAAACGCCCGGGTCCAGCAACGTGGTTCTGGGATCTGGGAATTCAAGCGCGGCAATTCGGTGGGGGTCCCTCGACTAACTCCCCGTCGCCACCGCCTAGTTCACTATGTCCTATCACCCACTGCTCGCTCAGCAAGTCCAAAGACAAAAGGGGGAAATGAAAATAAACCCGAATCAGGAAAAGAGAAATATCACGAAAATGGATCAATCAAATGGTACCTGCGCAAAAATAATGTCTAGATGGGCTATTTTTCTAGCTCTCCATTTGAGACATCATCATCTCTTCGACCCATGTCGGTACCTCGGTCCCTTGTTCTGATTTGTACAGTTCATACGCCATTCTGCACTGTGCATTTGTCACAGTGGACGTTTGACGTGCGTTGTCCTGCGCTTTCCAATTCGTGTACGGAATAAGCACAAATCTAAGGCCAAGTTGCTGTGACTGCATATGAAGTTGCAAATGTAAAGTGCAAAGTGCCTTGCCCAGGCTGCAGTAGACGGTGCGGATTCGTAGATCGCCCCTGGGCAGTTCTTGAAGCTGACAGACAACTTGGAGGTCGAAGTTCAGGTTATTTGGCGTCATGGAAGTATCTGCCCGGTCGGGTACCACATGTACAGTACGGAGGGAGTACTAGGCAATGCTTTTATTACACTATTGGACGCTGTTTCCGCCCAGAACAACTCAAAGTGGAACTAACGAAGGTATCTGGTATCTTCAACAACCCCCACGTTGATTTAATTACGTATTTCAAGATTCCGCGAAAGGGCCCAATGACCCACATACGGATAGATCTACAGAGTCCTTCGTACTGTACTCCGTCCTACCCGTATGTAGAATACATACCAACACGACTGAACTGATACTAGATCGTCGCACAACACAGCGCCCATACCGGTTTCCTCCAACGGCAAACCTACGCGCAATCCTTCTTCAGCGAGTTCGTCTTCGTACGGATAGTGATTTTCCAGAACAACTGGGAGAGGGATGCAAGCCACAGCCGCCACAGCAGGTTCCGACAGCTTGGATCTCGTTGGCCTAGAACTACTAACAAGCCCGTACCGGATAACGGTTGCCGCGTTACGCTACGCGAAAAAAACGAGCCCTCGAGATGGACTCAAGGGCAGCCACGACAGCTGTCTTCTCTCTTCTCTTCTTTTCCTTTGCCCGAGCATGTCTAAACGACCTTAGCTCGATGCATCCGTCGGCCCATCTGCTCATTCCATCGACCCTAGAGGATTCAAAATCTCGAGCCCTCCAAAGTTGCAAGCCGTCGATTCCAGCCAATTGGCATCTCTTGGGTCGCGTCATCTTGCTCACAAAGAGACTGAACTGGCAATACTACCCGAGCCTTCCTCTTCCCGATAATGACTAGGCTCCACTTCGACAAGGTAGAGGCAACTTTTTATTTTCTCTTGTCCGCTGCCGCCGACCGCTTTGGGTCTCTTTCTTGGTTCATTTCTACTGCGATGGCCTTGCTGGCGCTTGCTGGCGGCTTACCATCTCGGCTGCCTCCTATTAATCCGTCTCCAATACGAGAGTAACTACGTAGTCTCTGTCCTACCCCTCTTGATCACGCATCATCCGACCTGCTCTCGACCGCACCGCTGCATGCAGCCATGGATCATGGTGCCATGCTAGGCATGTCAGCAGGGTTCCCCACAATCGTACCGTGCCTTGGATCAAACTTCATACTATGTTCGACTCTATGGCTCCCAGAGCAGAGAAGCAGGGCACGATGCTCGAAACACGAGGGGACGAGAACAATCCTGCGCGGACCAGAGTGCTCGAGCCCAGAGGAAAGCCATCATATTGATAGTCATCACTGTGGTAATCTGGGCCGGCCACGCCCAGTCGCTTTCCAAACCGCCTAGTGACTTGTGCTCAGTTATCTCAATCGTTGGCCTCAAAGCATAACGTCAATTCGGCATCAGCCCGACTAGTACGGAGCACCAGCCGCCACCAAGCTATACTTACCGAGGCCCTTGGCTGGGGCAAAGGGGGTGCAGCTCATCCCATAAACAGCATCGAGCACAGCTCCCGGCCGGCCGGCCCAATAGGAGAATATAAACATGTCATACATTGGCTTCGGTGTGTCAACCCCAGACACCCTGGTTATTCTGTCGCATCCTGACCAACCTCTCAGTAAACCAAGAACCCCTGCCCGGAGCCCTTCCCGCTGTGCTTAGCCGTCTGCATGACCCAAGGCCAGAACCCAGATCTACGGACCAGCCGCACAGCTGAGGGGTGACGGGGATTCAACAAGGACAGGCCGAGGCGAGCGCAAGCCCACTGGCAAGAACGGGGGCGCGGGGGGAACATGTCGATTTAAGCAACGGCGGCGAGGCCTTCGGCGCCGTCTTTACCTCCTCATTGGTTGTGTCAGCGCGGGGAATGCGCTCAGACTGCCCCCTTTCTCCTCCCTGTCAGAGCCAATGAGGCCCACGAGGTGGCCGAGGCTTGCCGGCGGAGTTCATCCGACGCGGCGGGATGGGAGCTATCCGTGCTCCCTAGCAACCAAAAGAGTTCCTCCACGTGGCTTGGAGGGGTGTTTCAGATGTGGCCGAGCGGTTATATGTCGGGTAGGTTGGGACGAACCAGATATTTGACCCAGCTAGTCCCGCTGTTCGTTGCCGAGGCTTTCGTCTTTGTCCACGGCGCGTATTGGCAGACCTGGGGTTGTCAACAGGTTCAGCATCCAATGGGCAAGGACAGCAGCCATGTCAAAAGTCCCCTCGAGACCGAACCTGCCCGGCTATAACCGTGGCTGGCTTGCTCCAACTCTCTTCCAATAACCATTGCCGAATGCAGGCCAGGATCTAATCCCCCAAAATAATGGCTGGCCACTATGCAAAGACTGATAATATAAAATCCCCCGCAGCTAAACACGCGTATCAAGACAAGAAAGATTGTCGCTGGAGATTAATCCTAGCTAATGTCACTATTTCGAGCTCTTTTTCACGATCAATATTCGCCTAGACCTCATCGTCGTGGTTCCCAAAAGTGAGCTTGGATGCGGTTTCGGGAGTTGTAGGCATCGCAAGGCAACCGGAAACGAGCGTCATGTGTCCATACTCAACCCAGTTGTCTGTCGAAGCTGCCCGCCCTTTCAGCTACGTAGTTAAACACCTCCTGGATATTCAATAACTCCCGGTGCTCGGAAGACCTACCCTTTCGAGATATCCCTTACTCCGGAGCCAGGATTTGCACCCTTGCCACACAAACAGCCAACCTCGATGAAGGAATAATGTGTTCTCCTACCGTCACCTTTCTGGCCGGGGGTCGCGTTTATTCATTCTCCAGATTTGTCATATGATGGCTATACCCGAAGATGATAGGTTTCGATACTGGTCGCACTGCGCAGTGCAAGCCGGTGCCTCGTCTCCATTTGAGCCCAGCCTCTGTCGGGCTTCAACTATATCAGGCCACCCTATTGGTACGGATATTGTCCCGGGCGAATGATTCATTGTTCTGCTCGCGCAAGGCGCGATGCCAATTTGATCTTCTGCCGCCGCACCCGATCCCATATCCCGGTAAGCAGGATCGAACCCCCAAGGCGAGAGTCGATCATCAGCTGCGAGCCCAAATACGTACCATGCAACGCTGACATGGCTAGTGTCTGGAATTTACAGAATTGATTGCGTCTCGGCCAGTCCATCACCGCGAACACCAAGCACCGGGATTGTGTCGAGGGCAAGGTTGAGAAGTAACTTGGCGTCAGGAGATCTTCTCCTTGGCCCTCTCTTTTGTATACTGTCCGAAATCCACTGCTTACAACAAGCAGCCGATTATTGTGCGCTACTCAGGGGTCTACTATAAGACAAGTTTATTGTTGCATGTTTCCCTTTTTTCCGTTCCTGGGGGATTTTTTCTCATCTTCACTGCTTTGTTTACTGCAGCACATAAAAGGGGAGGCCGACTTCCATTGCCCGTTTCGGTTAAGCGGGAAGTATTTAGCCATGCCACTTTTCCCTCGTTTGCTCAGCGAATTACATTGCGCCATCTATACGGACGTCTGACAAGTTCCTCTACCTACATGCCTTGGCCTTGGACCTTTTTTTTCGCCTTTCCTTTCCAAGTTGTCATGCACCACCATTGCGATTTTACACCGCCACTTTACGAGCTTGCCCAGGCTGCCAAAGAAATCAACAAGGTTCGCTGAGCGCGAGAGGGGACAGACCCAGCCTGCCTGACCTGACGCAGGCTTGCAAATACATGCTGCAGCATGTCACGAGCGACGCAAAAATTTCCCCAACAATGCGTCAAAGTCGGACACCTTGCATGCGGGCCTGATGAAAAGGCCAGGTGCCGTCCAGCCCGTACCTACATGACATGACACAAGAGCGGGAAGCCGGGAACTAGAAGAGAAAATGTTCGAGAAGGGAGGGAGGGAAGGGGGTGAGCGTAGGTCGTCCGAATATTTCCTTTGCGCGCTCCTTGCTTTTCCTTTGCAGCTCACGTTCAAGGGCAGAGAGAGGGTCGAGAGGGAGGGGGGCGGGGTCGGAGTCGGGAGGACCAAGGCAAGGGGACGAATTACGCAAGGAGAGGGTTTCCCGGTCCGGTTTGGACGGCATTTTCCCCACTTCGTCGTGGGTGCCGCCCCAAACGGCCGGTCACCGACAAGGCAGGGCAGGGCAAACTCTTGGCGCACCGGGCGCCTCCGGTGTCTTGCTCCAAAAGAAGGGAAATGATTGTGAGAGGACGGCCAGGCGCCAACGTCATGACACTGTGCTTTTTTTTCTTTACCTAGGATCGCAATCCCGGGTTTGTGGTTCGATTCTGCATTACTTTTTTCTTTTCTTTTTCCTTTTGCTTGATTCAGCTCAATTGTCATTTTCACCAAAGCCACCGGGTAAAAACTTTGAGAAACGACCCCCACCCCTCGCTGCAGAGTGCAGAGCTGGTGGGTGTGCCGATGGGTGTGTGGGTGTGTGTGTCAGTGCGAACTATCATATTACTCTTCTGAACCTCCGATGAGAGACTGACAGCCCGACTGACAAACAGACACGCAAACAGACCCGAGAATCCAGACATCGGGCTTTGGGCTGAGATGGTTGGTTCGGTTACATCCCGCCTTCCGTGGATCTTAGTTCTTCTTGCATGGCAGCGCCTGAGGCGTTTGTAGTTTGTGATTCCGCGGCGTAACCATCACACTACACAGAATAAGGATGTACACAACGCTGCTATGCATAGCCGGCCTTGACCATCACGTGCCTGTCCCCCTAGGGTAGTCTACATACGATAAGGAGTACGTATAAAAGGAGTACGTATATAAGGGGCACGTATAAAAACTCTGTGAGTGACTTGACAGTATCCTTGGAGGACAGAAAAGGGGGAATAACGTCCTCGTGTGAAGAGAAAGGGAGGGAAAATAGAGGAAGAAAAATAATAAAATAGACCAACTTCCTTCCCAAGCACAGGGGTAAATTGCTGATCAACTACCCTAAGCAAGGGGGGGGGATGATAAGCGGTCAAATTCCATCGGAAACAAGCCCAGATCCCAGTCTCAGCGGAAACGCAGCGGACCCCCACGGGGCGGATAGCGTCCTGTACAGACATTCCTTCCCTACGCTCTTGTGTACGTACAGTACGTCATAAAGGTACAGGGACAGCCACCAGCCAGACAAGGAAAACCCAGGGCAGGGGAGAAGGGGGACCAAAACAAGGCTGGGCTGGCCGGCCGGTTGTGGCGGTACAATGCTACCCCAAGAGACGGGTGTAGGTAGTTTAAAAGTTGAGGGAAAGTGAGGCGGCGGCGACGGATGACACACACACGCACGCGCACACAGACACCATGCCTTGTCTTACCACACTGCCGTAGCGTGATGCACGATAAACGTTCTCTTAACTTTGAATCCTATCTCTCTGTGTCTGTGCCACTCTGCCGGTTAGGGTCTCTGGGAAGGCAAGCCAAGGCGTAGTAGTAATTGTGGCTGCTTATTATTGCCATTATCATTCTTATTTTTTCTTTTAGCCGAAGAGCTTATTCCCCTGGCACATACGCAAGTACATACATACCAGCAGAAGTAAGATACAGATCAACCGCAGCGACCTTACCGTGCCTTACGTTACCGTTACCTTTCGCTTGTACACTCCCTCAGGATACACACGGATACTATCCCACAAACCACCATAGCCGTGACACACAGCCAACAGCACTGCCAGTAGCACCTTCTCGTTCTTATTACGACCGACCCCAGAAGAAGGTGCATGTATGTACGCTTCCGGTTCTGTGTGAAGGAATACAAGGCTCCTTCGAGCTGGACAGTACAGACTCCTTAGGTATGTACAATACAAGCAGCGGCGGATGTGAAACACGGATGGGCACGTCAGTCGTTAGGTACAAGTACATACATACCGTTCAACCGTGGGATGGTGTACCATACGTAATACATACACGACATACCTACACTGTGCGCAACCAAGTACTTGTGCATATGGGGCGTACGTACCTTTTTTTTTTCGTATCCCTCGCGAGGCACTCAAGGTGAGTGAGGTACTGGTAGTGTGCCAGAAGTGAGCACCGGAAGGCCGTGGCGTCTTACTCATCATCTGCGCACCCAAGCCGACATGGACCTAGGTACCGCCATGGTCAGAGATATCAGCACCAATAGGATAGACGACAGAGAATATTTAAAAGTAGCAGCGGAATTGCTTTTTGTTTGGACGGAAAACCAAAAAGACAAGAAAAAAATCGGGCTATCATTGACCGTTCTGGGAATTTACTGCCCGTCTGTCCGGAATATCTTGTGGCAAGTCGCTGGGTCTATGATCTAATTAATTCCGCTATCTTGGCATTGTGTTGTGCAGCAACCGTACCCATATCTAAAGAAGAAAGGGGCAAAGCTGATACGCTGATGGGAGGTTCTTCAACCTCCACAACACCACCATAGCATGGGGGTTTTCGGTCTCTTTTCCGTGCTTTCTACGGGATTTCCCCTCATCCCTGTGAATTTGACAGAAGTGTCATGGGCTGTACCAGGATTATCGCTTCTGTTACGTACTACTGGACACAATTTATGATGATGTTTCGATGCGAAGCGAAATAGAAGTCCAGGTTGCCTTGGATTGCCCTGACATACTCCTAGTATTCCGGATAGAAGCCGCTCTCGCTCCAGTCCGGGATAGCAAGAATCCTGCCATTCTCGACCATAATGTTGTCTGGGGCACTATTGCCGTTTGTAAAGCAGATATGGCTGCGTTGATCGCTCCTCGGAGAGATGTCCATAAAGGCCAATGCTCTGTCAATCGCCGGATTCCTCGCCGCCCCCCTCGTCTCAACGCATTTCCGGATGCCCATCCAGAAGCTGGGTTCGTCCGGATACTACGTGCGTAACTGACTATCCGTTGTGGGATCAAGGCCGTGGAACCATGCGTCTCGAACAGGGCCGGCAGCGTCATGTGCCGTCATATCAGTGTTGTTCAGGGACCCAACCCAAGAGTCACAGATTGTTCTCATGTGGGAGAGATAATTGCGTAACTCGGTCGTGATATTCTGGGCCTCGTAGAAGTTACACTCTTCGAGGAATTACCTGAGCGATTTCCATCCCCTCTTCTCCTCTACGCTGATGAAGTAGCAGTTTAGTTCCGGGACTGGGTGGTAGGACAATATCTGTGGTGTTGGCATTCCGTGGGGCTGCATGCAATAGATAGCGTTGGCTTCGTGAGAGCGGGTGCGCTTGGCGTAAACGTCTGGGTTCATATGATAGCTGTCTGAAGTGGTAAAAGAACATGCTTTCATTTTCCTAAAGCTTGCCAAGGAACGGGTGTCCGACGTGTACTGAGGGTCTGTGTGATTGCCCGTGAGTTCTGCTACCCTTTCTGCAATGGCCCTCAGGACACATCCCAAGTGGTAGTCTTCCATAAGGGACCCCGCCGCAGGCAAAAGGGGTGGTGGATAGCCCGTATATGAACCCATAGATGGAGCAGGTAATTAATCAGTAGTAATAAGATGTTTTGGGCCGGAAGAAATATTTCGTCGGTCATCGTTTTAAAGAAACCGGTGGTAGCATAGACCTATATGTATATCTTAGGATGGCCGGTCTATTCTCCGTTGGCGACAAAACTCTGCTGTGCTCAAAGGTGCCCTGGCACGATTAGCAGCTGGAGAATGGAAGCCGCTTCCTGATAGAAACAATGCGGGGATTGGCAAGATCTTTCACGAAGGCCGGCCCGCCGAGGAAGAGTTCGTGGGGAAAGTGCCCCCCCCCAGTTGTGCCTGGCACCGCAGCGGCAGCTTGACGGGAACATTGGATGGCCAGGTCGGTCCTGACGTGTGGGTCTGGATTGCCTCGCAGTTGCCCAAACAAGCGTCTGCCGCCCCTCTGATTCGTTGGTCAGGTTTTTATTAGAACTAAGGTAGACATTTAGGTTGCTTGTACGACCTCATCCGTCTTCGGCTTCCAATTTTCCGGGGAAGGAACGGCCCGGGGCTGCCATTAGCGAGGTTGGTACTACCTACCTTACCTCCTTAACCTAGGTTGGGTTAACTGCCAGTGCCAATCGAAGACTTTATCAGTTCTCGTTGTGTAGCGAGTACAACAGCATGCCGACTCACTGCCAACTTGGAAGTTCTATGGATGGCAAGAGCATCGATGGCTATAGCCCATCCCACACGTCCACCACGACGAGGTGGGCCATTTCTGGGGGAGGAACCAGTGGTCGCCGCCCGGGTCCAAGATCGACGTACCTTACACTCGCTGGAAATACAGCATAGAGAGGAGGCGCAACTAGCCGAGCAAGGGCGGAAAATCCATAGTCAAGACGCTTCTCGTATGTTGTGCTCCCCAACAACGCCTTTTTTCTTCGTTTCTTTTCTGGTTGCCTTTCTCTTGCTTGTATCATCTCGCCCCACAGGAGCATAGCTACCGCCTCCCATACTCTGTTATCTGAGGTATCTATATCCTCCTCTCGCTCGTTGTCAATCATTATCAGTGTGTCATTCCCATACTTTACTGCCGCCGTGACGGCCTTGTTCCCGAAAGAATAAGAGCAAGTTGGAAGCAGTTTTTTGTGCCTTGGAGCACCTACCGACTGTACCAAGTCTTCCTTGGCACGTATCTAAGTCCCGAACAATTGCGAGAAGTCGAAACAGCAGAAGCACCGGCAACAACCATGGCTCGCCGTCTCTCCAAATTCAGCTTCAGCAGCGTCGGGTCCTCGAAAGCGGTGAATTCACAAGACAATGACTCGACCCATGACGAACTGGTGCCATCACCGGGGCAGCAGGAGCCTGACCAAGACACGAACCAACAGCCGGGCCAGCAACCCGGCCAGCAACCGGCCGAGCCTCCAGTCTGGCGGATAGACTGGCAGCCACCTTCCATCGTGCCAGCCAGCCAACCAGCCCAGCACTCTGCCCAGCAACCTGCCATTGTGCCAGCCCAGCAGCCAGCCCAGCAGCCAGCCATTACGCCAGTCCAGCAGCCAGCCTGGCAGCCACCTTCCATTATGCCAGCCAGCCAACCAGCCCAGCACTCTGCCCAGCAACCTGCCCAGCAACCTGCCATTGTGCCAGCCCAGCAGCCAGCCCAGCAGCCAGCCATTACGCCAGTCCAGCAGCCAGCCTGGCAGCCACCTTCCATTATGCCAGCCAGCCAACCAGCCCAGCACTCTGCCCAGCAACCTGCCATTGTGCCAGCCCAGCAGCCAGCCCAACAGTCAACCCAGAAGTCAGCCCAGCAACTTGCCCAGCAACTTGCCATGTTGCCTGACCCGGCAAATGACGAGTACTTGCTAACGGTCCATGCAATTAATCCCGTCGTGGAGAAAGAAGTGAGGAGGAAGTTCGACCGCTTTATCATGCCCATTGTATTTCTGTCTTACATGTTCGCAATCCTCGACCGCTCCAACATTGGCAATGCCCAGACGGGCGGCATGGGTGCCGATTTAGGATTTGACGACAGCCAGTTTGAGGTGTGTTATTCTCGTCTGTTCCGTTATTTGGCGGCACTGCAAGGCTGTTCAGACTCTTCGTATCTAACTCGGGTACTTGCAGTGGCTTTTGACAATCTACTATATCCCTTACAGTACGGCTGCCTCGCCCCATCTGCCACGGCAAAAGAAAACAAATCAGGCTTGATTTGAGATTTGACTTTTCTACATAGTTGCCTTTTCGGGATTTCATATTCTGTGGCAGGGACCCCAGATGCGTGAGCATTTTCTCTCCTTTAGCCACCCCCCTTTCCCGTTCTCACGACATCCCTTGCAAGCTTTAGCCAGTTTCACGGCTAACTATCATACTACTTGACACCTGCCATAGGTTTCTGGGCAGCTGCTATGATCTTCGCCTGGTATGCACGATCCACGAAAGCACGTGTATATACCACACGTGGTAAGATCGTACGCTTACAGGCACAATAGGGGTTCAATATCGGCTCTCCAGAGTGTCGTGAAGAACTGGGGAGGCATGATGATCTGCCGGTGTCTCCTCGGCGTTGCCGAAGCTTGCTTTGCCCCCGGGATCCCAGTCATTCTGAGTTACTTCTACCGGCGAGAGGAAATCGGCCTCCGGGTCGGCATCTACTTGTCGGCCGCACCCCTGGCAACATCATTCGGAGGGCTCCTCGCTTACGCCATTGTCAGTTACTTGCACAGCCCGTACCTTGCTGGGTGGAGGCTACTCTTCATCGCCGAAGGAATTCCGCCCGTCCTTCTAGCCATTGCTCTCGCTATCTTCCTACCTAAGTCGCCGGAGGAAGCCTTCTTTTTGAAAGCGTACCAAAAGAAAATCGCCGAACAGCGCACAATTATGCAGTGCGGCAAGACCGGCCAACACAGGATGGGGTGGAATAATATTAAACCAAAACAAATATGGAAAACGATGGTAGACCCACAGACAATTGTCCACGGACTCATGGGATTTTGCTGCAACGTGTCGTTTGCATCCCTGCCCGTCTTCTTGCCGACCATCCTGACGACCATGGGCTTCTCAAAAGTCGCCTCGCAGGGGCTGACGGCGCCTCCGTACTTATTTGCTTTTGTCGTCTGCATTCTCAGCACGTGGTTTGCGGACAAGTTCAAGCAACGCGGTTATATAATCGCGGCACTCTCGCTGGTTGGTAGCTTGGGCTACATTCTCCTGGCTACGCTGCCATTGGACAACACGCTTGGCCGCTATGCGTCTATCTTTTTGGCCGCTGCGGGCGTGTTCTCGGCTATCGCAAACATCCTCCCATGGTCCCTCAACAACCAGCCCACCGACACGGCACGTGGTGCCGGCATGTCCATCTTTGGGTACCTTAGCCAGGCCGGGCCCTTACTCGGAACGAGGATGTTCCCGGTCTATGATGGTCCACATTACACCAAGGGCTTGGTGATCTGCGCGGCGTTCATGTTTCTCAACTTTGTCTTGTCACTCTTGCTCCGCTGGTACTATGTACACATGAACAACCGGCATATATCCCTCCTCGGGGCGATGGCACTTGCAGACGGCTCAAGGATGGCCGTCGGTGCCAAACCGGTAGAGATTGTCGACCCCCAAAGGCGACTACGGAGCGCTGGTCTCAGCGAGATGGCCGATACCATAAATTATCGGCTCATACTTTGATATAGAATGGACCAGGGAATGCCAGGAAGAGTCTGATGAGGACAGTTGGTGCGGGGTTAAAAAGCGTGCAAAAAGAGCGGTGTGGTATCGCTTAACTCGATATGTCTGGGAGTTTTGTCTTCTTTTGTTTTGTTTTGCTGTTTGGTGTGGGATTTGGGTTAACGAAAAGCGATGACATGTGTGGTAGAGAGAGAGACGAGGAGCATCGAGCGAATATATTGACAGACATCCGTGCCCAAGATATTTAACCCTTCGTCTTTCTATTGGTAGGGGTGTATTAAGTAATGTCGTCTTCCTGGTTATTACATTGGTCAAACACATCCGGCACCTTGGCCAATGTCAGTCGCATTCCTTTTTTGTTGCATTCGGATTCAAGGAAGATATACAAGATTGCAAAAACGATTATTCCGTTGGAACTTGGTGTCTCTCTCACTCCATGTAAATGACCTTGTAAACCCCAAAAGGGGGTTAAGGGTTCTAAGTTTTTAATGGAAGTCCAAGCCTATTTCGGTGCTTTGCTTGATTCCGAAAAGAGGCATTGGAAGATGCCGTATATATCCGAGGCTCCATATAATTAATTGTGATGTGAAGTACTAGGGATTTTTACCTTTCACAACCAATGTACCTGCTGAACATAGCCTCGGCTGACAGATAACAGAGTTACAATGTGGTCCAGCGGTGGTTCCAGTGCCTCAATCGTCAACGCCGTCTCCGCCGCCACCAAGAATCTTCCGTAGCCGAGCTTTGGTGGCGAGCTTGAAGAGTCGGTTCGAAACTTGGACAGCGAGATTCTGTTCTCGGTTTGGTGTTCGAGCAGCTCATTGAGTCTCGGGACGAGTTAAGTTAATGAATGTGACTGCAACACGACCGCGTAGTTGAAGTCAATTAGGGAGGTGCCCTATGTGTGCAGTCTTCATTCGATAACTTTAGACATGATTCTCAGTATTTCTAGGTACCTACTGTACCTAAGACGGGAGGTTTCAATACCGTGATCTCGCTCGTTATAAACGTGATCGAGCCTCCTTGCTTCAACGGGCCACAGAAGCGGTGAGCGAGTCTCATGACCCCCAGCAGGCCGACAGAGACGCCGTTGGAGACGACTCAGGAGGCCATCTTCGCGGCAGTGTGAGGGAGTACAAAATAAGTGAGACAGACGGAGCGCCGCGGGAGGTTCCGAGCCCCCTCGCGTCGTGGCCGTGACAACAGACTCACATTAAGAAACCCCTTCACTTCTGGTCCCAGTTGAGACCGCCAACGAGGGCAAATGGACTGTTTAACAAGGGTTTGTTTGTTGTTGTTGCAGTACACCTACCTTGCTCATGATTTTTAGGAAGCATATAATTGTTTTTTTTTGTTGGCAGTACCACCCGAGTAAACACAGCACCGTCGAACATGCTACAGACTGAAACTCTGACTTCTAGAGAGAGAGGCACGGGCCGTAGAAGTTAGGGAGGAGACGGGAAGACGGGAGTTAAACACGGTAAACAGTACTGTCGCCAAAAGACCTCACGTTGTCTAGGCAAGTAAGGCGTAGCAACACTGGCTCCCCAAATTCGCATGCCAGGACTTATCATTAAGCCCCTATTGTTCTTCCAAATTGAGGGCTAGAGAGCTGTGTCACTCGCCTGCTGCATCCCCCGTGAGAAAAGCAAAGCAGCGCCCCGTAGGATCTCCGGGGTATTTACCAACAAAGCCGGAGGAGTGGCAGAGCCGAGTTAGGAAATTGTTGGTAGGATTTTGGGAAAGAGGCAGGCGGCTTGGCATCCTGGTAACTTGCATAGTAATAACAAGGTAAACACCCAAGGCACGTATAGAGCGGGATCTTGTTCATTTAGGCAAGGCACACCGAGGGAGACAGAAAATCGGGTGGATTGGTCGTAGTTGTCTCCCGCCCCCATCATGAACTTCCAAGACGGCTTCCCAAGGCATGCTGGATATTCCAGAGCAATCTAAAAGTTATAGGTGGGGAAAACCCTGGTTGGCGCGACCTTGTCGATGAGTTCAACATCAAGATATGAGACACTGGGCAAGACCTAGGTACGCGAAAATATTTGCAGTGTAACGAATCTCAAAAGGCGTCTGTCTGACGGGCACCGTGCAGCTGACGCCACCGAGTACCTACTCGACTGACGGCTTTGCCTCGTGGCAAATAATTATAGACGCTACTGTAGAACTTAAACCCAACAGACAGTATCCGCAACTGGCTGCGTGGCTCGAGGTGTCATGTGTACAGCGGCCCGAAGCCAGGTCAACCGGGTGGTGGGCCGACCGGTTGCTTCCTGTCTATTGCACGCCAATCCCTGCACGGAAGCCGGCGAAGTCGGAAACGTGACAAAGGGAGCCGAAAGGCTCCATCTCGTGTCAAAGGCAAACGAAGGCGGATATGCCGACAGCGCGAGTCTAGACAGGTGGCTGGGAGGCATCATCCTTTCGTATACTGAAAGCAAAAGCACGAGCTGGTTTTGCTAATGTCTTTTGGTGATGTGGAGGAGTTTATTTCCCCCACTGTCGTGCTCAGCCACGGTGCATGATTTGGCGGGTTTGCCAATACGAAAAACCGTTGGCTCCCGGATCTCGCCTCTCTGCTCCCGGCAATGCGAATGACTTCTGCTTTGGTAAGTAATGTGAATAATAGGCCAGGAGCTATTGGATTGGGCTATGGTAGACGCCGAATACCCGAGAGGCGGGAAAAGACTGCGTGCGGATGGATACCTACTTTAGGTGCTTAAAATATCTCTACACTCTTCCAGGGTAATGCATGTTGGCGTGGGAAGGTGGCAAAGTTAGTCATTAGCGAGATTTCCCTGGAAGATACTAATAGTAGGTAACGTACCAAGCTAACATGTATTCCCCGGTGGAGGTGTAGTGTCCGTACCTACTCGGTCTACACAGAAATTTTAAGGTTTGCATCGTGCACTGTCAGCACGCACTTGGGAAATGGAACGTTGCGAATAGGTGATGGTGTCATGCCGCCGCAAACAAACGTGGTGGCTAACTAGTCATGAGCCTCTCGGCCGGGTCACTGACGAACGCCCGACAGCGCCGAGTTGGCACACGTCAGCGCCTAATATTTTTTCCATCTCTCTACTGTTCGGATCGATGTGTTACAGAATGGCCAAAGATGCCAAATGATGCCATGGCTTGGAAACCCTCCGGCTCTGTTTTTGCCTCGAGGTCTTTCCGGCTTCCTCCCTTCCATGTTCTTTCTCGCGCACCCGGCAAATCCATACAAATTTAGTAGATCTGATGCTGGCCCTCAAGTCGAAGCGAAGACGGCTTTGGTGGCGCCTGCTGGTTTCCCCCTGTTTCAGCAACAGGCAAACGGGCCGGCCACGGCTTGCTCCTGTTTCGCATAACGGAGATCGCCCAGTTTGCTCGGTGAGGGGCCGGCTGAGGGCGGCCTTCGGGTTGGTTGCCCTGGGACTCCCTGGGTTGCCATGCCCTCGCCCTACCTTGGCTATACGCACCTGCCCTGCCGTCCTCAGCTGCCCCGCAACCAGCGAGCTGGACCGTTTTCTTGACATGAGAAGGCGGATGATTGGTCGATCATTTTCTCCCGGTTCCTGGACAAAGACAAGCAGAGCACACCCGGAATCGGAATCAGTAGATCGGCATCTGGTGCAGCCTCAACCTGGCGGAACCCAGAACCGCAAGTTTTCCCCAAAACTTGAACACATGCCGATCCTGTCGAAGGCATTTAGAATTAGCGAGGGACGCAACATTAGCACATGCCCTTTGCCATTACAGCTGCGCCGTTGACAATCTACCAGCTGTTTGCCTCGGATCCTCGGACGGATTTGAATTTCGCTTTTGCAAAAACGGGGCGTCTGTGTCGATGACTAATAATATGGCGCTCAAAAAAGGCAACGGGAGCCTCATCAAGTAGCATCTCATCTTGTAGGCGGTCTGCAAAGCTGCGGCAGTCAGACTCACCAGGCACAACATCATAACATGCCACTAACTACATCATCCAAAACGTACTCGGATCCGGAAGTTTCAACGCTGTGTAGGGCATGCTAGCAACTGCCAGCGACTGCCAGGCCCTCCAGTTGCCGTAGTGTGGGTTGCACAGTAATCGTCCTACGTGCGTTACCCTGCTGCTAGGGTGCATACATGTACGCAGTTCTCCGTACTTGAACCGGATCTAGCCCGGGGAAGCTGCAAACGGTTTAGGTTTGTTGTTGGACACATGCGGAATGTCTCAAACCCAGGTGCACAATCCTGGGGGCACAGAAGATCATCTCGAAAATGGTTCATATCCCAACGGCACGCAGTCGGTCGGCCGCCAGCTGTCTAAGAAAACCAAGGCCGTTTTCTTTCAACTGCATTCTCGCGTATTTTAAACTCGATGGTAAAATGGCTGGTGGCCTCCTGATTCTTTTTGGTTCGTGTCGGTCACGCCAGAAATTAGGTGGGTTGGGGGCTATGCACTAACTCTGACGGTAGGCCAAGGGACCACACAGGCTGCTAGCCCAAGGGGAAACCTCCTTTCCCCCCTTGGGATGCATTCGTGGTGGGGATTGAAAAGGGTCAGCAGCGCCACACTGACGGAGCATTCCTCAAATGAGACCCTTGAAGCGGCCAAGCCATGCAGCCGATTGGCCGGCGGACGCTCTCGTGTTGTGCAGGAGGGTCCCTTGGCGGCATCGCCTGGTGACATTGGCGGGCAGGGCTGCTCTGGTCGCCGGCGCGTCGAAAAAATGACAGCGACCTCTCCGGGGCGGGCTGTGCCTCCCCCATGCCCCAGGCTCGTTTCCACCTTCCCTAGATCTTTAATAACTCCTGGCGTCTCCTCGCATCTTCGTCTAGAACCTTTTTATCCCTATTTGTGAAGCAACATTCAGTCTCTCGTTAAAGACATCGTTCGTTTTCATTCTTAGACCTGCTTGCTCGCTATCACACACTCGCTCCGTTAGCAGTTTGTATTTGTCGTTTCGTCGTTGTTGCTGTTGGTCTTACCCACTCGCGCCTTCTCGATTTCTCGACAGACAGACCAGTAGTCAGACCAACCCCTTCTGTTTATTACTGCAGCAACCGCCCACCAGCTCTACGCTACTCATTGCCGACTGCCTCTTCGAGAAGCTCCCCCCACACTTGCTCACCGCCAAAACAAACATAGAACCCCAACTCTGTCGACTTCGGCTTTTGCATTGCTCTTGATATTACGCTATCGTACAGCTCGAACCGTCTAGCTCAGGCAAGATGCTGCACAAGTTCTTCGCTACGGCCGCTCTGGCTGCAACGCTCGTTTCGGGCCAGACGTTTACTGCGTGTAATCCAACAAAAGAGAGTAAGTCTTGAACTTTTTATAGCTGTGTGGTTGCTGCTACTGCTGTGGTTGCCGTTTTGGTGTGTCGTTGGTGCTTGGGGGTGGCCAGGAATGAGGTAAGCTAACTTGGCTCAACATTAGCTTGCCCAAATCCCAAGGCTGTTGGCGGTAAGGTCATCGATATCGATTTCCGGAAGGGCGAGAACGCGTTCTTGGAGAACCTTGCAGGGACCAAGGTCACCTACGACAAGGACAATGGCGCCATCTTCACCATCAACAAAGACAGTGATGCCCCGACCATGTCGAGCGGCGACAAGTACATCTTCTTTGGCAGGATCGATGTCAAGGTCAGGGCCGCACCGGGGGCAGGAATTGTTACTAGCTTCGTCCTTCAGTCGGACGACCTGGACGAGATCGACTGGGAGTGGGTTGGAAGCGACACGGCTCAGGCCCAGACCAACTACTTCAGCAAAGGCTGCACCACAGTCTACGACCGTGGCGGCTTCTCGCCGATCGCCAACCCGCAGTCCAACTTCAACACGTACTCGATCGACTGGACCCCCACGAGGCTCAACTGGGAAATCAATGGCGTGGTGGTGCGGACACTGAACGCAGCTAATGCTAACGGCTGCTCGGGCTACCCCCAGACGCCCATGCAGATCAAGCTGGGAACCTGGGTTGGAGGTCTCAAGACAGCCGCCCCGGGCACTATTGAATGGGCTGGCGGCCTGGCCAACTTTGCGAACGCCCCCTTCGTCGGCGCCTACGAGACCATCCGCATCCAGGACTACATGGGTGGCGACGGCGTCACGGGCCCCAAGGACGCCAGCGAGTACCAGTACACGGACAAGAGTGGCACTTGGCAGAGCATCAAGGTCGTTGGCGGTAGCGGCAGCACGGGCGGCAGCAGCAGCAGCAGCAGCAGCAGCAGCAGCAGCTCCTCGTCTGGCAGCACCACCAAGTCGTCTACCACGGCTCCCGCCACCACTTCGACCAAAGGCACCACCTCGAGCTCCTCGACCCACTCTACGCTAACGACTGTCACTTCGTCGTCGCCGGTCTCCTCTTCGGTTTCAACCAGCTCCACTGACACCACCGTCTCCAACTCCAACACGCTCTCAGGGGCACAGACAACAGGAGCAGCGAAGAACGGCGCTTCCGCGCCACCGAGTGCGGCGGGCAAGGTTGCTCTGACGCTCGGAAACGCCGCTGTGATGGGTGCGGCCATCCTCGTTGGTGTTTTGGCGCTTTAAAAAGGCCAAACATAATTCCGAGCCCCAACTGTTGATTCTCTTTCCCTCTTTTCGGACAACAACACCGAGTTATTTTGCGCTTTCCCCACAATCATTTACTAGACCAGCCAACCGGACATGGAAGCGTTTTACGTTTTTTCGCATGGTCTCGATGATGAACATGACGGGCTTGTTGCTAGCCACGCCCCGCCATGCTCAAGCTTGGGCTAGGTCGTTGAAAAAGAGAAGTCACTTATGACATACGAAGTTTAATACTAGTTGGATCTCGATGGGAGGGAGAGAGACGAAACGGGACGGGGCTAGCCGTGTGTGCTAATTGCATTTGCATGTTTTGCGGTCGGAAGGGACATTCATATATATATATACATTACCTCTAACATATGATACGGGCATCGGTATCATTGATGGACATTGCACAAATGTCGGAGAGACAGCTTTTTCTTTTAGTCGGGCTTTTCTTATGTTTGGGCGGTGGGGACTCTCGTCTAGAGAGATGATACTTCAATTGTTTCTTGCTAGCGAATTAGCAAATTTTTTTTGAGAATGGAAGCGAAGCATGGTTCTCAAAAAGTCTGTTACCTATGCTCTACATGTCTTGGTCTCTGTACTTGTGCCGATGTTCTCTGAAACCGCCCAACTTCTCGTCTGACTTGACGAAGATACCGGTAGCTAGTGCGGGTGCAAGACAGCTTGGAAATCAGACTTGCAGTTCGTGAGAAGATAAGATACCTAGATACATTTGGTATATATATAAGGTAGCCAGATCTCGCTCCGGCGGCGAGTCACCAGCCGAGATATGTACCTAGTCTTGGCATGTGCATGCGGCCTCGGCGAGATCGCTGTAAGATGTGCGGATGTCGTCGGTCTAGTGAGGGGCAACGGACCGGAGAGTGCCCAAACTCTCTCCTCAGACTTCCTCGCCGAAGTTCTTTCTAGGCATCTAATCATGTGTTATTGCCATCAGCCTGCTGGCAGTTATTTCTTATGATTTTACCTCTTCATTCTTCTTTTCCAACAACTTGGGAGTTTCTTTTCTTATTTTCCCTGGGTCTGCTTCTTCCTAGCTGTATACCAAAACCAAAACCAGAACCAGAACCAGAACCAGAACCAAAACTAAAACCAAAACCAAAACCACGGCCATGCCTAAGTACAACGACATTAGCGCTTTCCACGAGAAGCTCACTCGTAGCAAGCGCATCCTCGCCGTCTGCGGCGCCGGCCTCTCCGCGGCGTCGGGCCTGCCCACCTTCCGCGGCGCCGGCGGCCTATGGCGGAACCATCGCGCCACGGACCTCGCGACGCCGACGGCGTTCGTCAAAGACCCCGGCCTGGTCTGGTTGTTCTATGCCTATGTGCGTGTTTTGATTCTGTGTTGTCGTTTTTTCGTGCATTTTGTTGGGCTAAGGGCTTGGGTTCGAGTGAGTGTGGGTATTGTCATGAGAGTAACGGGCTGGCTGACCCCTGGCGCATTGCCGGCGAGCGATCGTAGAGACGCCATATGGCCCTGAATGCGACGCCGAATGCAGGGCACTTTGCGCTGGCTGCGCTCGCAAGGAAGAACGGCAAATTTCTGTGCCTGTCGCAGAATGTGGACAGTGAGTTTATCCTTTCTGTTCTTGATTGTGTCATCTTGGTATGCGCCAGTCGACCGCTCGCAAGGAAGCATCTTCTATCGTATTCGGAACCCTGCCCTGGGCTTGATCATCAGCTCGGGCCATGTTTTGTGATTTGTATTATTTACACTGTTTTTTCCCCCTTACCTACTCTATCGGGCAGGGGATGATGGATCGGGCCGACAGGCGCCCCTTTTATATCTGTCGTAGACTGACCACAACAGATCTCCACCCACGTGCTGGCCACCCCTCGGAGCAGATCAAGCTGCTTCACGGCTCCCTCTTTGACATCAAATGCATCGACTTGAACGACGAAGACGGCGAAGGCTGCGGCTGGATTCAGCATGACAACTTCGACGACCCATTCTGCCCTGCCCTGGCCGCAGCCGCCGAGGACGTCGAGCCGGACAAGACGCTCCCGCTGCTGGACCCCGACCACGAGTTGGCCAAAATACCGGTTTCCGAGATCCCAAAGTGCCCCCAGTGCTCCAACGGCCTACAGCGCCCGGGCGTCGTCTGGTTCGACGAGAGCCTTGACGGGAATATGCTGGACGCTATTGATGCCTGGATCAAGCAAGACGTGGTCGACATCGTTCTCGTCATCGGCACCAGCGCCGTCGTCTACCCGGCCGCGGGCTATGCCGGACAAGCCCGCAGCGGCAGCACCAGTGTCGTAACTATCAATCTGGAGGCAGAGCTGCCCCAGAACCTTGCCAAGCTGAAGAAGAATGACTTTGCATTTGCCGGCGACGCCGCGGTGCTGCTGCCGAAACTGCTCGAGCCCGTGATTGGGCAGCCGCGAAAGGATGGGACGTATTGCAGCTGAGGGGTCCGATTCTGTTAGAGATGGTGTGTTCTTGACGCCTTTGTCTTCAGTCTCCAGGCTGCTGGAACTCATTTTGTGTAATTCTATCATGACCGCCGCTCGTATCCCCTTGGCATATTTTATCGTGCGTCAAGCGCAGTACACATCATGATATGCCTCAGCCCGATCTCATCGGCTGCTAGTCACTTGCTTAGTCCGTCCTTCTCTCGCACCTTGCCCTAGCCAAAACGAGCCGCAAGTCGCTAGCAAGAGCAACCCACACCCGGCAAACACGTTCTTGAACGCATCTGCACCGCCCGCGCGGGTGAGCAGCAGCGACACGACGACAAAAATGTTCAAGGGCACCCGGAGAACGCCGTAGACGCGCGCTCGCACGGCGTCGTCGACGACAGCCCCGCGTAAACACCCAATGCACGGCCAGTACATGCCGACGGTGGCCTCAAAGAGGCAGAAGATCCAGAAGGTGGTCTGCTCGGATGACGTTGCTGCTGCTGCCGCTACGGTCCGGGACGAGACGAGAAAAAAGCAAGCCGCCGCCGTGCCGAGGATGGCCACTAGCAGGTGCGCGTGGCGGGCAGCCGTGGTGGTGGCCGGGGTGGCCATGCCGAAGGCTAGCGAGGCCGCTAGCGCGGCCGCCATGAAGCTGGCGAATATCACGCCGTACGGGAGGTCTATCTCCGGCGACGAGGACGCGCGCGCCGACTTGAGGGCTGGCGTCCAGAAGAACACAAACATGTACATGGACCCTTCGAACACGGTAGAGGCGAGCCCGAGCGAGAGCACCTTGGGGCTGGTCAGGACTGTCCATAGCTGTTTGTCTTTTGGGGGTTTGTGTGTAGACTGTCCTGGCGAAGACTGCGTGGCGGGCCCTGTTTCACCGTAGTTTTCGCGCTGGCTGGTGTTAGTGACTTGTATCTATTTCCCGTGTCGTGACAGACCATATCGTCTCTGCGCTATGGTAGCATAGAGTCCGGCACAAACAGAGCAAGGGGCAACAATAGCAGACAACAACTCACCCACTGCGTCCAGATCAGCCCAAACGCCACGGCCAGGAGCACCACGCTGGCCGCAAACGGCGTCTTTCTCGTCCCCGTCGCCGCCACCAGCCACTCACTGCCAACACCGCTGAGGATGGCGACGGCACTGTTGAGGGTGCTCATGAGGCCAAACGTCTCAGCCAGCTCCTCACCATCACCATCACCATCACCACCACCACCACCACCACCACCACCGCCAGCGCTGGCGCCGGCGCCGGCATGACGATGGAAATCAGCCACAAGCCAGCTCTCAAAGACCGTAAACAACAAACTCGTCCCAACACCACCAAGCACGCGGCCAGCAAACAGCATCGGCAGGAGCGCCGCCTGGTGCGGGAACGCCGTCAGCACGCACGACAGGGCGTACGCAGCACAAAAAAACAGGCACGCGGCCTTGCGCCCGCGCCGGTCCGCCACGGAGCCCAGCACGCTGCCGCTCGCCGCGCCCGCCGTGAACCCGGCCGTGAACAGCGCCGGCACCGTCGCCGCTGCCACGCCGTGCTCGTCGCGGTACAGCGCGTACAGGAACGGGCCCTGCAGCCAGTCGGCGGCCATGACCAGCGCGTAGATGGCGAGGAAGGAGCGGCGGGAGTGCGGAGGTGTTTCGGGAGTCGTCGTCTTGGTTTTCTTGTTTAAGTTGTTGCTGCTGCTGCTATTGTCTGCCGACTCTGATCTGGATTTCGCCCTGTGCTGCTGCTGCCGCTGTTGCGCGGCGAACAGCGCGCCGCACAGAACCAGCAGGCCGGCCAGGTTGAGCGTGTAGATTTCCATGATGAATTATTCGGGTCCAATCCAGCTTGGGTATATGTCAAAGGAGACAGCGTACGCGAATAAACAAATTCACACCTTTTGCTTCTTCCCCTTTCCTCTACTTCTCGCCCAGCGAATCGACAGGCGGGCCAAATTAAGAAGTCAGGGAAAATAAAATTTACATGAGATACGTTTTTGGGGGGCTCTGATAGAAATAATAACAAGGTGCTGAATGAAACATGTGGCCTTTCGTGGGACGAGCGCAGTGCTGGTTTACCCGGTGGCGGCGCGGGAGGCGCGTGGGCTGCGACGTTGGCTGTTTGAGAATTGAGTTGGCGCTGAAAGAGAAAAAAACCAGTTCTCACCAGTTACGACGTATTTTGAGCTGGTGACAGGTATTCGCCAATTCACTACTTCCGGCGGATTCAGCGTTGTAGGTAGTTAGGACCTCAAGATATGTGCATTGGGATATATATGAGTGAGGCCAGCGAATTAAAAGAAACCAACCACCACCCCCCACGGGTTTACACTCCCTCCATTATAATGGAATAATACTGCTGGCTCAGCCCTATAAACCACAGTCTCTTCGGTATTCTGCTGGATCATTAACTTCATCAACTGCCTTATCGGCGGGGGGTGGTAGGGTGGTCCGACATGAACATGAGTATACGGTGACGATAATATACACCCCACCCCCCCCCCCCCCCCCCCCCCCCAAAAAAAAAGGCAATCCGCCCTCTCACCAGCTCCCTTACACCGCCAGCGTCGGATTAAAGCTGCTGGTCGGTCGCAGCGCCAAGCCAGCCTTGCTGTAGGCCATGTCGATCATGCGCATCTGGTTGAGGGTGTCCTCGGCGGTGACCCAGGCGCCGGTGCCTGGGCGGCCGCGGATGCGGTCGACGAAGGCGTCGAGCTGGTGCTTGTACGTGGACCACGACGGCGGGCTGGCTGCGGCGGCGGCGGCGGCGGCGGCGGCGTCATCTTCGGGTAGGCCGGCGTCGCGGCGCGTGTAGGCCTTTGCCGTCTGCTTGGCGCTCCAGCGGTGGATGGGCTCGAGCGTGGTCTTGTCGCGGACGATAAAGTCGTCGACGACGTCGATGCGGTGCCACAGGGTCGGCATGATGTAGTTGTTCAGCGTCACCGTGCGGGTGCGCACCGTCTCCTGGCCCGCGGTCGGGACCACCGCCGATGACGACTTGGCGTACTCGTGCGGCTCCACGGCCACGGCCCGGTGCGTCACCGTTACCGACGGCAGGCTGCGGAGCATCTGGACCAGGCCGCCCCGCAGCGTACCGTGCATCTCTCCTGTGCCGCCGTTGGGAAAACGCCACGTGCCGTCGTACTTGTAGTCGCAGAGTTCGTTGGGCGGGTCCATAGTTCCCACTTCGCAGCTCGTGCTGACGCCGTAGTGTTTTTGTCAGCTTTTCCCCCCTTTATTTTCCGTTGTGGGTGTGTAAGCACGGTTTAGAGCCATCTCACAGGCCAACTACCTAGGTAGGTAACCAACCCCCGAAGGCAAGAAAACAAAGACAACCAAGTCACAAGACGGATCCAAAATTAAAACCACACGTACCATTCCTCGGGCTCAGTGCCGTAGACGCCGCGCAGAACCGACATGGTATAGGTAAGGTCCATGAGGGCGCCGCCGGACAGGTCGTAGCGGAATCTGATGTCGTCCTTGGCGAACAACATTGAGGAAAGGTTCAAGCTGGCCGTGACATGGGCAATGTTGGGCTGGTCGACAAAGGATAGAAAGTGTGCCCAGGCGGGGTGGAAGCGGTAGTGGAAAGCCTCGAGGAGGACCGGGGCAGGCTGCTGCTGCGGCTTGGGAGACTGCAAGAGCTTTTCGGCCTCGGCCGCGTTGGAGAAGGCCGGCTTCTCGAGCAGGACGTGCTTGCCCTTGGCCAGGGCCTTGAGCGCCCACTCAAAGTGCAGCCCGTTTGGTAGCGGGATGTAGACGGCGTCAATGGACGGGTCGTCAAGGATTTCTGAAGGGAGGTGTTGTTAGTATTACTACATGGTGTCTGTGTCGCCGCGAGGGCCGGCATTGAAGGTTCAAGAAAAAGAAGAAAAAAAGAAACAAACCTTGGTAGCTGCCTAAGACCTGAGGAATGCCGTGTTTCTTCGCATAGGCAGCCGCCTTGGTCTTGTCGCGGGCAGCGACAGCCTGTACGATGACCTCGGGATGGAGCTTGGCCGGGTTGATCAGGGCCACGGGGCTATGAAGCTGTATCAGCCACGGAGACAAAAGCAAATACGACAACAACAAAAAAAAAAAGGAACCTACGCGATATTGGCTGCACCTAGGATGCCAATGCGCAATGCATTCTCGGCCTTTGGTGGCAGCGGCGTGGGAGGGTTGATCATTCTCCAGTTGCGCTGGAGCGCGCCAAACAGCGATGCCATTTTTGGCCCTCGTCTCGTCTCGTCCTCGCCGACGGGGAACAAAGTGTAGTCAAGTTGGTGTAGGCGACGTGCCGAGTGGATTAATTCTGTTTGCCATTGATCAGCTCGGCTCGCCAGCGAAGGGACGAAGGGTGGAAAGCGAAACAAAAGCTTCTTACATGAAAAGTAGCTAGTCAATGTATGAATATCATGAATAGACTAGAGCATCTACTCTGTCATTCGGCGCGTGAGATACGACAACGCTAAGCTGTTCACGGTGGGCTGTCCTGGATTGAGGAAAGGTGGGCGGTGGTCGACACCGAGGAGTTATATATGCTATTCTAATAGAGAGATATAATGTATCGGTATACTCCCATTGGCAGCGAGGTGTTACAGCTACCCGGAAATGGAAGCCATTTCATCGTAATTGCTAGGCTAGAGCGGGAACTTTTTCGCCGGCCGTGATAGGCCAGATGGCTCGAGATGGTGGCTGGCTTCACTCCAATTCAACCGCCAATGAGTAATCAGTACCGTTGTAGGATACAGAGTACATGCCTGCGGAAACAATGTCTCGAAGCGCGCTATGTTCGTTCCTATTTCCATGTAGGGGCGTATTCCAAGGATCAATAGGCGGAATGAATCAACTCGCCCCGACGGCTTTGGTGCGGAATCCCGTCCAGAAGGACACCGAAAGAAAAAGAAAGCGCGAGTTGGTACAGTACATATACACAATGCATAGAGCAATTACTATAGTAAACTAGTAGTGTTTGTCTTCAACTACAAATCGCTCCGCCGTGCTCGGGCCATAATACTCTCCCCTTCCTCTCCTCTCCCAGTCTTTACTCGGTCAGTTACCCCCTCCATCTGCTTCGTACTGTTGTATTCCAAGCATTACTCTGGCGTCCATCCCGCAAGGCACCACCGCCATAGCACGGACATACCCGCCTCGTCCAACTGCCCATGCTTCCCAGTTCTGTGTCTACCCAGCTCTCGAGACACTTGGTGACATCTCCATAGCCTTGCTCTGTGTCAAGAACGAGAACTTTTTTTTTTTTTTTTTTAAAAAAAAAAAAAAAAAAAAGAGGCCGCGTGAGAAATATCTCACCAAGCCCTTAAAAATACCAAACCGATCCCGGTTAACACCATGCCAAATGCCTGTGCGTTGTTGCTTTCGCAGAAAAATGCCCCCAAGAATTCGCGAAACCCTTTCCATGCCCACCGCCGTGCCGGAGAAAATGCCGCGCGATGCAATGCTGCTGGTTGTGTTTTTCCTTGGACTTGCAAGCCAGACGAGAAAGTTATATATAAAATAAAAAACTGAGAAATGGTATAAAAACTTGTTATCCGATAGAGGCTATCCGCCGTATAAGAAGCAAAAAAAGATTTGTGCACAAAGCAAGCCATGTGCTACCAAGGACCTTCTCGAAGAACCTTACAGAAAAGCGACAGATGCCATCGTGTTTGTTGTATATAGCACAGGTAGGTAGGTTGGCAAAGCGAGGCAGCACCGAGCCCCTGGACAGGAGGACACGGACTGTGTTGGATGTGTGTGCGCGCATGTATGTATGTGCATGTAGAGAGTACTGACAGACAGGAAAGACGAAACGAGCTCGATTGATTACCATTCGTCTTCTTCTTCATGTTGGTAGCGAGGCACGCGCGTCAGCTGGCTGAGGAGAGCGTCGAGCTGGGCCCAATTATCGTTGTTATCCGCGAACTTCCGGTGCTTGCGAGAAACGATGTGCTAAAGAAACCAGTGTCAGTACGTCGTCTACCAAAATTAGAAAAGCGAGCATCTTCACACTTACATCATCAAAATCCTCAAACTTGTCCTGGCAGTTCTCGCAGTAACCCGGCTTGGGGTCACGCGCCTTCTGCTTGGCTTGGGGAACAGGGACACTCGCCGTCCTCCGGAGCTTGGCCTTTTGCTGCGCCGACTCGTCTTCATCGACCGCATCTAGTTTCCGATGCGTCGCCCTGCCAAGGCTTGCAGACCAGATGAACGTGTTGCTATCATGGCTCATCTCCGCCAGCCGACGAGAGCTCAAGTCCTGAGATACCGCGGGCGTGCTGGCTTTTTGCAGCACCTTGCGCTGGAGTCCGTGTATCTCCTTGCTCGTGCCGGCTTTGGCTCCAAGCACGCCCGTGGTAGATGAAATCATCTGAGAGCGGATTGCCGACGTCACATTCGACGGCTGCACACCAGACGCGACGGGCTCTCCCGCCAGAAAACGCCCAGTCTTTGCGTGGCTCCTGAATGCATTCTGGGTCCTGAAATCCAGCGAGGGAGCATTGGAAAGTTTGACGTGGTCAAACGGTTCAGCAGCAGTCATGACAGCTACCGGGGCAACTCGATGCTGTGCCTCTTCCATCTCTGCCAGAGTTCGCTTTCCCGTGACGGGCTTCGGGGGCTCAACTTGGGGGGGCTTTAGGCTCGGCGCAGCAACCTCGACGGCGGCCTTTGCAGCTCGCTCTTTGGTCCGTGTTTGCACACGGTTCTCCCTATCCACAGGTTCGTCCTCGACGAATGGACAGCGTCCTTGGGAAGCGACCCGAAACTGGGGCCACTCGCCGTATTTTTTGTCCGCGACCTTGGCGTACTCTCTGACCATGATGGGCTTCAACTTCTCCTCTACATCGTACACATAGATATAAGGACCCTTAAAGATATGGAGGTCCTTGCTGGCCACGGTAGGATCTCGGTCCGACGGCCCATGGAAACGCTCGTTCTGAAGAAGCTGGAGCAAGTTGGACTGCTCCGCTGCTTTGGCGTTGGGGCCGCCTTGCGAGGTCCCACGGCACTGACCCAGTACCGCGCTTTTATACGGGTCTGGCTCCTGGACCATGTCTAGAATCTTCTGCAGCTTCTCCAGTGACCATATCCTTTTGTCCATCTCGCGAGCACGGTGCAGGACGTCCGTGTTACGTGCCTTGGGGCGTTTGATAGCATCTTCTTGAGCCTGCAAGGGGATCCTCCGATTCGAGGCAGTATCGAAGAGCAGCTTCCTCCTGACCGAGGTCGTCGACGTCGACGGTATGCCTAGATCTGCCGTCCGGTTAAGAAGAGACGGATCGATTGTCTTGAGCTGCTCGACGCTCGCATGGCCGTCAGCCGCGGGTTCGTTCTCGTCCCTATTCGCCTTTGCGGGAGGGATCGGCCGGGTCGTGACAACATGGGTGATGTTGATGGAGAAGAACTTTTCTTCGCGCTGTAGGAAGTACAGTTCAGTTTTACCATATCGCCAAAATTTCAAGCAGGCCAATGAGCCAGCACGATTTACTTACAGCACCTAGTTGCGTCACCTGCTTGGCAAGTTTAGAGCGTTGCTCGTCGGAGATGCTCTCAAAGTAGAACACCATCTTAGGGAAGCGAGCACGAATCTGCGTCCGCCATTGGCGAATGTTATCGAGCTCCTTCTCCGAGGGCTTGCACGCCGGGGCGTTCTGAGCGGCCCGTTCTGCCGCTGCTGTGCCTAGTGCTGAGGCTTTGGAGACAGCGCGGTGCACGATGGTCCTAGCCGGCCTCGCGCGCGACGGAGAGACGGTCGAGCGTTGGATGCCCAGGTCGACCATCTGACGCTTTGCCGGAGGCGGCTGTCCATAGGCCTCCTCGCGCATAAGTTCGGCATGGGAACGGGGCTTCTTGTTGGCCTGGAGTGAGTACAGAGGTGGTGCGCGGAGGGGGGAATTGGCGGCATTAGGATTGCTCGAGAGAGGCACTCTCCGAGTCGACGACATGGTAGAAAATTGGACGGCAACGGGGGATATGGATACTGTTGCCATATGTATTCCCACTCAGCATGCTATGGGGGTAGTGGTGGGGGTGGCGAGCCTTGGTGGTTAGTCGTGTGGTTTGTGCGAGTCGGGCATGGACAGAGTAGGTCAACACACGGCGCTGGACGGTTGCTGGTCGCTGGGGAGGGGTTGGCTGGGTTTGGCGCTGGTCTTGGCCCTTGGCTAGACACGCGAAAACCGGGGCAAGCGAAACGCGTCGAGTCTCGCAGGCCAAACCAAAAGGAAAATTAGCACACGCAGCGCATTGAGCGAGTCGTGAGGAAAGAGCAGCAGGCGATGCAGCAACCAGGGCGTTCAATGGCACACGACAGCCAACCGGCAGCCTCTCAGACCAGACCGGAGAGAAGAGTCGGGAGAGGCGTGTCTAGAGGTTTCCTTCAGTGGTGTGTGTGGGCGGGAGCGACTTTTGGTGGGCAGCCCAGCGACATCAAAAGCAAGCAACAAACCGTGTCCGAGCTCCTCTCTACTGACTGAGCTAAGCCCGCTTCATACCAGCACAACAAAAACTGCCCCACATGCGCGGTGCCAGCTGTGAGCCTGCCGTCGCGCAGAGCAACGACCCGCTGTTGGCGCCTCTTGGCTCTCCTGACACTTACTGGCACTGGCAGGTCTTGTCAATCAACCTGTTCCCTGGGTGTCTTTTTAGTGTCTGGTCAAACCAGAAGCAAATATATTGCTACAAATCAACTTTCAATATTTCCAGAAGTTTTTAGTATCGAACCCCAATTGATTTGTTTACAATAATTTTTGTGTGTTCTAGGTTGTCTTTGTAAGGAGTGTGCACTGTCAGTTCCGGGAAGGGGAGAAAACGGCAATTCGGGGGATGGGTACGGGGAATTTCTTGCCTTAGAGGCGCCTTTTGCATTACTGAAGACAAGGACGAACGCCCGCGCCACCTCCGGCTCACTAGATTGGTCAACTTCAAGATTTATTCTCACGTGGAGTCTCACGTCTGCTCATATAATCTTATTATTTTGACATGCAGCTTCCACAGGCCGCTTTGCGGCATGTTTCCGTAATCGCGCGGCGACATAAACACGGGCCTCTTAGAGTAGCAGCAGCGGCGGCGGCAAGAAGCGCATCAGCAGGACAGGTCAAGCCGTCATGGCGGACATGCTCTTCACCACCTCTGGCCAGAGCGAGAATACCAGGTCAAAGGAGGAGTTATGCCACCGCCACCACTGTTTCGGCAGCCCAGCTCGAGTTTGGCCAGCCCGTGCATGAAACCCACCCTCATATTCTCAAAGCTGGTGAAAGTATGTCCCCCTTTCAACAAGATAAAAAATTTTTTTTAAAAAAAAAAAACTAAACCGGAACTGACACAAACTCTCCTAGTAACCCCCGGCATCAGCGCCCAAGAGTACGCCGACCGGCGCGCCGCGCTGGCTTTGAACCTGCCGCAGGACGGCGACGTGGCAGTGCTGGCGTCGGCTGACCTGCTGTACCGGTCCGGGGCAGTCTTCTTCCCATTCCGCCAAGAGACCAACTTCATGTACCTGACGGGGTTCTTAGAACCGTCCTCGGTAGCCGTGATCCGCCGGACGGGTCCTAATCTGGGCGACCTGTTCTTCCACCTGTTCTGCCGCCCCAAGGACCCCCGCGCCGAGCAGTGGGACGGCCCCTGGAGCGGCCTGCAGGCTGCTGAGGACGTCTTCAACGCCGACGTCGCCGGCGACATCGCCCAGCTAGACACCCTTCTGCCGCAGCTCCTGCAGGGCGCGAACCGCATCTACACCGACATCGATCTCAACAGCACTGCGAAGCGCTACCACCAGCAGTCAACGACAGCGCGCGCCGTCGCCGCTACTGTCGCCCACCACGCAACCTCCAGAAACACCTCCAACACCCAGTCGCTACAGCCGCTAGTCAACCAGCTGCGTGCCATCAAATCGCCCGCAGAGATCGCCAACATGCGACAGGCTGGGCGGGTATCCGGGCGGGCCCTGACAGACGCCATGCGGCGCGCGTGGACCGACGAGGCGCAGCTGCAGGCCTTCCTCGAGTACCGCTTTCACAGCGACGGGTGCTCGGGGCCGGCGTACGTGCCCGTGGTGGCGGGTGGGGCGCGCGGGTGCAAGATCCACTACGTGCACAACACGGCGCAGCTCGCCGCCGACGAGACGGTGCTGGTGGATGCGGGTGGCGAGTACGGCGGATACGTAGCCGACATCACGCGCGTGTGGCCGACGGGCCGCGGGGGGAGCGGTAACGTCTTCTCCGCGCCGCAGCGCGACCTCTACGAAGCCGTGCTGCGCGTGCAGCGGACGGGCGTGAGCCTCTGCCGCGCGGATGTCGGGCTGACGCTGGACCAGATCCACCACACGACGGCGCAGGCGCTGCGAGACGAGCTCAAGCAGCTGGGCTTTGACTTCTCCATGTCGGCCGGCATCGACGTGCTGTTCCCGCACCACGTCGGCCACTATGTCGGGCTCGACGTGCACGATGTGCCGGGCTACGGGCGGTCGTGCGTCCTCCGCACAGGCCACTGCGTCACCATCGAGCCGGGTGTCTACGTGCCCGTCGACGACGAGCGATGGCCCAAGCACTTCCGCGGCCTGGCCGTGCGAATCGAGGACAGTGTCTGCGTTCTAGACGACGCGCCCCTGAACCTGACCGTTGAGGCAGTCAAGGAGGTCGTCGACATCGAGGTTCTGAGGAACAAGTGATACACCATTTGCTCTGTCAGAGGCCCCCCTGGCTGTCTACTGTGGTTACTAACCTAAAGAATCTGTAACCATATAGAAGGCGTATGTACAACGTGCTACTTCTGTATATAACTAAATTAAACAAGAGTGATTTAAATATAATCGCCCGAAAAGAAAAATACAAGGGAAATGTTCAGGATTTGGGCAACGTAAAAAGATAACAATTCATATCGCGTATTTGCTCCCTAGCAGTTTTTCGCCTCCATTGAAACCACTCGCTTACCATCTCAATATTGCGCTCCTTCCTAGATAACCTCTGAAAGACCGTTATGACAACCCGTTAAGTTTTGCCCTAACTTGTCCTTTGCTCCCTTTCACTATCACGCGTATATCACCGAGACAAAGATGTGCGCGTCTCATTTTTCTCATTCTTTCTTCCTTTCGTCCTGTTAATAGTAGTTACTGAAAGCCGCATGAAATCGACTAATATTCGCGATGCTAGATACTGTTTATTGACTGCTTATGTATGCTCCTACACAGTGCGCGCGGTAAAAATGAAACGTAACGCCGGCGAGTAATAAAAGATGTACGTTGAAATACCATGTTCGGGGCCTGTCGCGACAAGAGCTCGGCTGGCCTGGCAGATTTGAGAGATTGGCCTTCCCCCAATTCCTCATTTTGGAATCTATGCTCATGAAATGTAAAACCACCAAAACCCCAGAGCAAAACTCCCAGATTAATATGTACAAGATCTTTTCGGCCCTTTTTAGCTTTGAGATACAGCGAGTATGCTTGCAAAGCTCGGGTCGACACGACCTTCAGCCTCTAGCCATTGTAGGAAACTAGCAAAGCAGAATGATGCCAAAGGATCAGCAGAAGCCTCTTGGGTCAAACAGGGTCCTGCTATAAGTCGGCATTTGGTACGTTGCTCTCGCCGACGCGTGGAGCAGCTGCTCAAACGCCTGTAGTCTCCGCGAGAGCTCTCGGTGCTCTTGCGCAATCTGCTTGTTCTTTCGTTCAAGATACTGTATGTACTCGGTTGCTTTGGTAAGGACAGTGCCCTTCAGGTTGTTAGCTTTCTTACACACCTTGCAGCTAAGAGAGCCCAAACATTCAGATAAGACGGGGCTCGAGTAGAAGACTAACCTTGCTGACTTTGGCCGCCCTTGAAGGTTGCGACCCATCATCATCTCCGCCATTTTCTGATATTGTATGAAGCGCTGGGACGGCATCTCGCAGTTCGGCAATCCTATCCTTCAGGTTTGTCCGATATTTCCTTTCAATGTCGTTATGTGCCGTCCGATCACCCAGCTTTGGCTTTTCTTTGCCTTTCTCGCTCACGCTACCTTGCCTCTTTGGCGGATAGGGCGGTGCTGGCCGTTGTTGCGCTCCAAATGGCCTTTGCATCGATACCGAGTCTGGATCTTGGCCCAAGCCTCCCAAACCCATCCCAAGCGTCGTGTTGAGACCGGTATTCATTCCACCGAAGTTGAAGTTGAGGTTTGACCCAAGCCCGCCCATGCTTGGCCCAGGGTTCATAGCAATGGCAATCAGCCGTCGCTGCTCGGCCTCGTTCAGGGCCGGACTATTGAGACCGATTAAAGGGTCCATCCGCAGTCCGGGCTGAGGCTTCTCCCAGCTCAAAGGTGTCGAGTAAAGACCTTCCCGGGGCGGGACGTCGGTGGGCGGTGCAGAGTCTATCTTAGAAAGATGGTCGGCAAGATTCATTGACGAGAAGCCCTCGTCTTCGTCGTCATCGTAATCCGACAAAGCATTATCCAAGGCACTATCATCGAAGAACTCCTCGGTCGTCGTTGTATTTTCTCTCCTGGACGATGATGCCGAGTTTGCCCGACGAGGGGCAGGGGGAGCCGGCCTGAGTATGTCAGTTTCACGAAACAGCCAAATGCGGCAAAAAGAATATAGTTTGCGGCATCGTTATCTTCGCATCTACACTTACCGCTGAGTCGAAGAGGCTTTCCTCCTCCCTTTGATATCTGGCCTAGGAGCCTCCATGCCCTCAGGAATATCGGCAAGGGAGTCGTCGTTGTCGAATTGGATCCAGTAATCCACCGAGTCAAAGGGGGCCGGTTCTGTCCTCACCCTTGATCGTTTTCTCTCGTTCCCCTCCCTTGATATGGATGCTCTTGAAGGAAACGCTCGCCTCGACTGACCGCCGTATATAGGTGGCCGTGGTGTCGAGGCAGGGTTCGGCGACAAGCTTGTCAGTCCAGTTGACGAAGATGTCTGAGCAAGGGAATCTAACGACAGGGACGTCGGCGCCGTCGAAGGCGGACCGGAAAGGCCGGCCTCCATATTCAATGATGTCGGTGCATCCCATACGTTTGTCGATTGGGGACGAGCTCCTGACAAGGAAAAGGATTGATCGACGGGATTGATCGTCTAAGGAGTGTTAACTCGCGAGTTCGCCCCTGGGGGGCTTCGGCCGCATATATCGGAATACCCATACCTGATTGTTAGGTACCGAGAAGAATTCAAGATGTCTAAGTGGATCTGAATCCATCGTCACCTAAGCATCCCGACTAGGCGCGGCTTGCGGAAAAGGCGTGAGGTAGCGAGCACGACGGTGCTTGGGTATTTCCCGGGCTTCAAAATCTCGCACCGAGCCCCTTTAACACACAATGGGGGAATGGGTGTGAGAAAGAGAGACTTGGAGGTGCAGCGTCGGTCTGGTCAGACTCTATGAAGATGGTGTCCAGGGACCTCCAGTCGTAGCCCAGGCCGGTGGGCCGCAGACGGCCGGTTGCTTCTGGACAGGGGCTGGCCCACGGGGGCAGCCAATACCGAGAGCGTGAGATAGACCGGATTACCGAGCCGGGCAGATTGACGAAAACCAGTTTGGTGTTCTCAATGAAGACTAGCAGGATGAGTATTGCGTTAGGGCCTTGAGCAGGAGCAGGAAATGTTGATCACAGCTGTTTTGGGCCGTAGATCGAGGGCGAGGATATAGAAGTGGCGACTGCTAAGACATTCATAGACTTGCAGTGCGGGAGGCCGATGTCATGAGCTGGCTGTTCAACACACAACAGCGAATTGCCTGAGACGGTATGCGACGGGATCACGGTATGCAGGACGACCGAGAATAAACTGATTAGGTCAACCGGGACAGCCGACCTGCGCGTAACAAGGTCACAAAGCTGGCGCCCCTTGATGTGGTTGGCTGGTCAAAGACCCACGAACCCGAAAAGCCAGGAGGACAGGTAGTGATGAGGGCGGAAGGGTATCGTAGGACAAGACAGATAGGACCTGCGATGCGGTGCGGTGAGGTGCCGGTTGGGTTGCAAGACCAGAACACGGATACACGACAGGGGAGCTCAACTCCGGGAAAAAAACGAGGCCGGCGCGAACAAAAGCAGATAAGCAAGTAGACAGACAGACAGACAGACAGACAGACAGACAGACAGGCGGCGGCGGCCGTTGCAGAAGCTGACTCCCGTGATGACCCGGAGGAGGATGTTCCAGCCGCTATAAGGCAGCGGCAGTTGGCCGAGGGGGCGATTGGAGCTGAGGTAGGCAAGGTAGGTACCTACCCGACTGAGTTCGGGTATCCGGCCGGGACTGGTATGGTCGAGCGGATGTAGGTAAGGTAGTCCAGGTACCAAGTGGTTGCGTGCGATATGTAATGGAAGGTCGGGTATGTGTATGTGTTGCGCGTGTGCGTGTGCGTGTGCGTGCGTGTGTGTGGAAGGGAAGGGCGGGCAGCCGATAGAGAGGTAGTCAGGACTGGAAGTTACGGCATCCTAGACAAACTATTGCTAACCCGAGAAGCACCTGCCAACTAAATGAGGTACCCCTAAGGTAAGGTATGCATGTACCTTGTAACAGAGCCAGAAGTAAGTCTACTCCTCGGGACGGCACCACGGGGTGGTTTTGGCGCGCCGTTAAGGTCTGATCTGCTCGCTCGCAAGCCCGAGGGTTGGAATTGGGCCCTGGGGGAGGGGGAAAGAGCGACAAAATCGACCATCAAGTCCCATCAAGTCCCACCAAAAACGGGGGCAAGGGACCAGCGCGAAAAGAAGGCGGGAAGCCGATTGGGCTCGTGCAGTTTAGAAGCTGTAGAAAACTTGAGATGGCCTGACTGCTGCTATGAGGAGTTCACCCAAAGATGCTCCTCTGGGGGAGTCGGGCGCGGAAAACCAATCGGGGTCTAGGACCTTGACGCAGAATCTTTAATTTTGAGCCCATTTGCTCTTGGAATCATGCCACTTTTTGTCCAGAGCCCCCCTCGTAGCCTTTCCAAGGCCCCACTGCCAAGACGGCAGTGGCTTCCTAACGGCTCGTCCTGATTGGGTCTGCGCCGTGTCAGTCACTGTCAGCCTTACTTTGGCGTACGGTCTAGAACTTTAGACTTTCGAAGTTGGGGTCGCTGCGTCACCTCGGGTTTTCTTGATTTTCCGTAACCAAGTTGCCTGGGTTGGTGCTCGGTCTCGGCTTGGAATGATGCTAAGTTGTTTTGAAAAATCGAGGAACTAGGTGCTCAAAGTACAGTTTAAGAGTTCAGAGGAACAGCACCGTACCTGAGTTAGAAACCCCAAGTGCAAACATCCGAAAAAAAAAGAACAGCTTATGATACATCGATAGCTTGTTGTCATTATCAGCAATCCTTCAACTACACTTATTCTTATCGCCTGTTGTACCAGGCTATTCGGCTACGAGCTACTTGTACTCAACTGGTGAACTAACTTATGATTGGGTATGGAAAGTCTTACCAAGGTATTCCGTACAGACTTAAATCTAAATTAGAAGGCTCCCGTCATTCGGAGACTTCTAACCCTAACCCAGCAGCACTCCTTGTCACCCCACATCCAACCCGCAGAGCGAACCCTGCAGGCAGTGGCTTCGCCCACTTCTCCCCGCAACCAGCAGATCTGCGGCCTCATCGAGTCGGTTCCTTGCATCACTTTTCTATTCCATTTCACGGGCGCATTGTCCGTACTCCTGTTTCTCCTCAGAGCGAAAGATCGACCAGCTTCACTACTTCAAACCGACACCAAAATGGCATTCCCACCTTCAAACGCCATGGCATCACCTTCCAGCGAGTCTGACGCGCTGCCGACTGTTTCCCCTATCCTCGACGGACGTGACTCGCCAGACCTGCCTTTGACTATGTCTGCGTCCACCGTTTTGATGGCCTTGCCGCACGATGCAACAGCCGCTCTTGCAGCTGCAGGAGGGTTTCCACAGGAAAAGGTCAGGGTGCGCTTCAGACCGGTTGGCGCTGCTCTCCCCCTTCCAGTTGAGGTAGTCACGGTCAATAGCGGGTGGAGTTTCGGCGCAGCCGTGAGCTATGTTCGCAAGAAGTTGAGAGTACAAGACACAGAGAGCGTGTTTTTGTACGTGAACAGTACCTTTGCGCCCGCTCTGGACGAGATTATTGGGAACCTCTGGATGGTGAGTTCTGTTTGGTTGAGCCCAGAGTATCCCGATCAACTGACGGGCATTTCTTAGTGCTTCAAAGACTCGAATAACCAACTCAATATATCGTACTCAATGACGCCAGCATTTGGATAGTAAGTCGCCGCATCCTCATCATATTCGTCGCCCTCGCGGACGCAAGAGTATCTGTTATCAAATAAAACCTTGACACAAGGCCCTTTCCCAGGCCCGGGTCTTAAATGGGAATGATGCTAACTATCGACAAATGGTATTGATAAAGATGCTCTCAGAATTCCTCCCCAGACGCCCATAGATGCAATGCGACCAGAACGCTATACTGTACCCATTAATATTCCCAAAACTTAACGAATGCCGCACCAACCGTCCTAACGTTATACCTTATTGGCATGCTCCGCGAATACCACCAACTCATCTTTAGGAATCGGGTACGTGTGCTCAGGGGCAGGGTACTGCCGACTCTTGACATCGTCTCGGTACGCTTCTATGGCCTTCAGGCTCTCGGCCCAGACGTCTCCATACTTCTTGACGAACTTGGGGAGAAACCTCCCAGGCGGAAAGTTGCCAGTCATGTCGACCTGAACAAGAACCTGCCCGGAACAGCCGTTGCCAGCGCCGATTCCGATGGTAGGGATAGACAGTTTGCGAGTCACAATAACCGCGACTTCGGCAGGGACGGCCTCTAGGACAACAGCGAAGCATCCCGCCTCTTGAACGGCGAGGGCATCTTCCAGTACCTTTACGGCTCCAAGCGCCGTTTTGCCCTGGACACGGAAACCTCCAAGAGCGTTCTGCCGTTGTGGAGTCAGGCCGACATGACCAAGGACAGGAATACCAGCGGTGGTAATCTTGGCGATAGTGGGAGCCATCTCCTTGCCTCCCTCGAGTTTGATTCCCTGCATGCGACCCTCCTTGATGAAGCGGATCGCCGTCTCGAGGGCCTGTTGCGGAGCAATCTCATAGCTCCCCATGGAGAGGTCGCCGACCTGAGAGATGACGCATTGGTCAGTGATTGGGAGGGAGCTAGGCGACATAAATATACATACAGTGAATGCAGCTTTGGTGGCACGAGCAACGGACCGACAGTGGAGCAACATCTCTTCTAGCACGATCTCACTTGTGTCTTCCATGCCCAAGGCGACCATGGCGAGACTGTCGCCAACCAAGACCATGTCCATGCCTGCGGCATCAGCGACGTGGGCGCTGGGAAAGTCGTGGGCAGTGATCATGGTGATAGGTTCACCTCTCTTGTGCAAGGAGCGGAGTGTACCAATGGTGACTTTCTTCCTCGGATTTGCCGGTGGCGTGCCCATGGGAGAGTGTGAGCTCTGTCTGGTCTGAGATAGAGCAAAGAGAGGCCTAGCCAGTGCATGGTGAGATGGTCGCGTGCTTCTGGGCAGAATTGCACACGACCTTGCTATTGACGTGAGGTGCATGTGTAACTTGGGTACTGCCTCTGCAATTTGGCAGTCTATGCGCCAAAAAGAAAACGAAAAAAGGGAAGGGAAAAATTGGATTTTTGGTGTTCTGAAATAATTCGCAGCCTGCACTTTCAAGCGGGAAAAGAAAAGGGAAATAGTTGGAGACCATGGTTGGGGCGAATTTGCGCAGCTTTTATTCAAAAGGTCATGATGGTTTTTGCTGCGTACAATTGAGTATCTCTCAAAATTCCTTGGAGTTCTCCAGTACTCCAGCCAGCCGGCGCCCTCGCTCGGTTGATTCGGTACGCACTAAGCCGCGGTCCCTGGCGCCCTTGATTGGACGAAAGCCACGCGCCGCGGCGCCACAGCCCTTTTCAAGCTGGGGTGGATTTTTGAGGGACCGAGGAACTGGGGATCGGCTAGTGGGGCACACGTGCTAGCACTGGCGATCGCTTGCAGCTCCATAGTTTTGTCTTCTCTCCACACAATCCCTTCAGCCTCGTTCCTCAGTGAATGCAACTGCAGTTTGGGTGTGGAAATAGTGCTAATGTTCACCTTCAGCGTGAATCTCGGCTTCTAGATTACAACATTGTTTTCTTGGCTGATTTTGGTTCGTCGGCACTTGCATGAGTCACGCTAGCAACTACCTGAATTATGCCAACTCGATACTCCGTAGCCAACGGCAATACGGAGCGATGTGCACAAATTAAAGATACAGGGCAGAATAAGACAGAGGCTAGTACTGCCGTTCCCCCAAGGCGCGTAACCATCCTATTCTCTTTATCCGAACTATTTCACCTCTACGTCTTAGCGGCGCTTGGGTCTTTTGGCAGGACAGGCTGAGGACGCATAGCGTAAGGTAGGCAAGTGTGCAGGAAATTCACCGTTTTCTCAAACTTTAAGTTAGCTAGGTGAAAACTTGCAAGTGGAAGCCGAACTCTTATGATAGTTCGGGATCAATCCATGTATAAGGGCTGCCCTTTGCGCTGACCGGGCAGACAGCATCTAGACCGTGCTGGAGTAGGCCAGCTGCTGTGAAAAAAGACGGGCTTCAGATGTTGCCGGATTCAGCGGCTGGGACAAAGGATAGAGGCCAGCGTGAACATGCGACGTCAGGTTCTTCAAAACCTCAGGTTTGTAAGGTAAGGTATCCAACGCGAGGAATGGCTGAGCCTGACCACCTAAGCTCCCACTAACGGCTGGCCGCGTGACCACGTGTCGTTCGCCTCCGCCGTTAAATGTGTAGTTTGGTTGAACTTGACGCACTTTCGTCGAAGCTTAGACTCCTCAAATACCCAGTCCTTCGATTCGATCCCATAATATCTTGGTGTCTTGAAACACGAAGAAACAGCTGTCGTTGACTGACTGGTCGGCAGCGGGCAGCAGGGGTGGAGTTCAGTGGATAGGCTGGGGAGCGAATCCTTATCGTGCCCGCTGGTGCATAATCGCTCGTACAAGGGCTTATCATTCAGCACCCGAACAGAGGCCTGACGTCGTGCCGTGGTGTACGGTCACTGTCAAAACCCGTCACCCATCCTCCCTCTCGCAACCTCCCTTCCAGCCGTTAATTACCTACATACCCTTTCACCTCGACCCCCCTCCTTCTCACCAGGTACCGAAGCAAGCGGATCTTCTCCTTGTCATTTAGCTCTCCATCTACAGAGTTCTTTAAAGGTAAAGTATTACCTTAAGTTCATTGTAGTTCCATATTCGCCCTGCCGACCATTTGCCTCTGTTGCCCCTCCGTCGTCCCGAAAGTCCTCAAGCCCGCTAAGCCCCGCCGTCCGCGGTCGCCCTTCACAACAATTTGAACTAACCAAAATGCTTAATCGCCCCTCTACTCACAGACGACCCAGCTCCATCGCCTGTAGTCAAGATGAGCTCTCCACGACGCCGCATAGAGACAGACGTAAGCTTTGAACTGAGGCTTAACCCAAACCCCGAGGCTGCCATTCCCTCACAGCCTCCGCCATGCTCACGAAGCTAACCCGCGAACTCAACTTCTTAACTCTAGGTCATGAAGATGTATGGCACCCCAGACCCCAGCGCAAAACAGTCAAGGCCGCCGCACGGATTGCCGGCCCGTCCCCGTATACCCTCGACGATTCATATATACTGACGTCGCAACTACTCCCCAGGCTCATGAGCGACTATGAGGTTACTTTGGTCAACGATAACAGTATGTCCCGGAATCTTGTCTAGACACTCCTTTGAGACTGCCGAGAGCGGGGGCGTTCACCTCTACGGCATGCGACGGATTTAGCTAACTAGTGCTTGCTTATCCACCAGTGTAAGCAAATGCCCGACCGCCATTTCCACAGCCGTGCCATTGCGCCACACCAACCAAGAATAATCCGAAGACGCGACCACGCTTTCTAACCACTCCGCCCGGCCTACAGGCAAGAGTTCTATGTGCGATTCAAGGGCCCTGCCGAAAGTCGGTTCCCTCATAACAGCCATGCCGATTCCAGTTCCTCTTTGCTTATACGCGAATGTCATAGCTCCTTTTGAAGGCGGGGTCTGGAAAGTCCATGTTGAGTTGCCGGACCAGTACCCATATAAGTCACCCAGCATCGGCTTCGTGAACCGCATTTTCCACCCAAACATCGATGAACTGTAAGTTGGAAAATACCAGGTCGGAAGCGAAAAGAAAAGCACATGGGGGGTGGGGGCGGAATCGGAAAACTGGAGGGCAAGGAACAGAAGATGCCTACAGTGGTTTCCAGACGAATTCGGCATGGCAGGAACAAGAGTCCATTTGCCTGTCCACCCGCCCGTTCAACACCTCACCCTCCCAAGTCAATGTCGAAGCTTGGAAACTCGAACCGGGACTAAGAGTTGGAATTTTATTCTAGGTCTGGGTCGGTCTGCTTGGACGTCATTAACCAGACGTGGTCCCCGATTTTCGAGATGATAAATATCTTCGAGGTGTTCTTGCCGCAGCTGCTGCGCTACCCGAACCCGACCGACCCGCTGAACGGAGAGGCAGCTGCCTTGCTAATGCGCGAGCCAAAGAGCTACGACATCAAGGTCAAAGGTATGAATATGGATGTGAAGGGGAAACGGTAATGGCTGACTTTGAGTCCAGAATACGTCCAGAGATACGCGAGCAAGGAAGCGGCCGACGAGGCCGGCGCCGAGAGCGAGGACGACGACGAAATGTCTTCCGTTGCAAGTTTTGACGACGATGACGACGAGGAGGAGCAACAAGCAGCAGGACAGATGGATGACGTATGATTTGTGGTGACGGTGGGTATGCCCACGGCAATTTGGGTATTTTTTCTTGCTTTTCTGAGTACCACATTACCTGCAGAGAAATGGAGAGGCGGACTGACAGCCTGGCAACATACGTTTCTTTGGGATTTTCATGGGAACAGGTGTTTTTTTCCCCCTTTTTTCCTTCTTTCTTTCCCGGGCAATGGTTATCGAAGGGGGCGTTATTCATGGATTTGGTTTTGGTTTCAGGTTTAAAGCCAGGGCAGGTATTTTTTTGTTCTAGCATTTGTGAACCATCAACATAGGGTGTTTTATCACTCCTCGTTTTGTACAAACTAGATCTTTGCTCAGTACCTAGGTACGCAGTGATTTGGGTGGTCTAGTTTGGGGCGCACTCATCCATCAGTTACTCTCCACCCCTTTTATTTCTTGTTCTTGTTTTGGTGGGGAGTTTTCTTTTTTGTGGTGAGCAATACGCACCCAAATACCAGAATTTTGTGTTCGTGTCGTGTTTACATGCATACTGCCAAGATAGCGGCTACAATATCCTACAAGTTGTGTTAAGGCCAGGTAGATGGATATATACACATATTTGACCCTATCCCATCCCATCCCTTGAAGGATTGTTCTGGTTTGTCAATATGCCTGTTACTTCAGCCTACGAGAGCGGTGATAGTTTCGGTAACTCGAGCTGGGTTTCGAGTGAATGATGGAATAACCTCGTAATAGTCCGCCCATGGGTATCATTGTTTTGCGTCTCCCGCCTATATATGTATATATACATGACACGATAATAAAAGAGCAGTAAAATATCTAAAGTCATTAGTCTAGGGTCGCCATTAACTCGTTTCTCGACCTAGTCTGAATCAGAATTATAGTTTACCAGTGCGTTAGTGGTAGTTGTAGTAGTGGTTTCGGCCACAACTTTCGGAGGCTCCTGGGCACCATCTGGAGGGCGGCCCGGCACCTCTTCGGGCGCCCGTTTCCTCTTGAGCCCCGGGATCAAGACTGTCCCTTTCGGCGCATCTTTGTCTTTGCTGTGACCAAAGTCGAGGAAGGGATCCCGTGCTGCCCTGGTGTTCCCGACGATCTCCGAGACGAGGCTCTCGCGCATCTTGGAAACGGCCATCTCGGCTTTCAGCTTTCTCTGCGCCGTCTTTTTCGATTCCAGAGCGACGTTGCGACTTCGTCTTCCTTCATCGCCGACCTTTTGCTTCCCTTGGCGGTCAGTTGCCGTCGTTCTCTCAAATAGCGGCCGCGCCAGGGCCTTTGCGACTGGGCCGTCGTTTTCCATGTCAGGCCCACCAAAGTCAATTAGGGCGGCCCGTCGAGCGTCGTCCTCGGTACCTGGCAGTAGCTCGATCCCCAAGCTCATCCGGTCTTGCAGGTCCTCCGTGGCCGCCGCGTCCTTCTCCCTTTCGTGGCGCCCGACGCGGAACGCCTTCCGCAGCCGCTGGTTCTGGAAGTAAGGGTCGTCCCACTGGCGCGCCGCGGCGTCGTGAAGCTCGCCTACGCGGTGCGTTGCATCGAGCAGCCGCTGGCGGTCGGCAATGGTCTGTTCGAGCTTTCCGAACGCCGTCTCGCGCTGCTCGGCGCGCTCCGCTGCCGTCGTGATGGCGAACTCGCCCGCCTTGACTAGGCTGTCGTCGTTGTCGCCGCCCGTGTCGCGACGCTTGCCGCCCGATACAACGATGTATGCCGTGTTCTGGGGGTCCGTGTGGATATCTATCTCGCCGCCGCAGGCTGTGTGACGCATGCGGAAGGACCAGATTGGCGTTGTGAAGTAGCTGCCCACGCGCTTTTTCTCGGCGTTGAAGCGCACGCCCTGGCCGATGACGGTCGGCTTCGGGCAGTGTTCGCACCACACGGCAAACGGCATCTCGAACCGCACTGTCAGGATGCCCTGCGACGCCAGCTTGGCTGCGCGCGCGCCGAGGGCGTGCTTCTTGTTCAGCTTGTTGCCCGACACGAAGCCCTCCTGGTCCGGCGGGACGTAGCGCCCCATATTAAAGCCCTGCATCTTGGCGAATGTCCAATTGTCTCTGAAAGTTCAAGGGGTCGGATATCTAGAAGATAAGGTCGAAATAATGGATTGCGGCAGGATCGCGTTCGTCGCTATGCTCGTTTTCGCCGGCTACTGTTTCTAGGTGCCGGGTTTTTCTGTCATGTCCATAACGGCGGGGGATGTGGGCTCGTCATTGCTTTCGCCAGCCAGCAGCGCAGCCAGAATTTGGGTCGCTTGAGGGCCTGGGAGGAAACGGAAACTTGGCCGCAACGGTTTCTTGCACGTCCTCACAGCTCGTAGCCGCTTTTAGGTTTGGGTGTAGAATATTCCGAGGTGGGACGGCCTGTGGCCAACCAAAGTTTCAGTGGCGGCTTCCAAACCAGCCTTGAATGTTGCCACTAGCAGGCAGCTGATCTCCAATTCGAACAGCTGTCCAAGGGCGGCAAGACATTTAGGTTACGCCAAGCCCCTTTGCCGTTTTTAGTGGCTCATAATAAAGGGGCGGCCACTCACTGCCAACATCAACAACAAAAGTTCACGATACGCGTGCCACAAGCAAAATTCTCGGTGAAGATATTTAATATAGAAACACCATTGGGCTGCAGCATCATGGGCGATTTTGGGGTTTAAAAAATAAAAAGTAGGGAAAGGCACAAAAACTAGCTGGTATGTGCACACGAGTAGCAACAATAAAGTCGAGAGTCAAGATTGCGTTGAGGCCAAACCCCCAAAATAGAAGGGACATTGGCGAAGGGCAGCACACAATCTCTATACAACGCCTGCTTAGCCAGGTGCCTAATCGGTTCGGCCTAGGGACTTTAGGCCAGAAATAAGTGTTTTTCAGAGTCTTGTTTACCCCAGCTCTTTACCCGGCAATGCAACGCCCGATATCTTCCCCTTTATGGCCTCCTCGGCGGGGCGGGATTAGAGCTTCTTGACAATAGGTAGCCCGGGGTATTTAAATCCCTTTTCTCTTCGCAGTTGGTGGCTAGAACGACGATAGGATTCAACCTGGGGCATCTTGGACCGGTAGAAAGATGACGGACCAGGGGAGACTGTCTCACCTATTCAAGCTGCTGTCGTGTTTCTTGGCCGGCATATCCAGATCGCTGGGTCATGCAGGAATAGAAACAGAAACAGGGACAACAGCCGCAGCAGCCAATTCCACGTATTACAACCCCATATTGCCCGGCTTCCACCCGGATCCCAGCTGCATCTTTGTGCCCGAGCGCGACAACACATTCTTCTGCGCCTCGTCCAGCTTCAACGCCTTCCCCGGAATCCCCATCCACGCAAGCAAGGACCTGCAAAGCTGGAAGTTGATCGGCCATGTTCTGGACCGGCTAGAGCAGCTTCCAAGACTCAGTGAGACTAATAGGTCGACTAGGTAGGCTCTGCCACCACAGGCACCCCGTGGCATAAGCCTGGGTGTGCTCTCCTAGGTGACGTAACTGACAAACGGACTCAAAAGCGGAATATGGGCACCGGCCCTGAGATTCCACAAAGACACCTTCTGGGTTGTCACAACCCTGGTCGACGACGACCGCCCACAGTCTAACTTCTCCAGATGGGATAACGTAACCGAATCCCCCACTGTGCAGAGCCCCAGAAGATAGCTCTCTAGCTGACATACTAGCCCAGCTCATCTTCAAGGCAAAGGATCCGTTCAAGCCGGCCTCTTGGTCTGACCCAGTCCACTTCAATTTCACCGGCTATGATACCGAGCCGTTCTGGGATGTAGACGGGAAAGTATACATCACGGGTGCTCACGCGTGGCAGGTTGGGTGAGCGGCTCCTTCATCTCTATCTTTGAACAAGTAAACATGCTGACCCCCTGTTATGCTCCCATATTTTAGTCCGGCAATACAACAAGCCGAAGCTGACCTGGACACGGGAAAAGTGGGCGAGTGGCGCACAATCTGGAACGGAACCGGCGGCCTGGTAAGCCCAGATGCACGGCCTTGACAGCAAACTTGATTACGTACGTGCTGAAGCCGAATCTATGGCTATCTAGGCTCCTGAAGGGCCACACATCTACCGGAGAGATAGCTTCTACTACCTTTTGGCCGCAGAAGGTTCGAGTTTTCCCGGGAGTTCCAAGCTCAACGTCTCAAACTGACTGATATGTCACTTCACCGAGTACAGGAGGCACCGGGCTGAATCACATGGTCACCATGGCTCGGTCCAAGAGCATCAGTGGGCCGTTTGAGGCGAACCCAGCGAACCCCGTCTTGACAAATGCCAACACGACCAGCTACTGTACGTTGCGCTATTCCCACACCAGCAGAGAAGACAAAAGCTTACAAGCTTGTCATCACCAGTCCAGACGGTCGGCCATGCCGACCTGTTCCAGGACCACGTTGGAAACTGGTGAGAACCGCCCGCCAGAGTCAACAAAACGTGAACGGACTTGTGCTTACCTGTGAGGCCACAACACCAAGGTGGGCCGCGGCTCTGTCCACCCGGTCGGGACCAGAATACGTCAACTACCCGATGGGAAGGGAGACGGTCCTGACTCCGGTGCAGTGGACCTCCGCTAAGGACTGGCCAGTCTTTTCGTCTATCAGTGGTGAGATGAGTGGCTGGGCGTTGCCGGCTCGTGTCTCTCCGGGAGACGACGTCGGCGGTGATGGCATTGGTGGGACAGGGTAACTACCCCCCCTTTAAAAGGCAGAAGAAAAGAAAAGAAAAGAAAATAGCCCCCGCTGTTCGCCCTCCCCTTACCTTCTCCACAAAAAAGAAGAACACATAAACAACTAACTGCAACCAACCAGACCATACATCAACCAAGGCGACCTCATCACCTTCTTCCCGCCCGGCTCCTCACTACCACCGCACTTCACGTACTGGCGCTTCCCGCGCGGCGGCGCCTACACCATATCACCTCCGGAGCGGCCGGGGACGCTCCGGCTGCTTCCGTCGGCGCTCAACCTGACGGCGCTGAACGGCAACTACGCAGGGGGGCCGGGCGGGGGACAGACGTTTGTGGGGCGGCGGCAGCAGGACACGCTGTTCTCGTTCAGCGTCGACGTGTCGTTTGCGCCGCCGCCGTCCGACAGAGAGGTAGGGGTGGAGGCGGGCGTGACGGCGTTCCTGACACAGAACCACCACCTCGACCTGGGCGTCGTGCTGCTCCCGGCCAACACCACCGCCGGCACGACCGCGTTTCCGGGGCCGGCAGGAGGACAGGGCAAAGACGAGCCCGGCGCGGCAGGCGAGCTCGTGCCGCACGTGCGGTTCCGCGGCATGTCGTCGTCGACGGCGGTGCCGGGGCCCGTGGTGGCTCGGCTGCCGAGGGCGTGGTGGCGCAACGGCAGCGGCGGCGGCGGCGGCGGCAATGCGACTCTGGAGCTGACGTTGGAGATCAAGGCGGCCAACACCACGCACTTTATGTTTTCCGTGGGGCTGGCGGGCGCGCGGTCGGCGATGCAGACTATCGCGTCGGCGCCCAACGATGCCGTCAGCTGGGGCTTTACAGGTATGCATGGCTGCTATTTGTTTACTTGCCCACGATGGGTCCAGGGTCTATGCTCATGTCCCCGTCGTCTATTGGCCGTCTTTTTGTTGAACTCCCCTACTCGCCGTGCATTGAAGAGCAAGATATGGCTAGGCAGGAAGAACTGACACTGCGTTTTGCACATAGGAACAATCCTTGGCGTGTACTGCACGAGCAATGGCGGGAACGGGACAACGCCCGCCTACATCTCGAAGTGGCGGTATATACCAGAGGGCCAGTTCTATGACCGAGGACGTTTCCAAGAGCCACACAAATCTTCCTGATTGTCTATGCACATACTGCTAGCCCATCTATGACACGCCGAATGAGTAGATCGCCGATATATAATGCGTACCTGTTTATGTGACAGCGATGCAACACCGTTTAAATGTTGTTGAGGTCTCGATCTAAAAGTGCCTGTCTATTCAAACCGTGCCCTTGCGCCTTCTTATCTCAATTTTGACGTCAATTGGGGGAATGATGGTTTGGCCAATCCACAACGGCTTTGGTCTTTCGGCCAGTGGCTTGATTTCGTAGTTTTCGAGGAGGTATGCCAAGATCAGTTTGAGCTCATGGGCGACAAAAAACCGTCCAGGGCTAGCCGAAAGAAAGAGCACTGTCAGTAAACAATACCAAAAAGAAGCGAGGGAAAAGGTCTTACCAGGCATGTCTCCCGTGGCTAAAAGCCAGGAACTCGTCGCTCGTTGTCACCATGCCCAGCCTCTGCACGCGGAGCGCTTCGGCCGGGTCTTTCTGGTCCTGCGGGCGCGCCTTGTACTCCTCACGTTCTCGCGAGAAGCGGAAGGGGTCGTAAACATCAGGGTTCTCGTACAAGTCGGCGTCGTGGTGCGTCCCGGCCAAGTCTAGCATCAGGTACGAGCCGCGCGGGGCGTGCCAGCCCTCGACCTTGTTCGTGATACCCTCCTTGGCGATGACTTTGCGGTGGGTCAAGCCTGTGGCAAAGTGGCTAACGCGCATGCTTTCGCGGATGGCACTGTCTGTCCGGTGAAGCCGTGACAGGGCATTCTTAGACCAGCAGCCTCCCTCGGCCCCAAGCTCGCGGCTCGTCTCTTCCCGAAGGGCGTCCAGATACCCCTTGGCTGGGTCTGCGGAGAGGAGGTCCAGCAGAATCCCGTGGCCCGTGATGACGGTCGTATGGATGGCGGCAAACTCGACTGGCAGCAGGCGCTTGGAAATCATGGAAGCATTTAGCTCCTCGACCCGTCCATCGGCATGAGCCTGGCGGATCAGCCACGTGACGAGGTCCTCCTCCGGCTCCCACTCGTCGTACTTGGGGTCGCCGGCGAGCTTTCGCTCCATATCGTGCAGGCGTTGTTCGACGAGGGGCCTCACCTCTCGGTATGTCTTGTACCAGTGCCACCGGTTCGGCAGAACTATAAGGGGAGCGACGAAAGGCTGCAGAATCTTGGGGAACATGTTGAGGATGAAGCTGTTCCGCACCACGTCGTCGGCAAAGGCGACGTGGTTCTTGAGGAACTCCTGATTCTTGCATGTCACTTCGCCGACTAGTATGCGGTTGGTGACCCTGGGGACGATGCCGAGCCAAGCTTCCCACAGATTAAGCGACCTCCAGTTCTCTGTGTCGGTCCCGAAGGTGGCATCGATGGCGCCGCTGGCCTCGTCCTGGACGCCGGGAATAAGACCCACCAAGTTTCTTGCCAGGTGCTTGTGCATAGTTATGATGGGGAACTGGTCGTCGACGCCAAAGAATTGGTAGTCGTTGTATAGCAAATCCCTGTGCGACTCCTTTGTGGACACGATGCGGTCGGGAAACTCGAGGAGCCAGGCAGTCTGCGAGCGGGGGACCACGATCTCGTCGGGGCGGCTCGGAGCAGAGGGGACAACGAAGGCACGGTTCTTTTTCGAATACTGCGCTGTTGTAAGTCGAGTGCCTTGAGTCAAAAGCGTGGTATCAGGGGCAGAATATGCGAGCGTGCTGACCTTCTCGTAGCCCTCGTCAACCCACTCGTTGAAGTGCATTATGTAGCCGAACCAGTTCCTGACGGTGCCCAAGATGCCGTCGCCGTTCCCGACGCGGGGTAGCGACTTGGGGTATCGAGGCTTCCATGTAAAGTCGATGATAAAAGAGGTGATCGTGAAGACGAAGGCTACACAGACAAAGCGGCCAAGAGTTAGCGACTCGAGCAGCTGGGAGCTGATGGACGATGTTATGGCGCGCATCTCATGGACTAGCGGCTGCAGCTGCCGTCATTCCCGAGGCCGATTGAGTCGAATTAAAGCTTCTTATCGGCAGGTTCCCGTGTATTCTCTTCCGTGTGTTTGTTGCTGGCTGAGCACGCAGCAAAAAGAAGTCGAGCTTCCATCCCATCGCGGGCCGAGCGCTTGGTGTTTCCAACGTAAGCACACTGCCCCGTTGGTTGTCATCCCATCTGGCCAGCGAAGCTGAGACGGCTTGGCTCCACGACAGGGGTACCTTACCTAGCTGGCTGTGGAGGACTGGAGGTGCACGGGCGGTTTATAGCGCGAACCCCCGGTTTGAAGCCCCCACAACTGAAGGAAGACCGCCCAAAGCACGGGTCATTGTCGATGTCTCAGCCCTGGAAAGTCTTGGCGAGGCGCCGGAAGCAAGGCACCATGTCTCCATGAAACGCCATCAACAAGTTAAATGCGGACCGTGCCTGCACTGATAGGCTTGGAGTTATCGGTAATGGGTGCAGTACCAGCATAGTTACCTTACTGGATTTTCACGCATCAAAATTACCACCAGTGTACAGTACCTAGAGCCAAACTTTCCGTCAACGTGGGAGACCCGTTGAATCCAAATGGATGTGTGTGTGGGGGGGAGGGGAGGGGGGCCAAGCGGGGTTCGGCATCTTTAAAGGCTCGGGTCAGATAACCGAGGGGTGGATTGAAGATGGACTGGGCTTTGTTCTTTTTGGTCTCTCTTTACCAGGTAATTGTCTACCTGTTCCTCTTTCACTCCCGATATTGTGACAAAATGCCTGTATGTACTCTAGATCTTTAGTTGGAAGCCAATGCAAGGTACTGTGTACTAAGAAGGAGAGATCGGGGCAGAAACACAGCTAAAAGTGCCCCTGGGGGTGACGACATCAAGCGGACTCACCTGACAGCGCTCCGCTGTGGGCCTAAATGCCTAGTCCTGGGCGGACCTGCCGCCTGCTCGTGCGTCTCACAGAAAAGGCAACAGCGCGACCTAAAGAATTTTAACGGTGGAAGCTGCCGAGGCTGGCTAAGTTCCACGCACCTCAGTATTCATCATTCACATTCTGCTTAGGACATGTGTATTCTATGCGGAAAAGTTGGGATTCATCTAAAAGCCTCGAGAGCTAGGGAAAGGGAAGTAGACAAAGTGCTTATTAGTACGAACACCTTGTTCGTACAGACCTACTACGTACCTCATTCACGATTTAGCTTGGTTGCACCCGCGCGACCGCTACTAGCAGTTGCAACGACGCCACCAATACCTTTGGGGCTCTGGGTGACGGGACCGGATTTGTTGCTCGCCATGTCAACCTTCAACGGCCTGGTGGCCGAGTTTCCCGATATCCGAGGCATGTTTCCCGCTCTTCGCGCTTGCAAGGAATGCCCGAGTTCGGTTTCTGACGAGACCCGTATTGTGCTGCAGTTGACTTTTTTCGTAACCACGCACATCTTCGCCCACCGCTGGCATGTTTCCTGAGCCATGTGCACAGCGACCACCTCGCGGGTCTTGAGAGCCTGCGGTCGCCCTTGTAAGACACTGGAGACACTATGCAATCTTGTCTATGCCTACCCTCGCATGGTGAGCGTCCTGAGAAGCCTTCTGACTGGCTTCGGTAGCGTCTATTGTTCTGCAGCCACCAAGGAGATGCTTCTCCGCCTTGAGAGGTTCCCCTGCCGCATAAACTATGCTAAGGGCATCTTGGAGGCCCGGATCCAGAGATATAAGCACCTCAAAACCTTGCTCGTAGGATAACATCCAACAACAATCCTGCATAATCGGTATGACCATCGCTAACACAAAGTGTAAAGAAACCGCTGCCGTTGGATACGCCAACGACCCTGGAGCTTGAGCCCGGTAACCATATCCGGGTCACTCTTTTCAACGCCAACCATTGTCCGGGAGCTGTGATGTTTTGTACGTCTTTTCCCACCTCGCAATACCTGGCACGGCGGCAGTATGTACTGAACTGTTGGTGATCGAACAGTATTCGAAGGCCAGGGCAAGGCTGCTCTTTACACGGGAGACATCCGCAGCGAGCCGTGGTTTGTAAACACGCTAGTGAGGTCGCCTTCGTTGATCGAGTACTCATACGGCTTTAAAACCATTGACACCATATACCTCGACACCTCCTTCATTGACGATGACGTTGAATTCCCACCCAAATCCGACGGCCTGCGTGAGCTACTGGAGAAGGTAGCCAGATACCCTGCCGACACCATTTTTCATTTCCAGGCCTGGACCTATGGGTATGTCTGACATATTAAGCTCCTCTCTGAGCCCGTGCTAAGACGTATGTTAGATACGAAGATGTTTGGATTGCTCTCTCCAAACTTCTAAATAGCAAGGTAAATCTGTCTATCTGCTCACGTGTGTTCTCTACGGCCGCTCGCCATGTACAAAAAGTGTATTGTCAATTGAGCTGACGAATAAAATACAGATCCACGTCGACGAGTACAAAATGCTCATTTATAGCTCCCTTGTAGCAAAAGGGGGCTCTGACGGCACCAGCATCAGCACTGGAACCGCACGGCTACCGCAACATCAACAGCAATTCCACCTGTGCCCTGAAGCCGCGCCGCTGGTTGGCTTCATTTACGGCAACACGCACCACTCCGGCTGTCTGACGACGCTCCACGATGTTGACACTCACGGGGAGCGTATTCGTCTTCACAGCTGCGAGAAAGGCAACTACTGCCAGACGGTCGTGGAGCAGTCCAGCCGCGGGGGTGTTGTTTGGATTCGGCCCATTACCGCCCGCCTCCCCGACGGACAGGACATTGCAGAGGTCGGCGTTGGCGGCGGCGGCGACGACCTAGAGCGCGAGGTTGAGCTGGATTATCTCTCTCCCTCCGATATCGAGTCTCTTCTCGACATGTGAGTTGCTTAGATCTCAGCCGCGTTGTTTCTTACTTGCCCCTTCCTTTGAACTTCTGATACAGTTCAAGAAAAGACACCAAACCAATTATCTCACCAACTAACCCCCTATACAGAATTTCCCTTAATGCTGTCGAGAACCCACAAACCCCGTCCTCTCTCGCCACCACCGCCAATGACAACGAAGCTAGTGAGAACTCCAAGGACAAGGAACAGATTCGCCTCTTCCTACTCAACGCCGCTGCAGCCGGCCGCAAAATCCCACTCGACGTTGGCTTCTCGAACTTCAGTGACAACAACGAGACGGAACTGCGGGCCGCCCTCGAAAACATCGCCCAGAAATCAATGCCCTACAGACAGCAGCAGTTACCGGCCTCGACAGGCAAAAGTAACAACCAATACCAGCAGGACCGCCCAGAATCAATAGGAGGCGACAACGACAGAGAAAGAGAGACCTTGCCAAGCGTCATCACATTCCCCTACTCTCGACACTCGTCCTACCAGGAGCTGTGCCATCTCGTTGGGGCTTTCCGGCCCAGAGATGTCTGGCCATGCACCGTCTCGCCAGCCGAGTGGTACGAAAAACGCAAGTATTATTCCAATTAGCTACGTTTAATCCCCATCTTTTCATCAGCTAAAAACATGACACCTTCAATTCATGAAAAAAAAGCATCGGGCGAAAGAAATCGAGGATATAATAATCTAATTTTTTTAAACCCCAGACATCATAATTGCCGACCTCTTCGGTCGCCTATGCTCTAGCGAGAGCGTGAAATTTCGGCACGACGAACTCATGAAGCCAGAATATGCAAAATTAGCCTCTATCTTGGGGCTGCTACCCGCTTGGGACAGCCAAGCTAGCACCACCACCACCTCGAGCAGCGTTGCTGAGCCGTCCTTGCCGAGGATTAACCATCACGAACAACAACAGCAAGAAAACGAGCAACAGGGGCATGAGAAAATCCAAAAAGAACAAGACGCCATTGGCTCCCTGGCACCAAGCCGGCAGCAACATTCTGTACCACTGTTGGGTACACCGCCGACCCAGCCAGGCAAGCAACAATTATCCCAGCAAGATGGCCGCCGCCGCCGTCGCCGCCGCAGCAGCAACGCTTCGGAAGTATCTTCCGTCGAGTCCCAGCCAACCAACCCTCCTCGAAAACGCCGCCCAGCCCAAGAACCTAACCCACAAGAACATGACTCGTCGAGTCCCGAAGAGGCCGACCTCGCTTATTGTATACCACAATCTTCTTCCCAGGCTTCGTCTTTGTCTCCCTACGCCCTCGAGGCCCGCGTCAATGCTTTCCGAGCAATTCTTGGAAACGCCAAAAATAATACTGGCACCCAAATTGGGCTGCTATGCACTTCCGACAACCATTTTGTACCCGACATAGTGCTTGGGGAGTGAATTATGCAAAGGAGAATCCAAACAAGCGCGTGGCGCGCTATCCAGTAAGAGCAGAGTGGGTGGTGGATTAGGAAAATAAATACGAGAATGAAAAAAAGAAAAAGGTGACGGGTATATTAGAGGCGTCAAAAGCCGTTGCGGTAGCAGCAGTGGCTACACTATAATTGCGAGTCTGGCGGGAAATTTGTGTAGGGCGAGAAAGTGTTGACATGGAGCTCGACGCCGCGCTCCGGGTGGAGCTGGCCATCGTGTGTTCTCGGAGCGCTGCTGTAGTGTGTGGGATGGCTCGGGATGGGCAGGCCGGCCATGGCGGTCTGGGTGGGCGGCACGGCGAAGCTGCTCGAGATGGGGTATTGCGCCATGGGATCCGGCACCGTCCGCGGGCCGGCTTGCGCGTAGGGCGAGTACCCGCTGTCGTAGTTGTGGTTGCCGTCGCCAGAATCCATTGTCCGCTGCCGCTTGTTGGACCGCTCGTCGTAGCCGCCCGCGTAGCCGTACGCGCCGCCGTACTCGCCCCGCATGCTCTGCGGCGACTCGCTGAAGTAGGGGCTGCCCTGCGGGCCCATCGAGCCCCTGGACCGGTCCATGTGTCCCACGGCGACCCCCGAATCGTGCAGGCTGCTCGAGCGGCGCAGGTGGTGCGGCTGCCCGATGGGGCTCACCTCAGGGCTGCCGTGGTTGGGCCCATACTGCTGCTGGTGCGCAGCCGAGTCTCTCATTTCGCCAAACGTGTGAGCAATCTTGAGGTTGCGCTTTCTCGTCGTCACGTTCCGCGAGTCCTTGCGGAGGCGGAGGCGCACGCCCTGATCGCTGAAGGACCGCGTCAAAAACGTCGACTCGTCCAGTCCGGGAAACTCCTTGTGCGGATAGACTTTGAACTTTTTCGACTCGGTCCGCGCCCGCATCAGGCACTCCCGCGTGCTCATCTTGAGCTCGAAAAGTATGAACTCGAGCTTATATATGCCCTCCTTTCGCACCGAGAGGTCTCCAAAAACGAAGAAGCCGCCCTGTGTGTTGTCCGTGTCCTTGAGGCTGTACAGAGACGAGACGACGGTGCCCAGGAGATCGTTCTCCTTGGCCTCGGGCAGCAGGTCCGAGCCGTTTGGCGGGCTCTCGCCGTCCTTGTGGGCGCGGAGCAGCCTCGCCGTCAACATGAGGTAGGGATTCTGCAGGAACGTCTTGCCCGGGTCCTTGCGAGGGCTGACGTTGAGCTGGACAATGGGATAGGGGTCGATCGGCTTGCGGTCTGCGTCTTGAAAATTAGTTTACAGATGCTCCCCACCCAAGTCGTCGTGGCCCTCCCTGTGAAAGGCACGGGACGGGGCCTGGAGGTAGGTGGGCAATCATACCTTTCTCCTTGCCGATGGCGACCCGGGCCCTCTCGGGCTGTTGCCGCACCACCAGGGTGTAGTCGGTATCGTGGAGTGTATACGCCATGCCGCCGACAATGGAGGCACGTTTTTGGGTGGTCCGCCAAACGTGTCGTCTGTCCTGCTTCAAAGAACCGTGGTTCAGATATCTGTGGCTGCTGCGGGGCAAAGCTAGACACGAGGACCAAGTTGTTAGTACTGGTTTTGGGAGGCGTTGTGGTATTCAGAGTTTGAGTAGGTAATCAGTGGATGGTGATGTATGAGGACAACAAGTTCCAAGAGTTTGGAACGGGCGAGGAAAAGCCGACATGAAAATTGATATCAAATGCACAGAGCTTCCTCCGAGCCTGAAACTATAACGAACCTCTTTTTTATCTTGCCACGAGTTTGGCAAAGAATGGCGGGTCCTGTTGAGAACACAAGGTTGATCGTGATATTGGGAAACCCACGGCTGAGAGGCGCCACAAAGTCTAACCCGAAAGCTTGACTTTGGCAAGACCAGTTGCTGGCCACAAAGAAGGAACCTTGGTGGCAGACACGTGCTAAGAGGCGGAAGCAAATTTGCGCCTTCCTTCAGCTGTTTGCGAGAGAGGTGTCGAGGTAGGTTCGGAACTGGGGCTGTGGCATGACGCGATCTCGCTCGCTTCTTTCTCGCCGGCTCTCAAGTCTGCGCTCGTGCTTCGAGGTTGAGTGAGCGGGTAGGCATGTGCCTATTGCTCCAGTAGTTGAGAGGCTCGGTTGTTGTAGACTCTTGTCGCAAGGGAAGAGGCCCAATTTAAAATCCAAAAATCCAAACTCAGTTACTTCGGGTTCCAAGGCGTGTCAACCGAGGCCGCTGGCACCGGGTAGTGCTCCGGCTTATACCGGTATGTTTATTTACTGTGGCGTGAAGAGCTGAGATATCGACAGGCTCCAGAGACGTGGAGAGGGAGCGTCTGGTTTGTTTCAACGGCAAAGGACAGACAGGAGCTGCGAGAGGTGGCTTATAGTCGAAGAACGTTGACAACCAAGAGGAGGGCAACAAAGTTACACGGAGGGGAGCGGCGCCGGGGAGGAGGTATAATAAAGCTGCAGAGAGAGAGCTAGGAAGTGGGTGAGAGAAGGACAGACGTGGGCACCAAGGGCGTGAACGTATTGGGTGAGGGGGACTGGAGCAAGTAAGCAATGCAGGTCCGCAAGGGGGCGTGGTCAAGGTGGGGCCTACTCTGCCGAGGGCTCGTGGTGTAATGCAGCGCGTGAGGTACGGTAGCTTTGTCCTTTGGGCGAAGTGTCGGCCGTCTCAGAGGGCGGGGATGGGATGGGACTGCTCGCAGGTAGGCAGGCAGGCAGGCAGGGCCAGATGCTGGACAATGCCGGCAAGCAAACCTCGAGAGAGGTTGACGTCGGATCGTGGAGGGCACTGTACATACAAGACGGACAGGCAAACGGTTAGATGGAATGCTTCAGGTATCTGCAGTCTGCAAATGCAAGTGTAAGTGCAACTGCACGTATCAGGTAAGGGTAGGTAGGCGATGATGCGGCTGCGGGTCGCGGAGGGTTGGAAGCGGCCGGATTTGGAGACGTGCTGCCAGCCAGCCAGACTGGCTGACTGACTGACTGGATGGACACCACTGGACACTGGACACTTGGAGACGGACGGCAGAAGGGACCAGGCGGGAGACGGAGCTCACGTAGCAAAGGGCAGGCCGCCGCCCAGGGTAGGAGGGTAACCCAAGGGACAGAGCCCTTGGGACCGAGGCAAGGTAGGTAAGAGTCTAAGGGATTGCAATGGTGCTCAGGATGGCCGCCACTGAGGTGTCCCTTGCCCCCCCTTCTCCACCCCCGGAATATGCCTGGAGAGAGGTCTTGGTCTTGTTTGTGCTCTCCTGCCCGCCTCGCTCCGGTCCCCAATCGAGCTGCCTTCCGACCACCGAGTGCTGGGTCCCGGCACACCACCAAGCGGAGCAAACAAGCCAAGTAAGGGGCTAACTCAACAAGACGATTCGACGTGTGTACATACCTTGGATAGGTCTAGTGTTCAGGCTGGCGCAACACGTCAAATAGCCAAAAGCTAGATAGCGTGAGCGTTGATCGGTGCCGTTAGGGAGCTGTGTGGAGAGCTATGTATGGGGAGCCTGGGTCTGGCAGTGTCTGGGTCTGGGTCCGGGTCCGGCGAGGCGGGCAGTTAGGTGACAAGTGACAGCTGCGGCGGCAGCGGCAGGGCAGGGCAGGGCAGGGCAGGGTAGGGCGGGACAAGGTTCGAGGGCGGCTTTGGATGGAAGTCCAGGTGCTTGGCAGTCGTCGATATTCGTTTTCGGGACCAAAGCAGGTAGGTAGATGTGTCGAAGGGGGATCCCTGGTCCGCGGGTTTCTTGGGGAAATCAGGACTTTTGAAGGCCGAAGAAGGGACAGGCAGACAGGACAGGACAAGCAAGCAAGCAACACTGCACCGACAGACAGGATGTATTCTTCAGTCAGTCCGTCAGCCAACCAAGCTACCTAGCAAGCCAGCCAGCCAGGGTTAAGGCACAACCAAGATGAGATGGCGCAGGTGCGATGCAAATCCGGAGAGCGGAGAGCGGGATAGCCAGTCAAGGGCACAATGCCGTGTCTGACGTGGGGTGGGCGAGTATGCTAGTGTTGTGCATGCGTGATGTGTGTGAGAAGGAAAGAGAGAAAAAAATAAGTGCGTGAGTGTGTGGTGTGCAGATCGAGGCTTGGCCGCCCGGTGGAGGACACTGCAAGTGGAGCAAGGAGGCTGGCCGGAATGTCTGGTTGAGATGGCGATGATTTTCTGGAACCCGTCACACGTAATAAGGGCTTGGGGGGGGGGGGGGGTGCGATGAGACGGACGAAATGGGATGGGGGTGGTAGACGAGATATAGCTATATCGGCATGCTAAGTCGCAGTCAAGGCGCGAACGAGGTCGGAGTGCCTCACAGTCAGGGCCGCTGTACTTTGTATGTACATACAGTATGCATACACTCGAGTGAGAGTGGTGGGCGGGCAGTAATAATAGACTGGCTAACGGAGCGTGATATGATTGACGGCGAGGAAGGACGATGTCTAGACCAGATGCTACTAGGGGCTCTCAGCAAGGGCATATCTCCCTCCACCTCCAGCAGGGTTTCCCAAGGCTTCCAGGGCCCAGGGCCTCACCCATCCGCCGTCCGGGGCCCCTGGACAACTCTGTAGCGTAAGGCAGTTGAAGTCTCCGGAGGCGGATAGAATTGAAAGCCAACAGTCACATCTGGGGCACATATGGACGGGATACATGGGTGGGCGTTCCGAACGGGCTAGACTCGATAGGTGCCTTAGTGTAAAGACAACAGAATCCAGAATGGATTAATGTACCCCGTACTATGTACATCCGAATACATACCTTACCTCCCATTACCTCCCGTTACCTCTTCCGACACACTCCACTCCTAGGCGTTTGTACACACATACACGGACGTGTATGTGTTGTACACAAGTCCAATACGGTACGTCCATGTGCTTGGGTAGTAGGCAAGGTCGGTAGGTAAGGCAGGTACTGGTAGAGGTTGCCTTGGGTACATAGTACGGAGGTGGTGAAGAAGGTGGTGCAGCTCGAGAATGGATACGGATAGCTTGGCAACCTCTGCGGGCTTGCTCAACATGGAGAACGGGCGGACCGTTGAGTTGTGCTAACACTAGGGCAGATACTAGCAGCAGATGCTAGCAGCAGCCCATATCTCATCTCATCGGCTGATGGCGCCCCACGTAAAACGACAGTGGACGGTGGCGGGCAGACAAGTCGAGCAGATACATACCCTACCTCCCAGGTAGGGTAGGGTACTGTCAAGACAAGGGTGGTCAGAGCGGGCAGGGCCGACCAGGGTGCGTGAGAGATGGGACGACAGACGCCAACGCCGCAGGAGATTTTCGCAGTGACACGACACGACACGACACGACTCGATTCGACTCGACTTGACACCCACTGGCGGGAGCTGGAGCTGCTTGGCGGCGTCGGCGGTCCTTGAATCTCTCTCTTTCTCCTTCTTCCAAACGTCTCTTGGGTATGCTCTGGGTCCGACGCCTCACGGGGGCATGAAGACAGTCGGCGGCGTGGGGAGCTTGAGATGCCCGAACCCAAGCGCCATCCTTCTGTTTCTTCCTTCTCGTGGGGTGCGCTTTGCGCGAGCTGCACCCGCCGCCGCCTCCGCAACCACTAGTCCGGCCAGGTACTTTATTTCGCCCCATCACATAAAAAATGTAGGCTAGGTAGGTAGGTGGTGGGTTGACTTGACAGACAAGCTGCCCTGCGGTGCTAGGTAAGGTATTAGGTGCTTCTTAATTTTTTTTTAAAAAAAAAATAGTCAGCTCCCTCCCCCTCTTCCTACGCGGCGCAACCTAGCAACCCCAAGAGACGTGGCTTGCTGCTTGGCTTGAAGCTTTTGGCTTTGCTGTGGTGGGGAAAACTTGGAGAAATCGATCCGAAGGAAAGAAAAAAAAGCAAAGGGCCTGCACGAGAAGAGCTCGAGGTCCTGAAGCCGCCCGCGCGCGCGCCGCGGCGTGGGCCTGGGGAAAGCTCGAGTGTCTCGGTTCAGCAAAGGCAAGGTACCCGGTACCCGCCAAGGCGCAGAGGGCCATTCTGGATAAATGTCAGCCACTGCCGGAAGTGGCCAACACGATGCCCAGCGAGCGCCACCGCGCTGAGAAATGCGCCCGCTATCTTGTCCCTTTCCCATTTCGACCACGATGGTCTGTGCAAAGATGGAATGCTCCGAGACTTGCCTCTTCCAGTTGTGTATAGTACCTGTTGCAAGGAGAACTTGTACCGTACTCGAGCCTGCCCCAAATAGGACGCGGGGTGGGTGTTAAAAAAGATTGTGGTCTAAGTGTGGAGCACGCTAGTCTGCAAGCGCCAACCAGTACTGAAACTCACAAATATGCAAGACGCGGGTGCTGTCTTCTTCAGGTACTGATGATGCACTCTGCAGTCTACCCCTCTGTGCGACCCCGAGACAGCCTAACCCAAGGTGGGCCATGTGTCTGGCGGCGGCGCATGATGTGAGGTCTCTTATCACGAAGCACAGGAGCAACTGGTGGCTTCATTTCCTCGGCTTCCAAGCGCCAGTGGCTGCTCTTCTCCAATGCCTGCGAGGCCTGATGGCTTCTCTGAGCTTCTAGTGCTGCTGCTGCTCCTTATCCCGGCGCGCGAGAGCGGCGTCTCGAGAGTCAAGGCTCTCAGGCAGAGGCAAGTGCATTCTTCTCGAACAACGGCCTGTCCCGGCATTGAACGACGCAGTGTCCGACAGTTCCGTTCTGGGTTCTGTTGTCTGTGCGCTGCATGCATGCATAAACACGGAGCAAGGCTCTCTTTTTCCAGGCTCATTCTCCCTTCCTTGGCCGTTCAACTTTCCAGAGCTTTGTTAGGTTCGGGGTTTTGCTGAACAAATTCATCTGTCCTTTTGGTTCCATCGATTAGCCAGGACACCCATTATAATACCCGAGCTCATAAACCTCCGGGCAGAGCCATTTTGCTGTTCTGTTTGTACAGATTCCCGTCAGGATCATTTTCTGTATTCTGTATCCGTAACTCCTAGCCCTCCATTGTCGGGACCGAGTACAGCATACTGTACTGTACTCCGTACGCTGGGGAAAATGAGGCAAGCCATCTCCCGGCCCTTAAGGAGACGGCCTGTTCCATCTTGTGGGTTCCAAGGTTGGAAAGTACCTACGTATCTTCCCATGACCAGCATCCCGTAATCTCAGGGCATTGGTCTCCCCGGAACGGATGAATACAGACGCGTCTCCCGCCAATTTGTGGCACCAGTTGGACGCTACCGACACCAGCCCACCCGAAAGAGTGAGCTTGCTGTTGGAGAACGCAAGCTTAGACACTGTTCTCGTTAGGCCACCTGGACGGTTTCCCGTGTACACAGTATGTATGTGCGGTAGTATTGTATGCCCGGACACCTATCCAGCATCCATACACTTCACTGACCGGGCACAGAGCGGCCAGTTCGGGGGCCCTTGCTTGCCTAGCCAGGACCAGGGCACCCAGGGCCAAACTTCCCCGCACCGCTGTCTTCGCTCCACCTCAGGTAACGCTACCTCAGGGAGCAAATCTTACTGACAGAACCTCCAAAGAAGTTCTAGCACAGTCGGATTCGATCCCATTTGTTTGTATGTCATTGTAGGTGCGGCACTTATATTGCGATAGTCGGGTGGCGACTGGTAAGACAGGATAGGGCCTCATGAGCATGTCGTAGTGTATGTATGTACTTGCGTCATGTGCTGAAAACGTGGCCTTGCCGGTCTGTCCGCCCAAGCCTCCCCTTCGAGAACCTGTCCGTCTCCCTGGTGTAACGGAACGGAATCCCGCCTGCATCAGCTTGAGAGTGCGTGCACCTGGACGTGGTGCCACATCGAAGAGATGTAGTTCTTTCCCTTCAGGAACAGAGAGAAGCAGTCCGCTAATGCAGGAGAAGCTCTGGTGGAAGTTGCCAAGCAATTCACAGACCCGAACGGTGTTGTGCTCCTTCGTTGTCTCTGGACCTGAGGGTGCCGCCATCAAGACGCGGTTGGTCAGAATGTATCCTGGGCAAGGTACCCATACCTGCACAGAAACTGTGTGCGTATGTCTGTTCCTGTCTTTATCTTCATCTCTATGTCTCTCTAGAGTGCTGACCAATGCACACTAGAGTTGATATCCAACAAGAGAAAAGAGATGGAGAGACCTCTATCAAGACAGCTTCCGACTAGGCCTACGCCCAGTGGGAGTACCCCAATGCTACATGGGCAATTAATCCCCATCAGGGTGACGATATAGCTAGCGTCCAGGAAGAACACTGCCCGCAATTACGCATCCACCTTTTTATAGCGGGAATCCTTCCTTTGCTGGACTGGATGCTGATATTAATTGGTTCCAGGGTGTATCAAGACGCATGCACTCGGGGCTGGGACCAACGGGAGGGCGAGGAGCTTGCGGGCTCAATCTGGAGGCGGCCTTTCGTTGAGCTCGCTGAGACTGCTGAGCAATAGCAGATAATAATATGAATATTTGTGGGCGTATCGGGATACATTACTTGGATCAAAGCACTTGCAAGTGGTCCTGAGTTTCGAGTCCCTTGGCCTGGTGACTGCCTCTTTGGGTTGGGGGCGAGACCGGCCCGGGAGGGGTGATTGGAGGTGTGCCTGCATCCGCAAAAAGTGGGCGTGAGGAAAATGGCTTGATGATGGAATCGAAAGCCGCCAATGCTCCGTCCAGCAAACGTCAAGGCGGTAGGATTCATCTCGAGCGCGACAGTCGACCGAGCGCGCCAAAGTCCATGTTTGATGATTGGCATTTTCGAATGTCTGAAGAATCTTCCAAAGAGAGGTCAAAGCGAACGGCGCACCGAACTCCAGGTGACTAACAGCTACGACTGACAGGGGTAGCAGCCGGGCACCAGCAGGGATCAGGGCCCGAGACTTGATGCGAGCTTCGTCGTCCGCTGTCAAACGAAAAGGCAATTCGGCAGCTCCACACGAGCTCTTAGGCGGGATGGTGAGATGGGGGAGCGCCATTTGTCTATGGCCTTGTTTCAGAGCCCGCGCATCGAACAACAAGAGCATACGCAGCAGCCTAGGTAGTAAAGTGCCTAACCCATAGAAGGGCGCAGACTGGCGGGGGAATATCAGGCCTACACTGCACTTACCTAGTGTCAATACTTGTTAGCATACGTAGTGGAATACGCGAGTTGATACGGATATGGGTGGGTGTGGGTGTGTGAGCGACTGTGAAGGTGGGAGTAGAGTAGAGACTGGTTCACGTTGATGACTGAACGCCAAACGGTATAGGACGCCGGAATTTGGACTCGATGGAACCGAATGTCATGTGAGTAATCTCGATTCCGCCCCCGAGACGAGACACTCCCATTTGGTTTCTGCTCCGAAGAAGGTTGAGTGGGCAGCGTGCGAAATCTCGTTTGCCATCCTGGAACTGTCTCTAGAAATGAGCAAACAGTTCCAACGAAGCCGTTTTGTTTAATTAACTTTGTTCAACTCCGTCTGCGTCCAAGTTTAGGACAGACGTGCCTTTTGTTTTGAGTTCTTCTTGGTTTTCGTCCTTTTGCTTCTTTTCCAGACCCGTTCTATGGCCAACCACGGAACGCGAACAAACGGTTTTTCTTTTCTTTTTGAGAAGGGGTTTGCTCTGGCCCGGGCAACCTTTCCTTTGCAAATCTTGGTTGCCCATGTGCCAGCCAACCGTGACAGGGGCGGGATGGCAGACATCGGCCGCACCATGCCGTCCGTTGGTACAAAAAACACGCTTGGATTTAGGTTGGCAGTAGGTGTGGGTGGGTGCCGCTGCAGAAATGTCAGGACAGTAGTAATGGCTACCTACGTTAGGTTTTTTGTCCCGCTGTTGCACTTGAGGGTGAACAGCAATAACAAATATTGCACCGAAATGCCGGCTCGGATTTGCGTTGAATCTCGACTGCCCAGGTTTGCTGAGGCCCGACTTGTTGGTCGATTTGTTCTCAATCTCGCCCAGGCGGCTGGCCAAGACGTCGGTAGAATGCTCAGAGCCGGCTTGCCAGCAAGATGCCTACCCAGACTAGCTCGACGTGCCCAGGACCAGATCGTGGAGCCTAGCTCCGTACGTATTGTCGACATCCATGCCATCGTCATCGTAAGGATTTCCCCCTCTAATAGTCAGGATATGGTAGCTATAGCAATTATCCCATCCCGTGTGCACAGTCGTTTGGGCGCCAGCAAAATCGGCCCGTCAAACGAGTTTGGCCATATCAGACTGGCTATACCAACCATGAGTACGCTAACTACCTTGCTACTAGAGTAGTCAAACGAGAATCTCCAACCGGCTGTCTTGGCTGGCTCTCAAGCTCGTTTGCAGTCTTCTTGAGAAGAAGCGCTATACTCTTTGTCCCGAAATGACACCTACAATACCGAGCAGGTATGTACGGGCCTATACAACAGGTTCCTGGCAACTTTCAGGTAGGGTGGATTGTGTTCTTCAGCATTGGAAACCTACCCAAGACAACTGGGGTAGGCCAGGTACGTAAGCAGGGATTAAGCTTTGACAAGGAAGCCAGCCCAGTTTGTCCACACGCCCCACCAGTTGGTCCGATCTTATCAGAAAGCCACACCATCGCCGCTTCCCATCAATCCGGGCCCAGGGGTCCGAGTTGCAAACAAGTTGTTTCGATGCAGGCATAGCATAGCAGGCAGCAGTTCTTCCAGGCAGCATTGTCCCAAATCATCTGATGTCAAGCCCTATGACGCTCGCTTGTGGAACACGCAGACAAGATGGGGTGCAGCATGCCTGGTTGTCGGAATCGCTTCTCAACAACTCGGTACTTCGCGCTCTCAGATCTACTCCGTATACGGATACTCCGTACAGAACGAAGGATTTAGTGCGAGCGAGGAGCATGACAGCTCGCAGCCCGGCACTCGTTCATGCAGCCAGTTGGAGCCCCTCTCTGCCCCTCCAACCCCAAACCGGAAGCCCCTTCCTGAAGACTCGGTGGATCTAGCCGAACTCACAAGTGCCCTAGGAAGCTTCCAATCGGCACCTTCCCCTCCCGCGCTTCCCATCGCATCGCTCACTTTCCTTTTCAGATGACAAGAAAAAGCAAAGAAAATGAATCCGAAAAAAGACCAGAAGCGCGCGGGCCAAAAGCCACAACTTGGAGCTTTCGATGGGTCTTCCTTTGGAGGCTTCAAATCCGACCTAATTGACTTCTTAGTGGTGCTTACTGCTTCAGTTGACCACACTGATCGCATATGATCATGTGCATACTTGGGAGGTAAGATGTATGTACAGTACATACATACGACATACAACTGCCCAGTGATGTGCGTGTAGTACAGTACGTACGTACATACACAGCACCCAACCCAACAAAGACGTTATCAGACTCGTCAACGTCGGCTTCTGATCGCCGTAATATCGTGCTCACACTTGCTCGCCCGGGTGCCGGACCCGCCAAGAAGCGATTCTGATCGGCACTTTCCATCATGCAGCGGGTGCCTTTTGCTTCGTCTCAGAAGACCAGGCCGAGTTTCTAGTGAAGGGGTTTCCGCGTCCTTCGTCAGTCGCGTCCTGCGTCAATTTAACTGTTTACCTGGATTTCAGTCGCCCAGGATTACCATCATCACCACCAAGTTGACGACGCGAGAGGCCATATCCCGGGTTACGCACGCTATACTATGGCACATGTCTTCTCGCCTCTTCCCGCCCGGTACCGGAGAAGCCGGGCTCCTGATGAACCAGGTCTGCTTCTGACCCAGTGTCGTCTTTTCTTTTGCAACCAGCTGCGTCTGGCGCCTCGTCACAATACGGCAACGGCAATCCAGTTTCTGCCAGGGTGAGCACTCCCCTATCGTGACGACGTGCAACCCTTCAACGGCCAGGGTCCCGTCTTCACCCGCACATTGGACAACGGTCGAGTTCTAGTACAGCGACGGCGATGGCGGCAGCGCTATTTCTTGGGGTGTTGTTGTTAGTCCGTGTGGAGCGAAGTCAAAGACCCCCCCCCCTCCCCCAATTCCGTTCTGCCCACCCAGCCTTGCTCGTTGCGCGGAACATTTTGCTCCCTCTTCTAGATGTTCACAGACCCCTTTTTCCATTCATCCTCCAACATGCCATGCAAAGATTCCAATGCATCATCGCGCAGTGCGCACAGGCTGGCCACCTTCACCACACATGGCGGACCAAGGATAATTCCCTGTCGCCACGCTTTTCCACCGTAAATGCCCCCCGTGATGGTGCTTCGATTGGACCTTCGATTGAGATTCTACTTCTGTCCGGGCGCAAATCGCTCCCCCAATCGAGAGATGAAGGTGATCTCGAGAATTGACAACCCACGCGTCCAGTACATTAGCGCGTTGATGCCACAACGGTGCGAGTTCTGGATCTGCAGGGTGCCTGTCCCTACCGTGCCTCATCGCCTGAAACCAAGGATCGGCCGCGGCATGAACCGGATATTGACTGAGCAGTGTGTTTCTGGATAGGACCTCGATGCATGATGTCGGACGCCATCAAATGTCTTCAGGTTCCTGAGCCCTTCCCTTCGTCTGGTGGCGTTCCCAAGCCACGCTGAACAGGAGCTACGTTCCCTCGCCAATTTCTCTGTGACGCAGACAGACAGACAGAGGGCTTTCCTCGGGCAAATCGAACATGTGCCACCTCTCTACAGCTGCCGGGTTCCTGGCTGCTTTCCTTGACGCTGTCTTCACACCATCTTGTGCTCTCCCGCCAGACTCACGCTATTTCGCTCTACAGCACTAGCTCCACGTGTCGGTTTTCTTGCGACAAGCGGGACGAACTGCACAATGCACTGCAGACTGGTGCCTTGTGTGCCCTCGCAGAATCTATTCCGAGCACTGACCTCGGGTTTGAGGACGGCCGTCCCACCATGTGTATGTATGTAATATGTATGTACAATACATAATCTACAGTACGTGCCGCATCTGAATACGGAAGAGGGAGATGTTTCGCTTGGCCAAATACAGCCATGAAAGCGGAGACCACGGCCAATGACTGGCAGGGCCCTTATCCCTCCCCCCTATATCAAATGTATTAAGGCAACCCAACTTTGCGCCCGCCACTTCCCAGGCTTTCATTTGCTGGGCTCACCCGTGCCGTCCTCTCAAGCTTCCCCGGTTTATGCTCCCTCGCCTCGCCTCTCCTCTCCCGCTTCCAAGATGGGTGGGTGGGAAATCAAGAGAGGCGCATTCGCTCGGAGACACGACTCCGAGTCCTGAAACTTGGCCTGCTCCCTGATTGCGCGTCTAAAGTCTTGTCGAATTGGGCGCTCTTCGTCTTGATGGCATCGCGCCTGGCCTCTCAAGCTGGCAAGGTGTTGGAATGATGATCCGGGTGAGCAACTGATCTCGGATGTGCCGTTGGGCCGGAAAAAGACGCTGTCCAATCGCCGATTGAGAGTCGAAGCCGACCTCTCCTTCGTCCTGCACGCATTGAACTTTTCGCTGCCGGTCTTGTCTCAGGTTGCGGATCCATGGCCATCTAGAAGCCTTCCCCATGCGACCAGTATGATGAATAATTAGTCAATGTCAACCTCACGTCTTCTTTTGGAAGCAGACTAGATACGGGACTATAGTCAGCTTGCAACAGGTACTTTGTCGACTCATGGCGTTGAAGTAATTGCCAATGACTTACCACCCTAGCTTCTCACGCAGGCCAAACCTAGCCAGAGAATTCTCTGCCACAAGCCTGCATTCCGGGATCGCCTCCATCCCGCACCCGGAATGGACTATACCGCTATACCCGCTGCTTTGAGTGCCTTCCTTTGATTCTATAATCAATCCAGGTAGTTGAAATTTCATTGCAATTGGCCCCCATCTGGTGCGTCAAAGTTCCCGCATGCCTTTCCCGGATTGCTCTCCCCAGCAAATAATCCACTCTGCGGCCTATGTATGAGACAGGTGATTATTCATATTATTGTCTATGATATTCATGTTTGCAAACGACGGCGATTTTTCTTGAAACCTGCGCCCAAAGGTGTCCAAACTTTCAATCGCCTTTGAGGACACTGGACCGTGGATGACCTTTGAAAGGCTTGATCCCGCTCTGCATGCCAACAAACACCGCGGCCATGGTTCGACTCTCATGGCCCGCCCTCTCACATCTGCTGCGCCTGGTTGGGGCTTGCTGCCCTTTCCCAGGCCCCAGGTACTCATCCCTCCAACGCAATGTTGCCAGACGGCCGGGCCGCACTGCATTTCGGTGGAGCCGTCACTCCCCGTGGTTCCATTTTCGCGTCCCAAACCCTTCGCACAATGCGCTTTGCATCTGCGCTATATAGACTCTGGGCCCTAACGCGGCTCAGAGAATGTCGCACAAACGTGATACAAGACTTTGGGGTGCAGCGCGGCCTCGTCTTGCTACTGATTTTGCCGAGGGGGTAACGAGTCGGGGTCGTCGTTCACGGTCAGCGGGAGAGAGACACTCTGCCTACCTGGTCCTGATGCCAACAATTTCCCTGTGCCGGGTTTTTTCTGTCCTCCGCCCGCATTCTACTAAACCTCGCGGGCCGTGCTGTATGGTAAGCCTCTTAAGGCCCTGCGGCCACGACCCGTCCGCGCGAAAAGGAACTTGGGAATACCACCTCTCTCTCTCTCTCGCACTTGTGTTGTGTGGGAAAGCCCTTGTTTTTCTCGCTTGCGTCTGTTTCCGCGGCCCGCTCCTCTCCTCCCTTCCCCGCGTCGGCCGTCTCGCGGGCCAAAAATAACACATTTTTGGGGGAACAACGTCGATATTATTATATCGTACTTGCCTGCCGCCCGCTGGACCCTGCAAATCAACCAATATCAATATCGATATCTGAGAGCCCCTTGAGGCTCTTTCGGCTTGGGTGGAACGACACTGCCGCTCTACTCTCGCTTGCCCCATGGGGTATCTCAGCCCCTTTTTATCGTGTCCTAATAAGACACTTGGGTTCAATGTCAACCGCACGCTTCTTCCCCTTCTCCCCTTTCTGGCAGTACACTAGTACCTGGCAGACATTTCCGTGGCCGCGCGCTTGCTCGCCACACGTGCATATACTCTCGTGTATACATGTACGTATATGGACAGGCATGTACCGACCTGACAATTAGCGTCTTCTTTTTCTCCCCTAGCCCCGCCGAAGTCTCTGGAAGCAGCAGCAGCAGCAGCAGTAGCAGTGGCGGCGGCGGCGGCTGTGGCGGGCCATCATCCCTGGTCTGGACCTCTAGGCTCTCGACTCCACACAGCGACTTGTCGCTTTGCTTCTTCAACCGCCCCCCTTCCCCCCCCTGCCACCCCCAGTCGTCACTTGACCTGGCCGTTCCGGTACCACACACACACACAAGCACACACGCGCACGCATGCGCACGCACACACACACCACCCCTCCCCATCCCTTTCGTCTTGACCTTTGGTACCCCGTACGTAGCTGCTCAACTCGGCAGGTCGTTCCGTAAAGGTTCGTCGGCCGGTCAAAAGTCGCGTCTACTCCCCAGACTTGGTGAGCGCGCGCGCGCGCGACCATGGCCGGCCGGCAAAGAGCTGGTTCTGTGGTGGGCTTACGCCTGGCCTGGCTGATCCTCTCCTGTCCTGGCTTCTTGGTCTTTGGTCTTAGGCCTCAATGCCCCCTCCCGCCCCCCCGTCATGACAACCGAATGATCAGAACAGAGGGACGGGAAATTCCCGGTCCTATCCCCTCCTAGATCATAACCCAGGCCACGATGCGGTCTCTACGCCCTCTCGTATCTCTGCCGAGCGCGTGATTGTCTCTTGTCGAACCATGTTCCTTGCTGGCGTCGCAATAATAATAATAATACCAATAATAAAAGTACCGTATAATCGCTGTGGCTGTGGCTGGGTCTGGCGCTGGGCCGGGCCGGCCCCCCTCCTCAATTCCCCTGCCATAATGAACTGCATTGCCTTGGAGGTTTGCGGAGGAGGAGGAGCGGATTCGTTCGTCGCCGCGCGGTGTGTCGCTGCTGCCCGCTGTCTCTGTATCGTCGTATGGATGCGAACTTACGTACCGCGCTTCAGACCTGAGATGGCGAGTTTTGTGAGCTTGTTTGTTGATTGCAATGTTCCTGCCCAACCCCCGAGACCTGTCATTATCTTTCGGCTTTCTTGATCTCATATCTTAGACCTGATATCCCGTTGGTTCAATTGCTGCAGATATTCAAGCAATTTTTATATTCATTAGTTATAGCCCCTTCTGCATTCTATTCCCCTTCAACATCGAAAGTTTCTGTAACTATCAGTAAGGTTACGTACGTACCGCGCTGTCTAATGGCCAGCGACCTATATCATGAGTGGCCCGCCTGCACGTGGGTCGCAGGTAGCGGACGATGCATGCACGCACGCAGCATGTAATAGCACATGTTGACGGTGTGGGTTGAGGTCTGTATCGTGATGGGTTATGTGAATATGTACAGTACCACGGAATCGTAACGGGCGGTCTTATAGCTTGTTGTTTTTATATCAGACTGCGAACTTTAGCTCTCTATTGAGCTTTTGTCTCGGTATTATGTACGAGTTTGTCAAAGGGGTACGTGCCCTCTCCCATTCCCCCCTTTTCCCCATCCCGTTTTAAGATGAGTTTGATGTTCTTATTCATTTTTTGGCGGTGGTTTTGTGTCACTGGTGCACGTGTGTTGTGTGTGAGTGTGGGCTGTGAGTGTGTGCGTGCGGTTTTGCGCTTTGATCCCTCTCCCCACTTTCCCCCCCTTCTCAGATTCTCGCCAGTCGGGTTTAGTTGTCCCGAGTATTGTTTGTGTGCCAGGTGAGTGGTGGTGATACGGGGTTCTACCTTGATCAGGCATATCCTGCTGAGCTGTCTTATCTCGGTCTTTATTTGTCTCTCAGGAAGAACCTATTGTCCTTGTTTTATACACTCGTTACATGCAAAGGCTTCTCTATAAGAGCGGCAGCGGGGTACTAAATTCTGATATGACGGCAACCGCAAGCCGGAAAAGGAGACATGTTTATCTTGTTCAGGGGAAGTAATTATTTACATTGGACCTCAGGGAGTTCAAGCGTTGCTCAGCTTGGAATTTCGCGGACAGCTGCAGCAGCACAACTTGGGCAGGCATGGGAGGTGCCCGGTAAGGGAGGTAGGCACCTAGGAATGCAAGTAAGTTACCACCCCGCAGCCGACCCAAAGTTCTCCCTTCGCCACACCCGCACGCCCCTATTAACCGATACTCTTAAGAACTAACTCACAACAAACGAGCGGAAGGAAGCAAAAGAGGTCGGCAAAACTAGTTTGAAACATGTTTGGTTGGGCAAGCTCAAGGCACGGTCCTCTGCTGACGGCCCACTGCACGACAAGAGTCAATGCGTCAAGAACTAAAAATTTGGGTTTATTCGAGCGAGTACAAATTCGGCGTTGGCTATGAGCCAGGTTCGTTCACCTATTGTCATGAGATGCTCATCAGAGGTCAGAGATGGCGGGGCGGCGGTTGTCTGCAGAGTGAGGTGGTTAGCCAATTCGCCCAGTCTAGACCCCGTTCAAACGTGGCCGCATGTTCGTTTATTCTTCCGCCCGCGGGCTTTTTCTTTTCTCCCTTCCCTTCCCTTTTCTGCCTCTGCATCTGCCTCTTTCTGTTTGCGCGCGCATGCGTGCCACATGTTTCAGGTGAGGTACATGAGGTGCTTTGCGCGCTAGTGGCGACGCAACATCGTTTTTCCCACCACGATAGGCTGGCCGTTGGAGCTGGCGGGCTTGTTTCAGATTGCTGCTTCTTCTTTGGCTGTTGCTGCATACGGATTACACCTAGTGCAGCACGCACAGACATGCTTTTCCTTGGTGGTTGCGTGGCCGATGGGCGATACCTAAAAATGTACGTGAAAGAAATGATGGAAAGAAGCGCGCCGGGAAGAAGCGACCCTCTTTCCAGGTGCATGCCAAGGTCCTGTTATTGGCCTGTACCAGGTACCTAGCTTACCTTAGCTACCCTACCCAAAGTCCTCTGCCTACCCTTCCCTCCGCTGCCGCCCGGTGAGGTAAAACACTCAAAAGAGGTATATGTGAGGCTCCTTATATGAGGGTATCTCCAAAAAACGCAAACCAGTTCCGGGCTTTCCCTTTTTCTCCTTGCGTCTTCGGTCCGTTTTCTTGCTATTTCTCTGTTATCGTTCCAGTCGATTACTCGCAGCCACACCCCTATTTTCTCCTTTTTTTTTCCCTTCTTTGCAGCCGGTCAGTCTAAACACGGCACGGACGGGGCACAGGAGCACGCAACAGGAAAGGATGGGGGTCGTCTCTCACTCTGATTGGGGGATGAGGGGCTCACTGATAAATAGAAAATTTATGCTTGTTTTCCGTGCCCTGTCCCTCTCCTCCGTTCTGCCATGACCCTCTACCCTCTTTCATGTGAGGGAGGGGCGGGGCGCGTGGGTGTGGAAAATGGTGGCGTCGTCAATTCGGCTCGGTTCGCTCGTGCCCAGTTTTGTTCCGACTTTCCCTTCATGTGCGCCGCTTGGCTGACTTTGATCGAAATACACTACCGTGGCCTCTAGGCTCTGTACATATGAACGTGAGGGAGGTCTGAGGTGGGGAAGCGGAGGTGAGGAGGAGACGAGAGAGAAAGGTGTGGTGCAATCGTTTTTTCGAGACATTCTATTTAGAATAAATACCCTCCATGTCCCTCGTGGTGGTTGTAGCAATACTAGACCGGTGTTATAGGGGGCGGCCATATTGTGTTCTCCCAAGGTATGTACCCATTGATAGTAATTATCTAGGTAGTTTCACAGAATCAAGAGACCATCACATGATCTCTTCTCCGGTTCTTCCGTCTCAAGATTTTGGTATTACCCGCTATTATTTATTGTCTGTCGACAATTCGCGCCATATCCACAAATCAAATTGTTTTGGATTGCGTAATTGTCTACCGAAGTACCAATCGTCTTTATAAACAATATTCAGCTAGAACTCGTATTCATGTTAATTTCCAGGATGTTAAGAAGTGCAAAGATTTGAAATTGACCCTGCAGTTATCTTTGAATTACCCAAGTCTTGTGTCTCTTGGTAGATACTTTAATACTTACAAGTTCTATTCCTCTTGAGCATATAGACCAGCTACCTAAGTGATTGAGTTTTCGTCTTGTTAGTATCTGTTGACACTATAAGTCCAAGCACCTTGAGGTGATCGACAACAGCAACCTTGACTTTCTGACTTGACGGCGTGCATCGTGCATCGCCTCTGCGTGTACGAACACTGTACAGAGTTTCAATATCGACGTTGGCGCCTCGAATTCCCTCCTTGTATTCGACCGGCGATGGCATACATTCCTCGAGCACCAATAGCTCCCACTGTATTTTATGAATTCGGAGATTGACGTTCACGTGTCCTTGATCCGAACGGCGGTATAATGGGAAGTTTATTACCTCCCTCAATTACTTAGCTTGTTGCCAAAAAAAACCCTGAATTGGGTCTTCTTAACGTGCTGACCACCAGCTGGTGGGTCAGAAGACCGCAACATACTTCGACCAAACTTCAAAGATTATTTCAGAGTGAACAGCT